GCAGAGCACTCCCGCAGGAGGATAATGCGATACCTAAGAGAAGCGCAAGCATGAAGGCATACCACAGAAAGGCAACAGAAAGGCTCCTAGCGATGGACATGTCCCAAGCACCAGAGGGTAACCTCATCCCCAGAGGCGCACTCCAGCCCGCTGGCAACGCAACACCGCTGAGGTGACGTTGGAGGACCCACGGGGCAGGTCTAGGGCTCTTGCAGCTGGAGGCAGGGGTCACAGCAAAGCAGGCAATCATCAATCACTGGCAGGCAATTATGGATGTGCGGGCAACCAGTGGTGGAACAGACATGAAAGGCACGTTAACACGGTCGGCCGACAGGGATAGAACAGGATCGCGTTCGGACCCATTACCACTAGGGGCCGCTCGGGGCTAGCAAGGGGACCCTAAACTATGCCTCAATCTGCCAGCAAGGTGGGGCACAAGCAAACGGTGGCATATGGGAGATTTGAAGCCGGAAATGAGGCGAAAAACAGGTAGGCTGGCGAGAACTCGACCAGATACACACACCCAACCACATCGGAGGCGGGGATAGGCAGGAGGCATCATGTCCAAGGTCCTAGACACCCGCTCAGGTTCAAAGGTGGATGCTGGGCTTGGAAACCCTAAACCCTTCAGATAGCCTTCAATGAACTACTGTGAATGGTGAGGAGGACAGACACTAAGGCAAAAGGCCACGGATGACAGGCCAAGGGGATTGTTGGGGCTGCTGGTGAGACAGAAACATCGGAGGATCATTGGAAAACTATTGATAGCCTAAAGCCCTGGGCAGGGTGGTCTTCTGTAAGCTCGCGCCAACGCTCCGGCTCTCCGGCACGGTACTCCACAGGTAGCGGGGCGCACGATGGATCCGTCTGGCCGAGGGATACCCAAGGGGTGAGCCGCGCAAACACGTCCGGTGGTGGGCGAGGCCACCGGCACTGGGTGGCGAGGCCAGTGCCCCAGGGGTGAAGGAGGCACCCCCGGGGCCGTGTTGGGCCGAGCTCGACAGGTCCCTCGACCAGTGGAAGCACGTGACTCAGAGCCCCATTCCGCGCTGGCAAAGGTTAGAGGTAGGAGAGGCGCAAAGCGTCTGGTAGGCAATCTGTGGTCCCAGGGCTCTAAGGCAAAAAGGGGTCTCAGACAAGGAACGACAGGCCGGGCTTTGCCGGGGTGGGAATCGGGACTGGTGAAAGGTGAGTCATCCGTGCCTGACTATGGTATGACGAAGGCTCTTAGCGCCCAGGTGCCCAGAGCACCTATCGCAAAGGCCCCCCTAAGAGAGGGTGTGAGTTCAACACAAGAATCGACACGAGCGGGTGTCATGGCAGAAGGCCAAATGAGAGCATGGTCATACAGATAGCCAAGTTAGAGCCTTGGCCGGCTGGGTACAGTGAATGGTGGATCGGAATCGTCACGCTGGAAGCGGCACGGGATGCTGGGCACTCCAGTGGATGACAGGTTGCGCGCCCGGCAGCTCCTCAAGCGCGCAGAGGACCGCGCGGTGGCACCATCGCGCCGCGAACTGCTCCCTGGTGATCATCGGGTCGCGTCCGCGAAGCCAGTCGCTGAGCACACCTGCTGTCTGCCGGACGTTGACGGTCGCGAGCCGCCAATCGGCAAGCAGGGCCTTCTTGCAGGAAGACAGGATGCGAGCCGCAACCGCTCCGGGGGTGATCGCCGCCGCATCTGGCTGGTGGCGGCCGCGCTGATATGCTGCCCACAGCTGACAGATCGTAGCGAGCCGCAGGCGATCCCAGAGCTGCCTGAGCTGCCGCGGCGGTCCCCAGATCCTGGTGTCATCGGCGAGAAGAAGGTCGAGGGACCTGTCGAGCTCGGCCCAACACGGCCCCGGGGGTGCCTCCTTCACCCCTGGGGCACTGGCCTCGCCACCCAGTGCCGGTGGCCTCGCCCACCACCGGACGTGTTTGCGCGGCTCACCCCTTGGGTATCCCTCGGCCAGACGGATCCATCGTGCGCCCCGCTACCTGTGGAGTACCGTGCCGGAGAGCCAGAGCGTTGGCGCAAGCTTACAGAAGACCACCCTGCCCAGGGCTTTAGGCTATCAATAGTTTTCCAGTGATCCTCCGATGTTTCTGTCTCACCAGCAGCCCCAACAATCCCCTTGGCCTGTCATCCGTGGCCTTCTGCCTTAGTGTCTGTCCTCCTCACCATTCACAGTAGTTCATTGAAGGCTATCTGAAGGGTTTAGGGTTTCCAACCCCAGTATCCACCCTTGAACCTGAGCGGGTGTCTAGGACCTTGGACATGATGCCTCCTGCCTATCCCCGCCTCCAATGTGGTGGGTGTGTGTATCTGGTCGAGTTCTCACCAGCCTACCTGTTTTTCGCCTCATTTGCGGCTTCATATCTCCCATATGCCACCGTTTGCTTGTGCCCCACCTTGCTGGCAGATTGAGGCATAGTTTAGGGTCACATTGCCAGCCCCGAGCGGCACCTAGTGGTAATGGGTCCGAACGCGATCCTGTTCCATCCCTGTCGGCCAACCGTATAAACGTGCCTTTCATGTCTGTTCCACCACTGGTTGCCCGCACATCCATAATTGCCTGCCAGTGATTGATGATTGCCTGCTTTGCTGTGACCCCTGCCTCCAGCTGCAAGCCCTAGGCTTGCCCCGTGGGTCCTCCAACGTCACCTCAGCGGTGTTGCGTTGCCGGCGGGCTGGAGTGCGCCTCTGGGGATGAGGTTACCCTCTGGTGCTTGGGACATGTCCATCGCAAGGAGCCTTTCTGTTGCCTTTCTGTGGTATGCCTTCATGCTTGCGCTTCTCTTCAGTATCGCATTATCCTCCTGCGGGAGTGCTCTGCGTGCCCCAACTCTGACAGGTTTCCCCAAATATCCTATTGCATGCGTGCTGGGAAGCGTGCGACTGGCACCTGTGTAATAGCGGGGGCTTCCCCTTTTAAAAAAAAAAAAAAAAAAAAAGGTCGGCGCTGCGCGGTGGCGCGTCGTCTCCGGTCACCGCGGCCCATGTCGCTGCGAACCAGTCCCACACCCCGGCGGCGAGAGGGCAGATGATGAAGACATGGGTGAGTGTGGCCAGCTGACCTGCACAGCTCGGATGCGGGCAAACGTGACCGGCGGGATCGGCGCGGTGGACGTGACGCGCGAAGCCGCCGACGAAGAGCTGGCCATGCAGCAGCCTCCACGCTGTCACGCGCTGCCGCCGGTCCAGATGGGAAGCGTGCACCACTTGCCACACATGAGCCCAAGGTGCTGATGGGTCTGCTGTGGCTGCTGCTGAGCCTGGGGATCCGCATCCGCCCCCGGCCGAGTGATGTTGATCCGGGTGTCGCCGTCGATGAAGAACCGCTTTGGCAAGCGGGCGAGGTGCCTATCATCGTCGTGCGTCTGGATGTAGGCCAGGCAGGCCTTGCCACTGCCCACCAGAGGGCCGCCGCAGGTGAGGTGTCCGGGCAGATCGCCCAGGAGTTTGCCGCGAACGACGTACGTGTCGCTAGGGCAGCCGGCGCACTCGAGGAGAGTCTGCGTGAGGCCCTCTGTGCAGTACTCGTACGGCAGCCCGGACATGATGATGCAGGAGTGCCGGCAGTGGAAGCGGCCCGCCGTCAGCTGTACCGGCACCGTGACATCCCCCCCATCGGGCAAGGCTCGCAGCCTGACCAGCTGATCCTCAGCTGCTGCATGCCGCGCCATAGCCGCCTCGGGGACCGTGTTGAACCAGAGCTCCAGCCGGCTGTTTGCTGCGCCGGGCAACCCCACGGGGTTGACGCCGGTGATCTGCACCGGTCCGAAGTGAGCCATCAAGGCTCTGGTGACTTTGTTGTCGGCGTTCACCAGCGTGATGGGCATGTAGCTGGCTGGGGACTCCTTGTCAACTCCCTTCCCTTTGTACATGAGAGTGATGCGGCCCTGTAGCAGCGATGGCGGTAGCGCTGGACCGACGCCACTGCTGAAAAGCTGCTGCAGCATGTTTGTGAGCTCCTGCCCCAGCTCGGACCAGAATCGAAGCTAGAACTCGAACGGGATGCCATCCAGCCTAGGCGCCTTGCCGCGCGGATGTCCAGTGCCTCAGCAGCTCATCTAGCTCATCCTGGGCCTCCTGCGAGACCGGCTGCGCCGCGAAGAGGCCTGCAACCGACCGTTACTGTAGTGGGCCCGCAGGACATCGCCGCCGTGGTCTCGCCCTGCTGGGTGGTCCAGCACCACCCGCGGGGTGCCGGGTGCTGATCCGGCTTCGATATCAGCCAGCGACCCATCCGCGCTGGTAATTGGCCTGAGGTGGCAATGTGAGTGAAGCGCGTGCTGGTCGCACGCTTTTCAGAACACATGCATGCGGTGGATGGAGTTCCTGTCCAGGTTCCATTTCACATGGCAGTATAGGCCAGGCCGCACTAACGTTGCGGATCCGCTGAGTCGTGATCCGAGTTTCGCAGCGATGCGCGCAAAGCTGAACGTAGTGACTAGGTCGCGAGCCTCTCGGCAGAGTGCCGAAACGGCTGAAGCGCCTGTGAGGGTCGTGCCCGAGCCTGATCCAGAACCAATGGAAATTGATGAGCCTGTCGCGCCCTCAGTCGAATCTGTTGAGTCCTCCTGAAGCAGACTGCTCATTGACGGGTACAGTAAGGATCCTTGGTTCACGGTGCCTGCAAATGTAGAGAAGTTGCAGCATAGAGATGACCTCTGGTTCAAGGGCAATCATGTGGTTGTCCCAGATGCAGATGATCTGCGTGCATAGCTTCTCAGAGAGATGCATGATGCACCGTACAGTGGCCAGATAGGAATATATCTAAGACATGCAGAGCTGTCTCGCGTCTGTACTGGTGGCCCAGAGTCGGTTGTGACGTGAAGGAGTTTTTTTTTTTTTTTTTTTTTTTTTTTAAAGGGGGAGCCCCCGCTATTACATAGGTGCCAATCGCACGCTTCCCAGCACGCATGCAATAGGATATTTGGGGAAACCTGTCAGAGTTGGGGCACGCAGAGCACTCCCGCAGGAGGATAATGCGATACCTAAGAAAAGCGCAAGCATGAAGGCATACCACAGAAAGGCAACAGAAAGGCTCCTAGCGATGGACATGTCCCAAGCACCAGAGGGCAACCTCATCCCCAGAGGCGCGCTCCAGCCCGCCGGCAACGCAACACCGCTGAGGTGACGTTGGAGGACCCACGGGGCAAGCCTAGGGCTTGCAGCTGGAGGCAGGGGTCACAGCAAAGAAGGCAATCATCAATCACTGGCAGGCAATTATGGATGTGCGGGCAACCAGTGGTGGAACAGACATGAAAGGCACGTTGATACGGTTGGCCGACAGGGATAGAACAGGATCGCGTTCGGACCCATTACCACTAGGGGCCGCTCGGGGCTGGCAAAGTGACCCTAGGGTTTAGGGTTTAGGGTTTAGGAGCTTTGCGCCTCTCCTACCTCTAACCTTTGCCAGCGCGGAATGGGGCTCCGAGTCACGTGCTTCCACTGGTCGAGGGACCTGTCGAGCTCGGCCCAACACGGCCCCGGGGGTGCCTCCTTCACCCCTGGGGCACTGGCCTCGCCACCCAGTGCCGGTGGCCTCGCCCACCACCGGACGTGTTTGCGCGGCTCACCCCTTGGGTATCCCTCGGCCAGACGGATCCATCGTGCGCCCCGCTACCTGTGGAGTACCGTGCCGGAGAGCCAGAGCGTTGGCGCAAGCTTACAGAAGACCACCCTGCCCAGGGCTTTAGGCTATCAATAGTTTTCCAGTGATCCTCCGATGTTTCTGTCTCACCGGCAGCCCCAACAATCCCCTTGGCCTGTCATCCGTGGCCTTCTGCCTTAGTGTCTGTCCTCCTCACCATTCACAGTAGTTCATTGAAGGCTATCTGAAGGGTTTAGGGTTTCCAACCCCAGTATCCACCCTTGAACCTGAGCGGGTGTCTAGGACCTTGGACATGATGCCTCCTGCCTATCCCCGCCTCCAATGTGGTGGGTGTGTGTATCTGGTCGAGTTCTCACCAGCCTACCTGTTTTTCGCCTCATTTGCGGCTTCATATCTCCCATATGCCACCGTTTGCTTGTGCCCCACCTTGCTGGCAGATTGAGGCATTTTTTTTTTTAGCAACACCGCTGAGGTGACGTTGGAGGACCCACGGGGCAAGCCTAGGGCTTGCAGCTGGAGGCAGGGGTCACAGCAAAGCAGGCAATCATCAATCACTGGCAGGCAATTATGGATGTGCGGGCAACCAGTGGTGGAACAGACATGAAAGGCACGTTTATACGGTCGGCCGACAGGGATAGAACAGGATCGCGTTCGGACCCATTACCACTAGGGCCGCTCGGGGCTGGCAATGTGACCCTAAACTATGCCTCAATCTGCCAGCAAGGTGGGGCACAAGCAAATGGTGGCATATGGGAGATTTGAAGCCGGAAATGAGGCGAAAAACAGGTAGGCTGGCGAGAACTCGACCAGATACACACACCCACCACATCGGAGGCGGGGATAGGCAGGAGGCATCATGTCCAAGGTCCTAGACACCCGCTCAGGTTCAAGGGTGGATACTGGGGTTGGAAACCCTAAACCCTTCAGATAGCCTTCAATGAACTACTGTGAATGGTGAGGAGGACAGACACTAAGGCAAAAGGCCACGGATGACAGGCCAAGGGGATTGTTGGGGCTGCTGGTGAGACAGAAACATCGGAGGATCATTGGAAAACTATTGATAGCCTAAAGCCCTGGGCAGGGTGGTCTTCTGTAAGCTCGCGCCAACGCTCTGGCTCTCCGGCACGGTACTCCACAGGTAGCGGGGCGCACGATGGATCCGTCTGGCCGAGGGATACCCAAGGGGTGAGCCGCGCAAACACGTCCGGTGGTGGGCGAGGCCACCGGCACTGGATGGCGAGGCCAGTGCCCCAGGGGTGAAGGAGGCACCCCCGGGGCCGTGTTGGGCCGAGCTCGACAGGTCCCTCGACCAGTGGAAGCACGTGACTCGGAGCCCCATTCCGCGCTGGCAAAGGTTAGAGGTAGGAGAGGCGCAAAGCGTCTGGTAGGCAATCTGTGGTCCCAGGGCTCTAAGGCAAAAAGGGGTCTCAGACAAGGAACGACAGGCCGGGCTTTGCCGGGGTGGGATCGGGACTGGTGAAAGGTGAGTCATCCGTGCCTGACTATGGTATGACGAAGGCTCTTAGCGCCCAGGTGCCCAGAGCACCTATCGCAAAGGCCCTCCTAAGAGAGGGTGTGAGTTCAACACAAGAATCGACACGAGCGGGTGTCATGGCAGAAGGCCAAATGAGAGCATGGTCATACAGATAGCCAAGTTAGAGCCGTGGCCGGCTGGGTACAGTGAATGGTGGATCGGAAGCGTCACGCTGGAAGCGGCACGGGATGCTGGGCACTCCAGTGGATGACAGGTTGCGCGCCCGGCAGCTCCTCCAGCGCGCAGAGGACCGCGCGGTGGCACCATCGCGCCGCGAACTGCTCCCTGGTGATCATCGGGTCGCGTCCGCGAAGCCAGTCGCTGAGCACACCTGCTGTCTGCCGGACGCTGACGGTCGCGAGCCGCCAATCGGCAAGCAGGGCCTTCTTGCAGGAAGACAGGATGCGAGCCGCAACCGCTCCGGGGGTGATCGCCGCCGCATCTGGCTGGTGGCGGCCGCGCTGATATGCTGCCCACAGCTGACAGATTGTAGCGAGCCGCAGGCGATCCCAGAGCTGCCTGAGCTGCCGCGGCGGTCCCCAGATCCTGGTGTCATCGGCGAGAAGAAGGTCGGCGCTGCGCGGTGGCGCGTCGTCTCCGGTCACCGCGGCCCATGTCGCTGCGAACCAGTCCCACACCCCGGCGGCGAGAGGGCAGATGATGAAGACATGGGTGAGTGTGGCCAGCTGACCTGCACAGCTCGGATGCGGGCAAACGTGACCGGCGGGATCGGCGCGGTGGACGTGACGCGAGAAGCCGCCGACGAAGAGCTGGCCATGCAGCAGCCTCCACGCTGTCACGCGCTGCCGCCGGTCCAGATGGGAAGCGTGCACCACTTGCCACACATGAGCCCAAGGTGCTGATGGGTCTGCTGTGACAGCAGCAGCAGGATCAACAGTGACATCTGCTCCCTGTGGCACTGGTGAAGGGCCCGCTGGCGCGCCCGCAGGCCCGCCGCGGTCCCGCAGCGGAACCGGACGTGGCTGCGGCGCAGCCATCCAGATCGCCCAGGAGGAGGGATCAGGCTGCCCTCGAGGCCTCTTGCCTAAGACCTGCGACGCGGTACCAGCAGCTGCAGCCCTGGCCTCCCATCGCGCCTCGAGCGCCCGAAGGCCGCTGCGCTGATCATCTGTGGTATCAGCCCAGATGGCTGGTCGCAGCGGGCCCGCCGGGCTGGCCTCCCCCTTGCTGATCCTGTGAAGCACCTGTCGCCGCGCGGTGGCCTCCCTCACCACAAACTCATGTGCCGGCCGCGTGCCGAGCCCCCAAGCCTGAGGGTCCTGTACCTGGGATCCCCAGAGGCCAAAGAAGTATAGTGTGGGCGGCGGTGGTGGCGGTGGCTCCGGCAGCTGCTGCTCCCACTCCAACTGCTCCCCTGGCTGCTGCTCCACCTGCAGGTGCACCTGCAGGTGCTGCTCTGGGTGCAGCTGCTCCGCGTGCTGGCGCTGCTGACGTGTGCCGCTGCGTGGATGCCAGGGCCTGGTGATGTCCCAGTGCTGAACCAATGCAGGCTGCGCGGCCGGAGGAAGGAAGGCGTGCATGGCTGCAACGCCTCCGTCCACTTGGCACAAGGGCTCCTGTGCTGGACTCGGCGATCCGACGGGTCCGGCAATGCGCACCACATAGCGGCCGGTGGCTGCACCTGAATGAGCGCTCTCCAGGCTGCTGGCAAGGCAGCCAGGAGGATGGGCACGCGCTCTCGCACCATCCGAACCGGATGCTCCGGGCCGCGCACGACATCGCGCAGGTGGCTGATCCTGACCAGGCCAAGCCTGGCCCAGTCCTCCCAGGCAAAGGGCTGCCTGACTGCATCTGTGAGCTGCCTGTTGAAGAACAGTGGCTCACCCATGACTGCGTCGTAGCCGATCGCTTCCGGCTTCCGCAGGTGATGGGGCCGCAGCTGCTGGTAGGCATGCAGGTACTGCCGGACGCGCTGCGGGGCCTCCACATGCTTCGCTGCAAAGGTGGAGAAGAGCAGGAATCTTCCCAGCTGCCAGATGTGCTGCCGCCGTGCTGACACCGTGCCGGGTTCCTGCGCTGCCAGCCAGGCAGTGCTCCTGTACAGCCAGTGGTCGAAGTAGGCCTTCCAGGCCAGCTGTTCCGGCTCCAACAGCCTGCCCACCACCTTGGCCTGGAGAGCCAGGATCTGGGCCTTGATGTCCACCAGCGCGATGCCGCCGTGTGCGGCCGCGCGGAAGCAGACGTCCTTGCTTGGGAACAGCGCCGCCGCTGCGCCAGGGGTCACCGGCCGGTTCGCCGCGACGAAAGTGTGGATGGCTCTGCAGAGCCTCTGTAGCAGGTCTTGTGGCACCGGTATGAAGGTGGCATGGTAGGTGACCATGGAGGCCAGCACCTGTTTTGCGACGTACGCTCGGCCCAGCAGGCTGAGTCTGAAGCCGGACCAGCGGGCGATGCGGGCCTCCACCTTCTCAATGATGGCTGTGTATAGGGCTGTGGCAGCTGCAGCTGGCTGGGTGGACAAGGGAATGCCCAGGTGCTTGACGCCGTCGCTCGAAGCCGCGAAGGTGACCCCCGTGACTGGATCGGGCCCGGCGAGATGGCTGAGGCTGCCAAGCCCTAGGGCCTGGCTCTTGCTGCGCTGCAGCCTGGTTCCTGTGGCTGCGCAGTGGAGGCCCACGCTGGCCCCCAGCACGATCTGAGCATCCCGGGGAGTCCGCGCGTGCACGCTGGTGTCGTCCGCATGCTGGTGCATGACTGGTGCTGGCTCCCCTGAAGGCAGTCGGATGGGCTGGAAAGCTAGCTGGCCTGCAAGCATCCTGGCATGCGCGGCCATCGGCTGCGCGGCAAGCACAAACAGCAGCGGCGAGAGGGGGCTTCCCTGGAAGACGCCGGAGGCCACCGGGAAGGCATCGGTGTGCCAGCCGTTGAAGGCCACTCGCGCGGTCGTGCCGGAGTGCAGGATGTGCACCCACCGCTGCGCACCGGGCCCGAAGCCCACCGCAGCCATGCACCGCTCAATCCAGGCCCTGTCAAGGCGATCGAAGGCCTTCTCGAAGTCCAGGAAGACCTGCACGCCTGGCTGGTGTGTGGCCTCCAGGTAGCTGATCTCCTCCAGGTGTGCCAGCACGTTGTCCCCCGCCCAGCGCTTAGGCAGGAAGCCTGTCTGTGTGGCATCCACCACCTGATTCAGCAGCGGCCCGATCCGGCTGGCGATCGCCCGCGCCGCGAGCTTGTAGTCGGTGTTGAGCAACGTGATGGGCCTGTAGCTGGCTGGAGACTCCCTGTCTGCCCCCTTCCCCTTGTACAAGAGAGTGATACGCCCCTGCGTCAGCGGTGGCGGCAGCGCCGCTTCCCCGCCGCCGCCGAAAGCTTCCTGCAGCATCCCTGCCAGCTCCAGCCCTACCACAGGCCAGAAGCGCAGGTAGAACTCATATGGCAGGCCATCCAAGCCCGGTGCCTTGCCGCGCGGCAGGCTCCGGAGGGCAGTCTCCAGCTCTGCGACCGACACGCTGCCATCACCGCGCTCTCCTTCTGCCGCTGCAGCTGCCTGAGGGGACAAACGCTTGTCCACTGCCTGCAGCAGCTCATCCTGGGCTGCCAGCGACACCGGCTGCGCCGCGAAGAGGCCTGCCGCCTCGTCGCCACTGTAGTACTCCCGCAGCACCGCGCCGCCCCGATCCCTGCCGGCTGGGTGATCCAGGACAACCCGTGGGCTGTCAGGGGCTGGACCTGTCCTGAGGGCCATCAACTCTGTGCGGCCCTGCCGCTCCCGGGCCAGGTGGTGGAACCAGAAGGTGGACTGCTCACCGTAGAACTGCCATACAATCCCAGCCTGGAGTGCTGCCCCCTTAGCTGCCTCCACATTGAGGCCCTGCAGAAGGTGGTGGGCATCCTGCCATGCCAGAAGGGTGTCTGGTGCGGGCCGCCGGGTGAACGCCGCGAGCGCTGCGCGGCTGTCAGACTCCAGAGCCCGCTGAGAGGCCCGGCGCTCCGCTGCGAGAGCCCAGGAACGCTGCATGGCCATATCTTTGACCTGCCTCTTCAACTCCACCCACCTGGTGCCCTGCGTGACGCCCTCTCCGAGCGGGTGTGCGGCAAGATACTCCGGAATCGCTGCCGTAACGCGATCGCAGAACGGCTGATCGTCCAGAAGATGAAGGGGCAGCCTCCAGGCTGCAGAGCCATACAGTGTGCTGGCTGGAGCTGTAAGGCTCAGGCTGACCCCCAGGTGGTCTCCTGGATAACCAAGAACCTGCCCGATCGCTCGCGGCTCCCGGCTGACCCGCGCCCGCAGCGTCTCCGAGACCAGCCAGCGGTCGAGCCGGGCAGCTGACTGACCTGTGGTGGCAACGTGGGTGAAGGCACGACTGCTGGGGTTGAGGTCACGCCAGACATCGTAGAGCTGATGCTCAGTCTCCACGAGCCGCAGGCCGGTCCAATATCCATGCGTCCGCTGACCGGGCTGCCCGGCGGCCATGTCCTGCTGGCCTGCAATACAGTTGAAGTCCCCTCCCACCAGAAGGCAACGTGCTGCTGGCAGGCTGGGCAGCAGCTCCTGTGTGTAATACTGCTGTCGCTCCGCTGCGGCCGCAGGCGCGTACACGGAAGCTACCGTGTAGGGCTGGCCACAATAAGTGAAGTCCACTAGTAGGGTGCGTCCGGTGGTGCTGCAGTGACGCACCGTGATGGCTGCTGTGGAGGCTGTGGGTCTTAGTAAGACCGCTACGCCGCGTGACTGGGAGGTGAAGTGGCACCAAAACGCGGGCCCGCTCCAATTGCAGCGAAGCCCGGCAGGCCCCTCCTGCGCCCATGCTGTCCCCTCCTCTGTAGAGCTGTGGTGGGTCTCCTGAAGGAGGATGATGTCCCACCTGTCGCGCTCCAGAAGGTTGAAGAGGCAGCGCCTCTTGTCTCTGTCCCTGAGGCCGTTGACGTTGAGGCTGAGAAGGCGCAGGGAGGGCGATCGGGAGCGAGTCATGGCTGCGAGGGCCGCCGTGCCGGCGGGCCCCCACTGCGAATGCTCCTGGAAATCTTGTGCTCTACCCGCTGCCGCTCCTGCTGTTGCCCCTGCTGCTGTAGCCACCACTCTGTAGGCTGATGCCGCGTACGCGCTGAGCGCCACGGAGCCGGCAGCCCCGCTAGTGCGACCTGCGCCGCACGCTGCGCTGCGCGCGCTGCGGCTGCTCGCGACTCAAAGCCCGGCGGGACGGTGGGTCTCCCCTGCTGACGTGCAATGGGTGCTGCTGGGACCTCTGCCGGCTGCGCTAGGTCCTCCGGTGTCAGAGCCGGCAAGCCGTACGAGTCGTCCGGCAAGCTGTCTGCTCCATGGATGCGACGCAGAGCATCGCAGAGGAGCTGGTGCCGCAGCTCCCTATCTGCTGGTGCATCCCCTCCCGACACGAGCGCGAGTGGTGCATCGCTGTGCAGCCGGCGAATCGCTGCCGCGCTGTCTGCGGGGGAGAAGTGTGTATGCCCTGCCAGCCACTCCAGGCACTCCTCGATACGCTCAATCGGGACGCCGCTGAGGTCCAGGTGCGGAGGGCGACGGTGAGCCGTCTGGGGTGGATCCTCGGTGTGAGGCAGATCCCAATCCATGGGGGTGGCTGCACCTTTATCGCGCACGCGCGATATCCTGCGTCGCAACTCTCGCTGCGGCACCGAGTATGCCTGTGTCTCCCACTCCATCGGTACCGGCGGCGGTGGCGGCGGCGGCGTGTCTTCCTCCATGTCTGTCAGTGCCTGTCTAGCAGCAGGGAAGACCTGTGCACTTCGCGGAGGGGTGCAGTCCATCGGAGTAAGCGGCTGCGTGTCTCCAGCGGGGCGAAAACGCGGGCCTAATCGCGCTACACTGATGGAGCCAGACGCACCCAGGCCAGAGCGGTCGCCACCGGGCGCGCGGCTGGCTTGTACGCGGGCCTCCAGCTGCTGCAACTGGGCACTGGGTGCTGGCTGTGTCGGCTGCGCCGCGGCTGCGGTGCGCGTGTGGGCCTGCGCAGCGCGCTGCCGCTGACGGATCGGTCGAGGCCCTGAGCGGCGCGACGGCTCCGGAGCTGAGCGCTGAGACTGGAAGGAGGATGGCTGGCTGGGCTGCCGCAGCTGCCCCGGCCGCGTGATATTGATCCGGGTGTCACCGTCGATGAAGAACCGCTTTGGTAAGCGGCCCAAGTGCCGGTCCTCATCCGGCGTCTGGATGTATGCAAGGCACGCATTCCCGTTGCCGACGCCATGGGTGCCCACTGCCAACGGTCCTGGCAGGTCGCCGAGGAATTCGCCGCGAACAACGTATGTGTCCCTGGGGCAGCCAGCACAGTCCAGAAGGGTCTGAGTGAGACCCTTTCTGCAGTACTCGTACGGCAGCCCGTGGATGATGATGCAGGTGTGCTGGCAGTGGAACCGCCCAGCAGTGAGTTGCACCGGCACCGCTACGTCTCCGCTGCCCGGCACTGCACGCAGCCGGACAAGCTGGTCCTCCGCTGCCGCATGCCGCGCCGCAGCTGCTGCCGGGACCGTGTCAAACCAGAGCTCCACGCAGCTGTCAGCTGCGCCGGGCGATCCTCGCTGCTTGACTCCCCCGACATGCGGCGCGAAGTGAGCGATTACTCCTCTGGTGACCTTTAGCTCCAGCTGCATGCGCTCCGGGCTGCCATAAGGAACCTCCTCCTGCAGCTCAAGCTGGCCCAAGGCAGCCAGTAGGAGTGGCTCGCTGTCCCCCCACCGGTCTGGCCGCGGCCGGAGAAGCCTTGGCCGGGGAGTGCTCAACGCATGGGCATCCAGGGCTCTCTGAGGCTCCAACTGCCATGACTTGACAGTCTGCATCGTGCTGATCAGGCTGGCCAGGTGGGGGACCCAAGTTGCTGGGCAACTGCTGCTGCTGCTGCTGTGCTCCTCTCTACTACCTTGTGCTCCCCTGTGCTGATTGCTCCTGCTGATTAGCTCTTTAGGGCGTCCACCGTCCGCCGAGGAGGTCTTGGGGCCTTGTTCAAGAGCTGTGGCAGCTCCCTACTAAAGGCCTTGAAAACCCCTCGGGAAGCCTACAAAAGAGGCTCGTGTGACCTCTTCCCCTGCCCCTATTTCCTCCCCGCACTCTTCCTCCCTTGTGACACTTCCCTCCTGCCCCTGAACCCTGTTTAGCTACCACTGGTTGTCAGTATGTGGAATGGTTTGGTGGCTGAAATGCATAAAGTACAGGCACAACTGTTTCAAGAATTCAGGAGAACAACATCGAATCCCATAATATATGTCCCGCAGCGAGTAACCATGGGGATAGTGGAAAAGTGTTAGTCGCTAGTGTAGAGTGAGGAAGGTGGCTGTGCGCATCTGGTCCAGTGGAGACGGGTAACATTCGCGTAAAATATGTATATATATTGTCGATGATGATAGTGGCTGAAAATAAGCTACATTGGAGGCTATCCGGACGTGTGAGCTCGCGGGATGGCAACTGTGTCGTGGTCGAAATGAGTAAATACGCACAAAAGTAGGCAAGTGGGGTATCGATCGAAAGCTGTGAACATTCTCTACACAATGCAAGTGAGAAACTTGAAGATGCTGGTGTATCGGTGGAGAAATCGTGTGAAATCGATGTGATGCAATCTGGAGACTTCTACACGGGAAGCTCTTCGTCGGGGCCTTCTCGCGGCACATCCATCGAGCAGATGCAGCAGGCCACCGCTGCCCGCATCCTCACTGCACAGATCAGGATGCCACGCTCACCCACGTCCTCATGACCTGCCCCCTGGCAGCGTCCGTATGGGACTGGTTTGCGGCCACTTGGGCAGCCATCACAGGAGAGCCCCCGCCGCCACGCAGCACAGACCTCCTTCTTGCAGACGACCAGCGGACCTGGAGGCCGGCCTCCCAGCTCGGGCCTCTCTGGCATCGCCTCCGGCTGGCCACCATCTGCCAGCTCTGGGCAGCCTACCAGCACGCACGGCACCAGCCGGATGCAGCGCAATCAGCGGGCGCGGTAGCAGCTCGGATCATCTCCTCCAGCAGGAAAGCCATCCTCGGCGACTGGCGGCTTGCAACCATCAACGTCAGGAACACAGCGGGCGTGCCCAGCGACTGGCTGCGCGGGCGCGACCCGAAACTGACGCGCGAGGAGTTCACGGCGCGCTGGTGCCATCGGGACGTCCTCTGCGCACTGGGCGCGGCGCCCGATGCGCAGCTTGTCATCCATTGCAGCGCACAACACCCGGTGCCGCTGCCCGCATGATTCTTCAAACTTCAAGAACCAGGCCTGCCTGGGCCTCAACCAGGCAAACCCTGTGACACCATGCTTTGTTGATGGCCTTTTGCCATGACACCCGCTCGAGTCCTCCACCGATTGAACAGCCTCGTTTAGTGATCCTTTTTGGCACATCCGGGGGCTTGGCACCCGTAGGCGTCCTCAGTGAGTTCTAGGCACGCACTCCGGATGACACACACCCCACCCCGGCTCAGACCGGCTTGCCTTCACCCATGTGTACCTGTGGATCACGTTAGGACCCTGGGGATGACAAGCATGTTGTTTTCGAGAAGTGCCTCCCCGTCTCCGTCCCCATCCTCTGCCACCGCGGAAAGGGGCCCCCAGTCACGCGGTACCACCGGTCGGGAGTCCCAGAGAGCACGGCCGGGCATGGCCCCTGGGGTTTCCTTTCTTTTTTTTTTTTTTTTTTAAAAGGGGAAGCCCCCGCTATTACACAGGTGCCAGTCGCACGCTTCCCAGCACGCATGCAATAGGATATTTGGGGAAACCTGTCAGAGTTGGGGCACGCAGAGCACTCCCGCAGGAGGATAATGCGATACTTAAGAGAAGCGCAAGCATGAAGGCATACCACAGAAAGGCAACAGAAAGGCTCCTAGCGATGGACATGTCCCAAGCACCAGAGGGTAACCTCATCCCCAGAGGCGCACTCCAGCCCGCCGGCAACGCAACACCGCTGAGGTGACGTTGGAGGACCCACGGGGCAAGCCTAGGGCTTGCAGCTGGAGGCAGGGGTCACAGCAAAGCAGGCAATCATCAATCACTGGCAGGCAATTATGGATGTGCGGGCAACCAGTGGTGGAACAGACATGAAAGGCACGTTTATACGGTTGGCCGACAGGGATGGAACAGGATCGCGTTCGGACCCATTACCACTAGGTGCCGCTCGGGGCTGGCAATGTGACCCTAAACTATGCCTCAATCTGCCAGCAAGGTGGGGCACAAGCAAACGGTGGCATATGGGAGATATGAAGCCGCAAATGAGGCGAAAAACAGGTAGGCTGGCGAGAACTCGACCAGATACACACACCCACCACATTGGAGGCGGGGATAGGCAGGAGGCATCATGTCCAAGGTCCTAGACACCCGCTCAGGTTCAAGGGTGGATACTGGGGTTGGAAACCCTAAACCCTTCAGATAGCCTTCAATGAACTACTGTGAATGGTGAGGAGGACAGACACTAAGGCAGAAGGCCACGGATGACATGAAGGTTGGAAGGTAGGGCGGGCATGCTGGCGCAGTTCGGGTTAGCCACGGGGATTGTTGGGGCTGCTGGTGAGACAGAAACATCGGAGGATCACTGGAAAACTATTGATAGCCTAAAGCCCTGGGCAGGGTGGTCTTCTGTAAGCTTGCGCCAACGCTCCAGCTCTCCGGCACGGTACTCCACAGTTTTCCCTTCTGGGGCACTGGCCTCGCCCACCAGTTCTTGTGGCCTCGCCCCCACAGACATGCTCCGCCGGCTCTCATGTACCGGGTTCTCCCGGTCGGGCGGCTCAGTCGTGCGCCCCTCAACCTGTGCACCTCTTCACCGGCGCGCTGGAGAGCTTTGACGCTGCCACCCATTCAATGAAGCCCATTCTCCCCAGGGTCCTGGTAGCAGATTCCTGTGTTTTCTTGTCTCCAACCCCATTAGAATCATTTCATCAAGTGTGTCCATCACGTGTCCTTCCCCTCACATTGTGTCATCCGGTGCATTCCTCATTGTTCCTGTGCATTCATGACTCTCATGTGTGATCATTTTTTTTTTTTTAAAAGGGGAAGCCCCCGCTATTACACAGGTGCCAGTCGCACGCTTCCCAGCACGCATGCAATAGGATATTTGGGGAAACCTGTCAGAGTTGGGGCACGCAGAGCACTCCCGCAGGAGGATAATGCGATACTTAAGAGAAGCGCAAGCATGAAGGCATACCACAGAAAGGCAACAGAAAGGCTCCTAGCGATGGACATGTCCCAAGCACCAGAGGGTAACCTCATCCCCAGAGGCGCACTCCAGCCCGCCGGCAACGCAACACCGCTGAGGTGACGTTGGAGGACCCACGGGGCAAGCCTAGGGCTTGCAGCTGGAGGCAGGGGTCACAGCAAAGCAGGTGATCATATTGAGCGGGTGTCTAGGACTGAGAACATGGTACCTCCTGCCTATCCCAACCCACTGCTGGGTTGGTGTGTTGTATGAGCTTGCCATGCTTTGTCACTGACTTTGAAGAGATTAGCTTCCCGCAAACCAGTGGGCGTTATTGACTGCCCGACTTAGTCATCGCGTTAGGCCCTATTGTTACCTTCCTACATTCCATCGACGATGATTGATTGTCCTTGATTGTCTGGACACGATTGCCATTGTGACCATGCCGTTTCCCATTGCTTTGATGTTCCTTGGGTATCGCCCTATCCTCCTGCGGGAGTGTTTTGCGTGCCCCAAACTCGGTCAGGTTTCCCTAAATATCCAATTATGTGTGTGTTGGGAAGTTCGCTACCCTCATGCCTGTAATAGAGGGGTTCTCCTAAAAATAAAAAAATAAACCTGCGGCAGAGAACTAGGACACTGCCTGTCGCACCCCTTATGTGCTACCCAGATACTTGTGTACCATCAGGATACGTTGAGCATCGTTTGCATCTGCACAGGTTTTGAAGCTTTAGAATAAGTGAAATTACTCATGCCTGTCAAGGTAAATTTGAGCATTTGCACTTGTGTAGATGCAACATTTTGAGAGAATGGAAAGCAACCTTCTACATTGCTCTGCTTGCAAGCATGTTCTGCAAATTTTCTGGATAATATGTATGCTGATGCCACCCTGCATTCCAAGTCCACATTTGTTGCAGTTGGCAAATTTTTGCAGAGTGATGGAAACAGAGCAGCAATTTGTTCCGCGATAAAGTCCCATCATCACATGACTGCCTTACACACGCTTCAGTATGTCACATTTCAAAAGCCTGATTGCGTCTCAGAGATAGGCCATATATAGCAAACTTGATCCTTATTCATATGCTCATCCACTGGTTGCATGGCATGCATGATAGACTCCAGCATGTGACTACGATCCCTTGCCGTGGGCATCCCTCTGTGTGATGAGGTAGATTGAAAAACTTTTCGCTGGGACTCTTGCTGTTGTTGAGGCAGCTTGACAACAACACCATAGTTCAGTGTTGCAACTACCATGCGTTCAGCTGCAGCAGGTGTGTCAGTCGACCCATGTTGCTGCCGCCCAGGGCTCAAATGCCCCTTTTTCTTCTTTCTCAGTGACAAACTTTCCCTTCCTCTATGTCTGTCCCTTGACGACCGTGGCGAGCGCAGAGACAGACTGATGTCTGATTGCTGACCTTATCATAGTCCGAATCGCTCTTGAAAGCTACCTTGGGAGTTGTGCATTTATATCTTCATTCTCATCGTTGCCTGTGCTCCCAAATGATCTGTCCGTCTCCATCTGCACACATCCACTACACAGTTGACGGACAAGATGAGCGAAGTGCATATACGTTCGTAGTGCACAATAGCTTGGAAACCTTGAGGCGGCAGTCATACCGCTGCGAGCAGATGGAATCTGTCAAGCGCCCCTTGAAAAAATGGACGGATGACATTGCATTCTGCTGCTGACAGATTGTTCAGCTTCACTGTCATAGGCCCTTGCAAGACTTGCAAACCAGCATTGATCTTTGACAAGCGGACTTTGCAGATGTCACCTACAAGCTCCTTGACCTGCACATACACAAATCATCATTTGCAATTGTCCTGCACAAGATAAATAGCCCTATGCCAGTGCAATTTTCAAGGAGGTCACCTTCAGTAGATTAGAGCCAAATGCTTCCTTGGCATGCAGAAACAATATCCTTGAGATCTCAAGGTAATGGAAAGGAAGTCTATGGAACACAGCAGCTGTATTCTTCTCCTGATCCAGTGCTTCTGTTACACAAAAGATGAACAGATAAGTTCATTTCGGGACAAGAGGAAGACGCCGGAGACTAAGCTAGAGCAATGGCGCAGAGGAGGGCATTACAAGGAAAAAATTCCATTCCATTGGCAGCGCAAGTGGCAACAGACGCCACATTGCGTGCCATGCTCAATACGGTGTCTCACAATGTTTGTATTGCAGGCACTGGACATGTGTCAGCACACCTTGCAGTGTTTCAGTATTCAGCCAGTCTGGCTGCAGGATTCTGCAATTATTGCGCTTCTGAAGAGCCACGGCAAGCCAGATAGGCACCTCAACTGGAATGTTTGGCTTGAACGGCCCGAATGCGCCCTGCAACCATCAAAACGCCCTGATCTCTGCCACCTTGGCGCCTCAGGCTTCCCTTGAGTTTCAGTTGAAAGGTAGAATGTGAGAAACGCACCCCGATGCACCTGATACTGCTATGACTGAAGGTTGGCAGCGAAAAATTGGGCACTATCTTCACGATATCATCCTCCGCAAAAAACTCCAGCTGCATTATGAGAGCACGCCTGTCAGTACTTCTGCAATGCCTTGGACTGGAGGCATTAAGATGCCATCACCTGTTTCAACCATATTTAAACAGAGGAAAAATGACAGTAAGGTGATCAGGTAATAAAACAATGACCGTCCTCATAGGTTGGAGGCAGAGCAAGGCACAATCTTACATCATAGGGACTGAACGACGAGTCCACCGGCATGCAGACAGACGCGTGTCACCCTTTACTTGATGTGTAGTGCTTCCAACAGTTGGCAGAATGACTATTTCAAGTCACTGAAAGCTCAAATTGGGTGGCTGAGAACTTTGCAAACTGTTTCAGGATGGAAGAGATACAGTCAGCTGGTTAAATGCAGGATTGCAGTGTGTCCCATTTATTTATGCACAAAAGCTAGACAGACGCTGCTACTCGCCAAACCGCAAGCTTCCAGAATCTGGAATCCAGAGTCTGCATTTGGAATGGATTTGGAATGGGATCCAGACCATTGGTCTATTTTATGGAACGAGTTTTGTTGGGTGTATTCTTGGGTGGATTAGGGGGTATGACCCTTGATGAAAGAAGCCAGGATTTGAGAAGTGTGATCAGGATGCTGACGTTTGGAAAACTCGGCTTCGATAGTGAGCACATGTCTGGGCTGAGAGATGCTGTCTTGAAGACCTTGCTCGGCAGGGGCAGATCAAGCCATGGGCATGCGTGGGGACACAAGCACACAGATACAGTATGTTCTTATGTTCAGACAATCAGGACTGCATTCACAGTTGCAGCATCCCGATGGCAGGGGCACATCACCGTCCAAGAAACCACGGTACAGGAATCTCCACGTTGTCTCGGCCTTGCTCGAATTTTCCTTGTGCCTGCAGCTATACGTATGCTTGCGCTTGTGCAGGGTGGATGCATGATACTGTTCGATGGGAAGGCTCTCAGGACTCCAGCTCGCTTTCCCTTGATCTTGCCAAACCGCGCCTTAGCACTAGCGGTCGCTGCAGAGTGGCAATGGCAGGTATTTTTCAGGCTCCAGATCACTTTTGCACTTCACATGATGCAAACCTTATACTGATGCCGTCGATGTGGACATACTGACGTGCATTATTTGATGCATCAGGATGACATGAAAATAAGGCCTTTCACCATGCCCCTCATGTCCTTGGCAGCCACAGCCATCGACCAGGTGCACTCCCTGAGCTTGGGGCTCCAACAATCCATTTTCATTGCATGCACATGGTCTTGCTGTCAGGTACAGATTACTGAGACAAGTCCATTCACTGCAGCCAAAGCACAGAAACCTCGTGGTCAACACCTTGCTGACATACCTGCACGCTGATTCTGCGTGTTGCCGGGATGCTCCAGGACCTTTGTCAGCCCGCCAAGCGCAGGTGATTGCCCTGTGAAAGAGTATTGAAATTTTGTACTGAGCGTATGCGGTCTGTGTGGTTGTTGTTCAGCTAGGCCATGAGCGGGCTTCGTTCTGTGCAGGTGTATGACCCTATTGTGGAGTGGGCTAGCAAAGCTCTGCAGACCGAAATCACGATATCTGACAGCATCTTTGGGTCGGAGCAGCCTGAAGAAGCAATTGAGGCAGTGCGCTGCTACTTGGAAGGTTTGGGCACCCGTGCACCCCCGTGCAATTTTCATTTGGCCATCCCTGCAACCACATGCTGGAACCTAACAGCTGCATCGGTGCAGGCCTCTCTGCATGGCAGCTCGCGGCAACAGAGAGACTCATTGGGACGTGCAGATCCCTTCTTGTGGGTCTGGCAGTATCTGAGGTTCGTGTGAACCCTGGTACATATTGTGGTGGATGCGCATCATCATGCCGTCATTACAAATGCTATCTGCCAAGAAATAGATTGTGTGAGTGTGCTCCTGACCTGTACACAGGGGCACCTGGACCTCACACAGGCTTTGCAGGCGGCACGTCTGGAGGAGGAGTTCCAGATTGACAGGTGGGGACTGGTAGAAGGTGGGCACGATGTGGACCAGGCCAATGCCAAAGTGCAGCTGGCTGCCCCATCCTTGTTCCTCCGATTGCTCCAAACATCGAAATGATGTGCTCACTGGTTGAGGCAGAGGCTCATGCAAGCACTTGGAGCAAGCAAAGGACTGCTCCATGATCGCGCCAAAAACCACTGCAATGCTCATGGGCCATCTCTTTTCAGTGCTGATTGGCCCTCGCCGCGTGTAGCAACTTGTGCGTGCAGGTTGCCACCATGAATTGGCTCCTCTTGAAACTTACAGGCTGTACCTCTTTGTTGCTTGACTTCAATTGATCATTTCCCTTTGCGATGCCATTCAAAGCAGCCACTCTAAACGAACTCCAGGATCTGTCGGTGTTAAACTGATGAGCTGAGTGTTTGGTGAGCAAATGCTTGCGACTTGATGGCATTGCTGTCTAGCGCTAGGCTAGCCTTCACAGGCTTGGCACTTATAGACAGCTTTGGAGGACCGTGCGTTGAACTGGAACAAGTCGCGTTGCAGCGACTGGCCTGCATGGGTGACCGCAGAGTTTGCAGTCCAGGTAATCCGCCAGATCTGGTGGGACCCAGTAGCCCAAGGGGCTGTTTGGCAAGCTGCATTGCACATGTATTGCGGGGCGGCTATCCCTGCCAGTGGAGTGGCGCTTGGATCTGCCGGATGCAACTGCAATATCACTCCAATGCACACGCAGTAGGCCTGCATTCAAATTACAAATGTGAAGTAGACTGCAGTGGCGCTTGCACGCAGTGCCGGAGATCAATGATTGAATCGTGTGTAGCTACGCGATCACGATGTCTGATCATTGTGTGCAAGCTTGCATTAAATGATCATCTCTAGAGCTTCATGCGTGGCTCAAGCTTGCAGCATATGGCATGTGAACGGGCTCTAAGATAGCCTCTAACAGATTCGTTAATCATGGTCCAGATCTTGAAAAAATTGTGCAGAGGGCTTGTCATGGCTTTGTAGTGGCTCCCAAGTTTGGAACAGAACATCTTCAAGTTGATGATGTGTTGATCAAGCGTTTTGCATGCACATCTGTTAATTGATAGTATGCCTGTCCTATCAATACTATTGATAATAGTATTGTTCCTGCTACAGATAGCATGCGACAGATTGCAATTCCTGAAGCCAAATGTTGCGCAAATCAACTTTAATTAAACCACCAGCAAGGAAGGGAATTACACAACAGAGATAGTTCATAGCCTGTCCTGAGGATATTTTGCAGGGGACTCTAAATTAACTCTAGTTAGTTTAGAGTCCCCTGTATTTTGGGGCCTGAGGGTGAAGATGGGGCACACCACCTATTACCCTAATGCTGTACCCTAGAATTTCCTTGAATCATGGTGCTCTGACCAGGCGGTCAAATTATTTCGGCCATTAATATTACTGTGTAGGAACGTCATGATGTCCCATAACCTGATGGCGAGTGGCGTCCGAATGCCCAGCTGCCAGGCCGGCACCCTTTCGTTCGTAACGAGCCGTGTGCAGATCGGGCAAGTTTTCTCCTGGATGAGAGTTTGAAACCGGATTAAAATGCATCTGGTGACATGAGCAACTTGACATGCAACAACGGGGCATTGAGCGGCCCTGATACGCCTGTTTGTGTTTTGCGATGGCGCAGGAGGCTCCATTTCAACACAGGGAGCCAACTCGCAAGACACCACATCAATATTTGTGGAGAGACGAGAAAACGATGCGGTACTATCACAGCGTCTGCAGTTGCAAGCACGCAGGTGCTTGGTCACCCCTTCTTTCTCTAGCTGTGTGCAGTGTCAACCTGGAAGCCAACAGGTCTTTCCTGACGTCCTTGCATATTTCGACGCAGAAATTTGCGGTCAGCACAGTGCCCACACAGCCGATTGAAGGCCAGAAGACAGGGACAAGCGGTTTGCGGAAGAAGACCAAGGTCTTCATGGGCGAGAACTACCTAGCCAACTGGTGCGGGCATTTGATCCTTGCGTTGCTAAGGATGCGATGGATTTATCCAGGGAATGCAGCTTGAACGTCTTGTGATACTACAGGATCCAGGCATTGTTCAACTCCCTGGGGGAGGAGGTGAAGGGCAAGACGATTGGCCTCGGAGGGGACGGCCGCTATTTCAACAAGGAAGCGGTTCAGACCATCCTCAAAATAGCTGCTGCAGCTGGAGTCAAAAAGGTATGATGGATGTTGGGTCCATGTGACTGTGACAACCGGCGTTGCTCTTTCCAGTGTCTGACTTGAGTGTGCATGCAGGTCTTTGTTGGGCGGGACGCCATATTTGCCACCCCAGCCATGTCGGCTCTGATTCGGCGCCGGAGCCTCTATGGTGAGCTGTTTTTTGGTGTCAATGCATCCACCATTTCCAAAAGTTCCCCCCTGGCTTGCCTGTTGGATCCACTTGGAGTTCCTTACTATCAATGACAGTCAGTCTCTTCCGAACAGGGGCCCTCATTATGAGCGCCAGTCACAACCCAGGAGGCCCAGAGGAGGACTGGGGCATCAAATTCAATTACAGCAGCGGAGAACCTGCTCCCGAGCGCATCACAGATGCAATCTACGGCTTCACCAAGAACATCTCCGAGCTCAAATTTGCTGACATTCCTGAGACGGACCTCTCGCAACTGGGCTCGCACACCTACGGAGACTTTGAGGTACGGATCCACCATGGTGGATTTGACTGCAGGCCTCTCGCGCCTGTCTCAATATGCACACCCGAGCAGATACCGCTGGTTGAAGCCCTTCGAACCGAGTGACTCAGCAGCTGTGTGCTTGTCAGGTGGAGGTCATCGACCCTGTGGAGGACTACTTGGCCTTGCTCAAGGAAGTCTTTGACTTTGACTTGCTGCGGGAGTTCATCAAGAGGCCAGACTTCTCTGTCGAATTCGATGCCATGCACGCTGTCACTGGGGCATACGCTGGACCCATCCTTGTCGATGCATTGGGAGCACCAGGATCCTCAATCAGGTGTGGCCTTTCAATCATATGCTGTGATGTTCTGCACCGATAATCGTCCCAAACTGTCTGGCTACAAGCACAAGGAGCGCCTTGAGCTGACCTTTTACTGCTCTTGGCAACAGGAATGGCACGCCATTGGAGGACTTTGGGGGCGGCCACCCGGACCCCAACCTCACATATGCACATGACCTAGTGGACTTGCAGTGGAGCGAGAATGCAGCTGACCTGGGAGCAGCCAGCGATGGTGACGGAGACAGAAACATGATCCTTGGAAACAAGTTCTTCATTACTCCATCGGATTCTGTGGCAATGATTGCTGCGAACGCACAGGAGTGCATCCCTTACTTCAAGTCTGGTCTCAAGGTGGGGTAACTTCTGTGCAGCATGCATGCACGCAACACCAGAATATCTGGCTGTTGATCAACAGTGACTGGTGTGCTATGGACAGGGCGTTGCAAGGAGCATGCCCACCAGTGGAGCCACTGATCGCGTTGCTGAGCAGCTGGGGCTGAAGTGCTTTGAAGTTCCGACCGGCTGGAAATTCTTCGGCAACCTCATGGATGCAGGTGCAATCCCCGCCTGACAGAATGAGCAGCAGCCTAACTTCAGTTGGTGCTGCTTTGATGGGCGCACATTGCGCACTCAAGACGGGATCTCAGGGAGTTCCCTCCCATGCAGGGCTGTGCTCCATCTGTGGAGAGGAGAGCTTTGGCACAGGCGCAGACCACATCCGTGAGAAGGATGGGTTGTGGGCAGTCCTTGCGTGGTTGTCCATCCTGGCCTACAGAAATAGAGATGTGCCGGTCGGAGGGAAGAAGGTGACAGTGGAAGACATTGCAATGGAGCACTGGGCGAAGTTTGGGCGCAACTTCTTCAGGTTGTCTTCTGAGCGTGACCTTGGGATCAGTGCTTTGCTCACGTGACCATCTGAAGGCCTGTCTACATAAGGAGTGTGCCAAATGGTGGAATTGTCATGCTTGCTCTGGGACAGAACATCATCTCATGGTTGTCAATCAGGCATGACCCTCGTGTGTGCCACCCATTATGCAGCCGGTACGACTACGAGGGAGTGGAATCGGAGGCCGCCAACAAGATGGTGGAGCATCTGCGCGAAGTGATGGCAAAGAGCTCGCCAGGGACAAAGCTTGGGGACTATGAGGTGCAGACGGCTGACGAGTTCAGCTACACAGATCCCGTCGATGGTAGCGTGGCGTCCAAGCAGGGCTTGAGATTTGTCTTCAACGATGGATCCAGGATTATCTTCCGCCTGTCCGGCACAGGGTCATCAGGAGCCACCGTCAGGTGCTCCACAGCATTCAAATCCATGTTTGATGCTCACGTGGTCAACGCTGAACATCTCCTCCTGTGTGCGTTGCAAGTGCTGACAGAGGGCTTGCTTGCAGGCTATACATTGAGCAGTACAGCAGCGACCCGTCGACCCACAAGATGGATGCACAGGAAGCTCTTGCGCCCATCATCAAGCTTGCTCTTGAAGTCTCCCAGCTCACCAACTTCACTGGCCGGGAGAAGCCTACTGTAATCACCTAGGCCCCAGCGGCATGGTCAGTGGGGTCTCTTTTCCAGGCGTACTGCTCCATGGGATCCATGGGATGCCTGAGGCACAGGACAAGGCTGAGGGCTCCCTGACGGCACGTAGAGCAGCATGCCCCTGGGCGGTTGAGAACAGTGTCGCTTTGAGCGGTTTGGTCTCGTTTTGTTGTTAATAACAGGCTGATGATTCTGATTGTTTTCGGCACATTGTCGGTCTATGAGTGCTAAAATAGTGCTGCGTAGTGATTCAATCAATCAGTTTATGTTGCCAGTACAGTTGGTGCCCTGCAGTGATGTTGAGGCATTATTTGGCAGCTGCTCCATCATGAAGGCTGCTAGACCACACACCTTCATTATATAGCGCATAGCAAGATCAGAATAACATAGTAGGATCCATGGCCATTGCTTCTGTGTTATGGATCATCAATTTTGATATATCTGCATGTCTTGCACTTCACCTTCTGTTGGAAGGAATCAAGTCGTCAACTTGTCAGCCCCAAACTTTCTAGATCTAGGGAAAATCTTCAATTGTCAGCTACGTGCCTGCGGAAGCGGCTTAGTGCACAGTCAGACTCTTGAGTTCAACCAATATCCGAGTTGCAAGATGTCAGCATACCATTTTCTCTAAGTTGGATTATAATCCAATTAATTAAGAGAAGGGAGAATGCAAGACAAGGCACTGCCTGGATTGCACTGCGCAGTGCAAGTGTGCCAGCAGTATATTAGGTGCATGAGGTCTAAACAAACATGCTAATTGCCTGCCACTTTTCATCATCTTTCCCATCTGCAACCCTGCCTGTGATCACTCCTCTGCTGCCTTTCCACTTGGATTGGCATATCACTTGTGCACAGGTGCTCCAGCCCAGGAATTAGGACTGCAGCTGCATCTTCACGGCCACGGTTCTTTCCGCCTGGGGCTGACCTCGCTCCTGCCCGTCTGTAGGTGTGCCCTCACCCTCATCTAGCCACACTTGCACAGTGTCACCGTGACACGGTATGTCATACGGTATGCATGTATGCAATGTGGTCATTTAGTGCTCCTGGGCCGGCGCCGGGGGATCATTGTATTGTTGTTACACATTGTGCACTTGCAAGGCAGCCCTTTCTCCTATCTCCTGGCGCTCGCTCTGCCTTGATGTCTGCATACCTCTTTCTCTAACCTGCCTGTGACCTGGGGAAGAGACAGAGAGGAAGCTGCCAACCCATGCGGGGAAGCTTCCACTCAGGACGTTGATGCCTATTTGGGCCTCATCACCCCCCTTATCTCGAGTGGACAGAATTTGTCCGGCACGTTAGAGACTCTGAATGGTCACACTTCATTAGCAGATTGATTCTCATTCCTCGACGGTGGTGAAGGGGCACACAGGATCTTTATCCTGTTCGGCGCAGGCAACATGGCGACCGCTTTCCAGTGTGATGCGTTCAGAGGGAACCTTCATGGTATTCATAGACAACAAATGGCTGCGTTTCGCCCAGTACGATATACTCCGTTTTTATTCCCATCGAATTCCCCGCTTCGTTGTGGCAAAGGTCTGAAATTCTGTATCTACGAAAGCAAGATGTCGATACCAAAAGAAAATACTAATAAGCCACTCCTTCTCTGTCACGCAGGCATTGAAAGCAAACAAACGTGCTAACCGCTCGATAGCAGTCAGAGTGTCTGCAGCTGCTACCAAGGAAGTTTTGATTCTAGGTGATCCTAGGTCACTTTTGTGGAGGAACATCACCTCTTTTTCGTGTAGTTGTATAAGTCGTGATCTCGAATATTCGCCTCCACCTTAATGATCAATCGCCTGCTGATCCAGGTGGTACCCGCTTCATTGGTGTTTACCTGGCACGTCAGCTTGTAGAGGCTGGGCACGGTGTGACCCTGCTGACGCGTGGCAAGAAGGAGGTCACCTACCAGATCCCAGATGACACGGACGAGTCGTACAAGGCTTACAAGTCAGCTGTCAAGCATATTGCTGCTGATCGGAAGGACAAGAGTATGCTTGACAGCCAGCTCGCTGGCAAGAAGTTTGACGGTGAGTTTGGCACCGGCGCCATTGTGAATGGTCAGCCATGTTGCTGACATACACAAGCAAGCGAGAATTTTAGATCATTCATCGTGTACACGCCTGACATGCTGCATGGCGCAGCTGTCTATGACATGAACGGAAGGGAGGCTGATGAGGCTGACCTCGTTCTTGGAGCTCTGGGGGATGTCGGCCAGTACATCTTCTGCTCATCTGCGGGGGTGTACCTGAAGTCATCGCAGATGCCGCACTTTGAAGTGGATGCTGTTGACCCCAAGTCACGCCACAAGGCATGTTGCTGCTTGCTCCATGACCCTGGCCGCAATGGCTCCACATTGGCAGCTGGGGACACTTTTGCAGAACACCTTTCTCACATTCAGTCTGTTGCATGGTGCTCACTCACAAGTTGGGTGCTTGGTACAGGGAAAGCTGAATACAGAAGCTCTTTTGGAGGAGAAGAATGTCAATTGGACTTCCATTCGACCGGTATACATATATGGTGAGGGGCTGCACATGTTGCAATGAAGTCACCTGTCCTTGACCTTAACAATGACCATGTCTGGCGAGATGACACCATGCGCTGCCCATGCAGGGCCCCTCAACTATAATCCCGTGGAAGAGTGGTTCTTCCACCGCATCAAGGAGGGCCGGCCCATCCCCATTCCCAACAGCGGCCAACAGGTCTGTGTAGTTCTGAACACTAGCGGTTGAAGGTCTCTAAAATCTAATCCTGCTGCTGAGTGGTGCGCCATGTGATGCGCCCAGGTGACCCAGCTGGGGCATGTGAAGGATCTGGCTACGGCGTTTGTCAAGGTGCTGGACAATGAGAAGGCGTCTCGCCAGGTCTACAACATCTCAGGGGAGCGTTTTGTCACGTTTGATGGCATCGCTAAGGCCTGTGCTGCCGCCGCCGGCGCTCCAGAGCCCGAGCTGGTCCACTACAACCCCAAGGACTTTGACTTTGGTGGCAAGAAGGCGTTCCCGCTCAGGGACCAACACTTCTTCACCTCCATTGCAAAGGTTATTATAGCATGCCTGTCCCATATGACACTTATGAGAGCCTTTTATGGAAACCCTGTGGATCGTCCCTCAAGCTCATGCCCTTGCTCAAGCAAAATATGTCTGGATGCTGCAGGCACAAGCCGACTTGGACTGGACCCCAGAGTATGGATTGGTGGATGGGTTGAAGGACAGCTTTGAGAAGGACTTTGGAAGGGGAACATTCAGGAAAGCCGCGGATTTCAGCACGGATGACATGATTCTGTCTGGGAGGTAGAGCGTCGCTACTGGAGAGGTCAGATAGCCGTGTCTGCCTGGAAGTCCTAAGGGCTTTCAAGTGGCTGGACCCACCGCCTGACATCCATGGTGAATATTCTGATGACTCGAGAACTGTCAAGTACTTTGGGAGTTCTTCAAGAGGATGCCGATCAGCATCATAGAGATAATGGGCAGTTCATGACTGGGCAGCCTCTGCATAAGCGCCTGTCCAGTTTCTGATCACTGTCAACGCGTCGCTTGAACTGAATTGCATGCAAGATGCTACCAGGAGTGTTACAGTAACTCTACTAGAACCATTTGTGACCGCTCAGCATGCGCATGGCAGTTGGACTGTGTCTGCAGTGAGCAGCAGCCTGCTGAGCCTGCTGATCAGCCTCATGAGCTCGAGCCTGGTGGATGATTGGATCACATGTACAGGGAGGAGAGGCATTGCGACATGATTGTGTGCCTACTCAGCGCTGCCATGTTTTCGGCCCTCTTCCCACCAGGAGATACTATTTGCATAAGCCATCCCTATGACTAGCCTAGATCTGAGATCGGATCTGGCAGTGCCGCACGGCGCATGGCATGCCACATTTGTCAAATGGGTGCTGGGGCATACAAAGATATTACAGTGATCACGCTCTCCACCCTTCTTCCCTGCGGTTGCCCGCTGTTCTGATGCCAGCAGCTTCTCCTTCCCATCTGGGCGTCGTCAAATTCAAATTTGACGACGGCGCAAAGGTTCTTTCTTTTGAATGGAATGTGACCCCTCGATGACCCCTGGGTCCGATTACCATACCGGAACACAGCATATTCTAGGGGCCAGCATCAGGTCGAGAGCACCTAAGCTCGTCGCCGAGCATCCCGAATCGGACTAAAATATATACATCTGCGTGAAGATGGCCGCACAACAAGAGGAGAATCGGCCCGAGGAAACGGAGTTTGAGGAAGCTACGACCTCTGAGACCGAGTGCGTGCCGGCATTGGTCTTATGGCCATCAGCTTACATTTCAACATGAAACACTCGCGCATTTATTGATACTGTGGAAAATCAGATTTCCTGTTGCACAAGTCAAGTCGATGAAAACTTCTGCTGAGCCAATTGTCGATGAGAGCGAGGCTTCTTTTGTGAGCAGGCCGTCCGATGGCGCCGTGAAATTGTTTCTGGGAGGCTTGAGCTGGAGCCTCACCGAAGGTAGGAAATCTGATGTATCATAGTGTATTTAAGGCAGAGCGATCATCGCACAAACAGACTGTTGATGCTCTTTCGACTGCACGTGCAGAGCAAATCAAGGAATACTTTGAGTCAAAGTTTGGGCCCGTGAAAGATGTGGTAAGCGCATCTCCGACGCTCTGCTTCTCTATATCACAGTGTCGATTGTAATTTTGTCATGAGTGCTTGTGGCATGGCCACGATCAAGAATTTGGCAACAGCACCTGTTCTTGGCAGACACGTGCCCTGTTTGTAGGTGGGTGCTGGTCTAAATTCTTGCATGGATGCATGCTTTGTGGGTCTGTGCAACCTAATTTGCATGTCTGGTGTGTTTCTGGTTCTGAACAGATCATCATGCGGGACAAATACACAAACCGGCCCCGCGGGTTTGGTTTCCTGACCCTGGATGATGAGGATGCTGCTGCCCAGATCTGTCAAGGGACACACGTGCTGGATGGTAGACAGGTAAGACCAAGATTGGAGGTGGCTTTTGCTTCATGGCCTGAATTGGCTTCTCTGATCCTGACAGGCATGTAATGCATTGCGTCGCAGATAGATGCAAAGCGGTCGCTGCCTCAAAGTCAGAAGCCCAAGCTGAGGAAACTCTTTGTGGGTGGCCTGGCTCCCGAGACTACAGAAGGTATGCCTTTCACAAACCAAAGGCGCTCTGGCTCATTCTTGCCCAAGCAAATTCTGTCAGTCATTCCTGGCCAACTGCATGGGAAAGCGCACACCCACTGAGTGCTGTGCAGACAATTTCAAAGAGTACTTTGGACAGTTTGGAGACATCACCGAGGCACAGATCATGCAGGATCACACGAGTGGGCGCTCCAGGGGATTTGGGTGGGTTCAGTAGGCACCCTCGAGATTGTTGTCTCTTCAGATTGGTCCCATTTTGCACCTAGTTGACAAAACTTTGCGCTCATAAAAGATTACTTGCTGCTCGACAGATTCATCACCTATGAGGACGAGGAGGCCATTGAGAAGGTGTTTGCCAAGGGGCGTATGCATGAGCTGGCAGGCAAGAATGTGGAGGTGAAGCGGGCGACGCCAAAGGGCACAGGGCCGGCACTGGGTCGCGGCCAGGGCTGGCGGGGCTACGATGCCAGGTCTGAAGGGGCTGCTCTGGAGCCACAAGGGATGCGCAGCCAACCCCAGGGCTGGACAGGCTACGGTGCTCCTGGCATGATGTCCGCCTATGGCATCGCTGGCTACCAGGTGCACTGCCCCTTGCGCCCGACTGCCATGATAGTCATGTGACAGTCAAATGCGTGTCACATGGACCATGCTGGTTTTGCTGATGCCTACGGCTGGGCGCATCGCGGTGTGCACCACTTGATAACTGTTCCTGTGACTGCGCATGCAGATGCCCTACGCTGATGCTTACGGTGCATATGGCGGCAGACATCTGCAGCAAACGGGAGCTTACAGGCATGGCGGTTACCAATATGTCATCCACCCCATGCACAGTCAGGGTCGAGGAGGTTGAGACTGTCTGTAGGCAGCGGATTCCGTTTATCCAATTGCCTTGGCAGTTTTTGAGAAGAGAACTTGTGGTGTTGGTAGCTAGAAGCCGGTGTTACTTCTAGACACAAGTCAAGTTTTTCACTTGCAGCTGGAACCAGTAAGTACAATTTGCATTCTTTGGAGAGCCCATGCTTGCAGCAAATGCGCAGCCACAGTTGGAGCCAGCTAATGAAGCAAGTCCTAGGCAAGGTACTTATGCCTTGGAAGATTGTCTCTGTCTGTCAGCTCAATTTGTGCATCAAGACTCTGTACGCACTGACCAGTTTGTCATTCCAGCTGGGCTACTACAGGCAAAGGACTGCACTTATCAACAGAAACGGAAATAGAAGTGAACAAGAGGGAACTGAGGGGGAATGAGCATTTGCGGTGAGGGCATGTGGAGGACAGGCTCTTGAGACTGCATCTTATTAGAATTCATTATTAGAGACGGTGCTTTCTGCATGCAATGACACTCAGTCAGTGCAAGTATGACAGTGCGGTGTCCTTTGTGTGACCTGTACATGTGCCACTGTGTGACACCAGGAATTCAACAGTGCTCGAGAACGAGGTATAACACACCAAGCTTTACGCTTGCTTGGAGAATTGATCATGATGCACTATTGTAATGTCAATTTAAATGACCCAAGGAAGGAAGGAAGGAAATTACACATCAACTCCAGCCGCCCAGGGCTGATTGGATGTACTGACAGCATCCAAGTGATCAAAACAATCCATGACAAAGTGTGCAACACTGACAATATCTAACTGCCACATGAACTGTTGCATGGTCTGAATGGCAGCACCAAACAAAGCAGGATATTGGTCCCGAATGGACTGCACAGCAGGGCACTCAAAAACCAGATGGCGCTCATCCCCAAGCACGTGCTGGTCACAATGTAAGCAATATCTCTGGGCCCGAGGAACCCGTGCCCAGCGGCCCGAGACATTGGGCAGGCCGTGACACCCCATTCTAAATTTGAGAAACACACCCAAAGTGTTCACATGTCATGCACATGCAGTGCACGTGTATGATCTGTATCTTGGCATGATGGGCCTAATCAATTTAAGAAAGTCTGGGTCCCAATTTATGTGATGCCATGAAGGGTCTCAACTTGTTCTGGGACCCTATTAGTGTCTTGGACATGCTGGTCTTTGAATTCGGAGAAGAGGAGGACATTTATTTTTCACACACAATTCTTCCTTGAAGGAAATTCCTTCGACATATGCTCACTATCAACAGCATGAACCATGGGTGCTCCTGATATAGCGGGACTAAGCGTGGCAAGAGTGTCTTGTGAAGAATTACTTGGTAGGCCTACAGGGTAGCGCATCCTGAGCTGTCGACATGTTGTGCAAACATTACATTTCACGGTGGATTTTTGTAGGCTTTCGTGCAGTCTCGATTTTTGTCCCCTCAGGGTGCACAACTTATTGTGATCTGGATCACTCTGTCCGTTGTATGACTATCTGTGCGTTAACAGGCTGGCCTCTTATCTACAAATCTGAAATCAGATCATTAGGAGCCCGGTGGCCGAGGGGCTTGTTACTCCACGGGCCTCCAGGGTGCGGCAAGACTGCTCTGGTGCAATCCGTGGCAGACGATCTAGGTGTTGCAGTTCAAAAGGTCTCATCTTCGGACATCTACGGTGCCTTCACAGGTTCATCCTCACAGGCCATCCCTTGCTTGCACAAGCAAATGGCACCATACCTGCACCCAGTCTGTTGAAACAAATTATTGTGGGTGGGCCAACCGATGCATTGGACTAAGGGGTCTAGCGGCGGTGCAGGCGAATCAGAGAAGCGCTTGCGGGAAGCCTTTGATAAGGCAAGAGCCCATGCAGCCAGTGGGCAGCCCACAGTCCTATTCTTTGATGAGCTGGAATCCCTGGCCCCTGTAAGAGACGCAAATCGGCCCCATGAAGCGAGGGTGGTCGCGCAGCTGCTCACACTCCTTGATGGAGCCGCCTCAGACACAGGCAGGTTCTGTGATAATGTCTTCTTTTTTCATGCACAGCCTGTGTGCCGCGTATGCTTCTTCTGGATACCGGCAAAACTCAAGAATGCGTCTTTGCTAGCAGGTGCACAGGGACACTTGACATTCATTGGAGCCACAACTGACCCGAACTCAATTGACCCTGCCTTGAGGCGTTTGGGACGCCTTGATCATGAAGTTGCCATTGGCTTGCCAACTGCCGAGGTGAGGATGCCCGCCCATTCCTGCCTCCCCGGCTGCTGTCGCATCGACCATCATTGTCAGTAATTGATTGTTGCACAGGAGCGCGTGCAAATTTTGCAAACCCATTCGCAAGCCCTGCCTCTGGGAAACGATGTGGACCTCCATGAGATCGGGGCCAAAGCTCATGGGTACTCTGGAGCGGATTTGGCTGCAGTCACCCGAGAAGCAGCTCTGCATGCCATGCATTCTTCACTGGCAAACTCACCTACAACAGATTTATCTGGTGTGGAGACTGAGAAATGTGATTGCCAATGACAACTCTGAGCACTGCTTGACAAGATTGACACAAGGATAACAGAGGACATGCCAGAAGGATTGTGGAATCGATCCTGTGGGAACTTGCCTGCTCCACAGATGTTCATGGGAGCATGGAATCCATGGACTTGGAAGTCACAAGATCTGACTTTATTGCGGCACTTCGAAAAGTCTGCCCTTCTCTGAGCAGATCGTCTGATGTCTCGCTGGACACAGGTGTGGCTTTGGATAAGAACTTTTGATGTATCCTTCTGGTACACTTGTCAGTTCTCACTTCTCTCAAACATTACTGACCAAATTTGCTATGCATGGGTTCTAGCAGTCCCTCATCATGATTGTGACTGACATCTTTCACCCTGGCAGTTTCGTGGCGGGACATTGGGGGCTATAACAAGGTAAAGGAGCGCCTGCAGCAAGCTCTGGAATGGCCTGTACAGCATGCTGACGCCTTCAAGAGGCTCGGCTTGCATGCACCCCGCGGTGTTCTCCTGTACGGCCCGCCTGGTGAGTCAGCTCAGCACAAATCCTCATGCACCTGCAAAGGTGTCGTCAAACAGCCGTAGCACTCCACAAGCAGTGCTCTCATGTCAGGAGTCAATGACAGTGATTTTTTGAAAGGAGGTGTTGTGCTGCAGGGTGCAGCAAGACCACGCTTGCTCGTGCAGCAGCTGGCGCCAGCGGCATGCGCTTGCAGGTGCTGTCAGGAGCTCAGCTCTTCTCCATGTATGTCGGAGAGGGAGAGGGTCTCTTGCGCGCTGCTTTTCAGCGTTCACGCATGACAGCTCCTAGCATCCTTTTCATCGATGAGATTGATGCAATCGTAGGTAAGCAACAAAGCTCTTGAAAATGCTTGCTGCTGTGCTTCTTTCCAAGGGTATGAGCATGCATGTCCTCATCTGAAACGCATCATGATAATTGTTTATGCCGTGTCGGGCAAGAGAAGAGATGCTGACACACATATGTAAGCATGTTTGTTGAAACAGGCGGAAGGGCAGAAGAAGGTGCTTCATCATCTGGAAGCTCAGATGCAAGCACAAGGATTCTCTCAACGCTCCTCACAGAGATGGATGGCTTGGAGAGCAGCACTGGTGTGGCTAAGTCTACTTGGTGCTGTTCATCGAATGCGCCTTTCTTTGATTGCCATTATACATCTGCAGATCTGCAGTCAACAAATACAGTGCTGTCAACAGGTGTGCTGGTGCTAGCTGCCACCAACCGGCCGCATGTATTGGATGCGGCTCTGCTGCGGCCGGGACGCCTTGATGTGCTGCTTTATGTGCCACCTCCTGATTCTGAAGAGCGTCATGAAATCTTGAAAGTGCACTCGAGGGGCATGCCCGTAGCGCAGGATGTTGATCTGCAGGTGACTCTCAAATCTTGACCAGCTATTTTGGGACCGTATTGTTGTGAGTTCCTAGCACCAATCCTGCAGACATTCCACATTGGTTCTCATTGTGTCACGCAGGCTCTTGCACAGCGCACTGACCGCTTCACAGGCGCTGATCTTTCCAATCTCTGCCAAGAGGCTGCCTTGATGGGTTTGAGGGAAGGCATGGACCATGCGACGGAGGTCAAAAGAATGCACTTTGAATCTGCCCTGGCTGTAGCGCAGCCATCATTGAGCGTAGAACAGATCAGGAGGAGTGAAGATTTCCGACATTACAGGCGGCGTTAGCCTGAGAACGAACATCCCGAGAACATTTCACATGCTCACCGAGCGCAATGCCAGTGGCTGCACATTGCCCAGCCGCAGCGGCTGCATCACGAGTGACATTGTGGGCCCCAAGCAGTCCAGGACTGCTTAGTTTTTTATGTATTTGCTTAATGCTTCCAGCCGTATGGTCATCCATTTGCCCCACCCTCGTGGCCGCTGCGGCGCTGGCGGCCGGCCGGCTGCTTCGGTGCGGGTTTACCATGTAGTCTAAAGTTTGTGTAATGTTGTGCGCATGCCGGGCCCCTGCAGTCGCTTTCCAGCGTGCATGCGCGTAGTGATGTCAAGCGTGCCCAAAAGCACTCTGAGCTGCATGTACAATGTACTGGAGATCAAAGTGCTGGATTACACCGCCAGAAAAGGATTGGACTTTGTAGGGCCCAATTGGAAGTGTAGAAGAAGAAGAAGAAGGAGAACGCACGACCTGGGAACCCCGTGGGAAGTGTAAGCGAGAGGGAGGGTGACCTTCATCATGAAGACTTCATGTGTGGCCAAATCAGGCTACTTCATCAGACATCGCCTGGAAGTACGGACATTGTGCAAGCTTTCGGGTCCCTTTCACAGGCCCAGCGACTGCACAATGGGTCGGGGAAAGCAGCATGGCGGGCGACAAGTGGTGCCTATCAATGTGGGCCACACTCACGTCCCCCATGAGGTGTGTTCAGCCATGCCCTTCTGGTTTTGCATCGTTTCACTGTATGACGGGATAGGACTTACATGCATGATGAACGGCAACCACATTGACCGATAATTTAAGGGCTTTTACTCATAACCCGATCTCCTTTAGTGCAAGATTTCCATGCCTGATCTCCCGTGGAGTGTCCGCCTTGTTTCATCCAGTGGGCGTGGGCCAGCCTGTTGATAGATCACTTGCTCAATCTCCCATGTACAGTACATTTACGTAGGATTCGCTGCCGCAGGAGAGGACGTGCCCCCTGTGCATAGAGCTCTTGGATGCAACGGAGAAGCAATTTCTTCCCTGTCCTTGCGGGTAAGAAGATGCGCCTTAGCAGATGAGGGGAATATGTCACCTTTCTGATGACGCAGCCGAATTGCTAGCTTCCCAGTTGCACCGAGATAGTATCTAGTCCTTCCATCTTTCTCTTTCTCGATGTTGGTCCTTAAGAGTTTCTCTTCCCGCAGGTATCAGGTGTGCCTATTCTGCTTCGAGAGGATCAAGCGGGATTGCAGCAATCTGTGCCCTGGCTGCCGGACAGAGTACGGTTCTGAGAAGGATCCCTTCCAGAAGGGGGAAGCGCAGCAGAGAGATGCCTGTACATCCAGCAATAGCGGTGCCACCCCTCAGAAGGCTAGAGCAGCAAATTCACAGCGCTCATCGCCAATGCCATCACCGACCACCCGCCAGACAACCAGAAGCCAAAGAGGAGGGGCACAGAGCGGCGGACAGTCAACCTCTCCAGTGAACCATGCCCCCGAGCCCAGTGGGCATCCTTCGCACACACAGAGCACGCAGGGGCACCAGGCGCAGTCTGCTGCCCGACCAAATGATGCATGGGAAAGAACACAAAGCGCTGCAGAGTCAAGTGTGGCAGAGCAAGATCAGGTGCTGGGCCAGATATCTCCTGGGAGGCAGACAGAGGACGTGACAGAATCAGCAGGGCCTCACAGCATCTTGGGTCACGAGACCATGTCCGACAATGCCATGGCGTCGGCAGGCGTCAGCGGGCAGGGCTCAGGCTCTCGGTTCAGATGGCCTAGCGCAAGTGAGACGCTGCAGAGCGCAGCCATGAGGGTTGGCTGGGGCTCCTGGCGCTTCCAGAAGAGGCGACCAGACGCACCAACGTCTGACCCAGAGGTGAGACATGCATCCACCTTCCATGGGTTGTGAGGATGCTGCTTTTGCTATATTTGTTGGGTTGGGAGGCATTTGATCACATGAATCAGGATATGATGCCATTTAGGTGTGAATGGATTATTACATCTACTAACATATGCAATCTTGGGATTTGTGTGCAGGGGGCTGCATTGACGTTAGCAACTCAGCGAGCTGTGCAAGAGGGGCGTGTGAGCAGCAGCCAAGGCGCAGCGCAGCTCATTTCATTCCTGCAGCGCAGAGAGGCACATCAGGGTTTGGCCGCTGCACAGGGCAGCTACCAGGGCAATGAGGTGGAGCATGACGGCAGACCCGCGGCTGCTCAGAGCTGGCCACGCACAATGCAGCCAGGAGCACCATCGGCCCCACCCACTGAGCAGAGGCATGGCAACGGAGGCGCAACACAGCAGGACAGCAGCGCGTGGGCTGTGAGTGGAGGAGCACAGAACGCAGGGCACGCAGATATCGCGTCCAGGTTCCCTGGCCTGTTTGCGGCACCAGCCGAGCAGCAGTCTGGCAGCACTGGGGTCAGGGGAGGGCCTGCATACAGCGCGTACCAGAATGGATTCTAGCGAGCTCAGAGTTTGTGCATAAGAGAGGAAGGGCTGCATTGTCAGAGAATAGTGTGCACAGCGCACAACTTTGGTCCACGGTTCTCTTGGGACTCAGTAGGACGGTGTGCTTCATGGGTGAACACCTGCGATCTCATTTATGCTGCTGAGCATGACATGGCAGCTTGACACTGAGCGCTACTGCGTCATTGTCAATATGCAAGTGTTAAGCAAGGAGTGTTTTCAGCCAAATTTGTCTGATCGACAGGTCTAAACTTTTGGCAAGAGTATTAGAAGTGTCTTGGTTTTGGGGGACGATTTTTGTCTTGAGAGAAAAGGTTTCTTGCGAGATTTCAGCAAGGTTATGAGACCAGAAATTAGTGAGGCGTCGTGCTTTCCCTCTCTGTTTGTTTCGCTGGTCACACCCACATATTTAGCATGCAAGTAAATGCTTGTTCTGTTCTTTTGAGCGGCCATGCCTGGAACACAAAGTTGGCCAGCTTCTATATATGGACCTAGTGAAGCTACTCAGAACCAGGCTGGATTAGCATTATCAGAGCTCGCGGCTCTTGAGACGCAATGGCGTTCCATCTGTAAGACTTGTGCAGAGCTGTTATGATCTTATTCTTTGGTAATGCAGGCTTATAGTTATAACATTGTCAAGGGCATGGCGTATGTCATTATGATCATGACACACACAATGCTTACGGCGCCTTGAGGATGTGTCTTTGAAGTACCATTTGACATGTTTGGGTGTTCCAAATTTATTAGTACGCCCAATACTGAAGGGGTGCAGACGGATGTGTGCCCCAATGTGTTATGGCCTGCCCAAATTCTTTAGTACGCCCAATACTGAAGGGGTGCTGCGCCAATGTGTTATGGCCTGCCCAAATTCTCAAATCTGAACTGCCATTGCCCTCCCAATCCCCATGTGCGTACCACACTTTTTTCATCCAGCAGTGTGCAGTATGTTTGCTTCACCTGCATGCCTGTAGGTATCACATAGAATTTCCGCCTCTGCAGCACCTGCATCCGTCGTTCGTTTTTGCAAAACGAAGTCACGGCTTCTGTTAATTGTTTGGAATGGCAGATGAGAAGAAGCCCAGAGTCAGGGCTGAATCTTCCATGCTCGAGACCTGTCATATTGTTTAGGTGTCATTCGCTTGTGTGAACCGGATTCTAAAAATAGCGCATCCCTTGACATCAACGCTTCTTCTCCAAAGGTTACCACATGCCTGAGCGGCATTGCTTTCTAGTTGGTTGCACGAACTGCTGGTTTGCTGGCGATATAATACAAGTAAAGTATTGGTGGCCAACTCGACGTTGAATACTTTTCTTGGCAGAAAGTGGTTGGGCTCTCAAGGTATGGCCCCGTATATACTGGCCAGACCGGCTCCGAAGGGGCTCCGTTTCACGTTTGACAAGGTCGACTTTCCCCTTTGGATGTCAGTCTTGGACTGGTTGCGCTCTCGAGGGAAGGTACACCCACGGACATCTTGAAATAACCTGGTACTGTCATGAGCACCAGCCAATCTCTTATATGCGGCAAATATAACATCTGGGTTCTTTCTTTACAGACAATAAAGCCGAAGCTCTCACAGCAACAACGGCAGCAACTCGAGCTATGCTTCGGGCTGATGGATGCGGATGGATCTGGCAATATTGATGGTGGAGAATTGGGGAATGCTTTTCAAGTGGGTCGCTTGATAGAGAGCATTTGTTGTTTGTCCTTACTGCATCACTCGCATTCATGTTCAACTTCTGAGTTTCGAACTGCAGAAGTATCAACGTCATTTAGTGTGGCCATTGCAGCTGCTGGGAATCCAAATGAGCAAGGAGGAGATTGAGAGCATGCTAGAGGAAGTTGACGACGATGGGTCAGGTAGCCATTCATGTCTCTTGTGCAGGAGTACGGTAATGGTCTTGAAGGGAAGTCAAGGAAGAATCCTCGTGAAAGGACATGTCCTTTGGCGTGGCTAGCACAGATCCAGGGAGCATGAAATTGACACTGAACTAAGCAGCACACTACAGACTGCAGCTCTGCACAATCGTGTAGTGTACCTCAAGTCTGAGGGCCCACACGCGCTCTTTAACATCGCAATGCCACACGCGCTCTTTAACATTGCAATTCCATTAAGGAGAAGAGTGATATTATGTCTTATAAGTTGTGCTTACCCCCCTCAAGCTTCATGGCTATCCCTGGCAGGTAACAGATGAGATATGTGCCCATACCAACCCTGGGCGTGGTCAGCTAGGCATACTGTATGTGGAGGCGCAGCAAAGTGTCTCCTTCATGGCGACAGATGGGCTTTTGCAGTGATGGAGGTCGGTGAGTGCAGGTGAAATGGAGCTTCCTGAATTTTTCCAGGTCATGACCACCACGCTGACACAACATGCTGCAAAAGCAACAGATGAAGCGCAAAGCGACAGTGCCAAAGATGAGGGGAGTTCGGTTCAGCAGGCTATGCTGCCATTTGAGCTCATGGCCACAGCATATCGTCGGTGATCCCTGCGTAGGATAACCATCTGGCTAGGTTAGCATGTTTGCGATGTGAAATGGAGCACTGCTGCTGCCAGCACAGAGTGTGGGTGACAGTTGTCTTACACTCCCTCAAAAAGGCTCTCTGCATGCAGGAAGAAACTCATTGAAGCGCTCCATGAGAACAATACTGATGTCATCGCTACCCTTGCTGCCGATCAGCACTTTGCAATGCCTTCTTCTGCTGAATACAAAGTGGCGACTGCAGACAGTGAAGCAGGTGCGCTCCAAAGGCCCTCAAAGCACCAATGCTGCAGGCAACATTTCTGTCACAACATGACTTCTGCTCTGTCTTGGGATGCTGTGTAAAGTCGAGCTTTGTGCCGAGCAGGTGCGGATACTCTACAGGGGCCAAAGGTATCATATGATGCATCATGTCTGCCCGGGCTTACGAAAAAGCCAACAGCACCGAAGTCCCCCAGCACAACGACCAGCCGGCAGGACAAGCCAGAACATATCTTAGCTTCGTTGGAGAAGCAAGGCCTGTTGAGTCTGGAGGAATACAAGATTGTCTCAGCAATCCTGCAGCAAGACAGATGGTCGAGGCCGCCCGCATGAGTAAGCAATGATAACTTGACCAGAAGAAGGTACAAGGTCACGGTATCAAGGTATCCCAAGAGTTGCACACAAGTTCATCACTTCTAGTGGACCTTCTCATGACAGAGTGTCTGTGCTGTTGGCAAACGCTGGTACTTTCCTGTGCTTTTTGGGTGAGAATAATATGCAGATCGGGAATCAGTCGTGGACGCAGAGCAATACTTTTCAACATGTGCAAGTTTTGTAGTTGAAACTAAGTTAGACACAGAGCTAATAAGCTTCCACACAGGCTGCACTCGGGCAAACCAATTCAAAATAAATTGATTCACCTTCCTGAGACCAATCTTAGCCCTAAAACTAGACAATTTACACCCTATGTCCTAATTAAAACTGCCGAGGGCCAAAATTGAGCTCGCAGTAGAGCTTTCGCTACCGGCTTGCGCACCCTGGAAAAATGGTGCATGTCACAAGCGACGAAGTACAGGAGTGATAAAATAATACAGACAAGGTGCTCAGGCATGCATTCATGTCCAACCCGCCTTTCAAAAAACAGCAACACTCACCTAACTAAACCCGCAAAACTGTACAGCAGCCCTAACACCCCTCAGAATGCCGAGGTACACCTGAGTGTTCGTCATCACTGGAGATTGGATCCTAGGGCCTAAGAATCTGCCATCACAGGCAAGACATGACACGACGCCCACAGCTGCATCGCGCTGTTGTGCTCAGGAGGTCAGTGGGGTGGTGGCGGTCCAGCCGGCGCCCTCCAGGTAGTGGTCGTAGGGGTCCTGGTGGGAGAGGCCGATGGGGGAGCGCAGGATGTGGTCGGGGATGTTGAAGGCGTCGACCAGGGGCACGGCCTGCGCTCGAATCTCCGCGCGCAGCCGCTCCAGCAGCCGGCCAATCGCCTTCACCTTCTCCGCCGCCACGTAGTCGTCGTTGCGGAACATCACGTCCGCCTGGATGCGCTGCAGCGCAAACACCTCCGCCATCACCTGCACACACCATCTCACGCGTGCACCTCAGCATTCCATGCAGCAGTGACTGTAATACAGTGATTATATTCACTGTCAGCACAGGCGAGCCTTCTGCTTGCTGCTTTGGCTTCTGTCAGCCCCGAAGAAGAACTCATGCCAAGTCGGCCTCGATCTGACACAACACTTCCTTGGCACTCATGCTGGAATTGTTCCAGGTCGGGAATGACAAGAAAGTGTCGTTCATATCCTCCACAAGTAGAAGATGCATGCAACAGAACACCATCGCTGTTGCACATCCTTCCTACCTTCAGGCTCTTCTTGCAGTCAGCGTCAGGGCAGTTGTTGACCCCGTCGAGGAAGCGCTCAAACATGACTGACTCGATGTGGGCCCGGGCGAGGGTCAGGATGTGGCTCAGGCACTTGTTCCAGGCTTGGAATTGGCCCATGCGCCGAGTGTGCTTGCTCAAGCGCTGCGCAAGCGTGAACAGCAGCTTGCCCGTCCGGTACCTGTCAGATCAGACGAGGAACTTTTGTTATGTGACAACAGTGGCTGTGCTCACATGCATTCATTCCTGGGCCAACCATGCCCTTGTCACGGCTAAAATACAAGTACCAACAGGCAGGAAGAGCTTCAGTCAGGTCTGTGGCAGGAGACAAAATACCTCAGTGCTCGGACGAGGAAGGCCGGGTCTCGCAGGTGGCGAACGGAGGTCTCATGGCTGACCAGAGGGTTGGGCGGCAGGCTCTCTGCTGCCCACTGGCGCAGGTAGCGGTACGTGGCAGTCACAGGGGCAACCGCAAAGCGCTCCTTGTACTTCTTGAGCAGCAGCCCAGCCACCTGCCAGTAGTGCAGATTGCGCTCAATATTCTTCCTCAGGGGGTACTAGATCATCTGAGTACCAATTGCACGCAAGCTGGCAAGCTCTGGGAATCAGGCAGACCTGCTGCAGCAGGACTGTGTTGTCGCCCTCAAAGGTCTGGAAGATGTCATGATCGGAGCGCCACATGCCGAAGCGATTGACCGCGGCATACCCATGCCCGCCGCAGCACTCGCGGCACACAGACAGAGCTGTCGCGGTGTAGTTGGTCACGTACGCCTTCAAGCCTGCGCAATCAAAGACACTCCTCATCAAGAATGTCATGTGAACAATGAGATCAAGGCATAAAAGGCAATTTGCAATGGACAAAATCATGGGGCCATGCTCACCCGCAGAGAGTGCATGCACATCGGCAATGACATCCTCCTCCTTGGTGCGCTTTGCCTCGGCATACTGGTCGACCAGGTAGCGAGAGGTGAAGTGGATGGCGTAAGCACTGGCCAGCATGGGCATCAGCTTCTCCTGCTGACTGCTGTAGTCCAGCACGGCAATCTCTGGGGCGTTTGCAGGCCCAAACTGCTGGCGGGTTGCACCATAGCGCACAGCGACTGTGAGCGACGCCTGCAAGAACAACCATGAAAGCCCTGATCAGGACCGCACTCCCAATCTATGACTCCAGATTGGCAATAGTAGCTGCTAAGAAATCAGAGACCCAAGACCCATCATAGATAGACAGTCAGGACTTGCCTTGAGGACGCCCAGGGAACTGCAGATCAGCCCGACCCGCCCGCCAGTGAGCTCTCCAAGCGTGGCTGCAAAGCGTCGGGAGGCCGAGTAGGGCGAGCGGTACTGCCCAGACCGATCCACGGACGCAAACCTGTCCAGCAGATTTTCCCGGGGCACACGCACTCCCAAAAACCTGATTGAGCCGTTGTCCACGCCGTTGAGGCCCACCTGGAATGGCAGCCCGCACTCAATGACTGCAAATTACCATAAGACAAAGAGCACACAACACAAGCAAGACACAGGAGCTTCTGGCATCTTGCTACTGCCTAGAATCAAACAGAGGGTTCCCTCACCTTGTAGCCGCAGTCCTTGATCTCCACACCCTGCAGGACCGTTCCGGCCTCATCCCTGAGGGGCACCACAATGGCATGGACGCCGTGGTCCACCAGAGTGCCACTTCCATCCGGTGATGGCACCTTGAGGCGGGCAAATACCGTGGCTGCCCTGCCATCCTCTGCAGCATTCCCAATCCACCTGCAATGCGCAGGGCTTCGGCTCGCATCTGTGCTGGTCAGGCTTGTGAGAAGAGGGAACAGCGCAGCCTGTCCAATAATAGCGCAGCGCACCACTTGAGAGCGCCATCATCCGGCGTGCTGATGATCCACTCGTCAGTAGCAATGTCAAGCACAGCTTCCGTCTGCAGCGCAGCCACGTTGCTGCCGTGATACAGCTCGGTCATGGCAAAGCATCCTGTGGGCAATATGTGATTTAGTGATTGAGTGCTATGAGGGCAGTCTATGGCAGGCCAAGCCTACTGGCACAACAGCAAGCAGAACCCACCAGGAAGGCGGAACTTGTCGATGTCCTCAAAGTATGCCTTCTTGTGCTTCTCTGTCCCCAGATTGAGTATGCTGCCACCCCATAAGTTGTATTGGACGCCCATCTTGACGGTCTGCATCACATGAACGTAGAGCTCAGTACGGCAATCAGGGTCTGCACAGAACTATGTAACTTACTGAACAAGAGGAAACAGTAAGGGCCTCGAAGCTCACCAGAGAGAGATCCACAACGGCGAGCAACTCTCCGAGATAGAAGTACTTCTTGATGTCATGCAGGTAGAAGCGGAGAGGACTGTATCCGGCCTTCAGCAGCAGCTTGAGCTGTTGTCTGGCAAGCTCTCTGTGCTCCTCTGCAGGAGATACAAGCCAAGTTAGACATATTCGTGTCAAACACAAAGATAGCTTGAATTGATCTCAGAATTGGGCGAACGCTTGACTAGGGGACAAGGCCCAACCTTTGGACAAGCCCTCAAGGGTGGCAGGGAGAAGGTTTGGCCTGTGCCGGAAGGTCTCGTAGACGTCCTCCTTCACGCTGCTGAGTTCATCCAGATAGCTTTCCATGACGGTCGTGTCAAAGCGTGGCAGCGAGACACCCCTTGCAGCCGTGGGTGAGAGGGCAATCCCATTGTGACCGTCTGTGTCTCCGAGCGTCAAGTGCTTCAAAAGAACGCCCAGGCGCTGCAAAGGACCAGCATCGGCCATTTTCACATCCAGGACTGCGTTGTTCTTGCCAAGGTGCTTGGGATTCACCTTTCCTTGTCCCAAAAAACACGTGGTCATCCACGTCGACGTCTTCATCCACGTCGACAAATTTCTAGGGTTTAAGCTGCATCATGCCAAGTTAGGATAAAACAGGTAAAACGAGAGAGGGAAAAACCCTTTGGGGGATGCATGCAGAGGGTATCCCTTTTCTCGGGGAATCAAAGTATTCAAAAGAGGTCCCCAAATGATCTCCGAATGGCAAGTCGCAGGATGTTCCAATAGTTTCATCAATCAGGACCTGAATATCACCCAGTCCTTTTCACCTCACATTCTGAGCCAGTGTGCTCACAAAAGGCTGTGTACTCAAAGGTGCCGTGTGTCGGCCGTGCTGCATACGAGTGTACGACACCTTTAATTCCTGACAAGTGGCATTCGGGAAACTTTCTCAAGAGCTGATCGCTGCATTGAACGTTGATGTGCGTCGATCGAGGGGAGGCGTGACGGCCCGCCAGGTTGGGCTCCACACGCAGTGCTCTGTAGCTTCCCGCTTGACACAGGGCACCTCCTAGAAATCCGTCGTACATTTAGTATCATCATGTCACCTCTGTGCTTTGTGTTGCTCCTTCTGCGTTGCTAACGGTGCCCCTGTTGTCAGCGATAGAGATCCAAACTTTATTGGATTGTCCAAGCTTGGACATGTGACCTAGGTGATCAAGAGCCTGTGCAGCCAAGTCACAGGCTTCCAAGGCACCAGCAGCGATCTTGGATGTCCTGAAGGTGTTTCTGATGCAGGTGTTATGTTTCGGCGGGCACCCTCTGACAGGCAGCCGGAATGCCAATTTTCACTGCCTGCGATGCCTAGCCCTTTCTACAGTTATGGCAGGTCTTCTCCGGGATTGCAAGAGTCAAATGCCGCGAGGACTGGAAGCATGTTCGATTCTGCCAGTGAATTTGGTGTGTTCACGCCTGTTCCACTTTGTGACAAGCTTGTGAGACATGCTTCACCTTGTGCTTGTGCCAATGTGTGAGCCAGTGCCCAACTCCTACCATAGGTTGTGAGGGCACTTCAAGTAATGCGTTTTGTGTGTTGATGAATACTTCAGAAGTCTACCTGTCCGGAAATATGGAGCGCCTGAGGCTCAATCCCGGGGCAAAGGAGTTTGTACCTCCTGGCAACGGCTTCCAGGTGTCCTGGCAGAGCTATTCTTTCCAGAAACAGGTGACAGGAGGGCACGTGCACTATTCAAAAAGTATATGAGCCTTTACGGGAGAAGCTGCAGTAGCCGGGAACATATGCTTGACATCACAGAGCTGACTTGCATGAAGTAGGAAACTTGCACTTTGCATTCCTTGATGGACAGCAGAGTGGAGTTTTTGCTGAAAACATCTATAGAATTGTGCATGGCAATGTCCAGGATGTGTCTGCTCCTGGCAGCCTACACACCTTTCAGCGCCAGTCACGGCCCAGGAGGAAGGCTGCGCTGCAGAAGCAGTTTGGGGGCAATGTGCGGCGCACCATCTATATCTGCGACGTCGATCAGCAGGCATGTATGGCTCTCCTTGTGCCTCTGCTTTTTCATTGTGTAGCACCACAGGTGACAAGGACAGCTCTGTAGGTACCATCTTTTGTTGCCCAGGTCACAGAGGCAGCACTGGCTGATGTGTTCAAGCACTCTGGGAAGATCGTGGACTGCCGCGTCTGCGGGGACCCAAACTCTGCCATGCGCTTTGCCTTCATTGAGTTTGCAGATGAAGAGGCTATTCAGCGGGTGAGCTACAATGATTCCATCTGGTGCACAGTGCTATTTCATGTTTCTCATAATATCTGATGCAGCATAGCAAAGTCTACCCTGCTTCTTGCAGGCCATCAAGCTCAATGGCACCATGCTGGGCAAGTTTCCGATCCGAGTGATGCCCTCCAAGACTGCCATTGTCCCAGTCAACAACAGCTTCCTGCCGCGCACACAAGAGGAGCTTGAACGCTGCGCCCGTACTGTGTACATTGCCAACATTGACAAGAAGGTGGACCGGGAAGAAGTGAGGGTGTTCTTCCAGACGTTGTGTGGTGAGTTGCACTGTAGCATCTTCCACTGCCTGTGCGTCTCAAACTCCTCTACATCAATAGGACATTCCTGAAACAACTGTGTACGCATTTCTCGGGCTATCTGCCACAGCAGCATTGGTCATTTTGCATTGATGCCTCCTTGTCAGCTGACATGGCACGTGTTGTTTGCAGGTCCTGTCACCAAGATCCGTCTGCTATCTGACTACAATCACGTCAGCAGCATTGCTTTTGTGGAGTTCGCAGATTTCAAGAGTGCACGGAAAGCCCTGGACTGCAGTGGAGCACTCCTGGGCTCACTGCCAATCAGGGTAGGGAAACACTTCTTGACCATCCGGCGCTCACATGCAACCTACTGTGATCAGACACCTTGCTGAATGCAGCTTACCCTCTTGCTGCCATATGCAGGTGACACCCTCGAAAGCTCCTGTGCGAGACGAGTACTGAGGCACTGATAAGCTGCTGGCCTCCTGTGCAGCTGGCTACTCAATAATCTCTTCTATATTTGAATTGATTTGATAAAGTCTTGGAATGTATGAAGTCGATACTCAAGAGCTAAGCATTAAGTTGGAACAATGTGGAACTCTTCATTTTTGGGGCAGATAGGGAGTCACTGCACGGGCTGCTGGACACAGATCTATTCAAGGCGCAGTCATCTTCATGGCTACTGCGTCTGAGGCTCACTCTTGTCCTGATCTTTGTTGCATTGCAAAGTGACGGCCATGTTCCTTGACCTAGGTAGCGCAAATGGCCTGCTGAATGCCAATGCTTGGTACAGCTGTGATGTGCCTTTGAATATGCTTGGAGGGGTTCTATTTTAGGTGATGTTCCGCATATTTTTTCCATGAGGTCTGACATCGATTGTGGATGCCCCATGTATACAGTAGAGGTGACAAAACAAGTAGAGGCAAACAAATATGGTACAACACAAAATGTATTGTTTGATTCAAGAAGTGTTCTTTGAAGACCTGTATGTGCTTTCCCGCTTGTGGGGATTTTGATGATCCACTGACTAGTGAGTCAGTGGCACTTAAATGCTACTTGCGGTGTCAGAGGCCACAGCCCCAGCCTGAGGCTTCACAAGTGACTCCCTACATGTTGTACCCACTGGCTCATGAGCCTGATCAGTGAAGTGGTTTTGGAACTGCGCAGCATGCCATTCATCCTGTAAGTCCGGACTGTAAAAGGACCATTTGTGTTTGTTGAGTCATGTCTGGGGACTTTGCCGGTTGTTCTTTGGGAATGCCGGACTTCACCGTTAAGTGGTGACCATGTTGGTGTTAAATTTTATCACTCGGAGTCTGCCTCGAAGGTCGTCGCATCTGCACTCAAGATCCGACGTGATGTACATATAAAGATCACACCCTTCACTGGAATGCTTGTATGAAACCATCGCTTTCCTGACGGCAATGCCCAAATTAAGTCACTGCTCATCCTACACATGACGATAAAAACCTGATTCCATGTGTCAGCCAGCTGTTTCAAATGCAGGATCCCAGTACAATACGGCCACGCAATATGGCAGGTAAGCGCTGACATTTGAGCCTCAACTCACCATGCTTGCCCCACTCAGTGACTCTATCAAACGCACATCTTGACACAGTTTGCCATGTTTTCAAATGATGATTTGGGTTCAATGCAACCTGTGCTCAAGCGATTCCTCAGATCCACAAATTGCTGGCGCTTGTTTGTTACCCTCTCCGTGCATCTCAATGGAGCGAACCTTGGTGCGTAATGGCTCTCTCACTCTGCGCTCGCTTTCAAAGTGAAAGCAGTGCTCCATAAGCTCACACAACTCAATAGATGCTGGTAAGCATTCAGCCACAATTGCACATCATGGCTGCACGCCTGTCATGCCCTTGGTGGCCTCCACAACCTCATCCAGAGTAATGCTTGTATCTTCTCCACGGAAACTGTTGTCCTCGGTCAGGAACAGCATGCAATGACACTCCTGCAGCAGGTAGAGCATTTGTTGAGCAAAAGACACATCAAAAAAGGTATGTACATAATGGAGATATTTAGTCCGCCCAATCTAGAGGAGCACCCGTGAAAATGGGGCGAAAGAGATATGGCCTGCCCAAATCCAAATCGAGCTGCAAAATGAGGAACTGGGGAGCTCAAAACAACAGCGAATTCACAGATAATTTACAGTAGAGCCTAGGGACATTTTAAGCAAGCGCTTACGTGCGGACCACTCTAATTCCTCGTGATAATGGAGACCCCAAGATAATGGAGCCCCCAAACCACCTCCTTCAGTGCAAGGTCCTAACAGATCTATCAAAGTGTGATCGCACGATCGTTGTGACATACCTTGCGCTCACGCATGGGTACGCATGGGCAATTCCAGAAGCCTTGCTCTGCTTCCAGTTTCTTGTCGTCATAGTGTCTGCAGGGGCACAAGGGTGCGCCAAGTTCGTCCTTGTGCTCTGCAAGCCCCTGCAAATGCCACTCACAGTCATGAGCTGACAACTAGGACGTCAAGTGATGACAGCAGGTTCCACAGTACTGCTGAGCAGAAGCAACTGTGTTGCCTCACACCTTGATAACCACGGCGGTGACAGACTTGTCGACGCAGAAATACGTTCCTGTCCTGCAAGAAGTAAGCATGACGATATGACGACTTTAACACAGGATTTGGACAGCGAAAGATACCGCTAAGCTAGGGAGGAGCTAGGTACAGCTATGCGGATTGATAGTATCTCACCTTCTGGCGTATTGCTCTGAAAATTTCCTCATAGTCTCCAGGGTCTTCGTGTCAGGCTCTGCAGCAAATGCATGCTTCATGCCAGTCATAGGATAATCAAAATCGAAGCTGTTGGATCATATTTGCAGTATAAACGGACAGTCCTCCGAACATCCTAGCTAAAGAGAGGCAGAGTGATAAGGCATTCTCTGTTCTGCAATGAGTAGATCTAGGAAGAACCTGCAGAAGCCCTGGTCAAAATGATCTGTCTGTTTTTGCTTTTGAGATGCTGCCTGCTGGCTGGAAGAACTGTCCCTGATCGGTTCTGAAGGCCACTGAGCAAGCACACATTACTGCAAGAACATACTGAGCCGATCATTGTTGGCAATGGCAATCTCAACTCTGCTGATCCAGAGAAGTTCAATCTTGATTCGAACTTATCAAGATGAGCTGTGAGATGATGATTGCGCGAAACACTGGACCTCCAAGGACCAACAAGACGCACGTGGAAGGATTTGATGAGGGAACGGCGTTGGCCGGTGACTCTATGTAAGATTTGGGAAAGTTGATGCATGCACACAGTATCTCTCACTTGGAGTTCAAGTCCGTCAAAGATTCAGATAAGGGCGGCGGCTGCCCTGCCTTGAAGCGCGCAACCATCGTTATCTATTTCATGATGTCAACAGGGAGCGGCGCCGGCATGATGACTCACCATGACGTCATCATGCCGGTCGACCGGTGTCAGACCGGTGTCAGCTGTGGGTGGAATGCTGATTAGAGTGTGCCACGCAAGAACACGTCCAGCAGTTACATCAAGGGATATTAGTGCACCCTGATCGCACTGTCACACATTGAGAGTACCAGCTTTTGAGACTGGGCAGTGCACTGGCATGCTTGCAGCGGATCCGCGCATGCGCAGAGTTGCTCAGAGATAGTGCGGATTGAGATCTGCGCACACATGTTCTACCCCGGCAAAGTTGCAACAAGACAGTGTCGCAGCATCTGTCAAGCATAACAACCTACTGGCGTCCAAGATTGCTTCACCCTTGATCAAATTTTCATGACATTTTTGTCATCAAGGCTTTTAGCGATGACTCGTCAATCAGCAGCACTGCGGCAGTCAATTTTTGCGGCACGATCATGCAGCCTGATCAGCTGACCTGGATTTTACTGCTAGTACTTGATGCCTGATGCCGGGCAAGCTTTGCGGGCTGGCCGGGCACAGCCTGAAGCCCAGAAGATTGGTCCCCTGTTCGCACAAGCGCATGCAGGGCGCTGTGCTGCAGCCACGGTCTCCATTCTTTGTGCTCTGAAGAGCTCTTGACAGGTGAGATCTGCACCATGCGCACATCGTGGAGACCCACAACGCCTGTCCAGGACTCTCTGAATGTCCCAAGGTCCTTCTTGGCAAAAAGGTCCCGTACGGTGGCATCCACCTCATTCTCATAGCCTGCGCAGCAGTATTAACAGTGAGATGAAGCAATGCGGAGTCCAGGACAGAGAAATTGACTGGTCAGCTGAAACAGATCCAGCCCTTACCAAGATCCTGCCATTGGACAGTGACGTTGGAGAGCGGGTACTGAGTTCCAGATGTGTGGCGGTTGAAGAGCACCACTGCTCGACTGCCGTCCTCCAGAGGGCCGGCATACACCTGACGAGCATTGCTAGAAGCCTCAACAAGTGTTTCCACACGACAAATAATCGAGGGTCTGGACTGCATGCAGCATGGCCCAAGCATGTCTCATGGGGGACCACAGCAGCTTGCCTCAGTTGGGCCGCGCTTCCAGACTAGGTCCCCAGCAACCCCTAGTTTGTCCTGGTTCACTGCAATGACCTCCTCGGCTGTCAGGATCTCCAACGCTGTTTTACTGAGTCTGCGCAGGTCTGTCCCCACCATGAGGGGCGATTTGAGGACAGCCCATAACGCAAAATTTGCCCTTTGTTCCTGCACAGGGCGCATGACAAAATCAGCACTGGGCGCTTGACTTCTTTCCACCCAAAACCAGATCAGGGACTGATTCGGGCCAGCCAAAGAAGCTCACCTGCTCCGTCAAGCCTGGATTGCCCACCTAAACGGGCAAATGGCACAATCAGGCAAAGGAATTAATGCAGCTAATACAAAGGACTCACACAGTAGTATGATGGGTGTATCATGCAGGGCGATCGCACCTCCAGCATGTCCGGGTCATTCCATGCCCCCTACGGAAAATTTAGATACAGTTGTCAGAATTGTTGATGGCTCCAAGGTGTGACATGCGGTGCGTGCACAACAAAGGGGCCTGTGCATGGCGTTTAATTTCATTTGACATTAATAGAGGTGGGTGGGCGCACAGGTTTGGCGTATTTGGACAAGCCAATAGTATTGTCAAGACACCGAAGCATGCTCTCCCAGTTTGGGCTGATGTCGCCTGTCGTCCTCCAGGAATTAGCAATCTGCAGCAATTGCCACCTTCATTTATCATTCTCCAGCTTGCTGAATCTGCCGATATGAGCAAATCTTTAAGCAGGTGTACCTTGGGCGCCCAAAGCCACGGATCACCAACCCCCCAATCACACATGGAGTATAGTATTGGTCGCCCTGTGCCATTGAGAGCTGTATGCATAGCGGTATAGCGATCTATGACCCAATCAGATGCTGGCGCCCAGCAATTGTCATACTTCAAGAAATCCACGCCCCAATCCGCAAATGATTCAGCATCTTCCTTCTCATGGTAGCGACTGCCTGCATGGTACAAAAGAAACAACAATCACGGAAATGCAAACACCAGAATGCAACTGCTTGAATCTGCACTTCTATTTTTTGCAGAAGTGTTTGGCCTTTCAGATGCTCTCACCGGGGTACCCAAGGCATGTATGCGACCCAGCATCGCTGTACATTCCAAATTTGAGGCCCTGCGTCATAGGGTTTTACACAGTGATTATCCAAAAAAGTAGTCTTGGCCTGCAGTGCATGCCTTGCAGACAATGAGTCTGATACATACCTTTGAGTGAACATAGTCGGCCATGGTTTTCATTCCTGAGGGAAAGCGGTCACTATTGGCATGTAGTCTGCCTTGATCATCGCGCTGGAGGTTGGACCAAGCATCTGAAAGTAACCAGCGGGTCAGAACAATCAACGGCCAAAGGCAGGCCAACAGTTTATCAAAACTAAACCTTTTGTCATGTGATGTAGAGGAAGTCAGGCTGACTGCACACCGTCAATGACAAGGTAATGGTAACCAGCTTTTTTCAGTCCAGAGCTGACCATCAAGTCTGCTGTTGCTCGAATGAGGTCCTCATCAACTGCACAAGAGCGAACTTGTTTATTCTGGTGTATTCCGTTGAGACAGCCCATTGCACCGCGGGCGACACCGTGATGCATTCTTAAGGATTTGTTGCCATTGTCCTTCGTATCATTTCAATTGGAAATTGCAGCAATGTTCCAGATCCGTGCTGAGATTGAATGTGATCAAGAGCAGTTTTGCACTGATCGACTGCTTACTGTCTCCTCCGTAAGCATTCCAGGTGTTATAGCCAAGAGCAGGCGATCTAGCCTGCCCATTGTCGAGGCAGCTCGCCTGCAGGACCGACGCAAGCAGTAGTGCACAGAAAGTGGTGGAGATCATCCTTCGTCTCTTTCTTCAAATTTTCAAATTATACAGCTTTTTAGGAATTTTCAAAAGCATTTCAGCTTGTGACAAACGATTCACGGTGCATGAATCTCTGAGAGTTTCTTCCCTGAGCCAGGGAGCTGTTTGGTGACGTCAGCACCTTTTTAGGCATGCAAAGAGGGTTCGATGATGCTGTCCTTGTGGTGTCTCATTGTCGGTTTTGCAATTGGCTATGCTTCGCGGTCTACTGGAAAGCATCCTTGCTCTTTGCAGAAAGTAGTGCTCCTGTCCCTCAGCTAGATTATCAATTGATCTGCAAACGGTAGCCTGAGGGCCTAGACCCACTGGGTCGCTTCTTGGCAACTTGCTTGAAGCCGCTTCTGACCCGGGATCGCAAACATGCTGTGCCCAACAGCATTTTTGTGAACTTCATTCATTAAATGGTTCTGTATGCATGCCATCCATGCCACTCCATCCGTTTCACAGCACTGCAGGCCATGGCCCGTCAACTTGGTTGTGCCACACAATCCATCACTGGCAGTCAAAGCTCAAAATTGCAAATGCCATTACAGCAGTTACCAGTATCGTGGGGGTCAGGTAAAAGTACACTGCAACTCCATTTCTATGCCAGAGCGCCAAGGTCAATTTCAACACCGTCCGTGAGTTCTTCAAATGAGCAGCTTCTCAATTGAAAGCTTCAGCGTCTGAATCTGACCCTTCAGCTGGCTCCCTTCGTTGGTGGTGACAGAGCATGAGATCACCTGCATAACAAAAAGGCTGAGTACTGTTCAGCACTTCCATCCACCCAGATGCTGTTAAGTTGAGCGTGCTCAACATGGATTCAAGGTGCTACAGTTGTTGTCATACCGGCCTTGCGACGCCACAGGCGCGCCCCAGAGCAGCCTTGGATGGGACAAAAACGTATGGCACGTTCTGCAAGAGAAGAGAATGTCAGGGAATGTCCATGATTAGAGTAATGATAATCGACAGGAATGCATGGGGTTTTCCCAAAAACATACAACCAGTTTACCTTGTCCTCAGCAAGCAGCGGAAGATGCAGAAGGATCTCCAGGGGCTCTGCAAGCTTCAAATGGTTCTCAGCACCAGGCCATGTAAATTGACTCCGACCCCCGAACACAACAAGAAATAATCAGGTGCATAAAAGCACAATGGCTGTGCAGAAATATTGCGCTTACCTGCGTCAGCTGCCAGGACAACAAACTCTGAGATCCCACGGTTCAGAGTCTTTGTAGCTGCATTTACCCAGCACCCAGAGCTTTAGATCCTTAACAATATGCAACATTCATGTATGAAATAGCTTCATGACTTACTGGCAGCACGCAGGCTGATACAAAAACACCCCACACCTTCATTTGCACCCTTCCGCAGTTGTTTGTAGTTGGCCGCCTGCTGTACTATGTCCAGAATTGTTGTCGTCAACTGCATAGTGACAAACTATGTTAAAATTCACACAAGACTATGCGATAAAGTAGGCGTCAAAGCATGAAGAATGAAAAACAACTTACCTGGGCATCAGCCAAAGGGTAGGCCTTCGGGTTCACTGCCTCACCGGACATGGCTCACTGGCTCCCCCGTTGATAGAAGAAATAATCAAAGGATGAAGACGATTTCTGTTGGTGTTTGGGCGAGCAGAATGAGCGGAGCCGTCAAGCTGGCCACAAACCCTACCAACACCCTCTAGATCTTTGCCCTAGCTAGCACATTCGGACTATTTCTCGGACTTGCAAATTTACTCAATTGGACCCTGAGGCAACGGCTTGACCTCTAGGTGGGGCAATCTACTACATGACATTCAAGCCGGTATGCTGATAGTCGATCGCTGTTGGCGATGGGAGCAGATCAAAACAAAATCCTTTTCAGAAAACCAGTGCAATAAATGGTTGAGTAGAAAAGGATGCACGCTTTGGCGTTTAGGGTGATGAGGCTCTGCAGGCCGGACATACCTGCGGAGTTCCCAAAAGGTCTTGGTCTCAGACAAGATTTTCTGCCTGATGATCTGGCCTTGGAATCGAATTCAGGAGAGGAGGTGCGAGGATCAGCAGATTTTTTCTCTTGGAAGCTTCGCAAGGATCGTGCATTCCCAGCGAACCATCTCAAATTGTACCTGCTGACAGGACTTGACAGGACCATTTGCACATCGAGCGAACATTGAAAACCCGATCGATGCTCTTGGCATCGATGGTGTCCTTGAGCTGCCGCAGAATTTCGGCACTATTCATCTGGGTGAAGTAAGGAACCCTCCACAGTTGGTCATAGAAGCCAGGACTTGTCTGGCTGTGTCTGTCTGAGGGATCAAACTTTCCCTATGTGCAGGCGTTCAGCAGCTATATCTCGGTGGGCAATTACTCGAACGCCACCGTGGAAGAAGTTGTCATCAAGGTCCGGATGCCGCCCTTTCCACTGCTTCACTGCTGAATCGTTTCTCACATCGCGGATGCTCCAAACTCCCCAAGATCACCAGGTGGCAGAGGAATCGTTCGCAGGCTGAATTGCAGAGCGCCCGACAGAAGATGACACTGTATGAAACGGCAACGCCCCTGCCAAAGCTTGATCCTGGAGAGCGTCACGACTTCCTGATAAAGCATGACATCAAGGAGATCTCTGCTTACACCCTTATCTGCAGCACATCCTACATTGATAAAGGCGAGACAGCGTATCAGCCACAGTACTTCAAGTTCGTGGCCCAGAACCCACTGTCAGTCCGCACCAAGATAAGGTCATTGACACGGCAGACTTTCCTGGAGGCCTGCGTGGAGAACTTGACTAGCAGACCCCTAGTTCTGGCATATATCCGCCTGGATGCAGCTCCAAGTGTTGTGGCAGTCCCTGCAAGCAGTGCTTGGAGCGATGGGGAGCCATCAAAGGATGCGGAGAGCAGCTCGCTGGGAAGCTACGCAGATTCCTTGCAGGTGCGTTAGCAAGGCACAGGTATCAGTTGATCAGTGATGTGCATCATCACAACTGTTCAACTGTGGTGTGGACCCAATAAGTGCATGCTCTGCAATGTTGTAACTGCATTGCTTCATATGGTGAGATGCTTGAGAAGCTTTTGTGATGCACATCCTTCCAGATAGTGGACGCCGGGGGGTCCAGCAACTTCCTGTATGCGTTGCATTCCTCCAAGGCATCGCCAGCAGAGGCTGGCAGTGCGCTCACTGGCGCTTTGGGCAAAATGGAGATTCGGTGGCGTGGCAATTTGGGCAAATTGGGGCGGCTGCAGACTCAGCAGATCATGGCAAACGCTGTCAACTCCAAGGATGTCGAGCTGCTTCTGACATCCCTGCCACAAGTGCGTGGTGGACTCTGCTTTGGAGATCCACTTCACTGCCCCAATATATTCTCGTGCCTCAGATCTAAGGCCATGCTTGGCTACGCAGGCAGTGCACCTTGAAATACCGTTTGCTGCGAAAGTTACTGTCAGGAGTAATGTGGACCGCACTCTCGAAAACCTTGCTCTCCGCGTCCCTGAGCAGCCAGCAGAAGGCGGGCTCGTCGTTGAGGTGAGCACAGACACATATAAGGTGGTATATCAGCCTGTGTGTTGTTGCGACTCGCCTGGAACTGCTACATGCACACACTTGGCGCTAAACAGTTTTGTGTCCTCTGCTCTGCAGGACCTGAGCTCTACAGTTGTATCGAGATTAGATGCGTACGGCAGCAGCTCTGTGGTGTGCACACTACTGCCCATGAAAGAAGGTCTTCAGAAGCTGCAAGCTGTTGAGCTGATCAGTCAGCAGGATGGCAGGATTCTGGATGTGATGGATATCGATTGCTTTGTGAACCGATAGCAACAATGCTGCTGCTGCAGCACTTTGAAATAATTTGTACAATACAAAGGAACAGAAACGGACCATTTGTACAACTTGGCTTGTGCACATGTACTGTCTGGAGGGCACATCAGTACATGAGTCTGGATGGAGATCTATGGGCAATACCTGCAAGCATGCAGTTTCCTACGTGTGACAAGACCCCCTGTGTGCTCATGCATTTGTTTCGGGTGTGCATTCACGCACTGTGGCACCAAAATTATAAGACAGATCTCAGATTGGACGCTATCACTTGATCAGAAAGGACATGTACATGTTGCCCTCCAGATTACAGTGACACATGGAATTAGTAAGTAGCATGCAGCGGTACATAATTACACTAGCAACACATCAGGTCAGCAGCCTTGCCATAGGAAACAGCAGCCACCAAATTATTCTTGCATACAACATGTTCTCAGATATACTGCAGTCAAAAATCTGACAGAAGATGTCAGAATCATTATCATCATGAGCTCACATCCCCAACAAGTGTCTGCGAGGAAACAAGATGATTCCCATCCCGTCTGATTGCTGCTGCGCGAGATTAAAAGCATGCGTTGGCTGAAAAGCAAACAGTACCTCAAAAATGCGCTCATGACTGTTGAATAAGATGAGCTATGGTACATTGCAGCCAGAGATGGCTGCGGTGTAATGCCTGCAAGAAGCTAATGTACGCCGCCTCTATGCGGCCTCAACAGTGTTTGCAATTCAGCTGACGAACACAGGAACATGCTGTCCCTTTCCATCGTCTTGACACTCTATTTTGTACAAAGGACTGCAGAGAGGCAGTGGCCCAGTTGAGATCTGCACTCGCCAGGCTAAAGATGATGCAAACGCGCCAGTCTTGCACTATAAGTACACTGCCGTAATCAAGATTCTGACCGCCATGCACCCGCCTCACAGACTGCCCTCTTGAAGTCCACTGCTAGTCTTCCCTTGGCTCCAAAGCAGCCCGCCTCGCCGCTGCCACGAACAGGGCAATGACCTTGCTCTCATCCACAGTCTGCAATCCACAGTCCTCATTCAGCACCACCAGTCAAAGATGCCCCTGTGACATATTACTCTTGCCAAAAAATCCACACCTTCTGCTATGACGGAAATCGCTGGACATACCTGTGCCATGAAGTGTCGGCCCACAGCCATGACGAGCTGGTCCTTGCTGCTGTTGGGCCCCACATCAGGCAGCTTGTAGAACCTCCGATACCTCTTCAGCGCTGCAGTCTCCAGATTGTGGAAATTGATCCTCTGCACATCAGTCACACAGGCCTCTCGCATGACAGCAGATTTCTGAGGTGCTCAATTGACACAGCAGCATTACATCAATGCCAGGAACGCCATGTAGGATCACCACAACATTGGCCACCTACCGGCTGGCTGCCATGCCGCACAGATATCCGCCGCTGATGAGGCAATTCTGCACCACAAAACATCAACACGTCAGCACTCCCAAAACAGCCACACTTGTGGCAGAGGAATCACTGTGTTCTGACCAACGCAACCCTCAGGAAGGTCCTGCCAAGACACTCCTTGGCTGCAAAGGTGGCACCTGGAGAGGGAGCCAGCGGCCTGGGTGGTCTCCTTGCCCGCATCCGTGGAAGCGCCTCTGCACACCATGCACAGCAGTGTCAGTGGCTGTACAAATAGCTGGCGCTGGGCTCATCATCATTGCCTGCAGTTCACTATTCTCTTGCCTCCTATATGGTTCTGAGACTGCTGGTGATACAATATGCTTCTCCAATTCCAAGAGTAGCACGCCCAAAGAACAGGCTGCCAATGGTCATTAGATTTCTTCCAAGCACTCCCGCTGGAGAATCTGTCTGATTGGCTCTGTGGACAGCCGGAAAGGTTTGGCCCACGTCTGGATGTTAACATCCGGTTCCGGAAGAAGCTTCCGTCAAAGGCTTGGCTTGGCTCTGAAGGCCTCGCTGATAATAGAAAGGCCACCTCACTAGCCGGAACACCGTGTCCAACTGCTTCCTTGAGAGCTCAGCTTTCTGTGGGCGCTCTGCAACGAGGCGTTTCGCCCAAAGCACCTTGCCCGAGAACATATGAGAAGATACCTGCTTGATTCGCTGCATTCTCCTCCTCCTCCGAGAAATCCTGCAAGACATTAGAAAGATTCAGGTGGTGGGCTTGGACGTATCAGGCAGGATAGCATCGTTCGAAACCAGCGGATGCAACAACGGACCGATTCTTGGTGTCCCGTAGGTGGTTCGAGGACTGTGAGTGCATTCCTCTGCAGCCTTACTTCCTCCCCGCTGCTCAGCCGCAGCCAGTGCCATCCTCCAAGACCCACAGCTTTCCTGACGCGGCCTTTCAAGCCAACCAGAGCCTGTTTTGTGCGTTGATTCCCGGAAATGAGGACCGAAGTCCCACGGTGTAATAGCTGCAGAGCCATCGTCCCGTCATCCTCGTCATGGCTATCATCCCCACTGCTGCTGGGCATTTGACGCATTGATGGCTGCTCCTGATCGTCCATCATGTTTGTTGGGTCTCACTTTGCAGTTTGGTTGAGGTGGCACCCAGGGCCCCTCAATTGAAGCTGTAACAAGGTCCCCCCCGTTCCCGTCGCGCTTCCGCCGATGTCGGACATGTCACTATTGCCCAAGCACAACTGCCCACGCTCCTTTGAGCCTTGATGCTGCCCTGAATATCAAATCTTTGCGATTAGCGTGAGTAACTTCGCATCGGGACAAGCAGTGGTGGCTCTGAGCAATCGTACGTCCAACGTCCCGAGCTCCATCCCCATGCTGTTTTGTTGATCTGCTATTCTTGGACGCGGTGCTACACGTGGACATGGACGTGGGAGGCTTTTTCGTGGCTGTACTTGCTGCTCTGTTCAATGGAACCTTCGGGATCTTCTCAAAAATCAAACGGGTGCAGGATGCGGAGGTGTGTCTTTCTTGGAGGACGCTGCTGACATTGAACAATAATTCTGCTTCTCTTTGGCCACATCATCTTCCTGAAAGTTTAACAATAATTCCAGATCGTTTGATTGCAGGTGTCACCGCCCATCTTCAACTTCTGGACATGTATCGGAATTATCATCTCTTCCTTGCCTTTCCTGTTCGTCCACCAGGTGACTTCTGACAATCTGAGTCACATCACGCATTTGTCATTGTCAAAAATGTGGTTCCTACTTCCGATTAATGCACAAATATTATTCTGATTGCTCCTTCTCTGACACAGGCTTCACTCTTGCAGGTGTTCACGCCTCTGGGGATCCTGTCAGGCGTGTTTTTTGTCATCTCGATGGCCTGCACTATATTTGCCATTCAATTTCTGGGACTGTCAACTGCTGCCGGGCTCTGGAGTGGAACAGCAGGTGTGAGCAGCTGGCTGTTTGCATTGCTCAATGCTTGATGCTTGTCATGCCCGCCTGCGGGTCAGAGAACTTGTTCAATGCACTAAAAGGGTGTGCAGAGCACCGAGGACAGCCCTATGTGCTATGCAGTTGTCGTGTCCTTCACCTTCGGAGTCAAGGTTCAGGGAGACACCATTCAAAAGCCCGGGTTGGCTGCGCCGGGCTTGATGCTTCTGATTGGCGGGATAGCCGGAATAGCCCTCAATGGCGAAGTTGTAGCTCGCAGACGCCAGAATGAAGGTACACAAAGGGAATTGCCCATAAAAGCCTTTGTGAAGGAAATCCACCGGAGAGGGCTGACTTGCCTCTGTTACCTCAAATGTTCTAATGACCGGTACGCATCATTGCTGAATCATGTCCATTATCCACAGAGACTGTAAGAGAAGGAGAGGAAGCGGGTGCAGAAGTCGAGACAGGCAGGGGTGAGGAGTCCCTGTTGAGGAGCGAGAATGCCAAGAAGAGGCGCACACGCACCTCTTTGGCCGGACTGGCCACGGCTGTGGTCGCAGGTGTCTTTGGAGGTGAGGACGGTGATACCTGGCCACGATGAGCTAGTCCTGCTTCATCGCTGTTCATAAATTGCCCTATGAGAGCACAGCCTCTACTGATGCGTTCTGTGCACAGGACTGGTGCTCGCACCGATGGATTTCGCTTCAGAGGAGGCCAAAGGCCTTGCGTACATCCCTTCCATGGGCGTTGGAGTGCTGGTAGCAGCCCCTCTGCTGACGCTGGCCTTCATCGCTCTGGGCCAAGCACCCTTCCAGCTGAATGCCAGGGCTGCTGCCCTCCCAGGCATTCTCGCCGGTATCATTTGGAATGCTGGGAATGTGAGTAGCCCCACCTTATCCCTCCACCTAAAATCCATCCACTTGGTGATGCATACAACTGAATCTGGCAATGTGCAGGCTGCCTTGTTGGTTGACCAGTCATGCAAGCCGTGTTGGTGTATTTTCATGTGTATGACCGTGCAGGCGTGCTCCATTGTGGCCACACAAAATCCAAATGTCGGCCTTTCCATAGCTTACCCCATCATGCAGGTATGCCCACTCTGTGCCAGATGTTCTTAAATGGTGGCTTGAGCGCTGACAGGCTTTGCAGCACTCTGTCCATGCATTAAATTTGCGTTTTGGCCCATTCAGGCGGGCCTGCTGTTTGCCGGTCTCTGGGGAATCATCCTTTTCAAGGAGTTGAACGGCCGAGAGCAGATTGGGTACTGGTTGTCCTCCATTGTCCTGATCGCTGGAGTCAGTATGCTGGCCTCATCAAAGTGACACTCCCTGGCTTTTCTCAAATGTGTGGAGCTTTTCTGGGAAATGATGTGTGGACATCCAATAAGAAGGCTTTCATTCAATCTGTACACTTTACACGTAGAAGCAGGGGCACTAGAGCAATCTGCTTACTGACAGAAACTATATAATCCTTGCGCTGTTTCTTGTCGGGCAAGATGTGCATGTTTGCAGGACCAGGTAGCTAGGATAGCCACGCTCATGCAACACTCGTACAAAGTTATATCTGCACCATTGAGATATCAAGGATGGTGCAGATCTGATTTTGCAAGACTTCAACTTCCAGAAAAACTTGAGTCAATAGGTGAAGGCAGGATTGGTTCAGCAATCTTGTCCCAGTGTCTGGCAATCTTCCAAGTGCAATGCCATTTTTAAATCCGTTGTGATTTGCTGCAAAACGACAAAGTTGCTTTTATGCATTCATGTACAACCTGATTGGGAAGCACACGCATGCATGCGCAGTGGCAGCTGACCACCTGTCCGTGACACTAGTGGCAAGATTGCAGCAAGGTTTAACAGGTTCTTCAATTTGATTGGGCTTCATGATATTGCGAAACTTCCACCATATCAGGGCTGTCACTGTGCGCTAGTAGCCAGCATACACACACAGGTTTCTACTGTTGATCTGATGTCTTTACATGTCACTTGCCCCGTCCATCCCTCAAAGTTTCAAGTCATGTGTGTGCTTGAGATTCCACGAGCTCGCCTCCGACAGAATACATCTGTTGAGCACGTACAGGGTCAAGTGCACTACCTTGAGAATGATAACCTCTCAGGGCCGCAATAAAGAGCTTGTCAAGACAGTGGAGTGTCTTGTAGTATATGATTGCATCGTTTCTGATCACTTTGCGCATTGCAAATTAACACTTTAGAGACATAGCTACCTGAAAAATTCTGAAGAAGATCTGAATCAAGCGGCATGTCTACCAGAAGCTGCAGGCACCTGATCAGGCTCATGAGGCTAGTGAACCCAGGATACTCAAGAGGTCCTCACAGCCCCTTTCTTGATCGTTTTGAGGCCTCCTTGGCCGAGCATGACTCCCTCACAAAATTGGCCATATCTGTCTGTGACGCAGGAAGGGGCTCCATAGAAAAGTATTGATGTTGCATTGCAGCTGATGCTGCCATGCGCTTCCCTGCAGAGTTTGGCGGGACCAGATAAGACCTGTTCAATTGTGGTTGAAAAAGCTTCAAACAGCAGCCACAAGAATAGAGGGAATATCACCTGGATTCCAGGTTAGAAGCTGACACTGAAGATCCAGGACAGCTCTTGACGCATCTGGCAGAATTTCCCCCATGCTGACAGCTGGAGACTCGGCAAAGAATACCTTCAGCAGGTGGAAAGCACGATGTCAGATTGCAGGCAGCTGCAAAATGTGGCTAACAATGTAGGGGGACACTCTGGGAAGATGTGAGAACGCAACACTCTGTGAGCATACCTTGCCAAAGTCTGGCAGAGAAGTGGCGTCCTGCCAGTCATTCACATCTATGCTGCCCAGAACTGAAGTGACTCGCCCTAGTTGGTCCAAGTCTGTCTCACCAGCAAAGAACGGCCCCAGACCTGTAGGGGATTACATGCCTCGAAATTGAACCCTCGCACATGCATACCTGCAAGATATGGTACCAAGACAGCTCAGGGTGCAATGCTGTCAGAGCAGCTGGCGAGCCGAGACAAGACATACCCAGCATCTCTGCGAGAATGCAGCCGACGGACCACATGTCAGCAGCGGGCCCATAAGAGTGCGATGCCAGCAGCAGCTCAGGGGCGCGGTACCAGCGCGTCGCGACTGTGTGGGTGTAGCCACCTGCGCGCTCAGCCTCAGCATCGCGCATGCGAGCCAGGCCCATGTCTGCCACCTTAAGCACTCCCTCTGACGTCAACAGAAGATTCGCTGGCTTCAAGTCGCGATGCATGTACCCTGCTTGTCACATGTCACGCCCTTCAATCTCCTCAATAGCATGTTTCGTCTATGTGATGCATGCATAAGCAGGTGAACATGCAAGGTAAATTTCTTATGCCGGGGGGGTTGGGGGACGGGCCTGCTTCATGAATTGTGGCGATGCCCTGCAGCAACTGCAGAAGCAGGGCTTTAGTGAGGGCTTCATCCAGGCGCTGTGAGGTGTGCTGCAGGGCTTCCGCAAGATCTATTGCGCAGAGCTCCATGACCAGGACAACCGTATCACCCTGTCAAAAAAAATGTTCATTCTCTGATAACACATTGGACACAGCACTAAGCTGATGATGCAAAGTAAATTGTCACTGGCAGTCTAACCTGTGGGAATGCGTCTAGCAGCCTGACAATGTTTGGATGGCTTAAGTCCTGCATGGCTCTCAACTCCCGTGACCACATTTGCTTGGCTTCCACGCCATTTCTGCCTCGTTGCTGAAGCGTCTTAGTGACGTGCTTCAGAGCAACTGCTTGGCCAGTTTCCATATGGACTCCCTTGAATACCTGTGACCAAGCAATCAGTGTCATCACAATGTAAGAGGCGGATTCAGATTGCGATGCCTATACCGTGTGAAGCCTATGTCCCAGAACTGGGTAAGTGTCCACCATCTTGCAATACTGGATCAGCGATAATGTTGTGTGGCTGCTCACTTCGCTGAATGCACCGCTTCCTATGTTCCCAGTAATCTTGTAGCCTCCAACGATGGGGCAATCAGACATGCCGAAGAGCGTGTCTTCCATTCCTGTGGAGAATGAATCAATATGATGCACCTCGTGTTGTAGTCCGTGTGTGAGATCCCCACGGTGAGCACGAGCGTCTCGTCACCGGGGCCTTTGTATCACAACGATCTAGCAGAATCTGTGATCCAAACATTGGAATCTTTCTCCCTCTTGCTCCAATTGCATGGGAAGCCACGTGCTACGTCACAGGTGACGCCAGCAATGCGCTGTTCTGGCCTTGTGACTGCGCAAAGACAGACACTGGCCAGACTGCAATTAAATAACTTTCTGACGTTCTGACATAGATCAAATCCTGAAGGAATGGCAGTCGAACATGAGGCATCCGAGGAGGTGATAGGAAAAATGAGACAGAAGGTGTTAGCTGCCAGTACCTCCCTGCCAGCAAAGTACAGAGCCCTTTTTGCTCTTCGCAACCTGAAAGGCCCATCGGCAGAAGCAGCCTTGATTTCTGGTGGGTGTTTGGATGATCTTGTTGCCTTTTCGAGCATCACTTCAGCTGGATCACATGAAACTGAGCAGCTGCATCAGTTTCCATTCGCAGACCAAGATCTGAAGACAGCGGAGATTGACATTATGTGTTCTATCTGGCAAAGCCTTGCAGGATGAGTCTGCGCTGTTTCGTCATGAGGTCGCCTACTGCTTGGGTCAGCGCCAGGACCCCGCTGCGATAGCCACTCTCACTGGCATCTTGGTGGACCAGCATGAACATCCTATGTGAGTCAACTTCATTACTTCCACAGTGCTGAGTCGTGAAACGCCTCACAATCTTGTGGGTCTATGCCAATGTGGCTTCTTCTTTATACCGATTAGCACCGCTGCAGGGTCCGCCATGAGGCTGGGGAGGCACTGGGGGCGATCGGGACTCCAGAATGCTTTGATCTGCTGCGGGACTTCAGCGGTGATCCATGCCTGGAAGTAGCCCAGACCTGCCAGCTGGCCCTGCAGCGCATTCAGCACTATGCAGAGGCTGCCAGCAACAGTGGCACAGCAGCAGCAGTTGAGGCTACTGCAGGGCCCGGAAGCTGCTCAGAAACAACCGCCAACTCCCAGGACCATGCCCCTGGCAGCGAGGCGTGCTTCGCGAGAACATCTGGGCATGAGAATGGTGGAGCCTGCAATGGAGGCGACTCCTCACCATACCTTTCAGTGGATCCAGCCCCGGCAGCCCCTCTGAGCACGCCCACGGCTGATCTGCGCAGCTTGTTGCTGGATGAAGATGCCCCCATCTTCAAGCGATACACCGCCCTTTTTGCTCTGCGCAACAAGGGCGGCAGGGACGAGGTGTGTTCTATGGTGCTGTTCCCTGCCTTTCATGATGTCCTAAATAATCTGGCATCATGGAGTGACATGTCAGCCTTTGACCCAGTCATGTCTGCGCTGCAAGGTGGCTGCGTTGGAGGACTCTCTCAGGAGTGACAGCGCTCTGCTCAAGCACGAGGTGGCATATGTTCTCGGCCAAGTCCAGGATCCTGCTGCCATCAATGCCCTAGAGTACGCCCGTGCTCACATTGTCCCTTTTCCCATCCCACATGCTCTGCATGGGACAAATTTATAGTGAGACCTTTTTGGTGCATGTCTGCATGTGCTGGCGGAGCATTCGCTGTCTTCAAGGTTCAAAGCTGTCGTATTCATGCAATGTTTTGTGACTGCGCGCAGGCAGGTTTTGCGGGATGCTTCAGAGAATGCCATGGTGCGCCATGAAGCTGCAGAAGCTCTAGGGTCAATCGCTGACCGGCGGTGTGTGAAGCTGCTGGAAGACTTCAGCACTGACCCTGAGCCCATAGTGGCCCACAGCTGCATAGTCGCGCTGGACATGCTTGCCCATGAAGAGTCTGGAGATTTCCAGTATGCAGATTCAGGCCACACTGTACAGAACAGCCCTTCCGTCACAGTGTGCTGAAGATGCAACAAGCTAACGAGGCAAAGACGCCGTTGTAATCAAAGAGACCTCCCTCTTTAATAATCGAATTGCGAAATTGAGCGTGGTTTGAGCATGCATTCGTAGAATGCATTTGTGGGTGCTATGATTATGGTTACTTTACACTTAATGTTGGAGTAAATGCTCTCCAGGATATTTCCATTCTGTATTAGATCGCTGTGGCAGCTAACAATTTCATGGCCAAAAAAACTCACCCTCAAATAATAGCACAACTCTCAGCTCAATTCCATGGAAGTTCGTGAAGACCTTCAAGATAACACAGCAATGCATGACATGAACCAGCACAAGGACCTGCCTATTTGAATTGCCCCTTTTCTCGATGTCTAGATCTTATTCAGCGCTGTACACATTTGTGCACAATGGAACCTCCACAGTAGATCCTCAGGATGAATCTTAGGCTAAGATTCAGCCGGCAATGGAGTTCCGCATATGGCACATGCAAGGAAGTTTGCTTCAGCGCCTTCATGCTTGTATGTGCACACCTGCAAGGAGCATTCCTCATCAATGCGCGAGCACAAGGAGCATCAGATCTGAAAGGCTGTGCAATGCATGAAGGCCTGCCGCGAAAATCAACAGAAGCATGCAGGATGCAAAGTACCTGGCAAGACCAGCCCTTCATCGCAGAATGTCCGTGATCAGCAGCAGGAGGGGCCCCGCTCAGGTTAGCCGCAGCCGCAGGACGCACATTCTGTGCTGGCGGTCGCACCCCGTTCCTGATTGCAGCAGCACAGGCACTGTGAGCTGACGTTATCACCACAGGAAGCCTATTTGCGGGTCTCTGACAAGCTGGACCCCAGGTGGATACTGCTGGCCTTATTACAATGGCTGGCATACAACAAACTATGCCATGAACAAGGTAGCGGATTCACACCTTGCAGCAGGCGCAGCCGGGGCCTGCGCAGCCTGCCGAGTAGCTCCAGGCGGGTGGATGCCGTTCTGGGCAGGCCGGGCGTTTCGGTGCTCGGCAGGGGGCGTGATGACAGGCATGCGTGGAGGGGGTCCCGCTGCCGGCGCCGGGCCAGTCTGCTGCGCCCTGTGGTGGCCATTGACGGCTGCGCTCGGCATGCTGGTAGATGGGGCTGGCGCAGGCGCAGGCACAGGCGGCGGGGCGGCGGGGCGCGGGGCCGCAGGTGCAGGAGGGGCCGGGGCGCCCATCATGAGGTGAGGTATGAGGTGTGCCAGCGGGGCCGGAACTGCTGCGGGTGCTCCCTGCACACAAGTGGGGCCCTCATCAGGTTTTTGGCCCTGCCAATGTGCCCAGTGTTCCCAATCGTGAGAGCTGGGACAGAAGATACATGTTTAGTATCTTGTAAACGTGCAGTGGACTAGTAGCGGATTGGCAGCAACTAGCATTCACATGCCGTACTTGGTGTGATTTGACATTCATACTCCTGTTGGTGGTATGAAAGGATGAGAGGCAGGAGAGAAGCAGGAGCCTCACAGGAGGAGGGCCAGGCTTGTAGCCTTGGCCGCGAGGCGACACCATCAGCCTCTGCGGTGGGGGAGGCCTGGTGCCGTTGGCCATCTGGGTGGGCGGGGGGATTGGCAGCAGTGGACCGGACTGCAGAATCCTGCTCAGCACAAGAGTCCCATGAGATCCCTTGTGATACTCCTGTACCAAAAATTGACGCTGGAAGACAAGCAGAGCATCTCTTTGCACAGGCACGCTGCGTGTTGTTACCCACCCGTTGGGGATGGGGGCTGCTGGTGGAGGCGCCAGTGGGGGCGGCGGCTGCGGCTGAGCAGGCGGCGGCACAAATGGAGGCCCCAGTATAGAGGGGTGCGGCGCGGCGGGGGCCTTGGCTGCAGGCAGGTTCCGCGGCGGGGACGCAAACACGCTGCTGTAGTCTTCGTGGCCGTTTAGTGAGCCAAATTGCACAGGGCATTTTCCACCTGCGCCTGGCTGCACACCTCCGGAACGAGCCTGCACAACACTCTTCATCTATCACATTAAGTATGCAATTTTACATCGTCTGCATCCCACAGAAAGGATGGGACAAGAAATTCATCTACACATAGCAGGGATGGCACTTACTTTGTTGTGCGGTTGCTGGGCAACCTTAGCTCCCCGCTGCCTCTCAACGTTCTTCAGCATTTCTTCAGCTCTCGCATCTCCCAGCACATCATGCAGCATCTGCCAGGACACGAACATCGCATCAATAGACACACCGGATCATGCACCTTTGCCGGACGGCAGTAATCCTTTCACATGAAAGGGGCCCGGTCTTGCAAATTGCTGTGAAGCGCAGGGTCACACCTGCATGTGAGAGGCCACTGCATGGTCTGGGACCCCCTTCAAGCACAGGGCATCACTGAGCATGTCCAAGGCCTTTAATTGACTCTGGATCGATCCAAGGCACTTGAACAGCTCGTTCACAATGCTCTTCACCCAGCTGTTCTCGTCCTCATCATCCAGTCGCTGCAGAATCTTCCACACCAGACTTGCTCCAAAAGCAGGAGATGGCTGATTGGTCCAGCTCTTCACCTGACATGGCCACACAGCAGATTATTTGCAGTGTGAGCTAGAACAGGGGAAGGAAAGCATGAGAACTTCAGAGGCGGAAATGGCCAGCAAAGTAGATGGATTCTGATGGTTTGGAGCTCGTTCTCACCGCTGTTCGTGCAAACGAGCCTTCCAGTGCTTGCGCAGTGATGCAGATGTGGGTCACTATGATGTCCTTGATACTGCAGACGGGCAATAATGACAGTGCTTCAGGGTGATGTGCATTGGAAAATAACTGACAAAGCAATTCAAGAGGACTCCTGCAAGAAAGCACTCACTCTTCATCTGCTGCAGTCAAAGAGACCAAGGCCGTCACAGTGTTCAGACCCCATCTGTTCTCCACAAGCTGCCGAGTACTGTTGGCCAGGAATGTCAGCATCTGCCCACAGCACAAAGAGCTCAGAACCAGCCATGCAACTTGACCTGATGCATGTGTAAATTCTTCACACCATGGATTGAAGATGAACTTACCTGCTTGCACTTTGGGCGCGGCAGGCCTGCAGAGGCAGCGTCCACAAGCATGGGGCCATAGTTCTTGTGCTGGGCTAGCTTGATGACGGCCTGCTCATCCTTCAGGTACAGACCGCACAGGCTGTCGAGGAGCCCCATTGCTGCTGCAGACATGTGGCCCCCCTGGTGCGCCAGTTCGCTCTGCACCAGCAAGTTTTGTCAGCGCAGCTTGTCACCTTCTTGGGTGTGAAGATCCGCTTGTTTGGAGACAGTGCAGTTGGTCACACTATTGGGTGTAGAGGTTTGCCAAGCAGCCAAGATTTTCGACACCAGTCATATCCAATGAAAAGTGAGTTTTCCAGCTCTGGCCAGCCGGTTGGCACTGCACAGGTAGCAGATGAGACAACGCACCATGGCGTCCACAAGACCAGTCATAATCTTGACGCCACGCCAGGCCTCGGGGGAGTGCAGGTCGGTTGTGAGCTTTGGGCCTCCCGGGAACAGCTTGGACGCCAGCGGGAGGATGTCTGCGCAGTCACCCACCTCCAGGAGCTTGAGCACCACGTAGATGCCCTGCTTGTGCATTGCGCCCTCTGGCATGGCCCCCGCGATGCCTCTCGCCATCCGGCCTACGCAAGCATGCCAGGACCTTATTGGTGTGTGAGCGCAATCATCGCGGAGCAAGCATGATCATGAATCCATAGACACACTCTGTGGCTTCTGCAGCAGGAGGAGAAGCGATTTGCAGGAAAACAATCCTTAGGCATGCTTCTTTATTGAGCAGGGTTGTATACGGTTTTATGTAGGACAGAGTAGGAGGCAGGCGCTGTACCAAGCGAGTCCTGCCCGTCCGAGAAGCCGAGCATCCTCTCGATGTCCTGACTGGCTGCGGTTTTTCGGGCACGCAGCTTGGCGGCAGCCTGCCTGAACTTGTGCGTCGCGTCCAGCAGGTCTTGGACCGTGTAGTTGCCATAGAATGCCGTCGCCAGCTCCTTGACATGACCCTTCTCTGCAAGGCACATACGCAGGCCTCAGACTTGCAGCATGATTCTCGATTCTCTGGTTGCAATCATGCAACAATTGTCATGCAATCATGCAGCAGTGCATCGCTTGCAGCACGGGACATGGGGCGCGCACCTGCCAGGATGCGGATGACGTGGTGCAGGCGGTCCTGGCCGCGCTTGGACATGGCAGCGATCACCGAATCGGCGTTGCCGCCAACCGCGCCCGGCACCAGGCCGGTCTGCGCTGGCGTGCCCGCCTCCTGGAAGGCCTGCTGGAAGTTGGGGTGCATCTTCTCCAGTGCACAGTCTCTCAGCTCCTTGTCGGTGCACTTCAGGACGTCCTGGGGCAAACAAACATGCACCACCTTAGTGTCTGTTGAATGGCAATTCTGCCTGGTTATTATGCATGCACGATGAGACAGTGGGGAGTCTGTCCTTGCCTTGCGCACGCCTGACGGTGCTCCATGAATGATCGCTGGTGCGCCCTTCGGCCCTGGCTGGCCGCACTTGTTGCACTTTGAGCGCGCGGAGAAGTTGATGTTCTGGCACTTTGCGCATTCCCAATCCGAAGGAGGCAGAACATCGTGCACCTGCGACGCAGAAGTTGGCATCCACTTAGTCAGCATGCTAGCGCCAGCTCAGGTGCTTTTGTTGAGATCCAAGAAGCATGGAGAATAGAAAGTACAGGAGGTGGACGCACCGCTGCTTGTTTCTTGACAACAACAGGCTGCCTAGCTACGGCCGCTGCACGGGCTGCCCTGTTTGCCTCGACAAGGGCCGGGTTGCCCTTCCCAGCGCTGTCATGGACAACACAAGGGAATGTCAGATGTGTCCATTCACAAGTCATAAATGTGGAAGTGCATGAGAAAATTTCCTGGCCACAAGCAGCAAGGAGGGTCTACACATGGGCCAGCAGGCCACTCACCCATCGTTGATCGGGAAATATCCCTCGACAAACTGCCGGCAGAAGGGGCACTTTATCCCAGCGTCTGCCTGCAGGGAGACACAAGAGAAGTGACACACTAGGAACGAGGTCTTGCGCTCTTGCATATTGGAGCGAAGGCCAATTGATGCAGTTCTTGCTCAGAATCACCTTGAAGATGTTGGCCTGCCGTAGACGATCAAGGCACGGCTGGCAGACGACATGTTTGCAGGGACTGAACCTGATCTCCTCAGGAGCATGGAAACAAATACAGCACGCCGATTCCCCTTCTTTAAGCTCACGTGTGGGGATTGCCGACTCAACTCCCCAGACCGTCCCACCCCAGGCGGCTTTTCCCCCAGTCATTGCCGAAAGCACTGTATCATTGCTGTGGACACTCGATAGGATCCAGCGCAGCCCTCCTTAATTACACCCACTCGCCCGTTCTCTTTGGGATACTGCGCAATAGAACAGAGATATATTTAGATCGCGATCTTTATGAATTGGTGAGACTGATCGCAGGAAACTTTTTGGTGTTCTAGAGGCAGAGTGTAGAGGCAGAGTCAGATTCCCTGTGTATATAAACCCTGGGATGTCTGGCAGGGGAATAGCAACATTTGGCCAATCTTACAATCTGAACGTTATCTCAATTTGCGGGCCCTTCTATCGACGCACTTTCGTTGGCGGGGGATTTCTGCAGCCTGCAGCACTAACATCGCTGCGAATCGGTAGATTGCAGGTGCGCGGGAGCTCTGCGCCCTTGAGGGTGCTTGCGAACTGTTCACCCTAGCTCCGGTCGCAGAAAGTTGGCCTTTGCTCATAGCGGCGTGCACAGGCTCTTCCTTTTTCATGAAGCATTAAGATATATGATGTCCTTTCTTGCGGCTCTCGGCCCCTTTCGCTACCAAGAAAGGGGGGTGGGACGTGAGGCTGGATATCCGGAATCACTCTCAAATGAGTGATCAAGAAGCTTGTATCGAGAAAGGACTGGTCACAATGGAGATGATTATTGCGCTGATGAGTACGAAACAGCAAATTAACTGAGGTGCTTTTCTGTGCGCAGAGAAGATGGTGGGATCTTCAGCTCTTCTCCAGCGCCAGGCCTTCTGTGGCAGCAGCTCAGCAATTGGCCGTGGCAATGGATCCCGCCTGAACGCTCTGTTCAAGGTCAGTCAGCTTCTGTCGCACAGCTGGGGTCAACTCTTGTTGCTTTGCAGCGCAATAAAGGGTGAGGGTTGGTTGGACGTGGTGTGATGGGCACTTGTGGTGTACTGTCAGGGAGGCACTAAGCAGCTGAAGAAGGCCACAGCCCCGGTCAAAAGGGCCGTCGCTACTCCCATCAAGAAGGCTGTTCCCAAGACTTCGGTGGGAACCCAGCGCGTCGGCAAGAGGAAGGGCAGCGGTGGTGGTGCGCTACTTTACTAAGCCTCAACTGCATGGAACAAGTTCTTACGGTCTGTAATGACATGTCAAATTCACTTTTAGAATCTGACTTTTTTTTTTGGCTGAATGATGAGCATGTTTACTTTTCGCATATCATATCCCGGCATTTCAATGCAGGTGACGCCCTGTGGCTCCCCAACACCGAGAGGCCAGCCTGGTTGGATGGATCTTTGCCGGGAGACAGAGGGTTCGACCCCTTGGGGCTATCATCGCCACAAGATTACCTTCAGGCAAGTGCTCATCTGACTTTCACGCTTTTGCTTGTGTTCATATCCTCCAATGCCACTTGGGCTGCATGGGTCACATCTGAGCACCAGCTGCACGTCAACTGAACCTTTGCATATCTGATGCAGGTGGGCATCGACCAGCTTGACCAGAACAAGGCAGTCAACAAGGCAGGCGCCATTGTTGGCAAGTTCGCGGCCCCCAAGACCAAGATCAGCGACACTGCCCTCCAGCCGTACGACGAGGTGTTCGGCCTCCAGCGCTTCCGCGAGACAGAGCTCATCCACGGGCGGTGGGCCATGCTCGGCGCACTCGGAGTGCTCGTTGCAGAGGCCTCCACTGGCGTCTCCTGGTAAGTTTAGACCAGTTCTTGCCTGCCAGCCAGTCAATGTGCTTCTAAATTGGGGTGCTGAGTGAGTGCCAGTTGATGCCAGAGGTGCACGCTGTACTTAGATCTGCTGGAGGATGTTTTATTCATTATTAAGACACTGCTATTCCTGCCAGAGGCAAGGTGTGTCTGCAGACAAGCTGCATTTAACGGCTACCAAAATCATACCCTTTGTTGGACTCGCCAGGTTCAAGCAAGGCCCAATCAACCGTGGGCACGGCGGTCAAATATTACTACTGCCCCTTTCCAGCCGGGGGACATATTGTAAGTAATAATGAAGACTTTCACAGGTTATCCAGTGGCAAGAACCAGGTCAGCGGATTTTATATTATATCTGAAAGACCCCTGAAATCGGCACCCAAATAGACGGGCAGGGGCACAATGTAGAGCATGTGGAACAAGATACAGCCCAGGGAAAGCAAAGCCCAATCCACCGTGGGCACGGTGCTCAGCATTTATACCGCCCCCCGAGTTCTCTAGGGGTTTTAGCAGCGCAGACTATGCTCCAAAGCTGACTTGTTCTGCATGAACCCAGGGTGGACGCTGGAAAGGTGGAGCTGGACGGTGCCCAGTACCTGGGCTTCAGCCTGCCCTTCTCCATCAGCCAGCTGGTGTGGATTGAGGCCATCCTTGTGGGTGGCGCCGAGATCTACCGCAACCGCGAGCTTGAGCCCCAGGCTCGCATCTACCCCGGTAAGCACATTATGAATTTGCCCCTTTCCCCTTTGCTGGGCTGTATCATGTTCCGCATGCTCTACATTGTGCCCCTGCCCATCTGCTGGGTGCCGATTTCAGAGGTCTTTCAGAGACCAACAAATCTGCTGCCCTGGTTCTTGCCACTGGATAACGTGTGAGAGTCTTCATTATTGCTTACAATATGTGCCCCGGCTGGCAAGGGGCATTAGTGAAAACTGAGCACCATGCCCATGGTTGATTGGGCCTTGCCTGGATGTGGCGAGTCCAACACGGGGTAGGATTTTGGTAGCCGTTAACTGCAGCTTGTCTGCAGACGCACCTTGCCTCTGGCAGGAAATTCGTGTAACAATAAATGTAACATCTTTAGCAGTACAATGTTGTTGTGCTCTGATTGGAGTGCAATGCTTAGAAGTTGGCACTACTGTTTGCAGGCGGCTACTTCGACCCCTTGGGTCTGGCCACCGGCGACGACGCGCGCGCCTTCAAGCTGAAGGAGGCAGAGCTCAAGCACGGCCGCTTGGCGATGATTGCCTTCCTGGGCTTTGGCGTCCAGGCTCTGGCCACCGGCCAGGGCGCCCTCGGCTCCCTCGCCAAGTTCGCCAGCAGCTTTGCCCCCGAGCTTGTAGAGGACATCGAGAAGGCCGCAGGTGTCATCTAGATTGCTGAACGCTCCTAGTAGCAGCAACTGCTGACCAGGGTGTGACCAGGGTGTGCATTATGCCCAGACATGCGCATCAACAATGCGAATGCCGCTGCATTCATTGTGGTTCTTGCCACAGCCCCTGCTGCGGTTGCAGTCATTCTGGCACTTAGTTCATTTAGTGAACTTTGTTGGCTCCTCAGATTTGAGCATTGACAGCTCTTTTCTTCCCAGGAGGTCGTTTGATTGCTTGCCAAATGTATCTATGTGGTGTCGCTGCATTGCCGGCCTTGCCCACACGAGAAGAGAATAGAAGCAATGATGGAGGACAATGGTTGTAGGATGGTAGTCATTCTCAACTGAACGCAACATGTTAGTAGGAACACCATTTGACATGCTGTACCTTTGGCTTGCTACCATTTACATATCTATATCACGCCTCTGCAAGCACCTTCTCGAATGTAGCATGAGCACCAGATTCAAAGACAGTCTTACATGCTCTTGTTCCATGTGAGTACTTGAACCCAGAGGGTGGAACAGTACAAAGCGCTTGCTCTGCCTCAATCTGCATCTCTGTTCTCTAAAGATTACATGGATTTCATCATATCTTTCCTTCTGTATCTACAAGCTATATCACTCAGATGTCATCGTGATGGGCGGCTGTTCATGTCAAGCTCAGCAAAAGTCCCCTGAACATCGCTCAGCTTCGGCCGCGAAGACGTCTTTGGCTTCAGCTGCATGTGCCCTTGCGCTTGCCCCTCGCCTGTGCACGAGTGCACATTTCAGCTCAATACATACGAGAATGAATTGCCAAACCAAGCAATATTGCTTTAGGTACATTGCAGTGTCATGCCATCAAGCATCTGTGGTTGCAAGGCCTCACCGGGTGAGCTGACGGCCTCCCAGTTCTTGTAGGTGTAACCAATGAAATTGGGGTCTGCCCGGCCCCAGCGCTTGCTGCTGCCGCCGCTGGACATGCCTGCCTCGTCATCAAAGTTCTCAAAGTTCTGAGTGTCCAGTTCGTGCGTTACGCATGGCCTGTAGGGCGGTGTCTGCGTCGTCAGCTCATCCCACTTCACTCCAGCAAAGAATGGGTGCACCTGCACGCACAAACAACATTATTTGATAAATCCACAGCAGAGTCTCAGATATCATTGAGAGGCCTTTGCATGTATGTAATAGATAAAAAAGGGATACGCTGCACAGTTTGGTCTTGCTTGTCTTGATAATGGATGCAACGAGATGGACTGTCTGGGGCCTTGATGCACACCTTGACTTCCTGAGCGCCGCCGTGACTACCCAGACGGTCCTCCACATTGCACAGCAGCCTCTCTATCAGGTTGCGCGCGTCAGGCGGAAGGCTGACCTGCGTGCCACCACTAAATTCAGAGGTGTTCATCATTGATCACCCAAACATAAATTGGCATACAGAGCTGGAGATCAGCTTGTTGGTGTGGTGGGGCCATGCAGACATCCACAGAGATGTACTAGCCCAGATCAGGCATCGTGAGCATGAGGGATTGTGCTGCAGCACCTCAGGGGGGAATCGGAGGGTGGAGCGCCAGTTGACAATCTTGCGGCAGGTGGTCATGGGGTCGTCGGAGTAGAAGGGTGGGTAGCCGACCATCATCTCGTACATGATGGCCCCCACGCTCCACCAGTCGCACTCCATGCCATACCCCATCTTCATCAGCACCTCCGGCGCTATGTAGTCTGGCGTCCCCACCGTCGAGTACGCCTGCACCAATGACGTGATAGTGATAGCAGTGCCAAGAGTTCTTTTCAGGCTCATTTTCAGGTTCGAATGCAAATCTTCATGTGGCAGGCTGCGAGCTCTACTGAGAATCTGCTAACCTGGCTGTTCTACATTAAATTCCCCTTGGTATAAGCAGTGATTTGATAGTCTTTTGCAGCAGCAGGACATTGCAAGAACTTGCCCAGCATCATAGGCCAGGTTAGGTGAGAGAAAGAGTGTGCATGAGTGCTGGAGATCTCACCAGCTTCCGCCTGTTGCTCTGCCAGTGGGCCAGCTTCTCGCTCTGGGTTCTGCTGGTGCTGGGCTCTGGAGCGCCTTCAGTCCTATGACAGGGCAGAACCCATCAGCAAATTTGCCTTTCTGCCAAAGATTAACAAGGTGGCCTGTGCTGAATTGCAGACCTGTAATTCTGGCCAGGCTCGCTGCTCTGGCTGGGTGGGCTGACTGCCACTTGCGGTCCACAGCCGCAGCAATTGAGAAGAGCAGACGGAGACGGCTTCCTCTGGTCTCTCAAGTCGTCCACAGGAGGCCTGCAATAGCATTTGACACAAATTCTTTACACCTCAAATAGTATGTACAGATCGTGCTTGTTTGTCTGAAGACAGTATTGGGGCTTTCGGAGCAGGACACATAATGAGTAAGTTCAATGGAAGGGGAAGACTTACTGGGATACGCTGGGGTTTTTGTCCTCATGCAGCGTAGGCAGTTTTGAGACGTCGACTGGCTTGCACAGGCCGAAGTCTGACAGCTTCATGTGCCCAGAAGCATCCAAGAGGAGGTTGTCCGGTTTAATGTCTCTGCATCAGCATATTGCAGGTCAGCTCATGTCATTCTCATCTACATTAATAATCAACAAGGGAAAGCAACTGGTTGCTTTAGAAAGAGCATACCTGTGGATGTAGCTATGCCGGTGAATGGACTCAATGGCGAGCACAGTCTCTGCAATGTAGAAGCGAGTCTCCTCCACAGACAAGATGTCTTTGCGCATCAACAGTGTCTGAAGGAGGCACAGCAGTCAGCCACAGCAGTCAACTTGTCTTCTCCAGTAATCCATTACAACATATGCATTAGTGAGCTGAGGAAGAAGGTGCTGCTATTTTGCCTTGAAGATCCCTACCATGACATCTCCGCCTGGCAGATACTCCATGACCAGGTACAGGAATTCCTCGTCCTGCAGGCCAGCTGCAGTTCTGAGCCTCAACAAAATAGGAGCTGCATGCGCAACTTGTCACCAACAGGCACATGGAATTTTTTCAGCAAAGCATGCAGGGGCTTCTTACCTGAAATGAGTAGTACAGGCGCACGATGAACGGATGGTCAACTTCAGCCAACACGTTGCGCTCTGCTTTCACATGATCCACCTGCCCTCGGCGGAGCATCTCTGACTTTTTGAGCTTCTTCAACGCGACCGTCTTCCCAGTCTTCTGTTCCCGGCACAGCCAGACCTGGCAAGGCAATGCAGGTGCAGTCATTCGCACATCAGCGTAGAAAGAGTATTAGAGAGAATTATGTGGCATATTACAACAGAGGTCCAAGGCTGAACACACCTCTCCGAAAGCTCCCCGTCCTATGAGCTTCAATGCCTCAAAGTCATTGGATGAAAGGCGCTGCCTCTGCAGCCTGAAGTAGTCCCTTTCTTGCTGCTGCAATGCCTCTCTCTGCTTCTTCTTTTCCTCCTCACTCAGGGTGTCCTCCTGAAGTTTCCTCTCTAACTTGATACGCCTGCAATACAGGGATATGGATTGGTTCTATGTACGTAGATCTTTTAAAAAAGAGCAGATATACCGGCACCATCTGACGCAATTGCGAGAGGCAGAACTCAGGCTTAATGTCTGTCTCAAACTGACGAGGTGAAAACGGGGATGGAGTTGATGACTGTGCAAGGGAACTTGGCCTTATTGATAACACAGAGAATGAAATCACACAGAAGGCTGAATATTATCGATAAGCTCGTTGTTCTGACGAAGGCTTGGTACCTGTCTCGTCTTTCTTGAAGGTTCTTTTGCTGCAATTTGTACATATTCTCAATGTATTCTTTCGCAGCCTGAGCCTTTTTACGAGCCTCTTCACTTGGAAGATTCATCTGTTCGCCCTGTCCTGACATAGCTGGACCTTGTTCAATGTAGTGTCTATTGCCAGTGACCAGACGATGAAACAGCTCTTGTTGAGTGTCCCTAAGAATTCCTCCCAAAGTAAGCCCTCCGAAATTAAATACGCTCGGAATCACCGCTCCTATATGCTTGCAGAAGAACACTTTGCATTCTCCAAATTTCCTCCTTCCTCCCTCGAGTCTCGAAATTTGAGATTCCAACCGAGAACATGAGAAATTGCCTGACTTGGCTGCATGGCTACAGCATGCCCTCATGGCATGCGACTGGTCGATCTGGATTGGGCAAGAGACTGTAAAGTTTGTGCATATTCCAAAACTGTGCATGATGAGGGCTCAGGACAACATGATCAGCGCATTTATTGCTCATTTAAATTTGCAGACTTAACTCTGCAGACTCACGCCGTGACCTTCATAATTATGTCTGCCATGGTGAGTGCGCGCAAGCTGCGATGTGGATGCAACTAGTCATCATGATGGCCTATATCATCCCAGAATTCTATTACAGTTAGAAGCTGCAAGCAGACAGATCTCTAGAGGAGCAGGATCATCCAGCAAAGCGCCAGTGGCTAGCTCATGATCAAGGCCTTACAATTGTAACATATGTGAATCTCCAAAATCATCTCTAATTTAACTGAATTCCTGCTTCAAGCAAGGTCTGTATTCATGGAATCCTGGACCACATCTCTCTGTATGCTTATACACAGCAAGCCAAACTGCCGCAGTTTGGCGGCCAGTGGCCAGTGGCCAGTTGCAGCCCATCGATGTCACTCGCTGATCTGAGGCGATACGGTGCGCAAAATTGCACCCAAATCCAAACCAATGTTGTCATGGATCTAGATCGCAGGCCTCTTCATCTGTTCACAGGCCAACAGGAAGCAGGGCTCCTGCAACTTTCCGTCCTTCCTGATTCAGTATGTTGAATGTGGCAGCTGCATTTGCAGTGTCAATGGCTTCCACAGAGATGCCTTTGGACGAGAGGCCATCGGTGAATGCCTTTGGGAGACGCATGCTCGAGCGGCCACAACCGATGATCAGCAAGTCTGCATCCGCACCATAAAGGCAACTCACACCCCAAGCAGATGCTTGGCCATGCCATGACCACACTGGCGGACGTGAGGAGGACCTCACCTGGTGGTGGGGTGATAAGATCAAGAAGAGCGACACTGTCAAGGGTGATGTCTTCTCGCTTCTTCACATTCCAGACAGTGCAGAGATTTCCGACGCACAGGACTGCTCCTTCCACATCCTCATTGTTCACTATAAATCCATTGGCCGCGCATCTTCATCACACAGAGACCCAAGTGAGAAGTGCTTTAATTTCCTTCCTCTGACCACTGCACCAAGCTAGAACATCAGCATGCGCATGCAAAAGCCTGCGCACCCATCGATTCTCGTTAGTCCTTTCTCTTCAGCAATAAGATCGTATTCTTCTGCCTTTGTTGCGTAGCTTGTACACCTGCAGCACCTTACCCCTCAATATTGGGACCATGGGTGGAGCACATAAGCCCCAAAGATATCTGATAATCTCATTAGATCTGGCCTCTTGCATGGGGCGCACGACACCAGAAGAGCCTACCTGAGAAGTGCGTTCGTGTTTCTGATCTGAATTGATTTCTTACAGATGCTCGCTAGGACTTCTTTGGAAAGATTTCTTAGCAACATCGTGGTCAAAAGGAGCTCATCTGACGCTGTCCATCACTGTAAGTTTGGACGGCAGTCAACACTTGGTAATAAATGGAAGTTTCCATCACAATGCATGGGTGCACAGCACCCAACAGCTGTACTCTCGATCACTTCCTAAATAGCCCAATAACCCTATCGGCATATAGATTTTGATGTTGACATATCAAGAACTTCCATCCTGCAGAAGTCAAGGCATTGAGGCCGCACGTGAGCTCTGACAAAGCAACATTTTTCCTGTCAACACCGTCGAGACTTTGATGGGATTTTCCAACATCTAAAAATTTGGAAACGCAGGTTCATCTCTGTGCTCTGTAATCACCACATCTGATCACGACTTTGAGCAGTGATGGTCAATTTAAGCCTGATCTGCAATCTTGATGAAGAAAACGCTCATTTTTATTCTCGTATTAAACTCGTTCTTACTCTTGACTGCGATTCTTCATGAGTGGAGTCATTATTCTTCAAGCAACCGTGCTTCTTACATAAGAAAGGCAGAGCCAAGCACCATAGAGTTAGGAAGGACCCAGACAAGAAAGGAAACAAATCATCTGCGGCGTGATCACACACAGGTGGAGCTAGAATTCCAGCACTTATCACTTGTATCTGATTGCCTGTAATTCCCTGATTCCTTGGCAACAGCTATCACAGGAGTCCTCCTGTGAAACCTTACCTTGTTCTTTTGCTGTCTTTCCTTGATGACGTCATCAGAGGCCCAGTAACTGTCAGCAGCACAACCTGAACAGAGCCTTCTCTAACCACGCAATGATTGTGCCTAGGTCACTGCCAGGACGCCAGACAAAACTAAAGCAGGGATCAACAGTCCTCCTTTGGTGGACTCGATCATCCTGTTCTGCTATGATAGGTGTGCACACATGCTTCTATCTATCTGCCATTCATGTCCTGCTCCAAGATGGGCGAGCAACCTGTGTCACACGGCTGATCTGATGTCCACAGGGAGGAATACTTGGAGAAGACACTTCTGTCGCTGGCGAGCCTTAAAGGCCTTGAGCAGCTGACAGTATACGTATCCCAAGATGGCAGCCATCCTGGAGTGGCAGCGCTTGTTGAAAGATTGGGGCAGGCACATTTTATGCTGCCCAAGGCGAGGGGTTTTGTACATTGGCAACATCCTCGGAACCCCTTACTTGGTCCTAACCAGGTGATACAGAATCCATCATGTGGCAAGATAAATGCAGCTTCTGAGCTTGTGTACCCTCTATGTACCCTCTAGTATGACCATGCGCTGGCCCCACAACCACGAATGTATCGCTCAAATGCTGCTTGATGGTGCCTCACAGCCTGGGCATGCCTGGCTGTCCCAACACTACAAATGGGGCCTGGATAAAATCTTCTTGGAGGAGGGACGCACTCATGCCATCATCATTGAGGATGACATGATCTTCAGTCCTGATTTCCTTGCCTTCTTCCAGGTGATGGGGTTTACTTTACACAGCAGCAATCTGAACCTGCAACTGTGGTGTGCAACTTTGATCCACAAGCAATGAAAATGTGTTTGATGGGTCGGCATGTCTGTAGGCAACAGCAGGACTAATGCAGCAGGATCCATCCATCTGGTGCGCATCATCATGGAATGACAACGGCCAGGCATCCTTGGAGTGGAACAAAACAAGATTGGTGGGTTTTGCAAAGCCTCAACGACCTTTTTTCACCATACACTTTGTTAAGCAATACTTAGAAGGGTCTCTTGGGATGCAAGTGGCTGAAGGAAGACCTGGACTGCAGTATCGCTCATCGTACTTTCCGGGGCTTGGGTGGATGATGCGAAAAGAGCTCTGGCTGGAAATTGGAACACAATTTCCAAATCAAGCCTGGGATCATTGGATGCGGCTGAACACGACCTCCAAAGGTATGCATCATTCAATCTGGCCAGCATTGAGTACAGCACAGTGGGGCATGTGCGTGAAGGGACACCTCTGTGAATGCAACATGTGAAACATGTATTGCATGGGGTCTTGTAAGGCAAGCAAAAGGACTGCACATTGCTGCACAGGGCGAGATTGTGTTGTGCCCGAGGTCAATCGCAACAAGAACATTGGGGAGTTTGGAGCAAACATGAACGCCAATGTCTTCAAGACATTCTTGGAAGGCATGGCCTGGGCAGAGCAAGGAGCAGATGCCTTTGGCGATCTGCATTCCCTAATGGAGCCTGAGTTTGAGAATCACATGAGAACATTAGTCCTGAAAGCAGAGCTTTGGACTGGTGGTCTGCTAGACGCCAAGTTTGAGCCGGGCAAGGTGAGGCCTCCAGAGCACATTGTGGGATCCTGCAGTACTGCATTGCTGGGCTGCCATGACTTTCTGCAGTCATTCCACAGATATCACCCAGATACCACAGCAAGTAATGCAACATGTGCGGTCAGGTGTACCTGGTGCCATACCTGATGGAGGAGTATGAGGCTTTGGTGAAGCCTCTGAAGCTGTGGCCGTTTCCGCGGGGTCACTACCGCCATCTGACGCGCATTCCTGTGCCGGGTGGCGCCCAAGTGCTCCTGGCTGACCGCCGCGCCTGCCCGCTGCTGCCCAAACACCTGCGTGTCCTGCCAGATCCTCAGCTTCAGCCCACGGTAGCAGAAAGGGCTGTCGACTGCTCTATCACCTGCAGGTGGGAAGCGTGCTAAATAAAGCTGTACGGGCCTCCAGGCACCTCCTTGTCCATGATTTGCCACCGCAGCAGGATGTGTGACTTTTCTGCTGTGCACTGCGCAGGAGCGTGGAGAAGCAGTGCAGCGAGAGCAACTTCTGGTTCATCAACAGCTGCGAGATTCTCAAGCAGCACTTCCCTTGTGAGAGTGGCTGTGCTGTGGAGTTGGGAGGAGACATCCCCAACTACGTCATGGACCCTGCTCTGGGCACCTTTCATTCCTGCTTGATTGCCCAACAACAGCCCCGCTGTGATGCGTCGCATCCTGCAACTGCACGGTTGTGCCCTTGCACCTGAGATCATATTATGCTGACATTGACAATGGTTGGTTCCGTGCATGGCTGCAGACAATTGTGCTGGACAATGACTGGCTCCGGGAGCTTTGGGTAATCTAAAATGATCCTAAATGAAGACGAACTGTGAATTTGAATGTCTTGATAATGTCAACTCTATTAGCATCACCAAAAACATGAAAACCGGTCACTTTATGACACTTGATGTTCTCTCTTTAACAAGTTGGGGAAGAGGACTCTCGGCACCATCATCAATGATCAGGATTCTAGATGCACAGCCTGGCATATTGTGCTGCAGCTGCGGCAGCCGCTGCCATGGCCATGGCAAGTCACCTCTGGGGGTGGCACTCAAGCCCCCCTCACAAGCTGCCAGCTGGCTAGGCTAGTCAGCTGTCTAATCCCTTTTCGGCCCAATTTTGATGCATGCAAACCCATTGGTGGAAATTCCAAGGCAAGCATTGCAGCTGGCGCCATCAGTGTGATCCAATCATAAAGTATCAACATAAATGATCAGAGTTTCTGTCTCTGAAGGATTCAAAGCTGCCCAGCAGGAGCCAAATGAGGTGACAGGCCATGCATGAATATGTTGCTAACATTTGCGGAAAAAATGCCACATTCAAGAGTATCATAGGACACCGATGTGCGAGCATTCAATAATAGTTAGACAGCTTTAATTTCTCGCACCACAGCGATTGATCTTACAGGCGTGCCTAGCTAAAAGAACCCTGCACTTTCCTGCAGATTCTGTGAGACCTCGCTGTCTTGTGAATGCTGTCATGATAACTAGGTTGCAAAGAGTTGAATAGCTTTCTTTCATGGTTTGAGAGCTGTTCCAGCTAGGTTTTGCGAGCCTCTGTCTGCGCTGATGAGTGTAACTCCTCACGAGGACCCCCAAGACTTTGTTGACGATGAGAATGGCAATCTAGCAAGCGGAGCCAACGATGACGAGGGTGATGATGCTCTTCCACAAGACCTGTCTCTTGGAGACCTTGACATAACGTCCTCGGACGTATCTTTGAAAGGTGAGCAAGGATGTATTTCCCTGTCTCCTCTCGCAAGTCGATTATAAATTTGATTGCCTCTGATTGATTGAGGCAATTATTTTGCTGGGAATTTCGTCAAGGGCAGCAGGCCAGAGTGCATCTGTAAGGAGACGGTCAGGGTCAGAGCTGAAGAGCTTCTTGCCAGAAGCCCCATAACACACTGTAATGGTGTGCTGTCCGTCCTGTGTACTCTACGCATTGTCTTGGATACTCAGGGGTAGAGGACGAGCTGGACACATATGCGGGCCATGAGGTGCTGCGCGCAATACTGGACCAGGGTTGTGATCCCAAGGAATATGGCAGGCACTACGAGGCTCGGTTGCGCCAGGCTGAGCTGGAGTCCATCCAGGACTATCTGTCTGAATCAGACAACCTCGTCATGCTACACCAGCAGGCCAGTGCACTAGAATACTTCTGAGCAATCCCCGGATCAATGTTGAAGACGCTGCCTTCTTGTATAAATTACATGCATACCAATTCATATTCACCATCTTTTGCATGCACAATAGGCAAGCACAATTTGTAGAAGCAAGCAGCTTCCTGAAAAGATTCAGCGTGGGTGCAGATCAGCAGCTGCGACAGTATCCTGGCGACAATGGAGGGAATGCTGGGCAAGTTTCAGGCGGATCTGGGCAATATCAGCAGCGAGATCCGAGCGCTGCAGGAGCAGAGCCAGTCCATGAGCGTTCGCCTGCGCAACCGCAAGGCAGCTGAGGCCAAACTGGGCACCTTTCTAGACAACCTCGCCCTTCCCCCGGCCCTCATCGATGGCATTCTCCTCGCACCCCCTGATGCTGGCTTTGCGGTAAGCCCTTCTAGCTCTGCGCTGGGAATTGTTTTCCTGACCCCACATGGTCATGTGCAACAGCAATTAAAAGAGGAGGGGAGGCTGTTGATGCATGCATAAATGCAGGAGCATCTGCTGGCGCTGCACAAGAAGCTGGAATTTGTGAGGGGCAACGAGATGGCGGCCAAGTCGGCAGCCATGCATGACATTGCTCCAGAGCTGGAGCGGCTGCGCGCCAAAGCTGTCACCAAGTCACGAGACCTCCTCATGGCCAGGTCTGCTGGCCGCCTTCTTACTCTGAACACATTTAATTATGCTCAACGCCTTGAATTGCTATGCCCAAGTACTGCAGTGCTGTGTCACCGATCAATTAGACTTGTGAAGTGTGTGTGTCCTGGTGTGCCCAGGATCTACCAGCTGCGCAAGCCCAAAACCAACATCCAGATCCTGCAGCAGAACGTGCTGCTGAAGCAGAAGTACCTGGTCACCTTCCTGCGCCAGCACGGCCCCGAGGTGTTCCAGGAAGTGCGCTCGGCATACGTGGACACACTGTCCCGCGTGCTCTCCGCCCACTTCCGCTCCTATCTGGCTGCCCTGGAGCGCTTGCAGGTCCACCCTCCACTTCAGCACATCACTGGCAGGTCCTGTGTCATCCTTTTATTGTGCACTGATGTTGTCATGTGCTTGCTAAGCATCAGTAATGAGCCAGAGGAGCTCCTGCAAGGAGGCTGGTGTGATGGGGGCAATTGCGCAGGAGGATCTGGCGGGTCCAGCGGATGTGATTGGGGAGGCGCCGGGGGCGGGGGTGGGCGGCGTGATGGCGAATCTATTCGCGCGCGGGGCCAATGCGGCGCACAGGGATGCCTTTGCGCTGGGCGATCGCGGCAACATCCTGCACCACCTGGAGCAGGCCGCCATCATCCCCCACGTCGCCGAGTCCGAGTCCAAGAAGGCCCCCTTTGAGGTGGGGCCCGCACATCCCGGTCCCTGGTCACTCAGCCACCACTTACCTTGCAGCTATCTTGACCTGCAACAGAATGTATGAATACAAACGGAGTAGGTATTCCCCTCTTTGGATTTCTCACTTAGTTTACGGTACAGGGGTACGTTTTTAACTGCACAAAGTAGTACGCTCTGGCGCTTCAGTGTGCATTTACCATGGCTTCATGGGGCCAAGATACGGTATTTTCAATCATGACCTTCTCAACGGTCCTTGTTGTCCTGCAGGTGTTGTTCAGGAGCGTGAACAAGCTGCTCATGGACACAGCGACTGCAGAGTACCTCTTCTGCTGCGACTTCTTCCAGGAAGACACCATCTTCAATGAGCTCTTCGCAGCAACGCTGGCCGTGGTCGAATCAGCGCTTGCAGCATCTTTGCAGGTTTGCCCTCTGATCCTCTGTGTGGTCAACATCAATACGCTGTTCAATAATGTCGCATCCTATAAGGTAGATGTGGCTGCTAACAGAAGTTTGTGGGGAGCAGGAGACGTTTGACTTGGTGGGCCTGCTGCTGATGATCAGAATAAACTACCACCACCAGCTGATCATGAACAAACGCCGCATCCCCTGCCTGGACGACTACTTGGACCGCACCAACCTCCTGCTCTGGCCCCGTTTCAAGGTCAGCACCCCTGTACGACAGGACACCTGTTTAACAGTGCTACTCACTTTCAGAGGCATTAGCAGGCAGCTCAACTGCCCAGCAAGTGATCTTCCTGATAAGAAGCCTCCAGATTGTTGTGCCTTCTTTTTGCAGGTGATATTGGACATGCAGCTGAGCAGCATGAAGGCGTACACCCCGCCCAACTTCGGGCAGGACCCTTCGCTGCACTTCATCACCCAGCGCTACGCCATGCTCACCACCTCTCTCCTGCTCCTAAACGCAGACTACCAGGTCAGCCATACTCTCTGTTTCTCCCATTGAAGACAGACTGGTGCACATGAATGCTCTAAATGGGTTCAGTGTGGGGTGCAATTGGTGAGTTGTGGCGGTGGGTTGTGCACAGGATGGGCAGATGGATCACAATATAGACCGGCTGCGCTTTGCTGCAATGGAGGTGCTGCTGCGCCTGTCCAAGCGCTTTGCACGCAGGCGCCTGGGCACCATCTTCGTCATCACCAACTTCCACCACATCGTGCAGGTGGCCACATGCTCCTTGCACTTGGCCAGTTCTCTTGCACTCTCAAGGAAGTTGTGAGATTGTCTACTGATGGCCGGAGATGTTGTAACTCTGCTTGAATTCACCAGATAGCGTATGAAGCCATGCCTGCATGAGGCAGACAGCGTCAAGCATTTGTGTGGTCCATGACTTACCACAGCTTGATGTGCACGCTACTCATTATTGATGAGCACTGTGAGGCAAAGATGACAATGGGAATGTGCATGCAGCTGCTTCGCGAGGCTGCCAGCAGGGGAGGGCACATGGCTCACGCCGCTGGCACATCGCCGCCTCCCCCCACCGCCCCTCTAGGAGCCAGCGGCGCAGAGACGATCAAGGAGTTCGAGGTGCGGCTCCTGTCTGCCCTCAACTTCCTGTCAGTCGGGGCGCTGCAGACTTACTCAACCCCGTTTCCCGCCCTCCACTTTTAGTCATTCGGGCCGCTGCAAACTACCTCATCACCCATTTGTATCTGTGGACGGTACTGCACCAGAATTATGGGGCTCTTTTGTTCAGGACCTCCTTCACCTTGTAAATATAAATTTGTCACAGAACATTGATGACCTCATGCTGATCAGAATGTGTGATGCGCATGGTGCAGGACCAGTTAACAGCGTGCACAAACATCTATGTGGAGGAGGCGTTGGTGCAGCAGTTTGTGGACCTGGTGCGCTTTGTGACAGAGGCGGAGGCCGCTGCCAAGGCCGGTGGCGTGGCCGAGGGCTCCCATGCGCCGGGGTATGGCCCCCAGCAGGCCGCGCCCATCATGAAAGACTTTGCCTCACGCTGGACCGCCGCCATAGAAGCCCTCAACAAGTGCGTTGCAGAGCTGCCCCACTGATCTTCATGATATGCCCTGGTCCTTAGTTTCTTATCCTGCCAGCAAGGTAGGGACTATGGTAAACGCCGCTAGAATCAGAACAGCAAAATGGGCTAGTTCTTGTTAAGCTTGCTTGGAGGATTTATCAGAATCGTCCCATGCCCCTCCTGGCATGTTTTCTGTTTTCAGTTGTCGATGCGCTTTGCAGCACCTGCGAGGCAGCCCTTTTTGCTTACCTTCGCGCTCGCTGTATTTTCATGTCTGCATTCTCTCATGTTTTGTATTCTGTGCCTGATGTGTATGTGATCTTTGGCAGGGAGACGATGAAGGATTTCAGGAGCAGCGCATGCGGGCGGGAGGTGCTGAAGGCGGCCATGACGCAGCTGCTGCTGTACTACACGCGCATGCTGGAGCTGCTCAAGCGCGCCGGCCCCGAGGGCGCAGCAGTCGTGCGCGACGCTGTCACCATCCCCAGCATCATGTACGAGATCAAACGCTTCAACCGCGCTTGACTGCTATAAACGCAGTATTGCAGAAACAGTGTGCTGCGTTATCTGGGCTACTGGCCCTTCAGTGCTGACTATTATCATCTCTAGAGTGAAGTCACAGCATTTCAATTGAAATCAAGTCAAAAATACTTGTGCTTGTGAGAAATTTTTGCGTGGAAGCTTGGAGGTCCGGTTGATGTGAGAGATTCTGTGATGAAGATGCTTGAAACCTTCTGTAAAGTGTTTCTAGCAAGATGGCCATGGCAAAGGCGTTTCTCATGAGTGACTTCAGCTCGTTCCCTGCCACGTGGCACGCGTGTGCAAATGCAAGATCATATGAATAATCTGATATCTGATTTACACCTCACAGCTCCATGGCTTTGTCTCAAAGCACTTCCATTTGTTTGAAGTGGAACCAAAAATAACTGATAATGCATGTAGCCTCCTGGACAGCACAGACTCCAACAAGTACAGGCAGCAGATCATATCACCACCATACCGCGCAGAACTGTGGACCCTAAAACTAGGGCTACGAATGTTGCACACGAATACCCGAAAGTGCCAATCAGCAGTGCTGGGACAAGCAGCGATTGCCAGCCTTTTGCAGCTGCCATGCCTCCTGCAGTGCTGGGGCCTGCAACACAGCGAATAATTAAGATTACTCAGGCAAGAGGGCTCCTCAGAAGCCAAGCCAAGAGAAGCAACAAGAACAGGCATGTTGCAAAGACCTGAGTGACGTGTGACTCCGGCAGAGACACCACCCAGAGATTTCAGGATTCTCAAGACACAACAGAAGAGCAGACTGGGATGCATACCTCCAACATTTGCATTTGATGCCAGCAAAAGATCCTTGCGGGCAAAGCCAGCTGCCCGGCCCACTCCCAGAATAATGCCAAGATGAATCGCAATTTGGAGGAAGCAGAAGAGAAATAGAGATGGCGCAGTGGTCAGAACCGCTCGTATCTGCCCAGAAGCGCCAACGGCTGCAAAGAATATCTGCAAAGGAAAGAATAGAGCTGAGAAACCACCTTACCAGGAAAGCCATAAAAACAGACACCAATTTCCTATGAAGAGGAGACAACCCCTTGGTTGAAGAACACACCTGAAGCAGGATGAAGGCTATGCCCTCACTGGAAGCTACGAGCGGCTTCAGCTGGGTTGGAAAACATGTGGCGAGAGCAACGGTGAGCAGTGTAATGATTGAGATTGAAGAGCTTGGAAAGCCAACAGCAACCGCCAGCTGCTGTCCGACATAGCACAGAATGGCCGATATAGCTATTCCTGTGCTAGCTTCCAACACCTGCATAAAATAGCAACTTCTTATTGCTGTATTTTGTATTTGTTGTCTACAACACCACCCATGCCATGAGGAGGGGAACATGCCTTGATGCCTTCTGCAGCGGGTTGATCATCGGCGGAGGCCTGACCGGCACTTGCACTCTCAGGAGGGATCTTGCGCGCCAAATGGAAGATTGTAGTGAAATAGACCGCACACCTGCATTCCGGAACAGTGACACGTCATGTCGCAGCTTGCATGCATGGCCATGGCCTGCGCTCGTCAGAATGACAGGCACTTCTTGATCACACACAGGCATGCATACAGGTTGTGGAGTGACTTTCTTGAGGGTGCGCACAGGAGGTTGTCAGCAGCCAGGCCCGCCATCTGCGCTGATGGGGACACCTGCAGCGTCTCTGCAACAGCCACATAGTTGATGGCGCCCCCAATGTGCCTCGCTGCGAGCGCGCTGGCAATCTTCCAAGAATCCTGTGCACCGAGCGCGGCCAAGGGCACCAGCTTGAAGGCCACCACTGTTCCCACCACCGTTGCAAACGCTCCAATGATAAAAGCTAGCAGCAGCCTTCCAGTCTCCTGAAACACTCTCCTGCAGTCATTGCATGTGCTGATTGTGTGTCCTGCTCATAAGAAGCCGCTTGACACAAACCATCATCACTTGCCAAGAGCAAGGTGCGGCCAGAAGATGTGAAGATCCTGATACCTGAGATCTGCAGAGTATAGAAGCAAGGGAATGGCAAGAGGCAAGATGAATTTGTTGACTGTGTCATACACTGCCCCGGCATGGACTCCCCCGATCAGGCCAACATTGGAGAACAGAAGCCCAATGAGCGTGCTTACTAGGGGCCCACTCAATTCCTTCCCAATCCTGCATGGACGGCAAAATTATCAGAAGGATTCCTGGGATCAATGTCAATGTAAAATCCTCCTCACGATACTGAGAGGGGGTGGGCACCTAGTACGCTCAGACCAGAGTCCTCCTGCTCCTGCAATGATCAAAGCTGTCCAGACGCCCTGCACTGTTGTGGCAGGCAGCAGTTGCGGTAGTGCTAGAGATGCTCGTGTTATCACTTTGCATCTTCTACCACCCCCTCTCCTCCTTAGCCTTCTTTGGGGCAGTGGCCAGGACTTTCTCACAGGATCGCGATCTGCCTGATGAACCTGAGCGATAAGACTTGCATCTCTGAAGTTGCAGTCTGATACTGCAGTGGTCCTGACAGGGTGAGCGGGCTTGACTGGGAGGTTCAGGCTGAGTAAGGCCCCATTGAACACCACCATGTCGGGTCAAGACATGCGAAAGGGGACCTTGCAGGCGTGAAGAGAGTATGCACAGACAGAGTCTCGATAAAAGGATGCAGGCCAGATCCCTATGTTCCAATGAAACAGAGATCCATGCCGGAAGTATTCTGGCCTCAGCATGACTCATCATTAGAGACAGTAATCGAGACGGCTGGATCTAAAGCAATAGCTTCTTTCATTAAAACTTCGTGCGTATTGGACTAATAAAGTAGGCCATAATCCTCCTCGTATTGACGAGACGTTAGGCCAGGACGATACGCAGACAGAAGTCAGGATTTGCATATCCCCAATACGATGGGATCTGACAAAAAGAGTGGACGAGCATCGAAAAAGCAGCGTGCTGATGCGGCTGTGTCAGATGATGAGCCTGGAAAATTGCCTGAACACTTGGAGAAACAGCAGCAATATGTCACTTGTGGAAACAACCTCAACTACAACGTGCGATCTGGCCTTTCCTGAGGCATACATTGGATGTCATGGTCACGTAGATCAATGCAAATTTCTGACTGCTTTCGCTCAAAGAGCTTCGACCCCGACATTTGCTGCACATGCACTGCTAAAGATAGTCAAGTCACCTTGAGGTGCATATGGTTTTAATCTGCCAGAAACAATTCTGTGCAGGTCAGCATTGGATCGTCAGCACATATGTTCTCAGCACTGGGCGTGGACAACAGCTGGTCGCACAAGAAATTTCAGCGGGACTTTAAGGTTGCCATGAAGTGGGTTAGGGGCAACGACATGGAATTTGACGTCATTGGGATCGATCCAGCCATCGCCAATGCGCTCAGGCGCATTCTTATTTCTGAGATTCCGACGGTGGCCATTGAGCACGTCTACATAATCAACAACACCTCGATCATTGCGGTACGTGTTGATGCTCTCCACGGGGTTCTTGCATGTTGATGAGGAGGGCTGCTGGAAGAGTCATACACCATTTCCCTGGCATGATGAGTCTTGATGCACGTGCAGTGTGAGGTGCTCTCCCATCGGCTGGGGCTTGTGCCAATACAAGTAGACCCCAACCTGCTGCAGGACAAATCAGGTACGATATCGCATTTGCTCCTGCATGAGGATGTTGAGCTGGTATGGGTCCTTAAGTTACATTAAAGAAAGATCGTTGAGAGGCCTTGGCTTTGGTACAGGGGAAGAGACTGCCACAGAGACCAACTCAATAGTCTTCAAGCTGGACGTCAGGTGTCGGAGAGAGGGGGACATGATGGTGAACGAGAAGGGTGAGATGCAACTCTTCTGTTGAGACATTGCAACTGTTATTGTGATTATTATACTAATCACACGCTTTTCCTGCCAGAGGCAAGGTGCGTCCTGCAGACGAGCTGCACTTAAAGGCTGCCACAATTCTACCTCTTGTTGGACTCGCCAGATCCAAGCAAGACCCAACCAACCGTTGGGCACGGTGCTCAGTACTCGTACCGCCCGCCGCCAGCCGAGGTATAGATCTATAGACCTCAATCATGCAGCCAGGACTAACGCAGTGCACTGTGCGCTGCAGTGAAGTCGGGGCAGCTGAGGTGGCTGCCCAATGGGAGCGAGATGCCGGAGGAGACCAACTGCCGGTATGCCAGCAGCCAGGAAGCGCTGCTGGGGCCAGCGGGTGCGCGGCTGGTGCACGATGACATCCTGCTGGCCAAGATGCGGCCGGGGCAGGAGATCGTGCTGGAGGCCCACTGTGTGCGCGGCACTGGCGCTGAGCACGCCAAATGGTCCCCCGTCGCCACCGCCTGGTGCGCCACAATGTTGCATACAACCCGCTGCATCCCCACCATGCGCATGGACGGCCCAGGGTTCCCTCGCCTAGCGGGATGTCCTGTAGGGATGTCCACAATTGCCCCAATCCCCTTCAAAGATCCCCTCCTTTGTCTGTTGTCACGTTGTGCGAGGAAGTGGTGTGATGCAATGTGTGCTCACCATGCTGAGGGACATCCTGTGCTTCAAGTAGGCATTACTGAAATATTGAGGAGTGAAGTGATGTCCTGTCCGGAATTTGATAGAGCGGGAATACTAAAGGGTGAGCGTTGCGTGCAGGTATCGGCTGCAGCCGGAGGTGGCGATCCTGCAGCCGGTGGTGGGGCCCAAGGCAGACGCGCTGGCAGCTGCCTGCCCGGGCCTCTTCACAGTGGAGGGCAGCGGGGCCTCGCGCAGAGCCGTGGCCGGCGATGCGCGCCAGCACGAGAAGCAGCTGGAAAAGGTGAGGCAAACTCAAAGCCGCATGCACTGCTTTTCACCTGTCATTGTTCCTGTTGACTCAGCCGTTGGCGATGGCATTAAGTGCAATCACCTGCTGGCAGGGCTTCTGCTGCAGCAATTTCTTGAGTGCTTGTCAAATGCTTGTAAGATTGCAAGATAGGACGGGGTATTCAGGAGGGACTTCTGTGAGGGTGGAATTGTATCTGATCGGCAGCACAAGTGACCATACTTGTCAAGATGTGCGGCATCCTGATTTTATTGCACTCTAAGCAAATGGGATCTGATCCTTGATAAGGACTTTGCACTTTTCTTCAGAATGCACCGCCTGGTTTGGTGTGGAATGATGGAGATCACTGTACCAGCAAGAGTCAAAACTCGTGTTTGTTGCTTTAAATCTTAATAAGATGGGGCTGCGGGGCTGCAGGTGCGGAGGATGTCTGGGGAGGAGGAGTGGAGCGAGCATGTGGAGCTGCGCAAGCGCAAGGACCATTTCATCTTCACAATCGAGTCCACCGGCATCCTGGCGCCCGACCAGCTCTTCCTGCGCGCCCTCGACGTGCTGGCCGCCAAATGCGACAAGCTCTTGGAGCACCTCTGAGACCTTGAGGGCGCCTGGTGCAGTGCTTTTGAGGCGCATGGAGCACCTCATAGCCATGCTTTCCCGGAGCTGATTGCATCGATAAGCTAGGGCTGTTTTGTGCATTTTGTCTGAGTAGACTTAGAACCTATCCTGGACAAAAGCATGGCTGTTTGGCCTCCCTGCATAAACATGTCAGCATGTAATAATTCTCTCTTCTACTTTCTGCTTCTTCTTCCTCTTCTTCTTCTTCTTCTTCTTCTTCTTCTCAGAGAATGCTAGGAACTGGGCCTGTACAGGTCGGAATGCATGCTGTTTGCAACCGCCAATGAATATTCTTGATGCACGGTTTAGCAGTGTTAATGGCATTTCATGAGATCCAACAATAGCAGCATGGATCTACTGCGAGTAAGAGCATGGTTTCGTGGCATGAATGCTCGGCCCCATTGGAGGCTCCCTTTGAGAAGTCTATCTTCTTGATGCCATTGGTACCTTGCTCAACATCACACCTTTAAAGGAGGGTAGCCCACAAGGTTGCGTCCACAGCTTGCATTTTACATTTACTCATGATCATGTGTCCTATTACTTGGACTACGCACTAGACTGCAAAGGAGTCCAGCTGGCACCTGAAGGTCTCTAAAGCTCAAATGAATAAATATCAGTACACAGTAATATATTGTTCGTACAGCACGGAATTTTGCCCACTCTGCAGATGCAAGAATACACATACATACGTCATGAATGTGTCAGGTGCCTCTCAAGAGTCATGTGCGCGGTTGAAGAGGCAGAGAGTTCTTCTGAGCCGGTGCATCTGCACTAGCGCTGCTTCCGCTGTCTCCATGGATCCAGGCATCATAGCTTGTGACAGTGCTTGATATGACGTGCTGACCGACAGCCTCCAGCTTGTGTTCCAACCTCCCCATCGATGAGTCCTTGATCTGGCTGAGCTGTGATGGGACAGCGCTGTGTCCTCCTTGAGGCGGCTGTGCTGGTGCTGGTGCCACCAGTGAATCCCTGAGGTGGGACCTCGCCTGCTCCAGTGCCGCCTCAGCAGGAGAAGGCTCACCAGCCTGCACACACAAGTTTCTCTGATATGCATGCACGGGAAGCAGGCATGCACATGGAACTACCTGTGATAGAAATGGCACAAGGATGAGGTACAGAAGTCCTCTACAGGTGGCTCTCACATTGGGCTAGATCTGAATCTGCACCAGTCTGCACATAGGAAGCACCAGCAGCTGACCTCTGCATGGTGCTGCGGGAGTGGCTCGGCAGAGGGCAGGATGTCCTCTTCTGTCAGCTCGTGCCACACAATGGCATCCGTAGCCACATCCAGCCAGCAACCAAACCGGTCTCCCTCCCCATACAATATCCTCAATGAGCGCTCCACAACGCCATCGGCAGCCACTTGCTCAAGGACATGGAAGGAGCTCACTACCAGCGCAGTCTGCAGGAACCCCTGTCATCACAGCGCACAGCCGCTCAGCATGCACTACAGCGGAGTCACATATGCACGGGAGTGGAATAACACATGCACCACACTGGATTGGCCCCCAGTGCCCCGGCTGGCGGGGAGCGGTGTAAATACTGAGCACCATGCTCACGATTGGTTGGGTCGTGCTTGAATCTGGCAAGTCCAACAAGGGGTAGGATTTTGGCAGCCTTCAACTGCAGCTTGTCTGCAGGACGCACCTTGCCTCTTGGCAGGAAAAGCGTGCGATAATAATAAAACACTGGAGCATGCACAGCGGATCCAAAATATCACCATCTGCAAGTCCACGTTTGAGCAGGTGGCGTTCAGCTGGTGGCCGCACCTCATTGCGGTAATCGCGCGCCTTGATGATGGGGCCTGCAGATATGTGGGTGATGCGCCGGCTGGCGCGGTTGATGCGGATGGCCCAGTGGGCGTAGTCACCCTTCTTCACATGGAGCATGGACAGGTACTCCTTGTGCTCCGCCCCATTCTCCACGTCCCAGGGCACTGGGTTGCCGCTGCTGTGCATCTCAAAGTCCAAAATCTCCAGCCCTGCGTCCAGTCAGCTCCTTGTCAGCTTATAATGACCTCAAGCCACCTATCTGATTGTCAATGATAGTCAATTCCCAATAACATAAGTGCTTGTTTCAGGGTCATGCAATGCGCACCAGTCTGTTGCTGAATGACGGCAGCCTGCTCGTCATAGCAAGTGCGCGACCTGAGCAGAACTCCATCAGGCTGCCCCATGTCAAACTCAAGCACGACGGTGCACGGCAGCAGAGCATAGTAGATCATGAGCGCGCCGTCCTCCTCCACAAAGCCCCAGTTCTTCTCCCGCTTGAAGCCCGGCTTCTCATTCTTCTTGAATGCGCCCACCCGTAGCGAGGCACCAGCCTGCTTGTCACTGGCGAGGTCTGGGTGCTGCGCGCTCTCTATCTCGTCGCTCAGCTGGCTGAAGCGGTACTCATATCTCACAATGCCAGCATCCATGTCCAGGCGGGCGATGGCCATGCGCTCCTGGGCCGGCAGAAAGCCTATCCAGTGCCCCAGGTATACCTCGTTCTTCCAGATGAAGGGCCTGCGGCAGAATGCATTGATTTCAGAGAATACTTCATCGGATGAAAGGACAAATTGATGTGGGCTGCAGTGTCTGTGGAAGGGTCCAAGTAGCAAGTGTATAGTGTCCCACCTCCAGTCTGCAGCTTTGTAGAGGTCCGCGCCAAACTCTTTCTGGACACGAGAGAATCCATCGTCCAGCTCGAGCATCTGCACGTCCTCAAGCTTTCGCATGGAGGGCGTCGCCTCAGACCCAAGCTTTATAAGGAGTGGGTGTGACCGCATCCGGCCCTCCAGGTAATTTCCAGTCCGTGCGTACTCGCTTATCCCAAACCACACCTGCATCCCACGAGTTCTTATACATGTATCTTTTCTGTGTATCTCCAGGCACGCACGGGCGGCAGTCATTAGAACAGGAAGCCTATGAGGCACTGGCCCACCTCGTCGAATGTATAGACCAGCAGCCATTCTCCGCTGATGGGATGCCGTACAGCAGCTGGATTGTAGGGCCCTTGTGATTCGTTATAGAAGCTTGCAGGCAATGCAAGTCGGTTGCACCTCACAGCGCTCGCGGGAAGGACTGTCCCGGAGATCGTTACGCGGAAATTCGATTGAGGACTGGCGCCAACCAAGACTTTCTTAACACTAATTCTCAGATCTTCCAAAAACAACAACGAAACTCCAAGCATCAAGAAACCGAGCACGATGATGGGCCCAGACATCCTCTGGACGCACAAGCTCGAATGCCCCAGCGGTAATTGGGAGCTCTTCATCGTGTCAATGCAATGGCCCCAAGGGGCTACGATCTTCTCATAAATACAGTAGAATATAGTAAGAGAGATGTGCACCGCTTGCAAATTTGAGAGATGGATATCACAACCTTTCCAAGAATTGCACTTTCGGAGAGCGAATCTTCATTGACGTTGTTGACGAGGCGACCCACGTTCCTTGCGAGAGGCGAGGAGATGGAGACTTGAAGGAGAAAGAACACCTCAAAACAAATTCACTGATTGTTATCGAGCCAACAATCCACTAATCTGCGCAGATTGCATACCCACTCACAGAGACTTCCAGTGCAATTTCTGTTGATCTGGGGTTTTGGCCATTTTGGTAAGGAGTGAAAGTCATTACGAGAATTGGGAGTGGATCATTGCATCATGGGTATCTTGTGCAGTTGCTGCAAAGGCGGTGGTGAGTACGAGGAGTACCAACGTGACAGGTAGAGTTCTGTGCCCTTGTTGCTGAGATGATATGGACAGAAGTGTCCCATTCCTGAGGCCATCTGGCCTGAAAGTGTTGGTCTTTATCAACTTCTGCCATGCATATCAGGCCGCTTAGTACCCAACAACCAACAGCTGCAGACCTCGAGGCCAGGAGACAAGCTGCAGAAGCTGTGAGTCCTCCTTCTCCTTTCTTGCGCGGGATCGATGCAAAGCATTTCTGTGCATGTAACTCCAATTACCAGAATGACCTCGACAGGATCAGGCTGTCACAATTGGAATGGTATGCACATCTGCAGGCGGAGGCCCGTCAGGCAAAGTTTGACACCAGTGCCGTTGGCAAGGCTGCGCGCAAGGCTGTGGAGAATGTCAAGAAGGAGCGTGAAGCCGACGCAGCTGCAGCTCAAAAGGACAATTCTCGGGACTGGCTGAGCTGACCCTGGTTCACTGGTGTTATCTGAAGAGGCGCTGCAGAGTGCCGAGGCGAGAATTATTGCTGCACTATGCCCTAGCTTGAAGGCATCCTGCTTATTAATTGTACAATCAATTCTGCACATTTACAGTGATGCTGCTGTAGATACGAAAAATGCTTGGGAAGGCTAGGGTTGCTGTAGCATTCCTCAAGAGTTCAGCTTGTACTAATGAAGTCAAACTCCGAGTCGTCAACCAATCTGTCTTCACTAGTTTGTGAGCAAGTGCTGTTCATTTTCCGTGCCCGCCCGTGCCAAGAAAAACTTGTCACATCTGATTGCTTGGGATGAGCGCTTATGCAACAAAAATCTTTATGCCAGTGGCATCACTGTGGCACATGTGTTGTTGGCATGCCACTGGTAAGAGCTGCCAGCCACTGCCAGTGGAATGTGTCAAGACTGTTGCATAAGGTCTGTGCCTAATGCGGAATAACTCGTGCACGTACGTGTGATCATCATACATGTCTAGTAGAGATCCATTGTGCCTGTGTCTGCCAGGTCATCTATATCAGCGACAGTAACTGCGCGTTGTAAGTGCAAAAGGGCCTCCGAAGACTCAGGCTGTTACGAAGAGTCGGACTCGGAGTCCCGGCCGGGCCGCAGGACTCAGGAGGCTCCACTGTCGGCCACCATTGTGCATTCAGGGGCTACATTCAGGGGGCACCTGACTTGCAAACATGCTCATCCAACTGCACTGTCGTGCAAAATACAAAACACAGTTCCAAAAATTTCTTGCATGCATTGCATTAATGACCATTGCTAGAATTGCCAATCTGCCCGCCCGGCCCTAGGAGGCCTCCCAGTGGGCAGGAAAAACGCCCCAAAACGCCCACCTAATCAACATGACCTTGGGGCCTGATAGGCATTCCTTTTGATGGAACACAGTTTCTCAATACTGCTTGCTCTATTGCGGTATCTGTACCATCGGCCATGCCATTATTCTGATATTCCATCAGTAGACGAGGTGATCTGAAGAACAAGGTCTTCTTGCCTTCAGATCGTTCGAGATCTTAAGCAGACAGAGCCCTGCATTGTACTTCAGGTTTCATTGTATTGCCAGATGAGCGAATCACATTTGGCAAAAGCCAGATCGGAGATTACAGCTCTACAAGGTGTTTCATAGGCATTGGAAACTCGCCTTGCTGCTTTCTATCTTGGCTTACAACACCAATGCTGTCGATGATACCAATTTGTCATCTATTGCGGGCTCAAACGCCGCGCCAGACGACGCTACGCGCGTGTGCGTCGTGATTCGCACTTACTGGGGACATGGCGATGGCCTGCTCCAAGGCTTACTACATTCCCTTCAACGCCAACATTATAACCGGTGAAATCATCCACTGGCGTGCCTCATCCACTCTCTGGGAGTGAGCCATCTGCTTGCATGCTGTCTAATGCACATATGGTATTGCTTCCTGGCACTATTTTATGAAATCAAGGGCTGCTCAGGTGGGAGGCCCTGCTGGTTGTCATGGACTCGAGGCCCTTCACTCGGCTGCCAACAATTTTGGCAGAGATCGCTGACGATCGGATCTGGATTTTCGCTGAGCTGATTGGGACTGAGTACACTTCTAAGCATGGAGGAGCCTGGGTGCCCGGCTACCATGGTATGCACACTCTGCATTGCTCAAGAAGCAATGCCACAAAGTTCCTTTGCAGAAGGTGGTAGCAGAACCGAGCTGACTCATTTAGTGCATTGTGCCTGATGCAGGTCTCTTGTACAATCTGACAGACCAAGCGTTTCGGGCTTGCCCCGCCAGCACAGAATGGGTCCTTGCCACAAATGGGGACAACTTGTATGCGGACACCTTCTTTGACAGGATCATGACCGCTCCGAAAGAGGCTGATGTCATCGCCTTTGACTTCTACAGCCGCTATCACCGCGTCACCGGTCCTCCATGCACGCGGTTTCATCGCTCTGAAGGATTGCCTGCATGCAAGCCAAACAGGTGAGGCATCCAACTGCCGATCCAGTCCAATAATCAATCTGAGCAGATTGCTGCCAGTGCCAGTGTCACTTTTGGCGTGCCATCAGAGCAAGCCATTGTTTATTACTGATTGTGATGTTTTGGGCAGGATGCGGTGGTGCCACACAGACCTTGGCGCTAATGTGTTCAGATGGCCGCGCCTTCTGAAAGAGGATCGGCGGCTGGGCTCCCCTGCCGCTAACGCACAGGAGCATCAAGCAGAACACTTTGACGGCCTCTTTGCCAACACTCTTAAGACTGATGGTAATTCCGCTCATCTCTTCCGGATTGAATCGAAGTCCACGCACCCATATCTGCTTGACATCCTCCTGATGCTGCTTTTCCATGCAGTGTCTGTTGGGAACGGGAATCTTACACTATAATCAACTCCTGTTCCCATGCATTCAGGGTGGAACATACATCATGTCACAGATGCTTGCCTCTACGACCACAACCCCAGTCCACAGAGGTGTGCTCAAAAGGGAGGCGTTTGGGATGACACCAGAGCTCTGTCTTCCGAGCTGGGAGGCACGTGCCTCACACCTGAGGAGGCAGAGGCGCACCTTTGGATTGGCGGGAATGCCATGGAGGCGGTGGAGATTGAGCTGTCAAATGATGGCAATCTTGCATCCTTCCTTAAGGAGTCCAGCAGCGTATCAATCAGCATAAGGTGAGCAGCGTCCTGCCCTTCCCATCGACAGACTTCTGCATGTGCTGCTGAGTCAACAGTGCATCTGGCACAATTTTGGACCAGTATGTCATGCGCATGGAACAGCAATGGAATGCTGTTGAAGACACTTGTGTTGCTGAGCCTTGCAGATGCTTGAGATGGGCGGAGACAGAGTCACAGCATCAGGCGTCCATGGTGTTCTATGGGTACACTTGCGCGGATGATGCAGATCTGTCAGATCTTGAAGCTTTCCTCTCGTCAGGCATGTCACCTGAACAGCAGCAGCAGGTGCTAGAAACAGTGCAGTTGCAGAGCATGCAACAGGCGCAGGCCCCATGGCAAAGGGCAGCCCTGCCTGACAGACGACCTCCCAAGCCACCACCCAGGCAAGCTGCGCACTTTTCTTTCACACACCACAGGCTGACAGATGTGCGCATCTGCAGCAATGCTAGCATCTATGCTATTGCTGCTATGCTTACATTGAAGAATCTGGTTTCACAGGGGTGCTCTGGCCTCGAGCAAGCGACAAAAGAAAGCGCTCGCTGCTTCTGGCCAGCCCATGGGAGCGCCCGTGCCAGATGACCTGTGAAGCTCCACTGTAGTGCTAGATGATCTAAGATGTCGGAAGCTCTGGCACATGGCACATCTGAATGTGTTTTCTGCCCAAAATCAGGAGTGGTATGTTGAGCTGCGTGGCACTTTTGACACGATGAAACCTTCCACAAACCCCCTACAGCACTGACAATACTACTACCTCCCGCCCCTTTCCGCCCACAATACTAGTACCTCCCCGATTTCCGCCCACACAGCACATGGATACTGGTGCAGTACTGTATACATATAGCATGCTGCTTGTGTCAGAGTCACAGAGCTCATGAAGATACAGTGTGTCCAAGAGAGCCTGTCGACAGGACGTCCCTGTTGCCTGATCGCTTTTTACATGTAAAAATTGAAAGAGAGATCTGGAAATTGTTTTTTACAAGATCTCACACTGTAATGTTTGGAGAGATTTCCAATTGAAGGGTATGACTGACTATCCCTGAATTATTAACGCCCCAGGCCCATAAGCAATTGAATCTCAGATATTGCACCTTGTTGGCATTGCAATACCAAGGTTTAAACGTTTCCATGCCAGCAAGATCTGCACCAGCCTGGCATCTGTGCTCAGCACAGATACCCAAGCACAGGAACAGCCAACAGGCAGTAGAAATGCTGCAGACAACATGTACAATTGTCCTAAAGACAGCCAGAATTACCTGGGGAGATGATTGTACACAACTGCCAACATGCCTTTGAAGGCAACAGCCGCTCCATGTCTAGCAACAATCTACAAGAGACCTCATGTGATTGTATTCGGAGATCGAGCTGGACGCTAGTATATGTGGAGATCGAGCTGGACGGTAGAAATTCTGCTCATCAACGCTGCTGCTCTCTTGCAATCGCCTCATTTCTCAACGTGCATCCCAGCATGCCTTGGTATCCAGCAGATCAGGGCTAATGACCCCAAGCTGCACTTGACCACCAATTGAAGAGCCAACATAGGGTCATCAAGTGCCCCCCTTCCGCCAGGACTGGCAAAACCTCTTCACAGGCCATCACCCTTTTGTATAACCACTGATTACCAGGCCCCGTATTCCCTGCTGCCTCTTTATAATTAACCATGCCGTCACCCCCGTTTGGTGTCCCCCTGCCAGGGGGCGAGATAATGGGCGTTGCGAGGGGTGGACGGTCTCAGGAAGACGTGGTGCGCTGGGGAGTGGCCATATGGGTGGATGAAGATGTGGAGGGTGTGTTTGGAGGGGAGCCGCCTCTGTGGTGGTGGTGGCTCTGATGGTGGCCGTTGTGGTCGGAGGCCGAGCGCTGGCCCCAGCGGCCCTTGAGGCTGCGTGTGGTGTTGGCAAAAGTGTCCTTGATGCCCGCCAGCCGCGAGCGCAGCCCTTGCAGGTCCATGCCCATCCCCCGCGCCTGCGGCGACCGCGGCTCCCCCGGCGCCGACTGCACCCGCCAAAACTAATCAGCGTCAGCATGCGTCCAAGACTCACGTGCAGCATACACTCCCAGCGACTGAACCAGGTCATTTGTTTGTTGTCTGCACTTTGCCGCCTGTCTGCCTGACAGGGCCCGATGGCAGAACTGGTAGGTTTTCTACTGATCCCGATTTGCTGCATATGTTCTTGACAGGTTCTCATTCATATATACTCATAAGCGTGACCCTCTCCCTTGCTGCACTTTCAGTCCACCCAACTACGAGCTCAGCTCCTAAGTGTTAAAAATCCATCAAGTTTTCTGGAGCATGACATGGGAAAGCTTGGCCATGGAATATCAACAGACAGGTCAGTGGGATGGGCACCTGTTGCATGAGATTCCGTTGTGAGGGAGGCGGCCAGGAAGAGGGGTGGATGGCGGCGTCATCAGGGATGCCGTTCAAGGCGCCGTCCGCATGGCTGATGCTCGTGCCTGCCCCTGACATCCGACTCCGCACGTGGCCGCTGTCGTGTGCATGACTACTCGCTTCGCCATCTGTGGCACAACACAGGGTATGCTGATCAGAACATTTGCACGCACACATGATCACATTTGTCCAGTTAAATCATCGCCCAGGAGATGATGCTTCAGGACTGAAGCACATGCCATCAAGACCGCAATGCCCCAATACAGAAGATTGCAGGCGCACCAACGGAGTGCCGCTCCTGCGCGGAGGAGCTGGCATGCGCATGCGAGCGGTGCCGCCGCCGATCCCGCCTTGAAGACATGCCATCCATTGTGTTTGCGGCAGCCAGGCGGTGCAGCAGGTGCTCTAGCTCCCACGCATCAAGGCCCACCATAAAGTGCGGGGCACTGGCCGCCAGCCGCTCAGGTGGCACATACTCTCCAAAGGGCAACAGCTCATTCAACGCCTCATCCTGCGGGTGGCCAAGACACTGTTGTGCTTTGTCTGCTCTTTACTAGGCCTGGGAAAAGGCCGTGTCCTGATCTGCTGTATTGCGAGTTCAATTGCATTCAATATGCACGAAGTTGGATTCTTTGGACGTTTTCCAGGCACTCCAACAAAGCTGTTGGTATCGGTGTTCAACATACTGGTGTAAGAGCTGCTGTCACCTGCAACTGCAATGCCTTGAAGCACATGGGGCACTCTCTGCTGCGCTGCGCCCATTGCATGATACATTGAAGATGGTAACGATGCCTGCAGAAGATCGTAAAGAAGTGCACGTTCAGATCAGGCCAGACATAATTCGTACACGACATAAGAGAACAAATCTTGGTTCCCAGGAATGATTTGTCAACGAAATGAAAGACCAGCAGCACCAAAAACCTTGTCTTTCAGGAGCAACAGACTCCAGCAGCCACCGATCATCGCAACGAAACCAAAGTGGATGATTGGGCACGCACTGGCAGGTGGTTCTCTGTTCCGGGTCCTCGGAAGTGAAATCGTCCAAGCAGATACTGCAGACATCTTCGTCTACCTCCACCACGGGCACCGCCCGTCTCGATAGCTCAATGTCCTCGTTGATTCCAGCTGTGCTAGTAGATGCCTCATTTTCTTTGGTTTCAGAACTCTGCGAGGAATGCTTTACCGATGATGGTGACGTGCCATCAATTTCCTCAATGTCGAAGACGCCCTCGGTCTCTTCACCAGGCGGGCTCGCCATGATCACAATGGTGCCTCGATGCGAGAAGCCAAGGGCTTGTTGTCTCGTATGGGAAGATTTAGTAATCTATTAGTAAACGTGAAGATACTTGGTGTTAAGCCACACCTTTGCATGGATAGTAGTAAATTTATGAGAGATGTCTTTTCCTGAAATCATGACTCATAAGCTTATGCAGGTTGAGGTTGATCAGCAGTGCAGGCCTAATCCAAAGCATTATTGATCTCCCCGACTACAAGCACACGCCTGTTGAATTGCTGCGACAGGGCATCCTCAACCAAGCCCTTGATGTCCCTGGTCCTCTGCAGCACAGCATCCAGCTTGCATGCATCATCCGAAAGATTTCCCTGCAGCGCCTGCCTGCGGCCTTCCACTTCCTGAGCCATCCTGCATGTAAGCAACAGAACATGATGTTCACTGCAGGAATTCAGCCCGGGATGTAGGAGACACAAGACACACAAAGAGTGCCCAAAGGAAGTACAAAGGAAAGCCCGAATTCTCACCTGCGAAACTTCTTCTCCTGCCCAGCCTTCTGTTGCAGATCAGCTGTGACACGATCGAGGTATCGATCCGATGTCTTGTACAGCAGGAGCTGCGCAGTCCTGGGGCTTGTCATCTGGCTGATTGCACTCTCCAGCTCCTGTCAATGGTACTCACCCTTATTCTGTATTTTATAAAATCTAAATTGTAGTTCAACATGCAACACTTTTCAATCTGCCTGTTGCAAAATAGACGAAGGGGACTGCGCACCTGCAGCCAACCATTCACTGTGCCGGCTGACAAATCCTGCAGGGCATTAGGTGTGTCCGCCAGGAAGCTGCTGCTTGAGGACGTGAGCTCAGAAGCCCTTGAGCGTAGGAAGGCACTGAGCTCGTGCAGCTCATCAAGCAGACTGCTGCGCAGCTCTCCATCACTCACCAGCCGTCCCAGCATACCTCCTGCACAGCAGCACAATTGTCACAGGAAATCCCTTTGTCGAATCACGCAGTGAGCCTGCCAGCAAAGTGTTGGGCCTGCACCTGGACCACTCTGTGCTGATGAAGTGTCGCAGACTAGCCCGCTGCCATTGACCTGTGGGGTCCCCTCTCCATGGTCTGCTGCCTCTGCTGCCTCAGTTACATCAATGTCCCAGTCGATGGCAGCACTGGGTCCTGCCTCGTCAGGTGTGGCATCTCCAACAGCGCTCAGATCAATGTCCCAGCTGATCTCCCCTAGACCATCCGTGCTGGACTGCTGGCCTGCTCCCTCACTCCCCGCATCCTGGCTAGGAGAAGTAGTCTCCTGGCTGCGTGCCTCTTTGCTTGCTGTCACTGCAGCCGCCTCGGCTGTGTCTGGCTGCGACTGTGCCGCTGCCAGGTCAGCCGCTAGGTCCGCCTCGCACACCGCTGTGAGTGTCGGCAGCAGCTCTGCCGCCGAGCCTGTCGCTGTGGAAGTGCTGGCCAAGAACTGTATGTAGTACTGCGTTGCCTCTGACACACTCTTGGACTGCAGTCTCTGACCAACCTCGAGGAAGGTGCCTGGAAGTTCCTTCACAAGAGAGCGCAGCTCTGACCTTATCCTCACGCCTTGAATGCCCATCCCCTCACACTCCTGCAAGGCAGGCAAGAGTCTGTTGTATCCGTAGCATGACGATTCAACTTTGCAAAATCAATAATGAAGCGCATGGCTGTGATGTGAGGTGCTGCGAGTAAAGTGTATGCACCTGCTGGTATGCCCGAGCAGCAAGCGCTGCGCTGTGCAAGTGCTCTGTCTGCTTGCGCTCCAGGTCCACAAGCTGCTGCTGGTACTTGGCCTTCTGGCGCTTGAAGAAAGGGACTTCATAGTCCACGTTCCGTGCCAGCGTGAGGGAACATTCCCCCAGGTACACATCTGCAGGGCACGGGGGAACATTTGTAGGTATGGGGGGAGAGGAGATTAACTGCGTCGGTTGCTGCAAACAAGAAGATCAGAACACAGCAGCATACGGCGCTCACTGTCTTTCTCATAGGCGCGGACGATCTTGTCCCAGACACCAGCCGGTCCCACAAGACTTCCAAACAGGCTCTTCTCTGAGGTGGATGCGAGGATGTCGCGTATGTGCTTTGCAGCTGAGTAGTCATGAGCAGAGCTCTCTGATTGGCTCTTGACGTGCGCTGGCAAGGATTGCGCCGCTTCCTCTGCCTTTGAGATGATGATCTGCAGCTTTCGATGCCAGTCCTTTGGCAGTCTTTGGCGGCTTGCCTATCAGAATCAAGTGCACCGAATTGCCTGAGTGATTCTCGCATACAGTCTTGCAGGACATTGCTCACAGTTTCCAGGAAATTATCATATTCAGACGCACCATCCATTCCGCTACTTTCGCATAATTCACGTCGAGAGGAAGCTGATCGTTGTTGGGCGCCATCAGAAAAGCAATCCTGAAGTTTCGAGAGTTATAATCCGCACCAATGGACAATCAACCGTAGCAATTCCAAGACCTTACAATGATACTGCTACAGCCCGAGATAGAGGCAGAACACGCCTTTAATCACGCCAAATACTTTCCCAAGGCCGATCAAGGAGTCTTAATTGCTACCAATGATGCTGGTATGAGCTGCTGACGAGCCATTATCATGTACAAGACCAGACGATGGGAAAGCGCATGCACATCTTCCACTTGCAGAATGAATTGCCGGACATATGTGTCACACGAGACTTTAAGGGGTTCCCTCGCTCGCATGGCACGTGAGTGGATAGATCTGACGTCGCCAACTGCGCCAGCCTGACTGACGGCGATGTCCTGTTGGCGTCACGCTTTCACGCGTTTTCACTCAGATTGGCAAGCAGGAGGGAGCCAGCAAGCAAAGAGGCCTCAGTGTCGAGAGGACAGGATGGCGGAGGAGGCAGATATGCAGTCGGTGATGCGGATTGGTGCGTGCTCGTGCTCTTTCTCCCCCCTCCGAAGTACCAGTCCTTGGCGCTTTTGTACGCGCTTTGCACAGAGGTTGTATTGTGGACAGCGCGGACTCGTCGCCTAGTCGTACAGCCCCTTTGCCTTGCTTCAATCGAATCAGGGCTTTCAAGATTTTGTGCGGCGTTCACCTGGGTTGTGAGCGGTGTTTTCACTTTGATGCTTGGTTACACTTCGGTCGCTATAATCATCGCTCTTGGTCCTAGGGCCATTCCCAGTGTGCGTAGCGACCAAAGCATCCCAGGCACCACCTTTGTCTTGCCCTGCATTGCCAAATTAACGTGGGCTTCGCGTTCCCAGGAAAGCGCTGCTTCGTCGGCAACCTGGCGTGGAAGACTTCCTGGCAGGATTTGAAGGACAAGTTCCGCGAGATAGGAACGGTAAGGTTTCAGTCCAACTTGTTAGTCTGACAAGGTGTTGTGTCGCCTGGCTTCCTCCAGTCTCCGGCGCTCAAAGAGGTTCTAACCCTTTTCCTGTTGTACTGCTCACCCAAAATGAGGGTCTCCAGTAACGCAATTCCACATCTGTTCGCAGGTTGTCTATGCCAACGTCGTCAGAGATGATGCTGGTGCGGCGAAAGTCACTTCCTTTCTCCTGTGCATGGCTTATCTAGTGCCAATCTGGATCCCTGCCCAAGGGCACCCTGGTGTCCTGTCGTCCCTGGTTGCCAGGATGCTTGCCATTTAGCCTCCCCAGGCCCACATTGCTGTTCTCCTGCTGCTTTTCAAGGATGAGCACCCGGTGTGGTTCTGCGCAGGGCGTTCAAAAGGTTGGGGAATCGTGGAGTTTGAGACGCCCGAGGAGGTGGGAGCCATGATCCTGTGAAAGACTGATGATCACAGCATGTCAGGCTTCATTCTGACTGTGAGAGGCGGCGGTTCCAGGCTTTCATGTTCTGAAAACTGGCAATTGTTTCGCCAGGCTGTGGCGGCTGTGAACACGTTCAACGGCGAGGAGATTGCAGGGCGCAAGATCCTGGTGCGCGAGGACAGGGAGGACCGGGACGTGAAGCAGTACAACAAGGACCACGGCATCGAGAGGCCGGAAGGCGCCCGCCCGCCGCGCCGCAGCCGCCGCGGCACCGCACAGCAGTCGCAGGAAGGGGCCAAGCTCAACGGCGATCACGCCAGCGAGCCCCTGCAGGAACCCAGTGGTCTGCAGGTGTGCTCAGAGTGCCCGGCATTCAATCGGCATGCAAGAAACTGAGAGGGCATCTGAGTCATGGCGCAATGTTTTGCATGTACTACATTGCCTGTCTCGGCCTCCCGATGGCTGGTGTGAGCCTTTTGGTGCCCTGATACTCCTCAGCAAATTGCTGCAATTGTAGCGCTCCAGTGCATTGCTGACACAACCTAACACTGACTGTGTGCAGGTGGTCGTGCAAGGCATTCCATGGAAGTACAGGGACGAGGATCTGTCAGCGCTCTTTGAAGACTGTGCCCCCGCCGTGGAGGCCAAAGTTGTCATCAGCAAGGATGGCCGCAGCAGGGTGAGGCTTTCTTTGTATCATTATGTTTGTGCTGCTCTCCATGCAGTGCTTGACGACGTGAGAATGGTGCATAATCCGGGCTGGTTTTTGCAGGGCTACGGTACAGTGCGCTTCGACTCCAGGGAAGATGCTGACAAAGCTGTCAGGGAATTGCACAGCACAGAGCTAGAGGGCCGAACCCTCACCGTCAAGATCGACAAGTAGGGCTCCTCTTGGACAAATTTGCTGCTTCTCTCATGCTGCACTGTTGCTGTTGCTGCCCTGTGCCTCTACTTGTAGTGTTAATACCAGTGTGCTCGCAGATTTGCCTGAAGGATAAAACTGCTGTTCTCCGTGACGTTCCAGTACAACTTTGCTTTCTTCGGGGCTGCTTGCAAGAACTTGGCTGCTATTCTTCACTTTGACAAGCGTGGACACTGTTCGCTCTGAAATCCAGCATCAAATTGTACAACACCACGGCCGTGACGAGGTGTTTGTCACCGCCTAGCTGTGGTCAGAGCACAGCTGCAGAAGCTGATGTCAAATGTCCCCAAGCCTGTCGTCAGCGTACCATTTGAGATTGACATTGCTTTGCTGGTTCTTGCTTTTCGTGTTTATTGCATTGAAGCCTGATATGCTTACATGCTGTGACAGTGCTGTCTGCATAAGCTTTACCTTGCCTTTCCGTTTGTGCATTAGACAGGTGTCACACTTGAGGGTCGTTGGGTTCCTGAGTTGACGATATGCAATTGCTGTGTGGGTTGGGGACGATGCGTCACTTTGCGTACTTGGTGAGCTACTTGGTGCTCAAATGCAGCTTGTTTTTTAAAGTGCATGAACTGCAAGATTGATACAGTAACCTATGTCAACGCTATGGATGCCAGAATCTGATCCATCTTGTCTTGGCGCACGTGCCAAGCTGGCATCATATCTTCTTCATACACTCACAAGCACAACAGGCATCATACCTACACTGCTTGTGTTTGCTCGCATGCAAAATTCTTCAAGTGTTGTGATCATGCACTGCAGTGCATGAAAAGCGCTCTACACTTGCACAGCAAACCAGCAATTGCAATGCATTTATATACCTACCAAGTAATGCAGTACTCTCAAACTTGCAACACCGATACCCTCAAATCCAACTGTCCGATCTGTGAAAAGCACAGGTTGCACACGAAAATCTCTGATGCCTGACGCCTTCTCTCAAAATTTCTCTTCTCAACCTCTCTCAAAATTTCGTCTCATCCGGATCATAAGTAAGCACTGTGACGCAGCCCACCCAACTTGCTCTTAGCTCCAATAAAAGGATCCAACCCACACAATGGTGGAGCTTGTCTGAAGTAGATACAATTGTCTCTCCACCATAATTCACACAATACAACACAGCAGTGACAGGAGACAAATACAAGGGTTCACTGCATCCTGCAGGAAAAGGACCTGCGGCTCTGGAAGTCAGACAGTGGGGTCAATCTTGTCTGCAAGCTCTGATGAGAATGTGCCGGCGAATTTGGCGAGTGAACCCAAAGCCCCCTGGCCCTGGAATCCTGCCTGCACTGCAAAACCTGCGCATGCACACCAAGAAGGTGAAGACAGTGGCTAGATTTCTTGTGCATTTGGGCTTCACAGTGCCATACAACTCCCAAGCTCAAGGCCATTGCGACCTCTCATACAAGCTTTGCCTGGATTGTAATTGCGCACCCAAGAATGCCACCATAGCCAAGCGCCCGTGCTTGATCTCTGCTTCGCGCAGCTTGAATGTCCTCTGAGAGTCATCTGACGCCAGCTTCAGGGGGTCAAACAGGCCGCCTGCATGACAGACGCACACCTTACCGCATTTCCTTTAGCAGATTTGGTAGATTCCCCGGTGTGCTGCTCTTCCAGTGTGTTTTGGAAGGCGAGTCAGGTGATGAGGCAAGGGTGGATCACCTGGGTAGATGCGCTCCTGCAGGTCGGTGGACCTGTTGCGGTAGATCTCAGCACCGCCCACCAGTAGGACCTCGATCCAGATCAGCTGGCTGATGGAGAAGGGCAGGCTGAAGCCCAGGTACTGTGTGCCGTCCAGCTCCACCTTGCCAGCATCCACCCTGCAAGCACACGAGGAGCTCAAATTTGCCTCCAGTCATGTCACATGCAGCTAAGGAATGCATGCAAGAGCAACCTAGCATCCTTGTAAGCATTGCGTATACAGTCAGAGAGAGCAGACGGACGCTGCCATGGCTTCAGACAGTGCCTACCAGGATACACCGGTGGTTGCCTCTGCGATCACGACGCCAAGCGCTCCGAGCATGGCCCACCTGCATGCCTTTGAGGTATTAATCCACATCCAAAAGTCAAAGGGAAAACTCTTAAGAATTCAACAGGAATGTGCTTTCACTCAGTGTTTCTTTCCAAGCAAAAATGAGGCACCACACCTGCCGTGGATGAGCTCTGTCTCGCGGAAGCGCTGCAGGCCGAACACCTCAGAGTATGGCGACAGAGCAGCGCCAGTTGCCTGGACCTTGGAGCTGCTGTACTTGCCAACAATGCCGCCCGCCTTGTTCACAGACTTGTTGATGTCACTCTGGTCCAGATCAACCTGTGCACACGAAGGCAGACTTTGATGCCGCATGTTTTGGGACTCACTGATATGGCACCAGGACAATCGTAAGCCACATTGGCACATGCCTGAAGGAATTCTGATGGTTTCGATAATTCCAATGGGTCGAATCCCCGGTCTCCTGGCAAAGATCCATCCAACCAGGCTGGCCTCTGTGTGTTGGGTAGCCACAGTGCATCACCTGAACAGAAAGTACATAGCATCGTCAAAAGTATGATCCTTCACACTTCGCGTAGCATTGAAGTGTGCATACCATATCTTTGTCCCAAAGTATCGATGCCTGTCGCTCACCGTCGAATTTCTTGTAGGTGCGGGTAGCCGAATTGGCAGCTTTCTGAGCTTTCCTCACGATTTTCGTAGCAGCCATGACCGTCTTGGCCCCATTCTGAGGTGCCAGAGCGGTGGTGCTGCCAAGGAAACTGCCCGACAGGTGAACCATGACGCCGACCTGCAGAGCAAGAGCGGTGAGACAGAGGGCGTTGTTGCATTACATCGCAGAGAGGAAATCAACCATCCGGACGTGTCTGAACACATTGTGCTAACGTGAGCAGCACTAAATCTCCAAGGTCCAGTCGAGGATCCGGCACGCACCTTGTGATGTTGTTGCAAGAGCCGAGCGAAACCTCCAGACTTGGGAACCTGTGTCTGAGCGACAGAAACTGATTACTGAGCGCAGAATTATGCTTTACGAGGACAATCTATGAGTTGCGTATCTAAAGAAAAGATTAAGATTGGATAGGGTTTCCACCCCTGTAACGCAAGGTGATGGGGGTTGATATCTCAAGCTTGATGTGCGCGTTCCACCCTGCACCAAGTCACTGTCCAAGTGCACTCCTGTTGAGCAGCACATCGACCTGAGAATCGCAGTGCGAAGTGGAATAGTTCAGTGCCTCAGCAGGGCAATTTTCATGGGTGGTGTCTGAGTCATGGGTGTTGATGGTCGGTCCAGAACAATGATCAGACCAGTTCTTTTCCTGCTGCTTGCAGCAGCACTCACATGTCGAGCCTCAGAACAAAAAATACTTGTGCTGCTTGACGATCCTCTCATACGAAGCACCCACAGCCTCTTCTTCAGTGACCTGAGCAGCAGAGGATACGAGATCTCCTTCAAGTCTGCTAGCGATAGAAAACTGCAGCTGAAGGATTGGGACGAATGGCTGTATCAAAAGGTTATCGTCTTCGCGCCTTCTGCAACAGGCAAGGAAGACGTTGCAGATTATGGCTAAAGCAGATCGCTTCATCAAAACTTTAATGTTGGTTGAGTTTTTATATAAAAGGCCATCCATCTATTGAATGTCAGTGCAATGGGAGAACTACATTTTAACGTCTTTGTTGTTCTGGCTTCTTGAATTCGTTGATAGAATTTTCTTGTTGAGGAGACCGTGGTTCTGATTGCTGCTGATTGCAGATTTTGGTGGCGACATTGACGACGGCACTCTTTTAGAATTTGTCGATGCCGGCAATGATGTACTCATTGCAGTGGACTCGAAGGCTTCTGAGCTGATAAGGTGCGTTCATGCCCACCTTGACCCAGCCAGCTTTATCCAAAAAGTCTGCTCTCACCCATGGGTTGTCTGGTGGTCCTCCAGGGGTCTGGTGGCGGACATTGGCATTGACTTGGAGGCCAAGGGAACAGTGGTGACAGACCATGTGGGTTTTGTGAAGTCAAGCAGCGACGGCCACAGCCTCATTGCCTCGGAGGAGTTTGTGCAATCTGAGGCAGTGCTTGGAAATTTCACTGACCGCTCCCCCATCTTATTCAAGGGGACAGCTGCAAGCATCTCGCCTGAGAGCACACTGGTGAGTGCCATTTCTGCGCAATGTACATTTATTGCTGCTGAGAAGTCTGTTCCCATGCTGACACAGGCGTTGGCTGGATGTGCAGGCCATCAGCATTCTGGGCGCCCCAGAGACGGCCTTCAGCTATCTCCATGGGAAGGCAGTGACTGAGAATCCCCTGGTGGCAAATGGCCACGCCACTCTGGTGGCCGGTGTGCAGGTGACAAACTGGCTCTGGACTTGATGCCCCTTCTTTAGACCAGAACGATCACAGCCCCATCTTTGTGCTCATACATATGTGGGAGTTATGATCATGAACTGGAAGTGCCATGCGGATGTCTGCAGGCTAGGAGTGGTGCACGCGTTGTGGTAGCAGGGTCTGTGGACATGTTCAGCAATGCCTACTTCAATTCTGCCGGCTTTGAAACCTCATCCGGCAAGAAGTGCGCCGCTGACTTGCGTCCATCATGTAGGGATAACGAGTCTTGCATGTCATGCTATCATCTGAAGAATGCACTGTTCGAAGCAGCGCTTGGCTCACATGCCTGGATGCTGTCAAAATCAGTGCCACAGCAACCGCCAGGGCATCATTCCAGTACTTCCTGCATGCACCTAGCTTTGCATGGAGCGTTGTTGCCGTGGCACATCTCACCTGTGCATCTGCTCTGCATTGCCTGCACCAGCAATGGTGCATCCAGCCAACACTTTATTGTTGCTGGGAAGTAGGTGCAGCAAGGCGGGTAACAGGGCGTTCTGCAGTGAGGTGACCCGCTGGGCCTTCCATGAGCGGGGTGTGCTGCGGGTGACCAATCTGCACCACAGCCATGCTGGCAAGCAGGAGCAGCCGGACTGGTACCGCGTCACTGACGACCTCCAGTTCGGCCTTGACATCCACGAGCTTGTGGGCGGCATCTGGCAGCCATTCAGGTGCGTTCCCTGGCTTGCATGCAATTCGATATTATATTCTCTTGAAAAGGGGCCAGTGCTGATCCTCAAGGCTGGATGTGCTGCCAAAGGAGGGAGACTGCCGTGTGAGGCTCCTGGTGCTGGCTGTTGGATTGCCCCAGGTGTGGCCAGATTGTTCTGGGATAAAGTTGTGGGTGCTTGCATGCGCAGGGCTGATGATGTGCAGGTGGAGTTTGTGATGCTGGACCCCTATGTCCGTGCCGACCTGCAGCACAATGACCAGGTGAGACACGTAGCATGGTCCCAGTAATGCAGCCGGCATCCTTCTAATGCAACTTCAAAACATGCACCATCAGCTACAGTTAGCTGAAACATTGTGTTCTTGTTTGCAGGGGCACTTCTACACAGCTTTCAAGGTGCCAGATGTGTACGGTGTTTACAAGTTTGTCATAAATTACCGCAAACCAGGTTACACGCCTCTGGACTTGGCAAAGAGGGTGAGGCCCCTTCCATCATGAATGAATGTGCCCGCTTTCACTGTGTTCAGTGGCAAACATCTTGAACGGAACAGTCAATGCTGCCTGGCTAATGGCATCATTTTCGTCATGCAGGTGTCAGTGCGACCCTACCGGCACAATGAGTTTGAGAGGTTCCTGGTGGCTGCATATCCGTACTACATGAGCGTGTTTTCGACAATGGCAGCCTTTTTCGTGTTTGGCATTGTCTTCTTGTATCACAAGTGAATTGATCGTGAGGATCCGTGCAATGTTGAAAATCCATTGTTACAATCAATTCAGCTGTTGCTGAAGAACCTCATGGATGCACATGACCATGCACAACAAACATTGATACTGGTCATGAGGCACTGGATTTCCTGGACCCATCAAAACCTTACTCTGCTGACATCTGAAGCACCCATTCCAAAAGATCCCTTTTGGCGCAAATATTTGGGGCATGCAGTTCCTACCAATTGGAAAGGGGAAATTCACGTCTGGGGAGATTCCATGAAAGCCGCTTTGGGCCTCCTTTGAGCGAGGCGTCAATATGCACAAGGACGAACTGGTACAAACAAATTTGGGAGGCACGTGAAAAACGTAAATGCAAACTGTGGCGCCTCTGGCTTGTCCTTTTGAGGTCCACATTGACAGAATATCACTCAGCTCTCAGACAAATACAGTAGCGCACACACGCTCGACCCCATGCAAATTCATATCTTATGCAGCCACGTCTTCAACGCTCAGCCCCTTGCCATCCCTCTTTCCAGCTCCCCACTTCTGTGCTGCAGCGCTGCTCAGAGCCAGAGGCCTGCTGGCCAGCGGTGCCCGCCTGGTGGCAACCGGGGCCATGCGGCCAGACACGCCGTTGCTGCGGACTGTCAGCGTGTCCACTTCTGGGGTCGCTGCTGTGCTGCTGTGGGGAAAGCCTAACTCCTTAGATGGGTGCTGTGTTGCCACCGCCTCAGCATCGCTGGCCTGCTGGAGGGACTCTGCGACTGCCTGTGCCATCTCCGCGCCGGCCAGTACTGGGGAGACCCCATCCCCGTACACCACCGGCACGCACCTGCACCACCGATAAACCACGCTCAGAGCTCCATGCGTTTGTCCCGCAGCATGAGCTGGAGAAAATCCTATAACATGTTGCGTTGGGGCAACCCCAGGGTGCGGATCCCTGTGTGAGTACTGCATGTGTATTGTAGTATAAGAAATGGTGGAGAGCAGCTCTCTTATAGGATGAGACTTGGGCATGGCACATCAGGCCAAGGGCGGTGATAATAGTCTTCCACAAAGGAGCCACCTTGCGAGGCCGGCGCTGTCGGCGGCGGCAGCCAGGCGGTCGTGGAGGGAGGTGAGGCGCACGTCCCCCTGCACGTCCTGCAGCGCCGTGCGGATGGCCGCCTCCGGGCCCACCACTATCACCGTCTCCCGCGCCCTCGTCAGCGCTGCACACGCACCAATGCACACCCCCGTCACCATCAGCAAACTCTCCCCGCTGGTGATTTGCAGCCGACTCGCAGCAGAAACTCCTTGCTGCTGTTGCGCCAAGTGTCAAGCTATAGGAAGTGAAGGCAGGGGCTTCACAATTTGCCAGGCTTGCTAGATTTATTTTAATTTAAACTCCAATGTGTTCACATTCGTATCAGGAGAGAGTCTGGTGGGCAAGGATGAGGGTCCAGAGGCAGGGGCGGGACCTGTGTAGAGGAGGCGGCGGGTGAGCAGGGGGCGCTGGTTAGGGGACAGCACGACGATGACGGCCTTAGACTCGGAGCCCTGCGCTTTGTGCACGGTGGTCGCCCACGCCAGCTCCACCTCCCACAGCTCCGGCCCCACATACTCCACCCGCTTCGGCCCTGCATCACCCGACACAACTCCTTCATGAATACAACCGCCACAGTGATGCTTTCTGTTGTGCAAAGCATCATCTGTTGACAGGAGAACCTGCATGTGCGTCAAGTTTAGTTTGACCGAGCCAGGCTTGCCTTTTGTACATTCCTGCTATATGCATGCTGTGATAGGTCACCTCACCTAGAGGTCATCTGGTTACTAAAGGCCGGAGAATTACAAGAGGGAGGGGCGGGTGATGGGAGGGGCAGGCACCTGATAAGGCGGAGGGGAAGTCCACAATGACGCGGCGTGCCTTGGCATCTATCTCGCTGATGTAGCCGGGATCGCCGTTGTAGACGTCCTTGTCGTAGTTGTTCACCGCCTGCGCACCAGCACCACACCCGGTGAGGCCCCCATGCTAAGGCAGATAAATGCCTCTTTCGCCAATTCAACACAGCAAGCATTTGTTCTGGCGGTGAACAATCCTGACAGGGATGGGGCCCAAGAACGCGCCTACTATATTATGAAAATGTTGACAAGTGACAGATCTTTGGTAGTGAAGAGCATTGGGGCCAGGCACAAGATAGATGCTGCTTGGGGCAAGGAAGGAGGAAACGCGCCTGGATGACGCGGTCGCCCACGCGCAGCAGCTGGGGCCGATCGCTGGCGGCTGCCAGGCTGATCTCCGCACGGCCCGGCTGCGGCGGATTCAGCAGCGCCTGCAGCCGCGCGTTCAGGCTCTGCACACCCGCGGGGCCCCTCCGCATCGGAGACAGCACCTGCACAGCGACCATGACCACAATCCCCTCAGCCCCGCTACGAATGATACCTGCCAATTTCTTTTCAGAGAGGGCCCCTTACTGGGAGAGCAAGCAATGCGCAGATTGGCTGCTGGTATACAGTCAGGCAGGAGCTTTTGCCAGGTCAAGGGAGGCGGCTGCGCGCACCTGCATGTCGGTCTTTGCGTCGATGCCGCGGTCTGACAGGAGGCTGCCACTGACGGTGGCCACGACCTCATCCTCAATGCCCGCCGTGCTCCTGGGAACCACCCACAACGCCTCGTTCTCCCGCGCCGCCTACACATCAACAGACCGCACCCTCGTCGACTCTGCAATTTAGACAATCAGCATCTTGTAGTGCAGGCAACAATGCCGCGAAGATTGGCCTGAGCTTACATACATTAAGCTCCATGACAGACTCTGCCTGTCCCCATTTTTAGAGGAAAAATGCCAATTCAGGGCCTCTGGTATGACGCACAGTGACCGCAAACCCTGGCTGCAGAACTTGGGCATATGCTACATCCAATCACCTTGGTGTCGGGGCAGCAGCTCCTGCAATGCAACAGTGTGCGCACCTGGGAGGGGATGCGGGGGGCGACGCGGGTGAGGGGCGGCATGGCGCCGGCGTGGACTGCGTGCGCGGCCTTGACGATGGCGGAGCCCTGCGCCTGGCGGAAGACCTCGCGCAGATCCACCACCGGCACGGCGCCCGACTCTATCGCAGCCGCCAGAAACGAGCCCGCGCCCACCGGCGGCAGCTGGTCCGCGTCGCCTGCAGCACCGCGGCGCACGCACCAATTGAGTCAGTGCTGCTTAGACCATAGTTTTGCGCACTTGAATGCGAGCACGAGCACGGAAATTTGCAAGTTACTTAGGACAAACATCTCTCATGCCAGGCGGCCTTGGCAATTTCTTCTAATACTGCAGCCAATGCAGTCAGGCAGGCGTGATGCTTCCTCTAGCATATGAGACGCCACATTGAAAGCCTGCGAGAGACAAGTGTGAGTCCATTGCACACTGCCGGGCAGAACCGATGAAGGTGCATATAGAGAGGGCAGGGGAGCAGCGCACCGACAAGGACGAGCTGGACGGGTCGGTCGGTGGGCAGCGCATCAAGAAGGGCGGCCGCCAGAGACATGTCCAGCATGCTCGCCTCGTCCACCAGCACTGCCAGGCTCCCCCTCGCGCACTCCAGCGGCCGTTTTGCATTGACCGTGAAGGTGCCCTCCATGTCACCCACTCCCTGTGCGCAGCTCCCGCTCATTCACACACGATAAATCATAGATGTATGATGCTTGTTTGAATGTCTGTCGCACAGGTTCCAATGGGGTTTCACAGAACCTGTCCCGCAGCTGGGCTCCAACGTGAGACACAAGGAACAGCACTTCTCCAAGAAGACCCGAAAGGGATCACTGTGCAGACTGTGACTCCTTTGCACAGTGCTCCCATCTCTATCCTACAACCCTGAGCTCCCAGCTTCAGCACAGGCACAGTACCCTTGACAATGCCCTGGACAAGGTGAAGTGATAGAAAATGAAGTCCTGACCTCATCGTTGGAACCAGAGGCGGCGTCCTTGGCAGTGCGCTGGCCCCGCGACTTGTAGCCCAGCAGGCGGTGCAGCGTCGTGGCCTTGGATTGCTTTGAGCCGGCCTCCTCCTGCAGGCGCTGCGCTGCCCTCCCTGTGAGTGTTTACGTATCGTGTCAAACTGAAACGGGCCTGTCTTCACGCTGTGAATATCAAGCGATTAATTGCCCCACCTGGGGGTGAAGCCGGTGCCTGAGGGTCTCACTTAATTTTATTCAGTTCTGAAGGATAGCCTAAGTTTTTGCAGGAGATTGATCATTGCATGCAGTATGGGGAGGCAAAGGAGCAGCACCTGTGGGGGCGGCCAGGCGGATGTCCTTCTCCTGGCGGGCCCACAGCTGCACAATGGCCTTGGTGGCAAATGTCTTGCCGCAGCCCGGCCCGCCCGTGAGCACCACCAGAGGAGCTGTGCTTGCCTTCAGCACCGCCGCCTTCTGCCCCTCACTCAGCCCCGCCGCGTTCCCTGCGACGCCACTTTTCCAGCTTACTCGGCAGCCAGAACATCTAGCAGTCCCTACCTATATTGCACCAGCACTGCTCCTTCTTGGCAGCTGTCTAAAGAGAAGAAAGCGTGAAGAACGGCCGGGCATGAGTGAAGCACCTGAAGCGCTTTGTGTCTTCAGCCACGCATTGGACCACTTTTTGAAGAACTCCTCCCTGTTCTCAAACGTCTGCTCCTCCTGCGCAGCAATGCGCACCAGCGCAGCCGCCACCCGAACCTGCCATGCGCACCCTCATCAAATTTGCTCCCACGCCAAATTAGGCAGTCGCCAAATTAGCACCCTCGCCAAATCAGGACAAGATATGGCCACCCGGCTTCTGACTTAAAAGAAAATTCGTGCCGAATGGAACACTTCCACCCACTCACATGTCGGTGTGGGGTGGGAGGTACCTCTGCATGGTGCATGCCTGCCAGGTAGCAGCGCGAGTCAGCATGCCACGGCCAGGGCAGCGCCTCTGCAGCGGGCGCAGATTCACTCAGAGGGCCTGCAGCAGATGAGCCTGCCGTGGGGTCCACCCATGCCGCGTCTGTACATGCCACGCCAGCCGTCACACAATTTCAAAATAAACCCAGAAGCAGACTCATTTGGAAGTTCTCATCAGAATCAGCAGTAAGGAGATGCCTGTGCCAAGCAGCCAGTTTAGTGATAACAAGGCGGGCATGGGCGCGCACGTTTGGACTTGGACTTGTCCCAGCTGGCCTTCATCCTGGCAGCGGTGATCTTGCCCACGCCCTTCAGCTTCATCAGCTGCTTCTCCGCCGCCACCGCGCCGCCGTTGAGCACCCGGATGATGCGCTCCCCAAACTCGTCCACCATCTGGCGCGCCCTGCAGGGCCCCACGCCAGTCATGCGCACAGCCAGGTAGGCCTGCAGCGACTCCCTCCTGGCAGCCTCCTGGGCTGCATCCTGCCAGTTGCCGCCCTCCTGCGCACAACACATTGTTATGATTATTGGGCCAGTCCGATAGTAAGTGGGCCGTTAATTTGATTGTATTCCCTTGCTATCTGTCTGAGTGCAATTTTAGGGCACGCGGAATCCTAGCGTTCCTTATGGCTGGCATCATTGACTGCCTCTGCATGCGTCAAGTCTTTGGCAAGGACTCCTCTTTATATGGGCAGGGCTGTATATGAATGCATGCAGAACGGATGAGGTGGGGTCGCACGGGGGAGTCGGCATCCCCAAACACGTCCGAGAGGGGCGGCGTGGGAGCCTGCGCCGCGCTGATTTGGGTGAGCAGAGGGGCCTCCGGAGCTTCCACCACCAGCAAGCCCCTCTCCTGCAGCCGCTGCGCCACCCTCCGCAATGACTCCTCGTCCTCCCACCTTTTCCCTGCACACAACCACCTCACCCATCAGCCCATTCTCTCAGCACATCACCACCACAATAATACGCTCATTAGGCCAACATACAAAAGAAAAGTGCCGTGTACAGCACGTACTCTTTGAAGGTGCAATTGCAGCTGCCAGAGATGGCAAAAGCAGCGCACCTGAGCTGGCCATGAGGCGCAGGGTCTCGGAGAGCAGCACATTCCAGGGCAGGTGGGTGTGCCCCGACTTGTCCGCCGCCAGCTGCAGCGTGTGCAGGAAGGCCATCGCGCCCCTGGACAGCAGGTCCGACGGCGCCTCAACCGCACGCGCAAGATCCTCCGCCGCCCTGGAACATGGGAAGCGCGACGCCTCAGCCGCAAAAAGTATCGCCTACACCGCCGTGGCTGACAAGCAAGTTTGTTTCAATGAGCAGGGTTGACAAAGAAGAGTGATGCATGAGGACAAGTGTGGGTGATGTACAGAGGATAGCGGCACCTGAAGGAGACGCCGGGGATGGAGAACAGCGCGGAGTAGGGGTCTTTACGCAGGCAGGCTTCCGTGTGGAGACCATAGCGCTCCACCAGCGTCTGCGCCAGCTTCCCCCCAACTCCCAGCTTCTTCAGGAACGCCCGTGCATCACGCGTCCCTGCCAGGCACACATTGCCTCAGCCGCAGAAATTTCTATGACCACCGACCGGTATCTCCATAGCAGGACAGAGAAAGAAGCGGCAACTGCAGGGAGGGGAGTGGGAAGAAGTGTACCTCTGCTTTCGTCCCAGTTGTGCTTGATCATCAGGGCGAATTTGCTGCCGATCCCCTGACAGGCCGTGAGCTTGGTAGCAGCTGATGGGCTGTCCAAGACATTCAGGATGCTGGTCCCGTACTGCTTCACCATATTTCGCGCAAACACAGGTCCAACTCCTGCATTACATCTCATTTTTAGCAATCAAAATGACAGCACCTTCACCTGTTGAGCATGGCGCAAAGAATTTTCACAAAGACAGCTATCATGGGGTGTGCAATGAAATTTTAAGAAGACACAGGTCTTCTTGCCTGGGATAACGCTGGAGAGGTAGGCTGCAATGGCGTCAGGGGACTGCGGCACGACCTCCTCAAAGGCAATGGCCTTCAGCTGCGTGCCATGTTTGGCATGCACGTCCCAGTGCCCAGCAAAGCGCAGCAGCTGGCCCCTGTCCGCGTGTGGGAAAGTGCCCACCACTGTCACAATGTTGCCTGTCCGGGAGCCTGCACAACACCAGCTTTATGCCTTGACATCCAGGGAAGTGCAACATTGAAGCAATCCCTCCAGACAAGGGATACACAACACATGACATGGATGTGCTTGGAGTACAGTCTGGCACTTGAGACCTACCTCTGTGGGCAGCTGATGCGGCTGCGGGTGAAGGTTGAGCATCAGGCGGCTTGCCCGCAACTTGCACAGCGTTGACTTTCAGCACGGTGTAGCCGTCGGGAGACTTGAACGTCACTCGATGCACAGTGCCCTCCACCATGCCAGTGGCCGCAGCCAAGGCTCCCTCCAACTGCCGCACCTGCATTGTAAATACGACTCTGTCAGAGGTACGAACGACTACCTCTGAGGCACACTTGAATACCCAAAAGAAGTCGAATTGACGGCCTCGACACCATTGGCCTTCAAGATGGGACTCTAGCATCAGCTCACCTGGTCTGAGTGGGTTCCAGATGCAGGCTCAGCTGCTGGCTTTGCTTCCCCATTCAAAAGCATGCCGCCAGCGTCCGGGCCTGACTGCCATCTGGCTGGCTGCTGCTCTGCAGGGCTCTGCAGGGCATGTGCTGACGCAGTGTCAGTGCGAACAGCCACAGCAGAGGTGGTGCTGCTGCGCCCAGGGCCCTGCGATGTCCGCGGCTGGATCTGCAAGTGGGGCGGGCACGCTGCATCCTTGCCAAACGCCCCTGCTATGCACTTGGTGAGGCGGTCACGCTCGCCCACTGCATGGCTGTGCCTTCTGATCCCATGCCACGCCACATATCTGTCAATGCTGTGCCTGCCGGTAAACCTTACAGCAGTGCTACACAGGTGAGGTCTCGCTGCCATCTGGGAGACCCTCCTCACAAAGCTGCCATCAGCTGCCGCTGGGCCAAGCCTGCTGTGTGGATGCAGCAGCAGACTGCTGGGAATGTGCCTGCAGGCAGCTGCTGTATGGCCTGTCTGGCGCAGCAGGTTTGTGCAAGCCTTGCCCTGCGCCGCTTGACTCTGGTATGTCCAGCTCGTACTGAAAGGCATCATGACCTTGTCAGCCCTCCAATGCTCATTCGACGATGGTGACCGAGCACCGCAGCTGCTGATGCTGTTTGAGTCTGCTCTGACGTTGCTGTCCTGGAAAAATTTGGCTCCTTTGCTAAGGTGTTGCTGAAGGACTCTCCGTGCAGACATGCATTCACGCGGCTACCATCAGCGTCCCCAAGGCTGCTGATGCATGGCCGTTGCAGGTACAACTAGAATTTACACTTCTACGTTCTTAAAACTGGTCTTCTGTCAGGTGACGATCAGATCTGCGTTAAGCCAGCAGCCAATCCTTCTCGTGCAAAAAGCCATAAATTTGGCAAGTGTATCGAAATGGTTAGATCGCCTGAATGAGGACGTTCGCAAGCAAATTCGCAAAATTGTCTGCAGCCGTCCTGGTTTGTGTCAACGAAGCGATGTGTGTAACAGTAGCAGGATACTATGCCAGTTTCGCTGCTCAGCCTTCGATGAGTTTGAATTATATCTACGAGACTGTTCCTCAAATAAAGCTTGAGATCGATTGCGTCGCGAAACCCTTTCTGCATGGTTCTATGAGCACGTGGTTGCACCTGCACATGCATGGCAAAGTGGACATTCCAGGATCGTTTCTGTTGGGGTGCGCTTACCTTCAGAATCATGTCCCTGGTGATCATGATCAGGGACACAACCTTGGCCATTGTTCTTTTAATTAGCTGCCACGGTGGCAGTGCCAGACCGAGACCGCCTGTGACAGTCACTGTGACACGGTAGTACCGTACTACCGGTGACCGCTTTACCGGTGTACTATAGTATTATTATTATTACACGCTTTCCTGCCAAGAGGCAAGGTGCTATAGTATATGTAGTACGTATTGTCTATATGCAAAGCAGTCAAGTGTGGTAGCAGTAGTTTTCCACAACAGGCTTTGTGCTATGCATCAGCCATCATTTTTATCAGATAAGGAGCAGGTGACTTTGATACTTTACCCGGTAAGAGCAGATATTAAGTGGAATTCCCTGCAAATACTCCTCGTAAAATTGCTTGGTACCAGTACCCGCAAACACAGTGCAGTACTACAGAAATTGTGTGTACATGTACAACGCCAGCCACGGCAGGCTTTAGCAAGCCTCTAGCAGGACTTCAGAATCAAATTGAGTTGATGCTCCATTATACCTCAGATTTTGAAGCTCTAAAGTGTTGTAATGATGGCAATGCAGCCCAGCCAAACTTTCACAAAGCTGGCACTGAACTTACTTGTGACACAAACTCCGTGAGACACCTTGCCATTTCATCAGATTTCTCCAAGTGTATACAGTGTCCACAATTCTCAAGTATAGTCAACCTGCAGCAAGAAAATCTACACATCAGAATCTGTTCTGCTCGGATGATGCATCAAGACCACATGAAATCCTCTAGAGTGGCAATGTTGTGTCCATGACAATACTGGTCACCTGCACTAGCCCATACTTCGGGCTGCGATGAAATGCATTCAAGAGAAGCACAAGGGCATTACCTGGAGTGAGGCAGGTCTTCAGCAATCTTGTCTGCGTTTTTGCAATCCACAATTTCATCGTTGCGACCCCACAGAACAAGAACTTCCTGTTTGAGTTCAGGTATTCTTTTGCTCACAGCATAGCCCCCGCTCTTCATGAAGGCAATGTTGCTGTTGGTCCAACCTGGAAAGCAATTCAGAGTTTTATGCACAGATCCATTTCTATCACAGCATGTCTGATGCAAAAGCATGTTTGCAGACATTGTGCAAACACTGATGGGCAACAATTACCTGGCAGGAAAGTGTGCAGCCGGCCGATGCGCAGAGCATCCTCAGTTGCTAGCCTCTCCTTGTCAAAGTATGCCATCTGATTTGCCATATTTCGGAGTGGAACACTCTTAAGAACCTGTCAGAGACATATTCTCAGGATTATTTAGTTTGTGAAACTACTAACCATGGTGCATATGACAAGCTGCTGTATCTCCTTGACATGTGAGGCATTGGCGGCACCTGAACACCGAGGTATGACAGCACACGCGGCATGGATGACATGGGTCCAATCCCATCCACATAGACTTGTGGAGATGACAGCACAAGACCGGCGACTGCCTCTGGATGCTGCAGCGCAAACTCCACTGCAATGGCCGCTCCCAAACTCACCCCGCATAAAACCATCGGCCGCTTCACCTGCAGAGGAAATACTTGTTCGCCTCAGTCCCGCTCCTTGGTTGGCATATCCTTTTGCCTCATAGAACTCTTCTCTTCTCTCCTATGTCCCACAGTCTATCTCACCTTTGTCTGCCAGAACGCATACAAATGGTCTGTTTTCTGCTGCGGACCGAGAGGGAGGTTTGGGTTCTCGTGGAATTTGCCGCATGAGAACCCCCAGCCCACAAGGTCCACAGCATAAGCACTGGCTCCGGCTTCCCTCAGCAGAGGCACTAGTCGCCGGAACTCCAGCAGGCTGCTATCAAAGCCGTGGAGGAGAACAATTGGTGTCTGATCCCCTGGATGACAGCTTCTTGCTCAGGGAACTCTGACTGTGTATCTTTAGCAGCTCATTACTTGGTACATAAAAGAGGAAGTCACCTGAACCTTCCTCAACAAAAGCTGTGTCTACAGGTCCCAGGGACGGAACGTCCAGCCGGCATCTCTCTATCGAGCCGATCATGCTCAAGGCTGCCTCCTCCTGGATCTCACTGACTTGCTCTGGGACGAATTGCGGATATAATGCATCGCCTACCGTTGCAGCAACAGCCTGAACATCCACCTCATAGTGAGCTTCTTGCAAATCCAAAATCCCTTAAACGGGTGACCGCATCCAGAGATCTCACCTTGTAGGATCTGATATTTCTTCTGCTTAGATGCAAGCGAATAGGTGTGGAAGTGCGATTAGAAAGCCATAAATGTCTAGGTGGACAGCATCGCTCGGTCACCAGAACGGTGTTGGGTACGGCATTACAAATAGCTCGCTCGATCATGGAAATTATTAAAACTTAGAAGTAAGTGACTGTGTTTTTATTCATGAATTTGCACGAACGGAACAATCCAAACGAGATGTCTGGCTGCCGAATGTGGCCCACGTTTGGCCCACAAAGCGGGCAGGAACCTGCCCAGAGTCACCCTCCACCCAGAAGGCAACAGCAACTGTAATCTCTCTGACTGCCCAATCCATACTCTCTTTCTTTCAATTCTCTTAGCTCGCCTATCCCCTTTTGAGAGGATACATGCCGCTGCAACTTCCATCATGGGTGTAAGCCTCGGTGCGGCAGGCCTGGAACCACCAGATCTGCCAAGGATTTGGTCTCTGCGATCTGAAGAGCATTTGGCAGGTCATTTGTGGCTACACGATTCCTGGCTACCTCCAAAGCAAGTCCATTACCAGTCTGCCTCCTTAGCACCCTCTGCATGGCAACCTCAACTGCACAGTCCACAAACCAAGTCTCGTCCACCAAGTCGCGGATATCCCTCCACGGCGCCGTATCTGAGGACAGAATCAGCAAGACCTGTCAATGCAGCGTCTTCACATATGGTCAGTTCGTCAGCTGGCCAACCTCACTCGCATGTTATTATGTTCCTCGTTAAAAACCAGAACTTAGCACCATCATGGCATAATATAATGTATTGCATGAAGCCAGGCTGAGACATATGGTACGCACCCAAGAGCACATAGTTTCCTTCAATCAACACAATCCTGTGCTCCTTGCATACTTCGATATCCCTCTCAACAGGGTCCCCTACAGCATGATCAAAAGACGGGTACTGACCACACCCTGCAAACAAACACAATTTCTGACTTGATCACTCAGAGACATTGAAATCCCTTGGCAGATCACACTGTTTGTTGCCGATGCTACTGTTCAGGCCCCAACCTGCATGCCTGATTTCTCGGATGGCTTCAACAAACTCGTGTGCATCAAAAGTCCAGTCGGCACCCCTTCTCATGTGAGCCTCTTCTGGGTTTGGCAGATCGTCCAACTGCTTGCGTGTCAAATGGAAGCCTGCGTCACAACAGTATGCAGGATTTAGAATTCCTGTGCCAAATCGAGATGGCCTCTGTGGGGGGTAGCTTTGACAACTCGTTAGGCTGAGGTCAATCACAAAGGGAGTGCGCACCGTCCATGGGGACATGAATAGCCCAATCTCGCTCTGAAGAATTCTGTCTTCGCCGGATAGTATTGATACATTGACTGACAGCCTTGGCTGTCGTGGATTTGCCGCTGCCTGGAACGCCTACATGCAGAGCTGGTCATTGCATGAAGACAGGCTGCCCGCGATTGGAAGTTTGACATCTTCAAGGATGGGTCATGTAGAGATGCTTGCCTGCTATTGCTACGATGTACCTGCAGTCAAGTTCTATCAATTAAATTGGGTATTGAAGGCTGGGTGTGCCTGAAGCAGCACAAAGACTGTGCACCGAAGTCAAAGGAAAGGGGGCTCAGTACTTTGATGGGGGTTGAAAGTCAGCAGTAAGAGCAGTCAGTCGCTCTGCGAGCGCCATGTAGACCTCCTCTATGTAGACCTCCTCTCCAAGGTTGTCCAAACTCTGTCTCAGGGTGTCCTGTTCTTCTACCACCTACTGTCAGCTTGTGAACAATCCATCTGCCGTGACAACCAACCTTGCATGAACCGATCCTCTGCAGAGCATACTTTCAGTCAAAAAAGGGTTGGTGCCTACCTGCCCTGATCTGGACAGACAATATTGCCTTTGACCCAAGCGCAGCCCATGCCTGAAGCGTAATCCTCTAACATGACTAAAATTGCTTTTAGTACACTTGCAATTGCCAGTGCTGTGGCAGCACCTAGGGCTTATGAGAAAACGTCCCTGTACATGCTGTGTGTTTGCCATCAAGCAGGGAATATGAGACTAGTCAGGTTGCTATTGCCGAGGGATCACAGCAGATTATCTCTTCGTATCCATGGTGCCAGCTCTATACCTTGATCGACGATTTCGTCAAGCAAATGTGCCATTGCCATCTGCAAATGCAAAGTGGGGGGACCAGCTGCAGCTGACCAGCTGGCAATCGGGAGAACCCTGCAATAGTTCAGCCCATTCCTACTTCCTTCAGAACTGGCATTTTTAATTTTTGAAGACCTCCTGCAAATCTCGTACAAGTGCATTCTCGTCTTCTTCAGCGTCGAACATTTTTCTCAGTGGGAACGTATCAAGATCCTCTCCCATCACAAAAGGCTCAAGTTGGGCAAATCATGCCAGGTAGATATCGCGATTCCAGCCGATCACCAACTCGGAGATCTCGTCGAGATTCCCGCTCACCTTCCACCAGAAATGGAAGGTGCTAAATCGTCCTCCTGCTTGTTTAGCTCCTTGAGTTGTGCTTTTCTTCAGGCTTCAGCACAAGGCTCACTACTGAAAACACAATGCTTTCACTGCGCACTTGCTGCTGTTGACACCACTGTGATCCATGGTTCAATTCCTGAGCAGCAAGTCCTGGACCCAAGGACACCACTTTCTGTATCCCTTGAGAAAGTAGAGATCAAAATACAGGCCTGTGATGAGGACAGAGCAACACCCATCTGTCTTTGCTGCTCAGGCGCCTGACACCGTCGCCACCTGCCCGCAGAGCCAGCCCTGATTACCGTGCTTACAGGAGAGACGATGAGCAAGGCCACAGAAGCCGAGGAGGCGGTCAGGGCAGCCGAGACAATGGGAGAGGTCATGGCCAGAACCGGTGAGCATCACACGGCTGCCTGGCAAAGTGTTTGCGGACTGGCAGCCTGAATTCTTTTGGGTACTGAGGACAAAGCTGTAAAGAGGAGATCTTGATCTGAAGTGGCAGGGTGTGATTGGCACAGGAGAGGAGATGATGGCGACGTGAGTGAGGATGACGTCAGAGAGCAGGCTGGCGGCAACTATCAAGAATTGTGAGTCTGCTCCTTCGCCCTGCTGACTCATCAATGCGTCATGTGATATGAGCGGTGAAGTGCCTGCAACTTGAGTCCAACTAATAGCGAAGTGTGGCCACAGCCGGCGACTGAAGAGGATCAAGCTCGCGGAGCGCAATGCCAGGTCAATCTGGGAGAATACACCGACGCCCCCGCCTGAGGAGAGGATTGAAAACGGACCTGTCAACGGCGGCCTTGAGAATGGTTCAAGGTAGGCCTCTGCAATGTGTCATTTGGAGGTTGCCAAAGAGATTAAACCTCATAGTTTGGCAATTTCTGCGCATCAGCTGAGAGGCAGGCGTGCGGTGGTTCTGCAGCCCTGCGGCGGACGATGCATCAAAGAAACGAAGCAGGAGGATGAGCGAGGATCCTGAGGAGCCCGCCGAGGCAGCGAAGGAATTGAGCGCAGACTTGCCAAAGGACGGTGCAGATGCTGCAGCTGCTCCCTCAGATGCGGCCAAGGAGGACGGAGTAGATGATGCTGTACATGCGGCCGCCGCAGACCTGTTCAGGGAATGGCTGGCGCAGCACAAGGCCCAGGTGGCCCTTGAGGAAGAGGTGAGGCACCTCTAGGCCTTGGCCTAAACGCCACCTTGCTGCCGACGCCTTGGCAGTTCCTTGAACAGTTACACCTCTCTTGGTGACTTGCTACAGGAGATAGGGCTCCTGTGGAATGCAAGGTCAAGCTGCCTGTGGGAATGGAATCAGGGGTGGCAATATGATCACTGGGGAGGCAAATGACTCGTGCATGCATGTGAGCAGGAACGGAAGAAGGCTGCGGAGGAGGATGTGATGGTGGGGCCAGTGCTGCCTGGTGGCGAGGGCGCGCATGCGGTGCCCGGCAGCTACGGCGGTGCGCTGCGGCCGGGCGAGGGAGAAGCCATGGCTGCCTATGTGCAGAGCGGCAAACGTATCCCTCGCCGTGGAGAGGTGGGTAGTTCCACTGCATCATACGCTCATGCGCATCCTGTGTGCACGGAGCCGATTCTTGGACTCCTACACGTTTGACAGTATTGCTGGAGCATGTACCTTGTGGTGTGCAGTGGTGATTTATGTTGGGATGATTGCGTAGGTTGGCTTGACGGCGGATCAAATCTCCAACTTTGAGGATCTCGGCTATGTCATGAGTGGATCGCGGCACTCCAGGATGAACGCTATTCGCATTCGCAAGGAGAACCAGGTGCATGGTCCTCAAGAGAATGAGTATGTGCATGCTAATCTTTTGTGAGTTCTGCGGTTCAATATCATTGCCCATCTCTGTTTGTATTGACTGTCTCTGTGCAATGGCAATACAGGTGTACACAGCAGAGGAGAAGGCAGCATTGGCAATGTACAATTTCGAGGAAAACAAGAAGAAGGAGCAGAAGATCTTGGCGGACATGCAGGAGCTTGTACAAAGGACCCTCGGAGATGACGAGGAGCCGGATGCTGAATAGGTTCATTGCTTCTTTTTAAAAATTTGGCGCAGTTACAGGTGTCTGTACTGTCTTTTGCTGTAATTCTTATCAAATTGGCTTCCTTGTCCTCAGTACCTCACCTCCAGAAGTATCTAGATCACAGTGGTCACAATGAATGGAATTTGATAGATGCAAGCACTTTGCAAAGCGATAGGCTCTCTAAGCATGACCCCTCTCTGGTAGAAACTGCTCTGGTCTGTTAAGCTTCTCATCCTTCCTGTCTCTGTCACAGAGTCTGTGCCTTGGTCCCCAAGGTTTGCATAGTGCCTGGTATTCCCTTCATGTCCTTGACAACTTGGGCCCCAACGGTGTCTTCTTCTTGAGGAAGGCGTAAGACAGCGGCAGCACCTGGCAGTTGATCAATCTCTCAGTTCTCCAAGGCAATTTGATTCCTGCAATTGCTAGCATCAGTCTCAGATTCTCTGAGCAAGGTGGGCAAGTTGAGAGGTCAGACATCTGCTTACCACGCCAAACAGGAAGACAAGGAGCCCTAACAAATAACGAGCGACACCTGCAAATTCGGTGTGTCAAAAATGTTTACTGCAAAAAATGTGCCATTATGTCCCGGACTTCAAAAGGATGGGAACTAAGGCACCACAATCGAGGTGAAGCAGACCTGGTGACTCCACCGAAAGCAACTGGCGCATTAAAACATCCATCTTATTTTCTCAATGCAACATAAGCGCCCCAAATATGTCAGCAATTCTGCTATTCCAATACCCCTGTTCTGTTTCAGATCATCATCAGCAACCTGGAAAGAAGTCTCGTTGAGTGGATGAGTGAAGCGTCGTAAGCATTCGATGTTCAGATGCTTCGGTGATCTTGCTTAATATTTCCTATCACCTTGCAAATGGCACTGGAGAAGAAGTATATGACTCATGTCTATGCACATGCCTGCCTTGCTGGAGCACATGCACAGATTTAAATTTAAATATGAACACCAGCAATCTTCTTTCTAAATGTCCTTGGAACGGTCATAGTCACTATGACACAGTGGGACTGTCTACGGCAGTTACTGCCCAGACAGGGCCCTGGGGCTTGCCATATTATTAAAATCAGTACCCGCTTTGAGGCCCCGTTAGGAGTCGAACACACCGTCACGATCATCACGATGGCAACTCTCCCACACTGGCAATCTCTGAGCCCAGTCTGATTCAACGTGATTCAATTCAAGCAAAACCTTCATAAAAAAGCTGAATCAATTTTCTCCAGTGTTGAGAAAGCGTAAACTGGCACAGCGCATGCACAGATCTGGATATGCAAAGGCCACATGGCTTGGTACGTAACCATTGTCTTCTCCAATTCCCTCAAACCGCAACAGAAATTTCACATGACCTCCGTACGCTGACGAGGTCTGCAAAGGGGTGACCTGGGTTGCATTATGTGGACTCAGTCGACTGAGACGTCTTTTCGAGCGCTTCATGCAGCTGAGGCAGGACCAGGGCCGGATCAAAGCCCAGCATCTCTGCCACCCGATCTGCCGTGCTGGGCTCCATTCTCCCGTACGTCATGAAGATGGCCTGCACAGCACGAGTGACCATGCAATTACTGTTTCACTACACATTTTATAAAATTGGGCTCAGTAGCAGGCTGGCGAGGAGGAGAATGTGAGGCGTCACCTCTCTCTCCTGCAACGTTGCGCGCTGGGAGATGCTGGCGGCGACCATGTCTGCCTGGGGGCTGCGCGGCGGCAGCGGCAGGGACTCCAGCAGACCAGCTATCCGCAGCAGCTGGTAGAGCGCCTCCTGGACCCCACACGCCTGCTGACTGGCCTGCCGACAGGTACTCATAGGGGCACATAGCAGACGGTGCAGCCCTGATGTCATGGGCAGAAATAGGGGCACGGGCTTATGCGCACACCTGTGAGTCATTTTCTCGATATGCTGCACAAGCGTCTATCAGCGCTCCACGGGCTTTTGCTGCAATGACGGCCAACGCAATGTTGGCAGCCTTCTCCTCGGGAACCTCTGCATCGCACACAGCCCATCACAAAATGCACAGGAGACTGCGGGAGCTAGACGTTACAGCTGGGCAAATCCGTCTTTTCGTGTGTCAGCGTGCCACACGATCCACAAAACTCCTTGTCGATAAAGCAGCGCATAGCATGCAAAAATCATGCGACATGCGGTCCAGGGCTGACCGAGGTCTCGCGCAAGGCCGGTGACGAAGGTGGAGGGCGCCATGCCGCCCAGCTGTGCGCCGGACTGCTGCATGGCTGCATCCACGGCCGCCTCCGCACCGGCGCGCAGCATCGCATCGCGCCCGCTTGCCGTGCGTGGCCGCACCGTTACACCGGCCTCACCGCACACCTGCAGCACAAGCATGCATGAGAGCCAGCATGGCACAGCCTTTCTGTGTCCTTGGATGGGAGACATGCAGGGTTGATGTGAGCCCAAAAACTGTACACTTGAAGATTGAGGGTGGTGTTACACCTGCCGCAAAGCGATCAGGGAGGCTATGGGATAGTCGTAGCCGGCCAGCTTTGCATCCTCCACTTCCTTCAAGATCGCCCTTGCATTCTTTTCCGCCTGCACGCACAGCAGTACTGAGCCATGGCTGTTGCAGATTGCACGATCCCCATAATGCTCATCTGCCGGGGCTTTGCAATGGTGCAACACAGGTGGTGCTGGGTGTGTTGGAGGACCAGATGTGTACCTCCTGCTTGTAGTACAGGGAGACATGGAGGGCGGGTGAGGGATTCCACCACTCTGGCATCTCATCCCCGTTGGCAGCCTGCTCTGATGGCAGCGCGGCCACCTGGGCGCTGGCAGACCCCCTGAGCAGATCCACGTCCTCTGCAGTCCCGACTGAGTCGCGCTGCGGTACTGCGCTGGGCGCATCAGGCATAAAGATCTGCCAGTGGCACAACCAGTGTTGCTGACCGATACACAGCAACATAAACACAGGGCCTGCCTGCAGAAATCACAGAAACAGGAAAACGGGAAATGCTACTCACCATTTTGCCGCCCAGAGAACGATCGCGGATCCATCTGCCTCCCTGTTTCGAGCGCACGAGGCTGCTGAAAAAATTGGGTAGCCGGCCCACAAGCCACAGCAGCGCCAATCCTGCAGCAAGAAGTGCTCCCCACCCCAATCCTGCAAAAATTTAGCATGCCGTAAGCTGCACATCTTGCTACGCTGCGCCGGCTACATGCAGCAAGATTCACAACAGACCCTGGGATGCTGTCCTTGAGCCGCACGTTTCATGAAGGTCACCCTTTTGCTTGAACAAAAGAATGGGGGAGTCCCAAGAACATGCCTGACTGCATGAGATGAACGTAGCCAGGGGTGGGAGCTGGCCGTGGGCCGGCACTCAGCCCCATGGAAAACTCCCGCTGCGGCTTGCCATGGAATGCCTTTGTCACAGACTTTTGAAAGGTGCTCGCTGCATGCCTCGCCTCTCCCAATACATTGGACACCTGCAGGGAGTACGGACAGCTTCAAGCCGCAACGCCTTGTGCTGATAGGGGCATTGCAATGACCTTTGTACCAGGTGTGCGTCCCAAGTTGAGACAACCTTGACCAGAGTCACCCACCGTTGCTTCAGCAGTGTCCACGCTTTCCTGGAGAGCCTTCTTTTTGCTCTGCAACCATGCTAGATGCGTCAAGTAAAGTTGCTAGGAGACGGGCATGCCTGCACATGCAAGAGGATTCTGGACCTCAAGCAACTGCAGCTACCATTACCTTGGACACTTGCTTGCCGTCCAGGACCCTTTGCCTTGCGTCGTCGATGCGCCTGAAATGTCGGCGTGGCAGCCACTCTCTGTCAGCAGCTTCACATGGAGCTGCAAAGAGCCAGGCCGAGCTGGCCACAGCACTGCAGGCCAGCAGTGTTCTGGCAGAGGATGTTACAAGGTTGACGAGCTGTGTTGAGGGACGTTGTGGGCTGGATGGTGGCGCTACCGCATCTCTGGAAGGCTGAGCCGTGCAACAAATTCGCTGTTTCCTTGAAAACTTCCTAGTGCCAGGGAGTCTGCAGTGGGCTTCAACAGGGGCTGTTGTGCCAGTGTACATCATTGGCTTCACAAGCAGCATTGTATGAGCTATCCCACTGTTATTTTGTCATATCTGCCATGTGCGCCGACCCCTAAAGCCGTGTCATGAATGAAGAAACTGTTGCATCCCTACTCATGCCCTCACAAGTTCCTTGAAGTGTGGATGACGGATTCGATTCAAGTCTCCAACAGAGCTCCTCGATATTAAGGAATCTGCAAGGGAGACGCGTTTTTGTTAAACGTGTATTCTCTCGTCGCAGGAGAAACGAGCCAACAGGGGACTCTAATAAACTAAGTTAGTGTAGCCCGAAACGGACGGGGTTAGATCTAGGGCCCCCGAGGGTAACGGATCAGGCCAGGGGTCGAGATGTATCGAGAGCCCAACCTGGCAGGTCGGAGCTGACTCAGCTAGGAGACAAACGGAGGGACTCTTTCATTGTTCGAGTACCATGCAGGTTGTGATAGGCAGACTGCCCGTGGGTAACTATTTACGGAGTCTACCTGGCAATAGCGGTGTTCCATACGTGCTTCGAGCGAAAGGTTCACTTTTCCGTTTTTCTGGAATTGATCACGTTTCTAACCGGCATTTGTACAGGCAAAAGAAGACAACTTTGCGTGTAAAACCGACCATGACGGAGGCTCTGAACAATGACGTGTTCCATGACCACAAAGAGGCCATTAAGGCACAAAATTTTCCACCGCCTGCTAGCTTGTCCAAGGATGCTCACGTATCTTCCAGAGAACAATACGATAAAATGTACCAGCAATCTATTGATGATCCTGACGCTTTCTGGGGGAACATTGCCAAGTCATTCTTCTGGAAAAAAGAATGGCAGATTCCTGTAAGAAGGTGAGTGGACTCCAGATCTGGGTCGTCTCTGTTGTATTTCCTGACATTCACTGAATACAAATGTTATATGTCAATGAGCAAGGCCAGTTCGCAGAGTGTAACCTTGGAAAATCACCCAAGGCAGCAGCACCTCAAGTCCAAGCGGAGCTTAGGCCAGAAAGTATCTCTGGATATCAGTATACCAAGGGAACCTGGGGTATGAAGTTCTCCGTGTCAGGAGGAACTCTGCAACAGTGCAAGCTGACTCGAGCTCTCCTGACCCTGCCCAGGTACAATTTCGACGTTCGGAAGGGGCCGGTGAAGATTGAGTGGTTTGTCGGGGCGGAGACAAACATCACGTACAATGCGCTGGACAGACATGTCGAGGCCGGGAATGGGGACCGCGTGGCATTCTACTGGGAGGGCAACGACCTCAACGAGCAAACTGTCACCACCTACAAGGAGCTCCTGGATCAGGCAAGCTAGGCGACGGTTGTGCCTCGGAGTGTGCTGCGCCGGAGGATGTCTCGGAATGCAGCTATTGCCTTGTAACATGCCAAAGCACCTAAATACTGCTGGGGTGTCTCCAGGTCTCTCAGCTGGCCAATTACCTGAAGAGCGTAGGCGTCAAGAAGGGGAGTGACGTCACCATCTACATGCCCATGATCCCCGAGCTTCCTGCCGCCATGGTGCGCTTAGCAGACCCTGCTGCTGTTCTCACTTGACAATGTCAAGCTGATATGGGTGTTTATTTCAGTGAATTGCTGCTGCCACTCGCCAAGCAGAAAGAAGATCCCCGAAGGGGCCCTGCAAACTCTGGTCTGCCAGGGGGATCCTGCAATTTGTTTCACAGCTTCAATGGCCTGTTTTTATTACTGCAGCTTGCATGCGCCCGCATCGGCGCAGTGCACTCAGTGGTGTTTGCGGGGTTCTCTGCGGAGTCCTTGGCCGGCCGCATCCTGGACTCCAAGCCCAGCGTCGTGCTCACCGCCTCAGCCGTCAAGCGTGGCGCCAAACCCATCAACCTGAAGGTGAACCACTTGTCCCAGTGGAGCTGTTCTGACACTGCAACTTATCCTCTTGCGCATGTGGATCATTCCTTGGTGAGTGCACAATAGGAGGTGTCTTGTATGTCACCAGCATTGCAGAAACACCGTGAGGCAGACCTTTCTCCCCACTCGGCGCTCGCCGTCGCACTGCCTTGTATGTCTTGCGTATCTCTTCTCTGAACAGTTGGTCATGGACAGTCCTGGTGTGGCTCTGATGTGAGTCACACAGCTGGAATGAGTGCTGTGTGTCTGGATGCAGGGCATCGTGGACGATGCGCTGAAGAAGGTGGAGGAACAGAGCCACAGCGTGAAGACGGTGTTGGTGTATGACCACAAGCTGGCGGCCCAGCGCGAGAGCGTCCCCTTTGTGGAGGGCCGCGATGTGTGGTGGCAGGACGCCGTCGCGCAGCACCCCACCCAGTGTGACATTGAGTGGATGGGCGCCGAGGATCCCCTGTTCAAGGTGGGCATCGGTCCTGTTGAACTGCTCCACACTGCGTTATTCACACCAACGGTTTCCAGCAGAGGTTTACGGCACCGTTTCTTGTCTTTACCAGCAGGCAAATGGTCACCGCAGGTCACAGCTGGCGCTTCTGGTTCTGCTTGGCCCAGGTTGTAATTATGTTGTTGAGGTTATTACTATTCAAAAACACATCAATTGGTATAGCAGTGTGCTGCTAGTGACACTGCTGTTGCATGCCTGCATGAGCTGGATTGGGCTGTCTTGTCAGCTGGCACAGAGAAATCAGAGTCAATGCAGTGCCTTGTGGTGTGAGGCAAATGGTGGTGTTTGTGCAGCTGTATACGAGCGGGTCGACAGGGAAGCCCAAGGGAGTGGAGCACACCACGGGCGGCTACATGGTGGGGGCTGCCACCACGTTCAAATACGTGTTTGATTACCGACCAGACGACATCTACTGGTGCACGGCCGACTGTGGCTGGATCACTGGCCACTCTTACGTAACTTACGGTGCGCCTCATCGTACTGACTGCACCCTCAATGCATATTCATAAATGATCATGCATATATCTAAGTCTGACCAGCGTCGAGCCTACCCACCCGCCAATTTTACTGCAGGGCCCATGATCAATGGTGCAAGCCAGGTCCTTTTCGAGGGCGTGCCCACCCACCCAGACGCAGGGCGTGCTTGGGACATCATCGACAAGTACAAGGTATGCTGCCTGCCACCATGCGCTACTGACACACCAAAGTCATGCCGCATCCAAACTCTCCGCGTTGCTTGTATGTTGAAGTCGCCTGGCCACTCCAGGCCATGTCAAAGCTGACTGATGTGTGTAGATCACCTTATTGTGCACACCTCCCATAGTGCAGTGATCTCCAGGCAACTTACAGTGCTGGCTAATGTGTGCAGGTCACACCAATATACATGTCTTGTACTTGCAGGGCGATTTAGCGTCGGCTGGTGTGTGCAGGTGACGCTGGTGTACACAGCGCCGACGGCCATCCGGGCACTGCAGTCGTTCGGCAACGAGTGGGTGACCAAGCACTCTCGCGCGTCGCTGCGCATCCTGGGCACCGTCGGCGAGCCCATCAACCCAGAGGCCTGGAAGTGGTACCACGAGGTGCGCTCCTTTGCCCCGCTGCACAACCGCAACTTATCTGGAGGCTTCCCGGCAGGGAGTGAGCAGCTCCACTGGAGCTCCGTTTGGTTCTGGCATGCATTGCAGCAGTCGTATCATTTGACCATCAATGGCTTCTTTTAGAACTGTAGGGTCACCAGTTCTGCAAGGCTTGAAGTGGTGTTGTTTTATTGCAATATATCCACTAGAGCATTTGGAACGCCCGACCAATAAAAAGACTGCACTAGACAAGACGGATGTGCTCCCGTTTGACATATGTCATGGTGTGCACAGGTGGTGGGCGACGGACGCTGCCCGATCGTGGACACGTGGTGGCAGACGGAGACGGGCGCGCACATGATCACGCCGCTGCCGGGCGCCACCACGCTCAAGCCCGGGTCGGCCACGCTGCCCTTCTTCGGAGTGGAGCCCGCCATCCTCAATGAGAAGGGCGAGGAGATCCAGGGCAAGGGCGAGGGGTGCGCTCTCTCTTATACTTCTGCAAAGCAATGCCCACAAGTACCACTCAATTATTTTTTGCTGGATCAAGGCTGAAGTATGGCTGCAAAATATGGTCAGATTTGTGAGAGTCCTGTACACTGCTCTGCAGCCCGTGCTTTGCGGTACAGTAACTCTCAATGTGAGGGAAATCTGAATCCTACGGTGACCGTGATTGCAGGTACCTGGTGATAAAGCAGGCGTGGCCGAGCTGCATGCGTACGCTGAGCGGCGACCACGAGCGCTTTGAGACGACCTACTTCAAGGTCTATCCCGGCTACTACTTCACCGGCGACGGCTGCAGGCGCGACGACGACGGCTACTACTGGCTCATTGGTGCGGCGCCCCAACCACAGCAAGGTCCCTAACAATTTCTTAAGCTGGGCACCCCCCAGCATGCCATTTCTTGGCGACTCCCTGTATTGGCAGCACGCACCTCCAAACATGTCTTGGCCGTTCGGCTTGTAAAAAGCAGGTAAGAATTCAGGCACAGCCTTTGGCTGCATATTTTTGGAGCATATTGTCTTGGCCATTTGTCTTGGGGAGCAGTGCAAATGAGACACAAGTACAAGGTTTGGAACAAATTGTTTCTGTGCTTGTATTGCAGGTCGCGTGGACGATGTGATCAACGTGTCAGGGCACAGGATCGGCACGGCGGAGGTGGAGGGTGCGCTGACTCAGCACCCGCGCTGTGCAGAGGCGGCTGTGGTCCCCGTGGAGCACCCCATCAAGGGGCAGGGCATCTACGCATTCGTCACCCTCATGGTGGTGCGTGCTACATCCGCCCATCTCCCCTTTGGCAAACATATGCAGGGGGATCGAAATAAAGAAATTGGTATGCAGACATCAAGGCAGAGCGAGTTCCAGTACACAGGAGAAAGGAGTGCATCGCAAGTGCATGTCATGCAATAACAATACAATGATCCCCCGGCCCAGGAGCACTAATTGACCACAATGCATACATGCATATAAGTGTGGCTGCATAGTTAGATATAGATCCCCCTGACATATGATCAATCCCTTTATGAGCGCCCCAGCCACTGTCATGGGACACTCACTGCTCTGATGTGATGCAGGGCACCGAGTACCCTCCGCCCTCAGAGCTGAAGAAGGAGCTGATCGCTGTGGTGCGCGATGTGATTGGGCCCATCGCCACTCCGGATGTCATCCACTGGGCACCAGGTGGGTGTGGTAATTTGGATTGGCTGCATGTGCCGAGTGACAAATTGCTCCGTTGCAGCTCCTGATTGGCTGTGTCTGCAATGCAGGGCTGCCCAAGACGCGGTCTGGGAAGATCATGCGGCGCATCCTGCGCAAGATCGCCAGCAAGTGAGCATCCCACTTCCCATTTTCCTATACCACGCATGCTGCCTGATTCAATTAGAAGCATTCAATCGTCCCTGGCAGCATCTGGTATCTTGAGATTGTACTGGGCTGTCTTGAGTGTTGTGTGTGCTTGCTTGTGCAGGGAAGAGGACCAGCTCGGGGACACAAGCACGCTTGCTGACCCTTCTGTTGTGCAGACCTTATTAGAACTGCGCGGTCAATGAGAGATACGTCTTTGGAATGGGTGGTTTGCACATTCAATATGCAGATTGCCTTGTCGCACTCTTCAGATCTTTTGAGAGGGTGTGCCGCCAACAAATGTGTCCAGACGTCTGGCTACGACGTTGTACTTCCTCGTTGGGGATGTGCTGTTGCAACCTCCATTCAGAGCTATTGGTGGAAAATTGTTCTGCAAGTGAGATGCAAGGGCCTGCTGCTAGGATGGGCAGTGCCTGCGTGATGCTGACTGATGTAGTACTATAGTTCCACGACACTGCGAGATCTGAGACCCACACTATTTCATTTGGATCTTTCAAGATCCACAATGTCATGTTACACTGTTTCTGTTGCTACTTGTAAATATCGGATGAATGATGACACAGGCCGGCCATTTGATATCTTAAATAATCAACTAATTGCACAGCGCCTTCTCGATGCAAAAACGGTACAAGCAGCGCTTACAAAATGTGTAGCAAGCGTATATGGATATGTGTTGAAAGTGGATGATGATGAGTAAGAAAGTAGAGCTGCTACGAGAACTTCATGCCAGGCCGCGCGAGCTGAGAGCACGACAGGCATATGTCTCCTTCTCCTCTGGACGACTTGATGTGAAAATTGAGGCCCACACTTGTTTTGATGCAAGCTTGGGCGCGCTCTCTGTTGCCTTGAATTTCTTGACCTGTGCCTTCTCATCCCCAAGGCTGCCCACCTCTGCGTCGTTGCGCTTGCTGCCAGCAGACACACCTACAGCACCATCAAGAATCATTGTAAAGAGTACTGCGGATGATGTTGCCTGCTTATCTCTGATAACTTTTCTGTCATTCCAAATGCAACAATCTGTCTCCTCTGCAGGTCTGCATTATGAACAGCAGCAGGAGAAAACAATCCTTGCAAGATGTGCCAGCAATACCTGGAGCGTCTACTTTCTCCGCGAGTTTTTCCGAGCCAGCAACCGCCACTCCTGCCCCGTTCTCCTCCACCGCTGCTGCCGCCACCTTGCCGGCCTTCTTCTTCTCCTTCTTGGCCCTGGCGGCCGCGCGGGCGAGCAACATCTGCTCGCGCAGATGCTGCACCTCCTCAGGAGTGCCATTCAGCGGCAGCACATCCTCTGTCGCCCATTTGCCTCCCACCAGCTCCTCAACCGCCGATGGCACCTGTGGCAACACGCTCACTTTATGCGCTCACTCAGTGGGAGGACAAGGTCGTCCAGATTCCCTCAGTGAATGCATCCAAATCCTCGGCTGAATTAGCATCTTCACCAGAGATAGCATGGATGAAGCCCTGCTGGAGAAAGTGACCCCTTTGATAGAATGCTGTCTGGGAACAAAGCGGAGGTACATCACCTCTTTCAGTGCCTTCTCACTGATGACGTGCCCGGTATTCCTCAAGGCAGAAAACCGACAGCGGCCATTCATCTGCAGGCCTGTCAGCGGGCAAGAAAAGTCCGCCACATTGTTCATCTGGAAGTTGCCTGCCGATGCGCCGTTGGCCTTCTTTGCAACGTCCTGGTGCAACATAGAGACCAAGTCAGACCCATGTACCGTCAATGATCTCTGTTTGCATGCGTCTTGACAGCCTTAAAGTTGTAAATTACCTCATTGGACTGCGAGCTGGGCTCCAGCTTGAGATCAATGAGGTGCCGTAGGCCACTGATATGCGCCAGTGAAGGTGGCAGAGATTTTGAGATCAGCGCTGCCACGACGGCGCTCTTGTTATAGAGACTGCCCATCTCATCTGCACACACCGGAGGAGACAAGCGTTCCCCTGACAATCTGCACGTTGTCCAGCGGGCCAACTTCTCCTCTTCAGGGTTGATCTGCAGGAGAAAGAAGTTTAGCTAAGTACTTGCCAAGGGAGCCATAATGTATCAGCCTGCACCACTAGGACATCAGGTGCCCTTGGCCTGCACATATATACCTTGTCTGGCTTTTTTTGCGCATACATCTCCAGGAAGCTGGACCGTGACTCTGCGCCCGTGGAGCCACCATCACCTCCTCCGCCACGTGCACGCACTGCGACGTTGACTTGGGATCCAGGAAGAATTCCACAGAAAGCTAGCCTTGCGCCATCTGGGCACACACGCCCGTTGTGCACGACCCTCTGTCCACAGCACAAAAGAAGTAAGCATATGCACACTTGTATAGAGAGCAGCAGAGAAAACCCAATCTCCCAAAGACGAGCATTAAGGATAGTGCATTCACCAGATCGGAGGCCAGTGTGGCTGAATCAGAGCCAACCACCCTCTCCTTCAAGGCAGAGACAGTATCCCATCCCTGGTAATCTAGTCTCACAGTTCCCACACTCCCTCCACACCTTGCGTGAATGTCCATTTCACTCCCCAACAATATACGTCAAGCACGCTGTTACATGATATGATATGAGATGAAATTGGCAGGAGCAAAGTTCAGGCAATCACCGAGACCCGTGATTACGTCACCAGCGGTGAGGTGGCTTTCCTCCCAACTTGAAGAGTTTCTCCAAAAAGAAATGAACAAGAAGAGACGAAAGGCAAAATGTCTTCTGATGTCAACAGGTGGGAGGAAGCATGCAAGCATTCTATTGATTCCATGGGCGCATGCAACGCATGAATGAGATCTGCTTTGCCTCTTATAAGAAAGAGGCGCCACTAGGCACTAGTGTACTGCCAGGCCGAGCCGCGCAGCAGCACCGTGCTGTGACTGCAATGTGCGCTCATTTGTGCTTGCCCCGGGAATGGATCAAGCAGAGACTGCGCTCTCAAGCAGGACGACCAATCACAGCAGGCAGGCCCTGTACAACTTGTACAGTACAAGGTGTCCGAGTCGGCATTGCATTACCAGTCTTGCTGATTACAAAGCACAACAAAGAATACAGCGAGACTGCAGTGGTACTCCAAAATTCCCAACAGCCTCAGGCTGCCAGTTCTGGGTCCGACAGCCACTGACAGCTGTCACAGCAGAAATGATAGAAGACAAACGACATAGCATTTGTGCAGTTTCAAAGACAGCGATCAATGGAAATCACAAGAGCTCCGTGAAGGGCGGTGCCACTCAGTGGGCGCCATTAGATGCGGTACAGGGGCTTGATGCCGAGCAGCTGGAAGCACTGCCGCATGATCATGGCAGTCGCCTCGCACAGCAGCAGCCGCGAGTCCTCCTCCTTCTCTCCCAAGACCTGCAACATCACATGCTTGTCAGAAAGTGCTGCACAGCCCTGGAAGGATTTTCTAGCTGCGAATGACCACCACAAAATTGTCTGCAGGAACCCATGCATCATGCCAAATTTGACAGGATTGGTTTGGAGGCTCCGCCTCTTACCTTGCATCCCACGTAGAAGGTGTTGAAGTAGTTAGACAGCTCGTAGACATACTCGGTGATCCGATTAGGTGCCAGCTCGACCAGTGTGTCCTCCAACATCTCTGTGAAGCGCACTATGTGCAGCGCCAGCGCCCTCTGCACTCACACACCCAGTTGAACTTTAATATCTACAGTAAAACAATACCATTCTTGAAGCCATAACTAACAATTGTATACTGCTCGAAACCGGGTTGCTGCGCTTTGAGATTCTGCAGAGTTCTGGGATGCTGCATAGGCTCGCACCTCAGAAGCATGGTCCAAGGAGATGTGGGCAGTCTGCGCCACCTCCTTGATATCCTTGTTGGATTTACGGATGATGCCAGCAATCCGTGCATGTGCGTACAGCATGTAGACAGCTGTGTTCCCCTTCAGGTCCAGCATCTCATCAAAGTTGAACCTGCGCCATGAGCATTTTAACCTGCTGACCAGAGCTCGAAACTCACAGTAGCATTAAAAACTAATGATGCAGCCAAAATTAGTGACTCTCCACAATGCACTACTAAGGAGGACAGCTGGACATGTGAAGCCAGTGTGGCTTGTAGTTGGCAGAGCTCACTTGTAGTTGGTGGCGCGGTTGTTCTTCAGGTCGGCATACTTCACAGCGCCGTAGCCCATGACTGAGGATATGTTTTCCATCTCCTCTGCGCTGAGTTCCTCGCCCCCCCTCTCTATTGTGGTCTCCTGCCGCTCCTTGATGGACGCCGCACACCGCGCCTTGGCCTCATCCAGCAGCTCCACTAGCCGCACCGCCTGTTGCACCGTTTGAATTTTCTCTCAAACCAGAGTAGACAGTTGTGCGGTGGAAAATTTCCCCTAAATACAGAGTAGACAGTTGTGCGCAAAACATGAATCGTGAGTGGGTTGAGCAGGCTTGCCTGCTTCAGCATACCACAAAATACAGTACATGATGCATGCATGCCTTCCACTTTTCATGTGAGGAGCTCTCAGGTAAAGGAAATTGGTGATGTATCTTGTGTGACGTTTTAGCGGTCAACAGGCTGATGGTGTGATGCAAGGCTGGTTGGGGTGAGTGGACGTACGGCGCCGGAGTCACGGGTACGGATCCGTTTGCCGTCCTGGCCGAGCACGAGGCCGAAGCCAACGTGGTCGATGCGCGGTGGATTTTTGGCGGGGATGATGCCGGCGCGCTTGCCCGCGCCAAACACCAGCTTGAAGTGCCCCGACTGGCCCTCGTCCGTCACATAAATCAGCCACTCGGCCTTCTCATCCTGTCCCCACCGTCAACCCAAAATCAAGTGCTGCTTGCATGCCCAGTCTCTTCCAAATGCAGCAACAGCTCATATGCTGTTTGAGCATGTCATCGCATTTGATGTACAGAATATTATGGGAATGCAGGACACTGTGGGAGAGTCAAATTGGATGCGAAGCCCTCACATGGATCCGCTGAGCCAGGGTGGCCATGTCGGTGGTCCCATAGCCGTAGCCGCCATCTGATTTCCGGATCATGAGGGGTGTCTTCAGACCCTCCACAGTGATGACCTGTGTGGTGCAGTATGTAGATAAGCAAACCATCGCACAGCAATTGAACACCTTGCCTATTCATCAATAATTGATCGTTGCAAATTTTGGGGGCAGGTGCAAGAGTCCAGGGCTGTGGCTGTTGGAAGAAAGGGCACCTTGGCGCCCTCGCTCTCCTCGGCAATCCCCCGCTCTATGAGCTCCTCCACAAGAGGTGTAAGCCGCGGGTTGTACCATGACTCCCCCCGCCACAAGATGTGGACGTCCAGTCGATGGTAGATGGCGTCAAACTCGTTGCGGCTGGCCTCGCAGATCCGCTTCCATGTCTGCGCCCCACCCAGCACAAGGTCATCTTTTTGCAAAATCCAGGCTGCAGTGAAGAGGAGATCAACCACCACAGGCCATGACACAATTGCATTGCATGCTGGGACTTCCAAGGAAATGCAAAAGATGAGATTAGGAGAGCAGTTGGAGGACCAAAGAGCCTGCCTCTAGGAACTCTGGGTCGCCGGACTGCAGCCGGGTGACAGCCTCGCGCGCCCGCGCTTTGAAGTCCTCCTCAGCGTCAAAGCGCGCCTTGGAGGCCTTGTACAGCGTCTGCAGGTCCGACACCTCCTCTGTGGTGGTGCCCTGGAGCCCGCCCGGCCGCGTCTCTGCGATGTGCTGTATGAGCATGCCAAATTGCGTGCCCCAGTCGCCCTGCCCATGCCAGCGCTCACCTCAATGCACATCAACCTGCCATGACCAGTCATGTGAGTGGAGAGCAAGTGGGCTATTTACAGGCGAGCCTTGCAGGAACAAAATTTCCCTCAATCAATGCTATACAGGCGCTTGAGGCTGCTCACTGGTTTGATGATCACCATGAGCATAACCATCGTCAGGGTGTCAGAACAGAAGTCCAAACCAGCATCAGCCAATGAGTATGCAGCGCACCACATGGTTGATACGCAGTGTGTCGACGCCGCAGAACTCCAGCGTGCGCGCGATGGTGTCTCCGATAATGGTGGATCGCAGGTGGCCCACATGCATCTCCTTGGCCACATTGGGTGATGAGAAATCCACCACTGCGCGCTTGTACGGCAGCGACGGGGCCCATGTGCCAGCACCCTTGAACTCACGGGCAATGAGCCACAATCAGTGCCGCCATGAGGTTTTGGGCAGACACATGAGGACCGTCTGTGGATGGATGAAAGAGATGAGGAATGCATTCCAAGTGTGACAGACAGAGCAGTCAGCAGGTGCAATCACCTGTTTGACCAGGATCTGAATGCGCTCGCTGAGCCATGCAGAGCTCAGCTTGATGTTGATGAAACCGGGGCCAGCCAAAGTCGGCGTGCCATCTATGGCTGTGGTGTCCGGCAGCGCATTGAGAATAGCAGTAGCAACTTCCCGAGGATTCTTTGGAGCGCCCTCCTGCTGACGGAGACAGTCACAACTCAGCTATCAACCCGCAATGGAGAAAAATCTCCTGAGTACTAGCACCACGCCTATTAATGTGCAAGTAGGAGCTTGCCTTGCCCTTCATGCGGCCAAACAGGGCCATGGCATTGTTGCACTGGTAGTCTCCATGATCGCGGTTGTTGGTGGCAGCCACAGCTGGCTGAATGTCAACATTGGGGAAGGCTGTCCGCAGAGCAGTGCTAAAGACACCGGCCAGGTCAGTCCGGACCGAAGGGACACGCTTTGCTGCAGCCTCAAGATAGCGGCCATCTGCATGAGAACAGACCCTCCGTGAATTGCTAACATGACAGAGCTTTGCATCAAATAGCCATTAGAAGGCACCATCAGAATGGAACCGTCAGTGCACCTGTGGAGGTGAATTGGCCCAGAGTCTGCGCAGGTGCAGCCGATGCCATCGATCGCTGAACGGTGGTTTGCTGTGCTATACTAACGGCGGTGATTCTCCGGAAGCTATTGTTATGAGCTGAAGTGCGCCATGCAAGCCACAACCAGACTTAGATCCAGGGAATTACTATGAAGTTTTTTTAGGTGAAGAGGCCACATCGATCCCCAGATAGGTAGCGAACGCATCCATATTTTGTATAAGAACAATAGTGGACGTACTCGTGGGATAAATTGCGGGCGTGATAGCAACCTTTTTACGAAGCAGCCAATTCTGACAGAAATCTGCGCCATAGCTACAGAGATTCAGCATTGCGTACTATCATGTTTGATTCCAACTGCGCAAAAATAATCAACAAAAGGCTTGATTGCTTGATGAGAGTTCTACAGTACCTGAATGCTTGCAGTTCACACGCATGCCTCGACTTCCCGGAGCGTCTTTTGCTTAAAAAGCAACAAGGATCACTGTCAATTTCATTCCGTTGTGATGGGTTTCCTCAACTTCAGCTTCAACACTAAGATTTCTAAGCCTTCAGCACTTCTGGTCCTGGTGACCGCAACATGGTGACCGCAACAGCAGAAGCTGGGTTGATCTGCCCAGACAAGGGCATTGGGCTCAGGCTCAGGTTGCGGGCAGGACCCCCTGGCGGCACCGCCACAAAGACCCCTGATTTTTTTTCTCAAATGGTAATCATCCCATGAACATGTACCCTGCAGGACATCATGCTTCTCTGTTTCATGGACACTGGCCAGCGCCGCTGACACCGCCACAGGCCTGGCCGGCCACACTGTACAGTACACATGTCACATCATGTCTCTCAGTCACACCGTGTTCAATGAAATTAGTGAGACACAGCTGAGACTCTGCAGAGACACAGTGCTGTGCCAGCCTTTGCGCGTCCAAGCACCGAACCTTTTTGTATGCGCTGTACAGCATCCTGCTGTGATGGCCATGCATGATTCTCGATTTGAGCAGCATGGAGGCGCGGCCCCGGGCCCGGGCCTCACTACGGCGGGCCGCCTTACCTCTCTGGGAATGCTTCATGTCATGTGACATTAATTTAGAGTGCATGTTGCAAGATGATGGCAACTGTGCTTTAATCAGAAAAAATAGATAGTGCTTTCTGCCAATTCATGATAAGACCAATTTGTTGGTGTCCCTTCAGCGCACCCTGTTCACCAGCTGAAGCATGCCAGCCTGAAATTACATGCAATTGATTTACAATCACACCGGTGGTACTGACCTCACCAACTCCAAGTGATCATGAAAGCAACTCGCATCGACTGCAGAGACTTAATTTGCCTTTGCCTTGCAGAGCGGCAATAACTACCCCAAACCATGAACACATCAGGAGAACATGATGGTTGTAATCACAGCATAAAACACTTCAGCAATGCCTTCAAGGCTTCTCATGCAAAGCTATATCTCAGTGTCATGGAATAGCAAAGCATTCTGCGCTTCAGCAAAGCATTCTGCGCTTCAGCTTTTGGATACGTTCAAACACATCAGGGAGTTGGCACCTCATTCAAGGACCTGCTGGTGCCATTTGAGAGCACAACCAGCCAGGATTGCATGATGTCCACAAGATCTGTTGCTGCTACAGGCCAGCCCATTGGCATGATGACTCATTCAGGGAAAAAGCTCTGGCATGCTGACCATTGCTGCCTCAGCCAAGAAGAGCGTTATACAGGGCCCGCAGTTTGGACATCATAGTTCCGTGCTGGTTGCCGTGGTGACCCTTCTTGCAGGCATCGAAGAGAACCTCATTTCTCCGGTGCAGAATCTTTGTGGGAGGGTCGTATACCGCCTGCAATATGCGCATGCGCGGGTAGGTTTAGGAGATGCTTCGATCGGCAGTCAACAGTGAAAAAGGCAGAAATGCATCAGACATAGTATTATCAGCACTATAAATTCACTGGCTGTCATGCATTGCAATTGCAGCGCGCTGCGCCGCCAAAGAGCTTGCATGTGGATCGCGTACCAGCCAGAGGCGCTTGTCGTCAAAGTCGTCGATCTGCGCACACAGAGCCTCGCAATTTGACTGATGCAAAGGTCGCCTCAGGACAGCTGAAAATGACGAACATCTCCAGTTCAGCAGGTCATAACTGATAAGTGTCAGGGCCAACCTTGTCTTTCAGGAGGGCATCTCGCAGCCTGAGACCCTCCTCCAGCGCCTTGCCCTGTGTTGCAAAGCCAGGGAACTCCCTGGCATACCCCCTCTGTTTTGGGATACGGCATATCTTCACCTCGTCAACAGTCGGCGCAGGTGGTTTTCCCTGCAGGTGACCAGACCTCAGCAGCGTCAGGATGCAAGCGCTCAGTGAGCCACAGCCATGCACGTGCAGGTTCGCAGGGTACTTTGAATTAGGCATGATGGAATGCTGCTCAGAACTGAGAGGATTGAAGTCAAATATTAAAGCTACCTGGTAGTCTCCAGGGATCCAAAGAGATACTGTATAGTTCTTGTCCACCACGTCCGTGAATTCCTTGTTTGGATGCATCCTCGTAAAGCTGGGCTGGGTGCGGCTCATCCTGCCAGGAAAAACTTGCACAGTTCTTGAGCTTCTGTATTGCAGGCGGACAACTCAAACTTATGTGCGCCTTCTCACCTGACGTTGTCCTCGTTCCGGCCCAGAAAGTACGCGTACAGTCGAGAGAGCGCCTTGGTGTATGCAATCGTGAAAGGCAGCCCTGTGACATTTGTGGCCACGTAGTCGCCTGGATCGCAGCCGAGACAACCTCAAGCGAGTGCCAAAACACCTTTCGAGATGCAAAAAATCTGGGTACCAATACATCACTTGCATCTCACCATCTTCGTATTCCCTTTCTTCGTAGAGATCCTTCTTGGAAAGGCTGCGGTAAGGAGGCTGCAGTATTTGGGTGAAACTCGTGTCCGCATCCACGGTTGCCTTGTCGCCCACATTTGGCTCTGCAACAGCCGCGCTGAGCCCGAGCAAGAGGGCCACCAGCAGAACACCTACAAATCCCTTCATCGCTGCAAGTTCGTAACGCGCCCTTGAGAAGATGCTGAAAGATTGTCTGCTTGTGTGTGCAATCTGGGATTTCTTGGAAGGGTCGGGAAGGTATATATACTGCGAGACAACATGCAAACAGTGCGGAGTTCAGCTCCAATTTCCCCCACCAATTGACTCCACAAGTGATTAAGCTTGTATCAGTTGCTCATTCTTGAAACTTAGAGGAGACAGTCCTGAAGTTAGCTGCGAGACTGACCGGGTCGTATACTGCATTCACTTGCACAGAACCAAGGGAAGCTGCTTCTAAGCACCGGTATCAGGGCGCAGTTGGCCATTGATATAGTCCCATTCTCATTCCTATAGATCTATTAGCATTTGTGGGCGCCAGATACCAGAAGAAGCTTTCCCCAGGCCAGGTGGAAACGGCTTCGAAGCCATGGGGGATGGAGGTTTGGGAGAAACCCTCATTCCTGCCATCAACAAGCTCCAGGACATATTTTCACAGGTTTCTGACTCCTGACATTGGAAGCATTATTGCACATTACCCAGTGGAGGTGGCCGGAACATCAGGCACTCACAATCCGTGTGCCAGCTAGTGTTGTGACGAGCTACACCACTAAAAGTGGATCTCATATGTTACCTGCAGGTCACGATAGACTTCAGATTGGACTTGCCCCAGGTGGCCGTTGTTGGCAGCCAAAGCAGCGGAAAGTCTAGTGTGTTAGAAGCCCTTGTGGGCCGAGACTTCTTGCCTCGTGGTCCAGAGATTTGCACAAGAAGGCCATTGTTGCTCCAGCTGGTAAGCTTGCAGTGTTGCATCTCCAAGTCCAAGTTGGGGTAACATGCATCCAATGTAATTGGAGCTGTAAACCTCTAGTCACGTGCAGGTGAAGCAAGCAGCAGGGAGCGGCAAAGCTGCCGAATGGGGGGAGTTCCTGCACTGCCCAGGCAAGCATCCTCCCATTGGCAACTTCACTGTCACCTTCCCTAGCCAGCCATCATAACATGATGTGACGATGCTGCAGGGAAGCGCTTCTATGACTTTGAACGGATCCGCCAGGAGATCCTCACAGAGACAGAGCGGACGGTTGGTCACAACAAGGGCATTTCAGACAAGCCCATCCGCCTGAAGATCTACAGCCCCAACGTCCTGTGCGCACCCTATGCTCTCACACCTCATCTAAGAATCGACATTGGCCTCAGATCGATAGGTCTTGTGAATCTCTTTGCCTGCCCACACCCATCACATGCATGATGCTTGGACTGACTGTTACTCTCTGTCTGCAGGACGATGACATTGGTGGACCTGCCAGGCATTGCAAAGGTTCCTGTGGGCGATCAGCCGAGTGACATTGAGAAGAGGATCCGCAAGATGGTGCTGGAGTACATCCGCCACCCGACATGCGTGATCCTGGCTGTATCCGCTGCAAATGCTGACCTGGTGAACAGCGATGCGCTGGAGCTGGCCCGAGCTGCTGACCCTGAAGGAAGGCGCACTGTCGGTGGGCACCCTTCCTGCAAACTTATGTCCAGCAAACTCTTGTCCAAGGCACATGGTTGCCTGTGTCTTGGTGCCTTTCATAGTTACTATTGAATCCACTGTGCAGTTGACAATGGTGCCAAATAGATGAGCAATATCGGAGGCAATTGCAGCGGGGAAGTAGCAGGCCATTACTCCAGAAATCAGTATCGCCCAGACTCCAATCAGCTGCAAATTCAGGGTGTGTGAGAGTTGTTAGAAGGATGGGGTGTGATGTTCATTCCAGGTGTGCTGACCAAGCTGGACATTATGGACCGAGGAACAGATGCAGCAGCAATCCTGAGGAATGAGGTGGTGCCTCTGCGACTGGGCTATATCGGCATGGTCAACCGCAGCCAGGCAGACATCAACACGCGCAGGAGCATCCGAGACGCCATTGCCGCAGAAACAGCGTTCTTCGAGTCGCACCCCGCATACCAAGAGGTGGGCCATGCTCCATACCTCCATGCTTTAAGCCTGGCAAAACATGACCCCTAATGAAAAGAGGCACCTGATGAACCAAGCGTGAAAGGAATGCTAAGATGATGAGGAGGGTGTCTGTGCAATGGCCCACTGCAAATTCAAAGCTCCTTGCATGGTCATGACGGGAGACCAAGAGTGCAAATCCCTGGATCCAGGCGAAGGAGCAGTGTGGGAGGACTGCCCTGTCGGGCTCTTTGAACCGGGTATTGGTGGAGCACATCCGTGCATCGCTGCCCACACTACGGACACGGCTGGAGGAGGCCTTGGAGAAATGCCACACCGAGCTGCGCATCTATGGCGACGCCCCTCCCGGCCAGACAAACGCTGCCAGGTGCTGTCACCTCATGTGCCCATCTTTGTCCCATGCATGCCAATCGTTCTTGTGTGGAGTGATGCATCGTTCTACTATGGAGGGTGCAAGCTCAACCCCAAGACCCATAAGGGCAATGAGTTGCTATACTACATTGTTGTCTTCTGCAAGAGCTCTGATAGCAAGGTGCTGCTTTGTTCTGTGCAGGGGTGCACTGCTGTTGCAGCTACTGGACAGCTATGCTGTGCGCTACAGTGAGATGCTGGACGGCCGCAGCGAGCACCTGCCCGTCAACGAGCTCGCCGGCGGTGCTCGCATCCGCCATATCTTCCTGGACATCTTTGTGAACGGCCTGCAAGAGCTCAATCCCTCCAGGCATGCCTCTTGATGGCACCTCTCTGGAGTCAGCTGTATACATTCACAGCAGACTAATCCAGCTTCTCCGTTCTGGTGTTCATACCTGGAAAAGGGATATTGCATCAGTGGGAAGTGGCCTTACCAGCTGCATGACTCACACGCTGTGATTGGTGCAGCGAGTTGACGGATGATGACGTGCGAACCGCGATCAAGAACAGCGGCGGTGTGCGCGGATCCCTGCTGATCCCCGACGCTCCCTTTGAGCTGCTGGTACGGCGGGCCATCTCCCGGCTGCTCACGCCCTCGCTGCAGTGCAAGGAGTTCGTGCATGCCGAGCTGCTGCGCATCGCTGCCCAGTGTGCCCCTCCAGACATCGCGCGCTTCCCCAAGCTCAAGGTGAGCATTGCCTGCCCACCCCGCCCTATTCCATCAATGGCCCCTTATCTAGTTGTGTTAAGTTCTTGGATCCCAGGCCTCGGTTGATGTCTGAGTGGGGCACCCTGTTGCAAGCCTGTTGCATGGTAGGGATGCGTTATGTATTGCTCTGTGCAGCGGTGACGTCTTGCACATGCAATGTCCATTTGTGGCATAGGCCTGAGTGCTGTCCTGCCGGCGCAGGCACACCTGATATCTGAGGTGGAGGAGTTTGTGAACAGCGGTGCCGCGCCGGCCGAGCGCATGATTCGCGATGTCATCGACTGCGAGCACTCCTACATCAACACCGACCACCCCAGCTTCATCGGGGGCAGCCGCGCAATCGCTCAGGTCTGTGAGCAGTTAAGCTCATCCATGACTGGACATACTTGTGTGCTGCTTGTGTATTAGTGTGTCTGAGCTGGGCATTATCTGCTGCAGGTGATGGAGCGGCGCCAGGCAGCAGCTGAGGAGGCAGAAGAGCAGAATTCAGAGGGCAGCGGTAAGGATGGCAGAGCTCATCACAGGATGCCAGGTGTGTGTGGGCTGCCATTGTGATCTGCCATCATCACACGCCTTGCCATGCACAGTTTACACACTACCTTCAAAAGTCTCTAAGCGATCTGCTGGCTCTGCAGGGCACGTTGTTGACGGCATGCATAGTCACAGCAATAGCTTGCCAAACCTGCGGCACACTGGCGATGGCGGACATCACCCAAGAAGCACCCATTCTGCCAAGGTGTGCATGTTCACCACCATGCTCTATGTTACACAATGATTGCTCCCTTCTGCATTGCTGCATTTCTGCCACATTGAGATCCGTCTGCGAGCAGCAGTATTCACCCACCGCAAGCACCCTTTAGAGCATCAGAGCTGTCGCGCGCGCCCACGCAACGCATGGGTGCGGCGCAGAACATGCGGGTCTCAGTTCATGCGCACCCCTTGAAGGCCTCGGAGCCAGAGCTGTTTGCGCCGGAGGACCTCCTGGAAGCACGCGCCGGTGCCAGCCCCTCGATGCTGGCGTTGGAGGCCCCCGAGCCGTCCCCCGCGGCCGGTCCCGCCGCGCACAAGTGGTTCTCCAACTGGTTCGGCTCCAGCCACGACGGCGGCCCCTCAGAGAATGGCCATGACTCCCCGCTGCCCCAGCCGCCCTTTGTGAGCACCCCCCGCTTACCAACACATCATTGCTTGCTCTCGCTACTTCTGTCGAGCGGCATAGCAGCCGCTTTCTAAAAAGCTTTTGTGGTAGCTGGAAGAATGTGGTATGGATCAGCTGGCTTTCCTGTTGAGCTGTATGGGCCAACATGATGGGGCACTTTCTGCCTGACCCAGCCTTTGCTTGCTCTAGTTACCTGATGAGGATCTTTATGAATGGTTGCAGCTGCAGCTGCAGTACGTCTGCTCTTGCCATGGGCTGACTGTAATGATACGCTTCTGGTCAGCTGGATTCAACGATAATTTCTGAGCTGAGCTGATTGTGCAGACGCTGCGGGTGCCGACGAGTATCACGGAGCAGGAGGAGGTCCAGGTGGAGGTGACGCGGCTGCTGGTGGAGTGCTACTTTGACATCGTGCGCGCCAACCTACAGGTGAGACTACAACCGACCTGTAAGACTGGTTATTGCTTATTTTGGAGTTGTTTGAGCCTTATTTGGAGTTGTGAGAGCCTCCTTTCTGAGGGCAGGAATGCCAGCAACTGATCTCTGGTCGATGTTTGCTGCCAGGATGCGGTGCCCAAGGCAGTAATGCACTTCCTGGTGCTGCGCGTGCAGCGGGGCCTCCAGCAGCACCTCATCAAGACTCTGTACAGGTGGGAGCATGGCCCTCTTCATCATCTGTTTGCTTGGCATCGTTCTCAACACCTGGGTGACTCAAATGGGCACGGATCTGTTGATACCATTACCTCCCTGAGGCTCAAGGGTGCCCATAGCCTGAAGAAGCAAGCTGTGTATTTTTTAGTCTAAGCTGGTGGTGTGTGGGCAGGGAGGATCTGTTCAAGGATATGATGTCGGAGCGCGAGGACGTGGCGGCCAAGAGGAACAAGTGCCTGGGCGCGCAGCAGGCCTTCCGCGAGGCCCTGGCTGCCCTGGAAGCCCTGCCGCAGCAGCTCACCGCCCTTGCCGGCCGCACCACCTCCCAGGCCCTTCCACCAGATGCAGCCTCCTGGTCCGAGCCGGCGCCCATTTCCAAAAGCAGCACCGGTAAGCCCTTCTTGTCTTGTTGCACTCGAGACACGGGCGCTGTTCTGTGGGCAGCGAATCACTCAGCCAGGCTGATAGTGTCTGTTGCTGGGGCGTGTGGGGCCTGCATGTGGATATGCTGGGTCAACATGGATGCATGATGCTTGCTGCAGGGGTTCTGGGGTCAACACCTCCTACTCCGAGCCTGCGGTCTCACAACTCCTCGCCACTTAGGCCACCACGAGTCAGCCAGCCGTACCACTCCCCTCCCATCACAGTTTCAGGCGTGACAGCCTAGCTGAATTGCATGCAGCACAGTGCTGCTTCACTGACAAAACCTTAGTAGGCGCAGCAGGGCAGAAGGGGCAGGACGCATTGTAGTACTTATCATTGCAGCGCTTCTCTCTCAGAAAGTGTCTTGTAATTTGTGGCAATTAGCCAAGCAGCACAATGCTGAGCATGCATTAGCAATTGTAAGTTTTCATGCACTTTGAGAGCCTCTGTTCCCTTTAAGAGATGCTGTAGAGTAATTCTGAAGTAATCCCGAGTCGTACTACTCCATCATTGTAAATATTATTGCAAGCTTCTACTTGCAAGGCAGTATGACTTCGTGTGGCCAGCTGGTTGTCTGCAGATTCGCGAAAACGGTATGCAGACATGAAAGCAGAGCGAGCGCCAAAAGTAAGGAGGAAGGGCTGCCTCGCAGTGTAAATGGAGCATGTCTGCAGATTTTCATGCTCTGCGCCCCCATCCGACTTCAACCCATCCAATTGCTAGCAGTTCACTAGTGCTGTGCTGGTGAGCAAGTATCTCATGAAGAGTCATGAGTGTGACAAACACTCCTAAGCACCCAACCCCGCAAGGACTTTATAAATGGGATATCTTGTATCTTCACGTCGTCTGAATTCAAGCAGCGATGCTGCAGTGTCATTGGCCACAATGATCGAGACAATTAGAACCTTTGGTACACCCATACTCAAGACGTCCATTATCGATCATTAGCAGGCAATTGCCTTGTCAGCATATCAGGAGCAGCATCTGATGAAGTCACACTCTATCCCATGCACTGGAGGATTGGGAAACCAGCACAGGTCACAGCTAGTAATATTGCCCATGAGGTTCCCATCAGGCATTTCCCCTCATTGTTCTGACCTGATCCACAAGTGCTTTGAAGCTGAAAGGCTCCTGCATCGCGAGTTCACTGAGCACCTTCCTGTTAACCTGTATGTTGTCCTGCTGCAGCCCATGCATCAACCTTGAATATGGCACCTGCACAGAAGAAAACCTTTGGTCGTGCATGACCCTTGGCAACTGAGATGTACATGCCAGCGTTGACAAGGTTGCTTGAGGCTAAGAAAGGACAGCATGAGTAGCTCACCCCATGCTCCTTCGATGCCGCATTGATCCTCTGGATCCAGAGAGACCGCATGTCACGCTTTTTTGCTTTCCGGTCCCTCCATGCATACTGCAGCGCTTTCTCTACACGCTCCCTGGCTATCCGTATGCAGTTCTTACTTCTCCCCCGGAACCCCTTTGCTAGTTGAAATACCTTTATTCCAGCACAGGACTACTCAGTACCATACATCGGTGCGCATCTCAGCAAATACAACCAGTTCCAAGACAGTACAATCATATCAGAATTTCTCAGTTGAAGAGACAACCAGTACACCTTGTCCTTATGCATTGAAACTTTGCTTCTTTCGCCACGGAGCCAGTGGCACGACGATTTCGGCTGCTTTTAGGATTGTTGTTGAATTAATGCTTGTTGAAGCTGCTGCGGCAGCAAGGTCAATTGATTGTCCCGAGATCAACCTCTGCAGTGAGGACTAGATCACTTTGTGTAAAAGTGATCAAGCCTAGTACTTACGTCCTAGAAGGCGTCTAAAAAGTCGCATCAAACATCGAGCATCTCAGCAGGCCAGATCGTACACAGTTGAAAAATTTAGAGTCCACTGATTCTCGTGGAAGGATGTGATCACAGAATGGCCTCCCTACACACCTTGTACTGCAACAAAATGCAACAGGATACCTAAGTTAATGGTCAGTGGACAAAGATGTTGTGTGTGTCTGTGTTGCAACTTTCCGGTTGTCAATCAATTGCATCTGGGTTCTAGTTATCCGTCTAGCGGCGTCCGCCGATGATGCCTATCTAGGTCTGTTGGCGTCAAAAATATCTCTGCCAAGTGGGTAAAGAGATTCAAAGAAAAGGAACTTTTCGACGTGGGTCCTGCATTATTATTTTTATTTTTGACGTCACATTGCGGGGATCCTTAACTGCGTCTTCCTGGCACAACTCTGCCCATGTCGCAGCATGGGGTCGAGTTTTAGCTGCCTCCTCGGAAGGAAGGCTGATGTATCAGACGAAGTCATTGCTGAGGCATCCAAGGATGGAGCTGTCGAGGTGTTCTTCTACCTCCTTGCGTAGAAGGCCCTGCACCTGCTTTTCTTCTGGCTTCTATCATCCATTATTGGTTGCGGAGTGGACTTTGCTTTTCCTTCTGTCAGCCTCGTAAAAAGCATGCTGAAAATCACTACATGGTGTGGAGCTCATGTTTGACTCACCTGTCCACAAATTTGGTGTATTCTGCAGATACAACGAATGCATCACTGACTGCACTGGGGATTGCAGGAACCTAGAGAGGCAAGCATCGGGCTTGATAAGCCTCATGACAGTGCAGAGTCAGGGACAAACAGCAGGCACTCCTCTGTGCGGAAGAGCATTCCACTGTCAATATCGCTCCCAGACTTGACCAGCATCAGCAGCACAAAACATGAGCCTGTGCCGGAGCTTGCACTTGCGACGCCGCCAAGGGCGAGCTTTGCTGCCTCAATCAGCAGATCTGAGTCCATGGCAAGAGTGTCTTCCGTCAAGGATGCAGCAAGGGATACGGCGATGGAGTCAGCACTCAGGAACTTTGAGGCAAAGATAGCGGCTGAGAACTCGCAACCTTTGGGACGGGATCTCGCATCTGCTCCAACTCACTGGGTCTCTGCGCTGCCAGCCGAGATTGAGGTCTGCCACCAGGCCTTGATCGGGCTCCTACCGAGGGACCTCTTTGCACGGCTCGTGCTCAAATTGCTGTTTCAGCCACAGCAGCTTACCGACGACTTATTTTCCATTCTGTGTGTGCAGGAGAGGGGTTTGAATTCTGCTCCGGCGCTTTTCAGCGATGCGGCCATGCGCAATGCTCTGCGCAAGATTGCCGCCATGCAGATGAAGCAGGATCAGGCGCCACCGCGCTCCAGGGGAGGGTCTCGGGGAGGCAGCGCAAAAAACTCCCACCGGCCCTCTGTTGATGAAGAGCATCAGCACAACCGGGCTGACTGCACTGGCCCGTCCGGTCGTGCTGAAGCTGCAAGATTGGAATTTGGCTGGGCAAGCCAGCAGGTGAGCACCCCAGGGGTTTGCTGAACACAGCAGCTAGGGGCTGGCATGGGGCATGCAAGGAAGTTTTCCTTCGCTCATGTTGCATGTTGATGGTAGTCACTGCCATGATGAATAAGAGCCTTCTTAGTATGGGTATGTTTGCGCTTCATGCCTCTCCTAAAATACTGAGCATTTGTGCTGTGCTTTGCAGGTCAGCAATGTATAAGAGCGGCGCATTGGCGGGTGTGCACGCACTCCTTTTGACAGGTTCAGAACTGTTGGTTCTGGCCACATTCTTCCTGAATAATCACGCTTTGCTCGTTTCAAACACAGTATTGTAGCTTGCATCCAATGCAGCAATGGTTGTGGAGAGGGCGGGAGAGAAATGTCAGCAGGATACAAGCTCAAGGGAGGTGGCCAGCATTTCTTGTCTGGGCAGTCTGGTTGCTGTTGGCAGACGGAATGCAGTAATCTATGCTCCCAAGTCCGCATGCAGATTCTTTGCGTGTTGCTCCTATTCTTGTGGGGGCCACAGCAAGCAACATGGATCAGCTTTGCGCATAGCTGGGAAGTCTGCATGGTTGCAAGTGGGGGAGCAGCACCTTTATCAGAGGGCACTGACACGAGCACACACCTGGAGAAACAATTGCCAGTCCTTTGGGAGGTGTTGTACTTTAGTCCTGCAGGGGACCAAGGCCGGGATTGCGTTCCAAATGCTGCCTGGCCACGGTTCACTAGTTTTCACCACCTTGCCGGAAAGCAGCAAAGCTGCAGCGCAAAAGATGCTGAGCAGAGTATGGAAACGGAAAGCTTCCATGGGTCCTGCACAGCACAAATCCTATCATCCAGGATTATGGAGATTCTGGGTGGGTCCATGAATAAAATGAGCACCTGCTCATCAGCAGTGCTTTCTACACTGCCATACTCGTGCCTCTTTGGTACACCAGAGAATTTGAGGGTTTTGCCTCGAGGGGGTTAATGGGTGCAGTGTGCGGCTAAAAAAGAGTTTTGCAGCTTTTCAAGTGCTAGGTTTGGCAGGTTTACATAAAAAAAAGTGCATTTGAGCAATTCCCAGGGATTTTGCGTAGCCTTGTCCAAGACTCCGCCTAGCATGCAGGTGTGTGGCTGGTCTCAGATGGCATGAGCGCAGCAGGCATGTCAATGTGGAATTATGTCACATTGATTTTCTTATTTTGTCTTATGGTGATGATCATATCAGGAGCCCAGCATTGAAGGTCTGCTTGAAGCCAAGCATATCACTGCAGTTGCAAGTGTACTACTATATGACATGATGGTGTGTCGGTCATGGTGTGGGTGAGGCTTGAAGCGCGAGAGTATTTTTGCCGCGGAGGCCATTTTGACGTGCCTTGATTATCTGAAGTAAGAATTTGGATCAGAGCGAATTGGGTGTTCTCATTCAATTACAAAATATTCGTAGCGTTGGTTTTGGGCCAGGATCTGGGTTTGGTGGCGAACGTGGTGGTCTGGCAATAATTTGTAAAAATGTTTGCATTGATACTATAGTATACTATAGTAATTATACTATAATACACTATTGTGACCCTTCGTGATCACTGTGCCCCCATACCGCCCACAAGCACTCTAGAGATCTGAAGCAGGAATGCGGTCAAAGAAGCGCCAACAGCTCTGCGTCTTCATCACCGACAAAGTCGCTTTCTGCCTGAGCATTGGCTTCAGGCACGCCATTCACTGCTGTTATGGCAGAGGCCTTCAAATTTGCAATTTGATGCCCGCCCTCCAACAAGTTGGACCTGTCGGCTGCATTCTCTTTTCCTTCACCATACAGAGAGCCATGCACGTTCTTGTCGGTCGCACCGTCACCTGCAGCATGACAAAAGACGTAGGTAATCCAAAGGTGCATGCTGTGCAGATGGGGCAGACCAGGATTGAAGCATTTGCTATTCATTCATCAGGCAATGTCTCACCTGAGACAGGCACGTCACCGCTGCTGTTGCCATCTGGGTGTGACACCACGTCGGCGCGCTGAGATGGGCCACAATTTTGCGCCATCGACATCAGCTCCTCATCATCAGTGCCCATGCTTGCGTGCACTGCCGCGCTCTCTGGCTGGACATCACTCTGCGCCCCAGCGCGCAGCTGCAGAGCCTCACCAGCCTGCTGCGCGCTGCTGCAACCCACTGGAGGCTTCAGGCTGGACGCCTGGGTTGGGCTGGTACTTGCAGGCAGCTGCGCAGATTCCCCCAGGTGGCTGCTCTGGGTCCCATCGATGCCAAGCGGCTGCTCTGCCGCTGCGGCAACTGCTGGGTGCCTGACAGGCTGGTGCTGGGGCGCGTCTGCGAGGGCGAGCAGCTCCTCGTCCTCTGGGCTCAGCTGTGAAGGAGCCTCCGCTGGCTGAGCACCGCTCGCGCCCGCTGCAGGCTGCGACGGGAGCATGCCGGCCAGTGCCAGCAGCTCCTCGTCTTCAGCATCCAGCTGCGAGGGCTCCTGCGACGGCTGCGCGCATGCTGCATCGGCAGCCGCGCGCGCGTCCTCCGGCTGGGCCATCGTTTCAGCTGCGAGAGCGAGCAGCTCCTCGTCCTCGGGGCTGATCTGCGAAGGACCCTCTGCCTCAGCAGCAGCAAGCTGCAGCGCTGGGAGGTGCTCTTCGGCAGCCGGGGACAGCGGTGCAGCGGCCAGAGCCAGCAGCTCCTCGTCTTCTGGGCTGATTTGTGACAGCTCCTCCGGCGGGGGAGCAGCGGCGCTGTATCCTGCCTGGGGCTGGGAGGCTGGCGCGGCTGCCAGGGCCAGCAGCTCCTCGTCTTCTGGGCTGATTTGTGACAGCTCCTCCGGCGGGGGAGCAGCGGCGCTGTATCCTGCCTGGGGCTGGGAGGCTGGCGCGGCTGCCAGGGCCAGCAGCTCCTCGTCCTCTGGGCTGAGCTGAGAGCTGTTGCCCTTGCCCATGTCCTGCCCGGCCGCCCCAGCATGCAGCCAAGAAGGCCCTGGTGCCTGATCGCCATCGATGTCCATCGGCTGGGGACCCCGTGCCTGCGCATTGCACAGGAACAAATTCAGCAGTTGACTTCACACCCTTGCACATGCAATAACTCACATTGCTGTCAGATTAAGTGATGCTCCATCTGCTGCCCCAAGCTTTCTGATACACCTATTTAACTGATTGCAGTGCATGTGCAGGATGCTGTACCTGGGCGGCAGGCATGGCAGCGTCCAGCATGTCCATGGGTACTGCATCAGCTTCCTCCTCCTGGATGCACACTCAGCCATCACTTGAACATTCTTCACTGTATATGCCAATGCTGCAGCATTGGCTGCTGCACAGAAGAAATGCCGGCTTGCCCAGGCTTTTGTCGCACAACGCATGCATAGAATGCATCTGTTGAGTACCCAGCAAATATGTGTCTTTATTGGGGGTTAGATTGTGGGGCTCACCCAGGTTTGCTGCTGCAGGGCCACCAGCTCGTCATCATCATCATCGTCCTCCCATGCACCAGCCGGCCCTGCATCATGATCCGCTTCCATGGCATCTGCAGCCGCCACGGGCTGCTGCCCCTCCGCATCTGCGGCTGCTTTAGCCGCTGCCTGTGCAGGCAGTCACACACCTCAGCACCATCTCCTATACAACACAATCAGGGAGTACTGCCTTGCAGGCAGGAGGCGGAACGAGAACACTGCGCACGCTGCCCAGCATGGCGCACTGTTGTTAGGGGTGTGACAAAGAAAATTAGCTCGTGCCTTGTCAGCAGCGTCGCGCTCTGCATCCTCCATGACCTTCAGCACTCCGCGCCGCATCTCCCTCAGCTCCACCTGCAAGCAGCATGCAACAGTAATTTTGAGCAAGTGATGCAATGATTTGATGATGGCCTGACACAACCGGCACTCTCATTTGGACTCCCAACCAAAAAGCACAACATGGGGACTGACTTGAGCAAGGGCTCAATTTCTGAATGAGCTCAGAGCACACCTTCAGGCGGTTGGAGCGGCCAAGGTCCGCAATCTGATGCATGGCCTCGTCAAAGCCATGCAGAGGGAAGAACTTCCGCTGCCAGTCCTTGTACATCTCCAACAGCTTCCTGAGGTCGCTCACCTACAGCAGTGGCAAAGCTACATTTCAACTTTTACTCTCCCATAGAGGCTGAGTAAAGTATTTAGACTGTCCTATCTTTTGAAACGGGACTGCTGAACAATGCACAAGCAATGTAATGCTTACCTCATGACCCTTGCCCTTGAACTGCCTGGCGAACCTGTCGGGAAATTGACAGAAGACCTCTCCTATGGCATTCTTTTCCTGCATCCCCGGCGCGCCCATCTCAGACACCTGTGAAAGAATGGACCACGACAGAAGCAGCATTCAGAGCCAGCAAGCAATCTCTGCAGTACCGTCAGCTCCTCGAAGCGGATCTTGCGCTTCCTCGGCTTCTTTGCATCCGCCTTGCGCGCTGGTGCGGGCTTCACAGCATTGCTGCGCAGCCAACAACAAGGACTCTGTTATGATAACTTGGTGGGGATGATGTCACGAGTGTATAACATAGATTGCCCTTGGGCCAATGAAGTACCTGTAGCGGCCCATAGACCTTTACCTGGCTGAAGGCAGGTCAGGTTCTGCAGCTGGGAGGGCACCGGCGTTGAACGGGGCTCTGGGCAGCTGCTCACTGGGCGGTGCGGTGCAGTCACGTGACCAGTGCCCTGCAAGCATGCATCAGTGAGTCCGCTTGCACAAATTTTGCCCCTGGATGCAGCGTCTGGGTGCTGCATCAAGCTCATGCCCCACCTGTCTTTCCACACTTGAAGCAGCCTTGCCCCTTAAGCAGTGTCCTGGGAGCAGTCCCAGGAGTGGGCGTGCTCCCAAATCGAGCGCTGCTGGGCCCTGCTGCATCCTGGCGCTCATAAGTGGAGGCTGGCCCTGGAGTCTCGGCAGCTTCTGCTGGACGGGGCCTTGCAGGTGGCAGCGCCTTCCTGATCCATTCTGATGGAGGTACTGTGCAGTCACGCGACCAGTGACCTGCAACACATTGACGGGCTCTTAGGCCTCTGCAGTATATGCCGGGGGTCTCATCGCTGAAGGTGTGTGCTCACATCGACCAACCACAGATCCCGTCAGATGGCCCGCAATCACCTAGTGCAATGACACAACGTCGATCTGATGCATCACAGATAACGCGAAACATGCCAAGAGGAAGCTACATTACAGATGGTGATATATAGAATTGAGAGCATCGCTTCCAGCACCCCACCTGTCTTTCCACACTTGAAGCACGCTACACCAGCTGGTGGAGCTTGCATCGCTGCAAAGGATGGTGGGATGCAGTTGTCAGCCTGCCATTTTCGTCGGCACAAGGTTTGTGAATCTTTATTGCTGAGAAAGCAAGTGCAAAATCAGGCGAGGAAAAGGGCATTCGGACTTAAGATGTCAAGATGTCTTCTAATACATCTATATAATACCACCACAGTCTGCGGTGGGAGTACGGATGAACCAAACCAGCTTTTGAAATAAACAAGGGAGCCATTAAATCGGGAACTTGGCAGGGGTCGTGAACATCGCTCACAGGAAGCCCTAAATGGCCTTGCATTCACACAGAACAGGACGTAGAGCAGCTTTCTTTGCGCAACACAATATTTATGCATGAGGAGTTAGGCTGAAGCAATATTTACATGGTAGATCTGCGTATGCTGACATGATTTCTTTCAGTTACCACCTTTGGCAAGATGCTGGTTCACCCTGAACTTACACAGTAACAAGGTCAGATAAACAGATCTTTAATTACAGTAACAATGGCAAACTTTGGGGAAGAAAGTTCTGAGCTGACGACAGCCAGTGTCCTCAAGAGGAACATCGCTTGGGATACCTACTTAACTGCTCGTCTCATTACAGACCACGACCTGCAGCTGATCCGCCGGTATGACAAGAAGAATCCAGAAATTCAGCAGGATCTCCTCCAGGAGGTATCGTACGTCCAAGAGACTCACAAGCTTGTTTCGCTATCGATGACCCTGATGTTAGGTCAAGTCGTCTTCCCTGATCACTGGTCTGGCGCACGTCCACAATTGTCCAGGAATCCAGTCAGAACAACCTCGGGTAACAGTCATGGGAAATGCAGTTGTAATTGGACATGGGCATCGATCTGATTGTTTGGAGGGGTTCTGTCTCCAGGAGGGTCCAGCATATGCAGAGGCTTTCTTCAACGTGCTGCGCAGTGTCACAAAGGAGGACACAGTGCAGTATGTGCTGGCAATTCTCGATGAGATGGTGGCAGGTGAGTCCCTTTCTTGTGTAGACCTGAATGATGAGGCACCCTCTTAGCATTGCTTTTGCTATCGTAGCCATATGTCGAGTCTCACTGAGCTTATCCTGTATGCCAGGCGATCCCAAGCGGGCTGCCTACTTCCACCAGCAGAGCAACCCACAGAAGCCTTCTCCCCCTGACCCATACACACAGCTCACAAGGTGAGCTGGCCGCCTCGTACAACCTAGTAAAAATGCGACATGGAAGAGGGGTGCTGGAGATTATGTGTATGCTGACCTGGCATGATGGCTAAGTGTATTGTGCTGCTTTTCCAAAGAATGGGCGTCAACCTGCACCTAGGTGTCTTTGGTGGCATTCTAGATGACCACACCAACTGAATCGCTCTGTTGACGCGCAGAATGCTGCAGCGGACGGACTGGTTCACTCAGGAGAAGGCGGCCACGATGCTGACAGCCATACTGGCGGCGCGGCCCAACAGGGGCACTGCAGAAACGCCGCTGCCGCCGCTGGTCATGAACGGCGCGAGCTCGTCGTCGGGCCACCACGCCGCTGCGCCTCCGCCCGTGCCCACACCCACCGTCGAGTCCGAGGCCGTCCAAAACATCCTCGTCACCTTCGTCGACTGGCTCACATCCCAGCTCCGGTGCGGCACAGACATTTTCTTGGCCAATGTAGGGGAACAACTCGAACACTACCTTCCTGCTGTAAGGACAGAGCCCGGCATGCCCTAGCTACTGGCTTTATTTGATGCCCATTCCGCCCCCAAATGTGGAGGGCTGTTGATTGCCTCGCAATGCAGCTAGTGAGGGCGCAGATCTTTCTGCATTGACCATGCGGTGCAGCAGCGCTGCAAACTGTCCTGGCTGACACAATGCCACCTGGGCCATAATTACACGCAAGAAGGCCTCATAGAATCAAGCCCACACATGCATGCCCTCCAAGAAGGCTTCATAGAACTTCCTAGCCCACGCATGCACTGCAACAAGGCTTAAGAGATGGCCTGTGTCCATCATCATCATCAGCAGCAGCAGCTGACACGGCTCAGTGGTGGTGGCAGGCGGCCGTCGCACCCGGGGCGCAGCGTGCCGCTGGCGGTAGGCTGCCTGGCGCGGCTGCTGCGGGAGCCGGCCGCGCGCGCGCTCTTCACGCGCGCCTCGGGCGCCTCCCTGCTCGCACCGCTGCTGCGCGGGGCGGCCGGCGCCGGGTCGTCGTCGGGGCAGCCGCCGCCCAGCGCGCAGCTTCTCTATGAGGCCGGCCTGTGTGTGTGGCAGCTCACCTTCTACGCGCCCGCCTCTCAGGCCATGGCCAGCGCCAGCATCGTGCCCAGCCTCGTGGACCTGGCGCGCCACGCCTCCAAGGAGAAGGTGCCCCATTCTCTCTCATTCCCAGCCGCTCGCATGCACCATTGCAACCTGTATCTTGACTTCTCGGCGGGCCATGCTGCTTTTGATGGACAGTCAGATTCTAAATGTCGACAGGGTTTTGTACGGGAGAAGGCCTGAGGTTGCACTTGGTCCCATTGCATGCGACCACCGTGATGTTGACTGTGTCACGTCAGAATGGGACCTAGTGTTGTGAGTGGGTGCAGGTGGTGCGTGTTGCTTTGCTGGCGCTGCAGAATCTGCTGGCAGCCCCCGGCCTGGATCTGGCGCCCGAGATGGTGGAAGCCGCTTTGCCCAAGGTCGTCCAGCAGCGCCTGCTCCAGGTGCTCTGCTGTTCTTTCTTCACTTCTGACACTCGTGGAGGTTTTTTCCTGTATAAACGCCCTGCTTTCGCCCACAAATGCAGAAGGATGAGCAGCAGAGACATGATGGAGGCTTTTTCCTGTATAAACGCCCTGCTGTCGCCCACAACAGAAGTATGAGCAGCAGAGGCATGATGTGCTTTAGTGAGGTGTATTTCTGGGGCGTTGCAGAATTGGGAGGATGAGGATGTGACGGCGGCGCTGGAGGCGTTGAAGGAGGCGCTGGCGGCCAACATCAAGCTGCTGTCGTCGTGGGACAAGTACAAGAAGGAGGTGCTGTCGGGCAGCCTCGACTGGTCCCCCATGCACACCAGCGATCTGTTCTGGCTTGAAAACGCCCCCAAGTTTGAGGAGCGCGACTTCCAGGTACGCAGCAATTACATTCTACATGCACGCTAAAGTGAGCAGTCACTAACGCAATGCCATCCTCGGGAATGCACTGTTTGTAGCTGCACCTTCTGTGTGCAAAAGCGTGACTTTCCTGATACGCTTTGATGTGAATGTTCTGCATGAGAGCAAGCTGGAAAATGGAAAATCATTTGATGATGGTGCGTTGCACCTGCAGGTGTTGCGCGTGCTGCTGAAGCTGCTGGAGCAGAGCCGTGAGAACCGCACGCTGGCCGTGGCCGCGTCAGACCTGGGCCACTTCATCTCCGCCCACCCACATGGCCGCAACATTGTCACCGGTGTGCACTCATCAGACATGGTCTTAGTGCTTTCACCATGTGCGTCCTCCTAATGAAGGTACCATTGAATCAGTACTTGCCACATGCACACTGTGGCATTGACGTGTGTTATTTTGGTTGCAGATTTGAGAGGCAAGGAGCTGGCAATGCGACTGATGATGCACCCGGATGCAGAGGTGCAGAAGCAGGCGCTGCTGGCTGTGCAGAAGATTTTGCTTGCCAAGGACAAGGTCGCCTACCTCAATAATTGAGTTGTGCCACCCAAACAGTGATGTCATTCGTCATACCTTGAGCAAGCAGCGTTGCAAGAGTGTGAGGAGGAATAGTGTGCGGCTTTCAGCAAAGCCTTGAAGGGCCCTTCATTTTCTTTCTTGTGTCGTCATCCGCGTCTGTCATCAGGGTGAAGAGCTGCCGAGTTACAGATGTATGTCCAGCCAGGGGGGCCGTATGTATGGGCAATTTACAGATGATAATTTGACTATGTAGTTCATTTGCAGCAAACATGAGCAGACTTAAATGTGTGGTAGGTTTGGCGTCAGATTACCATGATAATGTGCTCTTGCAAGGCAATTTTGGAATCAAGATATATTTTTCGATAATGTAGAAGTAATCCTATATATATGGGACCAACAAGCTTGCGGAATGGCTTGCCGAGTCAGTGGGTGGAGTATCATATATATTGATTACATCGCACATAAAACTTTGCCTACAGATATCTGCACAGCAAGTTGACTGCCAGTGCACTGCCGTGGGCCACGGCCGTTGGCATGCGCACACAGCACAGCATATTATTGCACATGCATGTTATATGACTAGAAGCCAGCACTGGCAGCTCAATAACCAGCTTCCGCTACAAGAATCCAAGGACGTGCACAGTGAGATTTCCATTGGCCAAGGCAGTATCATCATAAGTGCAGGGAAGACCTTCAGTGAACATGCACAGTCAAGACTACATGCACATCAATTGTCGCTTCTTGATAGCAATATTGGCAGGTGCCTACCTCAATATCAAATCAATAGAGGTCTTCTGCAACAACTAGTGTACATAAAGGGCTCACATGTACTATGCCAAGATCTAAAAGTACTATTGCAGTGACGGCATGCAGGTGCTGCTGAGCTGCACCGACAAATCTTTGCCTCTGCGCATTTCTAAGTCATCAGAGCTGAATATGCGCGACACTGAGATCTGTCCGACGCTCTATCGATCTTGACCCGGCCAGCTGTGTGGGTCGGATCAAGCGAGCTATTCTTTAGGTGCTATAAAAAGAAAAGGGCGCAATGCATCACAAGCCGCTGCTCCCGAGCCGCTTGCCTGCGGCGGGCTAGGATTGGCCGGGAGGCTGCTGTAGGAGGGGCTCTGTGTTGGCGTCGGCCGGGGTGGATCCGGGGGTTCCGGGTGCGCGAGAAGATGCGTGGCGGCGCAGGGAGGCCCAGCGCTGCTGCGAGGTGCGGCTGATGCGCAGCCAGCAGAAGGTGAAGAATTTGAAGAGCGAGATGCGGCGCACACTGCTGCCGTAGCGCAGCACCATGAACGTCGCTGCGCGCAGCACAACCCCCTGCACCAACCCCACGTACACCCCCTCATTTACCCTGCAACCCCTTGCCACGCGACCCAGGGCATGTGAACACAGCAGAGCCTGCCCACCATGAGAGCTCGTCAGCTGCATTGGGCCCAATCGATTTTATGCCTGAACATCCACGCTGAGTCATCAAGGCATGAGCTCGGGGAGATAAGGCTTGAGCAGGCAAAAAGAGAGATCGGACCTGTATGAAGATCATGAGGAAGTCCCAGGAGACATAGCCCCTGCAGTAGTCCTCCACATCGAGGCTGCCCGCGTCAGGGCCCGCCCCCAGCGACTGCTTGTCCAGCCCACAGTAGCCGATCTGGCAGCAGACAAGGAGATGCATGTCACATGCAAAGTAATGAGCATTGTGGGTGGACGCAAGACATTTTCACAGGGAGCTTGATGCTACCGGTATCTATATGCATGTTTGGGACGAGAGTCTCCAAGGCTTCCACCAAGTACCTTATTGTCTCGCTGGTTTTCGTAGGGACAGCGACCCGACCGTGGCAGCCCAACAAATGATTGAAGAGTTGGGGCGGAGGTCTAAAGGGGTAGGGGGTAGAAGGGGGGCTGGCAGTGCGCGCACCTCCTGCATCATCTTGTGGATGCGCGGCTGCATGTAGTGCGGGTACTGCCGGAACTCCTCCATCGTTGTCGCCTCCGTGCTCCACCGGCTGTAGGAGATGCCTGCGCGACCGTCAGACCCCCGTCAACTCCCTGCGCTGTAACCCCTTTGCTGGAGATCCATTATCCCATGCTCTACGACAAGGCACAACACCCAACGGCGCAGGTCAAGCAACACTTGGAGGAATGAGTAGAGCATGGTGTCCGCTAGCTGGCAGTGAGGATACAAAGAAAGCACAAGGCATGATGGTCATCAGATTTTAGCAAGGGCAGGGTGAGAAAGAAGGCATCGTGGTCATCAGTTTGGAGTCAGGGCAGGGTGAGATAGAAGGCATGCTGGTGATCAAATTGGAGCAAGGGCAGGGTGGAGGGCTGCGCACCGAAGACGGCTTTCATGAAGGGGGAAAGGGTGCGGAAGCGCGGCTCTATGCCGTTGAAGAAGCCGCCGAGGACGAGGCAGACGGCGACGGAGGCGACCATGCTGTTCTGCTGCTCCAGCATCACGCTCATCACATAGCCCAGCCCCGACGTGTACCACACCACCCCCAGCGATACTGCACCGCCACCACACAACACGCAGTCCAGTCAGCCTCCCAGTCTTCGCTCTTCTGGATGGACACCTTCTATATATACCTTCACTTTAAATACCTTCACCACCACTTTCCCCAAACAAAATGTATATTATATGTGATTCTCTGGACTCTAAGGCCTCTAATGACCTCTACCTGGGGCAATCTTTTGCATGGTAAGCAGGGATGACCCATAGACCCAGACAACCCTGTCTGGATTTAAGGGCCTTATGTGCTTATGAGAGGCATGCACACTGGCCAGCTCGGCACAAATCAGAGCGACGCATGAAGTTGCTAGTCACTGAAGGTGAGCCGACAAGACAGGGGTGAGGAATCTCATGTGATGGGGCGTACTGATGTAGTAGTTGATGAACTTGATCTCGGGCAGCGTGAGGGTGTAGTAGACGCTCATGAAGATGGCGGGCTGCACCACAATGTCTATCAGGTGCATGACCTGGTGCCCGAAAAAGAACGCCGTCGTCCTCAGCCCTGCATGCATCATTCAAAACTTCAACCGGCCCTCCACTCAGGAGGTGGACAGATCCTGACATGCAGCAGATAGTCTGTGGGCTCAGCGTGCAGCCAAGAAGGAGCACGGCGGACCTGAGGCGGACTCCCGCCAGAAGATGAGGCGGTCCTTGCCAAATACCTGCAGCGAGGCCACCGTGGAGATGGCTGCAAGGGTCAGCATTGTCTTCACGGCGTTCCCTCTCACCTCCTCCAGCTCCCAGCTCGTCCCATGCACCGCCCCTGCACCGCAGAAGGCAATCTTCACGTTCCGCCATTAGGGCTCAGACTGATGTGCGGCTATCCTTTTGCTTAAGAAAATTATGGACAATCGTCAAACCCGATGTGCATGGCAATGAGACACTCGACTTGCAGGGAGCGGATTGCACAGGTACCCTGATGATGAGGGCTGCCCTCTTCCTTGAAAACTCACCATCAGTTGTCACCCGACACGAATGGCAAGAGAGAACACGGATTGCAGGGAGAGGAGTGCGGAGACTCACCGATGATTAGGGCAGCGCCGGCAAAGAGGCAGACATCCAGGAACTTGATGCCCCAGTTGCGCACCCACTTGACGCCGGCGCGGCGCACGAGCAGGTTGAACTGCCCCAGCGTGCCCGGGATCGCCCGGTACCGCGTCTTCTTGCGCCCGCACAGCGACCGCCAGCCGCACAGCCAGAAGTGCCACCACGCCCCTGTGCCCACAACACGCATCAGCACACCTTCTGTTAGACAACAACAGCATGTCCCTAATGTGAGGGACTGATGTCTCTCTTTCATGCCGAAGTATTGCTGGTCATTGTGACGCGGAAATTCCAGCGACCAACAATGCAGTTTCTTTGGCAGCAACATGGACTTGCTGCATCCTAGCGGACGTTGCAATCGTCGCCGTGAAACACACGGATGCAAAGGGCAGGCGTCACCGCAGCAGTGCAGGCAGGAGGCGCAGGCGGCGGCGCAGCCAGCAGGCTTGTCGGCGCAGGGGCCGTCCAGTTCAGCGGTGGAGGCAAGCGCATCGTCCAGCTCTAGCTGCTGCGAGCTGCTGGGCGACATGCCCTTCAGCCGCGCCACCGGCCCCCGCGGCTGTGCACTCTCCTCATCGTACCCTGATGGCCTCGGCTCTGCGCCGCCGCGCGCAAACGCACTAGACGCTGCGGGGGTGCTTGAGGAAGGGGCCGATGAGACTGCAGGAGTGCTCTGGCTGCTGCTTGCGGCTGCAGAGCTTGTGGGGTCTGCTGCCGAGCTGCTGTGGGCAGCGGCGGCTTGGAGGGGGTTCTCGGAGCTGTCCATTCCCTTCTCGATTGACAGCACGCGCTCGTACTTGGACTGCAGCACCACAGCCATTGTTTCAGCCGCTGCCTACTTCATAAGCCAGCATCAGCCACCAGTTAGTTGACAAATGCAGAAGTTTGTGAGGATTCTGCACTGGGAAACCAGTGCGCAGAGCTCAAGCAGGCAAGGCTGCCGGCTTCCGCAGTATAGTTGCATGTGCCAGCAGGGCAAGTGCCCAGGGGACCCTTGGCAGGAGCAGCGAGCGCCCACCTGGAGCTGGGCAGGAGGCTGGCCGCCATGGCGGATGAAGGAGATGAACGCGGTGCGCGAGACAACGCCTGTGTGGCTGGGGTCCAGCTCCATCATGATATGGCGCATGTCGAAGGGCGTTGCCTCCAGTCCCACATCCGCCAGGAATGCGTTGATCGCCTCCGGTGTGATGTTCCCTGTGCCTTCGCGGTCCACCTGCCACCACCAGGGCAAACGCGTTACTTTTTTACATGCATGATATAGTCTGCGGTGGACATGTGCCCTGATCAGTGTGTGCTGAATGATCTGTTGGAGAGGCGGGGGCTGACCCTGTCGAATTGCTCCTGTACGAGCTGCAGCTGCTGGGGGCTGAGCTCTGGGACGGCCTCTGCGGCTTCAGGCGCGGCTGCAGTCCCCTCCTGCGCTGCAGTCTCCGCCCAGGCCCCGCCCAGTTCCTCCCAGATCCCATACAGATCCTGCGTGGCCAGACAATTGATGCTGGCATGCCTTGCTGCATTTACAGAAGCTCCTCAGCAAGCTCATGGGGTAGAAGAGGTTCAGGAAGCAAAGTTGCTCTTAGTCGACTTGGCACCACCAGAGATACCAGGGCAGAAGACATGTAGCAGGTCTCGTAAACTGGGGAAATGAGGTGGGGAAAGATACTCCTATAATCAGGTGCGATGTTGCCTGCAGTCTCCGTCTTTTGTCAGAACGTGCAATATGGAGAAGGTGCACACAGCTACAAGGTAGACTGCACCCATCTGAAAGCCAGCTTCCCCAGGGAACACCTGATGCATGTCTTGCGCCCCAAGAACTCTGGTGGAGACTGGGGCGGGCTCTTTGAAAAGGAGTGCTGCAAAGTCTGTCATCGTGACGGTACAATCTACTACAATGATTTTTCAGGGTGCACGATTTGAAATTCGGCGAAAAGGCAAAAAGGGCCTACCTCGGGCTTGAAGTCGGGGTTGGCGTGGCAGGGTACACAGCCGGAGACGATGTCGAGGAAGAAATCGGCCGGGTTCTCGTTGGAGGGCAGCTCAAAGCCAATGGAGACAAAGTAGGGAAGCGCGGCGGAGGAGGCGCCCTGGAAGGCGGTGCGGCCGGCCTTGCCCAGCAGCAGGACCTCATGGAAGAGCGAGAAGACGGAGTAGCGCGGCTGGTGAATCACCGTCACAATATTCATGCCCAGGTCCGCCATCCTGCAGCACAGTCACATCATATGCTCACCTCACATCCGAATTCGATCAATTGAACTTTCTTTTGAAGCCATGCAGGTGAACCTGGTCTGCCACTTGGAGCCGCCAGTGTCCACCACCCACTGAGTTCCCTCTACATCCACAATACATGATCTTAAGGCTTGGCAGGCCTCATGCGCAGTACTTTGTGCCCAGCATTGGAGCAAGGGGCCTGATTTGTGGTCAGTGCGCACCTGCGCAGGGAGGCCAGGATGTCTGTGGCTGCTGTGGCGTCCAGGCCAGACGTGGGCTCATCCTGCATTACAAAGATGTGGATGTTATGACATGCATTCTGCGCTAGCATTATATATTAAGAATGGTTTGCATGTAAGAAAGGCAATAGCGCACCATGAAGAGCACCGATGGCCTGGCCACCAGCTCCAACCCAATGTTGACCCTCTTCCGCTGGCCCCCACTGCAACAGGACACCCACATCTCTCCTTCAGTCAGCCGTACATGCATGCAAAAATTGTGCAGCATATAAAACCCGACTATTCTCAGCATAGATGGCTCGGACAGCGAGGGGGCTTGCCTGACGCCGCGCTTCTCAACGGAGCCCACGACTGAGTGCTGCACGTGGCGCAGGCCCAGCAGCTCGATGACATCATCGACCACGTCGCTGAGGTAGGCCCGCCCCTCCGTCGCCATGCAGCGCAGCTTGGCGCTATATGACAGGTTCTCGCGCACCGTCAGGTCCTCGTGCACAATGTCATCCTGGACCACAAATTGCAAATGTTTCTATATATTGCTGAAGTCATCAAGTCAAAAGCCCCACACCATCCCGGGATACTCATAGTATTGTAAGAAGTGCAAGACATGTTGAGAAGAACAGCAGAGGCCGGGGTGCACCTGCGGCACGTAGCCGAGGATGCGGCGCAGGCGGGCGAGGCGCATCTCGCGGCCGTTGATCCAGAGGCGGCCGCGCGTTGCCCCGTAGCGCGCCGTGCCCATCAGCGCGTACAGCAGCGTCGACTTGCCCGCCCCGCTCGGACCCATGATCGCCACCACCTGCCCATTTCACTTCCTTAGCACTTTTCATCTACAGTCGGACAGTACCTATTGGTGCCATCTTCAATTAATATCTGATTAGTCCTCAAAACTTTTTTGGTGATCAAGATCATCTCACCAAAATCCACAATAGAGGCCAACTGTGACGGATGGCAAAATGCTCATCAAAGCGCTGAATCACTGCCCACATAATATGCCCACTTCAGCCCCTTTAAGTTGCATAAGAGTAATTTTCACTGATCATGCATGTGTCTGCGTCGAAAAAGTGAGCTTTCAGTGGAAGGGAAGGCGCACCTTGGAGTGGCTGAAGTGGCCGTTGACGGAGTCCAGGATGACGGTGCCGTCGCGCAGGGTCACACCAATGCCCTCAAAGCGCAGGCTGATGCGCGGGCGGATGCTGGTGAAGGCCTTGAAGGCCAGGCTGCTGCCGCCCTGCCCCGCCACGCCCAGCAGCGGTGCCACCAGCCGCCGCAACTTCTCCTTCGCCCCCTGCTTCTTCATCAGCCGCTCCTGCTGCAGCCTGTCCCCGCAAGACATACGCCCCTATGTCATGCGCGGTAAGCTCAAAGATTCTCCATGGAAAAGTGACGCATGCGCCCCCATGTCAGGCGCAGTAAGCTCAAGTGTCCTCTATGAAAAACTCTCCATAGATTCAAGTACAGATATAAGTTGGATGGCATATTGTCCTGGCTGGGCTGAGGACGCCGGAAATCATGCCGAGGAGGGCAGATACGGGCATGTGTTTTGGGCGCACTTGATGTAGGCTGAGAAGGCGACGTAGGCCAGCCAGAGCAGTAGCAGGATAAGGAACAGGGCAAAGAAGCCGCCGAGGGAGATGTCTGCAGAGGCCGAGCCGGCAGGACACTTGGCCAGCCAGGGACACCCCTGCACCAATCCCCTCGAGTCAGTTGCCAATCAGCTGATCTGGCAAAGTGAACATAGTACAGCAGGCATTCTCGAGTGGGGCGTGCATGGAGTGCGTACCCTGGGGAATTTGGTGTACCACTTGCAGAAGCGCCCGGCAGGGCAGGGGAGCACCACTGTGGCGTTGGGGCAGTAGTACCCTGACGGGCATGGGGTCTTGGGCGTCGTGGACATCTGCATGCCACGTCACCATCTGAACACTTGCAAGCGCCCATTCCCGACAGTAGCTCATCATACTTACACATTAAACAGAGTTTGTTTGCAGGCACACGAAGCTTGTTCACAGGGCTTTACTGGTCAGGTACAGTGAGCAGCAGGCTTACTGGGGGGCAGATGTTGCCGCCGAGGGGCTCCCCATTGGCATACACGCGCTGCACTACAGTGAGGGGCTCTGAGGGGATGGTCATGTCGGGGTAGCGCTTCATGAGCACGGGGTACTCGCATGTCGTGGGTGCCACCGTCGCCTGTGAGCACCAGGCGCCGGGCGGGCACGGCACCTCGACCGCCGGCGTCGGGCAGTAAAAGCCAGGCCTGCGCATGTCGAAACTTTTGGCTTGCATATTCTCGGGTAACCAAGGGATGCATACGATCCCCACGTGCGTGTGCTACATAGCATTGCACTGGATAGAGTTGCATGCACGTCATGAGAATGAGGGGGACTGCCAAGTGATCATGCCGCAAGGGCCCTATTCTGCCATATTGCTAGCAAGGGAGAGGTGAAGTGCATGAGGTGAGGGGTGTCTTGGGTGCTCACCTGCAGCGATACTTGGCGACGTACTGCTCAGAGGCTCTGGAGCCCGGCCTGGGCAGGAAGCTGCCGCTGGGGCAGTGCTGCCCAAACACGCATGGAATGCACACCCCCGTGTAGCCCTCGACACTTCTGCTGTTGTGCCTGAGCTGGGGACCGAGCTGCAGGGCCGAACCCCCATCCTCTGCGCACTGAAAGCCCGCTGCGCAAGCCCCGTATGGAGGGTTCTCTGCCGGCAGGCACGGGCACCCAGGAGCGGGGTAGTCAGGACCGCAGTCTGCAGCCGTGGCGGTCCCCTGTGCGCCAGGTGCATCCCTCAGCCCGTTGCCCAGTGGCAGTGCATTGGATTTGTTATACTTAAAAATCATTTATATGCTGTCTGCATGCGCAAACCCCGATGCAGAAATCTCCAGGCTAGGCTGGTCTGGGTTTGGATCAGTACATCTTGTCAGAGAAGGTCGCTCACCCCTGAGCATGAGAGCAACAATGCACCCCATATACAGCACCGCAGCACAAGATGTCTCACTACAAGAGCCATCAAGCCCAGTCAAAAGCTGTCGTGGTTGATATCTGCACTAAAGCATGTGCCATTCCACTAAAGAGGTCAGAAGCTTGCTCTCCTACATCACAGTGGTAATATTGCGATGCTTACAAACGCTGTAAACTCGATCAGGAATCCAAAATGCTGTCAGATTCCAAACACACTGGAGGATATTCCGAAACGCTTCACAATCAGCCGACATCGTCCTCCCCTTGGATTCTAGTCATGCAAGCATCAGCCCTAATGTGCAAATGAAAGTGTTGCATTAACCAAACTCTGGAGATTGTTGAGGACGATGTTGCGACGCCCCACCATGCAGTGACGAAATCCTCATCAGCATGTTGGGAGTGTGATGAGTCATCAGAACTACTCCAAGCTCCCAGAGGGAGAGGTGGAGAAGGAAGGATGATCGGATCAATTTGAACTCTACATATCCTTTGCAATCCCGCACTGCATTTTTCGGTTGATAACGCATTGCATGCTAGCACGTTCATAGGGAATCGCTCAGTCCCATGGGTGAAGACATCGAGCGTTGTATGTCGGTCAAAGATTGCAGTATGTGCTCAAAAGACAGTAGTATCAACGTCTAAAGTCGTCAGAGGGGGGTGGCGAGGGCTCCGTGTCTTCTGCTCCCCCCCTCACACCGGTAGCGGCACCTTCAGCAGGGCCATGCAGGAGGATGCTGCCGAGTTGCCTTCATCTGTATCTCCAGCCCTCACCTTTGAGGTTTTGGCTGCACAAGGACGAGCCAGGGCTTCGAGGATGACCCTTCCTCATTTTGCAGCTGAGACGCCCATGTTCATGCCAGTGGGCACCAAAGGTACTGGCTTCCCCACCGAATATGAGCAGCATCTGCCATTACACTGTTTCTCCATTACCTGAAGAAGTGAGGTGCAAGTGTGCATGAGCCTGAAAGAAATTTCCTGATGCAGGCACAGTTAAGGGCCTAACCAGCCAGCAGCTTGTGGACCTAAACTGTCATGTGATCCTGGGCAACACATACCACCTGGAGGAGCGCCCTGGATCAGAACTCGTCAGTGAACTGGGCGGCCTGCACAAGTTCATGGACTGGCCCAGAGGAATGCTCACCGACTCTGGCGGGTTCCAGGTAGCATCATTGGTCACTTTTCATGCGCCTATCTGCTAGGACCGCCTGCCTGCAGAATTTCATGATTGACTCTTGATAGGCATTGAGCATCTGCCAATTGATGGCCTCAGATGGTGTCCCTGCTTCATTTGGCCGAGATCACCGAGGAGGGAGTCCAATTCCAGTCGCCAGTGGATGGCTCTCTGATGATGCTGACACCAGAGCGCTCCATCGCCATCCAGAACAAGCTAGGTGAGCCACAATGCATGCCCCAGGCGTTGCCGGCACAAGACTATTGAGAAGAGTCATCATTGAGGTCATTTGCCTTAAGGCACTTAAAGGCTTCCTCATTTCTTGTGCAGGAGCTGACATTATCATGGCGCTCGATGATGTGGTTTCCAGTGTCAACCCATCGCGTGAGAGGTAATCTTCAACCCCATTGTGCACTTCATGATCATTGCAAGGACTTTAAATGTTCTGTTTGCTTTCTGCTTTGCAAGGGTTTTGATTGTCATGTGCAGGGATAGCTGATGGATGTGGGTGATGGGATTGTAGGTTTACAGAAGCAACACACCGAACAACGAGGTGGATTGATCGGTGCATAAAGGCCCATGCACGACCGCATGAGCAGAACCTGTTCGCCATTGTGCAAGGCGGCCTGGATGAGCACCTGCGAGCCATCAGCATCAAGGACCTGTCGGAGAGGAACCTGCCAGGATATGCAGTTGGTGGCCTGGCTGGTGGGGAGTCCAAAGATGACTTTTGGAGGTAGGCTAGGTTGAGTCCCAAATGTATGCAATGTTGCTGGCCCTGTTGGCTGGCACAGCTGTTCCCAACACAGAAAGAAACATATCACAGTTATCTGCGAGCAGGGTCGTGGCTCAGTGCACGGCTCCTGGGACAGGCCTGCCTCCAGACAAGCCCAGATATGTCATGGGTGTTGGCTACCCTCTGGATATTGTCATTTGTTCAGGCAAGCACCATCCAAATGTCTCGAATGAACACTGAATAATGTCTCAAGTGCTTAGATTGGCTTGATGTGGGGCCTGCTGTGCCATGCATGGGTAGAGTTCTGAGTGCAGTGCTGTGGGTGCATGATGCAGCTCTCGGAGCGGACATGTTTGACAGTGTGTATCCCACACGGACCGCTCGGTTTGGTGTGGCCTTGGTCCCATCAGGAGTCCTCAAACTCAAGAATGTGGGCTTCACAGAAGACTTCAGGTCCGACACATGAGACCTTTAATCCAGCGCTCCAGACATGCAGCACCCACACACATGGAAGACGAAGATCTGAGATTGCCTAGTATGCTCAGTTTTCTAAGTGTTGGGATGTGCAGGCCGTTGGACAAAGACTGCCCGTGCATGACCTGCAAGAAGTACACTCGTGCCCTCCTGCACAATCTGGTGGCAAAAGGCATCCCATTTGCAGCCATGCTTGTGAGTCTGCACAATGTTGCATACACGCAGCGGCTGACACAGCAGATTCGTGACGCCATTCGTCAGCAGCGCTTTCCAGAGTTTGTGCAAGAGTTTGTCAGAGGTCACTTTCCTGCTGGTACCGAGGTGCCCCAGTGGGTATTTGATGCACTGGCAGAGTGTGGCATTTCACTTCCCTGAGAATGCCTCAGATGTACATGTACCTAGAAAACCACTCACCGTATAGAATTGTACCAATATATGTATGCCACAAGGTCAGACTCAGTCGGACTGGTCACATGTGCAAACGCATGCGTTGAAGACCACAGGCCGCAGACGGTATGCGCAAAACAGTGTACTGGTATCTTCATGTGCCCTCCTTGTTCATGCGCTTTTGCCACTCAAGCAACGCTAGCTTGCCTTGCTGCAAACTGTGCAAGCACCTGCGACGCATTAAGTCTCACTAAGATTGCCACCAGTCTATCCCTTAATGGCCTACTGCGCATATAAATACTTCATTTTGCATTTGACAAATGGAACGATGCGCATACCAATTAGGGGAAGGCGTGCTCTTGAGCCAGCAAAAATCTTGGACCTCTCGCCACTTGCCGTATTCACATACATTCTCTGATGGTCCAATAAGCTCTGATGTATCAGGATCGTCCGTGTTGGCACATCCAAATCTGCAGGATGCCAACTGCTTGTGCTTAACAGTAGCTATGTCTGGGCATTCAGCAAAGAACTTGAGCAGGTTTCCAGGCAAGAATATTCTACCTCATGGCAGCGCACTCCTCAATGATTGGACCACTTGCCGTATGAACAAAGAAGTCAACATTGCTGCTGGAATGTATCCTCAACTGCTGGGATTTCAAGACAAAACAGCATTGATGAACATCTGGTCCCACATACAAGCTGTGTCAGTTCTGGAGAACACTTGCTGTCTCTGAAGTCTCTAGATTTGCGGAAAACAACACATGCTTTGGTTTTAGGTAGACTGAAGATCGTACACCTTCCACAATTACCGCTGCATTTAATAGGAACTCACCATTGACGAATGTGGCACCAGCGACCGGGCCAGCATAGATGAGGCAGTCCCGGACATTCTGAATGCGCAGTGCGCCTGTTCTTCCTCGCAGGTGGATTGTGCATCGTCTCAGGTCTGAGAGAAGGAAATCAGCACCAGCCAGCTCATCTGCTGTCTTCACAATAGTCGCGCATCTGGCGCCATTGATCCCCCTGTGGCATGCATGGATTATTATGAAGCTTATGCAATTGTATGACCGTGGCACAATTTTGGGAGATATAGAAACCATTGTGTGTTTGGCACTGCTCTTACCTGTCTTGCATGTCAGGCCCCAGTACTAGAGCATGATCGAGGGGCGTTGTTGATTTTTGCACCAGTTTTTCATCATGTTGATGTCCGGTACCAGCCATGACTGGCACAGATTCGCTCTTTAACTTGGATGCCTTGGAGAATGCAAATTTCTTCTTGGGCATCGCCTGGTCTCTGGCGCGATACAATTGTTCTTTCAGCTGCTTGACACCAAGAGAAACTCTCTGGGCTTCATAAGCGGGAAGCAGATAGCTGGCCTGGGCAATCTCCTGCACATCATGCAGACCTGTTATGAGTACTCTCAATCTCTTGCTTGTTACCGATTCTCTATCTTCTGAGTCCACCATCTCACCTCTTCAGCATTCCTGAGCAGCTGATGAGCTTCTTCTAGCTTTGCATGCGCGTGAGCCCTGCATGCACCCCATTCACATGTTTTCAGCACGTAGGGAAGAGATAGGTAATATATTGTGTGGCAGGAGAAGAAATGCAGGATCATCACCCTGGTGCTCCCTCTAGCAAAGCTGTGATCTTGTCTGAAGAGGACTTCCATCTTTGTAGAATAGCGTCTGCAGAATCCATCCCTGACAAAGCTGATCTGCCACATGCATCAATCATTCTTCAGTCCAGCAAAATGTAACAGTTCACTTGTGACATCGAAGTGGTGACTGTATGGCTTTTAACCGAAACGCATGGAGAACACCTTTTGTCGTCAAGAAGCTGAGCCGTGGCTTTCTGCCTTTGTTGATCTCTAAGAGAGATGCCTGCCAATATCGAAGAATCTGTAAGAATGCCACCCTGGAAGGATCTTGCACTATCCATGCTGAGTTTTCAACAGTATGATCCAAGATGATCAAGCCACCAGTTCGCTGCAGCAAGAAAGTGTCAGCTGGGACTACTTCAATATTGCTCACAATCAAAGATCTTCTTCATGAAACGAGAGGTTTTCAAAACTCGATGTCAATGTCTGATATGAATGGTTTTCAGTAGTACTGTGCGCAGTTGCCTCGTTAGGCAGCTGGAGTTTGAAAATTTTTAATTTCTGAGATATGTCAGCACAATGCAGGGTCACCAGAACATTAGACACATCCTTTTCAGTAGACAGCACGTCACCAGGTGACCCTTATGATCATGCAAATAAATTCTCAGACAAGGAGCTACGCATCGGGAGCCCGCCCCGCGCCCCAAAAGCTGTGCATTTCGTGGCAGCTACCACCGCTGCTAGTTGCAGAGATTGTTCTGGAGGCATGCTGTTGCAAATGGCATACAGCAGAGTCCCAATAAAAGCATCACCCGCGCCTGTGGTGTCCATAATTGCATCCTGCATGCCATTCAATCCTTCTATCAACAAGCTCCGGTAAGATATGATACCAAAGATGCAATCATCCAAAAGCAGATGCGTCTGATGGCGGTAATCAGCTGGGCAGGGCAGGAAGCCTGGCACTTGTGCGAACCTTTGGCAGAACTGCTGCAGAAGCCACAACCACCCTTGCCACCGGGCCTTCTGAGTATTCTTTCAAATTGTTTGCCTTGTTGTACTCTGATGCTGAGCGACTATCTGCATTATAGATTGATTCTGCTGCCGCTGCTGCATCTGCTCTCCGCCTGACTTCTGGAAGGGTCGAGTCATCACGTTTCCACTGCAGACGAACAGCACCCTCTGTAGCCGCTGATCGCCCAACCCTGGAGAGACATACAAGAGGTTGAGGAGAGACAAGTGACTACTAAAGCATTCAAGTGGCGGTGGTGCATGTGAGAGGGCATCATGAGGCAAATATATGTAATGTGGCAAGTGCACGGAACACACCTGATCTCTACCCCACTTGCAGCCGTGCAAGCAGCAGCTTCATTTGGTGACTCTGCCCTGCTTTCCCTGATCAGGTTGCTCAGCTGACTGAGCACATCTTCAAGCTTCGCTGTCCGAGTGGCGTCTTCGTCTTGTAGGACATTTGCCCGTTCCAGGAATACCGATCCCTTGGAACCTAGGGTGGTTACCATCCATCTGATGTGAGGTAGACAATAAAATGTTGACAGCAGAGCGTCACCCAAGCCTGCCTCGCCTGTCCAAGCCTGTGGTGCCACAATTCCGCCATGAGCTATCAAGCATGAAGCAGCAAAAAATCTACAGAGCTCACTTTTACTGCAATGGAATGGCCAAAGAGTTTGACCAGGTTCCATTGTCACCTGGGGGAAGCGGGCAGATGTGACTACATAGTCTGCATGTGCTAGAAGCTCGTTGAGGCCGGGCCTCAATCGTTCGGCCTCTACAAGGACAGGGATGCCGGCCCCTTTGGCAGCCTTGGCAACCTGAAGGGCCGCCTCAGCCAGCCGGCCGTCAAAATAGACCAGAGCTGCTCCATGCAAGGACTCTTCAATGAGGTTGGGGGACACATCCTCCACGCGCATAGGCGCTGCAGGCGTGTGTATGCATGTACGAGTTCCACCTGGGCAGTCCATCACCGTGTTGACATACAAGACGGCCCGTTTTAGTTCTTCTGAGCCTCTGAAAGTCAGACTTGCCATGGCAGCTTAACAGCGCCACACCTTCTCGATCCACTATGATGTAGGTGAAGGGTGAGGGTTGCCCCTTTGCGCGCAGCACAAACTTGGTGTTGACATCATCATTTTCCAGCTCACTGATTATGCCATCGCCCACGGCATCATCGCCGATCTTTGTGATCAGCACTGGCTTGAGCCCCAGCCGAGCGGCTGCCGTCAAGGCGTTGGCGCAGTTGCCCCCTCCTTGTGTCTGAAGCAAGTCAACTCTGGCCAGATCAGTTGAGCCGGGAAAAGCTTCCTGAGGTGAAGGTTGCAGCAGGAAGGCGTCGAGCTTGCCTGCAAGTTTTCAGTCCGGAGCTTGTCGTCTGGCTGTGGAAATTTTGCAACTTGAGCTAGATAATCAAGGCCACAACTTCCCACCCCGACCACTTTGTGTCCAGTCTCCTGTGCACCACCCAGGAACGAGGCAGTGGGTATGCCATTCAGCAATACAAGGTGTCAACATGCACGCCTGTATAGCAAGGTACCTTCTGAGAAGATTCCAGCATTGCATGTGCTTTCACAATCCTCCCTCGAGATGGAAAGATGGGTGACCCAACATGAACATGCCCCAGAGTACGATCTCCAGCTAAGACTTGATTCATGAACATCCCCACTCCAGGCACAAGTTTAATTCAAGCACAACTGAAAGAAAGTCATATCCAACTTTGCGCAATTCGTGAGAGATCGTTGCCCCTTTTCTTCTTTCATTCCGCACGTGCCTTCACGTGATAGCTTTATCACTTAATCTCAGGATTTCCCTTTTTTTTAGTAGTTTTTGGAGGATGCATTAAAATCTACTTGTTTTCTGGTCACTATGAAGGGCTTGATTACTGTACATCACCTTACATCGCTATGCCTGCAGCCAAGGCACCTTCAACATCGCCCATGCACCTCGCAACGGAAGGTGTACATGGTGCCAACTGGATGTTATTATCATCTCAATAAGCACTGATCTACTCGTGATCGAATGCATCGTGAATCAGAAGTGGTATAATGGCTGTTCTCCCGAAGAGGAAGCTAACGCGATGCTGCCTTGTTCAGGATGTCCAAAGAAGAAAGATGACCTTGATACAATGCAGATCGGCAAATGCAGACGTCGCAACTCTGAGAGAACGCCTTAAGCAGTTGGACCGACAATTGGTGCGGACTTGATGATTTTATGTGGCCACCAAGTTGCCCTGCCCGCCTGCCCAAATTGCTCAGGTGCTTGTCAACTACTGGCCAGGAAAGGGAAGGCCCTGAGGCAGAGGCAGCAGCAGTACAGCTTGCCAATGATATGAGGGAGGATGGCACACTCCATGCCTATGGCAGGGGGCGTCAGGCAAGGGGCACTCTTGGTCCCAGAACACCAAATCGCGGTCTGCCTGCATTGCATGCAGAATCTGGAGTTCTGGGGACAACTGCACCCGTGTTAAGTTTGCAGTGCTGCGCAGATTCCCAAGCGCATATATTCACTGGAGGAATTGCGACTGAACAAAATAGAAGCAGAGAAATTTCTGTCACCGAAAGATGACACCCTCGGTACAGTGCGGACGATTCTCCAGGTACGACCTTACAAAAATGGAGAGCTCGGCGTACTGCTGGGCCAATGTGCATCATTCTAGAATTTCGAGCAGAGAGGGACCTTCAGGAAGTCATAGATTGATAGATCACTGCTGTGCTCTAGGGAGGCGGGCTGCTGGGGATTGCTGCGGCATACTTTGGCTTACATTGGGAGCTCTCGCAGCTTCTCGGAACGCTGGCAGGGCTTGGCTTTCTTTTGACAGTAGATCAGGTGTGGACTCTTGATGCCTGCCTAGGTAGATCAAGCGTGGACTGGCGTTCACTGCAGGTAAAAGACACTGTTCTGAGAGCATGATTGGGTCGAGCAGTACACCATGGGGCCCAGGTAGCAAATGGTGGTGGACTGGAGGCTTTGTTGATCGATACGGCTGCGAGGACTATCAACCCCAGCTATGGAGAGCGAGTTGCAACCCATGAATCGGGCCATTTTCTAATTGCATACCTTGTGGGGCTGCTGCCGCGCACCTACACACTGTCGTCTCTTGATGCATACAAGAGGTGGGCACCCCTGATCCTCAGTACTAGTACCAAAGCGTTGGTGGTGTGCCGGGGTGACAGTTAAGAGTGAATTCTGTGTGGGCAGGTATGGCGCACTCAATGTGCAGGCAGGCACTTTGTTCTGCGACTCTGCGTACCAACGAGAGGTAGGTGAAGATTGCAGCAGTGACTTGTAACTGCATGACAAAACACCACAAAAGAAGAGGTCGTTGATGAAGAGGTCGTCCCCTGACAGGTTGCTTCAGGGACGCTGTCCAGCACAAGCCTGGACCGGTACTGCTGTGTGGCATTGGCGGGAATTGCAACAGAGTACATCAAGGTGCTCTTCCTCACAACGCCGTGTGTTGCTCTTTTGTTGAAGGTGGAAAGTCAGAATGTTGATGCAATTTGGACACTGAAAGACTTGGTGTTTTTGGTGTGTAGTATGGACAGGCAGAAGGAGGGCTTAATGACGTACAGCAGTTGGACGGCCTCTTGAAAGCACTGCAGGTAGGCAAACGCTTATTGAAATCTTTGCTCTCATAGGTTTATAAGATATCATGATCATGAGTCTGCTGCAGCTGCATCTTTTACAGATGTGCGTTCACAAATGCTCGAGCTCATCCCTGGATTGCTTGGCTGCAGTTCACACAAAAGAAGGCAGATGGTCAGATCCGTTGGGCAGTACTGAATGTGACTGCCCTTTTACGACGGTATTCCCGTGTGCAGAGTCAGTTAGCTCAGGCCATGGCTGCTGGCAAATCTGTTGGTGACTGCATTGCCCTCATTGAAGCACAATCAGAACCAGAACCAGATGCAAGCAACTCACAATTGTAAATCAGTGGTCTCGCTCAGTGACGTCACCCACAACTTGTTCAACCCTTGCTTTCAGGTTCAAAACATGGTCCAAAAAGATGCAGTTGACACTGCATAACTATTGACCTTCTTCAGTTCTCAGCTGATCAAATTCTACATTACAGAATCGCTTCATGCATTCTTCTCGCGCTGGACAACCACATTGAAGGTGCCGACGACCTCCGGATGCAGCCGGATAGTGGCAGGGAATGTGCCTACTGAAGTGATCTCCGGGAGCTCAATATCCTTCTTGTTGAGCTCGCGGCCGGTCTGCTTGAAGATTGCTTCCACGATCTCAGTAGTGGTCACACTGCGTGAACATGTTGAGTGCGCGCTGAATACCCATGAAAAGGAAAGGAGAGACCTTTAACAGGAAAAACGAGAGCAGAAACAGTATATGCACGCGTGCCGTGGTTCCTCACCTGCCAAAGATCTTGTCCTCCTCTCCCACCTTCTTCTTAATGACAAACTTGCCGATTGTTGACAAAGCAATAGCCATGGCCTGCGCCTTAGTTTTGACCTCCCGTGCCTGCTGCTCTGCCCTCTGCTTGTCCTTTTCAATGCTCCTGCGCAGGTGCATGGTACACCCCATCAATTCCTGATTCTTGAGTACACAGCGACCTTGGACGCTTATAAGGCACCAACTTTGTGTTTTGGCATCAATCCAGGCCATTCGTTTCAAGAAGGCATGAGTGCTCACTCTAAGATCCCAGCGGTTGCCAGAGATGCGAGATTCTGTGGCTTCAAGTAATTCCTGAAGAATCCATTTGGTACATCTGTGAGTGTTCCTGCTTTGCCCAACCCCTGCACGTCCTGCCTCAGTACCACCTGCACCGCAGAAGGAGAGGTTCAGCTACAGAAGAGTGCAGAGCCTGCGCAAGCATGGTGTGACAGAAATCGTTCAGTGTTGACCCTCATTATGGTATTAACATGGTGATGTTGTAACTTTGCAAGCATGGTACAGAAACTCTTTGCGTTCCCCTGAGGAGAGGACGCACCGTCTGTCGCTTCACCACCTTCTTGTTTGCAGTGACTGTGAAGTTTATTCGCCTTCTGACTAGGAGACTGGAAGGACAGCAAGCTGCGTTCTTCTGCAAGAACAAGAAATGTCTAGTCTTGGACTAGTTCGAAAGAGTAGAGGTGACGACACCAACTGAAGGGGAGCGAGCAACATATGCAATCAAACAGCCGCAAAATACAAGACAATTTGTGATCAACCTGCTTCAATGCAGGTACAGACACGATATTACAGCAGACAATCGCACCGTTTCTAAACGCCTCAAACCCTCAAAAGATTGGAATGTGGCACATGTCCTGGTCCCGATGGTCTCCAGCATTTTAAAACACTTGATTTCTTGTCACTCAGCTTACTCTCTTCCTGGATCTGTGCACAAGAAGGCATGCCTTCCTGGTGGCCGCATAGAGGATATGGTCTGCTTTGACGGCGTTCCTGCCAGCTAGAAATCCCATTAACTTCTTCACTCCTCTTCATCTTAGACCTCGACTTCTTTAGCTTTGAGATAAATCTTCATTGCCCACATTTGCTATCACAGAGAGTGATAGTCAGTGTTTTGCACAAATTTTGCATTTGTGGACTGATCTGGAATCTGGATCACTATTCACTGGATCACAATATTGAGCCCACACAATGTCAGACGATGTCCCCCCTGAGACAGAACAAGAAGAAGTTGCAGCAACTACAAAGAAGACACGTGAGGCTGCAGAACAATCAAGGGCCTTGAATACGTTGACAGATCATGTACGCCCCCAATTGCTTGCTGGTGGTTGACCAGATGATCTTTGGTCTTTGACTATCTTATCAGTGTCAACCTGAGAATCTTGCGACCCTTCTGAATATCTATATGCCAAAGTCTGGAGCCATACAAAGTCATATAGCTGCATTCTTGTACTGGCACTAGCTGCAACCTGCGCACAGCAGGAGGGATGCCAGATTGGCATTAAAAGGCATTAAAATGCATATTTATGTAGGTGGAGGAAAAAGAGCTAGACACATCCAAAGTCAACAATGCAATGGCTCAGATCAAAGCCTCTCAGACGGCCACCCGGGAAGCTCAGAGGTGTGAACCAAATGCATGACTCCTGCGTGCAAGTTGAAGCATCGCATGCAACTATGCAGTCCATTGACAGCCCCATCTAAAGACTGAGCGTTCCCATGCAGAGACAAGGACCTGGCTGCTTTCAAGGTGAATGCTGCTGATGTGCAGCTGATTGTTGCTGAGATTGAGGTGGATCAGAAGCAAGCAGACCGCAGACTGCGAGAACACAAGGGAAATGTTGTGGAGGCCTTGAAGTCATACCTTTAACATAGGAACATATTCTGCTGGTGGGGAGACCATTTCTGGAAGGAACACGAAACATAATAGTGAACAGCCATGAACAGTAATGGTTGCATTTTTGTTGGTGTAGAATCTGTGTGTTCTATTACCATCTGGAGTAGCAGAAATCCCCGGACACCAGGCAGCAAGCTCAGCATTGGGCAAGCTATAAGAGAGGAGGGTTGGGGTCCATGGTGCATGACCAGGGCTTTCCCAATTCCGGGCATGATTCTAGTCTTGGTGCCAGGAATAACACTGCGCTGGATTGCTATAATCTAATCTTTTCATGTCTGTCACACTGACATGTTGGTGTAGCAGTTTGTAAAATGCACATAACATCGATTGACCATATGAATCGAACAACCTATCAATAGGTCAGCTGTTTGCTGCTCCAGGACGACCAATAATTGCAGTCATATAAGTGCGTTCTGATGCTCATCAGAACGAGCGAGTGCGCTGCAGCGACTCTGTCGGCAGCTTTGGAATCAGGATCTCTGGGGACTGCTTCCATTTATCTGCTGCCGCAGCCACAGAAAATGGGGATGCCAGGCGTGATGGCGAGGAGAGTGCAGGCATCAGCTGATCTCCCTGAACTCTCACCTGTGCATGCACTCTGCTGAGATTACCGCTGTCCTGCATGAGTCAATACTCATGCAATTTTGTTCAATCGTGCTGCAATCTAATTCTGAGCACTCTCCTGACGAATCCAACTGGTCTCCTACATCCAGACAAGAAGCACATAAAAGCACTCTGGTGAGCTGTTCACTTACTGTGAGTGGCTGCGCCTTGGCTGCGGCTGATACCGGTGTCTTCTTGGCGTTGCTGGGCGGGGTGGCAGCACAAGACTGCAGGGGCACAGCATTTCACCTTATCGATGTCCTTTTGCAGCACTGCAACGTATGGAATATCTGGTGGACCTATCAAGTCTGGTCAGGAAGTTTGGGCAGAAGCGGACCTTGAGCAGCTTGTTCATTTTCTCCTCTGTCGCCACCGAGATGGATGCATTTCGGGCTGTCTTTCGTGCAGGCAGCTGCCCATCCTTGCTGCACCCTGGCAGTAATGGGACAGCAATTGTCAATGCGTAGTCCTTGACTAGTGTGGCTGTGATTTGACGAAACAGCACCGCAAAATTTTAGGGCAACTGTGAATATTGCTGCTCACCTGGCAGAGTCTCCGCCCTGGGAGTGAGCAGCTTTGGGGTGCGCCTCTGGTGCTGCACCTCGCTGCCTGCAGAGGAGGTGAGTGGCGTGAGAGCCTTGTCAGACCTCGGCGTGGAGGGGCGGATGCTCCCTGTGCGGAGCCCGCCTGGCTTCCCTGGAGTCCCCACTGCGGCAGCAGCCTTCCTATTTCCCTGCACAAAGACATGTCAACACTGAGCATTGCTATCCCCTTCGCTCCACGTATTAAGCCTCTCCAGTTGCACATATCCAGCAAGCCTGAGGCAGGTCAGCAGAAAAGTGCCACCTGAGTCTTCTGGTGATGCGCTGCGGCCCGCTGCTGTGCCTCTGCCTGCACCTCATGCATCAGCTCTGCCAGAACCTCCTGCGCCACACAAGCTGCTTAGCAACATTGCCAGCGTATCTCCATATTCCCTATTTACAAGAGTGACTTCAATGAAGGTGGCAACTGCACCTGGTAGTCCCTCTCATCGTAGAGGAAGGGCCGGTCCTCGCTTTCTGCCCAGGCCTCCAACATGCTCTGCATCTGCTCAATCACTGCCGGCATGCGGTCTCTGGCCTTCCCAGCCTTGATAGCGCGCTGCAGCTTGCGATTTGCATCCCTCCCCTGGCGCACAGAATCCACTTTCTGCTCAGAGCTGTGCATGATTGCTTGCACCATGCATGCACAGAAATAGAAACCTCCTGATGAGCCCAGAGAGGGTGTCACAGAGAGGGCTCCTGACCTTGTAGCGCGAGTCGTCCCTGTCGTACTCGATGAGCCAGGAGCACTCAGCGCGCATGGACCGCAGATCCTCGATGGCGTCCAGGATCCTGCTGCGCCGCTCTGCTTCAGCTTCTGCATCGCCCACCTGCTTCACCACCTTGGCCAGCACCTCTGCCACCTGTTCAGCCCACCACCACCACTTTCCTCAACTCTTTGGTCCTTTCTGAGGGGCATTTATCATTGCACTCCTCTAAAAGCTAAAATGCAGAATGGGTGGCATGCAGGGAGAATCTCACTCCAGCTTGTCCTGTCGCATTGGGTCAGTGCAAAAGAGCCTTGGGGTACCTGGGCTGATGCGGCTGTGTGAGAGTCAGGGGCTGCCTCGGAGTGGGGAAGCGGGGGCAAGGACATGTGGGACTCTGTGCAGATGTCCTCCAGCTCGCGCCTCTTTACATCGATCATCTTCCTGATCAGCTCTGCCTTGCGTCCTTCCAAATGCTCCACTTCTGCCTTCACCTGCAAAAACTTTGAGCATTGGATGCCAGTTGATGCAGACACAAGGACACTTAGTTAGTGTGAGACTTAAGCGCACATCCTCATGCTCAGTCTTGCAGGAGTGCAGGTTTCTGCTCTTGCAATGCTATTCTGCATTGGGACCTTACCTTGTCCAAGGTTGTGTTGTGCACACGCAAAGGGCCGTCCAGCAATGCCTGGAATTTTTTGCGGTCGACATCATCCTCTGCAGTCTCCAGCACATCCCACAGGCCCTCCAGAACACTCAGAAGATTCACCGCCTGCTCTTTTCTCTCGGCCTGTTCAGGCACACTAGTTATTAATCTTGCCCAAGAGATGATGGTAAGCTACTAGCGCATCCAACCCTAGTCAGAAAGCGTGCCAAGCTCACCTTCAGTTTTCTCAGTTTCTCCGCTTTCTGATCCAAGTGCTTGAGAGTCTTGTCGCTCACATCCAGTTCATCACCAGCCGTGCTCTGTCCATCTCCCTCCCTGTGAATTGCAAGAACAAACCTTGCTGCAGCTCACCATGCCTGCCAGAGACAAGATAACGCCATGAATTTTTTTCTGGTGCAGAAATGGAGTCATCATGGGGGTGGGCAAGCTCACACGAGGCGCAGCAGTGTGGGGTGCGCCTCAGCAGCGAGGGCCCAGGCATCCTCTCCCAGCTCATCGCTTTGTCTGCGCAGGTTGGACAGCGTAGACTCCAGAGTCTGCTGCCGTTTCTGGCACTCGTCTTGCAGGCGTGTGATTTCGATGCCAAGTCGCTCCAGCTCTGTGCTTGTGAGATCCTGGAAGCTCCGTGCATGCATGCTGCGGCCGATGCGGGCATGGAGTTGGCCGATCTTCGCCTGTGAGGGACAGGCATGATGAAGACCCGAATAAGCAATAAGCATAAGAGCATGAGTGCATTCGCATGCCAGTCTTCACCTGCAGGGCCTCGATCTCCTCCATGCGCTGTGATTTCTTGTCGCGCCACAGAGCCAGCTCTTCCTTGATGATGCGGTATTGCTTCATGAGAGTGCCCTCAACCAATTCCTGCAGCCAGTCAGACCCAGAATTGGACAGGAGTGTCAAGGCCTCCATAGACTGCTGAGCTAGCAGATAGCCATTCAGAGGGTGTTGCTTGCATTGTTTCGTGAAACGTCGAGGACAAAACATGGGCGCTTTTACTGACCTGGTAAGCAAACTGAGTTGAAGGCTGACCCAGCTGATCCTGAGTCCCCAAAATTTCTCTTTGCATTCCTTCGATCTGGGACTGCAATTTGAGTTTTCTTTGGACTCCACGATCATATGAAGCATCCCATGCACTCTCTGCTGCTCTCATTGCCTTTTCAACTTCATCCTGCCTGTCTGAATCCTCCAACTCCAGGTCTTCCCATACGTCATTCAATTTTCGGACGGTGGACGATATTTTGCTCTCATAATCGTGCAAATGGACCCCAAGCAGCGATTCCATGGCTGAAGAACTGTCTTTCTTGAAGTTTGTACGCACATGCGACTATATATATTGCAATTTAGGAACGGTACGGCTGTGTAGAGCGCAGGATGACTGTGTGTTGCAGGATTGGTCGACTTCCTCGATAGTCTACTGAATTTCCTGCTCGATACAAGTCAACCAAAAATCACTTTCCGATTGGTGAACTGTCACAGGTGCATTTGGAACGGACGCAGGGTGTGCACACCCCTCAACAGGGTACACAATCTTGGGGTGGATATTGAATTGGACGTGCTGAGCATGCTCTCTCATGAAGTGCTGCTTCTTCGCAACACCAGTGCAAGCTTCCAATGTCCGGGGTTTCTCTTCAGTGGCGCCAGAAAGTAAGATGACATCTGCACACTCCTGCCCATTGAGTAGGGGGCTTATCAGTGCTTCAATAATCTCGTGATCTGGGCGATTTTCCCTGTCGTGTTCGCATTATAGAAAGGGCAATCGACATACATCATGGCAAAGGTATGCGAATAATATAGCTTGTTCAAAGTACACCAATTTCGAAATATTGAATTTCGAATTCTCAATGGTGATGTCTTGTCATCACTGTCGTGTTGGCTTGCAGTCTCTTACGGTGTTCGCGGTTGACGTGGGTCCCCACATGCATATGTATGGGGATCTCGTCTCGGAAACTCTGAGGACGCTGTTCTTGAGCAAGGTTCGGAGCCACAGAGTGCAGCCCTTATGTCTGCAAAGCTGCTGTCTATGCAAATTTATGTGTCCCATCAAACAGCCAGACCTGCCAATATCATCTCTTTAATGATCATGGTTCACCAACATCTTGCAGGCGCTTAACAAGCCAAGGGATGAGTGCTGTCTTTTGTACTATGGAACGACAGGTGCGGGACAGTCATAAGGCAAAGCACTCTTTGGCGCGTTTGACGACTTCGTTGTGAAGTGTCATTATTATTCGATACAGGTACCAAGAACATGGTGCATGAGGAGATGGCGGCTCAGGGCGATACGGGAGAGTACCTCCACATCACGGTGTGTGCAGGAATGAGGACAGTTTGTCACATCGCCCGGCTTTCACCGCTCATTCCTCACACTATGACTTGCAATGCAGGTGGAGCAGGCGCTGCAACCTCCAAATGTGCACTTTTTGACATCCCTCTCGAATCTACCCAAGGGTGGAGGAACCAGTGACTTCATTGATGCTGTGACGGTGGCTGCTGACAGCATCAATCGAGCCACGCAAGCTCGTCCGGAGCTGGAGAAAGCAAATGTGTCCAAAGAGATCGTCCTCATATCGAATTTTCGTGAGAAGATCCGGGAAGAGGATATCCAGGACTTTGTCCAGTCCATTGTTGAGTCCTTACAGAGCAAAGCGGTGAGCCGGATTCCATCATGAACTTTCAATATTAGCACTGTTGCACCCATACACCCGCGTGGCCTTCTTATGAAGCTTCAAAGCTGCTGTTTCAGGTGTCATTGCACATCATCTCCCTCGACAATGCTGCAAGCGGGAGGCAACAAGAGAAGCAGGTCAACATGAGAGTGCTTGATGAGCTCACAAAGGAGGTCAAGCACAAGCGGGTGCATGTGGAGACGCCTGCCGAACTGCTGGGCTTGTTCAAGTGCAAAGAGTACAGCAACACTGCATACTACGCTGGTCCATTCACAATCGGCAATATGATGACCATCCGAGTGAAGGTATGGTTACATGCAGCATGCATGTTGACAGACAGGAAGTTCAAACTCCATCAAAGTGGCATGTTGATGGCCCTGCGGTACTCATGTCTTGGCTACTGTCCATGCAGGTGGCCAAGAAAGCAAAGAAAGAGACCTTGCCAGCAACAGGAATGTACAGCGAGAAGTCGCGGGCTGCAGATGCTAGCCACGATGTTCTTCGGGAGCAGGAGTACAAGGATGCCTCCGACCCAGATGCCACAGTGCCAGCAGAAGAGCGTGCCAAGGCTTACAAGGTGAATCAGACTGGACAGTAGAAATTTTATGATTCACTCAGTCAAATGTGTTTCACTGAGCACATATGCAGCCTGCTCATCATCCGGTGTCTGCATTACAGTACGGCAAGCAATACGTGCCAGTGCAAGCAGAGGACGAGGCCTACCTAGCGTACAGACCTGACCGCGGCATCAGCTTGATGGGCTTCCTTGATGCAGAGAGCGTCCCCCAGCAGTATCACATGAAGGTATGAGGCTGGTGATGCTTCGCGTGTTCCCAATACATGCGCTGAAGCTGTCAATTGTGACCCATCATGGATATTTCATATCAGCACATGCTAGAGAGCCATGCATTTGGCAAGCTTGACTTGCGCATGCATGCTGCAGGACCCTTGGGTGATGGTGGCTGAGAAAGGCAATGAGCGCTCGGGCTTGGCCATGTCGGCTCTTGTTCGGGCCATGGCAAACAAGAACCAGGTTGCAATAATCCTGTTTGTGCCTAGAGTCTCAGAGACTGGTGGGGCAAATGCAGCCACATGCGTTGGCTACCCATTGTTGGTAAGTCACTTTGCCCTGGGGAGGACATTTCACACCAGTGCCAAGTATGTGGGCATGTAGCATGGCAACTGAGATTTGGTGCACAGCCCGAGGGAGTGTGTCTTGCCTTGCAGGGGAGCAGCCAGCAGCCTGACTGCCTCGTTTTGAACCACCTCCCATTTGCTGAGGACCTGCGGGTGGCCAAGTTTGCATCCCTGGATGAGAAGCCTGACCTCATGCCCTCTCTTTCTCAGCTGGACCAGATGAGAGCTGTTGTGCAGGAGCTGGATTTGTCCACAGGTACGCCACATTTATTTTGATTTGCTGCAAGTGCCATCTTGAACATGTACAACCACTTGGGAATTTATTTTCGCCAAAAGATCGGTTTATAGTGCTCTCCAAGTTGGGTGGGTGCAGATGGAAGGGAGGCGCTCTCTCCTGATCGCACAGCAAATCCCATCATCCACCGTTTCTATTCTTACATGGCCAGCCAGGCTGCGGACAAAGACAGCCCCTTACCAGCGCCCCATGAAGATGTGCTCATCAACGACACATTTGATCCTCGGACTGCCACTGTCCGCAAGGCACAGACTCTGCTGCAAACGCTCCCGCAGCACCTGCATGTCGAGAAGAAGGTATGTGCTTGCAGGCGACTTGTTGTTGGATGTTTTAGTCGTGCAAGAGGCGCTATCAATTGGTATGCATGAGTTTGGACTGACGTGCACATGCATGACTCCAGGAGCTGGTGCTGGAGCGCGTGCAACCCAAGGAAGAAATGCCTGCAGAGGTGACAGCCTTCAGCCTTGAAGGCACAGCTGCATCATCTGTGGAGACAGTTGGCACCTCAGATCCTGTGGGAGACTTTGGAGTCCTGCTGAGAGAGGGCAAGCAAGATGTGGCCTTCAGCAGTCTACCACATGCTGTAGTTTCACTCGTTGATAACAGCCTTGGCGAGAGGTGATACCTCTCTTGCAAACTTGGAACATTGCAGCTTCCTGTGGCATGCATGTCAATTTTGTGCAAATTTGCGCAGACCATGATTGACTTCACAGGGCACACAGAGGGCCATCCTACAAGAAAACGGTGTGACTAGCTGTGCTCACGTTCAACATGTGCATGTGTACAGGAACTATGACAAGGCTATGCGAGCAGTGGTGGCCATGAGGAAGGCTGCAGAAGGCAGCAGCCAAGAGCAGAGCTTCAACTCGTTCCTGGCAGATCTAGCGAGCAGATATGAGCATGACAGGCAGCATAGCAGTTTCTGGAAAAGCACAGTGAGGGAGGGAATCATGCTGCTTGGCAATGCCGCTGAAGCTGAGAAGTTCTTCAAGAAACACAGCGGGGCACAGGTCCGCACAATTATTTGTGTTCATGCATGCATCTCTGAATCCATTGTAGTACGTGAGAGGAGATGAAAGCAGACTGTTCGTTTTGATTTATTCTCAGATTTGCTTAGCTGTCCCTGAAAGACTTCAAATGGATTATCTGCAGGCTGAGGAAGTACCAGAGCCAATGGAAATTAAAGAAGATGAGGAGGACGAATTTGCAGGGATGGACTGAAAGCAGTGCTGGCAATCCTGGCTCATGCCAGCGGTCCCAACAGGCAAATAGTTCTGCAAGAATGGCATGCAAGCCTGCAGCAACATCCAGGACCGCTCGTGCTGCAACTCGCAAGGACTCGTATGAATTCTTGTGGCACATGTGATGCTGGTTGCACTGCTAAATAGATATATCCTGCATGCTGCAATCAATGTGTATGCCTCAATTCCTGTAATCAATCGATACAGCCAATGACAGGGTGCCGGTTCTGTACATTCCATGCTGGCACTAGCACACGTCCCCTATATTGCCATCTGCATGCAAGTTTTCGAGGGTGATGAGGTGAAGAATCCAAGGATGAGTGCCATCAGAGGAGTTTTCCGTGATTAGTCCACAGGCCTGGCTTCTGCCATATCTCATACGCAAAAGTACCTCCAGTTCAGTATGACGAACAGGACGGAATTGTGAACGTCGCGATCGTGCTTGCGTGTGAAAGACAGTCCAGCGGCCCGGCCGCAATGAGTCCTATAACCGGGCTGCTGCAGCGCTCTGCCAACCCGATAAGCTCAAGCTTCAGACAAGCAGTCTCTATGCAAGGCCCAAACCTTGCTGCGCTGGGCCTCGAGCAGCTCAAGAAGACGGCAGGTTTGTCACATCTGCTCATCCCTAAGCCCGAGCTCGCAAAGTCTTCACCAAAGCGCTTGTAGACTTAGCAAAGCTCTTCACGAGTGTCAGGATCGAACTTTTCAAGATGGTGACTGTCTGACACTCCCTCACCTTTTGTGCCTCTTCAGACCAATTTCTCAAGGAGCAACAAGCCACGAAGAACGCTGTCGAGCTCTACGTAAACCATTCCACCTCCTGGACCTCTTCAATGCCCTGTCTCATCATTAACAGGAGTAGCAATGCTTGCCATCATCTTGAATATTGTCTTGCACGTCCTGCAGAAGCAGAAGGCCCAGGAGTCTGAAGCAGCCTGCAGTAGGATCGACAGTCTCCACAAGAAAGAGCAGGCAGAGAATGCACGTCTGAAAGCCAGGCTCAGCAGCGATGAGAAGCAGGTCCATGATGTTCTGCAGCAGATCTCACAAGTCCGCCACATGCACAACTCCCTGCTGCAGACTCTGGGAGAGGCCAACAAGCACCTGCACGAAGGTAAAGTGAGATGTGCAAGGGTCATTGGAAGCATTCTGCCACTCCTGTCGGAGTTGTTTTCCATGCATGCATCTGTTTTCGAAATGTCACCATCATCCTGTTCAGGATGCCAACCAACATGTGAGGTCCTGACAATCTCTTACTGTCTGTGCGTGCAGTTGAGGAACAGCGGCATGACCTCAGTGTGGCTTTTGATGAGCGCTTCAGGCTGTGTGAGGTGAAAGAAATGCCTAGTCTGCATGCATGTGTCAGGTGCCTGTCCTGTGCATTGCCCTTTTTTCCAGCATGTCAAGACATCATGTGGACATGTGCAGGTCCAAGCAGACCAGCTTCAGAAGCTGTATGAGAAATGTGAGGCCAAGGAGGTCCAACTGAAATCTGTACAGACAGAACTGGTAAGCAATGATTGGTGGCCCTGCTTTGGCATGATTGCATTTCTGAGGAGATGTAGCATTTGCTGTGGACGGTCTGAACATGTGATGTGATCATTTCAGGAGGCAACCAAGGATGCTGGAGTCAAGAACTTGGCAATGAAAGAAGAGAATATTCAGCAGCTGAAGATCGAGCTTCAGCATGCCTTGGAAGTCAAAGCCCAGGAAATCCAGCAGCTAGAGACAGTCATCGCCATTCTGCGAGACACAGAAGCAGTGCAGAAGAAGAAGGTATGTCATGCTTCATTACAGAGTTTGAGGTTGATGAGTTCGACCGTGCTGAAGGCTCACATGTGTGTGCAGATAGAGGAGTTGGATGCAGAGATCAAGCATGCCTTCCATGACCTGCAGCGCAATGATGAGCTTTGCAATGAGCTCTCCTCCAAGGCTGACATGTTAGGTACAGAGCTTCAAGATAGCAGAAAGGATCTTTCAATTGCTGCAGCAGAGATCGAAAAGAAGAAAAAGGAAAGCCAGGCAGCCATATCAGCCCATCAGCAACAAATGGTGCGATACCTTCCTGCTTGACAAGGTTGAAGAGGTCAAATCCCTTCAATGCAGTGAATTGCTACATGCATGCTGTGATCTGTGCGATTAGCAGCTCCAGCTATTGGGATTGCCATGTCTCAGACACATTGAGAGCGCAGGATAGCCTAAGTATACAGCTGTCAGATGCCGTGGAGGCTCTGCAAACATGCAAGGAGGAGTGGAACAGCAAAGAAAGCAAGCTGCTGTCCGAAGCAAAGGAGGCAAACAAAAAGCACCAACAGCTGGATGACCGGACAGCTCTGGTACGCCATGTCTTATCACTGCTGCAAAATTCACCATGCGCAAGCTGCTCCTTTTCATCTCCTTCAACATTGCAGCACATGCATGCAGTCCTTCTCTAGCAGTTGATGATATTGTGACTATGTCCAGGAACTTGACAAACTTCGCACAGCTCACAGAGACGACCTGGTGAAACTTCAGGAGAAGGTGCAGTATGAGGAGCACCCTAGAACCTTGTATAAACCAAGCCAGACTGTTGATTCATGATCCTGCATCTGTTTAAGGGCCCAATAAGTGATGGGAGTCTTCTCAGTATTTTTGACTTTGTTGATGTCTCAAGAGTGTGCAGTGCCATCTTGACAAGTTTATACTGGGACCAACAGGCCAATGCTGAGAAGAACAAGATGGCTGAAAAAGTGAAGATTGTGACTGATGAGCTCATGGCCCTGCAAGAAGAAAAGGCAAAAATGGAGGCTTGCTTTGAGGAGAATGCCAAGAGCAAACAGGAGATTGATACTCTGACAAGCAAGATTGCAACCCTGTTGTCCAGCAATGAGCAGGCCAAGGCAGAGCTTGAGAAGGTGATTTCAATTTGTCGTCATTCCTGACAAACACTCTCTAGTACTCAGGATGCAGGAATTCCTGCCAATTCCAATTGCTTTCACACGAGGTGAACACTTTGTGGACACGTGTGCTGGTGCTGGCTTTGCAGGTCAATGAGAAGAACAAGGAATACATGACAGAAGCACTTGAAACAGCTGCTAAGGATGCAGAGAAGATCAACTACCTCACAGCACAGCTGACACAGCTTGAGACTGACAAGGTGAGGGACCAAACTTTGATGCCCCCCAAAGTCCGGAAGTAGGTATGTTTTCCATGCTCATGCTTCGACATGCATAGTTCTGCCAAAACATCACATTTAACTCACATGCTGATGTGCAGAAGGACAAGGATGTCGCGTTGCAGCACATGCAGCAACAGCATGACATACAGCTGAGCGCACTCAATGAGCGCATTGCGCACCAGAAGGTATCCAGTCGCTTGCACTGATTCCTGATATTGAATTAACGAACGTGGCTACTTAAACATGCATGATATGCTCCACCAATTGAAGCTGTCCACGCTGTGCAGATCATGTCAGAGCAGCAGTGCGCTGCTGACCAGGCAGCTGAGGACCACCTGCAGGATCAGCTGGCCAAGCGCGACGCTATGATCATCCAGATCGAGGAAGAGCTGCAGAAGAAGGACATGCTCCTGCAGCAGATCTCCATGGCAGCCGCACCAGATGTGCCTGTGATCCCCTCACCGGCAAAGCGCAATGTGGCCACCCCGATGCGCTCTGCCAGGGTCCCACGCCAGACACCGCCTCGCTTTGTTGACGGCCCTCCAAAAGGCCGCTCACCCATGGCAGATTTGGTATGCCCCTGTCTGATTCAGGCATGCTGGCAACGCAGGCTCTGCATGTCTATCACCCACCAGCAAAAGATGTACTCTCTGCTGTTCTCAAGAAGTTGATCATGACATGATGTGGGGTGCAGAGCGACCAAGAGGACAGCCAGGACAACGATGCAGATGATGAGCGCCTGCCACATCTCACAAGGAGGCAGCTGCATGACGGAATGCACCCAGCTGCCGTTCCCAAGGCCAGCCCTGCAAAGAACTCCCAGAAGCGCCCCTCTCCCAACGGCCCTCACGCCATTCAGACGCGGTATGGACATCCGCATTTGTTCAGCAATAGTGGTTCATCCAAGCTCAGGATTATGCAGAAGAATTTTCATGCGCTGTTGACCTGTTGCGCATGCAGGATGGTCCTGGAGGATGGTCGCGCAAGCAGGAAGCGCAATCGCGGCCGCTCAGCCCACCCACCGACGGAATTTGAGGATGACTTCCTGAATGGAGTTGCACTGATGACCGAGCCAGAACCCACCTGCGATGAAGGTGACGATGAGGAGTACCTGCAGGGAGAACGCCACAGCTACCAGGCATGATTCAACCTCCTGTTGAGCCACCCGTCTTCACCTTTGAGCGCAGCTTGCCTTCCTGGAGCACATGGTGCTCCTGTGACAGAGTTGCATGCAGCCTGACCTCCTGGTGATTGGTGCAGACCCGAGGCAGGCAGCAGAAGCGCATGGCTCCCCTGAGCAAGAAGAGGGCGCAGCACAGCAAGGCTCAGGCTCGTGCAGCACTGGCGGCCAGTGTGGGCAAGAAGGGGCGCTTCTCCACCATGTCTGCTCACTCCCTGGGCAGCGATGACGAGCATGGAAATACCCACCACAAGGCATGTAGCCTCCTATTGACAGAGATCCCCCATGCAGTGTGTGCTTGCAGACCCTAAGCTGGACTTTGAAGGACTCTTACTCACTTCTTGCAGTGCAATGTGCAGACATGATGATGATTGACACATTGTGGGTGTGATGCAGGCGTCCTATGAGGCCAGCACACTGGGCAAGCGTGGTGGCTACTACAACTCTGCTGCGCTGGACATCTTTGGCAATGCTGCGATGGATCCATACTCGTTCCATGCGTGAGCAGCTCATGCAGGGCAACAGAATTGCAGCTACATCCAGAGCAGTAAAGCTTGAAGCATGCTCCCTGTAATCCATTAGGACAGGTGCAGCCAGACTGATGTAACATACCCCCATCACGTGTGCACAGCATGTGTGAAGTTGTGTAGCTTGCATCTATTATGAGACAATCAGCCAACGGGTTATGGGTCAGCAAGTACAGTGCTATTATAGTGCTGTTCCAGAGAAAGGAGAGAAAGTGTCACACGGTGTTAGGGATCTTTGTTTTGCATCCATGTGACTATATATGCTCAGTGCACACGTGTTATTCGCCTCGTGAGTCCAGCGCATTATTGCAATTTATCAAGAAGGCAGGCTTTCAACTTTCGCGGACATTCAGTGATCACAACATGAATCAATATCTAGGTTTTGAGGTGAGCAATGTTTGGTCCTGTGTATACTTGCATGTGTCCAATGCTATGAATATCGTACACCTGCTCACATGTAAAGCAAAGTGTTCACAGATGTCTACAATGAAGAATATTTGATGTTGCAACTGCCACAAGAGTGATACTGTTACACAAACTTGTGATAAGGCACTCTGCAGATAGTCGCAGTGACTTTCTGAGGGTGAAGAATTTGCTAGGGCAGGCTCACCGGACAAACAATCTATGCCATCACGGGACCATAAAACTCCACAGCATGACAGGTAGACAGAGAGCCTCCCGGACTTTGACAATCAGAGAACATGCCACACCCAAAAATGGACGTTCGTTCAACAGCAAGAGGAGCTTCAGCACCTCCTCCGGATCACTGGGCTATGGAAATGCATTTTGGGCCAATGACTAAGCTTGCTGCACTCTGCATCGCAGCCTCAGGTCCAAGCCTCTGAGACATTCATCAATGTACACGTTGGGCCCAAAACTAGCAGGTCTATTTGCACAGCAATGAGGAGGCAAAATGAGCATTGCCCATCACTCTCCATTGGGCTGATTCTCTTGGTGCTCAAATGCCTGAGCATTCTGGGGGAGCCCCTGCTGCTGCTGCTGGTACTGGAGATGCTGCTGTTGCTGCTGCTGCTGCATGTGCTGCTGCTGTTGCTGTGCTGCGGCCACCTGCTGCTGTTGCTGCAAGCCAGGCAAGGAAGGTGGGTCAATGGCAAGGTGCATTGAGGACCACCGTGCTTTTGCAAGTACCTCTACAGTACTTCAGAGTCCGTTGCATGCCTGATCACCTGTGACATCAAGCTTTGACCCGTGACTATCAATTAGCAAGATACTTGCAAAGTATTTGGGGGAACTGACCATGTAGTAAGCCTGCATCATGGCGGGGTCCATCTGCATGCCAGGCGGGCGCTGGGGAAGGCCCATGTGCTGGTCGCCTGGGCCGGACTGCATGGGCTGCTGCTGCTGCTGCTGCTGCTGCTGCTGCTGCTGCTGCTGCGGCTGCCCCTGCTGCCAGTACCCCATGCCCGACACCGGCATGCTTGGCATCGGCTGCGGCCGCGGGCCCTCATCACACCGCTCCTCCCTGGGTACTATATCCACCTGTGGCACCATCCAACCAGCTCACATTCTCTGCCGGCATGGCCAAGCTGCATGGCCATAAACACATCAATACACCTGCCAGGCATGTATTCTCTGCTTTGGCTACTGTTACGGTACCCTGAGCTGCACAGGGCACAGTGATGAGCGAGTACCAACATTGTTATATACACTTGAGTTGTTGTTGGTTGAGCTGCGCACCAAGAAGTCAAAGATGTCAGTCCTTGTGATTGCCGCGGCAATGTCATTCCGCTGCAGCGTCCTGCGCTTGTTCTCCTCTGAATGGTTCCAGGATCTCAATGTCAACTCAAGGATGAACATCTCGCATGCCTGCACCCAGACAGCATTATCTTCATTCGAGTAACTTGCACCCTGTACTGATGAGCAGGCCACAGAAGCAGGGAAAAGGTGCAACTGGCTTTAGAAATTATTGTCCTGTTGGCACTAAAAATAGCGTCCATAAAGCACCTTAGCGAAGAGAACCGGCGCCTCTGCACTGATCATGCGTACATCCTCATCGGACTTCATGATCTGCAAGAAGAGGCACACAATAAGTCCATTTTGAGGGTGCATATGAATCAAAGCTGAACCAGCTCCATCTCCTCCAAACACAACACCGACGGGCTCTCAAGGCTGAAAATTGTGTATGACACCCACCTTCTTTATTCGCGCTAGGGGAAGCTGGTGATTCTTGAACTCTGCCGGGTCCGTCCCAACCTGCTGAATCTCCTGATTCTGTTGCAACCAAAACATGCGCAGCTGCTCATTCTGCTGCTGCTGGGGCATGGGCATGTATGTAGCGGGCTGGTACATGCCAGTGGGCACTCCAGATGGCATGCCAGACGGTACAGGTGGGAAATTCATGCCCTGGTGCATGGGAAGGACGCCCTGCGCAACAGCAGATCCCATCAGAACAACTCAGCTCTCCTCTCACCATTGCCTGCAAGAGCGTATCTCGAGGCTCCTGGGCCCGAAATGTCAAAGATTGTTTACAGAATTGGGAGTCAGGTGCATAACATTATATTCGTATGCGAGATATAATAATCCAATGAGACAGACTGTAGCACGAAGGTGTACTGTACATCTACACGCACAGGCAGTACCATTGCAGCCATGTCGTCAAGAGCAGCTGAATTGCACTAGAAATCTGATTGATGCAAAGTGGAAGGCAATAGGACAGCAGATGGCGCCAAGAAAGAAGTACTAAGAGCTTTTCTGAAAGCTAAGGAAAGTTATCTAGCAGGGCTGAGAATAGTCTTTGTTTGCACCGGCCAGGACAAGATTAACCTCTAATAAATTATGAGGACCTCTGCAAAAGGTACGAACGGATAAACCCCAGCAATAACTCCTCCTAGGCCCCACATCCTTGCCAGAGCCAGCACTCTCACCTGTAGAGGTTGCTGGGCGAGGGGTCCGCTGTTACCGCCTTGCTGGTGTTGGCCATGCTCGGCTCCAAGGCCACTTCCCATGCCATTGGGATCAGTCATGATGCCTGAGATCGTGCAGTAAAGAAGGACACTTTGACACGTTGAGGTTTGTGGATCACTGTCTTCACCGCAAATCCCCCTACGGAATCATGATCACGTGCTGAAACACTTTACGGATTTCTCATTTCCAAATTCTTCTTCTGATCGGTCAACTCAACAATAATTATGGAGACGAACAGGAAGCGGTGGTTTAGAGTAAGCTAGACTGCGTGCATTATTTTGTCTTCATGTGTCACGTGCAAAGGCTGCTAAGAATAAAGAGGTCGAGTAATCCTGATTGCCCATCGCACTAACATACCGAGCAATTTCCTCACTGCAGTAATAAGAATGGGAGCACATGGAACGTTGGATGAGGCTTTGAAAGGAGTAAGCGCGTTCAACGCACCTTCCTCTGAGGACGAAGAATTGCTTGACAGGCGTCGTGAAGCTAGATCAAAACGTTCTTCTGGCACAAAAAAGCACAGTAAATCAAGCACTAAGGAGAAGCTTCACAAGAGCAAACAAAAGAAGGAGAAGGACCACAAGAAGAAAGCAAAGAAGTCAAAGCACAGAAAGCAGAAGAGAGAGAAGGAGGACAAATCCTCTGAGGAGGACTCTGACGAGGATGAGAGTGACGGGGAAGACATGGAGCAGCAACTGGAGCGTGGCCGCGCAGCAGTCCGCATCACGCGGGACATCCTCCAGCAGCAACCTGACCTCAAGCAGGAACTCCGGCAGGTGCAGGGCCGGACAGTCATAGAAGAACTAGTCATGGGTGCAAGACAATATGCTACCCGCTCTTGAATGACAACCAGGCGCTTGACTGTGTGTTTGGGTTGTCGGCAGCTGCTGTGGCGGATTGATCAGGGCGAGGCAGTCCAGATTGCTGGCATCCCTGATCCACAACTGCACCTGCAGCTCGATGCCTTATTTGTGAACATCAATCTGGCGAAGACCTCGAAGGTAGGCTCCGTTCATCCTGTGTGCAGTGTGATCATTCCTGCAAGTGTGGGCGTCATGGTGTTGAAGATCACTCTTTCACTTCCCAGGGCATTTATGCAAAGCGCCCTGGCAGCACAGCATGCCTGACGCTCCTGGGCCCAGTCATTGCAGAGGCACATGCAGAGAGACCCAATGGGGTAGCCTCACAGCAGCAAGCAGCGCAGCCGATCAGTACACCCTCAGCCGAGGGAGTCCCTGTCAGCAACGGCCATTCACACCATGAAATTGACGGTATGTATATTTATGCCTCATCCACCTCAAAATGAGGCAATCGTATCTGGCAAGTGTAGTGGCATATAGTATGTTGGCCTGTCACTCAGCAATTGTAGCCAGCCTGAGAGTGCAACTTTCTACCTGCAGAGGGTCAAAATGCGTAGAAGTGTCGACTCGCCTTTGTGAAGAGCTTGCAAAGTTGTGACCAGCAGGCTTGGGCGCAGGGGATGCAGCTGTGCCTCCACCTCAGCAGGAAGGCTTGGAGACGCAGGAAGCAGGGCAGGGTGGTGTAGCCAGTGTGCCCAACATTGGGCCACAGGCTCTGCCACCCGAGAGGGAGCCCATAAGCGAAGTGCCTGAGGAGATGGTGACAGAGACCAGTGGGGCAGAGCAGCGACAAAGCGAAGGTGAAGACGAGCGGCCGGAGAGCCCACCAGAGGCACGGGACGGCAGTGGGGGTGCAAGTGCGCCTGTGCAGGAGGCAGCAGAGGGGGGACGCCGTGTTGTGGGCCCTGCCATGCCGCCTCCTGAGCTTTTAGCAGCAGCTGCAGAAGCAAAGCAAGCGGTATAGTCCCCACCTGATATTGTCTGTCTTTGCTGCAATTTTGACATGTGCGGACCAAAGGACATGCAGCAATAATATTTGACAGAGCCAGCTCAGCACGCATGCTGAGGTATGTAATGCCTGCAGATGGATGATGAAATGGAGGAGGAAGATGATGATCTCATTGGGCCGGCCCCGCCAGAGCTGGTCACTGAACTGGAGAATGCAGGCAGCGACGACAGGTCAAAGGAGGTCATCCGAATCCTCAGGTGCTGCCTTTGGACACCCTGCAGTTAGAAGTGAAAGCTGCAAGTGCAGTGCAGCTTCAATTGTCCTCACACCAATTTAATTGCCAGCCTATTTGACAAGGAAGAGCTGCATGCAGGGTGCTTGACGATGCACATGTCCAGGCAGATGCCTATGGCATCATGGGTGTGGAACATGATGCCAAGGCTGCTGCAGTCAAAAAACGCTACTGGAGGCTCAGTCTGCTCATCCATCCAGACAAATGTGACCACCCCCGCGCCAATGACGCCTTCGACGCCGTCAACAAGGCTGCAAAGGATCTGCAGGTGCGCCTCGCTTTCAGAACAGGTCACACCTGCCAACTCTCTCACGTAGTGTCCTTGAGCAACACTAGGTCTGGCATTCTTGCCGCCTGGCATTTTAAGACGCTCAGCAGGCATGTGGGACCATCCGCATGGTAATCTGCTGGTTTGCATGATAAGTGTCCAAAGCCCAAGATAGACCGGGTTGGAAGGCTGTCATAGAAACGCTGCTGCTGCGCACCTGATCCTCATGGATTTATAAACGTGTAATGATACGCCTGCCATTGGTGGGGAAATTGCAAAGCAGGGAAAGGCTGGAGGGGAATGAATAAGAGTTTGCTGCAGTGCACCTAACCCTGAGGGCTGGAATAAGCGTGTCATATTAGTAATAATGGTGATACATCTGATAGAGTAGTTGTCCAAAAGTTTCTTTCTGTACCACAGGACGCCGGGAAGCGGAGTGCGATCGATGCGGATCGGGAGGATGCGCGGTTGAGGCGGCTGGCGGAGGAGATGGCGGCGCAGCAGGAGAGGGAACGCCAGTGGCGTGTGGCGCGCGGCACGGCCACCGCCGAGGATCTACGCGGGCCCATCCGCAGCGGCCCAGCCGAGCGCGACACCTGGATGACTGAGCTGCCCGAGGCCCGCCGGCCGAATGCGCAGCCCTCCCAGGTCAACGTGGTGGGTGCTTCCTGCTTCCTCCCTGTCACCGGCTTCATTCTGCATCAAGTGCAAGCTACCTTTGTGACTAATGAAGGGTCCCCACTGATATTGGTAATCTTAGCAAATCACGGACTCGTGCATGACAATGAGTGCATCTTTCTATATCTTCGGCTATGGTTTTAGCTGACGCCTGACTGTGGGGCTTTGGCATTATGCAGACGACGTTCTCCCAGCGGGGCATCCAGGAGAGGGGAGACACTCAGGGTTGGACTGAGACGCCGCAACAGAAGCTGCTGCGGCTGTCTGCAGGCGAGGCAGCCAGCACGAAGGCCCTTGAGAGCGCGCCTGCTCCATCTGTGGCAGAAGGGGTGGTGGACGCGTACAACCAAGCCCACAGGGCCAAGACTCTCGTGGAGCAGCACAAGGATCGCCTCAAGGTCAGCCCCAAATTGCACTACTGAAATTGGCATGCATCTTGAGCGGGTGTGCAGTTTTCTCGGAAGTCCTGGATAATTTACGCATGCAGAAGGCGACAGCACTTTCGCCGCATGCTGTAAGCAACTTCTCAAATGTTGTGCAGGAAGAGAAGAGGAAAAAGAAGAAGCAGAAATTAGAGGAGAAAAGCAAAGCGAAAGCAGAGCCCAGCGAGGACTGGGATCCTAGCTCGCACCCATGGCGGCCCTTTGACCGTGAGAAGGATTTGAACATGGGCCCAAAGAGTCTCAGCAAGGAGGAGATGCTGAAGAAGGCAGGGACCCTGGACAGCCGGTTTGCCGGAACTCCATCTGGCCAGCGGAGTTTTCTCTGAGAAGTGCGCCATGCCTGTCATTGTACAACACATGGGTTTCATTAACTTTGGATTGGCCTGCCAGGATTAGCCCTCAGTGATGCTGATGGGCCCCCGGGGCATCATGATGATCATGTCTTCTAATACATGAATAGAAAAATTTGTGATTTATATATAATCACGGCACAATCATTGGACTGTACAGGACATACCAATCATGTTGATATTGCCGATTGACATTGGACCATGACAGCGCACCTTGCACCGTGCACTGTACCATGCGGCATGCGTGGCACGCCACCGTGGCGTAAACGTGCCGGTGACCGGCCATTATGGTGATGGTCGCCGCTGCATGCATGCATCATAATGATCAAGGACATAAAAGGCGGCATGTCGAGGGCGCAAGGCCATATGGCATCAAGGAATTTTAGGTAGCTAGATGCATGTTGTATGGAGGCTTTCTAACACTTGCTGTCCATCATTATGCTGCAGCAATTCAGTCCTGAACAGGCAACCATCAGTTTTCAAACACATTGTTTCAGGCTGGATTCTTACATCCCATGTAAAACATTCTTGAGTAGGAATTAAGACTTTAGAGTGGTGGCGATCTCGATCTTGTGATATCATCGCAATACTAAGAAGCAAGTGGGAAAGGCTCGCAAGAAAGTACTTCGATCATTTGCAAGGAAGCGGCAGCATCATGGCTAGTAAACGGCAAAAGGTGCAGTGGAAAACGCCCCTATGATACGAGATATAGATGGAATAATTGAAGGGCAGATCGGGATTGATCTACTGTTTGCTGTAATTCAATCTTATCAAAGAGAGTTCTCATCCTGTGTTCTTTCTTCGCAGGTGGACTCGGCAGGCAAAAAGACACCAAGGAATAGAGACATCGGGGCAATGTTCAAAAGCGCATCGAGTCAGACGCCAAAGAGCAAGGTGGTGCTGGAAGAAAGGTCATCAGACAGGGAGCCAATCTCAATAAATGCAGCTACTGACTGCGATCTCCTTTACAGAAGCCATGCAGAAAAGGTAACTGGCTCTTTGCTATATCCTTCAAGCCTTCTGTGTCTGTTAGCAATGGCACTTCACTACTAAAAGACTTGGGAAAATGCTATACAAGGTGGTCAACAAACGGAGAGAGGCACGGATAGAGTACCAGACATCAGTTGCTGTACCAAGAAGAACCTCAAGGCGACGGAGCCCTGCAGAAGAGGATGTGCCTGGTGTAAACCTGGACAGTGCCCCTCTTGACATGTCAAAGGGCGATGCAGACGGTGCGCTTTCTGTGCACTGTTTGAGGGCTTGCAGACATTAAATCTATCACATATCGCTCATCATGGCTGATGCGTGCATGCTGGGAGCAGGCTTGGCGTATCTTGACAGACTCCAGATGCTGATCACGCCAGACAGGATGCCCAGGATGTAAGGGCCACATCTCCCCTTGTTTTCAATGTTGGGTTTAGCATAGCCGTGAGAATGCTGTGGGGACTCAGAGACAGGTCAGGTATTGAAGACTGTATCCTATGGTGGCCAGGGTTGACTATCACAGATTGATCAGTATTGTCCGATCACACGGCCTTCATGGCACTCCAGAGCTGGCACTCCGTGCCCTCAGGTGATTAATTTACCTTGACATCCCGCTTCAAATTTGCTGGTCTCCTAGATCTCTGATCCAATCCAATCCGGAAATACAACTAAGGTATATTGTTGCTGCTCCTGCTGCAGTCTCTTACAGAAGATCAGCTCCCTGCACCCAATTGTGGATGTCCAGGATCGACCTTGCGGGCCTGTGGTTGTCACAAACAATCTGGCATGGGCACCAATTGGCATGTGCGACCCATGACTTAGAGTTCAAATATTCTTGGCATTTGCATTTGCTGTAGATTCCTCCGACAAAAAATGTTCTGTCTTCACTAAGTTGAATGTCTGCAGAGTGGACTCAGAATCCAGAATGAGCCCGTCCAAGGTGACAGAGGATGCTTATGACTTGGAGCGAGACGGCACGTATCTGGCCGAGAGTGGACTCCTGCCACACCTCCTCACAGCAATGCACCAACTGATCAACAGTCCTGCGACTGCAAGCGAGCAGGGCACACCATTTGGTGAGCAAATTTGACAAAGGAAATAATCAACAGAGCAAATGTCCCCGTGATTTGGCTGGCTTATAATGTAGGATGCGATTTGTTGGATTGTACCAGTGACACTTGTTGTGCACCACATCTCCAGATCACAAGCGGGCGTATGGCGAGGTATTGCTGCTTAAGTATATCTTGGGACAGCTGATGGTCGACACGAGGGCTCGCCTGCAAGTGTTTGCCGCGCATGAACCCAGCACGTCCCGCTCCTCCCTGCTGCAGAACAGCCTGCTCTGGCGGCTCTTAAAAGCGGTAAGAAAACCTGCATCCTGACTCACAGTGAAGACACATGTGCAACTGGAATGCACTGTGCCAGGCTCTACATGCCTCTACCTTGGCATGCAACACATGCCAAAAGCTAGGAGTGGGGAGGAAAAAGATAGTGCAGCTGATTATTTAATCGTTGCGCAGGACATGAACTGCCCTCTGAAGGACATGGTCCGCATGCTGGTGGAGCTCATCGGTGAGAAGGGGCCGGCCAGTGACGATGACATGGACATGGATGGAGACACTGATGCAGCCAAGGTTGTCAAGTCAGCAGAGCACAGGGCCATGGGGCCGACAGAGTGTGCCGCAATGGCACGCCTGCTCCTCAACCTCATCCTGGAGCTCTTCGGTATGCCCCACCAAAGAGACACTCGGCATCACATGATACAACCTGTCCCCAGACATGCACTGCATGATTGTCCTGCAACCAGACCAGCAGGTGCCATGCTCTGTCTACTATGTTCAGACTTCTTGAGAGCTTATATCGGCCACCTATCATAAATGCTGCAATTGTGGCGGCAGGGACTGCAGAGGATGCGTCGCTATTCAACTCGAGGTCACCGACCCGCGTTGTGTCGACGGGGCGCTTCAGCAACTACCGCGCTGAGCTGGACGGCCTGCTGCTGCCGCTGCTGACTGGGTCCACCACCGTGCTGCCCAGCCTGCCCCAGAAGGCCCAATTCCTTGCCGCCCTCCACGCGTGCGACCGCCTGCGACTCCTCGGCATGGTGTGACCGCACCGCCATCGTAACCTTCCAATCACATGACCATGGCATCAATGATGGCAGGCTGGTTCACTGTTCAAAAGATCATCACACATGGCGTGGTGGCAGTGCAATGATAGTGTCCTTACCTGATGCATGTTTCCAGGCTGCAGACCTCCGACATTAGGAGGACACTCCTGCGGCTTCTGTCCAATGCATGCTCTTTGTTACTTTGTGCTTTTTCTGCAAAGAGAGCCAAGCCCTGCCAAGAGAGGTAAGGTGTACTTGCGGACAAGCTGCAGGTGAAGGCTGCCACACGTCTTATGAATATTGAATTGAATCTATACTGCCGGACTCGGCGCAGGTGGTGGCAAAGAAGCGGGTGAAGCGCAATGGGGACGACTACGTGTTGCTGGACGGGGCGCTGTGGCAGGCAGAGCACGCGTCGTGCGAGGCGGAGCAATTCATCGACTTTGGCGCGGCGGACGCGCTGCAGTATCTGGCGGACGAGATGGCCAAGTCGGAGGACCTGGCGCAGAAGGTGCTGTGCTTGCGCGATGGCGCTCCCTCCTCCGACGGCCTCGCCCTCCTCGTCTCCAGCCTCCTCGGCGCCGGCGCTGCTCTGCTGCCCTCAGGTTTGGCTGGCCAATGCTGGTTTGCTGGGAGGGAAATGAGTAACTTCACTGGCAGCATCATTATTTGATAGAATGGCACATGAAGCCGAAGAATTTGATGAGATGCATGAGCTGGGGACTTGTGACGCCATGCACACAAAAAGCCTGCTCGTGTGACCATGGGACATGCATGCTGGAACTGCAGGGCCAGAGAGGGAGCAGGACCTTGCTCGACTGGGTGCGGTGGCCGACGATTTGACCGGCCGCCTCTTGGAGCGCCACAAGAAGGGGGCAAGTGGAACGCTGGCGCAGGAGTCCCTTGCGGCGCTGGCTGCTGCAAACGCCAGCCTCACAGCGCTCCAGTCAGCATCTTGAATTGCTTGGTTATTTTGTGTAGAATTTGTGTACTAGAACGAGATGTTGGCAGCGTAGCCTTGAAAATGAGCTCCCCGGACAAGATAGCCAGCCCCATATGCTAGGTTGACGTACTGGGCCTGTAATAATGTGCTACTCTGTATGCCTGCACTTCTGATTGGCCTTCAGCACGTGGGCTAGGGATGGCATACAGCCACTGTACACATGTGGCAGACTGCACTTCCTTGATGGTGCACTAAGTGTAATCTTTGCTTTGTTCCCCTCAGTGGACTGCATGCGTAGCATATTCATTTTTGCACATGCTCCTGCTCTTGGCCAATCTAATTAAAGGGATGAAACCTTGTAGATTCATGCTGAGTTTGAGGACTCGTTCGACAGCTATGAGCGGCGCACTCTTCAAGGCAGATCCGCATTCGTCAGACAAAGGTGAGCTAGGTCACCACTCGCCTCACCCTGCACGCCTTATCCTGCGCATACGTATGAGGAGCCTGCAAAAGCACGTGACGCGAAGTCTAGAAATATCAGAGCGGCGCCCACTGCGCCTAACCTGCCATCAAACTCGCAGGGATCAACAGAAGCTGCCTGCGAGCGTCGCTTGCTTGAAAGCACCGTGACGACAGAGCAGGGGCCGGCTCGCAGGGAGGGGATTACGTCTCTGCAGCTGCTCCCCAGGCCTTCATATAACCTGTGGGATGGACGGCTGTGACGACAGTTCAGAGCAGATTGATCCCACAGGCAATCACAGGTCCGAGTTCTGCTGCCTGACCGCTTCTTGAGCCACACATCCGCATCCTGCAGTGAGCATGTACTAGCACCAAGGCTTGTTCTTCGGTCGCTATTGCAGGGATAACGAAGGGCAGTATTGACCTCTTTGGCCATATGAGTCGAACGCATGCAATTCTAGTGTCGGCACCAGCTAGAATGTTTTAGACTCTGACAACCCTGGTGCAGGCCGCCCTCGAGGGTCCAGTGCATCGCATCAAGACATCTCTGTTGATAGACATATTCCAAGAGCATGGCCCAAGTGGCGCAGCTGCCATCCTTCGGCAGCGGCGCTCTGCGGCAGAGCAGCTTCGAAAGGCCCCGCTCGCTGTCACAGGAAGAGGAGGAAACCGTCGACGTCTCGGTCAGGTGAGTGGGCAACATTTCCAAGCCTTGCAATGCCACGCAGTTTCCTGAGATGATGAACCCCAAACAAGTATACCCTCAAGCTGCCAGATTAAGCCTAACTGTGCTGTGCTGCCCTCTCAGACCCACAATCGGCGGTGATGAGGACGCCGACAGGGAAGTGCGGATCCCTTGCCCCGACGCCATCGGGCTGGGCTGCGATATCGCCCGCCTGCTCCTCGACTTTGGCCTGCGCATCATTTGACGTGCATGGACGGTGCGCAGATAGAGTTCTTCAGCCTCTGGTCTGTTTAGCCTGGGCTGTTTCCAGCTTGCTTGTTTCAATCAGAACCTGTCACTGACCCACGACCCAAGAACAGGGTATCCAAAGACACCAGGCATAAATCTCACGCCCTGCGCATGTGTAAAATTATTTGGCTCAGGGATTTTGCCCCTGCATAGCTTGCAGTGACCAAGCTGCACCTGATATGTACTCCTTGGAGCTTGCTTGCGAGTTGGTGTGGAGAATATTCCTTTCCTTCCTTCCTGGCTTTTCTTTGAGCAATACATCAAAAAGTGAGGGGATTAGATCACATCCCTTCCATTTTCAGGGGCTGTCCAGCTGGAGGCCGTACATCATGTATTCTTGGGGGCCAGGCAGCTGGATTTGCCGCCGGGAATGAGATATGTAAGGCAGCTCAGTGAAAATGGAGAAGATTTGTGTTTGCGCATCCCTGCAATTTTCTGGTGGCAGTATTTGGAAGTGACATCAACATGCCTTACCTTGAAATCTCAAGGTTTCAATGTAAGTGAACTAGATTTTTCAGTGGCATAATCTAAATGGGATCTGTTGATCTAATATTTGGAATATATAAATCATAATAAGCATATCATCCCTAGGGTGCTTTACAACTGCAGCCTTTGTGTCCATCTGTTCAGCACTGGTAATGCACTGTACTAGTCCTGCCATAATTCATCCTCGATCATGCTAGGGCAAGCCTGCCAAGGCCTTACTCATAATACCCGTATATATGTATATGATGCATCGAACCATGAACAGCCGTTTCCAGCGATGCGTCCACGAAAGATTGCTCTTGACCAAAATATTGTCATCACCTCAGGATCACTTCTTCTTGATACAGCAGGAACGTGCCGAGGAACCAACCACCTGAATCCAGGACACTGCTTGGGCAGCAGGCCTCAAACACACACAGCAGGCCCCCGCATGCTCCCACTGCACCCCAATGTCGCAATGTATCTTCTCAACAGTACTAAATACAGCAGCCGCAGCGGCAGCTGCGCGCAGGCTCGCCTCGAAGCGGTGCAAACACGGCCGGAGGCGCGGGCATCGGCCCCGGTCATGTACAGGTGCGGCAGTGTGCTGTTGCGCGGACTTCATCAGGCGGACCACTTCCACTTGGACAGGGAGTCCAGCAGGGACTTGGGCGGCGGCGCCGGGCTGCTCTGCTTGGGCGAGGAGCGCGGCGTCGTCTTGGGCGCCTGGGCGTTCTGCGTGCCCGTCACCTGCGCTCGCACGCACTCGTACACCGCCCTGCACCCACGACACACAAGCAGCTCAGACATGCTTGTTACTCATAGCGCAGCAGCATAAGTAACATTACTAGGCTGCAGGCATTTGTAGGCCCTACAAATGTGGCTGCATACGCCCTGCATGTATGCCCTTAGGCCTTGGGCTTGCCGATCTGTAACTAATAAATAAATAAATGATAATGCCACCAAATGTAATTTCATGACAAAGCCTGATACGGAACATGCTCATCAGGGAGGGCGGTCCACACCAGACACAATCTCAAGAGATAGGCAGGTGCTAGGGTATGTGCGCTTGCCTTTTCTCAGCAATGCTTTCGAGGCGGCGGCCATCGGGGCCGTGCACCAGGAATCGGTGCAGCTCGTGCGGCCGCTGGTCCCCATCGCCGCTGGGCGCCTCCAGATACACATCCGCCATGAACACGCACAGCCCTGCACCCATTCGAACACACCTCAGCAACACGTAGATCACTTGCGAGGCAGCCCCTTTCCTTGTCTCTGGCGCTCGCTCTGCCTTGATGTCTGCATTGATGTCCTCTTTCCCATATCACTACGCCAGAGGACGCAGCGCAGCAGGGCAAGAGGTGTGTCAACAAGAGGCGTCTCGGTGGAAGGTGAGGCAGCCCCTTTCCTTATCTCTGGCACACGATCTGCCTTGATGTCTGCATTCCTCACTGCCAAGATCACTGCGCCAGAGGACACAGCGCGGCAGCGAGGCAGGAGCACTCTCAAATTACGGGTAATTGAAAGGGAGGTGGAGGCACGCACCCATGGCGTTCAGCGCGGCGGTGACGTCGTAGGTGACTCGCGGGCGGCCGCGGCCGCCGGAGTCGAGCGCAGCCGTCACGCGCAGCTCGGTGCAGGTCTCGTCGTAGACGTCCTTGATGTCGATGCGCACCGGCAGCAGCACCGCCGCACGCACGCGCTCTATCAGCTCCGACTCTATCTCGCTGCACCACAGAAAATCATTCCCTTACTGTCTGCTGAGCGATCAACAGCTGCACAGAAGGACCTTCATCACAATCTCGCTGCAGCCCCAGAGGTAGCTGCTCACTCTACTCAATGCGCAATGAACATATGCACTCAAGCGGACAATGGGCAGCAGCTGCACCGAGTGCAGCATTAGGACACCAAAGGAGAGCCGCAGAACACAGGGTCGCGGACCTGTGTTTGATCCGCTGGTTCTGCACGAAGGCAGAGTACAGGTTGTCCCCGTGATGGCTGCCAAAGGGCTGCACATCCAGGTACGGCAGCGCGTCGGCATGGGGGGTGCTGGCAGCGCGCTTCATCCGACTGCGCACAGCAATCTCTCCATTTTCCCCCGAGCCTGCCTCTGGCCTTTGAATCAAGGGTAGGGATGCTGCACCCGATCTACAGCAGCACAGCAGAATGCAGGGCAGGGCAGTACAATGCCGCTTTAATTCTTCAAGGGCACAAGCAGTGCACCGTGCCACAGCAGTAACGGAACACGGTTATGCAAGGCTGTGCTAGGGCGTACCTCTCCTTGACGCGCTGGCCGTCGGCCTCCTCCACGAAGAGGTCGGTCTCGGCGAGTTCGCCGCGCACCACAATCTTGGCGTAGGCGACGCGCACGTGGATGTCCTTGAGCGTGCGCATGAGGTCGTAGACGAGCCCCTTGCGGTCGCGGCACACCACGTTGACCACGCTGTAGTTGGACGCCGTGCAATTGTCTATCGTCACCTGCGCAGCCGCCGCCCTACTACTGAAAATTGCAACACCATTACTTTTAAAGGTCCCTTCACTGTCTTGGCATGAACAAGCAGCAGAAAGCCCATTCACTTCTTTTCCCTGTTGGAGTATTTGCCAATACATCTGAATGCTGGCATCCAGATGAGCCCTATATCTGCAGCATGTCACCGAGACAGGGATGCAGATGCAAGCCTGGCTCGATACTGGGGACACCAACAATCAGGGTTACCGCATGCAATCATCTCTCAAGCAATCGGATGCCAGCATTATATTGAACCTCGCATTTTTCGCATCATCGCATGCGGTGACCCTGCCAGCAACATCCAAGTGTGTGTTGGTAGGATATGCGCAGCTGCCCACACCTGCACGTTCTCGGGGCAGCCATACTCGTCGGCCTCGGAGGACACATCGAGGCTGCCGGAGCTGGAGCCCTTGCGCTTGCTGGACAGGATCTTGCGCAGGGGCGAGGCCGAGGTGGCGTCCTTGCAGGCGCAGCGCTGCAGGATGGTGGCCGTGGAGTCCAGGTCGCAGGTCTCGGGGGGCGCCGGCATAATGGTGCAGTTGGCATCCCTCTGCTGCAGGCACTCCCTCACCAGCTCCGTTATCTGCAGCACCCTGCACACGCCAGGCACCCACATCTATGAAGTTGACTTCCCAGAAGCGGCGGCTTTACGGCCAGACCAAGCAAGTGAGAGCTTTTGTGCATGGCATCTCGCAGGCCCTGGAAATGCATCAGGACGACAGAGAGAGACCTCAGTTGCCAGAGTGCCGGAACAGTAGCTTCCCCTGGTGCCCCAGATTGGGGCGTCGGACTGCCCCGCATGCCCCCTCGGAGGCCGCAATTCTGCGACACAAAAACAATGTGCGGCGCCCATTTGCCAGTTTGCCCCTGAACAAGAGGGAGGCAGAGGAGCACACCTGTGGTTCTCTGGGAGCTCGCAGCGGTTGTCATAGATCCAGAACATGTCCAGGACCTTGCCGCCGGGCCCCGTGGTGATGTGCGCCTTGAAGACCACCACGTCCGCCTCCCACAGCGTGTGCATCAAATCTGCAGCCGCACCAGCACTTCCATGAAAACCCACGTGCTCAATCAGTACCTTGGAGCTGTGTTCTTTCAGGTTACATGATGAGTGTATCGGAGAGAATAGCAACCAGGTGGGAGCGCGCACCGTGGAGGAAGCCGCGGCGGTCGTAGGAGGTGACCTGGAGCAGGAAGGGGTTCTCGTAGTCCTGGCGGCGGGTGTTGCGCCAGAGGCTGTAGTCGCCGTGGGAGTTGGGGCAGATGGCCTCCAGCCGGCGCTTCAGCAGCGGCCAGTGCGCCGGCACGCCCGCGCCCAGCTTCACCTTGAATATCATGAAGCACCACCGGCCGTCCGTCGACACGTCGCCTGTGCCAGACATCTCCCCTGTCAGTATCAGGGTCACGATTGTACCCCAACTAGGACACTTGACAGCGAGCTCAGAAACACGCGGACAGAAACCCTGCCACCCTCCAAGGCAAGAAGCTGCAGGCATGCACGCTAGTGCATGCACTAGAGCGCGGAACACTTTGCAGAAAACACTGAGAGCTTGGCTGCGCACCGTCCATGATGCGCAGGCCAAAGTCGAGGAGCAGGCGGGCGATGTCGCAGCCCAGCCCGGTGGCGTCGGGGCAAGAGACCCGCACTTCCCTGTCGGCGTCCTCATCACCGCCGATTGTGGGTCTGAGAGGGCAGCACAGTTAGGCTTAATATGGCAGCTTGAGGGTGCACTTGTTTGGGGTTCATCATCTCAGGAAACTGCATGACATTGCAAGGCTTGGAAATGTCCGCCCACTCACCTGACAGAGACGGTTTCCTCCTCTTCCTGTGACAGCGAGCGGGGCCTGTCGAAGCTGCTCTGCCGCAGAGCGCCGCTGCCGAAGGATGGCAGCTGCGCCACTTGGGCCATGCTCTTGGAATATGTCTATCAACAGAGATGTCTTGATGCGATGCACTGGACCCTCGAGGGCGGCCTGCACCAGGGTTGTCAGATTCTTAAACAGTCTGGCTGTTGCCGACACTAGAATTGCATGCGTTCGACTCATATGGCCAAAGAGGTCAATACTGCCCTTCATTATCCCTGCAAGTGCGAGCGAAGAACAAGCCTTGGTGCTAGTACATGCTCACTGCAGGATGTGGATGTGTGGCTCAAGAAGCGGTCAGGCAGCAGAACTCGGACCTGTGATTGCCTGTGGGAACAATCTGCTCTGAAATGTCGTCACAGCCGTCCATCCCACGGGTTTTATGAAGGCCTGGGGAGCAGCTGCAGAGACGTAATCCCCTCCCTGCGAGCCGGCCCCTGCTCTGTCGTGACGGTGTTTTCAAGCAAGCGACGCTCGCAGGCAGCTTCTGTTGATCCCTGCGAGTTTGATAGCAGGTTAGGCGCAGTGGGCGCCGCTCTGATTTTTCTAGACTTCGCGTCACGTGCTTTTCTGCAGGCTCCTCATACGTATACGCAGGATAAGGCGTGCAGGGTGAGACGAGTGGGGGCTCACCTTTGTGTGACGAATGCGGATCTGCTCTGCTAACAGCGATGCTCGCAATTCTCGAATAGAGAGATCACGTTTGAATCTACAAGGTTTTCGCATGATGGGCCTTGTGTAAGTGTGCGCAACATCATAACTGTAGTTAATAGGGAAACGTCCAACAAGTACTCGCTGTAGTCTAGGTGGTTAGGATACAAGACTCTCACTCTTGGGACCGGGGTTCGAGTCCCCGCAGCGAGGCATTCTCTTTTTTCTCTTTTCTTTTTTGCTTGAGGATGTTCTGGGAGGTTCTGGGAGGTCACCACACTAGTGGGTGAGCCCCAATAACACTGCACTTCATGTGTATGAGTGTGAGTAAGGAGAGGGCGTGGCGCACAGTCTTCGTACAAGCCAACATGGCCACTGGCACCGTGCAAGTGACTTTAATTAATTGGGGGGGGGCTGCGCCCCCCCAAACCCCCCCGCTGTGCGCTCACAGCCTGCTGGTAGGGAAAGTCTGCGCATGCGGCAGCGGTGGCACAGTGCCACTGGCACTACAAAATAGTCAGGGAGGCGCACATGCATGGATGCTCCTAATGATGCGTGTAGAGGAATGCAGTGTGATGAGACATTGACGTGAGTGTCCATGTTGCTCACTTGGGGGGGCTGCGCCCCCCCAAACCCCCCGCTGTGCCCTCACAGCCTGCCGGCCGGGAAACTCTGCCGCATCGGGGGCACTGTATTACAGTAGCCAGTAGCTCGTCACTGGCAGGCGCCTGGCCTGGGGAAGGCGCGCACCTGCCATGCCCAGTGGGACACCTTTTTGTGTACATGAGATGATGACCTGTATGGAGGAATATTGATGTCAAATTTGCCTCCCTGGGGGGGCTGCGCCCCCCCCAACCCCCCGGCTGTGCGCGCACAGCTTGCCTGCAAGGAAAGCTCTGGGCCAAACTGTAGCTTGTCACTGGCAGGTATAGGCTCGCGCATAGGGGCCCGCAATGACGTATACCAGAAATTGCAATGTAATGTCATCTTGAAAGTGCCTTCTTGGGGAGGCTGCGCCCCCCCAAACCCCCCGCTGCCACAGGCGGCTTGCGCCGGTGCAGCGTGCGGGAATTTGAAATGCAGAGATGGCTGTGATGTGTTTAGAATCTGGTGCATGAAACAGCCGGAATTTTATGCTGGGTGTGCTCTAGGAATGCTCATCAACTGGACGGGTCAAGACCATCAAGGTGTTTCGTATTGCACCGAGGCTAGAGTATGCAGACAAGATGGAGCGTCCAAGGCAAGAATAGTCGACCCGTCTGTGACCCCAAAGTTCGTTCCCATCACACATGAATGCATTCTGATCCACACTGCCACACCACTTGGCAGTACCAGCTTCACTTAGCGCTATTTTTTTTGGCTTTTATTTCCTGGTTCTCCAGGTAGGAGCGCTGTTTGGCATGAACCCACACCACAGTGGTCATTGTGAAGTGGGTGAGCCCGCGAATGCCTCTACAAGACGCTGCATCCACCGCCTGTCCGGCAGCATCACTGGAGCGGGGAAGGGAATCCTGCCGGCGTATTTCGTCATGAAAGCTACTGCGTCCGCCATTGAATGCAGCTGCACAAGCAGGCAGCTGGTGCCAAAGAACAGGCCAAACACCTCCGCCAGCGCCTGCAGCTTGCCTGTGCAAAGGAAGACACCTTTTCTTTAGAGCAATTCTTGATTTGGGGCATACGCACGCTCTGATGCACCTCCTTCGTTGGAATTTGAAGAAGAAAAAATGCAGACACCAAGGCAGAGAGAGCACCAGAGAGATACGCGGAAGGGCTGCCCCGCAATGCATGCAACCCCAGCTAGTGCACATCTAGACATCTTATATACTATCGGAGGAGCAAATGTCCCAGTGAGCTGCTGTCTATTGAAATACCCAGATTGCTGGCGCACACACCTCCTCTGGGGCAAGTCAACCCCACCTGATGCATTTCACTGAAAGAGGAATGCAGATATCACGGCAGAGCATGTCTAAACAAGGCATTCAGTTCTTGAGAAGCTCACACTCAAAGCAAGCTCGTATTCATCAAAGGCACGATCTGGGCCGGCGCACGCACCGCCCCAGGACTTGAGATTGGCGAGGCTCTGCCCAAAGGCCCAGGGCGTGTAGGTGCCCACGAGCGACAGGCAGGCGGCCGTCAGCGCCCAGCGCGGCAGCAGGTTGAAATTCCGCTGCCAGGCGGCGCAGCCCACGCAGCAGGCCCCCACCGCCCCAAAGTAGAAGTTGCCCCGCAGATCCAGCCCCTCGTCCAACATCATCCTGCCCTTTGCCGGGTCATCCGTCTGCTCCACCGCAGGGACGCACCAGATTTTTACCAAAAAGTGTTGCTTCTTATTGTTCTTACATGCTGTTGGTGCCAGAGGCAGGGTTTGTTTGCAGACAAGCTGCAGGTGGGGGCTGCCGCATTTCCTACCCCTTGATGACCTCGCCGGATCCCATTTGACTGTGAGCACGGTGTATAAAAAATCTACTGCTTCCCGCCAGCCGGGGCCAAATTTGCAATCTTGTAATCTCAAAAGCACAGTCAATTAGGTCAAACATCAGCGGTGTGCAGGCTGTTGCGCACCATTTTGAGCGCCTTGTGGGCCTTGGGCCAGCCCAGCACGCCCTCTCCCACCAGGAATGTTGTCAGCATGTCCTTGTTGTGGAACGCTGCCTCGCTCACAAAGGCCTCACAGCACGGGCAGCGCATGGCCACCTGATCTCCTGCACCATGCAGAAATGACTGTGACTGTGATGGCTGATGTGCAAAATGTCAAGTTCTTTTACAAACAACAATCTCACCAAAAATGCCAAACCTGTGAAAGGGCAGTAGAATTTGGACTTGGCAGAGTTCTGCTGCTTCCAGGGCCAGGTGTCGAAGTTGTCCTCCCAGCGCCTCACCACGTTCATGTACAGGAGCAGCAGCAGGCTGACGCCAAGCATGCTCGTCGAAAACACCGAGATGTTGACCTCTGGGATGCCGATCTCGTGAGCCCTGACGTACTTCAGGCCGAGACTCAAGCCAGAGATGGACCCGCAGATCAAGAGGCAGCACATCGAGATCACGGGTGGCAGGGTCCACAGAGTGGCCAACGGACCCACTATTGCCTGGAGAATCATTTTTCTGGTATCGCACTGGAGCCTCCTGATAAGCTACCGAAACACAGTACAAGATGGAGGAGTACCGGGCTCAACCTCAAGTGCCAAGCAAAATCTACACATTGTACGTGATCTTTGAAGCTCTCAGAACTATTTCACAGACATTATCTCATCTGAGAGCAGTAAAGGGTGCATCACGGGGCTAAAAAGCGAATGCACCGTTTCGGAACGACCGTCCGCAGCTCCGAAGGGCACAGGGACAGCCAAGCGCATTGCACTGTTCTGCAATTGCTGACAGTCTCATAATACATTGATCACAAATATAAGTAATATTGGGGATACTGTTTTGCTTTGAAATGCTGTCGTTGCAGGTGCTACCACACAATGTCTGAAATCCATCGCAACAAGTACTGTGTGTCAATAGAAGTGCAAGCAAAGTTCAAAACAACTTAGCAACAGTCAACTTCTTCAATTGATCCATCTTCACAGCTATACCTCTTATCTCAGCGAGTTTCGATTATCTTCTGGAACACAGCTTTTCTTGGAAGCTGAGACTATCTGCACTGACACTCTCTGCACTTTGTTGTTGATATGCCTTTCGGGCATATCTATCGGTATCGAACCCTGTTGGACACGAGCACTGCTGTATCTGCTCAGGTAAGAAATCCACTCAAGAAAGTCGTGAAAGTCTTGTCTCACACTAGAGAATCAGGTTGCAGCCGTGTTTGCAAGCTTCGTCCCTGGACAGCATACTATAGCTACCAAATGTACCTATGAGAAAGGCTCTGGAGGCCAGTCACCACACCTCTGTGGTTGACACAGGCGGCGCCATCAGCAACCCCTCGCCCTGCGGAAGAGCCAGAAATTATTGAAGGGGGCTGGATCATTGTTGGAGCTGGCATCACCCTTGTGGGAGCCATTTGTGAGAAATTCTCACCCCACTTCTGAATGTCATCAGCTGATGGTCGAAGCACAGCAGCAGGACGTTTTTATTTTATGCCAAATGAATTTTTTAGTGTCAAAGCCTTGTCACACGATGCTCTCAGGTTTTGCGGCCCTTGCACTGAGGTTTGGATGGAGAGCAGTGCTGCGGCTGTGGAAGAAGTGGCTCTGTTGCAGTTGCTTTAGGAAGAAGAAGGCAAGTGCAACATACCTATCAACGGCCTCTGTGTCTCCCTATCTTTAGCCTTCTGCTGTCCCAAAATAATGTTGTCTGCCTTTGCAGGCGGGACCTGGATCAGCACACAGTGCAGAGCTCGTGCCACTGTCTCCTGATGACCAGCTGGCCTCACAGCAGAGCATGACATCCATGGGTCACAGCAGCACCGCGCGTTGTGCCCCAGTGGAGCAGAGCATGGTCTCAGACACTATCAGGGCGCCTTTTGTGCAGTTTAAGGCCTCTGACTGGATGGTGCCGGCTGGTATGCTCTCAGAAAGGGACTTTGACGAGCCTGAGCCTGAGATGAGCGCCCTGCTGCACAACCGCCCAAAGTACAAGAGCACCGATTTCTGCAACAGCCAGGCTGACGTGCATTGATCCTGCAAGGCTTAGCCCAGTGGAATCAGACAGCATCGCTCATGCACTTGCGTCAATTGCCATGGTTTGGCAAAGCAGTGCAGACTTTACAACCTATCCTTGCAAAGCCAGACCTCATTACATGGTGAAGCCCAAAGGGATACATTGTCTTGCTACACCAGTGAAAGCCTTCATGTTATGGCAGTCCAGTTGCCATTAAGACAAATCCAAGGATCTCACGGATGAGGCAGATGATCAAGAATTCGCTGCTAATCCCATTGTCAGAGCGATGTGACACGCTTACTCCCCATCACTCTCAAACTTGAAGGAGTTCACGTTGTTATCGATCAAGCCACCCTTGTAAGAGCCCCGCTTCTTCTTCGTCTTCTCGTGCCTGAAGTCCTTCCCTCTCACCTGCACAAAACGCGCTGAGATCCCTCAGCTGCAAGAACGCCATGAATGCCAACTTCTCATATCTTGGATCTTACCAGAACCATTTTGTAAGAAATCGGAGGAAACATGTAAAACGAGGAGGTACCTTGCCCAGGATAGCTTGGGCCCCAGCACCCCAGCCGCTGTTGCCAAAGTTGGCCTCGTACGAGTTGTCCCATGCCCCCTTCTCGTTTATCCACTCGTCTGCGTTCACTCGCTGGAACGGCCTGGGTGCGCTCTTGCCATTGCCATTGCTGCACCCATCGACACATACATCAGCACGGCACGTCAATTTCTACCAGGCAATAATTGCGTGACTAGGAGCAGCTCCACCTGCAGAAACATAGGTACGCGTGAGATCTGCACAGAAGTGTCAGCCGCAAGTGACCTTTTCTCTGTGGAAGTGCCGTTCTCTGCGCCTGGGCTGGGACCGGGAGCATCTGCAGCAGCCACCTCGGGGGCAGGGGCAGGGGCGGGAGCAGTCTCCTGCACTGGGGCAGGCGTGCTGACTGTCTCGACAGCGCTGTCCTCCTCGGAGCTCTCCTCCTCCTCCTCCTCGGCCTTGGCCGGCGTGCCAGCCTGCGCCTTCTCAGCTGCTGCTGCAGCAGCCGCCTTCTGCTTCTTGGTCTGCTTCTTCTTCTTCTTGAGGCACTCTGGCGGAGGCGGCAGGCCTTGCTCGGCGGCCAGGCGGGCCTTGAGGGCGCGCTTCTCTTCGCGAACCGCCTTGAGGCGCTTGAACTTGTCGCCCTTCTTCTCCTTGGTGGCCTTCAGCAGGGCGGCCTTGGCGGCCGATTCCTGCGCCTTGCTTGCCTTCTTCTCCTGCTTCTCCTTCTTCTTCAGCTTCTTCGCCCTGCGCCTGGCGTCTGCGATCTCCTGCTTCTTGCTGGTGGATTTCTGGGGCGTGCCAGCGCTGCCGGCTGCCATTGCAGGAGCAGGGGCTGGGCTGGCAGCCGCAGCATCCGAGGCAGGCTTGGCTGCAGCTGAAGCTGCCTTGGCAGCTGCCAGAAAGGCCGCCCTCTTCTCCTTCTTGCTCTTCTTCTTCCTGGGCTCGTTGGAGGCAGCCTCTGCCTTTGCCTCGGCGGCGACCTCAGTCGTGGGCTGGACAGTCTCCTCCAGCTTGCGCTTCTTTGACTTCTTCCCAGGTGAGGCTGCAGCAGCTGCTTGAGCTGGCTCCGTGGCAACTTGCTGGTCAGGGGCTGGGGTCTTCTTTTTCTTTGCCTTCTTCTGTGGAGCCTCTGCAGCCGGTACTGTGCTCTGCTGGGCGAGAGGCAATGCTGCTACCACTTCTTCTGGCTTGATCTTCTTCTTTTTCTTGTCCTTGCCCTTTGGCACAACAGCAGCCTGGGCTTGTTCAGCGGCAGCCATCCTGAAGATCCCTCCTTTCGGCTCCTGCATAATGGACAATGGGATGTAGTAATTATTAGCTCTTCCCTCAGTTCAGAACAAAGCACGCGGCACAGATTCAGTGGATGCTGAGGGCCCTATTCCTACTAGAACCAGAGGAGCCTGATTCTAGACACAGCTACTCCAAGCACAGGTAAGATAACCCGAAAGTTCACAAATAACTCACAGCATGACATGTTCGCAACAGATGTGCATCAATTTTTTTCTCAATAAAAAAGGAGTACATTGCTGAGGAACAAAACTGTTTTACTAGACGGCGGCACGGCCCCTACCTGCGTCAATAAGCGCGATCTAGCACGCTGTGTCACGCGTTTTCGAGGACAAATCTCCGGTGGGCTTTTGTAATTTCGTTGCGTATTGAAACAGCGGGCGCCGGCTTCCCCCAGGCAGCTGCAGGGCCCAGGCAGGCCATAACCATCATGAACTGTTGCCTTCTTCCATTTCCGTTATATGATCACAGTGAGAACTGCATATTGGTTGCTAATATGTGAGGGAGTTCTTGCTTTACGTGTGAAAGTAATGTAGCTTATTATCTGCAGAAGCGTTGACATATTGCCAGGACGATCTGGTCAGTGATCCGGGTTGCTTGCACGATCGCACCAGGAGCATGGGAATGATAACGAGGTCCTCAGGAAAATTATTCATCTATTCGTGAGATTGGGGGCAATTTGGCTTCTGCTCACCAGCGCAAGGTCCATCCAAGGTTGAGGATGAAGGTGATAGCTTTGGTCAGGTACTGCCCAAGTCTCCCATTCGACATGCACTTCGTTTCTGCGAACTGTAGGAGTCTCGGGCCAGTGCAAACTGACACCATGTTTGTGCTGCCAGTGGGGGCAAGGACTCTTGCTACAACATGCTACTCTGCAGACGGTTTGGGCATGAGATCGTTGCTCTGGCCAACCTGCTGCCCATGTCTCCTGACGTGGATGAGCTGGACAGTTACATGTTCCAGACAGTGGGACATCATATCATTTCAATGTATGCTGCATGCATGGGCCTGCCTCTCTATCGCAGGCGCATCAAAGGCGCCTCTGTCCAGCAGGTGCAACATCTGCTATTCAAATTAATGCCAAGCAGTTTGTAACGTTCTTTGGCCCAGTCAGCACATCTGAAACTGATCAAAATGCAAGAGACAGTATTGTTTTGGGCACAGGGTCTGGTGTACACTGTGACAGACAAGGACGAAGTTGAGGATATGCTGCAGCTTCTGGCATTTGCAAAACAGGAACACCCAGAGATTGAAGCTGTCTCCAGTGGCGCAATTGCGTCTGACTACCAGAGGCAGAGGGTGGAGCATGTGAGTGTGAGGCTAGTTTTTATGAAGAGGATCTTTGGCAATGTTGTGCAATTGATGCCTGCTCGTGCAAGTTGCTCCTCTGCGCAGTGAATCTGAGGTGTGGACCGCAGGTTTGCGCACGGCTCAATTTGGTCTCCCTGTCATACATGTGGCACCAGCCACAGCGGCAGCTGTACAGCGCAATGCTTGAATTTGGCATCAAGGCGATTTTGATCAAGGTGGCGGCCATGGGGCTTGAGCCCCACCTGCACTTGGGGAAGGACCTTGAGGAGATGCACTCTCACCTTATAAAGTTGGAGAGGTGTGCCAAATATGGCACTTTCTTGTGATTCTTCTTGATTCTGGACTCATTCCTGACGTCGCATTCACCCATCCTCATGCATCAGTGTGAAGGATGGACGTGGTGCAGGCTGTATGGCTGCAACGTGTGTGGGGAAGGGGGCGAATATGAGACCCTTGTCCTGGACTGCCCCTTGTTCCAGCATGCCTGCATTCAGCTTGATGCATCGGACGTGCAGCACCTGTCAGCCGGCGGCCACGGTGCAGTCGCCATCTTGCATCCAACAAAGTACCATTTAGAGCCGAAATGGCCGAGTGGCAGCAGAGCAGCGACAGTGCCAGAGGCGGCGAGGGCAAGTGAACGCAGCAGGGACAGGCCCCAAACCTTCATGCAGGCTCCCGCCACACCTTCAGGCGACGAGGTCATTTGGGTTCCTTCAGACTTTGACGCACAGCTGCCAAAGCCATCTGCCCAAGAGAGTGGGGAGGCGGTCAGCAGTGGGGTTGAGGTGGCTGTACAGGCCAGTGCAAGCGGGGTGCACGTCTCCTGCACGCCCCGTCTGCCTTCAACAGATGGCACAACGACAGCCGGAGAGCGTGTTCAGCGAGCTCTGCATGCAGCTTTGGATGCTATCCAACGCGGTGATGCTCCCTTTCGTTCTGCAGTTGTTCCTCGTCATTTTTCCCAACCAATATAATATGTCAGTGGAGAGGCTGACATATGCATCATATGCAGTGCTGGATTCTCATGCCCTGAGCCTGGCATCGGCGCTCTTTGTGCACCTCTACCTGGCGCGCATGGAAGACTTTGGTGCTGCCAACTCGGCGTACGGACATCACTTCCCAGCTGTCAACCCGCCGGCCAGAGCCTGCGTTCAGGCACAGCTGCCCCCAGGAGTAAACGTGATGGTCGATGTCCTCTCTGCGCGAGGTGCACTGACATATTCTTGTCCTCTTCTAAGATTAAAATTTGATCTGTCATTTGTTGAAAACATTGCAATTGTGCGTTAATCAGAATACCGCTTCGTAAGCTGAAGGACTCCTTTAAGTGTGAGCACCTTGGAATAAGCTGCTGTTGGCTGGCGCAGATGTGGCATCGCGGCGAGTGCTGCATGTGCAGTCCATATCCTGCTGGGCACCGTCGTGCATCGGGCCCTATTCTCAGGCGACGGTCGCGCACGGCCTGGCTTTTTTCGCTGGGCAGATCGGGCTGGACCCCCCCATCATGCAGCTGGTGCCCGGGGGGCCCCAAGCCGAGTGTGCGCGCTGCTTGGCCAGCTGCCAGGCCGTGGCCGTGGCTGTGCGCTGCGACCTTCCCCAGGCGCTGCTCGGCTGCACGGTCTATGCAGCCGCTGCCGTCAACAGGGCAGATGGCGTGCAGCATGCACGGCCTGTGCTGCAGGGAGCTGAGCAGCTGCTGACATCGCTGCTCAAGGGGGACATGCGTGCTGCCACTGCAGCCATGTCAGGGCATAATGACGGGCCCCCACATGCAGCTGGGGCTGGTGAGCGCTTAAATACAGAGGTGTCTGAGGCTGATAAGGATGTGGATGATGAGGACGATGCATGCATGGATACATATCTGCAACCGCCGTCAATGGTCAGGAGCTGGCAGCCGCTGGTGACGTACGCGGCTGTGAGCGCATTGCCGCGAGGCGCGGCCGTGGAGGTGCAGCCGGTGGCCCTCAGCCTCTTTGGTCAAGATCCAGCCAGCGTGCAAAGTGAGCCGAGACACCCATGGAAAGCTCATATAATCGGTGGCACACCACATGCTCCCTTTATTGCTTCCAAAGCACTTGAACCGCTCTCACTCCTGCATAGATTGTGTAGCAACTGACTGTTTGTGCTTGTGGCATTACAGAGCTCACGGAAGGGCTGCACAACATCTCTTGGACAGATCCACATGGCTCCAGTGAGACATCAGGGGATCATGCAGACGCTGCAGCCCACTGTGAGGCGCTCATCTGTCCCGAGCGCTTCTGCCTCTACCAGCTGTCGATACCCCCAAGCACAAGCCTGCTTGCTGGGGACTGTGAGTCTGCCGGCCGCACTGCCGCCGAGGGCATCTCTGCGACTCTCAGCGAAGCTCAGCTGTGTCTCGATGACCTGATGGTCGTGCGCGTGTACTTCTGCCCAGACCTGCTGACGGAGGAGGCAACAAGAGAAGTTGTGTGTTCAGCCTTTGCAGGATGCGGCGCAGCTGAGGGCCAGGTTGCTCCAGTCTTTGTGCCTGTGATTGCTGTCGGCAGCACACCAGCAGTAGGAGCTGCTGCTCAGATCGTGATGATGGCTCTGAGAACGGTTCTGGCCTGAAGTTGCAACGCTAAAAGACTCTTGTGGACTGCTGTAATGTCATGTGATTACAGCAATTTATAAAATTGTCATGACTGCATGCCATGCTGCACAGTGTGCACGTGTGCACGGCCGCCGGCGGGACGCCAAATCCCAAGCATGGCACCGTGACATGCAGCAAAGCATGAACTGCATGCATGCGGCTAATTGCCTCGCTCATAGCTGGTCAATAGAAAGTAACATCCATCACTGGCTTAGCCTCTGCGTTGGTCTCGTCTTCATGGATGACACACGACCACGTCACCTGAATCTCATCGGCAAACTTCAAATTTGCCCAAGTCGAATGAAAAGTTAATTTGCGATTTTCGGAAATAGCCAAGATGTTCGCGTGTGATGTTTCCTTTAACAGCGGAAGTTTCCATGTCTTGAGTAAAGGGGGCAGCCAGAGGCTGGTGGTAAACCTCAGATCCTTGCCGAGATCATCTGTCCCTTCCAGGCAGGTGCAGCTAAGCAAGCTGTTCAAGAGCGGCCTTTTACTCTCTCAAAGAAGAAGCTGTGTGACGAGATCCACAGAACAGGAAGGTGAGGATTGGTTTTCCAGTTCATCTAGAAAATCTGAAGAAGTGCTCCTGAGGGGTGGGTTGGGGAAGTAGTCACTTGTGCAGGGTCATTGAGCTACCTTGAAATCATTCTGTGCAAGTTGATATCGTCTCATGTGGTATGGGCAGTTAAAGCAGCGGAGACTTCTGAGGAGAGTATCTCTGACAACTGGGTGCCAGTCTGCAGACCTGAAGAAATTCCAAAAGGTGTGGTCATATGTCTGGGAATAGTACAAAGACAGATGATCTAATGTAAAATTGAGCGCTGTAGTCTTGTGCTTTTGTTCCTCATTCACAATAGCAAGAAAATGGTGTATTGTGCAGGGTACCGGTTTGAAGTCAAGGCACAGGGCGTGGATGTGCTTCTTTTATGGTACAGGAATCAGATATATGCCATTGAACAAAGGCAAGTCTCTCTCTCCTGCACTTCTTGTCAATGCCTTGTTGTATGTAATGTGACGCATCATGTCCGAGACAGACATAAGTCCAATAATGGGTTTTGCAACTTGCTGCAGATCTCCAGCAGCCGGGGCATACAGCGAGGGCTTCATAAATAGCAAGCTCACACAGGTGATTGGGGACGTCTGCAAACACTCAGGCAATAGAAATTTATGTTTTGCTGACTTAGCATGCAAGCTAAATCCACTCATGCTGCATCTGCTGTGCAGGAATATGAGATAGAGTGCCCCGACACCAAATCCCTCTTCTCCCTCAAGACAGGAGAGATCACGGCATGGTGCGCAGAAACTAGTTCTCCAGATACACTTCTTGATGGCTGTTTGCTGGTGTGACGTGTCGGTGGACAGCAGCTGAGGACGGTGCTGTTTATGCAGGTACCCGACAAACCCAGTTCTGCGGCTGGTGACGCCACAGGACACAGTGAGGAATTTGGATGTGTACCCTGTGAAGCTGACACAGGACGCTATCCTAGTGGATGTCAGCGGTGCAGCCACAACAAAGTTCAAGTCGGCACGAGGCGGCTCCGACACATCCATTGACAACAACAATGTGTTCTCCATTGAGCCGCGTGTGTATGTTGAGGGAAGCACTCCGGATGGTGAGCTCTGAATTCCACTACACTTCAAAAGAGCACCATGTGTTCTCCAAAGTTTTTCAAACAGCGCACTTTTGTCGACAATGAGTGTGACCCCTTTGTCCATATCAAATGTGTAAATATAAAATAAAAATACCCATTTTCAGGACTGGCTGTGTGGTACATTGCAGAGATTGTGCCTATGGGTTCTGCTGGCACAAAGGAGAAGTTGGACCCATATGTTCTGGCCATCACCATCTTTGCAGTCGCCTGTGTAGCTGTTGCTGGCACTGCAGTTGCCATCTATTTGGAGGTGCGACACTGAAGCATCTTCTGACCTGGCACTCGTTTGCAGGGCATCTTGTTGCTGTATTGCAGCTGAATGCTGAACCACTGCAACGAAATGACGACACGTGGCTGTCTGTGCTTGCAGAGTTTTGTGGGACTCGGTATCTTCTGGGCAATCCTCCTTGCCATCACTGGCACCTATGTCTTCAACTACCTCAAGGAGGAAGGAGCCTGAAACTGGCACCGGGATTTGGAATGTATGGAAGGAGACATGTGGCGCTCAGTAGTGAGATATTGCTGCAGCACTTATCGATTGATCATTCAGCACTGCTGATTGTTGGCCAACATCATGACAGAATCGAGCTCCAGCCGTGCCTAAGTGCAGGAGCGGTGGCTTCTTTCCTTACCAGCCTGAGGAGTCATTATGCAGCATATTCATGTGTAGATGAGCGAGAGAGGAGATATGGCCTGACCGATGAGTATATGTGAGATTACTGCTTGAACAAATTTTGCTGAGTATGATTCCTGACGTGTGAGCGGAGAATGCTGCAGATGGTGCACAGTGTGTGAACCACCGGTAGCTCATTCTGAATTCCAAGGATATCACTGAATTTGGCTGAAGCATCCATGCCTTACAACTCCCAGACCTGCTCATCCAGCAGGGGCAGTGTGTGCAGACTCACGGCCAATAAGGGCAGATGCAGGCACCACTTCACCATCCAACTCCACCTCCTCTTCATCCACATTGAAGAAGGTGTATGACAGGGTCAAATGATTGATGCTCTTTAGCCGGTCATCAGTGGCAAACTCTGGATCAATGTAGAAGAATACCGGCATGTCGATTTTCTCGCCTGCGCAACAGATCAAACTTATCAGGTCTTTCAAAAAAGTGCAGGCAGACATTACTGCATCCCTTGCAAGACTGTCATGTGCAAATCTGAAGCAGGAGTACAGAAATCCTTGTCATGCACCAATCGGAAGACGAACATGCCTGGGCGAAGCTTTTGCTCCTCGAAGCAGAAGCACTGGATCTTGTTGAAGTAGTACCCCGCCTGCTGTGGCGCCACATTGTACGTAGACACCCCGGTGATGGCTTTGTCGCTCAAGTTGTGCGCTGTGTAGAACACCAGAGTGCTCTGCCCTGGATGCACCTGCGATCATACCACATTCCCTGGTCCAAACTGTCTCCCGCAAATTACTTGAACCAGAAAAGCGTCCACAGGGTGTTCCTTGTGCAGTGCCACTGTACCTTCACGGATCGCTGCGCCGGGACAAAGCGCCAGGGCATGCCATCGGACACATCGGCATTGAAGGACACCGTTATCTGCCGCTGCGCCGCCGCCGCCTCCACAGCCTCGTCCCTGTTCTCTTCCCTCTGGCGCATCTTCTCCTCCACGCTGCGCCCCTCCTTCACCGTGCCCCCAAAGCCTGTAGCCTGACAGAACATCCTGCACACAGCGTACACAACATCCTCGGTAGCTGCCCCTTAGCAGGATCTACATGTGCCAATCATGAGTGCACAAATTGTACTGAGCATGGTGCAGGTTAGTTAGTCCGGCCAATCTAGAGGAGCACGTGAGAATTTGGGGCCATCGTTATTATGGCCTGCCCAAATGAAAATCAAGCTGCAAATTTAGAGGCTGGGGAGCTCGAAACAACAGCAAGATTCACAGATAGATGAGGCATAGAGACTTATAATGTGTCAAGCAAGAGCCTACGTGGGGATCACTCTAGTTCACTTTTGATCCAAAACTGAGCGCAGAAGAAAGGCTGCAGGTAGGTACCTGTAGAGAGGGACGGACGCATAAGTCAGTCCCACCATGCCCACCACCATGGCCACCAGGTAGAGGCCCTGCTCTGAGGCCTTCTTCTGCAGCCGGCCTTTCTGGCTAAGCGCTGCCCCCCTTCCCTGTGTGGCCATGCTGCGTTGAGATGACAGGACTGTGCTGCATGGTTGTATCTTCAGCCTGCTCTGCCACCTCTGGGACAATTTTGCTCTGCATGTGGTGCTTGCATGCCGGTGTGCTGTTGATATCCCTCTGAGCTGCCCTAAGCTGCTGCGCATCCAGGAGCTCTCACTGGATGACTGAAATATTTTTGGCCTGCCTTGTTCTGTACACCTCTGGGAGGCTGACATGAAAGTCTGCATGTTCATGTATCTGCCTGTGCTCTGTAGCTGTGCTGCAGTCCAGCTCCTAGAAATTTGGGGGATCGCAGGGCCATAAGCGCTTGCACATGCTAATTGACGGCTGAAGATGCTGCCAGATGTCGACGGAGTGCATAGAGACAGCACAGGCCGTGTGCAAAAGCTGTCTAAACGGGACAGCAGGCCTCTGACATATCCAGACACTTTTTGCACAAACATGCCCGTCAAAAAGGATAAGTACGGCCTAATTTAACCTTTTATACACACTAGTCATCGCGACAGCAAAATCACTCTTAACATATGTTTGAGATCATCAACGAAATAAACTGATACAAATTGCAACGCGATGTACAGCGATATTATAGTAAGCAAAATCACAGGCTATTACCTAGCAAAACATGATCAGTTCATGGAAACTTATGGAGGAAAGACGATGTGAAAAAGGACTGTCGTGCTGGCCTGATGACGTCACCCCACACATTCTTCCTCGTCTCTTCCATTGATAGAATCCGATCGATCCGCGCAGAGCATATAGAGAGTTGAGGATGGCTACTGGAGGATGTGGTGCGGGCGAAGACACGGAAAGCACTTGCGCAACACACAATAACCCAGGATGTGGTAGTGGCTGCTCTCAGAGCGGCTGCCAGGAATCCAGGCAGCCAGCTTGTATCAGCAATGGTACTGGTAATTCTTGCAGCAATCAGAAGCAATCAGAGGCATCGACGAGACGGGGCCAAAAGGATGTATGTGTGAAGTGCAAAACCACTGCAGCACAGGCAGGTCTCCTGCTTCCAACGACAATTTTGGAGCTGTTGCGTGCGATTTTATAGATGGTGCTTGCATGTATGTGTCAGGACTATGTTCGAATGTGGCTGCTCGAGCATCCTTTGATTTTGGGTGGAGAAGAACAGGTGAGTACTAGTGCTCCAGTGTTCCAACTGTGAGCCTGCCTGTGTGGTTCTCACAGGTGTTAGCGAAGCAGCAAGAGCCACTCTGTTGGAATTGCTTCCATGCTAGCCTCGGCAAGACTGTCCGGAAAGCCGTGCGATTGAAGGGCCTAGTACAGCCAGGGGACAGGATTCTTGTGGCAGTCTCTGGAGGTCAGGTCACATGTCACAGCCTTGGCAGATGCTTTGTGCCTCATACTCTAGACAACTGCCAGCCAGATTGTGTTCTGAGTATTGACAAAAATGCAATTTCTGCCAAGCCAGGCTTGCTGAATGTGCTCAGTATGTATGTATGCGCAGGTTTTGCATCCACAGCTCTCATGCATCTCTTGACGATGATGTGCAATGCAGACTCAAGTCGAGAGAAGCAGGGGCAGGTACAGCTCTTCCTGTCCGCCCTCAAAATCAAAACAAGCATTGGAATGTAAGTAGCTTTTCCACTCTTAGGATCCTGTCCTCAGCATTCTGTTCTATTTGAGTACACATGATGTATCACATCCATGTCTTGCTGCGCAGATTGCGTTTCAGATGGGCGCTGTGTATGTGGACGAGAGCCTGACCCATGGCGCCAGCTCAGAGGACAGCTGCAGAGCTGTGGAGGCCGTGTCAGCCTTGCACAGGGCCGTTGCGCCAGACATGCCCTTGCACTGTGTGCAACTGGAGGATGTGTTTGACGGGGAAGAAGTGGCTGTGGACAAGGGGAGCCTCCTGGTCAGGCTGCTGGAGGTACCGCCACGCAGACCTTTGCACATGAGATTTTGCCACAACGCCACTTTTAGCATGTATCAGCGAACTGTATCTCGGTGGTAGTGGTGTGACTATGGTCAAGGCTGCAGAGCGGCTGTGATGTGCAGGCAGTGGAGGATGTGACTGGCCGCGAGGACCTTATAGAGTCATTGCGCAATGCCCTGCTGCTGCGTGTGGCCGCCAGGCTGGGCTACAACAAGCTGGCCCGCGGGGACTGCGCCACAAGGGTGGCCGTCCGCACCATTGCCAGCGCAGCCAAGGGCGCTGGATTCTCTCTGCCAGCCTCCATCCAGCACTTTGACGCCAGGTCATTCCCCACCTTTACCAAATTTCCTCTGAAGCACCATCACAACACTAGGCACTGAGAGTGCAGCGAACCCATTAGTACCTGATGCTTGTCTAAAGTGATGATCTACAGCACGTGATATTAAAGCGCTGTTGCAGTGTTGCCCCTCACTTTGATGCAATTGCTGAAGATGCGGACATTTGCATCCATGCAGGGGAGGGGAGGAGGGGCCAGCGGTGATATGCCCAGTACGCAATCTGCCCATGAAGGACCTGGCCATGCTCTGCCACCATCTGAGCTTGCCGCCGGTGCAGCCGCCACGGCCGCCGCAGCGCGCGCGCAGGAAGCCCTCCCTCAACACCCTCGCCGAGGGGTTTGTGGCCAGCCTGCAATCTGCCCTGCCTTCCACCGTGCCAACCATCCTGCGCACAGCCCTGAAGCTCCAGGTTGGCAGGCCTCACCATGTGTTGATATCCCAAGTGCTGCTTTTGCTGCGCTGTCTGCACTTCACGAGACATATCTGCGAGTAGTGTGCATTGCATCTGTCTGACTTGGTGTCTCAGATGACATGATCCGCTGCTGTGTGCAGGCGTTTCCCTGGAATCATCCCAGCGCTGTGCCGAGCAGAGGGAAAGAGGAAAAGAGCGTTGCCCCTGCGCATGCAGCCTCCGTCCCCCTGTGCAGACTCTGCAGTGCACCTCTGTCGCCTGCAGAGGTTGCCCAGCAAGGAAGTTGTGCCACACCTGGTAAGTTAATCTTTAAAGTAGTTGGTCGCTGCCGTTCTTTCCTGCCCTTAGGTACCGAGAAGCCTAGTGCTGCTCTACATCTCAACCGATTGCAACACAGGGAGGGAAGCCAAAATGGATGCTGGAAGCGGTGAAGAGCAGATCAGTGCTACAAGAGAAGGGGAGCACTTGACAGCAGAGAGTTCTTCGGAGCCAAGTGCAGATCAACGCACGAAGGGAGTTCTGCATGCAAAGTCAGCAAATGGAAATATCGGCTCTGTCTGCCTGAATGATCATCGTGAAAGTTCTGGGCAACGCATGCAGAATGGAGGGAATGCAGCTGCTGGGCACACTTCACATGCTGCACAGCAGGGTCCTCTGACAGATTACTGTTTTGTATGTCAGCAGGGAAGCCTGTTCTCTGTGCAAGGCAGTGAGCCTGTCTTGAAGCTTTTGCCTGTTTATATGAAGACAGCGTTGAGAACAGAGGGGTGAGATTGTGAGGACGAGATGTATGCAAGAGTGTACCAATCTCTGGTTCAAAACATGGTCTTACTGTAACTTGTTTGTGAGAATATCTCACGGACTATTGCAAATTAGCCATTGGTGTATACTCAACACAATCACCAGATAGAGAAAACAACCTAATTCATGCCAGTGGGAGCCAATTTTGACTGTGAACGGAGGACTGCATCAAGCAGCCCTAGGGCCCTATACATGCTTCCTGATGTTCAGATACGGCAGCCAGAAATCTTACTTGCACCCACACTAGGCAATCATGCTCGACATGCGTTCCCACGACTGCTTCTTCAACATTTCTTGTCCTTCAAATTCCACTGGAACTTTGCAAGCACCAGGACTCTCTGAAGTAACCTCTGTCGCCTCGGCTACCACACCACACTGTTGCCAAACTGTGATGCGCCTTGATGATGCAGCAAGCTTTTCAAACGTGTAGATGTTCACACTCTAGCAGGCACCCTTAAGACCAGCTCGTCTCGTCAGCTCGTCTCGTCAAAGAAATGGACAACACCTGCCCTGTTGGTAATATACAGTCACCCCAAATCGCAGAGCAAAAGAAGGAAATCATCAAGCACCTCCCCCTGGTGCTGGAAAAAATAATCAGGTCAGACACTCCCTGAATGCTGTGTCAAGCTGCTTTTATGCGAGGCACTGCACTAAGGGTGTGTTGTGAGCCATCCCGTTTCACATGCCTCCACTCAGGAGCAGCTTCCTCTGTGTTTCCAGCTGCATGAAAATCTCCAGCCTTCCTTTCAGAGTGTTGAAATTTCTTTTGACCTCCTGTAGCAGTTGCTGGCAGCCCTGACGGTCTCCGCGCATGCATCCATCACGCAACTGCACAGCACACCAGTGCTTATTCTTATTTCTGGTATCCTGAAACATGTTATAACTTTGTGAATTTGTGAGAGGCCTGAAGATATACCTGCACACAAAGTGTTGCGAGGCCCTGTGCCCCAAAGCTGGCCGAACTGCCCTTAAACTGATGGACGAGCTGATCCACCTCGTTGAAGTCGGGCACAGGGGCAGCCAGCTTTGCATCAAGCTTTTCAAGCTTTCCTGCAGAGTCCTCAAAGTAGAGCTCCACAACCTCGGCCACAAAATCGGGGTTGCTGTCGTCCTGCAAGATTCATATAGAAATCATAAATGACGGTCATCACAACAGTGACGACTTTCTGACAATAAAAGATTCCTGATCTGTACATCTTAGGTAAGGTTCTGGTATGTACGGAAGCATGCCTGCAGCTGCATCAGCTGAGCGAACTGATCATCTAGAAGACCCTCCTGGCCCAACCCATGCAAGAGTTGGTCTATGTCCCGATTGATGCTTGTCAGCTTCTGCTCAACCTCCGTCATTTTCCTCCTCAGGAGATTCGCAGCTCCCAAGGAGGATAGATCACCAGTGTATGATCCTACAGCTACTGGACTGAAGCAGTCAATGGCTTCCGCCGTGCACACAAGGGGTTTGGAGCGTTGCCTTCCCTGACTTTGTCACTTTTCCTCGTCGCGGGCCTGGACAGGCAGACGCCCCTTCCCAAGTAGTACAGACTTGTTTTGTAAGCTGCAAAAGTATGTACGATCACTTGTGTTATTTTTGCTTGAAGGGCAGGCTCGCAAAAAGGGAAACCTCCTTTTCATGACGACAGCAAATCTTTCAATCTATTTTGGATCAGTGACTAATCCCCAATTCGTGGTTCCTTTGCAAGCCGGGGGGTCCCAAAGCCTGCAGGTCTTGACCTTGATGTGGATCCACTTTAAGCCATTATGGTTGGATGGGTGCCCACCAGTGAGAAAGGTGAACATGTAAGATTTTATACTGAGCTCATATGAGTGACCAGCAGGTGTCACTTGTGCCAAGTGAGACGCTCGCACCGGTGGTACCCGGTACCCCTGGGCCAGGGTCCACAGGTGGATCTGACAGACGTCCAGATGCCTCAGATCCTCTCTAGTCCTTGATGGTTTTGAGATTACAAGGATGGCAATGTCTGTGTATGTTTCCACTGTAAAGCAGAAGTGCCGCACGTCTACGTAGATGTACAGGAAAGTCTTTTCACTTCTGTTGGACAGCCTTAGAGTACTGGCACATGCAGTTATTCCAACTGCTGGTCAAGTATGGCCAGCAGGACAATTGTGAGCCTATCATACCAGCGTGCTCTCATAAGCTGCCCAGCCAGCTTCCCTGTACTGGGCAGCTGCAGCGGCAGGGTCCGATGCCTTGATGATACCTCTGCCAACGATGATGACATCGCTGCCGCCTTGGCCAATGACCAAAGCAGGGGTATTGTACTGCTGCCCCAATGCGTCGCTCCCAGATGCCAGCTGCACTCCCGGCGTCATGTGCACCAGGCCTGCAAACAACCACAAGCTTCAGCCCAGCATCCCCTATTTATGAACGGTGAAGCCCTCAGGCTTGCAGAGTGCCTGTCGCGATGAAGAAATCTGCATGGAGTGCTTGTTAGTCACCTGGAGGCACTGCCGTGGCCCAGTCTGCCGGTGACTGACAGATGAAGCCCATCACAAAGTCCTGATTGGCGGCGGCCGCTTCAGCAACCTTCTCAGTGTACGCCCCTAGACAGGCAGCACCCCACATCAGCCCAGCCGCTTGATTTCGAGCAGATAACTTCACAAACGCACACAATGCATGCTTTGATGCAATAGCAGGCAAAGACTCAAACTGAAGCCTGTCCCCAGCACCTGTGGCAAGGGCTCCCTTCGAGCTCATCTCTGCCAGAAGCAGCAGGCCCCGCCCCTTCTCTAGGCCCACCTGCCATGTCAGCACAAATCAATGAGCTCACTGGCGTCATGCTAAACTGCAGTCATGTGAGCAATCTCAAGATGCTTGGGCTGGTAATGAAAGTGTTGCCTTGCGAAGGCCGTCGATGATTCCAGGGCCGGGCACAAGGTGCGCATTGGTGATGTCCGACCAGTCCGCTATTCTGTAGATGCCGCCGCCGTACTGGGACACCACTGTGTTGCCAATGTCGGCAAACTTTCTGTCCTCAAACACCAGAAAATCTGCGCAGCCACACGCGACAAACCCCTTAGCCACTGCTTTCCGCTAACACATGACACTACCCGCATTTGCTGCCACTTGACTCGACCTCAGAAGCAAAATGCATCTGCAAAAAAGCTGCAATATATGGCTGCCAGGGTCTTTCGGACGGATCGAAGGGGGATAGGGGGCGATTTCGGCAGAATCTCTTGGGTAATGCATTGATTACCCCAGTACAGACCTGTGCATGTTGACAAGGAAATTCAGCACCACTACGGGCCAGTGCTGCAGGTCTCACCGTGCTTGTCCGCCAGTTGGCGCAGCTGGGCGGCGATGGAGTCGTCCCACTTGTCAAAGATGTCCACGTGGGTCTTGAAGACCGCGATGTGGGGGCCGGCCGCGTCTGCGATACGCAGCATCTCCTCCACCGTTGCCACGTCAGCGGCCACCGCCAGGTTGGTCCTCTTGCGCGCCATCAGCTCTAGCAGCCTCTTGCCAGCCGCGTTCTGCGCCAGCGTCGCGCGCTCCTCAAATGGCAGCCTGGTCACACCCTCTGCACCCTCACTGTCGGTCCGATACTATTGCATTGGTGACACAACACCAACCAAGACACCGCAGCTTCATTGCCAGCAAAGAAAAGAGACCTTTTCCAGAAATTGCAGAGATCGGGAAACTTTCAGAAGGTCAATATTCAGATTGAAAGAGCAACAGAGGATCACGAAAGGAGGACAGAGTGTCATGCCCCACCTCTTGGGCTTTGCGGGAGGGGCAGCGGGGGGCGCGGCGCTGCTCGAGGGGCAAAAGGTCTGGTTGGCGGCGATGAAGGCGGCCACGCTGTCGGCCACATCCTGGGTGACCAGCTGGTGCGCTAGCAGGGTCTTGATGATGAAGGAGAGCGTGAAGGCGGAGTGCAGCCGCAGCCCGTTGCTGGCCATGCGCGCAGCGCCGCCCTGCTCCCGGTCTATCAGCACCACGACGTCCGTCACCTTCAGACCCTCCACCTGCACAGCATTTGCGCTCTTGCCAGCATGCCAGGTTCTTCTAACACTGAGGGTGAGTGTCCTACCGCTTACATCTGCTGCATGTGTTCTAGGCCGGCGCCACCGGGCCATCTAAGACATCATTGTCCCTCCAGCCAAGCAACCACTGGCTGCATATGCACCGCACAGGCCACATCAAGCCATGTGGCTCACCCTCCCCTCAGTCTTGCACCCATGGCCGACAATGCGCCGAACAGGCAACACTAAGCCAAGCATGCGCAAGAAAATAATCTAGATGCAGAAGATCAAGCCAAGCATGCGCCGAGCATGCTTGACCTAGCATTCTGGCTCCAGCAGCCTGCCAAGCTCGGACGTCCAGTAGCAGGCATCTCCTGAAAAGCAGGAGCAGCTCCAGGGTGGACTGCGCACCTCGAGGGGCTCCACGGTCTCCATGACAGAGGCGCCGGAGGTGACCAGGTCCTCGACGATGAGGCAGGTCTGGCCGCGGGTGAAGGCGCCCTCGATGGCCTTCTTGGTGCCGTACTCCTTGACCTCCTTGCGCCGCATCAGCATCGGCGTCCCGTGCAGCAGCGACATGCACGTCGCGATGGGCAGTGCCGTGTACGGCACTCCGCACATCACATCAAACTGCGCCCCCTGTGACACCTGGTGCCACATCACCTCCGCCACCTGCACACAGCACGGCGCCCACCCTCTTATCTGGTATACAGTATTCCCCTTATCTGATGATTTGGTCTGATGGTTCGGGGAGTTGTGGCCCAGGGCAAATCCTCCCTTGGGGCCTTAGCCTCAGTCGCACTTGACAGGTTGCAATGGCAGGACCACGGGATATCCACCAAATCGCAGAAGGAAATACAGGGAAGGAAAGGAGATGAAACCTGCCCATAAAGAACAGTAAGAAGTGCGCCAAAGTCACCAGGAAAGCACGCCAGTAGTGCTTGTGGTGATGTGCTGGATGATGCCCATTTTGTTGCGAGTTATGAGCGACGCACCCTGCGGAGGACGTCCGGGTATGAGACGATGACCCTCAGATCGATGTAGATCGGGGACATCAGCCCGCTCTTGAGCTTGAAGTTGCCAAACTTGACGGCCTGCACATGCAAGACAAATAGGCTGTGGCAAAGTATACAATGGCGTCAGTTGCATGGCGATAATATCTACTACAAAAGGACTCGCAGGGGATGCAATTAGGACATACCTCAATCTCATGCAGACGGAGGACCAGCTCCTCAAATTCGTGCGTGGTGATAGGCCCATCCTGCATGCATGCATTCTCTGGAAATCAAGCACACTGGGAGGCCCCTCACTGCATATGAGAGGTCACCAGGCTATTCTTCATCTTACAAGATACATATGATTTGCGCACCTTTGGTTTCAAGGCTGCTGCTGTGGCCACTGAGGGATTAGAAGAAGACATCTCTTGTCTGGCCAACCGTGGTGCTATGTAAGGAATACCTTTCACTGTAGGTGTAATCGAAGTCCTATAGGCAAAGAAAAGAGTAAGTTTATCTCTGCTATTGAAGGCAAGTGTCAGAGCAGCTTCTCTAGTACATCACTGAGGGACGACCTGATGGCTGATTGGGCAGCGACGATAAGAGACTGACGGGAACGCGGCTCAGGTGATGTATGCGGAAGTAGGCTTGGCGTAGGGGCTTGTTTATGCAGCCTGACGGCTGATGTCATGCAATCCGCACAAAATCCTGCTCACATTCCAGACAGCAATTGGGTCGATTAAAACAAATCAAGCTGGTCCAAAGGCGAAACAATAGTACTTTTAGGGGAGCTGAACTCTGCTGCTAGGCTAGCGAGAACAAAGGCAGACCTCCGCGTGAGTCATGTCACGTGCCCAGTCGATGATGGTGCACTTTTTCGCGCCCCAGGCTTTCCATACTTGGAGTAGTCCTACATGACCAAATCCTCAATGTGGGAGAAGATCAATGCGCAGTGAGAAGGGACGCAATGAGGACGTTTCTGCGGCAGGACCGCTGTTCTGAAGGGCTCCAGCTTAAGAGTACCACTCCTCGTCTCAGAAGGAGGTAGACATCCCCATGCACAAAATTTCAATAAAGTACACGGCCAAAAAATTGAAATATTAGACGGCATGACGCAACTTCATATCGATCATGTCCTATATTGTGTAAGATGCAGACTGATTTAACGTCAAAGGCAAAAGCTATTCCCATGCCCTTATCTTATTCGCTGCAATGTAATCAATTAAAAAAAAATTAATACTTGCAGGTCACGTTGCGTCCATGTCCATGCCGAGACTACACCCGGGAGAGACCGCACTGTTGACAAGCGACAACATGGGCTCTCCAACCTGCTAGAATTCCCCACTTTCAACTTTTCAAACTTCTTCTCCACAGCTGTGGATGAGAAAAAGGATGGCGTCAAGCTGACCTTGTCCAGGACCTTCGCCCGCAAGGTGAGGCAAGGTTGCCTTGTCCCATCTTGGTAGATAGAGCTTCCAACATGACAAGGGGGTTGACCTTGCATGCGCTGAACAGGATGGGCCTTCGCCAGCTGAGCGCATCAAGGCTGAATGTGCATCCGAGCTCCAGCGACGCGCCTCAAATGGAGTAAATTCAGGCCAGGTATAAGCCTACCTTCTTGCTCTGTTAAGTCGACTCTTGAGCTGAAGCTCTCGTTGCACTTTGACTTCAGCAGAGCGCGGCCGTGTGGCGTGCAGAGCCTGGGGCAGCGCCTCCGGGAGCAGCTGCAGGTGCTCGAAGAAGATCTGAGTCACACTAGCAGGGCGGCGCAGGCAGCAGGGCCCATTCCCGGCAGTCTAATGACGCTAGTCATGGAGAGGAGCAAGGAGCAGCCTGCAGCTTTGGACCTGTGGTCTGCGCCCCTGCCGCCCTTTGAGCAGATCGAGGGCAACACCACGCCCGAGGGGTCCGGCTATGAGATCCTACTGCAGGTGAGCATGGAACCTTCTCCAACAAAGTACCCCTTTCCGTTGTTTGCACGTTCTGCAATTCCATAATTTGTGCTGCTTGAGCAAAGGGAGGGGCCGTCGGCGAGTCAGACACTGCCAACTGGACAGTGCCATGAAGCTGGATGTGGCGAGCGCAGGGGTTCAATTGGGAGTCGCACAACCACTCGTGGTACCAAAGGCTGATGGGGCAGGCCAACTGGTTTGCCTCGCTGGGCATCACCTGCGTGTGGCTGCCGCCCTTCACAGACAGCGTCAGCCCCCAGGGCTACATGCCCCTCGACCTCTACAACCTCAACTCCCGCTATGGCTCCGAAGACGAGCTGCGCCGGTGTTTCCCCTGCAAACTCCCCTGCTCCCTCGTGCTTCAAGTACATGATTATGCCACAACCTGGCAGCGGCATCACCCTAGCATTGGTGGGAGAGATTGGATTAGGAGACGCATGCTGCACATCTCCCTGCTCTTTGATGCCTCCAAATGATCAAGCCTGCCGGACGCGATCAGAGCTGCATGCTTCTGCGCCGACACTGTGTCTGCAAAGATAAGTTGTCGCTCGGTGCTGACATTTGCCTGTGGCTGGGCATTGGCGCAGGTGCGTGGCGAAGCTGCAGGCGGCGGGGCTGAAGGTGCTGGGGGACTGCGTGCTCAACCACCGCTGCGCGTCGCACCAGGACTCCGCCGGCGTCTGGAACCAGTTTGGCGGCCGCCTCGACTGGTGCTCCCGCGCCATCGTCGGCGACGACCGCAACTTCAACGGCAGAGGCCAGCCCCTCATCCAACACCTTGGCTATGACATGTCGCATTTCTACATCGTTGCAGCCTTGCAGCGCTCTAGCTTCATGTTGATCCTCACACGCAGCACACCTTGCACAGTTAAATGCTGGGGAGCTGCACAGTTTCTAAGCAGGTTTTTGGAGGACGGCCATGTGACAGGATTGATGGGCTGTCGCAGGTGGTCAGAGCTCAGGATCACGGTTTGATGCAGCGCCCAACATAGACCACTCGCAGCCCTTTGTCAAGAGGGACCTATCAGAGTGGATGCAGTGGCTTCGAGAGTATGTCGGCTTTGATGGATGGAGGTACAAGCTGCCCAGCTTCTCATCTGCTTGCTCTGTCTTGCTGCCCCATGACCTCTTAGTCAGGGGCTTATTCTGAGCCGGGTCATGTGTGTGCAGGCTTGACTTCGTGAGAGGATTCCATGGCAGTCATGTGCGCGACTACATGCTCGCATCATCCCCCACATTCGTGGTTGGCGAGTTTTGGGTGGGCTGCCCGGCAAGGCTGTTCTGCTCTGCTGACAAGAAGATGCAAGCATTGAAAGTGCAAGAGCAAGATTGAAAATATTGCCCCCCAGATCATGACATCATCATTATGGTGCTGCAGGACTCCCTGGCCTACAATGGAGGCATACCTGAGCACAATCAGGTACTACACCTGCTGAGACTATGACCTGATCGTTTGGTGAGCATCTATGTGCTGCTGAGTGAAGCATCATGTTGACCACTACGACACTTCTGAGGGGCATGTGTTGTGTGCCTATAGGACAGGCACAGGCAGCAGATCATTGACTGGATCAATGCGGCCGAGGGAACGGGCACCGCCTTTGATGTCACCACCAAGGGCATCATGCACGCTGTCTTTGAGGCACGCCTCCCACTCGCACGGATGGCCTTTCACTATTTATTTTCCTGGACAGCCAGCAATTTGGAACACAATGCATCACGTGTCACCTTCAAGGATGGTAAACAAGAGAGAATGCATGCAAGAAAGACAGTCCGAGTTGAGCGCCAAAGTAAGGAGAAAGGGCTGCGTCGAAGTTTACGATTGAGTCACTGGATGATGACGGGTGGTGGGGTTGTGCCTTGCAGCGCTGCGAGTACTGGAGGCTGCGGGACTCGAGCGGCAAGCCGCCCGGCGTGATGGGCTGGTGGCCCTCGCGCGCAGTCACCTTCCTGGAGAACCACGACACGGTGATCCACCCCTATGCACACCCTGCTTGAGGCACTATTTTCCATGGCCGTGTCTCTTGAACATATCTTTGCATTGTGCGAGCGGCATTGGAAGACCTGTCATTCATTACCACTGTTGGCACGTTTCCAGCGGCGCATCATTGAAGGAGCCGAATCTTCATATTCTCTGTTGCATGAGAGCAAGGGCTCATCTGGGTGGGCAAGCAAAGACAACAGCTGTGGCGTGATGGCATACCACAGGCTCGCCTGTACAAGAGCAGCAGCTCTGTAGATGGCTCCTATACAGCAAGTCCTTCCTGCCCAGCAGATCTGTGTGCATGCAGGGGTCGACGCAGGGGCACTGGAGGTTCCCCAGTCAAGGGTTGGAGCAGGGATACTGCTACCTGCTGACGCACCCGGGAACCCCCTGCATCTTCTACGACCACCTGGAGGACCCGCAGCTGGCCAACGCCATCCAACGCCTCATCGCCCTCCGCCTGCGCGCCGGAATCCACTGCCGCTCCCAGGTGCGCGCTCAAACAGAAAGTCACACGCTGCACAGCTGTTGCTATTGTTGCTGATGTCCTCCCAGGTGCGCGCATGCATGCGCAGATTGTCAAACTCCTGCGCTCTTGCCGCTATGTCATTGGTGTCCTCCCAGTAAGGTGCATGCGCTAAATGGCGCACCCCTCCCTTGCTGCTGTTGAAGTTATTCATGTTAAGGATCAGCAAAATCATAGCCCGAGCCACTGGCATATGCAAGCAGGGCGCCTGCAGGGACATCTGCAGAGCATACAATAGTTTGAAGCCTAGGAACATGCTAGTATGCCTCCTTGCATATATTTGCTAAGGAGGAGTGAAAACACGAGATCAGAAGCTGCCGGAGTGGAGGTGGATGCTGAGAAGGTTGACAGCTGTGTGTGGCATGGCGCTCAGGTGACAATTGTGAGGGCGGAGAGCGACGTGTACGCGGCCGAGATCGATGAGTCAGTGGTGATGAAGATCGGCGCTGGGGTGTATGCTCCGGACGACAGCAAGTGGGTGCAGGCGGAGGCTGGCCACTGCTGGACAGTGTGGTATCGCAGATAGGCACAATGTGCCCATGCGCGTGTCAGCGGATCTGTTAGGTGTGCGGTATTACGGGCAGGGCTGACTGCTGCATGGGTGGAGCCTCTGTGTTTGTGACCAGCACTGAAATTCTTTGTAGGTATAGACACCAGGACTGTCACCTTTGGAGCGGTAGCAACGTAGGTCGAGAAGCCTAGGTGTGTCCTCATTCTTTGCATAGCTGAGTATGTTGGTTGAAAGATATTTATTTCGTCCACCATAAAGGTTTTCCAGCCGTTTCTGGATGGTCTTCATGTGAATTTTGGAGAGACCTGGGTGCTTCCGAATATGTTCGAGGTTAGCTTCCTGGTTAAATGTCATGCATTTAGAAGAGCTGCGAAATGTATGCATCCACTGTACCATTATTGACAGCATAGTATGCTAGGCGCCTATGTGGCACGGTGTGTTTGTGGCCATCAATGTTCCAGCCTGCAGGAAGGGAACAGCTGTTATGAGGCTCATCTGATTGATGCTTTTTATTGAAGGTTCTATGTAAATTATGATTACACATTGTTTCGTACAAAGGACTCCTTGGAACCTGTCATGACCTAATGCCAGATATATAAGTGTACAGCTTCAAACAATGACAGACATATGCAAGTGTGCCCTGCAGCTGCGCACGCATGCAGCATGCTGGAGGGCCAAATCAGTTCTGTAATCACGTGAGCGCACCAAAGCTTCCGCTGTCTAATGAACTAGATGGCTGGCTACAGATATGGAAACTCACACTGCCTTTATTTCTAAAGATGCCATACCAATCGGTGAGCAACAGGTACGCATGCATGGATTTCAGTCTCTCCAACAGTCTCATGTGCACTTGCTGCACCATCCTCTACCATACTCAAAGTGCCCAACAGTTGATGGCGCCAATACATGTCTCTCATTCGTCCTGATCACTACTAGGAAATTAAAGAACCACAACAAGCCATCCAGTACTGGAGCACATGAGTTTGCCGCACACAGCACCAGGTAGAATCTTATGCTAATACCCCCAACACAGGAAAAAGAATACCCCTTGATCAGGAATGGGACTGCCCTTGACAAGTCTGCAAGAACCCTGCAGAATGTTCCGATCCATGCTGCACTCTGACCACAATTCCAACATTTGTGCCTGGAAGACTAAATCCCGCTGCAAGAGGGTCACTAACCACCTCCTGATCCATGCTCAAAGGGCTGGCTCCTTCAAAATTGCCCCTAGCTTCTGCAATATGTAGCATAACTCATGCAGACCCCGGTAAGCGCCACAGGGGTACACGTGCAAAGAATACGAGCTTGTGACAAATACAGAAAGCCAATGTCACCAACCAACCCAATAATTTTGTAACCTCAATCTTCTCATCCTCGCTTCAGCTTGACAGCTGCTCAGCGCTGTACCATAATGATCTCTCAAGGTTTTCAGCCATCTTCCCATGCATGTAAACTGAGCAAGTATATCTCTCCTCCTCAAATGTTAAATTCGCAATCTTCACTTGCTTCTTCTCGGAGCAACACCTGACTTCAGATTTCGACACCATGAATGCAGTTCAAAATTTTGGATACCGTGACACGATCCGAAGCTGTTGCAGCTGTGCAAGCTCCTGTGATTCATGTTTCTATCAGCCCGGCCGGTCCTCACGCGCTCTGCAGAATAAATTGCGAGACATCCCAGAACCGCATGGGCACATCCCTCGTTCGTTTCTCTTATTGACCACTCCAGGGGGTGTGGCTTTCTTGCCTTCGGCCAGCCTATCCAGACACAGCCGGGCCCTAGAATGACCCCCGGATGGGTACTAAATGAAGATCATTGTGATCTACCACCCCCTGGGACCGGCGGCGCGCTCAGAAGTGCAGGGTGCCCTGGGGGATGTACTTGGCGATGAGGCCGGAGTAGTAGGCGCGGAAGGCGTCGCCGGTGAGGCGGCCGCCGGGCGGGGGCGGCTTGCGCTTGTAGGCGGACAGCTCCTTGAAGCGCGCCAGCCAGGGCACCATGAGGCGGTCGCTGCCGCTCAGCAGCTCGTCGTACGGCGCGCCCGGCCGGTTGAGCGAGTGGAAGCGCTGGTGGCGGATCAGGAACAGCGCCTCCGCCGGCAGATTTGTCTTGTTCAGCAGCAGCACCTGCGTGCGATGGAGAATTCGTCAGCCTCAGAACCACTGCAAGAAAGGTCATCTCCTCCACACACCTATAACTCCAGCATATACGCCCAATAGACCAAGCTAGGCCTCTCTATGCATCCCTTCTCTGCATGTCGTGTAATAAATTGTCCTCATAGGAGGTCTGTCTCAAGGAACCGCAAAGACCCCAGGTATGCCAGGCAATTGCTGTTTGACCACCAGGGCCTGAAGGCTGGAGCAGAGGAGGCAGGGGGTGTGGGCGCACCATGTAGAGGTACTCGCTGGCGGACCAAGACATGTGAACGGCGGCCAGGCCGCAGCCCTCGCGGTAGATGCCGGTGGGCGTGTTGTAAATGCGCCGGCGGCGGTCGGGGTTGACCGAGAAGAAGGCGCTGCACACGATGCTGGGGTGGAAGCGGCAGCCCACTGGGAAGCTCTCCCCACACACCGCCCACTGCGGCTCCCCTTTTATCCTGCACACGCACACACCCGCCGTCTCAGCACACCCACACCCTCACACAATCATAAGTCATGCAGCCAGCGCAACTCTGAAGCATGTCCAGAGTGTGTCAGTCCAGAAAGCAGTTAAGTATGAGTCACTCCTTCCACCAAAGGCCAGTTGGAACACGGTGAGTATGCACTGTTTCATATGCTTTGATAAGGAAGGACGGGCAGAGATCCTGCAGCCAAGACAAAGCTAAGAAGGAAAAAGAATGGCGGCTGACCTTTTGTGCGCAAGGAGCTTGCCGAGGGAGTGGATGAGGCCGACGAGGTGGAGCCAGTCGAGGTCGGGGAACGCCGCGCGGCAGGCCTCGGCCGTCATGGCGGCATGCTCTGGCAGGGACAGGTCTGCGTCCGTTCCCTCCTCGCCCATCAGCGCCGTCTCGTACTCGCGCAGCGTGCCCAGCAAGTCCAGCGCCTCCCAGATCCCCATCTGCGCCCGGTCCAGCCGCGCATACATCGCCGCCTGCACCCAGCGGGCTCACTCGTCAGTGACTACGCCGGTGTGACAGTTCACCAGAGCACATCAACGTGTGCCCTCTTGATGTCATAATTGGCCGAATGCATCGCATTCGGCCATCCCTCAGTACCTCCATAAATATGGAGAACATGCGCTTTGCGCACATTTGTGATCTGCCTTCTGTGCAAAAAAGATGTCGGAGCAATAGAAATGGCTGACCTGGCGTCTGACAAAGTCCACGGTCTGGCGCGCGTGGTTGAGCCGGAAGAAGAGTTCCACGGCCGCCTGCCCCTCCGACAGGCAGCTGCTGCTGTGCCACCTGTTCAGCTCGCGCATCCCCGTGCACACCGTCTCGCAGCCATCCTCGTCCTGCACACCCCCATGCAACAGCTCAGCAACCCTCCCCACCAACAGTGGCCCTCTCAACATCACTCGACACAGACCGACACGTGAGAGCATGCAGAGCTGCAGCAAAATGTGAATTCTGGGCGAGGGCCTACCTCATCTTCGGAGATCCGCGTGCGCTCCACGGGCACGCAGTTCAGGGAGTACGCCCTGGTAGAAACGGGGAAGGGGCCATTCCGGGCCGTCAATGCAAGCCTGCTCTGAGATGCAGACATCTTGATGCTGATCGCGCCTGCAAAGCACCACGAGCAAAATCTCAGCATGGCAACGCCAAGCACAGCCAGGCATCCTTGCAAGCAGAGGGAAGGATGAGCAGGGCAGCCAAAGCATAATAGGAAGCGCACCCGAGTCGCCGCAGCAGTCTGCGTCCATGTCGGAGCCCTCGTCTGAGCTGAAGCTGCGCCGCGGCTGAGGCGAATCCTGCTGCTGCTGTTTCTGCTGCTGCGCGCGCTCGGCCGGCAGATACCAGAGGCACTCCGGCAGGGAGGCCGAGCGGTGCGGCGGCTGGGGCAGGCTGCAACGTGGGTTGCTGAAGGCCTGCATGTCGCACTGGCTGCCGTCTGACTGCTGCGACATGCCGCCATCACTGGCGCTGCCCCCCTCCAGGCTGCTCCTCCTCTTGTCCTCCAGAGCATCCGCACTCCTGGTGAGAGAAAGAGGTTCACCTTATAACCAAGTATCACAGAATTTCTCGCATTGGCACTTTGACAGGGTCTGTGTGTGAAGAAAAGGCTTGATAATACAAGCAAATGCCAGTCACCTGTCAAAAGATGAAGCCGAGTCACGGCAGTGTGTCCGGGTCGCCTCCAACCTGCGAGAGCTGTGCAGGTCCCATGGCAGCGGGGAGCAGCCGCCCTCGTGAGCAGAGTCCTGCCGCCTGAAGCTCCCGCATTCGCTGCTCTTGGCAGCTTGAGAAGCCCTGTTGACACAAGTGCGCTCAGGGATCTGTGGTACAGGCGGAGCAGACGCCAGGCGCGGTCATCAGGGTTAACAAACGCTTGTGACCCAGTGTAACACTCCACTAACCGCTGCCTTTCCTAATGTATTTATAGGTCGAACAGTGATGAGATATACATGCTGGTTATCGCCCTGCAATCTGACATGCACTCTTCGACGCCACCAAGATTGCCAAAAACAACTAGCTGACATCACAGGCCAACACAGTTGCTCAGGGGTGCTGGTGCGGTCAAAACCCCGCACCGTTCGACGTTCCTCGTGGTTGAGTGGTAAGCAAACGGACTATCGCTTTCGATTGCTGACGCCAGCCCCACATTTGCGCGCGTTTCGGCTTTACAGTATGCGTCCAAGCCTCCTGCAGCCCCACATAACCCTGCTCATCAGATGCTGAGGCGCATCCCCAATTGAGGGAGTCCCAAAACAATAGGACACATTGTGGGCGGACTACACCCCACACCAACTGATTGTGGCAACAGCATGCGACCAAATCTCTCTGCTCTCAGCGAGGCTGCGCGGCGCACCTCGCTTCCGCTGCTCCCCTGCGGTGAGGAGCGTGTGGAGGCTGCCGGATGAGATGCACTTCCGCATTGGGCCTGTAATCCGCAAGGCGCGGCCTTTTCTGGGCGAAAGAGCGGGGTCAGCAGCGGATCAGGCAGTGTGCAGCCCCGTGTGGTGCGTGAACCTCGAGGCAGAGTCCCCAACAAAGTCCTGGCTGACCATGCAAGCTGCTGCGAGTTTCTGGTGACTGAATATGGACATGGGCAGGGATGTAGATTCGAATGATGCCACAGATAAGGAGCAATGATACTTTTATGGTGTTTCCGGGCGCCATGTCAGATGATCCTGGATCCCGTTCGACGACGGTGTCCGTTAGAAGCCACGTGTTGCTGAATGGCTTTCTCTGCAGACGATTCTGCAACTTTGCCTGTGTACAGAAAGCACGCAGAAGCAGACTAGTTACATAAATATAGAAGGGTAGGGAGTGCTTTTCCACTGGCAAGATCGATCTGTTGTACTTCTACTTTTGATGGCAACATGATCGTGCTCTTCATAAAGGCACGGCTGGAGAACGTGGCCAAGCTTTCCCTGCCTGAGGGGCACACCTACAACCTCACTGTGAGTATGCCTGACTGCCTCGCATCAGCCACTTCACCAATTTTCATTGTTTGCTGGTACACCATGCCATGACACTATCTCGTCATGCACTGCGCCAGGTCAAAGACAGCACAGGAGACGATGTTAGGGAAGGAGTCACGGTGACAAGTTCTCACGAAGAGGAGCTGCCGGGCAGCAGGGGGTCAGCAAATTTTGCACTGAAATGGGTTAGGGACAGCAAGCATATGGCGTACCTCAACGTGAAGGAAATCACAAAAGCGCTGAAATGCAAAGGCAAGGAAAAGATATCCGGGTCCTACACAGCTGATGATGACGGCAAGTATGTGGGGATGGTGGGCTTTGAATGCCGCGGCTTGGACGTGACTGGCTGGCAACCAGAGGTGGGTCTGGGTTGTCAATCAGTGCCAAAGTGATTGCAGTCCTTTCTCCTTGCCAAAACCACGTCAGCATTACGTGATGCTCTGCTATCAGGATGGCTTCATCGTGGAGAGCACGAGCGGTGCGCGCTTTGAGGACGTGGACCTGTCAGAGAAGGAGTGGATGGACTATGATGAGAAGCTCGGGGAGTCAGTCGGCATCTATGACCTGGAGTACAAACTTGAGGCCGTGAAGCTTTGATAGGGCCTGTTTTTGCTTGTCCAGTCCCGATGTAGACAAAGTAGCCAGTTCTTACTTAAATGGCACTCAGACTGCTGGAGTCTTGACCCATTTATTTGGCAGGTCTAAGCTTTGCATTATCGACAGGGGAAGAAGCCCTTCACACATGCTGTACTTGGTTCACTTCTCGGTCACTTGGCACACTAGATTGCAAAGCGCTGGCACGGCACCGGTCCTGTGAGATATGCAGTCCAGTGGATGAGGTTGAAGCTAGCTAGCTCAGCTTTTCAGGCTGTATATCAGATTATCTTCACAGTCAGATTACAGCTTAGAGCCAGGCCTGTCATCACTTGACACTGCTGTGCATGACCTGTGATAATTTGCTCCACCTAGAGGATCATCCTAATGTCTGGACCGGGTCCCTACATAGGGTCCACTGGATTTAAAGCATGTATTTAGCTCCGCGCATGCCGCACAACAAGAAGATGACAGTCCAATGATCAGACTAGTCACTGGTGGCTGGGCATTTTATATGTTATAATTAATACAGGAGCCAGACTCTTACTCTTTTTTTTCTTGCATGGGACATGCTTTTTTGCACAGAATTGTACCTCATTGACCGCACAGAACTAATCAATACATTCACAGAGACAGTTACCCATACACAATTCACAGCATGAATGCCCAGTCGATATTTCAGACGTTCAAGCCAACGAAGAACCGCCCTGAAAATCGAGGCAAATCGACTATGCATACACCTGGAACGCATTTGTGTGACGCGACAGGCAGTTGTAGAACCTTGCAAATATTGATTTGCACGGGGCAAGGTGATACTGAATACTGTTTCCTCTCCTAGGCAGCGAGCCAGCCATGCTGTCACAGTTGCCGCAATTTCCAAGCAGGATGTGCAGTGAACACGCTAAGAAATCCGCTCTCTTGAGCTTGACAATATCCCAAATTCGATCTGCAAAATTGCCGAAGCAAATATGTAGCCCAAAATCCATCCAAGAGCCCTTTCACACGTTGACACGAACCATACCTATCGCAGGTGACAGCACATTCTCCTTGTTCCCGGTCACACCACTGGCACAGCCACAGCAGCACCAGGTTGCCAGAGGCATCCACCCAGCAGAAATCGTCATACTGATCTGCTGACGCTGCAAAGGAGGCCTCTTTGCAAACATCCTCAAGGAAGGCCTCAGCGCTGCGGCTGAGGCTGGGGCTGGGACATTTGGGGGTGCTGCTCCGCCCATTCGTTGGCCACCTTGTCCATGATGTCCTGCTCCACGTTCCCCAGCGCGTCGTCGATGCTCTGCATGCTCTCCAGCCCGCTGTTTGCGCGCTGCATGTCGGCCACCACGGCTTGCGCAGCCGCCGTCTGGCGCGCCTCCGGGCCCATGTCATGCAGCATCGCCTGCATGCATCCCACAACCCATGCTTCTACTAAGGTGACGCTCAATGACACACCAAAGCTGCATCCATTGAATACGGGAAAGCCTTACATGGGTAAGATGCCAGTGGTTTCCCACCCACTGACAGTGTGAAAGGGAAGCAGGGCAGAAGGCACACCACGGCAGCCACGGCATCAGGTAGCTCCATGGACTCCAGCTTGGCCATGCCAAAGGAGGGCGCCCTGCCCATGCCGGAGTTCATCATGGGATGCTGCTGCAGCAGCATCTCCAGGTCCCCACTGGGCAGGGCCTGCGCGCAGAACACAACAGTGCTGTCATCATCATGGTCAGTGGCCAATCAGAGGAGGGAAAGATACAATCAGTGGACTGGAGAAAAAGCATGCAGAATGAGCGGATGAATCGACTGCGCGCACCGAAGGCAGCGAAGGGAAATTGGCCAGGTTGAGGCCGGCGGACTGGTACTTCTGTAGGTCGGCGGTGGTGAGCGGAGTGCTGCCAAACATGCTGGCAATGCTCTGTAGGCTCATCTGCTGCGGCAGGGCCTCTGCTGCCTGGCCCACCTTTGCGCTGCTCTGCGCCGCAAACGGCGACGGCCGCCCCGAATTTCCCGCCTGGTCCAGCACATACATAACTCAGCACCACTCCTCCTAGACACGACCCCAACGCAAAGCATTGCAGTCCGCATTTTTGCAAATTATCGTGTAGACTTTTCTTAGAGATGACCGTGAAATTGCACAGCAGTGCCTTCAACAAGACACACCTGAGAGGTATCCTGCCCGGCAGCCTGCTCCTGGCCAGCCGGGGGCTTCCTAGCCTGGTCCCCCTGCTGCTGCTGCCGCACTGCACACCAGTACTCAAAAAGCGTCAGCCAAGCTCCATACAACACCAAGCATATTGTCAAGAGTACAGCAGAGCACGGGGTGCAAGAAATACAGCTGTTGCGTGGTCTGTGGCGGGTTAAAGGGGTGGAGCACCTGAGGTCCTGGGAGCAGTGGGCGTGCGGGAGCGGGAGTTGTAAGGCTGCGGCGCGGCGGAGGTGTCGGGAGGGAACGCGAGCGCGCCCGTGGACCGCGTGCCGTAGCCGGGCGCGGCTGACGTCTGGGGCGGCGCCATGGAGCCCATGCCGGTGCTGGCCTGCGCATACGGCGCGTAGCCGGGCGGCAGCTGCGGCGGGAACTGGGCGCCGGCCGGCAGACTTGGCACTGCTGCAGCATCACCGCCACTGCTCAGCTCAGCCTGAACTTGCTCTCGGAGAGGTAAGGGAGCAGGACATTGTGCAATGGCAAATATGGAGGTGACGGACATTGGCAAGGTGTGTGGGTAAGTGGTCACCTCCCATCTGGGGCTGGGGGGCCACGATCTGCTCGTTGGGGACGCTGACGCTCTCCAGGGCGCCTGTGCTCATGAATTGCTCGCTGTCCACCGGGTAGATGGCCCAGCCAGGGTGCCCCGGCTGCCACCAACTCGCCACTGCTCCAGGCTGCAGCTGCCTCACCTGATCAACACAAGCATGACAGCTTAAGGGATCTTGGGCATGAATTGGAGCCAGACTTCGCCATCGTAGGCGGGCAATCTCTTTCCTCTGTTTTTGCAAGATGAATTCCCCTGTTTTGCAGTTGGTGACAACAAAAAGCAAAAACAGAGATCTGGAGGTGTGGCCAGCACACCTGTTCGCGCTGAGCAGGGGTCTGCTGTGCCATCAGCGTCGCCTCCATAGTAGTCTGCAGGCCGTCCTGCGACTTCTTCTGCAGGAGACCTGCAGGATTTACACTGATGTTCGTCAGAGGGTGCGCCGCATCATTGAGTGCATGGAGGCAATGCTTTACATAAAACGCTTGGGGACAAGTTATGGGCGACCTGCTGGCCGCGGAAAATGCTGATGCCCCGTCCCGGGCCCCCCGCTCAAGCTGTTCTTATTGAAGGTCAACCTGATAGCCTCATTGGGGGGCTGCGCCCCCCAACCCCCCCCCCCCCCCCCCCCCCCCCCCCTGTTGTGCCATCGAGTGGGCAATCTCTTCTAAAGAGTAGTCTAACGTGAGCCTCCCCAAACCCCCCATCGCGTCGCATAAGACTCTCTTGACGTCTTCACTACAGAGCAGCTGCTCTCAAAGTCCCGAGGAAGTCTTTCAGCGAAGAATCTCACGTGGTAGCACGTGGTTCACTCTGAAAGACGTCGAAATAGCTCAGGAACTGGGATGAAATGGCAGCACCGCTCTAGGAGCGATAGACACAACCTGTATCTCGGGTTTGTGACTATGGAGACTGCATTCCGAAGACAAACCAGACTGGAAATGTCTTAAGAAATTCGCTGCCACGTGGCGCTCTGTATGAGCCCCGTTTGTTACGAACAGGGTAATACGTGCTAACGCCCGGAGGGGGCTTCAGCAAAAAAAGTATCATCTGGGCAAAATCGCAAGATGCCCCTGATGTCCATGGATTTGGAGATATCAATACAACAGGGGATAGAAGAGTTGGCTCAAGGGATGTACCGACAGGGCGGTCCAGGTCCACATTGCCAAGGCGGCAGGTGAAGAGGAGGCCGAGCTCCATGGAGGCCTTGTCCGCATACCAGATGCGCATGCGGTTGTCCGCCACCACAGCGCGCATGGCATGGTCCCGAGCATCGTCCCACTTCTCCTTGCTCAGCTTCAGCACCTGCTGCAGCTTCTGGCGCAGGTGCCCGTCCGACTCTGCCAGCAAGGCCAGCTTGCGGAACTCGCCCACTGCACGCATGACATTATCGCGTCACCCCTTGCTCAACCCTCACAGCTGCCATGCAATGCTGGCAGATGCGGGAAAGAGAAGTATAAAAAGGTTGCAAAGACAAAAGATTAGGATTGCAGGAGTGATCACCCTTGTCGATGCGGTTGTCAGGCACGCTGATGTCGATGCCGGACTGGATGGCGCTGACGCGGATGTCCTGCAGCTTCTTCACAGTCTCCTTGCCCATGTGCTCCAGCTTGCTTACATGATCGTCCACGTTGGGAATCTCCACCTTGCCAGCTGTCCTCGTGCGGCGGGTGGCCACCTGCAGTGGGAAGGCATTGATCCATCACAGCTGCACAGGCTGAGTGTCAAAACGCAAGAAGGATGGTGACGAATGAAAGTTTGCTGTCTGAAAGTCTTATAAGCTCGGGGTGAATTGCGCACCACATAGCCCTCTGAGACGGCATGGCGGATGTTGACCTTGCGCCCGTCAGAGGCCACAGCCCGCACCAGCAGGCGGAAGGGGGGCTTGCGGCCGCTCAGCATTGCCTCACTGCTGTCTGACACATGCAGGTCTGGCAGCTGGGCCATGCCTCTCTGTTCCCAAGACAAAGTGAGATTACTCAGCCAATTACGCCAGTGCCCAGCGCAGACAGCTGCGTTCTGAGCGATATATTGTCTTGCATGAAACAGAGCTGCAGTAATGCATCTGTCTCTTGATAATGCTGTGCACCCCACATGGTAGCAGCGGCTCACCGTGAGCTGCACCACAACTTTGGACTGCGAGTTGTGAACTGCAGCGCCGCTGGGCACCAGAAGCGCCTGTTGCTTGTTGTTCTGCAGCAGGCAACAGGCCTCCAAATCCTCATCCCGCTCCTGGCCAGCCTCCAAGCACTTGGCATCGTAGGCATTGCCATCCAAGACGGCCATCTGCTTCACAAACGTCAAATTCACAACCCAGCCCTTGACTGAGAAAGGTTGGGTTACATCCAGAACAATTGCCATGATGGGTCATAGCACAACCATGCAGCTGCCTGACTGCCGGCAACCCACCTCTAGGTGCACATCAGCGATGTCCTCTCCCAGGGGCACCCCTGTCTGGCGGTCGATGATCTCCACACGGATGGGAGCATCGCATTTGGCCTTGAGCACATCATTGACCAGGTACTTTGGAGCGAAATTGACATTGCAGCGCCTGTGAGGATTGTGTTCACACAGCACGCACTGCGGATCCAGGCATCCCAGGCTCCTGTGGTGCATGCACAGGGGGACTTCAGAGAGTGGTACTGCCTGCAGACAAGGCCCGTCAGGAGACGATTTGCTGCACACCACTCTTTGAAAACCCCACAGTGGAAATCTGGGATCCAATCGAAGGATATGATGTCAGAAAATTTGTCTTCTCAAGACTGGAAACACAGAGGAGCTTACTCCCGTGGCTTGCATGCACTGACCACAGGGGCGCTGTGACCTCGCCCTGCTGTGCGATGCCCCAGACCAGGACTGTATCGAAGACAGTGCAGGCAATAGGATATTGTCAGGGGCGCACAGGCAATCATGCCGGAAGACGAGCTGCAGATCCCGGTTCTCTACTGCCACCCGTCCGTACTCTGGAGCGGGAAGGCTCGCGATGGCTTCTGCTGCCGCCTGTTGTACGATCTGAGGATTGAGAGAGGGGTTTATTCGCCTTGCAAAAGCGCCAGCGAACTGGATAATCCGTGCCCGAACGTACTCCTGCACGAAGTAGTAGTAAGTGTTGTCAGCCGTGGACGAGTGGTTCGCAGAAGTGCAGGAATGAAGCTCATCCTAGGATAGCCTCACCTCCAACGGCCTGCCTTGCACGCCCTGAAGCTCGGGCGGCAGTCTCACGCCTCGCAGGTGGTCATCCACCATCAAAACGCTCTTAAAGGCCCACTCCCTACAGTCTGACTATTACTGTAAAAACCAACGCAGCACCAGGGTTGTTTCAAGAATCTTGGCTGCCACTCACAGCAGACTTCACAGACAGATGTGCAGGCCAAGGCACAAGCTGAGGGGCTTGGCTGCACCACAAGCAGCCTGGCTGTGGAGCACAAAGGCCACAAGCTGCCTCCCCTGCTCTTCGACCCCTTCCTGTCCCGACGCACGAAATTCAAAGCTGCTCATGCACGAACAACACCTGTGCTGCCAAAGATTAAACTGAACTCCGCTCCAAGCTTCAGGTCCGCTTCTTGCTGCGCCTGAAGGAGGAAGCCAGCGGGTTGGGTGGAACCACTCGGGTTTTACCCCAGTCCTGCCTCTTGAGAAAATGAAAAAACGGACAGCAAATTTGCTTCCGATCGTGATCCCCGTTATATCAATATTGTTGCTTCAAGCAACTTGCTTTTCTATGCTAGAATACTCACCTAAGTAACTTGGTTTTGGGTGACCCATCTACCCTGATCAGTTGCTCCCATTTCAAAGGCATCCTTGGAAAGCTTGTACGATGATCTAGGAGTCATATTATATATATATTGCGTGCACAATGGGCAGAGGAGAGGTGATGCACTGCCTTGTTCGGTCTGGCCGACGTTGAGAAGGAGTAGCCTTCGGACCAAGCACTGTATAGGCTGGAGTGAGGTTGATTTCTTGCGATGCAGTCTCCGGACAAGAAGAAGATTCTGATAAAGGAATGGGACTCGAAGATCGCTGCTGTCAAGATCCGCAAGGAGGACATGAATCGGCTGGTCATGAACTTCTTGGTCACAGAGGTGCCTCTGAAAAGCTTCAATGACATTCTGTGCTTATTTGCTGATCGCAGCATTTCAATGGGCTTTACTGCACAGATCCAACCGGCATTCCTGCTGCTCCAGGGCTATGTGGAGGCAGCACATACGTTTGAGAAGGAGTCTGGAACACCACCAGGGGTTGACCTTGGAGCCATAACTGACCGCATGGAGATCCGCAAAGCCGTGCAGAGCGGCAATGTCGAAGAGGCCATAGAGCGTGTCAATGATCTCAACCCAGAGGTGGCGATTTCCCAACGTACACTGCAACACCCAATTCATGTCTTTGTCAGCTATAAGGATATGGTCTTGCAGTGGGCATTTGGTTAAACTCTGTCATTATTTGTTCATACTTCACATTCCTTGTGCATCCAGTAACAAAGGCTGGGATGTGTTGCACAGATCCTGGAGGAGAAGCAGCAGCTTTCGTTCCACCTCCAGCAGCAGCGGTTGATAGAGCTCATCCGGCAAGGCAAGACCGAGGATGCCCTGGAGTTTGCGCAGGAGTACCTGGCTCCACGCGGCGAGGAGAACCCTGCTTTCCTGGAAGAGCTCGGTGAGGACATCTCTGCAGTTTGGATGCAAAAAAAACATGTACAAGTATTTTAGGTTGTCTATCCTGATCATGGGCATCACTTGGTTTCAGACGAAACAATCACAAGGTCAAGCAAAATCCTGCATTGAACTAGGATTGCATGTGCAGAACGCACGATGGCACTGCTTGCGTTTGAAGACACGCGCAGCAGCCCGGTGGCCGACCTCATGGACATCTCACAGCGCCAGAAGACGGCGAGCGAGCTCAATGCTGCGATCCTGAGCAGCCAGTGCCAGGTATGCCTGGCTTGTACAGCACGGGTGCCTTGCCTCTGAGTGCGTGTACATGAATCACTCAGATTAGTGATTATTTTACACATCTACTTTGTGACTGGTTGATAGGGTCTATCTTGGATCTGGCGAGTCCAACAAGGGGTAGCATCATGGCACCCTTTGACTGCAGCTCTGGAGGACGCACCTTGCTTTCTGGCAGGAAGAGCGTGTAATAATAATAATAATAATAATAATTGCTGACGTGCATTGTGCTGCTTTCTCAGGAGCGCGAACCGCGGCTGCCAGGCCTGCTGAAACTGCTGCTCTGGGCCCAGAACCAGCTTGACAGCAAGGCCATCTACCCCCGCATGGATGACCTGGTCTCTGGGACGCTGTCAGAGCCGACATCAGATGTGCCCAATGTATATTGACTGACACCACGCTGACCTGATTATAGCAGCACCCTTTGCGAGGCTTTGTTGTGTGGGCCTCCATACACAAGTCCTGGTGATTGGCCCTTGTCAGTGACAAATTGTCACCCATGTGGATCTCAGCGCGGCTTGCGGCATTGAGACTTTAGGAACTCTTGAGGTAAGCATATAGAGTTTTCTTGCTCTTGCCAGCCGCCAAGTATACTAATATTCATCCCTGTACAAAGTGCACCAATACCATACGATAGTGTGCCAAGCCCTGACTCAAGTCAGGGCCCTCATCAGGGCTCATGGCTCAGGGCTTCTGATGCTGGAATTGTGTCAGAAAGGCAAGGGCAGTGTGCTACTCAATTAGCTGGGTCCAGCCATTAAAGGAATCATGAAACAAGCAAAGTTGCAGTTGCAGAGTGCAGTGCTCCATGACTCTTACATGTCTGCAACTGATCTGCAAGCGCTCCAGCCTGGCAGGTCCTGAGCTCAAGACTTGTACTACTCAAGACTTGTATCAGTAATCACCGTGTTGAAAATGATCATCATTATAATGTGACCAGTTGATTGCAAGGGCAATTTGCATGGGCCGCAGCAGATGCATTCATGGATTGGTCAAGACCCCTGGACTTAATTTGGAGTAGCTCAGGCGCGGCAAGCCAGCATCTGCATTCACAGGCCTGGCAGCTGTCACAAGTGCCACCAAATTCCACCAAGTCAGTGACACAAACTTCAAGTTAAAAGTAGCCTACTGAGTCACAGCTTCAGTGATAATCAGTGATTAAAAACAACTTTTGAAAATTGCATGTGTACCAAATTTGCTGGACTGCACAGTCATAGGATGCATGCATGCGCACTATATGACAGAAGCAGTTTTGAATCATCATGGCGCCACTGGCAGCGGTGCCGCAGCCCCGGGCCAGCGCCAGTTTCGACTCTACTGATCTCTTCGTACTATATTTAGAGATATCTCAGCAACTGGCCAGCAGCTTGAAGCTTGTCCCTGCAGGATTCTCAAGCACTGGACAACCTGTATCCGGATACAGATTAAAATGTTGTATTGACTGACACGGATCCTGCAAGACCATCTTTGGCTCCCTGGAAATGGTCCCTCTGGAGCGACCCCCACCTGAACAAGGGAAGGTCGACTCGGATGGCTCTCGATCATGACGCTGTTGCCTGATTTGGTGGAGCAACGTGGGCCTTGAAGTTCGCTAAACGATCTTTTGTGAATAGCCAAATCGCGAGGCACCCAGGCAGGGACGGACACCCTTTGCGTCAGATAGGCATCTTTGACGTCCAGAGAAGCGAGTGGTGCACGTCTTGGAGCCGGATCTTTGTTGGTGCTCCGACCAGGGTTTCAACCTTAAAACCGAGGAGTTTTCAGGGTGCACCATCGAGATGACTGCCGTAGTTGTGGGGCGCCGAGTAACACTTCCAGGACCCTTCGTGGGTGACCATGACAACATGGTGGATCGCTTGATAGAGGCCTGCGCCGCTGTGAAGCAAAGGACCTTTGTGTCCTTCGAACGGGAATTGCAGCCCTGTACGGAGGCGTGGCTGGAGCCTGCGAAGTGAGTTTTCCAGCATTTGCTTGTACAACTGGAAGTTACTCGAAGCCGCTGTTATGCGTTTCCGATTCCGGTGACACCTGTGAGCCCATAAGCGTCCGGTTGCTTCATCTTGCTGGAAATCGTACTCAAGTCTTCTGATACGGTGCAGGTCTGTCCAGAAGAGGGAAGGGACTCCAAACAAGGAACGAAACAAGAAGAAGACAAAGAAGGCCCGGTGAGAACTTGCTCTTTCCCCTGGACCACCGTTCCCTGTCGTACCCGCGTAGCTGCTCAACCTAGGGGCCGAAATCAACTACGGCGACTATCGTATACGACGTGTCCAGCAATGTTATATGCTGGTGGCGAGCTGTGCAATGCTCGGGTCAGTTGTTCGGACTTACCATGTCAGGAGCACACGTGGTTGGAGCAGAGGTGCTTGCACGTTGTCCCAGAATATTTGGGCGAATAATGTTTTTCCTTTGATGTCTCTCGTGTGATGTGTGTCTGCTGGCGTGCAGGGCTGCCTCACCTCCAGCTGATGGACCACCTCGCACAGCTCCCCAATACACAGTCAAGACTGCAACAAAGGCCGTCTCAATTTCTACCCCCAAGCAGTGGGCTGGACCGGGCTACGTCATCTCACCGAAGCCAGAGGCGCTGCCTCTGCCACCGGCTTCCCTGCTGCGTAAAATTGCAGTAGCAGCGTGAGCATCTGGTGGTGGCATCTACTGACGCAATAAGACAGTCTGACTTACTACCAGTATGACTCGCTAACAGTAAAAAGCTCAACAAATTCGTGGAGGTTGCGTGTTGTCATCCAGTGTGCCAAGGAGTCCTTCCGAGCACTTGTCGTGCTGGGGGGTTTTCTGGGAGACGTCAGAACAACATGTGGTGCTTAAGCGATTATTATTATTTGTACGACTCTTGTGCATTGCCCACCAAGTAGTGAGTTTCGTTGCTGTTGCTGGGCGCAATTTTCACCTTTTCGAGAGAGCAGCTTACTTGCGCTCTCCCTTTCCTCCTGAGACCTCAGTGTATTATTATTGAAGCCAGAGGGGTGTCAGCGCTTGCTTCCAAGCCGCCCTCTCTTTCTTCTAGGATAGAATAGAATTGCCTCGAGGAATGTGGTACGATGTTTGCTTGATGACCCTGCATGAACAGTTGTACTGCTCAGTTGGTCAAATGGTATGGCTGGCGGCTACATTTCATAGAGGTTGGTGTGCAATTCAGTGATAACGCTTCGCTGCCTTTCTCCTGCAGAATGTCAAGAGGTGTCCTGTTGGGATTCTGGTCAGTTTCTCCTGCCAGAATAGTAGGATGGGTGACAAATTTTATATCGTGTCACCCTTACTGAGGACATCATGTGATCTTTCAAGGAGCAGTGATTGGTGCACTTGTGTACTCTGAAGAACCTTCAACACCCAACAATGAAAATGGGTGGCATTGTTGGCAGCACACATGGGGTGGGTCTGGCCCCTGCCGCAGGGATGAGAATGGTGCATTTCTTGAATTGTCAGCGTTTTGGAACATGTTTGTCTGTGCGAATCAGGCGGGGTGGCTGCTGCTGTCATGCAGCAGTTCCCGGGTTGTGTGCTTCTGAAGCACATGGTCAATGGATTGAAGGGAAGATGCATAAACGAGTCAGATTGCTTGCCTGCCGGTTGTTCAACATCGCGTTGACAGCTGGTGTGTGTGTGTGGAAGGGACAAGTCCACTGATTAGGAGTTTCTGTAGCTGCATTTGCAGCCAGATCTGCTGGTTGGCTGTGTTATGTCAGACCTGACTCGCGTGAGAAGAGTGTGCAGTCGTGATGTGAACACCAGAGGGAGGATTGATGCCAGGATTGCGGTAGGCACTGGCAGGAGGTTGCTATATCGGAGGGTTTCAGGAACAGCATCACTCATTTCAATGGCGTGCTTCAAGTGGCAGCTGCGCGTTGCTTTTCCCTGGCAGTAAAAGAAACATAACATACTACCTGATTTGCATGGGGTTCTGGGGAGCTGGTGCTGATGTCAGCAGCTCTTCAAATGCCGTTGGGGATTCCAGTAGGGGTAATAATTTTCAATTTGGCTTACTTATTGCAGCTGCCAATTGTGCTGGTGGTTGGATTTTCCACGAGGATCTGTATGCAAGAGTGAGGTCCAACAAACTTGGCGTATCATCAACGCCATCACGTCATGATTGCAAGAGAAAGAGAGATTATTGTAAAGAGGCTCGGCAGGTCATGACCAAGTCACGGCGCGCACAGCTGAAGGAAAGGGCATGTATGAGAACCGTGTGCATGATCATTGAATGCACCGTCAAAGTATCTTGTACAAGTAGCTGATTGAGCACACCAATCAAGTTGTGCATGACTTAAGACCAAGCTTGGAGGCTTAAGCTTGGAGGCATGCCTAGGCCGGTGCCAAGCTTTGTGCACTTTGTTATGAAAAAAATGGCAGGGGTGCACCACGTGGCAACCATCTCTGCAGGCACCACCAGTATGAATTCTCTCTCTGCGCGTCATCAATCTTGGGTCCTCAGTCTACATCCCCAGGAGACTGCCTCCGTCAAAATGTGCTCCTGCTGGCACCAGCACTCTAAGCCCTGCTTTTCCGCTGCCCAGTGATGACCTGGCCTGAAGAATCAAGAAGAAGACAATGACGCTTTCTATTGCAAGTAGTAATCTTGGTTATCTCAAGATATTGAAAGAAAAGTGCAACCTGTGCAGCTTTGAATGCGAAACTGCCTCTAGCTTCAAAAGTTGCTGCTTGATGGTGTCAGTGGAACCAGAATAGTCCAATGATCGTTTGATATCTTAGAGTTGATTCCTCCATTATAGATTGGCCCAATTCACTGGGCGTGCTCGACTAGCACATAGATGCACCCCTAACTGAAGTGTGGATGGAGTGGGATACAGTGATGATATGGCTGACAAGGGCGTTGATCGGGGTGTGTGCATCAATGAAACTGCATATGTTTCAGATAAATATACTGGTTGCTATGCAATGGTCAAAAGCATATGTGCGCAGGGTGGAGGTATAAGTGCAGTGGTCTTGGGACTGTTATTCTCTTTTCAGGAGCGACTGGTGAGAACTCATTCTGGTTACCCGATAACTTAATTCATTGTCTGTTGTGCAACCTTTGGAATGTGCTTTTTGAAACGACTGCATTGTGCATGCAGATATACATGCCAAAGATACCAGGTATTCCAAACGACTTCCAGTATTATCCAAACGATTTTGGGCTGGAGTATGAGGTAAGGACTGGCAACCTGGAACCACACCCTCAAAGATCTGCCTTGATGAGTGCCCCAACCTTTGTGCACGCGACATCATGGAACTGACCTCTTGAGAAAACACAGAGAATGGCTCGACTGGCTTGTGTATCAGGATGTGGATCTGACAGCCAAGGATGGCACAAAGCTCCATGCCTGGTACCTGCACCCCAAAGGCTGGACTCTAGCCACGCGGAAGCAGCGGCCAATGGTGCTCTTCTTCCAGGAGAACGCTGGCAACATGTCTTTCAGGCTGCCCTTCCTGCGCTTGCTAGCTCGTTACCTGGACTGCGCGATATTTGCGCCCAGGTTGAGCCCATCCAAGACCAAATCTACCTCCAGCATCAAATCCTGCATGCGCTTGTGTCTGTGAGGGCCAACACACCTCTGATCCTGTGCACTTGTCAGATCGCTGTTTGTGATACTAAAGGTTACTGCATGCGCAGTTACCGGGGGTATGGGCGCAGCCAGGGGCAACCCAGCGAGGCTGGAATCAAGTTGGATGCACAGGCTGCCCTAGAGCATCTCCTGCAGAGGACAGATGTTGACAAGGACATGGTGATTGGGCGTCTCCCTTGCTTGCCAAGATTGCCTACAGTGTCTGTATTAGAATAAATGCCCATTCAGCAGATGCATGCTGCAGGTGGTGGTCATGGGGAAGTCTCTGGGTGGAGCTGTGGCACTTCATCTTGCGGCAGCAAACCCCAAGGTGTTCAGGGCAATCGTGATAGAGAACACATTCCTGTCAATCGAGGATGTCGCTCCAAAGGTGTGGTTCGCGAGGATGCACCATGCCATGCCGCACCTCACAAAGGTGGAAATACAATCAGCTTGGTCCTTCCCCGGCACATGTGTGATGGGCAGCCTTGTTTGCAGATGCTCCCCTTCCTGGGACCTGTGCTGGGCAGAGGCAAAGTGGGAAACTTTCTGATTCGCAACAAGTGGAGGAATTACCAGGCCATACAGAAGATAGGAAAGACCCCCATCCTCATGCTATCTGCTGGACAGGCAAGATCACTGCATTCCCATACTCTATGTCCCTGTTGCCATGGTTGCTGCTGAATCTTTGCTGGATACTGTGGTGCTCAATACCGTGGCTGACTATGTGTGCCTGCCTACATGATTTACTGATGAGGCTTTTGCTACCTGCAGGACGAGATTGTGCCGCAGTCTCACATGCAAAGCCTGTATGATGACATTGGAGGCGCTGACAACAAGAGATGTTCCTGGGCAGAGTTTCCCGATGCACACCACAATGACACATACGAAGTTGCAGCTCCCCAGTACTGGCAAGCCATGCTGGCCTTCTTCAGGCAATTTGTCCCAGTGGCGGAGTGACAGCCCAGACCTGCAGGTGCCAGTGTTAATACCTTCTGGTGAGCAACTGTCGATTTGCCGTTTGTAATTGTCCGCAAAGTTATACTTGTAGGGTTCACTAAATCTGATCAGCGCTAGATCATTGAGGGCACGCAAATGTTGAGAATACTCTGCTTGCTTCTTGTGTCAGTATGCCACTCTGGAGTGAGAGTATTAAATTGGTTCAATAGCGCTATCATATTGCCAGCCTGACACTTAGAGCTGATTGATGCTTTTTTGTTCGGTCAAGCCTTGAGGCAAACCATTGAGGCTACCATTGGCCCACCAATGGTGACCGCACGACCTTTCAATATTGCATGTTCTATCATGATTCGATCATTTCCGGCGCTCCCTTGTCGTCCATGCCTACATCTCTTTGTCCAACAAAAGGTCTCTGCGCAGACTGACTGATCATGATTTCAGTCAGTCTGCGTCAACTGCATGCATGCGCATATGATCATCATGATGGATCTGATCGCGATATCCGGATGCGATTTCTGATTGCAAGGATTGATCCAATTGGCTTCATGAGTTCAGATACCAAGGTCAATATGATTGAACTTAATCCATCAGTGATGTCATGATCATGTATTATTTCAGCCTTGGACTTCTTGTCTAGCCACCATCAGCTGAGCAGATGCATAATGCAAGGGCCCACATGAGCTCACGTGCACAAGCATGTTCATTCTGGGTGCTGGTTCTGCAATTACTGTCGAGTGTCACATTTGAATCACACTCAAATGAGCTTTGGTTGATGTAAGAAAGCTTGGCGAGAGTGTCTTGTTCCGGACTTTCAGAGACTCGGATTGTTGCCATTTGTCTTCCTTATCAGAAACCGTCTTGATTGCCAAATCCACTGCACGACTAACTGAATCTAAATTCGTGATATTACATGTGGATCAAGGAACGTTCACCATTGACCAAACCGATGGACATGTAGCGCGGCAATCAGTGAACAAGATGAACTTCCAAAAGCACTCCAGCATGCTCAAAGCTGCATAAAGATCGAACGTTATTGATATTCGAAGGTCTACGGATAACAAAGAAAATATGGGTCGTGGAGGACAGAAGGCAAATCCTGACGAGGATCTTGCATCGAATCCTCTCTATGCACCATTCTGTGGAGACCATTTTGATGCAATGGACTTCGCCAGTCGTTCTTTAAGTACATCATCAACTACAGCTCAGGTAGTTCTCAACTTTAAATTGCATCCATGACTGCAGTATCCGTGACTGCAGTAGGATTGCTGTGTAGTAAAAGTCATCAATAATCGAAACTCACGTTCCAGTGGAATTGGGGCAGGCACAAACCATCCAACTACAGCAGGGGATTAAGAGTCTACAAGAAAGGATCAAAGAAGAGGTTCACAGGCGGCAGGATGAGCTGCTGCGGCAGGCTGAGAGCCTGCGTGAGGCGCAGAGCTTCATGCAGGTCATGCCCTGCATCGCACCTGCAACCTTTTCCCAAAATTGTCAGATCAGCGGCACTCTGCAGGAAGCCAATGGGCCGCTGCTCACTCAAATGTGCAGGACGTTCTCACACATGCATGCAGAAGACTGTAGTGTGAGGTGATGTGATGTGTGCCGCATCAGGGGATTAATCTGTCGGTGGACTCGCTGCAAGCGGCGATGCGGCGGGTGCGCGCTGAGGTCATGCAGCCGTACGCATCCATCCGCCTGCAGACATCTCAGCTGCACAACCTGCACACCACTGCTGATGTGCTGCGCCATGTCCTGCACCGCCTCAAGCTGGTCGCCAGGCTCAAGGTCAGCCATTTTCATCACTCGAAGAACCCCTCCTCTGGGACGCCAAATTGACTAGTTCATCTGATTAGCTGTCCTGCAAAAAGAATAATAAAGCGCCTGAAACAATTGTGGCTGCATGCTGCATGTCATTTTAAAAAGCAGCAGCAGGGCAGCCTTCCAAGGGTGAGTACTGGTGCTTGCAGGCACAGCTGGCCACGCAGCAGGAGAAGGCTGGCAGCCAGGACCCTGCCAAAGCAGCCAAGCTCCTGAACGACATCGCCGCTGTCGGCCAGGAAATCGACCTGTCAGGGATCACGGTTGTGGAGGCTGATGAGGATTACCTACAGATTGCCTCCCAGCAGGCATGCACCTCTCAATCATGAGGCCCTTGTTGAGCTCACTTGAGTTTGCCTCTTGAGGCTGTCCTGATCGACACTGATGGTGAGCAGGTGCATACGCAAGCCAAGGCAGCCTTGCGAGCGGGCATGGAAACTCTGAGCCAGGCGGAAGTGGGCTCAGCCCTGCAGATCTACTTCAACCTCAACGAGCTCCCAAAGGTGATACCTGCTTCTTCGCAGATCCTGTTTGCCAGCAATCAGAAGAGCCTTCACTAGCATTCTATCAGACCAGCCCCTGGCCATAGGTAGCTCTTGTGAACATGTGGGAACGGCTGTGATGTTGCCTGCACAGGCGGTGACTGATCTGGTGGAGGGTTATGTGAGCCAAGTGGAGCGGCTGCTGACGAATGCGCTCGATGCGCGGCGGCTGACATCGGCGGGCGCTGCCGCCGGGGGGTTCCTGGGGGGCGCCGGCGGCCGCGGATCCCCCGCTCCCGGCACAGCCGGCAGCACCGCCAAACTGGCCGACATCCTCTGGCAGAACCTCTCCAAGGTAGCTACCACCAACAATGCTGCTACAGCTCGAGGCTCCTTTGTGCAAGTGACAAAGAAAGAAGAGAACAAGGTGCTAGAAGGCTGTGTAGTGCCATTCCACGCATCCAACAGGAGTCAAAGCACACATACAGCCTGCCGCGTGACGGTGTGTGTCAGCGCCAGCATCTAGTGGAGAAAATTGAGCGCTAACACCATGATGAGGATCTGGCAAGGATGCTCTCAAAAGATGCCCCTGCGACAACCATCAGTGCTCTAAGTAATCTCAAGTGCCATGGTTCGCCCGTGATGATGCATGCACAAAGGTGCACGTGGGTGGGAGCTGAGCTCTGCAGCCTTGCAGGCGCTGGAAGCGCTGCATGGAGCGGCTGTGGCGGTGTGGCATCTGCAGCGGGTGCTGGCAAAGAAGAGGGACCCGCTGTCGCACGTCCTGTTTTCAGACTCACTGCAGGCCGCCTCGTGCCCACCTCCCATGTCTCATTTCTGGTGCGATGCCATGACATTCATCGCTGCTCCTGCTGTTCTTGCCCTGCTCCAGAAACCTATGATGTTCTCTCGCAGCACTGCCATGGCTGCAAACTTTTCCTTACCAGTGTCTGCACCTGGCAAATGCGGTTCCTGGCGAGATTCTTGGAGCAACAGAGGGGTGACAATGTGATTTTCACCTAGTGATGTCCTGCTCTTTGGCTCCACAGTCAGTCAATCTCACAGCACCATCTGAGCTGCTAGCCTGCTACCTGACAGGGAGGAGCCTGGGTGAGGTAATCAGAGCAAAAGATACTGACTGCATGCGGGGCTGCAGGGAGCTCGCGACAGGGGCGTTGCAGAAGGCGTTTGGGGATGCGGCTGCGGCGGGGCGGGCGGGGCTGGTGCGGGAGCTGCTGACGGCGCAGTTCCCGCGGCTGGCGCGCATCTTCGAGGACACCATTGCCAAGCTCCTCCAGGACACCGAGGTGAGCAACCCTGGTAATGCCAGCAAAGAACGCGAAGTTTCTCAAGTGACGCTTTCTCCTTACATGGCGCTTGTACTGCATTGTAGCCCTGCATTCCCTACTGCATTCCCTCTGAATGGAGAAAGATTTCTTTGTTTTGTATCAGGAGCACCAAGGTGGACTGCACAGAGGTCTTTAAAGACTGCTTGAAGAGGAAAGAAAGACAGAGTCGCATGTGTGGTGTCAGGGGCGGTTACAATTGTTTCTGGTGAGCAGGTGAAGGGTGTGGAGCCGGCACTGGTGGAGGATGAGACAGAGGCGGTGGTGGCGGCGGTGGCACCGTTCCAGCAGGCCTACCTGGGCAGCTGCATCTCGCGCATGTCCGACGCGGCCGCCAGCGCGTTCCCGGGCGGCAACCGCTCCCTGCCCACCTCCGCCGAGCTGCAGAAGTTCATCGGGTGCGCCCCCTGCTCAATTTATGACTGCGCCAACGCTAACACATCAGTGCTGAGATCAGTAATGCGCTTGCCGTTCGCCATGCCACAGGGACCCTTTATATCCAGAGTAAAACAATGGCTGACCCCTGGAGACAAAAAGATAAACACTTTCGTTGGCCATGCTACTATTGAGATTTTCACAAGGTCCAAGTGTTGATGATGAAATGCGGGCTGTGGTGCGGCGCAGGAGGATGCATGAGGAGCTGAAGGGCGTGGGCTCCAGCATGCGGCTGGCTGCACAGGTGGCCGCCTGTGTGGGCAAGGCGCTGCGGCTGCTGGCCGAGAAGGCCGAGTACATGGCCGCCACAGGTGCGCCCGGCCGGCAGCGCCTCTCGCTGCTGCCACAGTTATTAACATTATTATTCTTTTTATCAGACATTTTCCAGTTCCTAGAGATCTAGGATTGAGGTACATTCAGCAACATGTGTATCAGATTTATCTTACAGTGATCCCGGACAAAACTCACATCAGAAGCTGAGCAGTCAGGCCCCTTGATGTGGAGGTAAATGACTCAACTATAACTCCATCAGATTGCTCATGCGGTCAGAAGGCATCATGTTGTGGGGTGCAGGGCCGGACGTGCGGCAGATGGGGGGCGCGTGCACGAGCGCGCAGCTGCGCAACATAACGCTGTGCAGCCAGCTGAACGAGGTGCACCGCTCCCTCGCCAACCTGCTGCCCCGCCTCCCCACCCAGGCCGCAGCCACCCTCAGGTGCCGCCCAAGGGCCCACTGAACATGCATTTACCACACATGCACAGTGCTCAAGGGGCATTCCTGCTCATCGTAGATTTAATTTTGGTTGCTCTTACTATTCTTCCCACTCCTTCTTACATGCCAACCCAATCTACATGGATCATCCACGGGGCTCAGGGGCATATTAACAGCGCATCATGTAAGCGTTACAGCCTGGTCTGTGCAGACCCATCAGAATTTAAACAAAGATTATGCATGACATGAAAGGCAGTGCCAGCGCCAAGTAGGGAGGGAGGGCTGCTTGCGGTGTAAACAGTGTGCATCGACAAAACAAAGAAATGAAAGATAAATTTCTGCAAGGGGAGAGATGAGGGAGTGCATGTGTCCTGGCAGGGCGCCGCTGGAGGCAATACAGGGGGTGGCAGTGGAGGCGGTGGTGCCGCTGTTCAGGGCGGCCGTGGACGCGGCCGAGCAACACATCCTGCGCATGCACGCCCAGGACTTTGGCGCTGCATCCGCGCCAGCCGTCGCCGGCGCCTCCCCCTACATGGCCGACCTCACCCGCCACATCGCCCTCTGCAGGTGCGCTGCTGCCGCTTTCTCTGTCAGTGTTGTGCTGGTTTCTGCATCTTCCACCGCCTTATCGATGTCACAAGAAGCTGAAGTGTGGCTCTGGCCAGCTTCAGTCCGGCTTTCCTCGTCTCATGTGCCTCTATGCACGGGCAAAGGCTCTGTTGCAGAAGACTTCGACTATAGGACACGTGGGCGGGCGTCCCTAATTTCAGATATGAGGCTGCTGTGGGGTGGTGCAGGGTGGAGTATCTGAGCAAGTTCAGCCCGCCGCCTTCCAGCGCAACGGCGAGTTTTGGGGGTGCGCTGGTGGAGCGCATGGCCGGCCGCATCGTGCTCTTCTTTATGCGCCACGCCTCCCTCCTGCGGCCTCTCTCACACGCCGGCAAACTCCAGCTCGCCAAGGTACGCCGATTTCCATCTCAGAGTCATCTGCTCACGCTATCCATTATGCCTGCCAACAGTTTTAGCGGGGCCCAGTAGTGTTCTGGGCATGTTCTGGGCATGCATTGGCACATGCGTAAGTAGGGTGTCTGTCCTGGAAAAAAAAAAGACCCTCTACTGGCACTCCAAGTACAGTTCGACAACGTTGCAAGATGCCGCTGTAAGTGGTCATCCGGTCGGGTGACTGATTGTGTGCTGGCTGGGCATTGGCAAATAGGACATAGCAGAGCTGGAGGCTGCGGTGGCGGAGAACCTGCTGCCGCTGGAGGCGGTGGGGGCGCCGCACCGGGCACTGCGAGCCTTCCGGGCGCTGCTCTTCGCGGCCGCGCCGGCCCCCGGCGACTCGCTGCTGCTGGCCGCGCTGCCGCGCTCCACCGTGCTGCACCACCTCTACTCGCGCGCGCCCCCCGCCCTCCAGTCCCCCCACTCCCGCTCCGGCTTCTCCCCTGCCCAGGTGCTGCCCCCATCGCTGCACCCACCCATGCAATTCCGTAGCAATATCCTGAGTTAGATATCCCCCTACCTCAGCAGCACTCGGTATCTGCAGGTGTTTTCTATGTCCTTGATGCACTTGCAGCAGATGTGGTATACTTTCTTCGCCAGACACTGCTTTAGCTGGAGTAAGAGGTTGTGTGGTTTTGCCCTTGATGCAGTACTCGATGTGGCTGGACCAGCACAGCATGGAGGAGGCGCTCAAATTCATCCGCACTGCGGTGGAGGCATGCGCGCCCGCCGCCCGAGAGCAGCCCGGCTTTGATGACGTGTACCCTGTCATGCTCAACCTCTGCACCACGTGAGCATATGCATGCGCGCTGCTTCAACCCTGGTAATAGGATTCGTGGGCCTGGCCGTGGCCCCATGGGTGTGTCGGGTCCATGGAACAGTGTGGCCACACAAACAGAGCTGGGACAGAAATTTTTGTGATACTTGCGATGACACTGCATCGTGAAAGTTGTACTGTGGCCACAGTGATTCTCACAATTGAAATAGAACTGCCATTGATCTTGTATCAATTACGTAGTTACGCATGATGCCGCGACATGGGCCGTGATTGTGCAGCAGTTCATAACTTTTGCATAGAGGTTGTACCAACTTATCACACACTAACTTCAGTATGCAATTGATGTTGACATCACATGATCATGTCGATGATCCCAAAGATATCAAGGATCCAGACCAATGGCGTCCATGGACGGCGTGATAACCCGCCCGCGCCCGTCCCATGACCAAGGCTTGCACCATATGGTGCGCACTGTTGCACTAATACCTGTTTATTGAACACTTAGTCGTTGTAGCACCATAGCATGCTGACTGTTCCCTGCATCTGCGACCTGGGACAGCCAAGGGGTAGATGAAACGATATCTACACCACACTCCCAGGTTCGATCCCCAGGAAAAACACTGGGACTTTTTTCGGATCGATTGTCGGGTACATTCGGCGATGCGGCCGCTCCTGAGACACCCGCATCGTCGCTGTCGAGATCCGTCCCGAAGTTTCGAGCGATTTGCTAGGGATGGCCCCTCAGCATTCGTGTATGAAGGGAGTGTAGACCTGTACAGCCTACATGTAGGCTGCAAGGGTGCATTTTAAATCTCGCAAATTTGCGAGTTGACAAGGCTGCAAGCCTGTGCATATCGGCCCCGGGTTCCGACTGCAGACGGACCTGTGTATGCCCTATGGCCCTCTGGGCTCTGGGTTCGCCACTCAAAAACATTATTATTATTATTATGCAGTGCATGCGAGCATCAGAGGGCATGTGCCTAGAAAGGGTTTTATCAACATTTCACCGACCCCTTCCCGAAACCCTTGAAGATAAGAGCAAGATTTTGGCTACGTGAGCTCGAAGCGAGGCTATTAGAAGGCACTGGGATCGACTATCGCGGTGACACACCCGTGCAGAAACAAAAGCAACCATGGTGGCCGCAATCGCATCCAGTCTGAGCTTGAGGCCTCTCACCGCTCTGCCAACAGCCCGTCCTTCCGCAAGGAGGTCGAGGGTGCAGACACCAGTCCGTGCCCTCTCAGACACAAACCTCGTCATCGGCGGTGAGGATCTTTGATATGCATGGCTCGAAAGTAGCTGGCAGCCAGAAATTAGCTCAAGATTGGGACTGCGCTGCAGCTGACACGCATGATTGAAGTCTGAGGATTGGGCTCAGTGCACGTCTCGACAGTGGTACACATGCACCTAGAAGGCCTCCAAGCAATGGCCTGATCAAGCGCAGGCGTTTGTTTGCGTTACATATTGAGGGAAGCCTGAGGCATTGATCCCTTAATCAGCAACAGCTTATTGAGCATAAGATTTTTTTTTCTCGTGTAGGCGCCACTGTTGCCAGTCTTGCGCTCGGCCGCTTTGTCTTCCTGGGATTCCAGCGTGACAACGCAAAGAAGCAGGTGCGTACAGAACTGTGTTGGAGCAGTACAAAACCAACCCAACAGTCCTGGGGACCCTACAACAGTGCTGTACCTCCAATCATAGAAATTCCTGACAACCAATCATTCTTGCAGGGCCTTCCCCAGCAGAACGGCCAGTCCAACGTTGAGGCGGGGGACAGGCTTGCAGAGGTGAGTCTTCGTCAGCGGACCGCAAGTTTTTCTCACGAGCATGGCCCGCAAATAGTATTGTACTGCTTTTGATGATTCATCTGGCTGTTCAGGAGGCAAGCTTTGCTCTGAAGACCAACGACCCTGCTGGCTTCAACCTGGTTGATGTCATGGCATGGTGAGCCCCTCTATTATTCCAGAGCCTGCTTGCGCCAGGAAGAATGCACTCTTTGAAAGAACTTCTTGAATTCCTGGATCTTGATGAGCCACATGTGTAAGCCCTCCTTTGGTAAAAGCCTAAGGACGTCATTGGAATGCAGGGGCGCCATTGGCCACGCTCTGGGATACTTCATCCTTGCCACCACATCGCTGAACAACACCCCAGGCTTCGACCCCAAGCCATTCTGAGGTGGAGCAATCATGAGTGGGAGGCTCCTGCGCATGTGCTCTGGTCAGGGCTCTTGAGAAGAGCTATGACTGGAATTGGCTGTGCCGCATTTGTGCATGCGCGGAAGAACAATGATTTCTTTAGCCGATTGAGTTGAGCGGGCGATTGTGACCAGCGCTCGGGAGGGCTAGCATGTGTCAATTACAGCACGATGTTGCAGAGTGCCCTCATGCACTACGAGAAGAAAAGCATTAGCAAAACAACACTATTGTGGGACCGATGCATAAGGAATGTAATGAGTACGGTAGCTGCAATTCTCCTTGGTCCAATGCTCAATGGACAAAATCTTGTCACACATGAGTCTCTCAGAGCTGCGTGCCGAGAAGCGCCCTGAATGAATGATGTGAGCAGAAGTGCAGAAAAGTATTCATGACACCGTCTTTCTGCAACTCCACTGTTACATCCCCTCATGAGAAGTCAAACGCCACATTGCACTTTGTCTGGATTAGAGAATGAGAAATGCGGACATCTTCTCAGATGACTTGTCCAGGTTGTACTTGCTGCACTACAGTCTGGCTTGCCTTTGCCACTGTAGTATGGCAAACTGAAGCAGACTTATAAAGAATCATGTATAGTGCCGCCGGCGAGACCTCGGCATAAAGCCGCACTATAGAGGGCAAGATCTCGGCAGCTGAAGCCTCAGGTGGGCGCCATCAAATTATGTCACAGCGCCCCGAAGAAGGGGTTGGTGAGGGCGTTGTTGAGCTCCCCGCCGGCGGCATTGAGGGTTTCCACGCTGACTTTGTCTCGCGGCATCACAATAAACTCCCCGCCGGCATCCTTGTCGAATCCCAGCAGCTCCAGGAATCGCAGAGACCCCTCCACGCTGCCCACGCGCGTCTGGAACGCCGCGTTGCTCAGCCGGATCTTGCGGAACTTCTCCTCGTTTGGGTCCTGGGCACCATCATTACTTTTATCATTACTGCATGCTTTTCGTGTGAGAGGCAAGGTGCGTCTGCAGACAAGCTGCATGAAAGGCTGCCACAACCTACCCCTTGATGGACTTGCCGGAGGGGCACCATTCAGGACAGCTTAATGACATTGGAACCGTGGTTCAAGTTCTGGTCCAACATGTTGCACACATATAAACCGCAAAGCAGCCAGTCCCCTGGGTCTGGCACTGACACTGCTCGGAAGTCATGGCATCCCTTGTCCTCCATTTGACTCTTGCAGTGTCCCTGTGTTCCTCCCATTCACAGAGCTGTATGAAAGTGAGCCTTTGGTGGCTGCTCCGCACCCTGACGATGTTGCCGCAGTACTTGAGGAGGGTGGCCCAGCAGGCCTTTACCCGTTCGTCCTCATTCGCATACGCCTTTTTCATGCCCACCTGAGCAGCACGCCCGCACTTGCCACAACGCCGAGCATTCTCTGGTTGTGACACATCGGAGCAGGCATGTGCATTGGCTTGTGATGTGGCACATGGAAGAATTGCTAGAGTGCATGGAGTCAGAGATGGTGCCCCATTGCCCAGAGGCAGGGGAGTTGTCATGTTCCAGAGAGGTTGTGTTTGGGGGTGTGCCCACCAGGACGTCGCGCAGCTGGGTGATGAGGGCGATGGGCTTGACGGGGAGCGCGCGCGACACCTTGGCCTTAGCGGCCTCTGCCTTCTTGGCCGCCTCCGCCGCCTTCTCCTCCTCACTCAGCTCCTCTGGCAGGCCCAGCTTGCGCCGCCGCTCCCGACGATCCTCCTCTGCACAAAAGTTGAGGCCAGTAATTTCTACATCAAGCGATAGCGAACCCCATATTGTACAAACATATGATGTGCCCTAGGAGATGCATCCCCGCAAAATCGCCCTGACATGCGCCCACAAGAAGAGTGTGGCTGCACTTCCACTTCTGTAGCTGCATATGTGTGGTAAACTTTGGTGTAGCATGCCCAAAGGACACTCACAAGTCTGGGCCCTGCCTCATTCCAGAAAGTAGGAAAGGGACACTAGAAGCATATCGAATAGGCATGCTGCACCCTAGAAGGGTGTAAGCGGAAGCTTCTGCACATGGCATGAGATGAACAAGGGGGCATTTCACGGCGCGCACCGAGCTTGACACGGATCTTTTCGCGCGCTCGGGCCTCCTCGGCCTTTTCGCGCGCGCGGTCCTCAATGTTGCGCTTCAGCCGCAGCTCCTCCTCCTGCCGCTGCGCCGCCATCAGCTCCTTGGTCGCGCGCCGCGCCTCCGCCTCACGCACCTTCTCCAGCTCGCGGTCCTCCCTCTGCCGCCCCACAGACACACCCCTCAGCACGACTTCTGTCAGACAAAATGGCACTCGTTACTCTGTACTCCCTTGAATGGCAGTCATTAGTGACTGGGAGGGATCGCCATCTGCATTATAACAAGCAATCGATCACCAAGAAGGGCACCCTGACACAGCATGCATAGCAGGAATGTGAGCATTTTGCTCGTCCCTCATATTACTGAGCAGGAGCGTTTGCTGGCAAGTTACAGAGTGCGACTTGTCTAATTGGATGCTTGCGCATTGTACCACATATATCAAATGTCTTGCAGTCACCTCCAAGCAAAGGATTGCTCCATGTTGTGCTGCAAGTGAGGAAGCACAGGTTTTAAAAATGTGAGAAGGCGCATCTTCGTTCGAACCTCGCGCTTTTCTCTCGCTTTGCGAAGGACTTCCTCGGCTTGCTTTTTCGCTTCCTCGGGGCTCAGCTTGGGCTTGTCCTCTTTGTTGTCCTTCTGCGCAGACACCATTAACATTGGTCGCATTCCAAATGACCACTACCTGGCACCACACATGCGCCTTATCAAAGAAAGAGCCACTGAGCAGAATTTGTCAACCACAACACCTGTGGGATGAGCAGTGGCGTGTCCAGGTCAGCGTCCTCCTCATGTTCCACTATCCAGCTGACAGCCTGCTCAATGTTGTCCGTTCCAGTTGAGTGCAGAGCGCGCACAGATCTGCAATACAGCCCCAAATCTAATCTGCGCAGAGGACAATCATGCATCGAGGAGTACAATACCACAATTGGCGACCTTTAATTGCAACCGGCTGCTACAAGTGCAGCTTGCCTGTTCTTTGGGAAGCCCATGTCCTGCAGTTGCTGCAGCAGGTCTGCATTCACAGTGGGCTCCACCTGTGTGCACTTGCAAGAACTTTGATCAGACCCGACGGACAAACACCTCGTCATGGATGCCATGAAGATTGTGTCCAGAAAGGCATTGGTTGGTGCCGCACCAACACATCATCCTCGCCAGAGCTTGCAGGTGCTTCTGCCTTTGAGCCACCTTGTTCCTCTTCCTTCAATGCGGCGGCAGCTTCTTTCATCTGAGTCTCAGTGTCCATGGGGACAGCTTCATCAGTCTGAACAAGTGCAGCAGCGCATACGAGTCAATGTCAGCAAACCACCACAACAAAAGGGCATATTAGAAATGTCCAAGACAGTCGTCCCTTTTGCCTGCACAAGAAAGAAAGAAGTACCTTGTCCTGGAACGTGGTGTGGCCTGTTCGCTTTGTGTGCAACTCCTGCTCTGTTGTGCTGCGGCAAGGCTTTCCACACGTCGAGCAAACAAGGTTGAGCACCTGAAAATACACCAAGGTTTTCATTTTGTGTTTGCAGACATATCATTGTGCTCTTTGAGTGAAAGCATCTTGATTGCTTTGATCGCTTCTTTGGAAAGACTCACAGATTCAGTTGACTCCTCAAAATTGGCGTGGCCGGTTGCCTCATTATGTTGAGTTGCTTCAGCCACGCTCCTAAGCTGAGCATTGCAATCCTTGCACACAAGACTCAGAGCCATCCTGTTCGTCTGCTCGAAACTTATGTCATGAATTGACTGTGAGGAAGCAAATGGGAGATTCAACAGGTATCAAGCTTACTATATGGTTCTCAGATTAAATTGAATGTGGAGCCATGGATATGCACAAGGTGCATTGCACATTTCTGAATCTGGTCTGCTGAGGCGGTCCTCGTTGGGAAGTTGTCCTCCAAATGGAGGAAGCTGCAGGACCCAAGAGCAACTAGGACAGCCCGGGGGGAAATGAAAGTTGACAAAAAGAAACTGTTCCGATGGTGATTTAACAATCACATGGCAGCGCCTGCATGAGTGCGTGCATGTCATACGGCCCCTCGGCCTGGCAACTTGCAGCCGCAGCGGCATGCGTATTTGATGACTCATGCACGACATCGATGACTTGGACTCGGAGTCATGCATGATATCCGTGGCCAGTAAGCCGATGACGATACAAGAACTGCACATGCTCCATGCCAGCCTTGGCACTTATAATGGCATGACTTCAAGCAGTTCACTGGAGAAAAACAGTATTCTAATTTGCAGAATACAAACAGACCAACACTCCTGCACATCCAGCAACTCTGGCAGTCTAGTATGAAGACTGTCATAAATTCTTTGACACATCTAGTCTCCTGTCAGACAGACAAGTTATCTACTGACCTAGGGTACTTTTGATCCGGAATAAGGGCAAGGAAACAGCCTGGCAACCTGCTATTTCTACTTATCTGTGATGTCGCGTCTCTAATCTACAATTCAGCGTGCAGGCCTTCGTCATCTTCATCCTCGTCCCCAAAATCGATGTTGCCCTCAGCCGCGTCATCGTCCGCCTCGTCATCATTGTCATCATCGCCGTCATCAGCATCCTTCGCCGCGGCCTTGGCAGCCGCATCCTCCTGCAGCCACCCCAGCTCTTTGCATCAGAGCTCCATGTTACAACTGCACAATTGTGCCCTGCACTCATGCAAGCCAGTGCATGCCACACGTGCATGTGAGTGACTCCCCTATTTCCTAAGGAGACTGTCTTGTGCAGCACACCCTGCCCCGTTAACAACAGCACATGCATGCTCGTGGCGTGCTTCACCTCTTTGCGCTTCTTCTCCTCCTCGGCCCTGACGGCGTCCAGCATCTCCTTCTCCTTGTCCTTGGAGGCGCCCCAGGTCTCCTCTGCAAACCTGGCCGCGTACTCCACGTCGTCTGTGACCAGGATGTTGTCGAAGATGGTGCCGCTCTTGACTTGCCACAGCTCAAAGCCCACGAACTTGAGCGGCGGCAGCAGGTACACCTCCTCGTCGTCCTCAAACTCCGGGTTGTCGATCAGCGGGTGCTGCGCGCCAAACCCCCACATACCCCCGTCATTTGCCGTGATTTGCTTTCGACTTGATAACAATTCAAGAGGAGGATGACACAAACTGGCATCAAACGCTGAGGCTTATCATCGGCTTCTGGTCATCATGTGTTGGATGACAAAAGCATCCGAAACATGATGACACAAAAGCCGAGAATGGGGGCGTTTCAATGTTGACAATGCAGCGGCAAGGTAAAGTGTTATGGCAAGCAGTCTGCCCACCTCCCACTCGCCCTTGTAGGCGGGGTTGTCGATCATCTTGGGCTGCCATTCCCCCTTGTAGGCGGGGTTGGGAATGCGCGGGGCCTCCCACTCGCCGTCCTCCTCGACGTCCCAGTCCTCTGGCTGGGATGCCTCGGGGTCCAGGATGGTCTCCGGCTGCTCCCAGTCGTCCGGCTTCACATCGGCGGGGTCTGGGATCTGCGCCTCGTCCACCCAGTCCTCTGGCTTCTTGGCGTCAGGGTCCTGCAACACCACGGTGTAAGAATACGCTGTGTGAGTACCTCTCTGTGGAAGTGCAACAACGTTTGCATGGATTGGGATCCCTTTTGAGCCTGGTCAGCTGATCAGGACGCATGTAAGAGCACCCATTAGTGAGTGGTGGGGTGATGAGGACGGTGAGTCCTGGTTAGCCGCCGTGCGCCGGCGGTCTTACAACCCTCAAGAAGGGTCTTGTCAATTCAGATTGACCAGAAACACCTGTGTAATTTCAGTATAACCCCTGATAGCATGAAGTGAATGCGGGCCATGCAGGACAGATCAAGCACAGAGCCCCGTCGCACCTGGATCTGGCGGGGCAGCAGGAAGTCGTGGGCCTCATAGAGGGTGCCGTTGCGGTCCACCTCGTTGTCGATCAGGATCTGCGCTGGCACATGCACAATTCAGTCCAGCTCTGATGACTTATGTATCAAAACCTCGATCACTCAACTAGGGTGAGCTGCGCAAGAGAGTGGTGCGTCGCAGTACATCGAAGGAGCTGGAGGCAAGAGTGGGAGCAGGTTGGTAATGAGCCTCAGGCTTGCCTGGTATGTGTTGTTGGGGTGGAGAATGTATGTGTAGACGTGTGTGAGCTCGTCAGTCTTAGCGGGGACAGTGGGCTTGAATTCCAGGTTGCGGCCCTTCTTGTCGGTGAGGATGGCGTGGACTTTCTTGGTGGACCCGCAGATGTCTGGGCCGAACATGACACTGTAGGGGGTGTCACCGCCAAAGTCTGGCATCTTGTCCTTGCTGCAGCATCCAAATGACTTGTATCAGACTCGTCTGATACACTTGTGCGGGAGGACTCTGTGCAGGTTAGTCTTGGAGTTTTGAAGGCATGATAATGTGCAGAGACAGACCTGGAGGTCGGGAGCAGCTTGATGTAGCCCCCACCACAGTCGATATTCTGGGCGTGCTTCACGCTGAACTGCGCTTGGCAGAAAGATCAACTCAGAAATCGATTTGCGAGTCTCTATCAGGGTATTGGAAAAGCGGTGGCAGACAATTGGAATCGCAGCAATATCCCAAATGCATGCGCACCTGCAACACCAGATCTTTGCCCTTGTTGACAAACTCCTCCTCTAGCTCTGTCCAGATGGTGTAGAAGCGTGCATCTGGCGTCGTCTTTATGCCCTTGTCTGCTTCTGGGTGCCCATACCAGTCTCCAGCTGTATGCTCGAATTTCCCAGCAAGGTTCTCCTCTGCTTTCCATGTGGAAGGCTGCCACCGCTCAGTCCATGATTCTGCGCACCAATAGGGCGAAAGAGAAGATCATTTTGACTGTTTCGAAGTTGGAACTGAGATTGAAATGCTGTAATGTGGTTCTTGCAGGTCTTAGGATACAAGATGATCCTGATCGGTCTGATCATAATATAACGACACCACAGATGACTTTTGGGGGCATTGGACCAAAAAAGAGACAATTGTCATTCATCCTGATGGTGCACTGTAATGTTTAAGCTTCCAGTGGTGCAGAGATCAAGGGCATCGTTTGTACCGTCAAATCTTTCCTCTAAGTGGACCTTGCCGATCGCACAGGGCAGTGCAATTGTTGCGATGCTCAACAAAAGGAGCTTTCCGTTGACCGCCATCCTGCCAATGGTCCGCACACCTCTGCAACTGTGCAAAATGCCGAGTTTCGCGGGCTTTGGCCAATTGCAATCAGGGTTTTGTAGGGTCCATCAATCCACCTCAGCATCTCACAATGTCTTCCTTCACAATTTGGAGAATTTGATCAGCTTGGAAGAAGAGTTTTATTCATACAGTGTATAACAAATTGTAGGGGGACACCAAAGTTTGAGAGTCTAATTCTTCGATACGTTGGAAAGGAAAGCCCAGATCACACATACACGATGCAGCCAATACAAGAAAACGAGGAAGCTGCTGATGGTGGCATCGCTCGCAGAAGACTGTTGATTGCAGTGGATGACAGCGCAGAAAGCGAAAGGGCACTTTCTTGGACATTGGAAGAGTTATATAGGTCACCAGTCGTACCGACTTGCTTACCGACTTGCTCCTGTCAAAATCGTCATTTGCTGAGATCTTTATGCTCTCATCATACGTATCAACATAGATGCACGCGAGTGAAGGGCTGCCATGGTCACTACACGGATTGCTCCAAAATTCAAGGTTCCAGGCGTTTTCTGCAGGGAAGGAGACGAGCTGCACCTTGTCCACGTGATCCCTCGCATGCAGATGCCTGCTGTCTATGGAGCACCACCAGTTGACTTCCTGCCGCAGCAAGATCCAGTGGCGTATGACCAGCTCGTGAAGAATGCAGAGAGCTTTATTGCTGCGCGGTTTCTCCCATCACTGGCCAGCTTGAAGCTCCAACCTATAGTACACATCGTCAAGGTAATGGGTGCAATGTAATGTGAGTCTTGACTGAATGAGTTCCCTACCTTGCTACAGCTCAACGTGGTGCATCCTGCTGATAATTTCACATTGCGACTTGGAAATACTGCAGCCTGATGGTATGTGTTATCTTGCAGTCCGAGGTGGACACAGAGAGCATCGGCAATGTGGTCTGCAAAAAGGCAGAGAATCTGGACGTTGCCGCCATTGTTGTATCCCTGCATTCAAAGTCAAAATTGCAGGAGTTCTTCCTTGGCAGTATCTCCAATTACTGCGCGTGAGTACCTACATGACCTGCCGTTCCTCCTCCTCCTGTGCAAGCCGTCATCCTGCTCTTGTCAAGATCAACAGCATGCATTCTGCTACTTTCAACGGATGTGGTCTGAGTGACTGGAGAATGGTGTGGGTGACTGCAGGCATCACAGCCGGAAGCCGCTCTTGGTGGTGAAATGATAGCTCTTCCATTCAGGATGCTTTGAGCCTGCGTGACTCCAGAGGTCTTCTGGGGTCTTTTGCGCAGTACTGCAACAAGTGTAAGGGTGCAATTGAGTGCAACGGTGCAAATAAATGGCTATTCACATGGTGTGATTCACGTGTGATGATGCTTGTAAGGACAAGGATTATATTCTGAATTCTCTTGAGATCAATTGCTAATGCATATTACCACAGAAAGGCCATCGGAATCCAAGTGGAAGGTTCCTTCCTATGCCTGGCTTGAGGGCTGTTGAGTTGTCTGCCAGGCTGAGTGTTAGACAAGCTGTCTGACATTAAGTTGACCACTTACAAGCATCGTACCAGAAAGCCAGTGGCCCATGGCAGGCTACCCATATATAGAATATGATGCTCATGTTCATGAGAATGTACCAGGATCTGGATATCATACCCTTGTGGAATGCTGTCATCGGTTCAGCCTCATCCTCACGTTCAATTGTGACCGTTGTAAGAACTCTTGCAAACACTGACTTGATTGCACAAGACAATTTGCAACATAGAAGCACAAGGTATCTGAGGCACTAGATACTGCCACACGGCTCTCTCTCAAAACATTGCAGTGGATTTCTGTAATCTAATTATCTACCTCTCGTCTCAGAACCTGCGGTACGAATCTGCAATGGTGTCCAGATAGCCTGAAGAAAACGCTATCAACAGGATCACTGCAGCAGGCAGCACAAAGAAGGACAGCAGGAGCGCAAAGAACGGCGCATCATTCCGCCCAGACTCCCTGTCCATGTACTCACGCCTCTTCTGCTGGCGAGCCTTCAGCTTTGCCTGTTCCCTCGCTCCCTCCGCCTGTTGCAGTCTCACTTGCAACTTCAGCAACCGCGCATGGACTCCATAGATTACCCCCAAAATGGTACATTTTGCCATTCTACAATCTTGGACTGTGGGAATGTGTGGAATATCACCTCCATGGAACGCTGCTGCTCCTCAAGGCGCTCTGCAACCGTCTTGGCACCATTGGAAGCCTCAGACGTCTGCTCATCAGTCCCTGAACCACCAGTACTTTTGCTGTGAGTCTGCTCTGTTACATCTGTCTTTGAATTGAGAACACCGGCAATCGCCTTTCAGCACACTCAAGGTGTCCTGATCATGAGATTTAGACACTAAACATGCATTTTCAGATATACAAAGATGGACCCATGAGGCGGACCTGTGATGTTGGCAAGGAGCTCAGAGTTCAGCCCGTTGGACTCTCCAGTGCTGGCCTCCTCAGAACCATTTTCGCTCTCGTCACTTTCAGGCCTCTTCCTGCACCCCAGCATTACACTCCTTCTTCCAGCCACTCCGCCAATCATGTATGAGCAATTCCTAGACAGTGACCAAGAACTTGGAACGCGCTTCAGCACGAAATTGGGCATCAAGGATTACCTTTGGGCGTTCTCCAGGCTCCAGCCGGCATCATCCTCAACAGAGGCATGTGAGAGCAGGAAATTGATGGTGGTCGGTCTGCGAAACTGGATGGCATCTCTCACTCGAGACAGGCTCGTGTTGGGGCCCACCTCCCAATCCTCATTTGTCCGGATGGGATCTGACACGCTCAACAGTCTCTGCCCTGGCCGTACCCCCTCCTGCGGCAGAGAGGATTGCACAGATCGCTGCGGTACCTCTTCCTGCAGAGGAAAAATTTGGAGCATGATGAAGCTGCTGATCACAGTGTGAACAGGAATCCACTTGGGAGAGTACCTGCTCTGCCTCACTGCCAATGGCCACAGCATCCACCACAATCCGCATGGCATCACCATCATATATCTCTCTGAAACGAAGAGACTTCCTTGCCTCTGCAGTGCTCAGAGTGAGCCTGCAAGGCACAGAGCAAGTGTATAGTGATAAGTCACCGTTCAGAACCAATTGCAGTAAAGGATAGAACACGATCCATGACACCTTCCTTCGCAAGGCTTGAAAAACCATCTATAAGCACCTATATGTATCATCCAGTGAAGGGGTTGTGACTGTCTGCTGCTCTGTCTGAGCCCGAAATTGCAGTCGAAAGCGTGTTCCCTGGTCCCGGCATTGTCTCCTCGCTGGTGAAATTTTTCCGATGCTTTGGGGACTGAAGGGGGCGGGACCCCTCACCCTCCTCGATGAGGATCGGACGACAGACGTGGCGTTGCGATCGTGCAGAGGTGGGAAGTATGAAGGACATGACGATGACAGAGATCTGGCCATTGTGTTGCAACAACGAACAAAGTTTAGTGGAATGGATTTTGTAAAGAAATCCCAAAAGCCTTGTCCTTGATTTCCCAAAACTTCCCTGCATCGCCCCAGGAGACTCGTAGATTCACCGTGACAGGAAGCTGCCACCCCAAGATGGAAGCTGTGGAAATTGTTCTGGAGGGCTGTATGGGGTTTTGCTGTACGCCTTTTACCCATTCCTGTCAACCCACTGTTTGATGTAAATGATGCTTAATACTGCCGTCTGTGGATATGGTAGAGTACATCACTGTACTTGATCATATTGATCATGATCGACCTGCAGCCGCTGCCGCAGTGGGAACCATACCATGCCATTCAGTGAACTTCAAGGTGAAGGATGGTGACCATAAGGATGGCAAGCCTGGGGTTGTAGACACTGCATCAGCACATCTGTTACACGGTCCATATTCACAGCCAGCAGCGTGCGTTCTAAGATGTCCTCCATCATTCATGCTGCATACACTGTATGCAGCATGAGCTGAACTTACGCAGTCTGCACATACGAGTCGATCCCATCGGCGTAAGCGCTTTCAAGAAAGACTTCTCCTGTTCGGATGGAGGCCCTGGCAGCTGCCAGGGAGCCAGGTATCAAGTCCTTCTCTGCAGTGTTGCTCAGCCCCAGCAGCACACACATGGCTCGAGCACGCTCCAGAGGAGGCACATCCGGCGCGCTTGGTGGTGTCGATGGCGCCTGGGCCGGTGTGTCTGTCATAAGCATACAGAAAGCCTCAGCATCCTCAGCTCTCCTATTTCAACCAATGCAAATTGAGGTTGCTTGGATTTCAGGCAGAGCACTTGCTTGTACAACCTAGAGTGCAACTCAGGCAGAGCACATGCCCGTACAATCTACAGGTCATGATGAACTAGAAGAAGAGACAATGCTCGGTGTCCCATGACAATACTTGATGCCACAGTGTCCTGTTGTTCACAAAGATCCTGTTGCTCACGAAAGATCGCTTGCATGATGAGAGGTGGGCTCACCAAAGTGGGCTGTCGCGGGCGAGATGTGGTGGTTGCTGCTGCGAGGAGGGGCCCCAGAGGGGGGCGCAGCCGGGGGAGGCGCACCCGGAGGCGGCCGGGGGCCCAGCGACATAATTCCGGGCATCATTCCTGGCCGCCCCGGGGGCCCCATCATGCCCGGGGGTATCATCATGCCGGGGGGCCCCATCATGCCTGGCATGCCCATCATCATGGCCGCCTCCTGCTCCAATCACACAGCTCGAGTCATTTCCCGGAGTCGTGAGGGTGCAGTATGCAAATGAACAAACAACCCAAGAAACAAAACGCCCTTGCAGAATTGAGATCACACGTCATTCCTGAGAAGCTTTGCAGCGGCTTTCATGCAAGGCATGTCGATCATTGTCACAGGAAAGGGAGGCGCACCGGTGGGAAGCCGCCCAGGGGAGGCCCAGAGGGGGGTCCGCCACCGCGCAGATCCTGGGGTCCGTGAGCGAAGGAGCACTGGTCGCCGCGCGCGCACTCTCCAGACATCATCCACGGCTGGCACAGCTTTGTCTTGTACATGGGCAGGTGCGCCCCTGCCGCCACCGGCGGTGGGCCCTGCACCGCACAACATACCATGAATCCAAGAGCCCCCATACTTGAACAGTGATCCTGATTGAGCACTCAACATTGCCAATTAGCAAGGGATCTGACAAGATGCTCACCGGCAAACTCTCTGAGTTGAAACCATCTGGCCCTCGCCCACTTTCACTGTGCCCTGGACTTCGCCTTCTGCGGGTGTCCTTTTCATCATCGCCCTGCTCAAGACATCCTCAGTTAGAAAGCAGTATCTGTGTCAGGAAAAAACGTTGTAGCATGCGCTCATCGACTGTGGGACCATGGGTGACAGAGAGAATATCGTCTCACATCTTTTCTGCCGCGCCGTTGGTCCAAGCGTTCTAAAATTTCATAGCCCTCTGCCGGCAGTGGGCGCAGCTCTGCCTCCCCATGCGCATAGTTGCAGCGATCCCCAAACGTGCATCGCCCCTCATGCCATCTGCAACATCCAACCCAGTCGTCATGCTGGTGCCTCAGGGTCCACTGGAATGGAAATAAACTGCTCAGACTGTATCCTTGTGCCACCGTGTTTCAGGAGTATTGCATGGGCAGGAAACCTCACTTGTGACACATCCTGGTCTTGTAGAAGACAGAATCTTGCCGAGATGCTCCCGGTCCTTCGCCAAGGCCCCTGTCCGGGTCCATCCTCTGCCTCTTCCACGCAGGTCCCTCCATCCCAGGCCCCTCCATCCCCTTCATGTCATGATCCAAGAATATTGCTTAGTTACCACAGCACTCGGAGTACCATTATTCGTGTATTGGTTCCAATTGCGTCACTTTCACCGAGTATATCTTGATGTACCTGTTGGAAAGGAAAATCCATGCCAGGGTGCATCATTCCCGACATCATTCCGGGGCCCATAGGTGGACCCATCATCCCTGGTGGACCCATTTGAAACATGCCTGGAGGCCCTCTGTACCCGTCCATGCTGTAGTGTGCGTTTTACTCACTTGATCTCTTCCAGCAACTAATTGGCACAACGACTGAATTGCATTGTTTACTGTTCGACTTACAAAGTATTGTATTCAAGGATCGTACGTTTGCTTTCTGTTGCGGTGAACAATGCGAAGCTTTGCGAGTCCTGATGAGAGATGGCAAGCCTGCCCAGGGTTCTCTACATGAAGGGGTCTGGAGCCCTAAAATGGACGTTCCAACACTGCTTGCAGAAGGGCTGACTGTTGGTAAAGTTCTATCATGCATGCAAGGGGAGAGCCATGTCAAAGCCCCATTCACCATCAGCCGTCAAGCCATCCAAAGATACCGCCTGTCCGCATGCGGCGCGCCGGCCTTAAATTGCCGGTTGAGATCTTAAGACTACCGTAGACTACTATATAGTGACTATATAGTGATAGCCAAGATCAGTGCTGATGATCATGATGATCCATATGATCTTCATAAACTTGGGACTTTCAGGCTGGTTTCCTTACACCAGATTATTGACCATTCCTACATGTTGATCAAAGACTCAACTGCTCGCAGTGATGCATGCATGCACACAACTTGGTGAATGCACCACGACTGCCAGTGCAATGCTCTACGCGGCGTTGGTCAGCGCCTACAAGGGGCCTGAAGAAATGGGTGATAGAAGAACATCTATATAGACCTTTTCTACGTCAAATTTATCCTTCAACTGGGTTCTCCTCACAGATGACTGTACACCGCTCCTGATCTTCAGAGCTACACGGGAAGCTAACACATACACACTTCTGGTATTACAGGTCGACTAGGTTATAGTACAAAATGCGTCGTGCACATGACTGGTGCTGCATCGCAAGCGCGGCAGTCCCTGAAGAGAGTTGCCACGAGACCGGGTGGTTATCGCAGGGCCTGGGCGATGCGGTGGGTGGCCTCCATGAATCCGGCCATGGCGTTGCTGGAACTGTCGCTAATCAGCTGCTGCATCCACTCTATGGCCACCTCGTCATCCTCCCCCAGCCGCAGCTTCTCCTGCGCACACCCTCAAGAACAACGTCAGCATCTGCCATGTAAGACTTGCAGAGGCGCCTTACGCGCCCTCACTGGAAAGTCGACTCGTCAACGTGCTGCCAACAATGCGCAGGAGCGAGCTGCTTTGGAGGGTGTTCTGGTGTTTCAAAGCCACATGCGCCACTGCCCTTGAAATCCAAGCAAGCTTTGAATGATCGAAGCTAAGCCTTCTCAAGGTGAAGGAAGTTACAAAAGAAGAAGAGAGTCGAGTTTTGTAGACAGTGGCAGGGGACGTAGTAGTAGGCGGATATCTTGTAGGTTGTAGTGCAAATAAACTTTGAGGACGGCAGGAGGGGTTGCGCGCCTGTAGCTTGAGCATGGCTTTCTCAGGGTCGGAGCGGATGTCTGGGATGGCGGCGCCGGCCATAAGGTGGAAGAGGGAGAGGATGAGGCCGGCGCTCTTGCGCAGGATGTTGTAGGCCTCGCAGGCGTGCGCGCAGAATGCCCGGTACAGCTCGCTCTCCGCACCCCCCATTGCCTCCACCATCTCCCGGCTCAGCTTGAACGGCGGCGGCCACGGCTTTGGATCGCGCCCTGCATTAGATCATGGCTTCGGCCGGCAGACAAGAAATATGTGCAGGCAATCTATAATGCATGCTTGTACATGGGAAGCCCACTCACCACAGTCAGCCATCAGTCATCCACACTCGTCAATCAACTTCTCTGCCAGTCAGCCAGAATTACATGCCAGTGCAAGCTGCCCTGCTAATGGCAGTGTCTGTTTCATTGATGAAATCATACTCAGCCAATCAATGATAACAATACAAGCTGCCATTACGAACAAGTTGTCTGGACTTTGGTGATCCGGCTCGCAAGCAAGTACCTCAACAGTGCCTCAAGGGGCTTCTCCTGCGCTGCCAGAGTCGGCGCAGGTAATTTCAATCAGACGGCTCAAGCCATGTGCTTCCTTCTGCGCTGATGCTCAGCACAGGGTATGAAACCGCTGCGTGAAAATGGACGGTGGGCGCACCCATGATGAAGCCGAAGTCGATGTGAAAGAGGCGGCCGTCGGGCGTGAGCATGAGGTTGTCGTTGTGGCGGTCGCCCACGCCCAGGATGTACGTCATCACGCAGTAACCCGCGCAGCTCTTCACAAACGTGTCCAGCACCTCCGCCTTCAGCCCATACGGCCCTGCGAGGAAATCACAACGCCCCTGCCATCAGGTGAGCTGAACAAGAGAGTGATAGCCTGCCCAGGTCACGTGGTAAGTACAATCTGCACAACACAAAAATATTGGAATTTGTACGACAGACATACAAGCAAGCGCGCAGACGGAAAGTTTGTCCCAAGTTTGGGAAACATCACGCTTGGCCAACAGGCCGAAGGTGCAAGCTTATATTGCATGCTGCCATAAGGTGCACGTTCCAGCGGATAGGCAGCCAAGACTGTCAGAGTGCTTGATGCTGGAGTTGCAAGCATGCTAGTTTCCTTGCTGAGATGAAGAGGCTTGCACCTGAGGGATCTGCATTGTAGAGGGCCCAGTAGCGGTGGATGGACTTGTGCTCTGCTATAACGCGCGCAAGGGCCATGGAGGGCACGCACTCTATCAATCCATCCTCCGCTGAGGTGGGCAACACCCTGCAGTTGGCCATTATTGCTGATCAGGCACAGGCCCTGCAGTGGGGTCTGGTGCAAATGCAGCATGGAGACCTGTCATTAGCCAAAGCCTGATGTGACAAGAGCACTTTACAACCCAAAACAGACATGGTCCTGGAAATCCGTGACAGACCTGTATGGCGTGAGCCGCAGGTCGAGATTTTCGCGCTTGAGCAGGCGGTCCATGAGCGAGAATATCTGCACCACCAGCTGATCCTGCCGCAGGTCGTCCCCCTTCTTGTAGATGACCTGGTAGCGGCCCTCCTTCAAAGCTGCACCAGCACAGCACCATGTTAAGCCATTGAAGTGCCGTGCATGATCGTTCGTGCTTACAACACACCGCATCAGACCAGTCCTTTCCACCGGCACTGTAATCCAGCTGATTTAAGCTTCATAAGATGCCCATGCATGTCTATCTGTTGTAATAAAAGAAGAGAGATACCCACCAGCGGATGGTGCGCGGATGAGGGTGGCGGAAGTGCCATCTGACGGCCGCGGCAGCGTCAGCGCTCCTGCGTCGGGCCCCAGCACCTCCTGCGTCCCCTGATTGGTCCCACTGCCTGCGCATGCAAGCACTCCCGCCCCTCAACTCAGCCCCATAATAATCTTACGCTCAAACATAGCACCTTCAGCCTGCAAAAACTGCAGATCTTCCAGGGTCAGACTCCTCAAGCCCGGGTCAAAGGCCTCTTCACATCTTTGGATTGCCCCAAACATAGTGCTGACTACAGCATATTGCTCATAGTTATGCACAGCTACAAGGGGCTCAAGATATAAGCGGCCCGTATTCGGGAGCAGAAATAGCAGGTCATAGGGGGACTCCGAACAGAGGACTGAATGCATCTACCACATTGCCCAAGGTTCCCCTGCCTATTGGGAATCCCTGGCATACCCAACGCCCGCCTTTGTACAAGGGACCAATTGTGTGCCGTACCGGCAGTTCGAAAGGTGAGGCGCAGGGGGGCGAGGGCGGATTTGAAGACGGAGCACTCCTCGGACAGGATGCCCGTAAGGAGCACGCCCGGGTCCAGCGGCAGGGGGCATTTTAGGTAGGCCAGCTCGCCGCACTGCCCGTACTCGCCCACCATCCGCCGCAGCTGCTCCGCCTTCTTCGCCGCCGTGCCCTGCATTTCGTTCAACCACTCCCAGATTAGACTGAAAGAGGGAATCTGACAGCCACGAAAACAGGACTTCCTAACTTGAGAGCCCTTCTCACGGTCTGAACTGGTAGCGGGTACCCGACAGCCAATATAGAAATGGGACCTAACTAGCCGACAGAATACAGTCATTATCAGACTGAACCCTGTCATGACAGCTGTGGAATGCATGGCGGGAAGCCAATCGGTGCGAGCAGAACTTCTGTCAGTGTTGATCTGCCAGCACCCCCTTGCCAGACAAGACATCTGCCAGATGCATGGGCGCTTGCCACCCTGATTTTGATGGCCCAAGACATGCATGTTTCACCATGCGCACTGTCACCCAGAAGAAGAGTGCAAGGGTGCGACCTTGAGCTCGTTGGCGATGTGGCGCAGCTGGGCGACGAGGCCCATCTGGGCGGAGATGGCGGCCATGGAGTGTGAAGCGTCCTCGCTGGAGGTCAGCCCCTCCTGCAGCCGCTTGTGCACCGACGCCGCCCGCGGGCCAAACACCGGATCCTCCCACTCCACATACAGGTACCTGCGAGAACGTGGCAGAACACTGCATTTCAAAAAAGGGTAGCCTGCTAGACATGACAGTCTGACTTGCAGGCTGGTTCATTTCTTGTAAAGTGCTGCAGTGATGCACGGAGTGGCCGTGAGGATGCGAGGAGCTTCAGCCTCGAACCAAGGTTGATCAAATTATTTTGCAATCTCTTTTCTTCAATGATCCATGCGGATAACAACTACATTTCGCATTCAGGAGATATTGGTTGGCAATTTGGGAAGCTAATGCGTGCAAGAAGGAGCGCCTCAGTCCAAATTTCTGCAAATAAGCCTCCATATCCCCTTGCAGAGGGGTCAGGCTCCGTATTTTTACATCCTCGGCGCATGATACTTCCTCCTTTGCCAGCAAAATCCACTGTGCACATTTTTTGTGGCACCAGGCAACATGCATATTGTATTCTCACTCCCGCCCTCAGATTTAATTCCCAGAGCAGAGTAGGACATATCGATAAGGAATTTGGGCCGGCTACAACGCACTGGACCCCCACAGTGTCGGGCTCTGTAGTCTGGGGCATATCAAACATATTGTTTTAATACTTCCCACAGATACATCAGTATGCGCACCAGTGGAGGGAAATGGCAAGGGTGGGGTCGGAGATGGCGCGCTGCACCAGGAAGGAGGCCAGGCGCGAGTCATCGCCCGCCTCGTAGCGCAGCGCCTGCACCAGCTGCAGCAGGTAGTACAGCAGCTCCTCATTCTCCGTGCGCTTCAGCACCTCCACCGCATGCGCACGCACCTGCGCGCACATGCTCCTTGCCAGCTCAGCCCCAGGCATGCCTGTGTCCTGGAACCTTGTCGGGGTGATGTTACAGATGGAGCATAATGACATGGGCGGGATTAATATGAGCCCAGGTTTGTCACGGGAGCAGAGTGGTCTCGACTGCACCCAAGGCCTTATGAGTTCGCACGGTTCTTGATCTCGCATTCGGTCATCGCTGCTGGCAGACATCTTCCTGCTGCAGCTTCTGTGAATGCAAACTGACGTTCCCACCACACTTTTAACGACCCAGCATTGAGCCCCAAGAACTAGCGCATCGAGGCGCTCAAGAGGAAGGCGGGCATGCGAGGCAGCGGTAAGGGGAGGACCTCTGGGTTGGAGCAGGCAGGGGAGACAATTGAGGCAGCAAGAAGGGGGGAACCTCGGGGTTGGAGAAGGCGGGGGAGAGGAGCTCGAGGGCGTCGGCGAGGCCGATGGGGGCCCAGCGGGCGATGAGGTCGCCGGCGGAGCGTGCCTCGCGTGCGTCGCCCCAGTCGACGCAGCGCAGGACCTTGGTGAGCGCGCGCGGCTCTCCCGTCAGGCTCCACCGGAACCGCCACACCAGCGCCCGCTCCTCCGCCGTCAGCGGCCTGCGCGCAGAAGGCATGCGCAGTGAGTCTCTCCTTCCGTCAGATTTCCAATTGCTGAGTTTGGCACAAGTTTGCACGCGAGGTGTGCACAGTTTCGCACATCTCTTGCCCCGTTTCTGTCCCGTCTGCTACTTTTGGCATGGGCTTTGTATTAATCAGATGATTAAATTTGACCGGCCACTCAGTTACTGCATTTGGTCTGGCTGGTATGCACAGGTGAAGGCACTAAAGCCAGGGCATATGCACCGAGCTCTATAATTTGTCACATCGTCAGCCGATCAGATGACAGCATGGACAAGAAGTGCAGAATGGTGCCAGCAAGGAGCATGCCTGTTGGGGGGAGCCACAATGACGGCCTCGATCTGCTGCCGCTCCTTTGTGTTGGGCTTGAGGTCCCTGTCCTCCACGCCGCGGGCCATGCTGCGCGCCAGCTTGGCCGCCTTCAGCTCTGAGGGGTTCTCGCGGCCCACCTGCATGCGTCACCCTAACGCTCGGCAAGACACCAATGAGGGTTTAAGAGTACTCATTGCTGCAAGGACTGATGCATGTTGGCATTTAAGGGCGATATGCTGACAGCTACTGTGGCTGGCACATCATCGTGTCAGCCTAAATGTGCAGCCATTTGCATTGGACACCTTCTTGCTAGCGAGGGTTGAACACACAATGTCCACAGCAGCAATGACAGACATCGTATGCACACGTGCATTGCGGGTGTTTTGAACAACAAAGCTGACAGATGAGCACCTCTGGGTCTGAGATGATTTGCAGGTTAGGCCCGCTGCGATCGCTTGTGGTGCCGGCCAGGTCGGCCGGGGTGGCCGGCGCAGTCGCAGCCTGCTGGTACACAACCGCATGAGGGAAGGTGGGCAACTCCACCTGCAGCACAAGGCGCCCGCTCTGCCCATCCTTCTCCTCCTGTGCAGCACCAACCTGATTTCTTGCTGTTACACGAGAAAAGCACACTCATTGGCAGCCTTCAGATTTGGATTTATGATATTGAAGAGAAGATTTGCTAAGTGTCCAATTAAGAGCATGATGCACGGACGAGACCTGTCCCCGGTACTGCTGTATCCGCTGCAGCGTCAGATGGTCCAGCCATTCCACTGGCGCAATCTCCCTTCGGTTGTACCTTTTCATAAGCTGCTCCAGCCGCCTGCACGTCCACGTGTTGATCATGTTGACAATAAATTGCGACATGGCTACAATGTGCCAGCAGCAGACCATGAGCCCACATCATGGTAGGATTTGGTAGTTTCTATGGTACAATGCGTACCCCTGCTCGCCACGCTGGGCCACAGGCAGCTTGGCGGGTGTGGCAGATGGCCAGGCCATGTCAGCCTCTCGGCCAGCCCACAGACACAGCTCCTGCTGCCCGCTCTTCAGCCGCCCCTTCTTGCTGAACAGCCGCAAGGTGGCTCCCCCCAGCGGCGTCTGCGGCTGGCCCTCTTGGATCTGCCACACTGTCAGCGCCAACTGCGCATCCTGCGCCAGGTCGCAGTACTGTGCCAGCACAAAATGATCTACTCATTGGCAAGCACTGGTGGACTCGCCATGTCTCAGGCCCGCATGAGGCTGCTATCAGGGTGTTCTGCTAATGGCACGACAGCTTGAAATGCTGGTTTTCTCACCTTCAAGGGGAAGGAGAGAATAGAGCCCCAGCTGCATCCGTCAGACCTGGCCTGTGCGATGGGTGCGCGAGCTGGCAACCCAAGTACCTCACCAAAGGCACAAAGCTGCCCGACTACATAGAATGCCGGGGCGACCCCCTCATCAAGGGATCCTCCACCTCCTCCCTGTCCAATATTGTGTTTGCCTTTGTCTCGCAACTGCCCCACAAGGTGATCTACACGAACGTGCACCTGCAAGAACTTCTCCTTCAGGGGAAAGCGTGATTTTGTATGACTAAAACAATTCTAATGTGCAATTCTCGGTTGTGATTAAAATATTGGAGCCGTCGTGTAGATTAGTGCTTGCAAGGGAAGTCTGTACCTGCGAAGAGATGTCACAACTCAAGTAGAAAACAAAAGCCTCCCCTTTCGCCCGATCTTGCACCATAGTTTTGGTTACAACTTCTCAAATATTCCACTCTCCTCGCCAACCCATTTTGTAAACTTATTGCGTCAAGATCATGGCAATGAGACTACCAATTCACCACCACTTCAGCACAGCCCACGCCATAATCTCAAGAAAGTGGTCAGATCTGGAGCTCATGGCAATTTTTGACAACGCAGAAACGCTTCAGTGTTACAGCCTTCAATTAGAGCAAAGGCTGAAGCTGTGCCTGTCTAGGCAAGTGCAGCACCATTGCATGGCGATTGATGGCAACACACACCTACATCCTACATCTAGCGATGGTAGTTCCAGGCACTTGAAGTATGAGATTCAACATGGCGTGATCTGCTGATGTGCCGCATCATCACCCGTTTCACAACGAGCAGGTCCTTAAGATTGGCAGCACTTCGTACTGTCTTTCTGGACGTAAAGACCCGAGGATCCGACAGATAGCGTGTTTTGCAGCTTAAAACTCTGAATCGGCAAGCATGGTATACAAGCAGGTACGTTGGAATTGATTCAAACCCCGATTATTATGTCTTTGCCTCGAGGCATGGAAGCTTCCTCTATTTGCCACCAACCGTAAAGCCTCCATCAAGCGATACAGCGTATGCGAATTAATGCGCACACCTGTTTGGATTCAATGCAGGTATTTCCTGACGATGGTGGCACGGTTTTCAGCAGGTGTGTCTGCCATCTTGTACTATACTTATTATTGACCTTAGTTGCCAAGTACGATGCGTGACGAAATTGCTGCGCACTAGCAGGAAAGATGATCCGAAATTGCGGCAGGACTGGCTGGACAAGTGCTTTAATTGGTGCCTTTTTGGGAATCTTGAGCCAAAGGTTGTCTGGGACGGTGAGCAGTGAGACACCCTCTCTATAAATTGACATGGTGCTCGCACTGCCTTGTGTGTCTTCAGTCATCTTGGCTTAACACCTTTCATTCTGGCAGAGCTTCATCATGACTATGTGCAGTCGACATTGGCCTTCATGCACATTCTGCATTGCAGGGGCCATCTGCAAGGAGAAGCCAAACAACAAGTGGACAACCGATGTGTATCTGGACTTTCTGGTGCTGTCTGGTGAGGGAGTGCCGCGCCAGGTAATGCATGTCCAGGGTGAGAGTCTCAGGGATCTGCTGAAGGGGAAGAAGAAGCACCACAGACAGCTCCGCCTACAGACAAGCTTCCTGGGAAAGCATCTGAGGCAGCAGATGGAGGCCAACTCTTTGGAGATCCTGAGGGCAGGCATAGGTAAGCCAACCCGGGAGCCTCCCATCACGCTGTCCATGACCATGCCATTTGGCATCATTCTTTGTGTTCTTCACAAGAGAGCAAATCGTAATAACGGTGGAAAACCTGGCGAGTATGCAGTGCTGAGCACATTGGGATGCTTTCTGACAGACACTGGGAATGGACCGTGGCCACGTCAGAGGACGTCAGAGGGAATGTCAAAAGAAGTGTGTGGCATCCTCGAGCTGCGCACTGTGCTCCAGCTGCACCAGCAGCGTTGCAACATCTGTGAAAATGACATCCAGGCACTGCAAGCCATCCTCAAGCAGAAAAAAGGTACTTTCAAGCTCAAATAATTGACAATCGAGGCCCTCACTTTATACACCCAGATTCATGTGGCAGCTGCTCTGCGCACCACTTTTTACTGGCAAATATCGTGGATGGCTTTTGTGTTTTGCAACAGGAGCAGCAAGGGGCATGCCATGCATTCGAAAGGTCTTCATTACTCCAGAAGTGTATGACAAGATGCATGCAAAGCTGAAACGGTGGCTGCCAGCAGAGGATGCAGATTCTTAGTGTCTGACGTGTCAGTACGTAAAGGATTTGAAGGAAATCTATTCACATGCCAGTGTTCAACGATCAATCCTGCCCCTGTAGCTAGAGAGAATTGCGGGTCCGCTGACACTGCACATGGCATGGCTTGGATCGTGTCAAGCGTTCTCAGGTCCCAGGTAGCATCAGAGACAGTCTGATACGTACTAGAATTTCTTGCAACAGTATTGTAAGAAATTTCCTACTCTAGAATCTATTAGTCCTGCCTGGCGTCAAGAGCATCACTGCTCTGCACTGTGTATACAAAGAGTTGCCTCTGTCAATGCTGTAAGGCTAGTGTGTATCCCCTTCTTCCTTTCGCTCCGCGGCTCTGACAAGCTTCGCGAATCCCTCCTGTTCAGCACAGACCAGGGTCATCATTGCACCACTGCGCATCCCTCTCGAATTCCAGGAATCTACATCAATTGACAGAGAATAGTTAGTCCGAAAATACGTCCGACAAATCTGTATCTGAACAGCACCGCAAGGGACAATGATTGTCAAGTTGCATGCCGTTCTGATAACCATCCTCTGGCATGTTGTGTTGGCTAAATTGAACATCTAACCAGACATGTGGAATAGCTGGCAACGCACTGGTCCGTTAGGGGCCAGCGTGGCCGCACATCCACCCACGCATCGTCTGCGGCTGATGCCGGCAGGTGCTCCCACAGCCCCAGAGCCAGCCTCTCTGCGCCGGCCCATGCCACCATCACACCGTTGTCCGTGCACAGCTGCGGCGGTGGCGAAACCAACTCCAACCCAATCCCTTTGGCAACCCCCTGCAAACAGCCAACGCGCATTCACCACGCCTTCTCCTTAAGCTTATCAGGCCAGGTCAATATCAAACTTGTGGCGCTGTACTCTAGCGCTTGCTTTGAGTCTATATCAGATGAGCAGCAAGGCCCTGTGCCTGGTGTCAACTTGCAAAAGGAAGGGACAGAGGGAAGGCATCTGTGCATGGCTCAGTGTCTGACCTGCAGCTTGGAGCGTAGCAGCTTGTTGGCAGCCACTCCGCCGGCGACTACTATGTGACAAATGCTCGGCTCAGCTTCCAGCGCCCAAGCAGCTGCCCGCCTTGTGCGCTCCTCCAGATGCGTCAGCGCCACCCTCTGGAACGAGGCTGCAATGTCCGCGCGCACCTGCGCACACACCGTACCAGTGAATTTTCATTAATGATTCCATAATTTCCCAATCCATTGTTGACCACAGCCCTCCCCTGTCCTGATGGCACCCATGCAAGGTGACCGCATGGCATGCCTACAAGCCGCTTGTATGAGCACGGTTCAGTTATGAGACATCAAGCAGGCATCAGTAGATCCAGCAGAATACAATCTGCATTCACCTGCCGGTTTGCATCTGTGGCGGGCCCAGGAGCCTCAGCCTCGATGGCGAGCCTCACGGCAGTCTTGAGGCCGGCGTAGGAGAAGTTGCAGTTGGGGCGCATGCGCAGCGGCATCGAGAACTTGAAGCGCTGGTCGTCCCCCTCTGCCGCCAGCGTCTCCACCGCTGCCCCCCCGCTCGGCCGCAGCTCCAGTCCCAGCAGCCTCGCCACCTTGTCATACGCCTCGCCTGATGCACATGCAAAAGCACACATAAAAATGGCTAGATAGCCCACATATTAAGGAAATGCTGCTGAACTGGACTGAACTGAACTGAACTGGACTGAACTGGACTTGATTGAAGAGCATGATAGAAGGAGCGTCTGCTTGACTGGGCTGTTACGTTTAGAACGAGGGCTGTTATGTTTAGAACGAGGGGCCTCCCCTGGCAGTAGGTATTGCAGGGGACTCTATATCAACTCTAGCTCTTAGAGTCCCCGGGGTATTGCAAGCCACTGCCTGCTTCACATTGAGGTCATCTGGTTACTAAAGGCCAGAGAATTACAGTGACAGGAAGAGTCTGTGAAAGCCTGTGTAGGCACAATGGCCCTGATCAAATTTTGGACATGTGACTTCTCCTGAGATTTGTTAAAATGGAGAGGTTCCCCTTGATTGAGGGAGACTGGCGCACCGACAGCGTCGTCTAGGGTGGAGCCGAGGAGGGAGTAGCGGCCGACGCCGTGCGCGATCACCAGCAGGTTGTGGCCGCCGCTGACTAAGAGGCACAGAAAAGGGAACGCCACTGGTGCACTTGCCCTGGCCACCAGCGCATGCGCCTCCATGTGGTGCACCGCCACGTACTTGAGGCCGTGCTCTGCCGCCAGCTGCCGCGCCTTCTGCACACCCACCTGCGCGCACAAATCCCTTGCTCTACAGGCCATCAGTCTCCTACTGTCTTGTGTTGTTCTCCTATGTCTGCATCATGACATAGTGCCACAGCATCACTGATGTGCGGACTGTTCACTATTATCCTGAGCTTGGAATAGCATGGGACGGATCAGGAGGAGCGCTGGGTACCTTGAGGCAGAGGGAGAGGCCGGGTCCGACAGTGACTGCCACGGCTTCAAGGTCTGAAGGGCGCACGCCAGCCTGCTGCAGTGCTTGCTCTACCGTGGAGTCCATGGCAGCCTCATGCGCCTCCTGGGCCAGCTTGGGGACCACGCCACCCCATGGCGCATGTATGTCCACCTGCAGTATGCCAATGTCTGTTCGGTAGGGATGCATTTAGGCCCCAGACGTCATGAAATAATGCCTGTGACTTGCATGTTCTATTGTTTTATGCTTTCTGTCGATCAGCCAGGGAATCACGACAGGACGGTGCGCATGCAAGGGCGTGCATTGGGATTTGTGTGTAGGGGAAGTATGGATTGCCTGATTGGCGATGGCTTGTCCTAGAATGGCGCCGTCAGAAGCTCGAACCACCGCCACACCGGTGTCATCGCAGCTGCTCTCTATGCCCAGCACCAGGCCTCCCGCATGATCACCTGCTGGCCATGCCCTTCATCAGCGCCCATGTGCAAGGCCGCCCCAAAAAGATACACCAGTGGGAGTGCAGTGTTTTCTGTGCCCAGCGAGGTGCTCACGTTCTGTGCGGACAGTGTGATCTTGCTGAGCCATTGCAGCATAAGATCGTTCTGCCCGTCTGTAGTTCCCTATAAGTCTGCTTGTACGTTGGTAGAGGTCCTTCTGGAGACTGTGGGAAGAAAAGTACTCACTATGCTGCGTCTGTCTCAGACTAAGCGGACACAGGCGGAAAGGGAGCAGCCTGATCATGTCACATGATTACTCTGCATAAAACTTGCCTATTCTATTTGTTCCTCTGCAGAGACACGAGCAGGAGTGTTTTGGACAGATTCAGATGTACTGCAAAAGCAAATTTGCTGCCGGATTCCTGGCTTCGATCTCCGATAGCGGAAACATCGAGAGTACCGTACTTGTGTCAAGGAGGTCCACTTCAAGAGTGATCTTGGTTGAAGGGCAGCAGTCGGCAGCTCAGTCGTCCAAGGCTGTTCATCCTATTCTGGCTCCGCGGATTGGCACCTTCCCTTCAACAGGAAGCTAGCCATGCCTGCTCCTATTGTCTTCTATATTGTGTCTGTAAGTTTCCTCTTGACTCTAGACCTTACAGCAATATCTTCGACCCGAGCATAGGCTCTCAATTTTCTTGTCGACTTGACGCCTTGACGATTACTGAAGTCCCAAACTGTTTATGCAAAGCACATCCGGTGCACTTTCAAAGCATTTCATTTGTAGCTGCAACAAAGTCCGACCCCTTGACTTTTTACTTAGAAAAGAGCGTCCCAGGTTGCGATCTCTAGCTCCTGCTGAAGCAATTCGCATGTCTGATGTTGCCCATTCGTCACAGCAAATGCTGTCTAACCGATTTCTAACTAGTGTCGGTGGATCGGAAAAGAGGCTAGTTCTTCTCATTTTGAACTTCCGGCTACCACCAGTCACTTTTGCTCTGTGGAAATACGGTGAAATGCTCGTGCTGCGTCTGCCTGCCCACATCATGTGCCACATACATCATTGAGATTCGTAATATTGAACAGCATGGCAAGCTATTTATCATATTGCTTGCAGCGCAACTTAGGGTGGTGGCAGATGGAGGGGCCAACCGGCTCTATGACATGGTCTCAACTTGGTCCTGCCCATCAATGCCAAAGCTTTCCCCTGCAGACTTCGTCCCCGACATCATCAAGGGAGACTTAGATTCCATTCGACCAGACGTCTCGGATTTTTACCGACACCACGGTTCACGGTGAGGCCCGCCTTGCGTCTCTGATGCGCCTAAAGTGACAGCCAACATGAATCATATCAGGGAGAACAAACACATAGCCGAGGTGCCCATCTGAATGCAGGATTGTGGATCTGTCCGATGACCAGGACAGTACAGACCTGCAGAAGTGCATAAACTGCGCCTTGCACCAGCTGGAAGAAAATTCCTCCCGGCTGGATGGAGCCAGCATCCTTGCTGTGGGTGCGCGCTGGATCCCCATGTATCTGATCCCCACCTGCATCCACTTCTAGCCCTGCTTGCTAGATGGCTGTGACCCACCTAGATCACCCACTGCAAACATCAATGATGCGCAGAAGGGGGCTTTGAAGCCACAACGTCACCAAAGATGGTGGGTTTGCAGGGGCGCTGGGCGGGCGAATGGACCACGTGCTGTCCAGCCTGAACACGCTGTACAAGCACAAGGGGCGCAAAATTCTGCTGTGCGGCGACGGCAACCTGGTGCGCCTGCTGCCGGCTGGCCGCTCCTGCCTCACCCCCGATCGCTCCGTAGAGGGCCCCTCATGCGGCCTCGTCGCGTTGGGGGCCCCGGCCACCGCCTCCTCCAACGGGCTTAAATGGAACCTAGGTGCGCGTGCTCCCCCTGCATCAGCTCTGCCCTATGTGCTGCCCCCTTCGCATGCTTTCTGGCAGGGCGAATCAAGCCAAGAGAGAATGCAGACATGAAGACAAAGCGAGCGCCGATGGCTGCCTCGCAGGTACCACAGAGTGCATCAAGAGTACAAGTCAAACTTCATGCAAACGGCATCCTGTGTTTTCAGCTATCACATGCAGCACGGAGACCTGCATGGAAGTCATTGAGAAGTCTGTGGGGCCTCATGCTTTTCCTGATGGAGACAACTAGGCAAAATGGCAATCGCAGCTCCTTGCTGAATAAGCTCGCATGCCTGGGAAGATGTGAAAGTGTCCATGACTGATGGGGTCTTGTGCATGCAGACAACACGCGCCTGGAGGTTGCAGGCTTGCAAAGCACTTCAAACATCATTGTGGATGATGAGGTGATAGTAGACACCGATCAGCCACTATTGTGGATGACAGAATTCCATGACCCAGTGCAGATGCCTGAGGCACAGCCTTCAACGACTAATGAGTACTTGTAGGGTCACAGCCTATTACATTGTACGCCAGATGACTAATGGAAAGCATCCCAGTGAAAAGCTCTTTTGAAGCATCGTGCATGATCTTCAAGCCAATGCACATCAATTGACACCACTGTTGGCTTGGACCGAAATGCAGGAGCTTGGAGCCCTGACTAAAGCAGTGTGTCATACTTGCAGAGGCAATTGCATCTGCAAGCATAGGCGGGTATATTTGCTAGCGGAGTGACAGAGTACTGCCACTTAAAGGTCAGACCACTTATTCAAATAATTAATGGTAAACCTTGAAGGTGAAAGCTAGGTGCATCACTACTTCCCAAGACCGGCATGTGACATTCCCAATGAATTATAAAATGCTGCCCCCCATGAAAATAATAAGTAGAGGTCACCAAGCTGCAATACTAGTATAATTGCCTGAGCATCCTATGGTTAGGAGTACTTTGACAGACTTGCAACTGCAAATTGGATTTAAACTGTTGTACTTCTCCCAGTTTCACCCTGCACTTTCCCCAGTTGCAACATAAATGCCACACGCAGCACATGTGGCTTATATAAAAGTGAGGACCTCACCCGCCTGCACACCTCTGAAGGTCCATAAAATGCATGCACGCACAAGCCCGTCAAAGCGACAGGCATGCAGCTAAACCACGTTCTCGCCTCTCACTCTCCCTCTCTTGCAAAGTTGAGCACAGCATGCAGCAGACTTTTGTATTGTACAGGTATTCTGGGACCAACGCTGAAATGAATTTGGCTTCTTGAGTGGAGGAACAGTCATTTCAGGCGGAAGAATCTCGATCTGTGCTGCTGTGGACTGGCCTCCAACAACGCTGCTCTGCATTCTGACATGACCGGGTACAGCAAGCTTGTCTGGGGAACACGCCCCCATATCCTTTTGCCCTGCACGTGACAAACCCCACCCTGAATCATGTATGCACACGACAGGCATCTAACAAACACCACACCGAACCAGACTCCAAACAGGAGAGTGAAAAGTCACATGAGCGCACTTCCCCACCTGCAAGGAGGCTGCCGTGGCGCAGATGTACTTCAGGGCGTCAACATCGACTGGTGTGAGCATCAAAGAGGCCTTGACAAGCAGCCCCAGCACTCTCGCCGCCTCCTGCATGCGCTTGCCTTGCCAGTCCTCCTCTGTGTCATCCACAGTGCCTTCCAGGGGAGTTTGGCCTGCACCAGACCGTGCCTTCACTTTCAACTTGGTCAGAATACAAAGGTGCAACCTTTTCAGACCCTATCTCTATGAGCCATGTACTTGCAGGCGAGGTGGCACCAATTACAAGAACAAGGACTGTAACAATCAGGCCGCGGCTGGCGCAAGCTTTAGTTGTGTAATCATGGATTTGTGCATGAAATGTGCAAGTGCTCACCGGAGCCGGTGGCAGACTCCTCCACCCAGGCTGCAAAGTCGCCCACGAGGGAGATGTCCACCTCATCGCTCCCATCCGCGCTCACCCTCCTGTTGGCCGGCCCGCTAAGGCACCCCAGAGGCCCCTGCAATATCACCATAAGCCATCACCCAAGCTCCAAAATATGCAGCGTGAATCATAGTGTTCGAACTTTTGGTCAGACATCGCATGCTGTGCGCACTTTCATCAGTGAAGCAGCAGAGCAAGCCTATCGAGCAGCGCTTTGGTACAATCTGCGGTCACTCCGGCAGGTTTGCATGACAGCGCTCTAGTTGGCCATCTCAACAATTGCTTCTCAGTCATCCTTATCTCGAGTCACCCCTTTGAGTCACCAAATGTAGGAGAATCCACATGCTGCCACAGAGTGAGGGCGCACCAGGGCGAGCCAGGAGCGGAGCACGAAGGAGCGACGGCTCGGGTCGGAGGGAAGGGGGGCGCCTAGGTGGTGGAGGGCTTGGAGGGCGTGGCGGCGCGCATTGTCGAGGTCGCCCAGCGCGAGGCCGCAGGCCGCCATGCAGCGCTGCCACTGCGCGCGTCGCACCGGGTGCACCACCATGCTGCTCCACCCCGATGACCTGCCGATATCACAGCACAGACTGTTGGCTTCCCAATACAGGGCACTTGTTAAGACAAGTTGACGCTGACGTGTCAGATGATCTCTTATTGTAGGGCACGGGAGGATGTCTACACAGCACAGTTCAAGCGCTGGATCACAAGCTATGACTGTCCCTTGCGCGCTTGACAGATTTGCAGGACAACAGATGCATCACCAGGTTTAGATTGCAGATTGATCTGTGACCAGTGGGAAATGGTTGCATGACGGAAGGAAGAGGACTGGTGATTTCACGTGCTGGCAGGCGTTCAAGAATTGACTGTTGGGCAGATGATGACCTTGCAAGAAGGGGAAGTGGGAGAGATTTATGGAGGAGGTTTTTCTTGCGTGCAAGGGAAGGAAAATACCTGAAAGATGGGCCGACGAGGTGGGAGGAGGGCCGGGTGTGGCCGGGCCAGAGGGACTTGTGGCCGAGCTGCGTCTGGGAGCGCGCCCGGTAGGAGGCCTTGAGCACGGCCGCGATCTCGTCCGCCCTCTGGAACAGCCGCAGCGCCTCCGACGGATCAATCCCCTCCTCTTGCGCTGCATGCGCCGCCCTCTCCCACCACCACACAGCCTGATTTTACACACTTCCACAAATGAGTAGGCACGCAACACCTTCATGACCATCGCTATTGATGATTAGCCATGAGAATGCTTCATCCTTGATTCCTTAGGAGGACAGCATGGGCACCCACAGCAACTCATGCGCAAAAAATCAGATCTCTACAAAACCTCTGGGATCGTTGTTAGATATACTCAAGAGGGGGAACAGAAGTGGTATGTCAGTGCATGTCCCTGCCTTATAAATCTGTGACTACGATTGCCATCGATTCAACACGAGAAGAGTGTCTGCCCTTTTTGCTATTCTTTTGTGACAAGTGCCAGCTTACGCTACTCGCCAAGAGACGGCCCTTTTGGACCTCAAAACAAGGCATCTCTGCCGATGCTGTGACATGGAGTGGGCTGCAAAAGGCAGCGCACTAAGGAGCGATCCAGCGTACCTGGAGGGCGCGGCGCCACTCGCCGGCCTCGACGCCGGCGCAGGAGTGGGTCCAGTGGTAGGCCAGGATGGTGGCCGGCACGCAGCCCGCGCGGCCGTCCTCCTCCAGGGCGCGCGCCAGGTCAGCATGCAAAGCGCGCCGCTGCGAAAAGGGGATCAGCTCGTACGCCACGTCCCGCGCCAGCACCTGTTGTGTTTTACACCTCTCCTTGAAAATCTCTTTACACCCTACAGAATGTTTCCTGCAGTCATGCTTCTGCAGCTCTTACCCTTACTTGGAATGGTGACTTGGTAATCCACTGTGCCTGAAAGCCTAGACTGCAATAAAAGCCCATAGAGGAATGAAGAAGGCTGGAAGACCTGGGTCATCATCCAGGTGCCGGGGACATCGGTGGCGCGCAGAAAGCGGGCGGCTTCGAGGTCGATGAGGTCGCGCTGCAGGGCCTCGCGGCTGGTCGCGATCGGGTACATGTCCAGCAGCAGGTCCAGCGACACCGACATCCCCATCACACTCGCCACCTGCACAGCGCATATTTGAGAGCATTGGCCAGAGGTTGCACGCATGGGCATCAACGCCTGGCAAAGATGACTGCACCAAACTCAAACTGTGATGTTAGTGCAGCACTCGGGCATGTGTGCCCTACACCGTCTATATGTAGTGTTGCCGCGCATGCAAAAACAAGCTAGCAGCTGGGTGGCAGATGCAAAGGAGCGACTTCCTTCATGCTGAACAGCACTGACTGCCACACTATCTTTGCTTCAATGCAAGAGCGCTGTCGCATGCTCTGCTCATCCAGCACATCCTGGTTCATATTAAATATACTGCAAGTCCTGAGAGTCACCGTAGTCCTCTCAAACTCAATTAGCTTTCACATAAAGATAGCGACCTTGAGGGTGAGCTGCTGGCTGGGGCGCAGGCGGTCGACGCGGTCGGTGATGAGGGAGTGGATGGTGACCGTGTTGCGGATGAATGCCGACAGGTCAGCCTGCTCCACCGCACCCTCCCGCCCCGCCTGGTGCTGCTGCATGTACACCACCATCTGCGCAGCACAACACCACCGCACTCTTTCTCTCTGTCACCTGGATTCTGCAGGAGTAACGTTTGTGAATTGCCCCAGCTATAGCTTGCAACAAACCACACCCTTGTCCTGATTCACCACTCAAATAAGTATATACAGGTTCTGCAAGAGGTTCCATTTGTGTTGTGCATACGTCGTAGCTTGTCACAACCCACTGTACAAGTACGCTTTCGTGACAACTGCAGTTGTCACAAAATTGCAGACCCTCCATCACTGCCACCAGGGATGCCCTTTCAACCTCTTGCGTGCCAGACATCACGGGAAGGAGATGCATGTGACATGTCAAAGGACATTCTAGTGTTCTTGAACACAGGAATGTCCATGGCTGCCAGCCAGGTATGCTCATTCAGATACGAGTGGGGTGGGAGGGGCACGCACCTGTTCAATGTACAGAGGCATTCCGCCGATCTTCTCCCACAGGTTGTGCTATGCAGAAAGGGCGCGCTTTTGTGACAATTGAGAACTGCAAAATTTCCATGGCTGCCACCAAAATCACATTTTGAAATTGCACAGGCCACCAAAGAAACATCTCTCTAGATTCAGGTGGGTGACAAAGCGTTCACACCTGCTCGATGTACAGGGGCAGGCCGCCGGTCTTCTCCCACAGATTGTGCGCCACGTCCGAGCTGACAAGCACGCCGTCCAGCGCGGCGTTGAGGAAGGCCTGGGTGTGCTCGGGGGTGAAGGGCTGCAGCACCATGCGCAGCGTGAAGGGGTTCTCCCGGATGTCCTCCAGCAGCGTAGACATCTTCGCGTGCAGCGCTGCCTTTGCCGCCTGCCACCACCAGAGAGAAGGTTTCACTGGCAACTGGGGACACCGGTATAGAAATATTTTCGCGTGTAATCTCCCTGGCACCAGCCTCACATTCATGTTGCATAGAGAAGTACTGCACCCACGGCTGCATGTGCTTTGAGGTGGTGGGTATCATTGACAATGGCATGCTTGGGAACACATGAGTAGAAGGGCGTTAATGTGCTTGACTGATCTTATCATGCAAGCGAACACAATCTTTCAGGTATGTCTGTGCATTTCTACAGACCTGCCCTGGAAGGGGAGAGGCAAAGACGCCGTCGTTGGGCCTGACTGCCACGATGACCATGACGGGCATGTCAATCTCCTCAGCGCAACGGGACAGCAGCGACCACGACAGCGCGTCGGCCCTGTCAAAATTCTCCAGCAGCACAACAAGCGGGCCATACACCTTTGTCCACTCCCTCAGGGCGAGAATGAGCAGCTCCTGCTCACCAAACCCACATGACAGAGTCAAATGATTTATTTAGATTGATTCCCAGCACACAGGATTTTTTGCAAAAGAGTACTTCGTTTGTGGCTTCTCATACCAAGCACATATGGCAGCATGCAGAGCTTGAAGGGATGAATTCGTGCCTGCAGCTTGAGAGCCTTGAACTCTGGACTCAAGTCGACCTTGGCGTGAGGCATGCCGCCCAGCGTGTGTGAGTGGTCTACGTTGATGGTTGTCTCGCTGCGCCTGAGCCCTCTGCCAGAAGTCCTTGACCCAGCCATGCTGTCCAAGCTGGTGCTCCTTGTGCGCAGCACCTGCATTTGACTCCCAGGAGCCTGGTAGTCATGCACACAGAACAACCCGAGCCTCAGAGATGACATGGTTTGGCGTCAAGTGCTTGCAAGCTCCCGATAAGTGCAATCTAGGCAGGTCATGCAGGGTGCCACCCATGAAACATTGGCAGAATAGAAGGAACGGGCATCACCTGGCCGAATTTCGAGGCCTTTATATCTGCCTGCTGTTGGAAGGTTGCAAAAGTCAAGAACGGCGAGCTCATCTGCCTGAGATCTTCCTGCGAATGTAAGCTCTCATTGTTCCTCGCTGATGCGAAAGCGTTCGGCGAGCTTGTGAGGGCCTCCCTCAGAGCCGCCCGAGACAGGAGCCCTTGTGGGCCCTTCATCCGGGCTGCCGAGCCAGAGCCCTGAGTTTGACTTGGGACATGCGGCATCACATCGGGAAGCGGTGAGTGCCATGGCTGCAGCGCGCTGGACTGTTGCTTCCTCAGGAACAAGGAGCCAAATGTGCTCCTTGAGGCCTTGCGTAGCATTGACTTGGGCTGCGGTGGCGCCTGCTGCATGCTCAGAGCCGCTATGGCGGCATCGCACGCCTCGTGAAGGCCGGCAGGCGCGCTGAACCCCAGCTGTAACTCCCCTGTCTCGATGCTTGCTGGGGTCTCTGGACCGCCGTCTGGATTTGTCTTCGTGTCTGACAGGCCCCTGGGTCTCCGGGCTTTCGGTAATGCCCCGGATGCCAACCTGCCGAGCATGTGGCCCACCAGGGGGCTGCTGCACATCCTCTTGATCCTCTCTAGCGGGCCCCCATCGCCGCTCCTCTTGTGCTGGAGCTTTCCGGCGGTGTCGGAGAGCCTGCTCGACCGGTTGGCCGGCGACGGGCATGCGGTGCTGACCTCGCTCTCAGACGGCCAGCTGACCACGTCGATTGTTTCGTGCAGCGCGGCATCGCCAAAGGCCGACCTGAGCGGCTGCCACGATTGCGTGGGCCGCTTGAAGGACTCCACCTCGCCACTGCGGATGGGTGTCAGCGCCTGTCTGCTGTGGAACCCCATGTGCAGCGTGCGCTCCAAGCTGCCTTCATCCTCCCCCTGCAGGGTCCGCCGCCGCGGCGCGCTCGACGCCAGCTCGTCCGACCGGGCGGCAGCCGGCACCGGGGCCGGGCTGCTGCTCGAGCGCGCCAAGTGCGGCTGCGGCGGCGCCCCCGACTGCGACACGCGCGTGCTGGAGGCCATGCTGCTGTCGCTGGTGCGCCGGCTGGTCGCGGCGGACATGTCGAGCACCGGCGGCCGCTGCAGCGTGGCGGCTGAGAAGTTCAGAATGCCGGCCGTTCGCGGGCCGCCAGCCTCAGAGGAGCCGGGGCTGCTGTTGGCCCCACCGAAGAAGTTGAAGCCGGAGCAGCTGCTGTCCCGGCTGTGGACGCTGAGGCCTGTTGTGCTGAAGGCGCTGGCCTGCACCGGCTGCCGGGATGCGCTGTGACCCCGCAGCTGCTGCTGCGGCTGCGACGGCTGCTGCTCGGCAGCTGCCTGACGGCTGTGCGCGCGGCTGAGTGCCTCCCCGCTCGCCGCCTTCATGTTGCTGGCAATGTTCGCCAGGCTGTTCTGCTGGGTCAGCGGCGGCTGGGCCATCAGTGCTGCGGCCCTCTTTGCGTCCCTCAACCCCTTCTGGCCGCGCAGCAAATTTGCCAGAGCCCCGTGCAAGGCGCTCTTCTGCGGGACCCGGGGCGTGCTGACAGAAGGCATCGGCGACTTGGACACTTCCCTCGACCACAAGCTGGGCATCTGCACGGCGTCCGCACCCGTGGGCAGCGGGCGTTGGGACATCCTGCTCTTCATGCCTGACGCATACCGGGCTATGCTGCCCTGCAGCGCCGAGCGGTCCGGCGTCTGCATGCCCTTGGACTGTGCATACTGGTCCGGGTTGATTGGTGTGCTGTTGGACCCCTCGCGCACATCAATGGGTTCTGCTTCCTGGGCCTTCTGCAGGGACGTGCTGCGGCCCTCCAGGGCGCCCTGCGATGCCGACCTGTGCATGCTGGATGACACCGTCTCCGCTAGAAGGTCCGACACGGTGCGCTGGCTGGTCTGCTTCTGGTACGAGTCCAGCCTTGTCACGGCCGTTTCTGCGAAGCCTGCAAACGGGTTCCCTGCATTGCACCGCTCCGTTGTCGAATGAGCAAGGTGAAGTCAATAGCAATTGTACTTTCACTTCTTGCTACGTGGATCTATAGCCACCTGCCAATCTGTTGATCATGCATTGGATGCTTAGCAGACCAAGACCTTGGTGTTCTGCTGCGCGAATGACTCTCGTGAGTGACTCACCAATTGGTTTAGCGCTGTCCGGCATCTTGAAGATAGGCATGCTCTGCTGCTGCATCATGGGCATGGATTTGGAGGGGTGGCCTAGCAGGGGCACTGCATGCGCCAGTGACTTCCTCTGCCTCTTTGGGCCCGCCTTGATGCCAGGTTCAACAGATACCTGTACACACCAGCAGACCTCAACTCCTCTCTCCTACTAGTGTATGCACACTGTGATTGCTAGGTGAATTGCAGTGGACAGTGGAGTCGATCTTGTAGACATCAACTAAGGAAAACGTGGGCATTTCACACTGACAGCAATCGTGACATTTATCACTGTCTCGTGCTGGAGTAGGGACGAAGCATAATCAGTATGCTGCATTGCAATGGACAGGTGCAGAGGGTAGGACAATGGATGGAATGTGCAACCTGGGCATTGGCGGCCGGCAGCGTGGGCATTTCATCTTCTAGCACCTCCAGCAGGCCGGCCAGGGACTTGGTCCAGTGGCGCCAGTCGGCCTCGGCGTCGGCCAGGCGCTTGCCCAGCTTGGACACCACCATGGGCCGGCCGCGGCCGTCGCGCCGGCGCATGGAGTAGAGCTGCCCGTGCGCTCGGTCGTGCTGAAACAGGCCCTTGAATACCCGCCGCCACGGGTACATCGCCTGCACGCGTGACACATTGCTCATTCTGTCACTCCTGCAGTAGTGCTGTGTCACTCAGGCGACATTAAGTGACATGATCAACCCCTTAGTCATCATTGCATGCATGAAGGTGTCCTGGTATGATGTTGATGTGCCTTGCATATGGCAGGAGAGGCGAGGTGCGTCTGCAGACAAGTTGCAGTCCAAGACTGCCACATACTCCACCCATTGTTGGACTTGCCAGGTTTGATCAAGGCCCAGTGACCATGGGCATGGTGCTGACTATCCGCAGTGCTTCGGCCAAGCGATCACAAATTTTTAGCAGGGCAGCCACCTGGCCTCGGTGGTCAAAGTCAGCAGAGCTGAAGAGCATGGTGATGGCGTCCCGGTTGCCTCCCAAATTGGAGCGCTGGATCTCCTCCATCAGCCGACTCTTGCCCATGCCGGCATCTCCCTCTATCAGGATGCAGCCCCCCTCTGCAGCCTCCACCAGACTGTCCACTCGCCCATAGATCTGCAGAGCATATAAATATTCCCATCAACACTTGCTCCCTGTACAGGCAGAGCAATAATCGATAAAGCAGTAAAAGCAGTCATCAATCTGCTGGCGCATGTGTACAGCACCCTGAAAATCTCTCTTTGGTGGGCATGTACTGGGGGCAAATGGGCATGCAGCGCGCACCTTTGCGAGCGCATTCTCTGCTCCAATGATCGGCCTGTGTCTGGCTGTAGCAGCGACACCAAACAGAGCCAGCTTGGAGCTTGAGAGCTTGGCTTGAGGCTGCAGCTGCTGCTCCGTCATGGATGCCATGTCAAAGTCCTGCGCCTTGGGCGCCGCTATGAAGACATCCAGAGGAAAGGCCTTCCCTTTCACCTGACGACAAACACCTTTGGCATGACGTATCAAATTAGATACAGCAGTAAAAGCTGCACCTGACATTTGCTCAGGTGTAAATGAAATGAGCATGCATGGTGGGAAAAGCCTACCTTGATGGGTTCTGGCTTGACAAAAGCAGCCGCACCAGCACCCAGCTGGTGTGTGGTGTAGTCACAGAGCACGGAGCCCAGCCCGCTTGCAGCCTTGACCATGAGGCGGGCTCTGAGATTGACAGCATCCCCGTACACAGTGTATTCGCTGCGCAAGTCCGATCCCACGCATGCGCACAGCAACTGGCCAGTGGTCACGCCCACCACACCCTCCTGTTTTGCAAAGCACATAAGGACTTTACAGACAAGACCAAGCACATGACAGCTCTTGATACCCATCGGCACAGATCAACGCTTGCGTGAAGAAAGCCTGCTTTTCGACTCAGCAATCACAAGAGAAGCAGGCTTTGGGAAGCTTGTTAAGGACATTATTTGCTGAACAGGGAGGGCAGACCCACCTCTTGAATCTTCTCCAGGGAGTTGACAATATCGATGGCAGCGCGGATGCCTCGTGAGGGGTCATCCTCATGGGCCTTGCCCGGCAGACCAAATGCGCAGATGGACAGAAAGCCCTTCTCATCACAGCGTAATTGCAGGAAGGACCCCTCGTGCTGCTTCATGATCCGCTGGACCACCTCAATCGCCGCCTGGACACTTGTGATTGGGTCCATGCTGCTTGTTGTGGGCCTCTGCATTGCGCAGAGTCGGGAGTGAGAACATGAAACAGACTGCCGAACTGTGGCCTTTCATTCACAACAAGCATGCCACTCCACAGTCGACTAGTCAGCCAGTCAGTCACAGTGCATCCCTGCCAGCTAACTCAGAGGTGATCTGACAGGAATCATATTAGTCTGTGGGCATAGGGGTCCAGACTTGCCTTGATGGAGGGAAAGCCGATGAAGAGGACGGTGCAGACTCTGATCTCATTGATGAATGCCAGGTGGCCTGCCTCTATGCGCTGTGCAAGGCTGTCAGGCAGGTGCATGCGCAGCACATCCAGCGCACTCGCTCTCACATCTTTCCCCAGATTCATGAAGTCCTCAAAGCCGTCGGACTTGGCCTCCCCTTCTGTGGCAAGACCCTGTTGGCACACACAACTCACCACTTCTCTACCAATCTCCTCGAGCGCTTGGATGTTCCCATATCAAAGTGAAGGCATGCAATGGCATATTAAATTTTTCACCTGACCAGCTGCATGCACGGACGCCAGCTTTCCCCCATATGCGCATAGCGGTCTGACTGTGCACTTGTCCTCCACCTATGTACACACCAAGATTGATCAGTAGATTCACACAGGAGAAAACTGTGTAAGCCCTTGTAACCATGCAAAGCCCCACCTGTGCAATGACCTCTGCACTAAGGCCGACTTCCCCCGCCTCCAGGAAACCCTCTACTAAGCTGATTTGCTCGACAGGCTGGCGCTCTCCATCCCCCTCTGACAGGTGCGGGTGATCTCCAATGAAGAATTCCCAGCGGCCCAGTGAGCTCTCAGTCTCGGCTGTCCCGCCCACATGGAAGGCACAAATATTGCCACATCCAACCGCCACCTACAACCAGAAAGCCTAGTGAGGGGCCGTGAGATGATGGCAAGGCGAATGCAAAAATGGTGACGGGGCGTGCAGTGATGCTGTTGGGCCGACATACCTTGAGAGAAAGGGTATGGTTTGAGACGCGCGGTGGCGGGCTGCGTGGGGGCCGCTTGCTTCCAATATTTTGACGCGAGGCGGATGTGTCCTGGTTTTGGGTCTCGCGCCGGCTTGCATTCGCAGAGTCTGGCCTCTCCTGAGAGTATCCACGACATTTCTCACCTTCTCTGCACGGTTTGGCACATGCATTCTTGTATGCATTTCGCACACAGCTGCACTGCCATACATGCCTTCGGCTTGGAATAAGCTGAAAAGGAGTTGAAAATAGTACCTTGCGGGTGGGTAGTAGAGATTTCCAGACGGCAGTAGACCATCTTCTCTCCCGCAGCGCTGCATAGTTGGATACCCGCCTGGCCGTCCTCAATACAGGCAGCGAGCTCCTGCGGTCTTCCTTGCTCTTGTTCATCTGCAGCCAAGCACACCCATTCAATTATTTCTGGAAGCTATCCTGTCAAGTATAATCCAATCACCTGGACTGGCACACCAGCATATCCGACATCTTACCTGGACCGAGCTCCATCTGCGAGGCATGAGAGATCCGCGGGACTTGACGCGCGAAGCTCTGTCCTTGCTCCTCCTTTTCAACAACCAGTCGAATCCCCAGCCGCCTGATGCGCGCGTGGCTCGCCGGCTTCCAGCGGCTGCTGTTGGTGCCTCTGCGATCTGCTCCGTTGGCACTTCATCAACAGCTGCCATGCTTGACACAGGAGGCACCTCCTTGTCGTCTGATATGCTTTCAGCGACAGGCCCCGGTCCCCAGCGGGTTAGAGGCTCCATCTCTGCCAGGAGATGGCTCGGCTCTGGTGCCTTTGGGCGGGGCAAGGCGGGTTCTATAGCCAGGCTCGCCTCTTTAACAATAGGGCCGACGAGCTGTACACTGGTTCGTTTCTGTATCTTCGGGACGTCAGTGCCAAAGCTGCCGCTGCGCGCTCCCAGAGAGAGGCTGTTGTCGCTGCGGAAAGGATTGATTTTGGCGCGCTTGCTCTCTGGCATGGACATCAGGGATGCCCTGGCTGCGGCGATCCTCTCCGCCTTCCTGATGTTCAGGGAGTCCTTGTAGAGGGTGCGCAGCTGCGTGCGGATGCGGTCGCCGACAGCCGTGTCCACCAACAACGCGATGTCCTGCGCGCCCGGTGCCGGGCCCTCCAGCCGCTGCTTCACAAACTGGCTGATCTCCCTGTGGGACAGCGATCCCGGGGCCGAGGACACAAACTTGGATGTTGTGACATCCCATTTGACGTCCAGGCTTGGCACGTTTGCCATGTTGCTGGCGATGGAGCCTACACTGCTTGCAGTCTCCAGACTGGAGACTGGGGCGAGGCCGGGATCTTCGCTGTTGACCTCTGCCACTGTGCGCATGACAGGAATGTGCGGCGGCCGGTGCGCGGCGATGGATGTCTGCCTGAAGTAGGCCTCGAGAGGTACGCCGCCGAACGACTCCTCGGGCTCGGCCTGCTTTTTGCTGGCGGCCAGGCTGTGGAGGCCCGGCGCGAGCTTCTGTTTCGCGCTGGACTCTGCTGCGGCCTCTGGCGCTGACGGAGGCTCCGATGGAGCTCTTACAACGCTCGCCACTGGCAATGACCGCTTGATGAAAGGAGATGCAGGTGCGCCGTCAGGATGCAGCCGGCTGACCCTGCAGCCATGATGAGTAATGTGACTGTCTGTCATGCAGAGAGCTGCAGGCAGGGGTGCACAAAATAGATATACGACAGAAATCAGTGCATGCTTGGGCTTTATAAACTTGCTTTATAACAACTGCTCTATATGGGTGTCATCACCTGAGCTGACTGCCTTCTGTGCCTTCTGACAAGCCGCGAGGCCGCGGCACAATAGGACTCCCTTTGCTGATCACATGCACGGTCCCAGTCTGGGTGTCTTCCCCCTCAGAGCGATGCCGGACAGGACTGTGAGCCTCATAGTGATCGCTGACCCGCGGTGACCTGCACTCCAAGTTCTCATTAACAAAAGAAAAGAATTTCCTGTAGATAAGCTAAATCCTGGAAGAGCTGGCATGCAATCTCAGCCATGCATGACATTGTACGCTAATGTCCAAATTTTGGCAACTTGGGTAACATACCCGCCAGATGAGGTATGGGATACTCTCTTTGGGATATCTGGAGGTCTGTCAGGTTGGTTCCACAGTACGGGTTCCCCTTCTGCTCCCTGGAAGCCCCTCAGTGCCTGCCAGCTGCGATCAGGCTGAGCAATACAGCTAGTGGAAGCCCATTTCATTTCCTGGGATGACTGCCAAGGCGTGGGCGAGTCGAATGGCGAGCTGCTGTCCTGTGTGCCATGCCCTGATGCTCGCCTGCTGCTCACCAATCTCTGCAGCATCCCCGTCATTCCTGCAAGAAATTCGCATCATTAGGAAGGCGATCATGTTGGCGGTCCCATGTTTTACCACTCTCACAGGGCGTAGTGCTGGTGCATGCAAGCAGTGCGGGACTCTCTAGGCAAGGCAGTGTCCCTGCGCCAGCCTGACCCACATGGGGAGAGCCAGTGCAGACCTGCAGAGTTGCTGCGCTGTCGTGTCTGGGCCGCCTGTCGCTGGCTGGAGGTGCCAGATGGCAAGGAGCCAATAGAAGCAGCGGATGATGTTGCCGAGGAGCACGAGGACTGGGCCCTCCTCAGATCATCAGACTTCTCAATGCTTTGGGACGCCCCTTGAGATGATGACAGGGACAGGTGCCTGCGCCATCACAGTTTCAACCATAAGGTTTTTTCTGCATTGTCCCCATATATAATACTGCACACACCCACACAAAGTGAGCAAGAAAGCAGAGAAGCATGCACAAGCTGCACAGAAGCACACCTAGCGCGCCAGCCTGAGGGCCCTTCTCTGCTTGGCTGGCTGGCGCCTTGGCTTCCAAGGGCTTCGCCCCGTTTGCTGTGCCTGTCAAACGCCTCCAGGGCGTTCGAGCGGGGCTGTGTGTCCGTGGACATGCGAAGTGTGCGCCGCCACAGCGGGGTTGAATCTGAACCCCTGTCCACAGACCCCCGAGACGGCATCTGCGGCTGGACTCGCTCGGTCTTGGGCACGGGCGCAACCTTCCCATCCATCAGCATGCGCATGGAGCCTGCGCAGCCACATGGATATTCATGTCGACATGAACCTCAATCTTGAGGAAATCAAGATAATGCCATTGCATGCTTGCATGCTCGCGGCAGGCATTCTGCAGGCGTGCTTTGTGTAATTCTTTGCATGGATTGGCACCCGTTTGATATGTGCGCAGGTGTTCTGCATTGTCAGATGTGCATATTGCCCACAAGACCACAGGGCAGGGTTGTGCTTACCGAGAGATTCTGCCAGGGCCCATGCGCACTGCACGCTGCGCAGGGTGGCTGCTGCCAGGCCCTGGTCATGCGACGCCGCCTCCTTGGGCGTGGGCAGGAATGCGCAGATCATCGAGTCCCCAGCAAATCGCATGACATCACCCCCATGCACCACCACCTGCACCCCACTCAGCAGATGTGAGTGCAACTTCTACTGGTCTAAACTTTCATGACCTGCCACATTGGCAGAGAGCATTGTGAATCACTTCAATGTCGAATAAGCTAATGATTGGCCATGCCATTTGCTGAGCATGCCTGGGCGTCACTCATTGGCCACCGGGGAGCGTATTACAGGTAAACACCCAATTCTTCAAAGGAGCAGTGGTGTGTCATGCATTACCCAGGCACCAGCAGACCACCAGTAATGTCATGCAGCCTCACCGTCTGGATGACAAGGGTGAAGAAGTTGTTCATGCAGCGAGTCAGCAGCTCAACCCCTGCTGTCCCTCGCCTCCCCAGATCCTCTGTGAGAGCAGTGAAACCTGTGATGTCCGCGATCAACACAGCGCCTTGATACTGCGTCATGCACGGCACCTGCGCATTTCATGCACACAACATATAAAGAAACTGCATGCCTACACTCGCATTTGATATTTCTGCTCTGAAAACCTCCTACAAATGTCCTTCTTACCTGGCTTGAGGCAAACTCTGGTGATTCTTGGACCAGGTCCTTTCGCAAAAGGCTGGGCACAAAGGGAGCCAGGGCTTCCAAAGCATCCAGAGTCAGGGAGGTGGCGCTTGCTTCCACAGCTGTTCCACTTTGAGCATGTTCCAAGGATGTCTCATGCTTTGCAAGGTCCGAGTCTGGTTGACCTGCCATGAGCATTTATGTCTTAAATGGCTCGCACTGATGCATCTTTTAACACTCAGTCTATCATATGTAAGTCAGATGCCTGGCACTCACCCTTTTCAGGGAGGGCTTCGGCATCAGTGGCATGCGTCTCAGCCTCTGCCAATGTGCTCAGGCTAGTCTGGATCTGTCTTGGGAGTGCATCAGCATCCCTTCCGACAGAAGCCAGTGCCAAGACGGATGACAGACGCGTCCCAAGCTTGTTCCACATGCCACTGCTCACTCTTGTGAGACTGCTGCCTGTACCAGGGGCCAAGCCTTGCGGCTGTTCCTGGCTAACCTGCTCTTGTTCTGGGGCTGGGCCAGCAGCGGTGCTGCCCTGTGTCTTATCACCATGGTCGGCTGTTGCAGGCGCAAGCTCAACTTGTATGTTCTTGCCGCTGTTGCTCGGTGAGAGCCTGCTCGTCAGGGGGATCCGAGCCTCTGCCCACAGCTGGATCCTGCTGGACGATCTCCTCTGCCTGCCGGTCTTGGGAGGCCGCTGTGCTGCCCCTTGCGCGGCCTGCATGCACAAGCATGTCACACACGCCCGATGTGTCTTTTGTAATGGGTACACTGCATGCGTCAGGACTGAGACATCAGTGATAACTTCAATGTTCTATTATGGAGGCCTTCCCAAAAATAGCTGCGTTGCAGAAAATTGCCCACCTGCTGTGCATCACCATCGCTGCCGAGGCTGCTCTTCCTTCGGCGGTCTTCTGCTTGGGTTCGCTCTTGAGCTTTCCTCTCCTCCCACAGGTTGAGGACTGACCCTGCTGCAATCTGGTGAGCATGGTGCTCATCGCTGAAATGCATCACCTTGATCTTGTCCTGCCCCTCTCCACCAGAAGTCCTGTACACGAATTAGAAAGCCCTGATGTATCAATGATCACTATGGTGGCAACTTCCATCACCGATGCAGATTTCGACAGGCATGTATGAGAGCCTTTGGATCTGAATCGTGCGGATTACCTGCTGAAGCTTTGCGACAGTCCTGGTGGTGGCTGCTGTGACTTCTGCCATGCCTCAATGTTTGGCAATGGTTGCTTGTTCAGCAATTCGGAGGTGGAAGGCAAGTTATTGCTTTCTTCCAAGATGTACAAGCCAGTGTCTCCTAGATGTCTTTCCAGCGTCAATTTTTCTGGTGCTGCTGGTGTCTTTTCTTGAACGAGAGACTCTGGATTGTCTATTCCAGGCGTGGCATCCCCTGGGACAGTTAAAGCCCTTTCCATCGTCCTGAGCATACATGCAACAGCTTTCATTGATGGTGATTGATGTCTTCTGCAGCTCTTGGGTACAGGGTCAGGACGCTTCCCTTTGACTAGTATGAGGCATCAGTTTTGGTACAGCATATTCGGCAGCTTTAACATGCTCCACAGTGATAAGGAGTAGGGAACCACCACACCTTGGTTGCTTTTAGTGAGTTCATGGTGCCGCTCTCATGTGCACAACACCTGCTGATGGGCCAAATAACTTCAAGCAGTACAGGACACATTTGAGACGACAACACTATTGACCATCCTGAAAAGTCACTTGCAATTCACCTGTCATATCATATTCTATTTTTCGCTCTGCTGGAGGTCATCGAAGAACCACAGGGGCCCGCTTGTACAATCAACCTTGGACAGAAGCAAGTCAAAAGTACTCAGCATCAGAGACTCAAGGCTTATATCAGTTGCCAAAGGAAAGTGTCTGCAACTACATCAAAGAAGTTGTTGCTTGTGCAACGGTCGTTATCAATCACCTTACAGCCAGCAGCGACAGGCTAAAACGAGATGCCGCGTGCAAACTTTTCATTCAGGGTCATCAGGCTCTGGCCAGCCTTCCCTCTGCGTGGCATGGTACTCATATAACATTGAAAATAGTCGACAACCTCCTGGATCAGACTTCGAAGGGCCAAAACCACGGGCACTGTACGACAGAGTCTCGGCAGGTTGCCTCTGCCTGATCAGGCTCGAGCTTGATCTGTCGCCGAGCACGCCGACTATGAGTGACTGGCCAAGACTTTGCCTTCCGAAACTTGCAGACAACTGTACGACTTGCCCCACTATATGCATGTCGAGAAAATAACACGTTATCATTGACACACGAAGATGTGGGCAGGTCTCGGCCTCCTTGACAATGTATTGATACAAAGGGTGGTGAGGCCTGCTGAGGCTCCACAGCTTTGTGACAGGAATCGCTTCGCCGATGCATCCGCACCTCCCACATTGTACACTTCTCATAGAAGATCATCTAGGGGATCAAGGTTAGCTCGCACGGCAGCCCTGGAGGGCAAATTGGGGAGGGGCTCTGCGCAGCTCGCTCTAGATTTCACAAAGTACGCAGAGCCACCACTCTGGGACGTGGTGGGGCTTGGGCAAGCTATGGTGGACATCAGTGCTGCCGTCGATGACGATTTCGTGGCAAGAGCTGGCCTTGACAAGGGCAGCCGCAGGTGACTAGTAGTCTTGTTTGGCTAGCCAGTGACTAGTGACTTTTCATCCCACAGTCACATCCAGGAAGTGGGAATGGTTCAGAAGTCCGTTCATTATCTGAACTTATCTTATGGTAATCTCTGCGGACAGGATCATCTCAGTGGAAGAGCGAGCAAAGCTGCTAGAAGCACTGGACGGTAGTGCGTACCAGGTCAGTGCCGGCGGCTCGCTGGCAAACACACTGGTGGCAGCGTCGCACCTCAGCCGAGCAGATCACTGCAACCGGGGCGGCGGCCTCCCGAGGATCGGCATGCTGTCAGTGTCAGGCGATGACTTGCAGGTACGTTTTGTGCTTGAGCTGCTTTGCTCGCACCCTGAATTTCATCGCTCTGGATTTGCTTTATCACTGCTTTCTAGCACAACAAGCTTTACAGTCAGAGGTAATGCATCAGCTATTATCAGCGAGATTTCGCCCAGGAAGAGCTTGCCCAAAAGGCCCTTAAGTAGGTAGATATTGTGCAAACTTTCTCCTGCCAACTTGATGTTGAGCATCATGTGAGCGCCCCTTCGTGTCTGGTGCAGGGGTCCTTCCACTGCGCGCAGATGCAGCATGCTGGCATCCGGCTCCTCTCAGAGCCGCTGCCGGGAACTAGCACCGGCACAGTGATCGTCCTGACAACGCCAGACGCCAACCGCACCTTCCTGTCCTACCTCGGCAGCTCGCAGACGCTCACCCTCTCGGCCGCAGCGGAGGCCGCAATCTGCCGTACGCGCGTGCTAATAGTGGAGGGGTACTTGTGGGAGATGCTGGGCGCGAAGGAGGCGATCGGCGCCGCAGTGCGGCTTGCGAGGGAGAGCGGCGCGCTTGTTGCGATGACCACCGGCGACCCCGGCCTCGTCGCGCGGCACCGCGGCGAGTTCTGGAGGCTGCTCAGCGGCGGCGATGTGGATGTACTCTTTGCCAACAGGTGAGAGCTGCACCATGAAAGCGTGACAGAGGTACATGATGAAGAGCTTGTGAAGGCCCTGTAGAGGGGATAGGAGGGTGCGAAGTGAAGGCCTGACAAGAAGAGTTGCTGACCTGCAGGGCTGAAGCGAGCGCTTTGTTGGAGCATCCAGTGAGTGCTGCGGAGGCTGCGTCAGAGCTGGGCTCGCTGTGCTCCCTTGCAGCAATAACTGATGGAGCCAATGGATCATGCATCTCAGCACTAGGCCGCCTTCAGGTGAGGGAGCAGCTGCAAGGATCTGTTGAATGCAATGGATCTGACACTAAGGAAGAAAAGCAAAATAAGCTCCATATATGGCTAGAGAATGGTGGTGGCGCATTGACTCATAATTGTGATTGGCGGCTGCAGGTGGTACCGCCATACTGGACAACAGATACTCCAGTGGACACCTGTGGGGCGGGGGATGCCTACTGCGCAGGGCTGCTGTATGCCTATCTGTCTGGCTTGGATCTGGCCAGCATGGGGCGGTGCAGCGCGAGGGTAGCAAGCGCAGTTTTGAGCAGGAGCGGCGCTTGTCTGACAGCGCAGGAGGCAGAGAGGGTGGTAGCTTCTCTTCCTGCTGCAGATGGCTACAGGGCGCAAATTGCCGGGCTTGCTCTGGACTCCAGGGCCGCCACCACATTGTAGTAACAGTTTAGCCCGGATGAAGGCAGCATGCTTTGTCATGTCTGGTCAGAACTTCCGCAAGAAGTCTTCTGGTACTTGGGATTTTGATATAGAGTAGGCATTTCCACAAAGGTACAGATGTGGCAAGAAATGGAAGCACAGATGTGGCTTCTTGATGGCGACCATATTTTTTTGGCACTGCATTTGGCACCACTGCCAGACTGCCGAATGGCACACAACGCATGCAAGCAATGGATAGGCATGAAATGCGACTTACTGTGATCCAAAACATATTGCAAATCAGTAGTTATCACTGCCAGTGGCGCCTGGGCCTCGTGATCACCACAGGCGTGGCATAGAGAAGGCGGACTTAACAGTAGCCAGACTTGATAGTGATATTCTTCGCAATTTTCAGAGGGCAGGCTTATAAAAGACATGTAACTGGGCACATTCCCACTCAGTTGTAGTTCTTGCATGTGCACTGCTTGCTTTGTATCGCATACAGCTCAAGGTTATCACTTATAAAATCACTCATACTCATGAGAGTTGCAGGACCAAAACTATGTAGCTAAAATCTCCCCAACAAACCATGCAGCCTTGCTGCTTCTGGCACCATATGTCAAAGTGTCTGCACCACTCTGCCTACATTCTTGAATGCGGCCTTATCACGTCTGTTCTGACCAGCTCGTCAGCAAGCTGCCGCCAGGACATCGGGCTCTGCAACACACTCGCTTGCAATTTTGTCTCCCACAAAGCGTACGCCTTCACTCTCCAGCAGGGCCTTTTTGCGGTTGACACGCTGTGACTGCGGATCCTGCAGCACAATATGTGCCGTGACACTTTTTACACTTGTCCGTTCAATAGGATCTTTGGAAGAGGGTTGCAGATCAGAACAGTTTCAATTCAGACAACCCAATACGCACCCACGTCCCTGAGAAGCCGCCAATCTTCAAATTGTGTGCCACAACTCTGTGACAGGGGACTTGTGGAGCAAAGGGATTGCGCCGCAGTGCCTGCTTTGCCAGATGATGTATCACTCCCATAAGCCAACCAGAGCAGAGTGCGAACGAGATGTAGTGGGAAAACAAACAACGTTGAAGGGTACGGTCAGGTGCATCACCTGTCCCACTGCCCTAGGTGAGCTCTTCAATGCTTGGGCCAGTGCTCCATAAGTGCTCACCTTGCCCTTGGGAATTGCTGAACAGACCTAGCAGGAGACAACAGTCATCACAGAAGGGGTTCTCTTCATTCCAGCACGTATGTAGAATATCAAGAGCAGATCACCACCTTATAGAGACGTTGTTCATAGATTGTAGGGGGCCTCTTCTTGGTCTCTTTCTCTACAGAAGGGCTCCGTTTTGCAATAGCTTTCGCCATGAGTATGGTTCAACGAGCCTGCGATGAAAAAGAACTACTTTGTGATTCCGTCATCGGGGTCACAAAAGACCTTGGAAAAGTATATCGGGAGAGAAGATGTTCAAGACTGCGCACCTAATGACAGTAAACCTGCGTATGCTCTCTAAGCTGATTCCTGCAACTTCTTCTGCTGCCTAGCGTTCTCTCTTGCTAATTCCTTCTCCAGATCGTCCGAACCTACCGCGCGCATGGAATACCAGTACGTCCCTGCAACGAATCCAGCCAAGACGGTGGCCATAGCCCAGTTAGGCAAGTAGGCTTTTGGTCTGGCCAGCGTCATCTGAAAGTGGAAGAATGGACCTAGATTGCTTGTATAGAAGTGAAGCTTGATCCTCGTAATGAATGATAGAGCATCAGGCAGCTTCATCTGAAGAATCATCATGGCATGCACAGCACAGCATGCACCTGCAAGGGGGCGTTCCTGTCAACATCTTAAGACTACTCCATCACAATTCTCCGTAAACATATGTCAAAGCTCCCCTGTGTTTTGTTTTTGCGAATACCTGCCACGAGTTGCAATGATCAGTGCATAACTTGGAAGCTTTCTCATGATTGTCTAATTGATGGACCTTGATTGTGATCAAGTGATCACAGTGACACTTCCGTGACAACTCGAGTTCCTCTCAAGACCCAGGCTTGATCAAATTATTCGCCGTAACACCTAGCATCAGGGGCGGTCCATGGAGGATCCTCTTACAGGTGGATTTATTGTTCCAGCCTGAAACTCTCTCTTGGGGCTCTGGATGGTCTGGATCTTTGAGGATGTGTATTGACATGCGCAGGACACTTTCCAAGCAGGTCAATCCTGGACGAGGAGGAGGAACTGCAAGCACAGCAGTTCTCTGATGAGTACACCACACCGCCAGTGTTTGAGGTGAAGAGGAGTCTCATCAGTGATTTCAGCCGTCAGGAGCAGATACTCCGTGATAGTACTGTAATGTTGGTGTGGTGTGTTGCAGTGGTCAGGCAAAAGAGAGGGCTTGCTTGCTGATGGCAAAGTCCAAGTCAAGATTTTGGTGCGCAAGTCTCCTTCAGAGTCACAATCAAGCAGCAAGGAGTTCCCTGAAGCAAGGAGTTCCCTGAAACTGATAATGTGCTGCTAGGTCCTCACCACGAGCACTTCTGCCCGCGGCCTGATAACACAATGTCTCGGTCCTGATCAGGTACATGACATACTGCTGCTCGTGCAATGCACTAGAAATATGAGAGTAGGCATCGGGATGTAAGTTTCTGCTGCCGCAGGCCATTGGACGGATTCTTCAACCACAAATCCTGCAGGAAGCTCCAATTGCACTGCGAGCAATGGTTGAGGGACCCACTGGCGCAGAGTCTGTTTGCGAGCTTTTTGTCCTGGGAGGAAACACCGATGCACCAGTGCTTGTGGCTGTGTGCCAGGCCGCTGTGACACCAGAACGCTCTGGAGTATGGGCCAATGGGCTTTTTGCCGAGATCCACCCTGAGGAAGTGATCTGCATCTCCTCGCTGCCGGTGAGAGCCTCATGCATGCTGGTTTTACTGCTTACTGCTGCCATTGACCTTTCTTGTGCATCGAAGACTGATCAGCAAGGACATCAGGAAATTTCCCGGCATCACGGTGCTGCATCACAGAGACGTTTGTCGCATGCATCCAGGCACACCAGTTCTTGGGTCAAGAAGACCCCACACAGGAGCCCTTGCATTTTGTGTTGCACACATCTTCCTGCGAAGGCAAACAGAAGCACGCCATTCCCTTGCTGCCAACTGGCAACCTAGTGTCTGGCCAACCTGCAGCAGTCATAAGCTATTGTCAGGTGCGCATTTGAGGTAAGTGTACTAGATTTATGCTATGAAAAAGTCTGATTCGGAGTATTACTGGGGTTTCTTATACCAGTGTTGTGACCAGGTGCATGACATTCCAGCGACCCTGCTGGTTTCTGTTGATGCTTCGCCACTTCCAGATGGTATTGCCGTGAAGGCTCTGGCAGAGACTGTTGCAAAACTTTTGGAGAGCACAGGCAAGTCTCTTAACCTTCACAAATTTTGTCTATGTCTGTTCAGGGCGTTAGGCCTGTCAATGCCCAGCTAAGCATTTGTTGCAGAACAATTGATGTTGTGCATGGGTACTAGCCAGTTGTGGAATGATGGTCATGCGTTCTGTGTGCTGAAACAGAGGCGAAGGAGCTTTCAGGGCTGCTGAGGCAGCCACAGATAGTATCGGAGGCATGCAAAGAAGCGCGCAAGAACATACGGATGTCAGATCGTGCTGCGCTGTATCTATAGTCATTCAGTACGCATCATTGTATGATCCTCAAGAGGCGCGAGATAGAGAGCCCTGACTCAGGCCCTTGGAGGGCCTACACGAATCAGTTCTACCGATACCACCTTCAAGTTGACTTTGCAGTGGAATTTTTCAGAGGCTGTACAGCGCTGTACATGGTGAAGTCACTTGTCAAGTTTTCTATTGTTGTCATCATGCCCACCACAGGGAGTCAATTTTTTAATGTCTCTCTACAGAGGTCAAACTTTGACCATCGAACGCCAGATTAGGCGTCCATCTTCCTTCATCTCCATAAAATTTATGAGAAGCTCACAGAGTGATGTTCCCTGCAGAGCCTCCTTTGGCTCTGCCCGTATGCATGCTGGGTCTCTCACGGGGTTCCCAGGTCGTGCGTTCTTCTTCTTCGTGAGGGGTGCTGCTCTGCAGGTGAGGTGCCGAAGTGTGCCTCTTGTGCTTCCACTGCCTGTCATACCTGCCTTGCACATCTTGCTCCAGCAGATCAGCCGTCAGCATACAGCTACAGCAGCCTATCAGCCCAGCTGCATTGCAACTTCCTCAGTCAAGGGATACAATCCCTCTGCTGCTGTTGCTCCTCCGGAGTACAGGTCCAGAGTAAGAATTTTATTCTTGTGCTCTGTAATAGTACTTGCTACTAGCCCACCAATTCCAAGTCTCTTTGCATTCATTCCTCTGCTTTTGATCACCTTGTGTCTTCAATATACCACTCACTATATTCACACCACGTGCACATACCATCCAAGTGACTAATCTTGTAAACAGGGTGTGAGGGCACGCCGCTGCCTAACACATCCTTCAACGCGGTTCTTCTTCTTCTTCTTCTTCTATGAGAAGGCATTTCCTGATGATAGGTTCAGTTTCTTACAGTTGCAATCTATCTCACTGATCGAGGCGGACTTCTTGGAACCCATCGGACCTTCACCGATGACATGTACTTTCCCAGAGTGATGGTGTGCTCGTGATCTAGGATGATAATGGCGCAGATCATTGGGACAAGATCTAGTATTTCAAGGAAATCAGAAGTCTTCCATCGACGACGTGAGGTGCAGAGGTAATCAATTTGCTGGCTTTCTTTGGTGATCTGAGGATTTGCTGACTTCATATTGCCGCTTCCTCCAAATATTATTAGCTTGATCCCTGAAAATTGATTAATTGTTGAAGGACTAATTTGATCTACAGGTCGAAATTTCCATGGAGGGGTGTCAGGGCTTGCACGATGTCTGGCTTGCACAACGGGCGGTATCTCGTATCAGAACAAGACAAGGAGCACTTCAAACAAAAAGGGTGCGTCCATCACTTTGCAAGATCTATAAGGAGTAATCTATTCTCTTCTGTGCTCCCATCAATTGTGTTTCTTCTACTGAAAGTTTTGGGTTTCCTGATTTCCAGATACGTCCACTTGAAGGCTGTGATACAGGAAGAGGAGCTCCAGGACATCATACAGCCTGTGAAAACCTCACTGCATGTTGACATGTTGAAGACACACTTTACACCATCGACAACCTTGATGCAATTGACGTGGTGAATGCACGCATGCATGCATGCAGGATCTGACAGCATGACCGTGCTTTCTGCAGGTCTATGAAGCATTCCTGAGGGGTGAAATCCCAGTGAGCGGCAGCGATCTCTGTGACATGTCTGGAGCCAAAGGCAGAACCCCATATGAGTTCACTGTTTACAACGTGATGAAACCCAGAACATACTACAAGGAATGGCAAGGCAACCTCTACGAGAAGCGCTGCAAGGCTCGTTCTATGGCAACCCAGTACTATACTTTTCTGTCACATCAGAAATGCTGAGTATCTTTGGCATTTCTGAACGGTATCTGTTGACGCTCTTATTGTGCGCATGCAGGACATTGCCGATCAGCTGCAAAGCACCAATGACATGGAGCCGGACTATGATCAGATCCTGGCCAAACGCCCGCACTCCCCAGACGCTATCTTTGCCTGGTCAGTAATAACACACCAAACTTGAATCCTGCCATTCACCAGCAACACTTCCTGCTGATCATGATTCCGCCCAATGTAGAGGAGCACCTGAGAATTTGGGCCATCAGTGTTATGGCCTGCCCAAATCTCTATAGAGCTCCAAACATGGGGTAGATGAAGAATAGAGACTAGAAACTCTTCAAGCAAGTGACTACATGCGGACCACTCTAGTTAGCAGACCGCTCTGCTGCTGAGGTGGCAGACGCACCAATACATCATATGATACACCGGCAGCACTTCTTGCTGATGATCTCTAGCAGAATGCTCTGGTGCTGAGGTCACAGTCGCACCAAGTTGCAGGCACCAGGACATGGCATATTGGCCGCCCACGGCAGAGACAGCCACGGCCACCTGCTGGCTGGCGATCTCAGACGCCACCATAGAAAACGGCTGCATGCGCTTCGTTCCAGGATCGCACCTCGAGCCCCAGATCCGGCCCCATGCGCCAGGTCAGACCCCTTCCTGATGAGCAGCACATTTGGCGGAATCAATCCGACAGGATAGAAGGCCAGATCAAAACCTCACTACATGATAGTACTTGGGGAGTATTTAACAAGAGATGGTCTCCACGTAGACATATTTTGATCAGATATAGGTATTCCTCATATAGACGTGAATTCGCTATTATTTTGAGCTCCCCAGCCTCTGTTTCTGCTTCCAAGTCAATTTGGGCAGGCCATATCCTGGCGCCCCACCTTTGCCGAGCACCTCCTCAGTATTGGGCGGACTGAGAAGGCCATGCAATGTGTTCAATCCCTTGCCCCATCTCATCTGATTGAACGCCTGAATAACCGCTCCGGAATTGCCGAATGCAGTGGGGGCGTCCCGAGAGGAGTCGCATGCGCTGCACACAGTGCTGAGGGAGGAGGACATAGTGGAGCATGCACCCATTTCCAGGGGGGACATCACCGTGCACAACGAGAGCGTCATCCACGGCAGCGGCCCAAACCTGTCAGACGGATGGCGCCACGCGTACGTGCTCGCGTTCCGCCGGGCGAGCGCCATCCGCGAGGAGCGCGCGATGGGCTTCACGCACTCCCACAACGACGAGACCAACTGGGATGTGTTCAGGCAGCACCAGCGCGCTTAGAGCTGCTTTGTCTGATGAGCGTGAGAGGCCTTAGAGCATCTGTGTATGGATATATGTTCCTGTGTACAGCGCGACTACAGCCGCCTCAGCTGATCAGCCTGAGAGGAAGAAAGGAGCCCATGCTTATAAATGTCGTAGTGTACAGCGTGCCTAGAGCAGCTCCACGTTATCAGCTTCAGAGGCCTCATGGAGTGTATGTGTGGAAATGAATGTTGCAGTGTATAGTGTACGTAGAGCCGCTGTAGCTAATTAGCTTTCTAGGAGAAGCTTAGGTAGAGTCCATGCAAGAAATGTTGTAGTGTACATCAGCGAATGATGCGTGACCTGTTTATTTTTGTACAACTAGGAAACTCTGTTTGGAACTGCCATGCTGTTACATCTGCTCTTTTAGAACCATTGGGCAGACTAACGGCCATGCACTGGTCTGCAGTGTGCTAGATTTCCTCGCACAGTTCTGTCTCTCGCAGAATACCGCAATAGATGAGCAATATCATAAGTTCAAATGAGGTTATAAGCCATCCTACAAGGAGTGCGCAGTTCTAAATCCTGCTCAGAATTGTGAAGAGGAAGTATCTAGTCAGTCAATTACTGAGGGTCTTGCTACTGATGTTGCAGTCTGAATAAGTCTTCAGGCTTGCTGATTTTCCTGGCATTGTTTTAGCAATTATTACTTAGCAGCTTTCTTGTGAACAAAATCTCAAGCTATGTTGGAATCGAAGTGCTTATGTTTGGGCGGCTGCGCTTCCCCTGACAGCCAGTGACTGTTGCAGCGCGCTGGCATAAATGATGGAGGCAGCGTTGTTGCGCGGCCGCCCTCCCCTATTCTTCTCCCTGACCGGCGGCAGAGAAGCCTTGGATCCATTGGGGGCTGTCTCATCAAAAGGCAGCGCCATTTCTGCCAGAAATGCCCGCGCTGCCGCAGATGTACATCCTCCAAACCTGCACATCCACACCAAGTTGTTGCATGCAAAGAGTGTATGCTCAATTAGATGCCACTTCTAGGGCCCGGTAAGGCGCCTCGCCTGATTATCGTGGGGTCAATTAAACCAGGAGAGATTGCACAGTGCGAGAGCCAAAGTGGGGGGGGGGGGGGGGGGGGGGGGCATTTGCCTCAATTAATCACTACTCATCCCAAAGGCAAGGAGGTCTGACCTCTTGGCTACGAAATTCTCAAAGCTGGCGACCTCCACGTCGTACACGCCAAGAGGGAAATTTGCCTTTGCGGCGCGGCCCTTTTCAATGATGAGGGCCCTGTCGTACTGGCGCGCTGCTTCCTCCTCAGTCTCGTGTATGCCGAAGGACACCTGTGCCACATGTTGAAGCACTCTCAATCCATCACATCTTGATCAGCCTTGCTCACCACCACTCAAGGTACAATTGCAACAGCGCGGCCTGAGAGGGACCAGGATCAAGATTGAGCACCCGCCCACGGCTGCTTGGATCTGGCAAGCCCAAGAAGGGGTAAAAGTTTCTTGGAGCCTCCACCTGCAGCATGTCTTCTGACGCACCTTGTGTCTCTAGGCAGAAAGTGCGCATTATCATAGGGACACTAATGATGACCTCAGAAAGACTGGACGTATTGTCGATATAAGGTGTGACACGCACGTTCTTGCGATCGCCAAAGGTGCCGATGCGCGCCTCCCAGTGGCCGGCCTGGCCCGAAACCCCCCTGAAGCGCGACCGGCCGCGCGAGAACGCGCTGCTGCGCCGCCGCACCCATGCCACTATCTCCTCCTGCATGCATGCACCCACAGCGCATGGCTGCACGCCTCCCAGCCGCACACTTGTTCTTGGACAGCTTGTAATGCAACGCACCATGCACGGGGCTGACTGCAGGAGCTAGGGCTGTGTTACTGTTCAGGCCAGGGAGCATCGCAGGGGAGTCAGGCATGCATGAGCACTCTCAGAAGAGTTTCTAGTGTTTTTTTGAATGCACTCTTGATGCACGCTCTAAATTTCGTGCTCTTCTGCTTGGACTGATTTTTGTATATGATTTATCTTCTCTTAATCTAGTTTTGGGCAGGTCGGATGGAAAGGGCAGGGCAGGGCACCCTGGAGGAGCCGCGGATCTCGGACAGGTTGCCCTCGTAGTCGGCCGCGGCAAAGTTGGTGGGCACGGATGGGCCCTTGCACGCCAGCGCTGCCAGGTCGTACGCGCGCGCAGCGTCCTCCTCGTTCACATAGCCGCCCAGGTACATCTGCTTGCCCGACAGCCACAGCGACGCCTCCCACCGCTGCGTCAGCCTGCAGCAGAGCCCGCCGCTAAGTTCTTACATCCCAACAACTTGCGTCCTTGTAATTAGATCCTCTGCTTTCACACAAATCATCATCGTCACCTGGTGCGTCAGGGTCCACAGGGATCCATGAGTAGAAAGGGGCAGCATCACTTGGGTATTTGCGCACGTAACAGCATGCGTGCAAGATCAAGATGATCAGTCACATTACATCGCTTCCAGCCTGCTTAGGGCCGAGTTGCTGTCCGAGTCTCATTCTCGGGGTCAGTGCCTGCATGTCATCTGAGCAAGTGCATGTGCTGGCATCCCATTGAGCAGAGGTGCCGCGAAGTGCACCTGTGTCGTGAGACACCCCTGAAGACGGAGGACGCGGCTGCTCCGGGCTGCCGTTTCTGAGCGCCGCCGCCGGCACCGGCGCTGATGCGCGCGCTTCCCTTCGCCGCCTTGCTGGGCGGCGCCGCTGCGCTCTTGCGGTCCGCACCTGAACCAAGCAGAAAACTCAACACAATGATTGTTTGTTTTTTTAGTGTGATGCTCGAGCTTTCACTTTTGCACCAGCTGTTGATGAGGATGCAGGGTAATCGACGAGAAGTGTGTAGACAAGAACATATAGAGTAATCAAGCCCCAGATTTCATCAGAAGCACGTGTTGATTTATTTTGGTGTTGAGGAGCACTGTGACTGACCTGTGGGGCTGTCATCATTGTCCAAGAAATCTTCATCTGCGGCATCCAGCGAGCGCTTGGAGGGCAGGCGCACTCGTCCAGCCCGCGTCAAGGTAACCCCTGCCATCGCCTCTAGCTCTGTTCCGCCTTGGGAAGCTTCGGCGGCGGCTTCCCCCCTGCCGCCCCTGAGCCCCTGCCGAGCGGCCCTAGGCTTGCCCCGGTGCGCCCCCGGGTCCGACGCGCCACGGCTGGCGTCGGGCCAGGCGGCTGCGGCGTCCGATGGGGCCGTGTGCGCCCTCTCGAGCGGCTGCCGCCGCGGCCGGCCCGGCCGCCGCTCGGGCCTGCCGCTCCCCCCGCGCGCGTCGGCGAACAGCGTCCGCGCTGGGTCCGGCGAGGCCCCCGGCGATGGAAACTGCTGAGCTGGCGCGTGCAAGTCCCCTTCCTGCTCCTGACGGCTGCCCTGGAACCAGGTGGTGAAGGAGATGGTCTGACCCAGCCAGGGAGGTACTAGATTGGGCGGCGCCGTTGTACTACACGGCGAAGATGTCTCCCTCTTCGGCCGGCCCGCTGCCTTGGTTGGGCTCGGAGGCAGTGACCCCGGCCAGCAGCTGGGAGCGGCAGCGTGGTTTTGTTGTGCAGAGGCCTGCTGCGCCATGCTGAGTAACTCTCCCAAGCCGGCGTTGGCCGGCGACGGCGCTCCCTGTGCTAAGTGGAATGGGAATGGCAGGCTTCGTAGCTGTGCGGCAGGTGCCGCCCCTTGGCGCTGGGCCTGCTCCCAGCGCTGCACCTGCTCGCGGTACTCGCCTAGAGAGGCCTCCTTCTGCTCCAGGCTGCCTGCGCTCGCTGGGCTGGGCTCCCCTGCAGGGGCACTGCTCCGCGGTTCAGCGTGGCCTGTGCTCTGACGCGCCTCACTGACTGGCAGCAGCCTCTCCGCAAGTGCCAGCGTCCAGTTTCCGTCATCCTGCTGTCCCTGCTCACCAGAGATCAAACGTGAGGCACGGGCCCTGTTGGACTCTGCAAGGTTTAGTCCGAAAAGTGGAGTGTAATTTGTGGTACCTGCCAACGCAGCAGGAAGTTCCAGTCCTCGGCGGACAAGTCATTCGTCTTCGCTTCAGCGCTACCCCCTCGGCTCCTTCTCCTTGTCTTTTGCTGGCTGTCATTCTTCTTATTCTCTGTGCCGCCAGACGGCATTCGTCTCCACAGCACATAAAGGGAACGGCGCCCAGCCTGTATAATCGCCAATAATAAATTCAGAATGGACGAATTTCAAGTCAATTAATCTTCAGATTGGGACAAACATGCTATGGCTCCGGACCAATTCCGAAAGGGATGTCACGGAATGCCCACGTGAGTCTAAAGAAAGGGACGACTTGTGCTCCCTTGGACATCCAATCAATTGCAGCTTAAGATGATATGTACCTCTGCGGGCTTTGGGAGGCGTTCGCGGGGCAACGCCCGGCGTGGAAGGCTTCCGGAAGTCTGCACCGCCACTATTGGAATGTGATGTCTCGAAAAATCAGGTCGCTATTATTGGTCCGTTGCTTTTGAAAACTGATTAATTATTGTGGAGATTATAGCTCGAGGCGTTAGAGACCAATCAAAGGGGACTATTGTAAGGTGACTCTACTCGGCATGTGTCCATCAAGGATTTCTCCGAAAGCCAAAAGGAGGGTCTGAGGACCAGTCAGGAGCAGAATAACGATGCTGAACAGAACTCACAAATATTTGTTACATGCTACGGTGATTTCAGAAATCCAATAAAGGGGAAGGCTCGTATCTGCCTGCTGCTGGCCACGCTCAGCCAGCATGCTGACATCAGCAACCCCCAATGATGACCGTCGGTTCCATGATCCAATGGCCATGACCTGGCAACATGCGCATCAGTCCTTCCCTTTGATAACAATTACAAGCTGAGAAGTGCAATATCAACCATCATTTTTATTTTTGTACGTAGCGCCAGGCCTCTAATAAGCTTGGCAAACTGCGCTGCGGCTTCCCCAACACCGAACCCATACTTGGTCCGGTGACCAAGACACCCATGCACCATGTCTTGCGCAAATCCGCGCTGCAACAAATAGTAAAGCAGCTGGTGGCAACGCTCCATACAGCCTGCCACCGCCGCATATGCATCAGGTTCAAGCGTCGAGCAGTTCTAGCAAAAATTTGTATCATCACCAAAGATTGACTGCAATCCTCATCTAAACGCCACTTGCCAGTTGTTGGCATTCAATTTGTAATCCACTACTCTTTATCTATGTCTTGACTGAGGAAGGAAATTTGGAAAGATCTAAATACCGATCCTGGCATATTTGGTACTGCCAAACCAACCTGGACACAGATGTGATCTATCTAGCTTCCAACAAGTACAACACTCTGACAATGGCAGAATACCATCAATCACCATCACAATATCATGGCAAAATCCCTCTCCGCATGCTGCATCTCCTAGAGGGTGGAGCTGTCTCGCCTCTCCCCCAGGATGCTGCCCGGAGGCAGCTCTGTGATGAGCGCTGCACGCGCCGCTTCTAGCTGTTCTGAGTTCTTGCTCTCAAGCGACAGAATGATGCCTGCCCCATCGCTGGAACCCTCAACCTGCAAGACACCCACATGCTGTCATAATCAACTTGCCAAAATTGCCCCAAGGGGCAACCTATTTCTTCCATGGAGCTGGGCCTCAGCAGAGTGAGTGCTGGCATGCAGCAGCTGATGCAGCTGAGGTTGTCACTGGACAAAGACAAAGGCAGACTTTGGCAGACTATGGAGAGGGGCTCACAGGATAGGAGCCGATGCCGACAGAGCCTTCAAATCTGGCACTCAGGCGCTGCAGAGTGGGCGCCACGGCCGTCTCATCATCTGTTGACAGCCTCAGGCTCACGCTGTGGAATGGCTCTAATCGGCCAGTGGCCGATGTTAGGTGCTCCTTGACGGCCTGCAGTAACAGAGCTTCTCATACTGTCAGCCTCACAGATTGCTAGGTGCTTCACTTTGCACCTAATGTCAACGAAGACTGTTTGACGTGAAGTTAGAGAATAGTGCAGGAATTCTTAGGCAGCTGCTTTGGCCGCTACAACACAAACTTTTGGGACGATGAGTGCTCCCTGTAATGCCTACCTTCCACTTGATCTGCAGCAAATGTGGGACCCCTGGGAGGACATAGATGTTGCGGCAGAGCAGCACAGGAAAGGGGGAGGGCCGCCCATCGGCCATCTTGTAGTCCACTGTGGTCAACTCCCCTGTGTCAGATGCTTCTTCAAACAGATATCTCAAAAGTACCTGCTGCAAAGAGGAATGTACGGAAAGGACCTCAAGCAAGCCGCACCAAAGAGCATTCACCTGATGGGGCTTCGGCCATCTTCAAGTGCGAGTGCGTCACATTGCTGCCGAAGAACATTCGCAGCCTGTGCTCCAGATCTTGATCTCTGCCGCACAGAGAACATAAGGAGTAAGCAGTAAGCAGCTCTGCCACAAGGCATGTCTTGTGAGGTTTGCATGAGGTCGTGAGTAATCTTGCATCAAAACATAAGTGCAAAATGTCACACCTGGTGAGCTGGTGATCTAAGGCATCTGCAACGCCCTGCATGGTGACATCATCCACAGTGGGGCCGAGACCACCGGAGGTGATTACAATATCATACACCTTGGACACTGCGCGCAGCTCTGCTGAGATGGCTGCCACCTCATCTGGCAATACAGACACCTGTCCCCACCCACAGCCCCTGCTGTCAGAGACCCTCTTTCCTGAATGACATGAACAGTGTCTTTTGTCACCCTTAGCATTGCAGGTCACTCTTTGCATTGTCAAAGCCATGCAAGTGATCCCCAAGACGGCCCCGTTCTTACATCCGCAAAAGAGTATGACCTGTCTGCAATGCTTTGATTGTCAGCCGTGCCGGTGTGTTGAATTCACAGACCTTGGCGACCTGCCAGCCGATGGCGTGCAGCTCCCGGCAGAGGAAGGGCGTGTTGACGTCCTCCACTTTGCCGGACAGGATCTCGTCGCCGATGATGACTAAGGCGGCCGTGGACGCGATGGCGCGCGGCGTCGACGGCTGCTCAGCGGCCGCGCATGTGCGGCCGGCCCTCTCCATGCGGATGTCGTACAGCAGATGCGCCGGTGCATATGACCCGTCCTCCTTCCTCAGCGCACTGCATCCCATTCCAGGAACGGTCTTTGCATCAGGTTGCGCCTGCTATTGTTCACTGCCCTGTTCCACGAATTTTGCATGCTGGAAATTTGGCAGTCCGCAGTGTTGCAGCACTGCTCTGCAGACAGATGTTCGCACCTGTACCCATGAGCAGAATGCACTGTACATTGGATGACAGCATGAAATTCGACAGGTTGCAGCAAGGGGCTGTGGCTGACCTGTTTGGGCGGGTGTTGTCGACAGAGCCCAGGGAGGTGAAGCCGTTGTCATACAAGGAGCAGTAGGGCACCCACGTGGCTCGAAGGAACGCCCAAACGTCTGCATATGTCCAGCCCAGAATGGGGTTCACCCGCATGAAGGGCGGCCACCCAGGACTGCTGGGGCAGAACTCATCCTGGCCATGTGCGTTGGGGTCTCCCCTGCAGCCACGACACCCTTGCTGACCTTCAGCATGATCATGATGTTGCACCTAGTCCATCATCAGGGGAAGAAATGGAGACACTCATTGCTTGACTTTTGGCTGCCGGACCTGCGGGTCCCCAGGAAAATGGCACGGACGCCGGATACAGACACGAGTTGCTCCAGGCCGGCCTTGAAGTCCCCATGCATCTTCCGCACTTGCAGCTCGTATTGTGCATTCATGGCGTGCACGAACTCCAGGACTTCTGTGAAATCATCTCTACGCTCGAAGAAGAAGCTGAGGATGCCTCCAAGGCCTGGTCCATAGACAGCCGACTTCAGCTCACCAAAAAGACTGAGAGAGCATAGAGAAGTCAGCCATGTTGTCAAGTAAGAGATTTGTAGCTTGCGGTTGGTGCACCTCACGTTGTGACTGGCACACACTCACCTGAGAGGGGAGATCTGCATACTCCGTTGCAAAGAGGTAGGCCTGCATTTCTAAGGGCCATTGCTGCTCTGAGAACATGCAGTACGACTGTTGAATCCTTGCCACCGTTGAAGCTAAAAGCCAAAGCAGTGACTCTGCAGAACAAAAGTGAAACGCTCAATGCGGGATATTGGGCTTCATAGAAGCAGCTATTTATGTGCGATTTCTGTTCGCTGCCACAGAGGTGAGATGAGGAAGTTGCTTCACACCCATACAGGTCGACTGTGCGTTGGACGTTTGTGACTGCTTTGAAGAATTTAATCTTCAGATGACTATCCTGTAAGGCCTCGATTGCTTGAACGATCTCCATCAGGATGCTGCGATGATCTTACCACCATGCAATAGTCTAACAATGAACAAGAATCCGAGACAACGTCCTCACATGGGTTGGCATCGGCTAGTACCAACGATTGGGAGTACTGCTTTTTTTAATACTAAGTAATTGCTAATAAGTTTAATAGGAATGTATATTGGTAAATAGCGTAATCCTCGGTCTCTGTGGAAGGTCAACAAGAACACTTTGACTGGGTCACGTGCTAGTCATGAGGTCCATGTGGGGCTGCGAAATGTTCACCATTGTTTGCGATGGATCTTGAGATGAAGAGAGGTGATATATAATTTATGACAAACAGTCTACGCCTTGGAAGTAATACAATTCAAGTCCCTGTCCATCTCCCATAATTTTTGACATCCCCAGATCAACATTCTTTGTAAATTGATGCATCGATAAATCGGAAAGGTAGCACGTTGCCAAGAAGTTGATATTATATAGCTGCTCCAGTCGACATCGCCCAGCATGGGAATTCTCGAGAAGTGAGTTTCGCACGGATCACCATTGGAAATCGGCTGTCCTGTCTTTTTAGAAAGCACCAACTGACTGTCTATGCTTGTGATCAGGATCAAGGAGATTGAAGATGAAATGGCCAGGACTCAGAAGAACAAGGTCTGTTGAGGCCGCCCTCTTCTTTGCAGTGTCCAAATAGTCTCCTTCCTGCAGCACTAACCCACCATTTGTTTGGCATCTAGGCCACAGAGTACCATCTTGGGCAGCTGAAAGCCAAGCTAGCAAAGTTACGGACGGAACTGCAAGCACCGCCAAAGGTGAGCGCTCCTGTGGGAGGTACCTGCTCTGTTCATGCACGGTCTCCAGCGCGCATAATCTTTGGTAAGTGTGCCGGCTGCACCCATTGCAGGACTCGAAAGGAGGTGGAGATGGTTTTGAGGTACAGAAATATGGAGATGGGAGATGTGCCCTCATTGGTGAGCAGCCCTTCATTGCCAATAGTTTTTTCATTCAATGTTTGTGATCTTTCAAGCGCCACACCTTTATGTGCAATTCAAATTAAGCCCCTGACGCAGCTGTCTTGCGTGTAGGCTTTCCATCTGTGGGGAAGTCCACAATCTTAACAGTCCTGACCGGTACCAAGTCTGAGGTTGCCGCGTACGAGTTCACAACGCTGACCTGCATTCCGGGCATCATCCACTACAATGAGGCCAAGATCCAGCTGCTGGATCTCCCCGGTATCATTGAGGGTGCTGCGCAAGGCAAAGGTGCGAGCAGCCGCCTGTTTTCTGGCTACGATTTGTAGCAGCCGCAGTGGCCTCATTGCCCAATCGAATCACTCCACACCATAATATTATGGTTGTGGTAAGTTGTGGTTCAGCACCGTCAAAACGGCAGCCATGCATGAATGCATCAGAGTTGCCGCCGGTGCCAATGCCAGCAAATTTTTGGGCAATGCAGCATTCCGGCAAGTCAAGGACTCTAACTTAGTATTCAAAGATCGAAACGAAAACAGTCAAAAGTTGGCTGGGCGGAAGGAGTCGGCTATCTGTGTTCGACATTGCATGCGCAAGGGAGTGGCAGCGAGCAGAGGGGTGTTGTGCAGGGCGCGGGCGGCAGGTCATAGCGGTGTGCAAGAGCGCGGATCTGCTGCTGATGGTGCTGGACGCGAGCCGGCCGCACGCGCACCGGCGCATTCTCACTGAGGAGCTGGAGAGCGTGGGTATCCGCCTGAACCGCCGACCGCCCGCCATCTACTACAAGAAGAAGAAGACCGGCGGCATCTCCTTCAACGCCACCGTGCCCCTCAGCCGCATGGACGAGAAGCTCTGCCAGCGCATCCTACAGGTGCTTTCTTGCCCATCCAATTCTCATTCACCGCTGCAATCTCTTAGGGGGTTGTAGCTGTGCATGGCATGCCACCAAGATGCAACAAGTGCTGCAGGCATTTGAAAATATATAAAAACTCTATGCGTACAACTCATTGCTACAGTAGAGATGTTGAGGGGTGTTCTTTGTTGAATGCGTGTGTATGTGGAAACGCAGGAGTACAAGATCCACAATGCGGAGGTGCTGTTTCGGGAGGACTGCGATGCGGACGACCTGATCGATGTCATTGAGGGCAACCGCCGCTACATCAAATGCCTGTGATTGCCCACTTCCCCCTGCATGCTGCCTTGTTTCAGCACAGTACCACACTAGTCATTAACCTCACCCGCTTCATGCAAGGTCCAGACAAGAACAATGAAGAGCAGGTCAATGAATAAGGCCAAGGATCAGAAGGTGCTTGTGTTGTTAGTTGCCGTCCAGTTCCGTCTTCTTGCTTGCCTCCTCAGCCTGGCCAAGGAGCTGCATACATACGGCCAAAAGTTGAGCCAGGCGCGCTGCAGTGCAAACACCTGTATACATGGTAACAAACTTGTGCAGGTGCCGAAAGTTGAGTTGCCGGTGCTGCTGTGCAGGTACGTGTACAACAAGATCGACGTGTGCAGCGTGGAGGAGGTGGACGCCATAGCGCGCATGCCCAACTCCATCCCCTGCTCCGCCTTCCAGGAGCTCAACATGGACGGCCTGCTGGAGCGCATGTGGGACATGATGGCCCTCGTCCGCGCCTACACCAAAAAGGTGCCGCCCCTTTTCCCGCTCTGTATCAAGGCTGTACTATGTCTAATCATACTGTATTCTATATCTGTATCCAGGGGTTGAGATATAGATCTGGGTATTGCTCTTGCCTTCTCCCTGCTGATTTCAGTCAGAAAGCATGCAAGGCACTTCCAGCCTTGTGGGAATTAGGGTCACTGAGAGTTACTTGTGTGGTGTGCAGGTTGGGGGCAAGCCGGACTTTGCGGACCCCGTGGTGCTGTCTGCGGACAGAGGGGGCACCAGTATCGAGGCGCTGTGCACGCAGATCCACAAGAGCCTCGTAGCAGACTTCTCCTACTCGCTCGTCTGGGGAACCAGCTCCAAGCACTATCCGCAGCGGTGTGCATACCCCTGCTTGGTTCACCATGTAATATATGTCCCTGGCCTCCCGTCAACACAGATGGCCTCTAGAGCACCGTTCTCACAGCCCGCAAAGCAGGGATGTGGCAAAAGGCAAGCCTTGCTCAAGCAAGTGGGTACTGGAGACAATTGAGCACCAAGGGAGCATAACACACACAGAGATACCATCATACAATTCTTCTGCTGCTGCCTCATGTACAACGGTCTTCTTTCATAGTCGGGTAGTGTGATGGTGGCTTCAATGGCATGCAAAGTATCTAAAGCAAGGGGAATGCTGCTGTTGTCCAGGTGTGGGCTGAGCCACGTGCTAGAGGATGAGGATGTGGTGCAGATAGTGAAGCGCAAGGTAACCACAGGGGGCGAGGATGGCAAGGGGCGCTTCAAGACCACATCGAACAAGCCGCTGCGCATTTCTGACAGGGAAAAGAAGGTTGCCCTCAAGACCTGAGGGGTGTGCTTTGGGTTAGCTTGTAGAAGCTGAACGCTTACTGAACTCAATATGTGGAACACTCAAAATGAACTGAGAAGTAGACACTTCAGTAAATTTGAAAGCAAACCTTGTCGCGGACTCGGAGAAGGTTTTGGGGCCATTTGGCTATGATTGCATATGCTTATGCATCTAGCATGCAAGCGACATGACTGCAATGTGTTCTGACAGCATATTTGATTATGGTTTGCCCCATGTGGCAGTGATTGAGCAAGCAGAAATGATGTTACCAACGCTGACACGTGGTGGTATATGAAAGCTTCCAACTTACAAACGTGCATGCCTAAGCTGCTGCATGCGCTTGCACTTTCCGGCGCTAGAACAGCACAACACCATGAATCAGAAGTGTATACTCCACAGAAAACAACAAGCTTAAAGACAATGTTCGGTTTGAAGCTGTGCTCAATTTATAAATTACCCTCAAAGCTGGGTGAGGAAAACAAGGCTTCCATCATCTTATAACAAAATCACTTGAGGGTTGCTGCCTTGAATGTCCGATCAGAGAACTGCGACGTTCAGAAAATGACTCTGTCCTCCATGTCATCATAGTAGATATCCGTGGTCTCATCGTCAGCCAGCTCCTGGATCACCTTTCGGAGCTGGATGACTGAACACGGCGTGCTCTGCAGATAGGGCAGTATCTTGTTGTGGACCTCAGGGACCTGCAGACACATCCAGCATCAGCTCTGCAACTGTCACTGTCAGAAATATCTGGAGCTACATCTCAAGCCTACACATAATCAGCGCCAAAAGAGCAATTTCAGCAGCACCCCCCTAGGCCAGCATTTGTTCTGCAGACACCTGAATTTCTGGGCTGTACCTTGCAGGCCACCGTCAGGTGTTGGCATTCTGGTGTGCTGTAGAACGCACCCAACGCACTCTGCAAAGACACACACATAAGTACATGGCAATAATCCAGGACCAGGCAAGGCAGGAATACCGTATCCCAGACTAATCAACACGAGTATCATGTGGGTGCCAGCTAGCAGCAGCAAGCGGCCTGAGAGTCAGGCAGCAATGGCCACTCACCCTGATGCGCCAGGCGTGCTCCTCCGAGAGGCCGCTGTCCGGCGTGTCAGGCTCCAGCAGGGGGGCCATCAGGCCGCAGCTGGTGGGAGTGCTCACGGCTGCCAGTTGCTTGCCTCCTCTCACCTGCACCCATTTGAAGCTTGAGGGCCAGTGCCACATCAGACCGGATGCGACCACGAAGAACCATGCGATGCGACAGAGCAGGCGAGAGCTGCACGCAAGTAAATGTAGAAGGTGAGCACCTGCTGCGCAGGCATCTGCATGGCTGATGCAGAGCAGGGGGGCGTGTGCGGTGCAGTGTCCAGCTCAGCCTCTGATGTGTGTAGCACTGCAGAGGGCTGCACAGGCAAGACGAGTCAGAGTTGGCCCCTCCATGGCTGTCTGGGCATGCGGCAACTAAGGAACTGAACAGCAGCTTCTCAGGGTCAAGCGGCCAGGAATTAACGTTACCTGTGGTGCGGACTGGGATGAGCTCTTCCTTGGCTTGACCGCCCACGCAGGAGGCATGACTGGCCCAAAGCCATACATGGGCCTGCAGACACAATATTGTAAGCAACGTCCCACCATTCAGTGAACTCATCTCGTTGAAACAATCGTTAAGTCAATGGTGAAGACAGGGAGATGTCCCCACCTGCCCTTTCGCTTCAGTGCCAGCAGGACATCCATCACAGTGGCTGTGTGGCGCCTTCCATGCTCTGTGATGATGATCATGTCTCGGAGGATGTCTCGCAAGAATTCTCTGAGAGCCTTCATTGCTTCAAAAGGGAAATCAGAGCTCATCCTCTTGACACCTGCAGATTCAACATCCTCCGATTTTCCCACCCTTTACATTGAAGTACTGCAGCTCGTTTCCTTCCTAGTGTGTTATGGATGGGATTACCTGCTTTGCGAACCAAGCGTTTGAAGGCTGCTTTTGACACATGCCCACATCTAACTGCAAGTGTCCTGCACATCATGTTCTGCTTCCCTATTGACCGTTTGGGTGTTGACTTCGTCATCTGGGCGTTATTCCTATCGAGGTCTCACACGATGCTAAAGCCGCTGATGTGTCTTGCTTCTACTAGGCTCACAAAGTACAAGAGGAGCTCGATGAGGTTAAACACCACCTGTCGGAAGCCCACTTGGAACAGTTGATGCCGAGGCGGACGTCCTGAATAGGAGTGTCGGAACAAGTATCTGCCCTGCAGCTGCTGATGTCGAGGAAGGTCAATCTTATCCCATGAAAATGAATTCAGACGAAATCAAAAGCTTTATGGTAGAAGGAACACTTCATATTTAAAATCAAGTTCATGAATTCATCATGACGTCGCCATTAAGCCATTGACCCAGTAGGCTTGCATCGAAGAATCTGACATCAGGCAAAGTGATACGACCTCTTGTAAGGCCTTTAGAAGCCTAAATGCTGTCAAATCACGTCCTGCACCAAAGTCCACTTCTTTTCAGCGGGCTCCAGGCAGGGAACAATGTGAGATTTCCTTGCAGATCAGTCAGATGCAGAAGTGTGAGCACGAGAGCAGACACTGACTTCGAAAGCTTCCTCTTTGAGACCCAGGCACGCATCATAAAGCTGAAGTGCATCATGACTGGAGCAAATTGTAGTGCCCAGATTTGGCAGCTCAGTATTGAGCGCCCTCCCCGCACTGTGAAATAGGCAACCGAGCGTCTGGATGGCGGCACGACCTTCTTGCACGACCCATGGCAGCGTGAAGGAGATGCCTTTAATCCTGGTCACGGCATCACAGCCGTTCTGGAAGGTGGCGACCTCCTCGAGAAGGTCAGTATCGCATGCAGCATGACACATTCGACATAAAGATGATAAACTCCTCCACTAATAAGTTGGATGCCCTCCATGTCGACTTGACACAGAAAGTTGCATTGGTGCAGGCGGCGGTGAATGTCAGCATAGTGCAGGGTACTTTGACGGCTGAGCGCGCAAAGGCGATGAGCAGCCGGGGCCGCGGCATTGACCCTGACGGCGGGCAGGCCTACTCAGCAGCCGCTCTTTCCCTCGTCTACCACCCGGCTCACCCCTTTGTGCCCACTCTCCGCGCAGACGTCCGCTGCTTCAAGGTCTGCTTCTTCCTTCTCTGTGCATGCCCGCCAGAGGCTGAACAGCCCTTCTTTGCACTCATCTCTTGGCACCAGCTGCAATGGGTGGCGAGAGCACATGTCAATCTCTGTTCCTGTTGCTGTAGGTTGGCGATCAGGTGTGGTTTGGGGGCGGCTGTGACCTGACACCTGCGTACCTTTTCGAGGGTGATGCTGCAGAGTTTCACAGATTTTGGAAGGGCCTGTGTGGAAGGCATCAGGCAAGAACACTTCCCAAAAACCCAAGATTTTCCATTGATGCCTTGTGGAGGGATGCTCGTCTGCATCTGGAGCGGCATGATACAATAGAAGATGGCTTGCATGCCTCTGCGCAGGCATCATTATACCCGGAGTACAAGAAATGGTGTGATAGCTACTTTTATCTGCCGGCTTGGAAGGAGCACCGTGGCATCGGAGGCATATTCTTCGATGACCTCACCACAGAACAGTCCAGCTTTGACGTAGAACACGTGAGGATGCCCTTATATATCCATGATGATGCAGATTGGCCCGTTCATATTTGCAATTACATGTATGGTAATCGCAATTACAGCATAGAGTGATAGAGTGAACCTTCATGTACACGCTGTGGCCTCACAGTTTGTACGAGATGTGGCTGGAGGACTCTTGCCAAGCTGGCAGCCCATTGCTGAGCGGCGAAGGACCGAAAAATTCAGTCAGCAGCAGCGGCAGTGGCAGCTGCAGCGGCGAGGGGCCTATGTCTGCTTCAATACCCTGTATGATCGCGGCTTCCGCTTCGGTGGGTATATTGCTGTTCCCTGTGATGCTGGCAGGTTGAAGCTGTTGGGAACAGGGGCTGTGCTGACATTCAAGTAACGCTGGATCTGTTCTAAATGACTTCGCTGTACTGCAGGGTTGAATGGAGGCCGCATTGAGTCTCTGATGGTCTCTTTTCCACCCCTTGTTGCCTGGAATTACAAGGTGGTCCCTCAAGAGGGATCCCAAGAGGAGGCCCTAGTGCAGGTTCTCAGGAACCCACGAGATTGGTGAGCGGACTGAAGGACACAACGAACAGAAACCTGCTTTTCAGCATTCCTCCAAAATGTAGCAGTCTGCTGTTCGCAGAACAACTGTGGAACTCTAGAGTCTTGCTGCCAGTGGCAGTGCCTACTGATGGCAAGACTGGCAATTCTCACTGTCAGGGGCCAACTTGGCCAACCTGTGTCCATTGAATGGATACAGATTGCAATCCAATACAATGCCCATTCTCAAAAATGCCATGACCAAATTCCTACGGTCTGAAGTTAATTGTGTACTCAACGGTGAACACAACCAGCTGATTGATCCCAGCATTGTGACCCGACCTCTACTCCTCGTCTGTTGCGATTGCAATATTGTCTCAACTCTCCAACTCGAATTTGTAAAAACCGTCTTGCTGACTTAGGACATGATGGGTGGCACTCTCCGCTCAGATCACTTGCTCGTCCGCGCGCCTTCCTCTTGCTGCACAGCGATAATATTTTCATCAGCACATACCCAGGAGCAGTTGAGTCATGACAGGGCAAGGGATGTGGTCAGGAAGGTGACTCACCCTTGTGTGAATGTTGGGGGACTTGTCATCTCCAACGCTGTACTGACTCTCCGTGAAAGCTGCTTCCGCCTTCCCTGTCTCCCTCATATCCTGCGCTGCCGCTTTCAACTGGGCCTTCCTTTCCTCTCTCCTGTTTAAGCCAGACAGGAATCAAGGGAAATCTTGTGAACTCAGCAAATCGCATAAACCCTTCCTTATGCATCGCATGTAGCCTACTCCAATGCAACACAAGAAGATCATGGCACTTCTCCTTCTTACAGTACATGGGGCAGGAGTTCTGCAGACTCACGCCCTAGCAGCAGCTCCAAGATCCTTTGCAATGGCAGATGGTGCGGACAGAATAAGAGGAAGCACCATCGCGGCAGCAAGTGTGGACCTGTCGACACAAAAGACAGTGACTTGCTCTCATCTACTACCGCATGTGTCACGCTGACGAAGCAATTGCCAGAGGGGAAGCAAGAGGCGCCTTGGAGAATTAGTATAAGAACACTACCTTCTGCTGACGTTTTCTTGCTTGGCTGATGAGCATAAGACCGTCGATCTGCGCCTCTCTGCTCGGATATTTTGGGGTGCTACCGAGAAAGGCTTCACATGATTGCAGGTTGCCATGATCTTGGAGCACAGTGCAATAGGTGGCCAGATACACACTGCAAATCGAGAGAAGTCCAAGAGGGAAGCTTCAAGCTCAATCTACTTCCTGTCGCAAAAAAATGGTGGAGATTACAAGATTCGCCACGGCAGCTTCCAGTAGATTCCTCGGCCTCCCACCCAGGCATCAGATGCTTCCCTTCCCGAATGGTCAGAGTTCGAAGGATAGGAGCGAGATGGCATCCTTCATATTAATCATAGACAGTACTTTGTATCTCACAATACTCAGGTCGTAGGTGGACCTTCCACACACACAGTAAACACCGGATCAAGGCACGATCTAGCAAATGAAAACGATCGCTTCGCGATGCAGCAGACTGCTGCATGGAAAGCTTTCCCTAATGAAAGCACCGGGTGGGCACCTCTTCAATGCTTAATGTAAATGTAAGTGCCCTTGTGAATATTATCTGACAGTGTATCACCAACTTATAGCTTGCATCATTGACGTCCATACCCTGGTGCAGATGCATCCGTATGTGCGGTGACCACATCTGCAGTGGAGCGCCTGCGTATTGGTTACGAGGACAGAGGAAAGTGGGCGTTTCCTCTACTTGGCTTTGCTGGCCTGGCGCTGGGCTGCAGTGCTGCTGCTTGCGAGGCAGATCCGGCAAGTACATTATATTATTACAGTCTTGTAAAGGCAGCCACCCTTAGCAGTATCTGTTGCACACCCAATCTTGCTATCAAAGTTCTCAGTCATGTGGTGGTGCTCAGGATGCCCTTGCGGCAAAGGACAGGCTCAGCATACTGCAAGCATGGGAGGCTGTTGATCAGGACTTGCACAGGGATGAGGCAGTCCTCCCCTTACGACACATAGCCTCACGGTGACTTCATCGTCTAACGATGTTTCTGACATTGTTCATCTGCGGTGAAGATTTGTCACCATGTGCCACATAGTTTCATGGTGAGACTAATGGGGAATGATGCTCCTGCAGGCCTACACCACCCACTGTGAGGTGCTCACCTGGTCAGCTTGTCGTGCGCTTCCCTGTCCGCCAGGGAGTGGACCTCTACTCGGTCATGAATGAGATCGCAAGCGCCTTCACCAGCAAGTGCACCCCCGGCGAGGAGGGTAACAGCCACGTAGTATCCAAGGTGATGCCATTCCATAGTAATTCCTGGCATGTTGCCTCACTCCAAGTCTGTTCCTTATGACCTTTGTGGGGCACCTCAATTGGCTTCTGTCACTCAGATCAGGGATACTTTCTGTTCTTTGGTCACCACTTGCATGTTTGTTTAATGTGGTCCAGCTCAGCGTAGCCGAGACAAGTTACTCTCGCATGCATGCAGATCACGGAGGACGACGCCTGGCACGTGTTCCACTTTGAGTGCGATGCTCCGGGCGGCCCAGCGCATGGTCTGCAGGCCAGGGTGCTGGCACCCAAGCGCCGCCACGGCAGCGCAGAGGTGGAGTTCCAGACGCAGGGTTCCCTGACCGACACTGAACTGGACATCATCACTGCCGCCATGCGCGCCGCCAACGCTTTCGTCAACAAGGTGGTGATTCTGCGCCATCACAGCCCACTTGCGCAAGTGCTCCTGCTTGCCTGTGGGATCTCCCAGCAAGCTCGGAACTTTGTGAAGTGTGAGTTTGCCCTGAGCTGGTGCTTCTGCGCCCTCAGATCCGCCTTTGGGGAGTGCTTTCACTTCTTTGTAATGACAGGCCAGCATGCTTGTGAGTCTGTCAAGTGGGGGATTGCTCGCATGTGTGGAAGAAGAGGCTGAATACGAGAGCTCTGGGCGCTCTGTGCAGGAGCAGGGCTACAACACAGTGGACGTGTGGGGGAGTGAGATGAACGAGGTGCGCGAGGGTGTTGCCGGCCTTTTCAGGGAGCTGGAAAGGAGCTTCAGCTTTGGCATCGGCATGCTGCCTGGCATTGAGCGGCACATGGCGCGCGAGATGCAGCGGATCTTCGACACCGGGTGAGCTGCCTCAACAGACCGTTGTGACGCAACATCTGCACACCTGCTGAACCTGTAAAAAGGGCTGAATAACCTCACACAAATGTTTGGCCTTTCAGGGAGACTGGCGAGGCTCTCCCTGCACCGAGGCAGAGCATTCCAATAGGGCCGCAGGAGCACAGCGCAGCGCAGGCCAAGACAGCCGGGGAGGATGCCAACAAAGGCTATGGCAGCGCCGAGGCAGCCGAAGCCGCCGACCGCCTGCTGCAGCTGGGAGTGACGGTCAATCCGCCAGGCAAATCTGGGGCCGTCGACTGGGGCGCTCTGGCAGGCACGCGCCCTGACACACATATTTCATTCCCGTCTCGGCAAAAACATATTTATAGAAAGAGATATGCAGACGTCGAGGCATAGCTAGCACAAGAGTTAAGGAGAAAGGCTGCCTTGCATGTGAAATCACGCAGCAACAATAGAACAATATTGCTAGTCAGGACTGCTAAAATGCAATATGGCAATATGCAGGTGACATGCATGCCCTGCTGTGTGCCTGAGCAGGAGCCTGACGGGTATCTTATTTTCTTCCGCACAGGCTATGAGGATGAGAAGAGGACGATTGAGGATACGGTGCTGCTGGCGTTACTGCACCCGGAGGTGTATGATGAGGTGGCCAAGGGCACAAGGCAGCGCGAGGCCGGCAGCACCCGACCGCGCGCTGTGCTCTTCCAGGGTCCGCCGGGTTGCGGCAAAACCACCAGTGCAAAGTGGGTCCAGCCTGACACAACCCTCCTCTGGCACTCACACATGTCAACTCTCTGCTGCAGCCCCCCTCATTCATCTGTGACTCGCTGCCAGATTGACCTTCTAAAGATCCAAGCACCTGGTATGGGAGCCTGGCCCACTCATTGGGGCACTCAGTCTTTGACCATGCTGGCTCGGTTTCCTGGCAGGGTCATTGCATCGCAAGCGGCTGTTCCCCTGGTGTACGTGCCATTGGAGGCCGTGGCGTCCAAGTGGTACGGCGAGTCTGAGCGCAACCTGTCGGAGATCTTCAAGGCGGCAGAGGACCTTGGGGGTGCCATCATCTTCCTGGACGAGATTGACTCCCTGGCCACCCAACGCAGGTAGGGCACCATTTTCCCTTTGCCGTGCCTCCTCGTGCATAGTTGTGCTTTGGACATCTTCCCCACAGGGTGGCTGCCTTGAGTTGACTCACTCATCATGACAACAACAATTTAGCTCAGTAAATTAGAAGAGCTAATCACACCTGTCCTGTTCATGTTTGGCTGAGTCATGTCAAGAGTTGCCCCACTTAGCCGTCTTCTGGCGCCCTGAGTTTCAAACACACGAGTGGCTGATGGTTGTGTGGTGTGGGGCTTGCAGCTCGGAGATGCACGAGGCGACGCGGCGGCTGCTGGGGGTGCTGCTGCGGCAGATGGACGGGTTTGGGCCGCAGTCCAAGAGCGTCATCATTGGAGCCACCAATCGCCGCCAGGACCTCGACCCCGCCCTCCTCTCCCGTTTCGATGCCGCCGTCGACTTTGGCTACCCCGACCAGCAGTGCAGGCACGTGTTCTCCACCTCCTGGGCTGGAACATTGTTATCTAGCAGTTCCAGTCATACTGCAGCGTCTGCCAAAAGAGGCAAGGTGCAGGTCGGGGGGTGCCACAGGTCCTACATGGTGTTGGAACATTAATGGGATACAATATCTTGATCTGTCTGTGAATGGAGGTTGACTGCAAGGTTGAGTGCATCGGGCTGGTGCAAATAGGCTCTGTGCAATGTATGGTGAGTTGCTGATGGCGCATCTGCAGGCAGCAGATCCTGAAGCAGCTTGCGCGCCACCTGAGCGACGATGAGCTGGCCGAGCTTGCAGAGCTGACGGGCACGGGGAACATCTCTGGCCGCGACCTGCGCGACATCGCAGAGCAGACAGAACGCGCATGGGCATCCAAGGTGAATTTCATACCTGCGCACATCGAGCTATGGTGTGTCTGTTGCCGGTCATGGACTTGGTATAAAGTGGGCATCTCTTCATTCTCACAGACTCTGGGTGACCATCCTGACTTTCCTTGCTTCTGCAGATTGTCCGTGGAGAGATACCAAAGGGGCAGCTGCCTACTGTGGAGGACTACAAGGAATTTGTGGCCAGGCGAATGAAGGAGAAGAAAGGGCCACTTATGATCAAGAATATCATGCCCAGCTTCTATTGAGCATCGCTGTCTGCTAGCTACGTCAGGAATTGCTTGCTGGACTTACCCGATCAGTGATATAGGTACCCATCAACGTGACATACCAAGCAACCCACTGAAGAACATTGCCTATTTGCAATTCCAAAAGTTGCGATAAGGGATAAAAACTGGCTGTCGCATGTGCAGGCTGCAAGACAACTCGAAATGGACCATGAATATCAATATATATGAGCATGTCAACTGCCTTCTAGGCTAGCATGCATGGGCCCAAAAGAGGTGTGACATGTGTGATGCCAGGGAAGTTTCCTCAAAAGTAGAAGTGATGTCAAGCCACTGTTACAAAAGCGAGAAAGTAAGTGATGCATGCATGCCTACGTATGCTGTAACGGCAGTCTTCATAGAGACTTCCAATGCAAACACGATCTTGTCATCAAATTTTTGGGTCTTGCTGGTTTTGACATTGTTGATTAGACGGTACAAGTTCCCTTCCTTCATGCTTTTAGTAGAGTGCTTCCGGCATTTAGATGAAATCTTCCCCTTTTTTCATGGAAACTGGGGACCACCGTCCCGAAACCCAAAGCCCGACATCATTCCCCCGACCTAAGGGTTGAGAGACTTATATTCGGACAGCTCAGTGTGACGAGTCCGCGTCAGCACGCCTTCCTCTTTCCAGCCCCATCGAAACTCTGCTTCACATTCGTCGCTATCGTTGTCTTTCTTAGCAATCAGGAGAGCATACCGGCAAGCACTGAACACCAAGGCCGTACCGAGGCTCTGCTCCGCGGCTACCTACCGATCACGTTTTCTACTACTATGGAAGGCTCAGGAATACCTGCGCGTGCTGCTGGCCGGCAGCAGGTTCTGCTGAATCATCTGCGTCCGGTGAGTGTATTTTCATGCCTACGAACTGGTTTTCCCATTTGGCAAATTGAGGTGCGCCTTATGCTAAACACGTAATCCTTGGGACTGCAGGCGGGCAACACAGAGGCGGCTTTTGAAAGGATGCAGCTTCAGGTGAGCTGAAAAATTTACCTTTACATTACAGTGTCGGTGCTCCATTGTGATGGTGTCCTAGCTGTGCTATACATGCTTTTTGTCCCTGTGCAGTCCCAGAGGTCACCCTGTTCTTTTTGGTACAGAATTACAGCAATCCTGGCCTCGAGATATCCTATTGCAACGTACTTTCGGCTCTTGTTAGTAGAGATGCTGCATTGCTTTGCTATGCACCAGGCGTGTAACACCAGAGTTGCTTCGTGCAGGCCAGTGCTTGCGCAGCAGGTGACTCCGCTGCATACGAGAGGCGTGCCTCGGGCCCCGACGATGTGGTCATTGTCAGCGCGCTGCGCACGCCCATCACCAAGGTGAGGCGCGCTATCAACACTGCATGGAGCCGGTTATTAGCTCCTTCCAAGTCCTTCCAAGTCCTATGAAGTGTTTCATAATTGACTGATACGATCCTGTGTTCTGTGCAGGCCAAGCGCGGTGGCTTCAAGGACACACTGCCGGATGACCTGATGGCGGCTGTGTTCCAGGCCACCTTGGACCGCACAGGCATTAACCCTGCGGTAAGAAGCCACTGCTGCTCCTGTTCCGTCCGTTGCACTGTCGCACCCTTTCCCATCTGATTATACTCTGGCTGACTTGCTGCAGTAGACAACTGAGACAAGCGCACCAGTCAGTCCTCAAAGAAGGTTTTTAGTCTGGCAATGGCAGAAATATTTTTGGCGCATGAAGAACTTGCTGGTTTATTTCTTGCAGGACATTGGCGACATCGTGATTGGGAGCGTGCTGGGAGACAGCTCTCAGCGCGCCATCCAGGTCCGCATCGCCGGCTTCCTGGCAGGCATCCCAGAGAACGTGGCCGTGCACACCGTCAACAGGTGCCGCCCTGCACCCCTGCACCCCTCATCTCCACACCAAAACCCACCCATCCTGAATTAAGAACTCTGTTATCTGTCAGAAAAAGCCACACCAAAACACACACATCCTGATCCATCGGCAATATTCTCACTCAGGACGAATCCACCTGAAAGGGCGTTGCTACAGCGGACGTGTGACTGGGTTGATGGGGAGTGGAGAGGATCCAAATGACTGACATTTATGGTGTCTCTTGTGCAGGCAGTGTTCGTCGGGCCTGCAGGCCATCGCCAGCGTGGCGGCTGCCATCCAGGCGGGCTACTACGAGATCGGCCTGGCCGGCGGCGTGGAGACGATGAGCACCAACCCCATGGCATGGGACGGCGGTGTCAACCCCAAGATCGCCGACAACCAAAAGGCCCAGGACTGCCTCCTGCCCATGGGTGAGTGCCAGCCGGCTCCCAAGCCTATGCCTGCTTGATTCGAATGATGATTGTGCACTGTAATGTGCAGCCAGTAGGTGCTCTTGCAATCGTGTTGTGTAAGTTAGGCGGGGTGTTGATGGTGGAATGTGCGCAGGCGTGACGTCGGAGAATGTGGCGGAGAAGTACGGGATCACGCGCAAGGACCAGGATGAGCTGGCGGCGCGCAGCCACAAACGCGCAGCCGCAGCCCGCGGCAGCGGCCGCTTCAAGGACGAGATCGTGCCCGTCAAGACCGTCTGGAAGGACCCTAAGACGGTGCGCTTGTGCCCCAACTCTCAGAAAACTTGTACATGTTGCATGCGTTTTCCTCTGTATTGCCATCAAAGTGTGTCCCGCCTGCTCTCCTAGTCCTCCACTTGTGGGGCCATTAAGACATGCCACAAGACCCATATTGAGGGATGTTCTCTTTAGAGGGGGTTGCACGCCAAAAAGCCAAAGCTCAAGAGTGCTGAGGTGATGGTGGCTGCAGGGTGAGGAGAAGGAGATTGTGGTGAGCGAGGACGACGGCATCCGCCCGGGCGTGACGGCCGCGGCTCTGGGCGGCCTCAGGGCTGTCTTCAAGAAGAATGGCACCACCACCGCCGGCAACTCCTCGCAGGTCCGCGCGCAAGCCTGAACTCTCTTTGAAACATGCAGCTCCTTGACAGCTTTCATAAACAGCTCTAATGTTGGCTTATGATAACTTTGGATCCCCTTGATCAATGCAGTGTATTATTTTAGAGCCCACTCTTCAAGGCCGAGCCACTCGCCACGTCAAGTTGCTGACAGTTCCGAAAACGTCACCATGCATGAGGTAATGCAGCATGTGTTGAGGGTTTTCCTTGTTTGTTACCTGCAGATCAGCGACGGTGCTGCGGCGGTGCTGCTGATGAAGAGGCGCGAGGCGGCCAAGCGCGGTCTGCCGGTGCTGGGCATCTTCCGCTCGTTCGCGGCCGTTGGCGTGGACCCGGCCGTCATGGGCATCGGCCCTGCCGTTGCCATCCCCGCTGCCGTGCAGAAGGCCGGCCTCTCCATCGACGATATCGATGTCTTCGAGCTCAACGAGGCCTTTGCTTCCCAGGTGCGCAGACATATCTCTTCTACCCTAGTCCCTGTCAACGAGGCACTCCTTGGGTGTAGAGGAATGGAGATGCAGATATCAAAGCATAATTAAATCCAGAAAAGTAAGGGGCTGCCTCGCGGTGTAGTTACTCTTTGTGCAACATACAAGACACCTCCAGTCAATGTGGAGACTGTAGAGCAATCTAGGCGATACTGGAGGAGGGTTTGCTGGATGATTGACAACCCAGGATTTCTGCTGCATCATGGCTAGTTCATTGCAAGCATGCGAGTCGGGGCAGTGTTCTAAATGAAGTTCATAAATTTGTTGCCAAAATTGTTAAGTGCTGAGCGCGCTGCTGTGTGCGCAGGCGACGTACTGTGTGAAGAAGCTGGGCCTGGACCCTGAGAGGGTTAACCCCAACGGTGGCGCTGTCGCTCTGGGCCACCCTCTGGGCTGCACCGGTAAGCCACTTGCCTCGGCCTATGAACACTTCACCCACATCTTTCCAGTGTCAAACCCTCGGAGACACTTCAGAGCAGTACAGTGCAAGGTCGGTTGTCTAAGTCTCAAAGTAAACGAGGTATTTGTACAAAGTTGTGCATGACCTGTGTTCCATTGCTTGTGGTTCAAGGCTGCTTGTGCTGAGGGGACCATTGTGGCCTTGCAGGCGCTCGGTGCACGGCGACGCTGCTCCACGAGATGAACAAGCGCGGCAAGGCGTCTAGGTTTGGCGTGGTGTCCATGTGCATCGGCTCCGGCATGGGCGCGGCCGCCGTCTTCGAGCGCGGCGGTGAGGTTGACGCTCTGCGCAACGCCGCCCCCACCCATGCCCAGGGCTTCCTCTCCCACGACGCCTCCATTTGAGCCGCCTGCAGCTGAAGCTTGTTTTATGCGCAGTGGTCCACACCAAGGGAATTGAGGTTCTGAGGGCCCAGCTGCACAGCGGCACGGGTCGTGCATTCTAATCCTTGCTGAGCAGCAGTGATATTTTCTGGTGCTAGTGCCAATCGTGAGGCCTCCAGCGGCTTGAGTGATGTAGATCTTTGGTGTAAGTGTTTCTAGGACTAGGAGTTAGGTTAGGAAGCATTTGTCGGGCTTGCGTGCTCTAGGGCTCTCTCAAAGGTTCAAAGAGCTTGATTGTTCTGGTCTCTGTGTAAGTAGGGAATCAGCGTGATAAATGCATTGCTGTGGCATCTGTCAACGGATGCTGCGACCATTTTGAGACAATTACCTTCGAAGAGGAGGCTAGCATGAATTATTTAGGCACTCTCAAGTGACTAAGCACGTGCAATTTTGTGGAGTTCACTTTGACAATGCAGATCAATTTTGATTCTGGACATGACAAGAGCATGGTGAGGGCAATTGTATCAGCAAGCTTTGTAAATACCAGACTTACTGGAATTCACCCAAGCCAATTCTACACATCTCACTAGGCGCATGTGAACGCCACTGTTTACATGGTGCGGTTCAGCCCTATGGCCATGCCACACAATTGAAGCACTTGCACAGTTGTTGCCAAATTCGTCTGAAGAAAGGACTGATACAGAAGATATTGATATCACTGCATGCATTTCTGCATATACAAGCCGGTGTCCTACCATTTGCTTCAGTACACAAGAAGGGAAGTTCTGTACTTGTTTGACTCTGGGCTCGCAACAGGCCGCACAGCGCTCGGGTCTGCACACAGACAGAGTCTGCTTCCTGCTCAACCGTCATATGCATGCAACCAGCACAGGGCACAGAGTCAAGTGAGGCTCTTCCTGGACCATCTCAGATCCTTGTCCTCTGCTCAAAAGTGGGCGGCAACCCCATGGCTGTTTCCAGCAAGTCTATCAGCTCGTCCAGTGATGGGACACGACTGGTCTCCAGCTTGCTGAACACCTGACGATCAAGACACCATAAGAGATCATCACTAATTCTGATGTGTCAACCTGCTGTAAAACAACCCATACGCGCGGTTCTGCTGTGTGTTGGTGGGAATCGTGGGTGTAAAATTGCAGCTGCCACTCACCCGTTGTCCATCATAGTAAACTTCAAAGGCGCCAGTGGACACAAGCTGGTTCTGGAGAGCATTGCCCAGCAACCAGACCCCCATCACAATCCCTGTCCGCTTGTCTTTGTACTGCTGATAGAGCTCTGGAACCGGCACTCCCAAGGCCCCAAACAGCTGCTCGCCTCCCAGAAGAACGCCGATGGAGCCATACTGAGCGACCGCAACAACTTTTGACATGAATGCCTGCAAACCAGACAGGCCCAAGTCAGCTTCCACTTTCCCCTCTTCCCTAAGTAAAGTCAAAACCTGGCAGATTTCGAATGGCGCGCCTTATGGGCTGGTACTGGATATGCTGATCCGAGGACTTCCATGCCAGGAAAGTGCTGCGTCAATACCTGACGAGACTGCATGAAAGCCCCCCTGCAGAAGCATGAACACAGCTGATCACCAATCTTGCTGCAGAGCAGCATTGTTGAAACGCATGCGCATAAAATGCCAAATAGAGTGCAGAAGGGCTGATAGGACAGGGATTATGAAGGATTGGTATTGGTTGCAAGCTCTCGTTCCTCTGGTCGAAACCCAGACCGAGAGGCATTGTCCCTGGCAATGCCCATCATACTTACTTGAAGGATCATGAGGTGCAGTAGGAGATGTGGACTCGACCACCTTCGCTCAAAGCATCTTTTTGTCCAGTAGTTTGTTGGTGCTGTGGTGCCTGTGGCAGCGCAAAAAAAGGCGTCAAAGAACACCGTTTTAAGAAAGAATTAAAATGCAAAAAAAAGACTAAGTTTAAGTCAGAGCAACTTACCCCTGTGCCGTTGAATAGAGTCAGAATGTCTCCACCAAAGAGAAGGGTGAGCACACCGAGTGCCAGTACCCCCTGGCTGGCATTGATTGCCATTTCGCTCACTCGTGGCTTGTGTTTCGGCCCCAGTATGGGGCAAGCACCAATGGGTCTCTCAGAGACTCCAGATGGGACTCCAATCGCTGCTCCTGAGGGTTTGAGTTTATCGCCCTACAGGATTGATAGATTATAGGGCTTGCAGGGTAAATGCGGTAGATACATTTACCAAAAGCTTGGCGCGACAGAAGTGGAAAATGAACATTCCAGAGCAACCAAATCTTGGCGATCAAGTGCCTCCTGTCGCAGACTACCACTCTTAAGCTCTTTGAAGGAACAGGGTCATCGTGCTTCACCGCATCCACAGCAAGCCAACGACAGCCGCAGCACTGAGGAAAAGGAGGAAATACCCCTGAGCAATATGGCGAAGCGTTCATCAGCACCAAAGAGGTTCAAGATCAACAAGGTGGGGACATTACCTCATGTATTGGTGCTCCTCTCCTTGACACGGCCCTGATGTTTCCTCTTTGTACGTACCGTGGATCTGCGGTTCCTGAAGGTTTCTGGTCACTTTGTGTGCAGCCTCCTCGTAACGAGCGCCAGAAGGCAGGGAGTACATCAGACGTGCAACCCGCTGAAGACATCATCAAGCAGCCTCTGCAGGACTTGGCGGTCACCGCCAAGTTGGAATTACGCGTTCCCATCAAGAAGCAGCCGACAGGCACGGCGCCATGCGCGTCAAAATCAGCGAGTCCTGACATCACAGACAGCCAGATGGTGGTTGTCAGCGACTCTGAGACAGGAGCAGAGCCCACAGAGGGATTCAGCCCTGGAACACCAACCCGGGAGGATGCAGCAGCAATGGCACTATCAGGCTGCACGACGCCGAGGTCAGAAAGCAGCGACACTGGCGATGAGGGCCAGGCAGCCTGCAGAGCAGATCAAATGTGCCAGAACATCAGCACTACCAGCATTTCAGCAGCCGACCTGCCCTTGTTCTCACCCCGGCAGCTCCAAGCTGTTTCCAGCGAAGACGGCGAGGCCACAGATGGGCACCAGGATGACCAAAGCCCGCCATGCCCAGAAGAGGCAGTTATTATCAGCAGCTGGACCCCCGTGCCCCCCGCGTCACCAACAAGCAACACTGAAAAGGTGCTTGACACAGCCTGAACGCCATGCACCTCAAGCAAGTTGTTTGATCTGACAGCCTGGTGCCCTTGCATGTCAACACTGTCTTCTGAGGAATTATGTCAATGAACCTGTGGTTGTGCCTGCCAGGTGTGCGCGACGGCAGGATCTCTGCAGATCGTGAAAGAGAAGACTGAGTGCCTGCCAGGCCCGCAAGAACCTGGGAGATTCGACGAATCTGCTCCTTCTCCACCCACACCACCAGCAACCAGCAGTGAGGTATGAAAATCTTATTGATCACTCCACGACCCTATCGCCATGAGCTGTACATCGTGCACCAACAAGCGCCTTTGCTGTGTTGCTGTGTACTTGACACAGATGGGAGCCTGGTTTGAGGGCACAGAATTGTCTGCAAGGTGTTGTTTAGCACCAGGTCGTCACACAATTTTCTGGTTGTGCCGGCCAGGTTTTGGACGAGACAAGAGCGGCTGTGGAGAGCGCAGTGGAGCATCCCAGAGGCCTGGTGGGCATGGCTGTGTGGGCGTGCAGCGCCATGCATTTGCTGGCGATGCCTGCTGTGGACTTGGCTGTGGCGGCTGCCATAGAGATCTTGGCTGCATCGTCAGCCCTGGCAGTTGTGCTCTGCTGATGTGCAACATGCACCGTGGACATTGCAGCGCTCGTTGAACATGTGACTGGCCGATGGGACATAGAGATCTTGGCAGCATCGTCGGCCCTGACAGATGTGTGCTGCTGATGTGCCACAATTGCTTGCAACATGTGGGTGCGCACTGCAGCGCTTGTAGAACAGGCGACTGGTGAATGTGGCATGAGTGTCGCCTGGTTTATTTCACTATCCTTTGCACTCTCGTGTCATAAAGGAGCATGCAGAAGGAAAGTGTAATCAAGGCAGTCAATGAAAGTTGCTAGCGCTAGAGGGAAAACGGGGACCAAGTAGGCAGCGCAATCAACTTTGTTCATTATAAAACGCATTTATAGAGCTTGTCGATCGAGATCGAGTGAGATTTAAATGCACGAGGCTCGGGCAGGAGTCCTAGGTCACCATGTTCCACTGTGCTTATCATCTCCTAGGGAATCACCCATTCTGCATAAGTTGACATTCCATTACATCCGTGGTATTCTATGATAGCAATACAGAAGCTAGCCCTAGGAATGATCTCTTCCTGTAACCATTTCACTCCCTCAGATTTGCGATGCTCAATGTAGCGCTGATCTGTTGCCCATCATTGTGTGTACTCACTCTAGGCGCCAGTTGCGCTGCGCACAAGCCCAAAGGCCTGCGCATGGGCTGTGGTGTCCAGAATTTTTCACAGCTTCATTGTATAGACTGCGCAGGCGCCCATGGAATGCCGTGGGTTCAGGCTTGAAAATATTCAATCAGATGTTCAATCAGGCAGCGGTAAGCTCAATACTGGGCCATCCATTTTGATGCTGTGCCTGAAGCTAATAAGATCCTCAGAAGCCATGCATATCTCCCTGTCTGCTGGTGTGCAAAACTGCTCAAGCTGCACAATAACACTGTAATCTATGATAAATGTCAGACCACGCCAACATCAAAAGTTGTCCTTGGCCTTGCGGATTGCTGCAAATGCCTCTACATCCGGAGCATCTGGCGCAACGCCTGCAAGTAAATCAAAAATGAACTTAATTGGACCGTAACGATGACCATCTGGAGGACTGCCGTAAGCAAAATAGTGACAACATAAGGCAGATGATCCTTAAAATGAAAATTCTACCAAGTGCAGCTCTGATTCCGCTGTCATGTGGACGCAGGAATGGATTCGTGTCCAGCTCCTCAGACAACAAACTCGGGACCGTTGCTATCCCCTGCAGAAGCAGAGTCAAGCACCACAGGGTAAGTCCCAGAATCACGCAGGATACATAGACAACATCAGAGGGTCATGCATGCAAATGGGCCTGCTGACCAAAGCATGCACCTGGCTGCGCTGCTCGTCAATCAATCTTTTCCGCTCCTGCAGCTTTTTGTTGCCCTGGTCTATTGCCACTGCAAACTTGGCATTGCTCTGCAGAATTGACAGCAGCACTACTTCAGATGCTGTTTAACCACCAGAGAGCAATTGTTGAGTCATTTCATTCAGGTACTCCTGTCGGAAAGCACTTGAAGAAGGAAGTTGACAGTTACCTGTGTGTACTCATGCGCACAAAAAACCTTTGTGTTGCCTGGCAAGGGAGTCAACTTTGAAAGGGACGTCCACATCTGCTGGGGAGTGCCCTCAAATAAGCGCCCGCACCCCAGCGCAAAAAGAGTGTCACCTGTGCAACAAATGACATCTTATTTTCAATGTCAAACTGCCTCGTGAGGCAGTACAACAAGGACAGGCTAGCTAATTTGAGTCAGGAGGCCGTGCCTGGGAAGAGGGCCTCGGCTTGGGGAAAGTAGAGGGTGATGTGGCCTCTGGTGTGCCCAGGAGTGTCAAAGACCCTCATCTGGAGCTGTCCAAAGTCCCAGGTGTCCCCGTCCTTGAGGCTGATGTCAATGCCAGGGATGCGGGCCTCGTCTGCAGCAGGGCCAACTATGGTGGCCCCATAATGCTGCTTCATTTCCAGGTTGCCGCCCGTGTGGTCAAAATGGTGGTGTGTGTTGAGAATATAGTCTGCCTTCAGGCCCCTGCAAGGAACACATTTCTTTGACTAAGTGTTCTGTCACAACTAGACTCAGGATTGTACATTGTGCAGTTGAGGGTGAATTGGTGTGCAATGGAGCATTTGAGTTTCTCACCGGCTGTCCAAGGCTTTTATCACAGGCGCTGCCTCAGATGGATCAACGACTGCGGTTTTCCCCGACCCTGACTCGTGGAGCACCCACACATAGTTGTCCTGCACGCCATGAATGATGCATGCATGAAGTCATAATGCTTATCATCAGACCCTGGGATGGCCCACTTCCAGTTGCCGCGAGGGACACAGCAGGCAATCAAGGGAGCACGCAATATAGATGAACTCACCGAGAGGCAGGGAACTCGTTGCACCGACAGGTTTGGTAACTCTGTCATACTGTGCTTTTGTGCAGCAGTGAGGGACATTGTCGTCAGAGTTCTTGGTCCAGAACGGATCGGCCTTGGGACTGCGGTATCTAAGAGTCGAATTGCTAGATGAGGAGCAGATCTTATGGTGCTGAAACAAGCCCTCTGTGCGTAACCTGCACAAAAGGTTCTGCTCAAAACATGGCTTGAAAGGCCTTGCACAACATGGAGGCAAAAAGCAATGTAAATTTCTTACTTTGAGGCGAAGGACACAAGCGTAAAGCGTTGGCAGCAAGACTTCTGGAGGAGATCATGCTCTCAAAAGCACTCCCGATCTGGCGCTCAGAGACACTATTCAGCGAGCATAATCTTCCCGACCGCTTGAGATTCCCCAAGCACAATCGAAGTGCAGTTCTTGCTCGCTAATGAAGCCTGCGTGTAGGAACAGAATAGCGAGCCATAAATAACTTGGAAGGTTACTAACCACCCTCAACCAAACTTTCTGGTGCCAGCGCGACAGTCCGGAATGGACTCTAGCAGAGCGTTGATCCGATAAGGTGCACGAAGAAGCCAAATTTTGACCTGTAGCGCTCTATAAGTCATATACTGTTTGCTCAGCTGCGTCAAAGCCAGCAGCACGGTGGTCCGTACCCTGTGAGAGGTGGGCAGAGCAGACCGCATGCACGAGGTCCCTAGAAGGAATGAGCGACGCGTTAGGATCACTGTTCCGGGCCGACTCTTGGAATTTCCCGGTGAGTGGGTTGACCAGAGGCAGAATAGCAAGGGCCTCCTTGGAATTGGGTGCCGTGACCCTCTCCACGTTGCAGCCAGTGAAGGGGGGATGCTTCCTTTTATGCAGGGTCTGAAAGATGGGCAGATACTGAGGACCATATCGAACGTCACATACTCCGAAAGTCACTATGCTAGTGACGAGGAGAAGCTTCCGCTGGAGGTGCGTCCCTGCAAACTGACGGCTTGACGTGCCGGACAGGGTCCCGTACTTCGTCTATCTGTAAAGTGGTCGCAAGGTCTCAATGGATTCGTGGATACCTCGATCCTTTGTTTACATAGTATCTAGGATGCTTGCTTAGGGAGAGGGACGGCTTGAGCGTCAATGCGCTGAGTTTTTTGCGCCTAGTTTTCTAGTCTCGGAAGACCTAACTTGAAATATACAAGCTTGGCAACCTGACCACAGCCAGTCCTGCTGTGTATCAGGGTGCACGGCGTCACCGACTAGCAGAGAGCACTCTGCCTGGCGATGCACACCCCCGGGAATCTCCCCAGCGAGCTTCTGAGTCGCCGCCGACTGCTACGGCATGTACCCTCAGCGTGCAGGGCACTACCTGCTCACCCGGCAGCGGCAAAGGGCACATGCATTTCCAGCAGACCATCGTATCGTGCGGAACTCAAAAGGCTCGGTCGTTGCACGGCCCTCCCACGTTCGACATAGTGGCGACGGCTGGCCTGCAGCCTGAAAGGAACGCCTTGCAGCACTTCCCTCTCCCAGACAAGTCTGGCCTCTTTGCAGACATGTTGGGCCACCTGGACTTCAATGGGAGCGGCGGCGCCCTATCTCCCAAGCTGCTGGTGCGACAACAAATCCCCTCACGGACTGAACTCCTGCCCATTGCTAGATTTTTATTATTGCGCTGATGAGGCAGAAGTATGTTCCATGACTGGGGTAGACATTTCATTCTGCGCAAGGGAGATCTGACTGCCAGTGCTTGTATGAATTGGGTATTTGGTGTGCAGAGCGTGCAGCTGCAGAATCTGGGGCATCTGTTTGACGACTTGGACAAGGCCGGCTCGGACGTGTCAGAATGCCCGGACACTCCCCTTCACCTGTTCCCCAACACCCCCACCTCCGACCTGCTCCTGCACGGCCACTTCAGTCACTTCTTCCCAGAGGCCCAAACCCCACCGCAGGTACTTTTGTCCCCCAATCGATTCCTCGCAAAACGGATTTTTTTATTGCGGTGAATAAGGACTCGCATCAGCGGCTTGACAATGCTGGACTTGCTGCATATGAGCCAGCAGAGCTTAATCACAGCTGCTTATCCGCGGATGAAGCTATAACCAAAACTGCATTGTTGCAGATGACGCCATCTCCACCGCTGCGAGGCAGCCGCTGCGGGCAGGACAGCCAGCAGCTGAGCCTGGAGGCGAGCATGCAGCAGTCGCCCATCAGTCCGCTGATCGGGGACTCGCGGGCGCACAGCATGCCTTGCCCGCTGCCCTCCCCAGTTCCCCTGCGCAGCCCTGGCCATGGCCCCTACAGCCCCGCCCACTCGCACCAGCCCCGACTAGACCACATCCACAGCCCGGTGCGGCCGAGCTCCTTGCCCTCCTGCATTCTCTTTTATATCCCCTTTTTTGATCGTGCCCTAGACACTGCAGACCGTAACCAGACTTAGGGGAGCTGGGCTGAAGCCACTGAGAAGCTGGGTGCAAAAAGGTTGTGCTGCCACAGACAGAGGACTGAGAAGCTGGGTGCAAAAGGTGTAATGTCAGGGGCGGAGATCAGTATGTGATGGTATGTTGGTGTTGTTGCGCAGATGAACAGCCGGACAGTGTCGATGCCGCTTCCTGCGCTGTTGGAGCCATACCGCTTCCCTCCGCCCGTGCGCACCAGCATGCACAAATCCTCCCCCACCGCGCGCCACTCTCCCGCCCGCCCCGCAGGCATCCGCAAGGTGCCCTCCTCTACTCTCACCACCTCCACGCTATGAATATCTGCAGTGCTGTGCCGGCAGTCCAATGTGCATGACATGGGCAGGTGAAGAGCAGAAGGACAGTGCACAGGCGGTTCCTGTTTAAAGGAGCGTATCCTGGCTGCAGGTGCAGGCGGGGCAGCAGGGGAAGCCAAAGGTGACGGGGCGGCGCAGTCAGCTGCTATCGGTGAGCGCGCGCGCGGAGCTGCGGCGGGCGGGGTCGTCGGCCAAGTCGGAGGACAGCGCGTCCGCGGCCGCCACTGACAGCGAGGCAGACAGCATCACCACCGACGGCGGCTCACACAAACGCAAACCCGGCAGCAAGAAGGGTGCGCGCCGTCGCCTGCATGTCCACCTTGTTGCTGCCAGCAGGCGCGCAAGTGCAGGGCAACTGCTGTCAAGAACCCGACAACCCACATGCATTCGTCAATGGCTGCTATGCATGTGGGTGTTTTTCCTAGAGGTCAGAAGAGGCGCACGCTCTCAATGGAGCGGCATCTGGCTACTAACGCCAGAAAAATACATAAGTGGTGATCGGGAGGGTGATAAACTCGAGAGATAATTATTGCAGGGGCGGGGCGGAGGGCGCGGCGGATGACGTGCAGGAACTGCGCGACGCACCAGACGCCGCAGTGGCGGTGCGGCCCCGAGGGACCGCGCACGCTGTGCAACGCATGCGGCGTGCGCTACAAGAAGGGCCTCCCCCTCACCAACTCCTGGGCCGGCAAGAGCGCCGGCATGCCGCCCGCCAGCGGCTCCGGGCCCTCTCTGCTGCCCCCGGCTCACAAGGACTCTCCCAGCATGGCCTGACTCCGCAGGCCACAGAGACACAGCTGCCGGCCTGCGCAAAAAGGGATGCACAGCCAGTGACCACAGCCTGCAGCTCTCCTCTGCGCTGCCAGTCAGCTGTTCTGACTGGGCCGTCATCCTGTGGGGGTCTGTAGGGCATTTTTGACTTTTATATTCAGAAACAGCAATGTTCACACCTGACTGATGACTTTTCTCCAACTGCATGCATGCACCCATGCATCAGCGAGTGACGATACATTAAATGCTTTGGAAGGACAGCCAAAGCAAAGACCGGAAGTCTGTAGCCGGATACATAAACCACGACTGACTCTGTATGGAGCTTTGAATATTGCATTAGCACCATGTTGCCAAATTCAAATCTGCATAGTGAATACAGCATTGAAATTGTTTCAAAGATGAATATAGCAATGCCGCAAGTGCCAGTATTATTGCATGTCAGGGGTTCATTCAACGAACTTCATTGTACGCAAATCAGAGCTGTGACAACCCGAGATGTGAGTCACAACACGTGACACATGATTTGCCAGCGGCCATGCCGCAAGCAGCAATGTAATATCATCTTCACATCAAGATATCTGGGCGAGTTTCCCAGAAGGCATCGTCTATGATGTCCTCATGGGTCACAGTGACCTCGCCCCCTTCCCTCTGCACAGCAGTGCCGTCTTCTGCATGCTTGACAGTCTTCTGCCGCCTTGAGCGTGTGACCACAGAACCCTGCAATAGAGGGTCAAAACAGAGACATTGTGGCTTTCATCATATAGGATCAGCTGATTACCTTGCAGACATGATTTGCATTGCTAGGCCACGCACCTTCCTAAACATTACCGGTAGCAATCCATACTTTATCCCAAATTCACTGAAGAGAAGCTCGTTCTTGTAGGCAGTCTGAGTGCCCTGCAGCAAAAATTTGGCTGTTTCAGGTGGGCTGTCCTGGCATCAGTTGGATACATATATCGTGAAGCCTCAGCACGATCAATCCATGTCCAACACACTGAAAGACGTGCCAATAGAAGATGTAGGGAGATGTGCCGTACCTTCAGGTGGTCTTGTGCTTCTGTGCGGGATTTGCCGCTGTGCACCAGAGCCCAAAAACATGTATTATACTGCAGCAGCACATGATCATGCATCATCACAACGTCTCCAAGAAACGTGCACCGACCAAGCCACACATATCCAGACAGAAAGCAGCCTCACCTGATTGTTAATGTGCGTGTCCGCCTGCCTCCAGGCTAAATAATGCCTCAGAATGTGATCTGTGGGATAGCACACGGCGCGCCCATCGAAGATTGGTGTGCACAGCAGGGGCTGGGATGGGAAATGTTCTGGCCACCACCGCACGTAATTCCCACTGAAGCATGATGTCACAAGGGACACAAGCTTGCTGCTGCGCCGGCCTGCATTCCAGTGCCAATGTGGTCATTATGATGGCATGCATGCATGCATGATGGACCTGCGCAGGCATGCGGGCATCACAGTGTAAATTTAGAGCATCGACACTCGCCATATATCTTGCAGGTCTTGCTGAAGACGAAGCTGTACTCATCACTCTCTCCAAACGCTATCCGGATGTCAGGGAAGGCTTCCAAGACTTCCTACGATGGCACCCCGAAGAGTCACAGGTGCGCATACAAGAGGGATGGAGGAAGGCACGAGAAGGAAGATGGATAGTACTTACCACGGCACACCTGTTCATCAACCGCAGGGCCTGCTCATCATTGGGCTTCTTGAAGTTGTGAAGCTCTGAGAACCTGGGGCAACAGGGGGAACCTTTGTCAACCAGCATCTTACCACTCCGGGTGCTGCAGACCTTTACACACCATATCTTCAGCACTATTTGTAAGTCCAATTCTCCAAAGCTTATAAGTCATTGAGCTCACCGAGTGAACCCCTTCCCATCCAGGCGTATAACTATCCAGCAGTGTGGAAGCAAAGGATCTTCAAGCTCGAATTGCTTTACATATTCGAAACGGCTCTTTGCCATCTAGGCATACTATCGTCGCATTTGCTGATTCCGATGTGATCTGGTACTTGCAAGCACTGTATTCCAAGATGTGGAAGCACCGTTGGACAGCTGCAATCCCTTGCAATCACTCGGAAACTTTGGCTGCTCCTGTAGCTGAGCAAGAATGCGAGATTTATGCACCTGATGGTGCAAGGCCACATTGCTTTCCATCAAGGCGCCTGGCTCGCTTTGAGGCTTGATTAGATTAAGGTTACTAATTAATATATACTCACGTGAACCTGAATGCAGCGCTGCTAGCATGAATGGCAGGGAAATTGGGGAATGCCCTAAATGTGGGGAGAATCCCAATGCCTTACTCAGTCTGGTGCCATGCACCTTTGCTACTCACATCAGCAACCGAAAGGACAACTTGATAGGAGTGTGTCCACAGCGCGAGAAGCGCTGGAGGTTATCAGCTTGGTCCGTCCCTAGGGTATCTGGGACAGAAACTGACAAACTAAGGTGCTGATCATTGCATCGTCTCGCCGTAAATCTTGATACTGTGTAATCTATCGCTTGTTAAAGGATAGCAACAAGTTCGGCACAGGTACGATGGCCACATGAGCTTCGGGCCTCTCCGAAGATCGTGATCTTGCAACTTCCGTACATGTGTTCCAGTGCCCCAATTTCTTCTGTCCATGGTTATGTAGGCTATCCTGATTTTTCTGTGTTCATGTCGAGCATAAGGATGGTGCAGCCTGGAAAGAGCAAGACAGGCAACTTGCAAGAGAAGCGTGTCACCCAGAAAGTCCACAAGAAGGAGAAGAGCATACCGAAAAGGATTCCCGATAATCTGCTTGAAAGGCAGAAGAGAGCAAAAGTACGTCATTACTTTGCTGAGACAGTTTCGTGAAATGTTGGACGCAAGATCACACTCAGAGCCTTCTTATTTTGTTCTATTCTTTTATTGATCCACTCTTTGTGGGTGCACTCTCCTGCAGTCGGATGCAGTTGTCCAGAAGCTGAAAGAAGCAAAAGTTGCAGAGGAAGGTGTGCAAAGCTTTCTTGATTCCTGGAGACTGGTAGGTCTTGTCAGAACCGACGGGAAGGCTGAGTGGAGCTTTGTACCGCCAAACCGGGGAAGGATGCTCCACAGCATTCCTGAAGTCGTCAGGTGGTTCAAAGACCATCTTGGAGGTCAGCATTCCTATACCGTTGCCTGCTCACCCATTGCGTTGTCAGGATTATGCTGCTCAGGAAGTGCTGTGAATGCGATATTGCTGCCCTCAAATCATGCGGAACACTCCAGGTGATGGCAACGAGAGGGTGCAGAATGGCGGGCCAGAGGCTAACTCATCAGACCAAGCTCATGAGGTGGCACCAGCTGCCAATCCTGCCAGTGATGATGCGATGGCCGGGGCAGACGCCCCAGGTATCTCACAAGACTTCCTTTCCAGAAATGCTGAAATGGATGCCTGACATGTGTATTGCTGACGTGTACCGCAACCATCTTGTAGTGCCCCGATCCTCAGAAATCATTACATACATTTGCATCATGAATCCACACATCCTCCGTGCATGAATCACAATTTATAATTTGATACACATCTGTGGCATGAGCTGGGGCGCTTGTGGTCACTGAGTATATGCATAGGGGGTGCAGGTCCGGCTGAGGACCCTCCCCCTCCTCCGCCTGCAGAAGAGGCGCAGACTGGTGGTGGAGAGGAAGCAGCTGGCGGCGATGAGCGGGACCCGGGCGAGGCAGGTGCAGTGGGTGGCGGAGATGGGGCTGCAGTAAACGGCCTGGAAGAAGAGGCAGCCAACGCTCTGTTGTACGAGCACAACGCCTTCAAAATGGGGTCATCGTGTTTGCTCGTCTGCCTGGTGCGACTGGGCTTCACAAAGGTGCGAATGGGCGACGTTCGAACCATTCACTGGCCTATCTGGCATAACGCAAATCAGCGGAAACTGGTGTGCACATCCTCATGAACAAGGAGATTGTGTGCGACAGGAAGAGGCTCTGAGCGTGGGAGTGGCAGTCGAGTCTTGGGCGAGCAAGCGCATCATGGAGGCCAAGCAGGCCATTGCCGCTGCTGCTGCTGTTGAAGAGAAAGAAGGAAAAGGAGCGATGCGCGCACAGAAGCGCAAGTCAAGTAGCAGCCCAGATTCCGCTCCGGCAGTGGCGGCGAAGAAGGCAAAGGAGGTTGAAGAGGATGATGAAGAGGAGGTGCAAGCCCATTGCCATCATAGCCTGCTAAGTCAATTCGTGTCATGCATGGGCATATAACATACAACTGCAACATATTCTTCATGACAGGAAGCTGTTCGCGTGCTACATACAGCACTGCCAAAAGGGTTACGCCTGTACATATCAGGCATGGAAGGAAGGCAGGGCGCCCTGCATGGGCAAAATGTTACAAGCAGTCGGCGAATTGTCAGGCGGCGACTGGATGTATCCTGATTGGGGTGTGGCATGTGCGCAGGATGAGGACGTATTCAATCCGCGTAAGGATGTGGTGAGGAACATGACAGTGCTGCTGCGCACAGAGGACAGCAAGTCCTCTGAGTGGAGGAAGCCCTGGTCAATTGCCAAAGTCAACAGGTCATTTTCCGCGCCTCCGCATTTTATGGGCTTGCTTTTGTAATGTCACTTTGCTTCATCGACAAGCTCTCCTGCCTTTTATTATGCCTGTGCAAGCTTGGAACCCTAGCATTTTGTGTGTGGGGTGCTGGGCTGGGTATGTGCATGCTGTCTGAGGTTGAATGGCAACATCACCAGGATCGACAAGGCAAATGGCGTGGCAAGGGTGACCTGGCTGAAACCCACCTCGGAGAAGCAGTGGTGGGCGCAGCGGTGGCTGCCGTGGGTGCTGGAGGGAAAGGACAGCAGGGGGAAGCCGCGCCTCTGGACAGAAAAGGCCATCGAAATTGACAGTGTCCAGGTCAGCTGCCACATCTGACACCTTCCCTCGGCGCCAGCATATGGCTTGCCATGTCTCACATAGTCCTCGGAAGGCTCCCTCAGGCATCCAAGCATGCAAGACATTGTTTGGCCTTCTTCCTGGGCCAGTGTTCAGTTGATTTGACAGAGAACTACAGGTGATGGAGCTGAGGCAGACCTGTGTCAATGATCAGTATGAGCACTTGACGTGTGGCATCCGCAGTGGGGCACCCACTTGACTAGCAAGGACACTTTTGAGGAGAGTGACATTCTTATCCTACGCGAAGAGGTCCGGCGCCTGGAGGCAGACGCCTTGTGAGCTTGCGCCGCCCTGCTCTGGGCTCGGCTGCCTGCAGCTTTGCACTGACAGGACAAGAGATAAGAGACATCTGGGGACCCAAATGTGGCACCTGAGATGCCATTGAGGAATTTCCCATCCTTCAGTGGACTACACTATTTCAGACCTGAAATCTCTCAACTGGCGTTATCGGAATCGGTGCGTTTAACAGTTGGACATTGCAGGACCCCGTAAATGGGCAGAGCTTTATAGGTAGTAGTGCATACTTCTGAGACATGACAAGCCTCCAAGCATGCATGTATACCACCAGGCTGAAACCTTTGTAGTAAAGTGAGGACTAATGAGCTTCTATCGAGTAAAAATAAATTTATATTGTATTTGATGGTCCTCTGCATCAGAGCTGACAGCGTCCGGTATTCTGCCAAAGTTTGGTTATGATGTGCTTGCATAAAGTCTATGTGTTCTCCTGTGGATGTCACAGTATTGCCAGATGCTATTTGCAAAACACTGGTAAGTTTGATCGGGAAAGAACGCCACGATTGTAACATTTTTCTGTTACATTCAAAAATAGAATTCTTTCCAGCTTGCACAAAGTGCGCTAGCTCCCACGGTCTCCTCCTTGGTGTTCAAATGAGTTTGACAAAAACAGATCGACCCTTCACACCATTCAAGAATGCTGCTGCGGGCATTGGCTTCTTGCCAGCAGGCTGTAATTCTAGGATATGCAACCATGAAGCGTCACCGCATGGTATTATCAGCTGACCATCAACGATTGCCTCTACATAGCCCTCTGGTGAGCCAGCAGCCCCTTGCGGTGGTTGTTGATCCTCTTTTGCAACGCATGTCCTGGTAATTTTGACCTCAACCTCCCGGTCGGCTGTGCCGTCATGAATTTTCAATAAAAGGGTGGCCTGTGTCCCAGGCCAGCCAACAAACGCCCGCACCTGCAACCAAAATGTATTAATCAGTCCACAAGCAGGGTGAGGTACAAGGATGGCTTGTTTAGTCCCGAGTTGAGCATGTGCAAGGAGGATAAAGGCTCCACAAGGGGTCTCACTTTGTTGTGCAGGACAATTGCATGTTCCCTGAAGTCCAGCTGCCCATCTGCTTTCTCCAGCTTTGCTGCATGCGTGGCAGCAGCGTCATCCTGGGAATGCAGAACACACCCTCATCATGAGCCACTCTGTAGTCCTTTAAAGAATATTCTTCCTAGCGGCACACCGCAGCACACAGAGACGACCCTAGCAAGGTCCTCGTGTCCACCCCAGACACTCATTTGCTGAGTGATTCAGCGCTTGGTAGCCATGCGCATGACAAACGCTGCAGCACTTGCGCGCCATGCAGCTCTTCAGGAGTAGCTGCAGAGCTTCCTGCCACCCTGCACATGCATGCACAACAGGAGCAGAGCGCTGTACAGCTGGCACTTACCTGTGGGGTGGCCTGCTGGGCAGCGATACCGCTCCAAACATCGGGCAGCCGGCTGAGCAGAAGATCACTGCCGCGCTTGAACAGGTCGGCCAGCAGCTCTGGCGCTTGGATGTCCTCATCCACCGCCACCCTCTCCTGCGCCAGCACCGGCCCGGCATCCATAGCGCGCACCGTGAACGCCACTGTCACCCCAGTCTCCCTCACGCCATCCTGCAGCAGATACCCACTGTTTTCTGCAAATATGCACCCGCAGCAATCCACCTGGTAGTTGCTATTTCTAGCTATAGTCTGTTCTCCAAACCAAGACACCCCAATTGACATGAACATCGGATGGCACATGCATGCAAGCCCAACACTCTGGTTCAAATGTTTCAGGTGAGTCGTGTGTGAGTCAGGAGGGGGAGCACAATGGCACCTGCACGGCTCGTTGAACAGGGGCGGCCCCTCGGTACCTGGGCAGCAGGCTGGGGTGGATGTTGAGGGTGCCAAAGCGGGGAATGGCCAGGAACTTCTTTGGGAGGATGTTCCCGTAGGCTGCTGTGATGCACAGGTCCGGCCTGATGGCTGCCAGCTGTTCAAGGAAGGGCTCCTGTGCCATGAAATTTGTCACCTTCATCAGGGTGCGTTGCTCGATAGCACAAACCCCTCATGTCGATAGCGGAGCTGCCACAGGCAAAATTTGCACCTCGCTGGCCTTCACAGGGCTCAAGATCTTCTCCTGTGGCCACCCCTGGTCCAGGGCGAGCTGAGCAACAGGAGACGGCTGGGCCACCTTCTTGTTCCCACGTCCCTTGGGTCGGTTTGGCTGTGTGACAATCGCCGCAATCTGGAGTGCGAGCCACTCAACTGTCAATTTGTCGTGTGTATGCTTGGACTCATTAAACAGCACCGGGGTTCCGGGGCCTTGTCACCTCAAATGTGGAGTCTTGCTCATTTGCTGCGTGTAAAAGCTGCTGCAGAACCGAAGAAGCCACCTGCAACGACACGAATCCATTAACATGCCAATATAACATGATACCAGGTGCCTCAGAGCAGTGTTTTGCAAAGACGTCTCCAGGCTCACCTCTGGTGTGCCTAAGAAAATCACTCGATGTTTCCCATGATCTGCGCTGTATGCAGCGCATGCAAAGTACTTCTGACCCCTAAAGGTCCCTCTTCCTCCCAAATATGTCTTGAGATTTGCAGAGATCCATTGGTTTGGCCATGGGACACCCCTGCACACAAGCTGGTGGCTACAGCGTGACCCCAACGTGGAGACGCTTCGCATCAAAGTTTGCTTCTGATATAAGGAAGTCGAAGCGACAACACAGTGAATGGATGGCTTTAGACATCGCATATTCGTGAAGATGCTTGTGTGCATATCGCCCTAAATCGAATTCTTCATAGTTCCTGAGCAGCTCTTCTACTTTCAATCATTTCCACGTCATTTGGATTACTTCCCTGTAAATCATACTGTTTATTCTCTCTCTCAAAGCCAAGAAAGTCGTGTCGATCTGAAAATTTCCGATACTATTATATTATCCTGGCCGTCATGAATGCCGAGTGTCTTGGATCTCTTGCTGTTGGACACCGCTGCAGACACTGAAGCCATCGATCCAACTGTCAAAAGGGTATCTTCTGACGATTTGAAAAAGCCTTATTAGTATTCTTTAGTATTCTGTGACTTTGGCTTCCATGAACATCTTAGTTGATCTGGGTCAAACGAAGGACATCCAGAACGTGTGTAGATCCTTGCCTGATAAACATTGTCTTTTACCAGGGGCAGTGGTAGAATAGAGCATTGACACAGCACTTGCATCATGGCTGGGGGCGGGGAACACTCCTTTTATGCTCTTCCAGTGCAATTCACACAGGTATGGGGCACCTACTGCTACAGGTTCAAATTCCTGGAATAGAGACTCCGTACGGTCTTTCTGTAAGGTCAGAAGTGGTCTTGCAGGGATCCTCCCTGGTGCGGCACCTGTACATTAAGGAGTACAGCAGCTCAGAAGAGGGGCACGCTACCATTCCAAAGAACTGTGGGCTGTTTGTCGCGGGCTTACCTTACATCCCCCATGACAACAGTGAGGTCCTGACGGACCTCTTTGGGGCTTTTGGAGCAGTTGAGAGAGTCGCGGTCCACCCCTCACAGGTTTGTCTCAAGGACATTAAACACAGGAAGCATGCGATGATGTTGCGCTTGTCAAGAAGTCACTGATGTGCTGCTGTGATGCAGACGTCGGCCATTGTGGTCTTCACAGAGGCTTCGTCTCGGAGGAAGGCCTTCAAAACAGCGCAGAGTGCCAAGCTCGTGCAGCTGATCTTGGCAGAACCAGAGGAGCATTATGGGCTCAAAGGTACATTTCCCTCATGTCTTCTAGCCTGAGATGATCTCAGTGAAAAAATCTTGCGACGTTGCTGGTTTATTATCTGGAGTCCAAAGGTGAGTGCTGTGCAGGCCACGTGGAGGCTCACAAGGCGCTGTTTCCAGGGAATGATATTCTGAGGAGCCAGGTACGCGTCCCCTCTGGCCTGGGTACTGCTTATCAATTGAGCGTTGCCATGTGCATGGCTGTGTTTGCCTGCATGAGTGGTCAGCGCTTCTAATACGGGTTGTGTGCAGCTGGACAAATGGACAGAGGACTTTGAAGCCGAGGAGGAAAGGCGGAAACGCGAAGCGGCTGCCGCTCTCGCAGAGGAGGGGTGGACGGTGGTGAAGAGGAGAGGGGTATGACCGATATAATGCACTTCTGCTCTGCACCTTTCTAGGCTGACATCAATGTGATGGTCTATTCTGGCTTTGATTGAATTGTACAGCTGCCCTGCACGTGTCGAGGAATCTTTGAGGTTGGGTCACTGGCAGGGAGGGAAGAAGGTGTCAGATGGAGCTGGTGCTGCAGTGGGTTCTGTGGCGCCTGCAGCAGCACAGGCAATTGCGGCCAGCAGAAAGGTGCTGCCACTGCCCATTTCCTTGCTCATATATGCTCTCAGCAGGCCACGAACAAGTCTCCCACATCCGAACATATGGGGAGTGGTCTTCAGGGACAATCTTGAGGGATCCAGACTGAAAACTGTTGGTAGGTCTCATGTTGACATCTGGGCCTGCAGGAACAAAAGGTGGTGGACTTCTACAGATTCCAGCAGCGAGACAAACGCCGGAATGGTGCGCCAGGCCCACCTTGCCAACTCTATTTTCAACCCGTAATTAGACTGCTGGTCACGTTGCGTCTTGCCCATGTCATGGGCACCTACATCAGAAAGATCATAGCATCACGTTTAATCAACTGGGTGCAGAACTGGTGGACTTGAGGCGGAAGTTTGCAGAGGACAAGCAGCGCATTGCAGAGCTCAAGGCGGCACGAAAATTCAAGCCATACTGAATAGGAGCATTAGAAAGGCAGCAAAGCTGCAGTTGTCCAAACATGTGCACAAGCTTGCTATATTGATCACGAGTTCCAATGGCATTGCTACTAGCGGTCTTGGCATGTGTGAGAGCGGATCAGGGAGGGTGCATGAACAACTGACGGCTGTCAGTGTGGTGTTTATGAACTTACAAGCTCCACAGGTAATACAGCTGTGGGGAACACAATTGCCAAGCAATGGTTACTAGACAAACACTGTCTGGTACACAGCAACTTCAAACTGCAATTCAAGACACAAAGGAATAAATACTTGAAATCAATTTTTAGTCAACCCATCCGGCCCATAGGCCCTTGATAGTTTGTGCCCTCCCATCGCTTCATAGTCACTTCTGTGATCACAGATCCACGCCATTGTGATGTTTTGTCCAACCCTCGCCATCTCCCTTCAGAAGTTCGGATACAAAATGCCACCAATAATTCTGCCCCAAATTAAGACTACAGTGCACAATACTAACTTTTGAAAAAATGCTCAGGGAGCCTAAATGCATTAAGGAAAAAGACAAGGTAAGCTACATGTTTGCTGCCGGAGTATCCTCAATACTCTACATCTGGAGCTGCCTGTCAAGGGGTGCAAAGGGAACAGGGGCATGACATCATTTCAAAATTGTCTGCGGCAGTGGGACACTGCCGGCACACTGGGCGCCGTGAAAGAGCACAATTGCATGTCTGCCAAGGGAAACAGGGTCTAGGGGCCTACTGCCCCAATGGGAAAAGAGAAAAGTATCCATGTCTGTAGACCTGGGAGATCAGCTAGCTATTCCTGTAGTGTACAATATCATCAGGCACGGAGCACAGGAAAAACGATGAGCTGGCGCGCAAAGGCAGACTACTCAAGGAAAATTGTCAGGTTGTGACTTTGTGAGCGCTGCTGCACGATCCAACATTGCATTTCTCGTGTGGCAGCTTAAGCAGCAGGGGCGGCCGCATTTGTGGCAGTGCAGTATGCTTTCCTATGCTGTGCACCACACAAAGATCTTCAAGAGCCAGTCGAGCTGCACATGAGCGATAGGGTAACTCAATCACACCAAAGCCTGACGAGCGGCATGCTTCCTGGCAATGGCATAATATCAAATCATTCCTGCATATGTGCCAAGAACACACCTGCATGGCTTTGCTCCTGAGAGCATGGGCGGTCTTTTTGAAGTCCTCAATAAAGGGCCACAGGATGCTGCGCAGCCTCTGCAGAGAGGTGAGGTCCTTCTCGCTGATGTGCATTACATGCATGGACTCTTCTGTGGTCTGCAGTCTCTGTATGAGCGGGCGCAGGTGCCTGCTGTTCAATTGCTGGAGACTCCGCATCTGCAGGGATCCACTCAGCCAGTGAGGATTTCTCCAGGCAAAAATGAGCATCTGAGTTTGGAAATAGTGGGCGCATACAGGACTGCAGCTTGTTTGTATCAGCGCAAACCAGTCATGCACTCACTGTACATGCAGCAAGGATTTGAAGAGACTCAATGATGACGGCATGTTCCGCACCTCTGGCTGGGAGTTGTGCAAGCAGCAGAGCACGGAGCACAGTGCCTGCATTTCAAGGAGCTCTCCCAGGAACTCTTGCTGCATTGCCTTCAGCAACGCCCAATACCTCGCTCTCACGTAGGAGCTGCTTCGCTTGATATTCCTCAGGTACCTGACATCTTTTTGAAAGATGTGGGCCTGCCCAGCCAGTGATGCCTGCATCCCTGCAGCAGCCTGGTCGCTGTCAGCGATGATCTCATACGTGCATGTTTTATGTTGTTATGGATCAGAGAGCCTCCCAGGACCCCTTCTGTGTGCAAAATGAATGTCTGGGGCCTACAGGCTTCGTGATAGGGTCAGGGTGGAGTAATCAAGAAATGATTGGCAACAACCTGCCTATCCTATATCACGCCCACGGTTCATGATGATGATGTCCCAACAAATTGTTGTGGGCATTGGGAATGTGCTGGATTGAATTCAAAAGTCCTTGGGGGGGGCACCTGCTCCTCACCCAATGGCGGTTAGTCTTGAAGGCCTCGGATTTGATAGATCTGGGCCGTCCACCCCGTGCTTGTAGCAAAGCTGTACCTTGATCCTGGTCGTAAAACGCAGTGCAGCTGCTCGCGTGGCCCCAGCGACAAGTAGCAAGTTTCCCGCCGACTGAACGAGGTCCTACACGACGGTGCAACGCTGCAACAGTTCGCTGGTCTGTGGCCGATCGAATCGGTCGTTTATCGATACAGGAGCCTCACGAGGATGCAATCGGAGCAACGTAACGGAATTTCGATCCTGACGATGCTTGGTGCTTGCTCATCAAAACCCGATAGGAAGGCTGCGTCAGCTTGTCGTAAATTTATAGTAATATATTAGTAAACTTCTCCGAGGAAAGCCCAGGAAGCCACAGCAGGGCACAGAACACAGCCCCAAATTTCCGCATGAAAGCGGCCTGCAGCCAAGATGTCGGGGAATGGGGAGCACCAGGATGACGGGGGAACGGAAGATCGTGAAACGCTACTGCGTAAAGAAAGGGAATTGGGATTGCCTGCACAGCAGATCTTTTCAATATTCTTTAATCAGTTGTATCAGGTGACGATCTTCGCAGTGTTTACGTCCAATTTGATCTTCTATGTTGTTCTGAGCACTACTATATATCTTTAGCCTCTCAGGTCTGCGTGCTGATGCACTGAACAGGGAATTCAGATCACCCTTGCTTACAACATTGGGGTGTTTGTTGTACGCCATTTCTGCCACGATGAGACGGAGGAGAGAATCGGGGAGCTGACTGGTATTCTGGTGCGCCTTCCCTGTATCCTCGAATTGAAACCAGTGCAGGCCCTGCACTGCATGGAGAGATGCCCAGGCCTCTACAACATGTCCACGGTGGTTGCAGGCCTCAGCGTTCAGTACTGCGCAACTATGCACGTCCTACTTTTGGGGAGTCATGACAGACAAGATCGGGCGCAAGCCAGTTGTACTGATCGCGGTGCGTGCTCCACTGTGCATGCCTTGCCCCGACTGTTGCTGACCTGCATGTACATATGTGCTTGTTCCTGACCATATTGAAGCCGCATGCAGAACTTTGTGATGGGCATCGCAACGGTGCTGCTTGGCCTGGCGCCCTCTTATTGGATGGCAGTTGCTGCGCGCTGTCTGGGTGGCCTCGCCAATGGCTCAGGAGTGTGAGTATCCAGCTTTCAAAGCCCTGAATGCCTGCTGTTGATCATGCGCATACTGCTGCACTTCCTTTCGGGGACCTGACCTGAACAAGTAATGAGTGTTCTGCAGGGCTATAAAGACGATGCTTGCTGAGAGTTGTTCCGCCGACACGCAAGCTCGCGGCATGGCATACCTCAATCTGGGGTGGGGGCTGGGCAACGTGTTGGGTGAGTGGCAGCTTGAAAGAACCTTATTGGGGGAAATTTGTACAAGACGGTTGCAACATCATCCACTGCATGCAGGATTGTCTGTCAGGTAGATATAATGTCGCTTGTGTCGCAGGGCCCATGATTGGCGGGTTCTTATCCCAGCCGTGTGACCAGTATCCCTACTTCCCCCTTTGCAACAACGGCACAGGTTTATTCGCGAGACAGTGAGTGCCCCAACCCTTCTTGGAGCACCTCATCAAGGTTAGATTTGAGACACATGGGCGTGACAGAAATCTTGTCATCGATACCGAGGTGTCTGTCATGCGCAGGCCCTTCCTGCCACCGTGCCTGGTAGTGGGCGCCCTGTCCTTCTTTGCATGCTTCAACAGCGCATGCATGATGGTTGAAACGCATCCCAAGTACCGCAAGGCTCCGCTGGGGGCCAGCGCTTCCCAGAGCAAGTTGGTCGTTCAACAAGAAGGGGCTGCGCTTGATTTGCCTGCAGTCCCTGAGAGTCCCGGCATTGCAATCCCCGGCCGGCATTCAGAAGGTGCGTGGTATTTTCAAAATCAATAGACTTTGCTGTCATGTTGTGCTCATGCATTGGACGTGATTCTGCCATCTCACATTACTCTATAAAGCATTGATCACCATGGAGGGGTTAGACTCCAAGCCGCCCTTTATGGAGGTCTCCGTGATTCATCAATCGTCTGGGGAATGCAGCCGAGCCTTGTGTTGGAAAGCAAGCCTTGCTAATGCGATACAGCGGCACCAATTTTGCATCTACTGGAGTCTTTGGCTCGTGAAGATGAGTTGTATTGTTGCAGGTGCGCACAGCAGCGACACAGCGGAGGGGAGTCAGCTGCTGGCGAGCGTAGGCCGCTCACTGTCGGGGACGTCGGCGGAAACGCGGCAGCTGCTGCGGCGGCTATCCGCGCGCGTGGGCACGCGGCTGCTGCACGGCTACCGCTCCCTCTCCATGGGCAGTGACGACGTCGAACGCCACGAGTACGGTGCGCCCGCCATTTTCACCCTTCTCCACCTACCACCCTTGCTCATGGTTCGGAGAACGACGAGACTGCACTCGCGGAGGGAGTGGAGGAGCAGTCATGCAATGTCTTACAGACGGCGTGATGCTACTTTTTGCACCTGCAGGCATGGTAAGACGCATGTGTTGAAGGGGACCAGAATCTCCTCCATGTTTTGCTGAGCTGTGCTGTGGCTGGGTAAGCAGTGCTGGAGATGACTCCCGGCCATGAAGCGGATCGCAGCAACCGAGGAGAAACTGCCAGCGGCTGGGAGCACCGCCAGAGCCTCACTCAGGGGCCTGAGGTCCAAACAGGTGTTTATAGCACCACACCACAGCGAAACGCCTCCAGGCTGTCCCATGACTCATCGCTGTCTGGATCTACAGCGGCAACGCCGAGGCACCCCCAGCACAGTGACACCGAGCTGACCGATGCGCGCGTCTTCGTCTTCCATCCCAGCGATGCTGCCAGCTTGGAAGACACACCCCATGCGTCTGCAAGCCCTGAGCAGGTTTCCTTCCGCGCATGCATTGTGACTCTGTTGGGGAGGTTGTATCATTGAGGTCCTTGGAGCCAATTCGGCTGTGCAGCATGCCATATCCTTGATGTTTGGCGGAAAATGCCTGACTACCTTTCTTTTGCAGGTGGATGCTACATTGAACGAGAGATCGGCCATCAATCTAGATGCAGGAGATGAGGATGAGAGAGTCCCTCTCATGCAGCAGGCTGCGGCCACGTCTCATGTCAAGGTAGGCAGACATCACTAACAGCAACAGTGCATCAATGGCACAGCTTGTCTCACACCATCTTGGTAATATTCACAGGATGACACAAATGTCTGCATGGTGTCTTGTGCAGGCAAGCACAGCTGAGGCCAGGAGTGGGGATGACTACGACGACCAGAGCTCCTTCCAGCCGTGGTACAAATCCAGGAAGATGCTGCTGGTGCTGGGCGCTTATGGCTCCATTGCATTCCTCATGAACTTCCTGGAGGAACTCACACCCATCTTCGCGTCGGCTCCCTATGACAAGGTACATTGCGGCACTTCTACAACCTGCACAGCGGCCTTCGTTCCTGCAAAACTTCCAAGTTCCACTCCTATTGAAAATTTTATATTGGCATCACTCTTGTGCGATGGATGCTCACTGTCTCTGCTGGTTGCTGTGTCCAGGGTGGGCTGAACTTCACGCCTGATCAGGTCGCTCTGCCAGTGAGCTTTGCTGGCCTGGCCCTGGTCATATTTGCACTGCTGTGCTACCAGCGCATACAGCGCCGTGTGGGCTGTCTGGCCTGCGCCAAGATAGGCCTCGCAGTCGCCACACTTGTCGTCATGCTCATCCCCATGCCCTCACTCCTGGTGCCACGGTGCGCACCCGACCTGTGCACCTAATTCAGCATTGCTAGGTCGTGTTGTCTTTCTGCGTGCGTGTTCATTGATTGAGTGTGCGAGAGGTGGAAGAGAGTGTTTTGGATGTGTGCATGCAGGTATGCGGCGATACAGAGCCTTCTGATACCCATATTCGGGCTGAAGGCCATGTGCTCCATCATGTGCATGACGTCCAGGTGTGCCTTATAACTCTGTATATGACAAACAGCAGCGCGTGCCTTCTCCCACTTCTTCAGTGTGTTTGCATGATCACATTACTAATATCAGCAGGCATAAGCCCATAGCAAGCATGTTCCATGGGACTGAAGGAGCATGTGTCTTGCCTGCAGCATGATTCTGGTGAATTTGACAGCCCCGATAGAGCAGATCGGCCCAGTGAACGGCGCCGGCAACACTCTGGCTGTTGGAATGAGGGCGCTAGGTCCGGCGCTGTCCGGCCAGCTGTGGGCGCTGTCTTTGAGGACGGGCATGAATGGCAACCAGTTCCTGGCCTTCGGTGTTGTCGCCAGCGCCTTCCTTGCTACTCGCATCCTCTTCGGCTTCATGAATCCGGGCTCGTAGTAAAAGCCCGCGCACTGCGGGAATGCGCAGTGCGTAGAAATGCAGTGCAGTTGCTCTGCATCCATGCCCCGGGACTTGCACTCACTGTGCAGGTTTTGTGGGACGCTTGAAGCGAATGGATGTTGTAGTACAGTGAGGTTATTCTGCAGCACAACCTTCCATGATAGCACCTTTGGATTGTGTACATATTCAGGCCTTGCCAGATCTCCAGACAGCATGGCAGGTTGCTCCACACAGGTCAAGGCCCGTGGTTACTAGTAGTTGTCAAGACGTGTACTTTCTCACTCAGACACTTGCCAATATTTGATGCATGATATCTGTAGATGCAGTGTCAGTAGCTCTCTGGTGATGTCAACAGTTTCTGCATGGGTCAATTCACCCATTGCAGTCTTTCTCTGGAATTTGGTCTGTCCATAGGGAATTGATTGGCACAAATCTGAGGAGTGGTGATATTCACCTGGATTGCCAGGGTCAAACGCCCCCATGACCGGATTTTGTGCCACCTTTCCTTGCTCTGTGAGTTCTCTGCATGGGCCACATCTGCGCCTCTGGTACCATTGCAGAGAATTTTTGCGAGCTATTTGTTAGCTAGTGTATCATAACCTCTATGTTGGAGGCAGTATCACTTACAAAGGCACTTAGCACAAGCGCTCCAGGAGAGCCAGTCTAGACTAGTCAGTATAATTCCTCATTGACTGTAGCTATATAGCATGACACGATGAGTCTTGAAGGGTGGATGTACGAGCCAATTCAGTGCTTGGTGCATTTACCTTGTCTGGGGAATGCATGATTGATTGTCCTCTCAAAAGGTGGTGTATATAGAGTGTGCAATCAGAATTCGTGTATCTGATGAATACGAGTTTGCCAGGATGCGACCGATATTCTTTAAATGCACCGCCCTAGCTAGTGTACTCTTCACGGAAGACGCATCAGTGAGCACTCTAGAGCCACTCAGCGTGGACACCTTGAGTGACAGGATTACAATGAGATCTGTGCAGCTCTGGTATGCTGTACCTAGGCCCAGTCACTTATACGACAGGGAATTTTATAAGTAAAGTATGCATAAGCTTCATCAAATACGAGCGCCTTGTTCATACAGGGGGGCTGTCAACTTGCACATGCATGCATTGCATACAGGACTTGCCAGCAACCTGGCCTCCAATGCTATCTAGATGTCCAGAGCAAACCGAACAAAATGGGGACAGTAATTTAGATGCTGCTGCCAACTTCCTTGAATGATTCGCCAAGAAGACCATCACATTCGAGTAGCTCTAAAGATCTGCTGGAGCATGCACCATGTTCATGCAGTTTACTATGCACACAAGGCAGGTGGCAACCAGCGCTGCAATTTGCATCAGGTTTGCTAATGTCTAAAAGGAGCCTCAGTCTGCCCAGCACATTTGAGATGTGAACGCTCGTAAAGAATCTTGATGTGATGTCTACAGGTACAGTCTACAGCTACAGATGCATGCCAGCGCTTTACTGCCGTGTCCTATGATGACTTTGCAACGCTCATTATTTGCGCCCGCATGGGGTGTTTGAGAGATCATTGGCGAGGCACAAGGCCGCCCTTGGCAAGGCGCACATTGGAGGACCCATACAGGCGGCCCAATTCCTTGATGGCCACCTCCTCTGTTTGAATGGCTCGGATGGGCTGTGGAGGAAGCTTGTCCTGCACCACATGCATCATTCGTTCAGTCACTGGGTCAACAAAAAGATGTACAGCTTGGCCATTCTTTCTGCAGCGCGCATTGTGCCATTTAAACCCTTTGCTCTGCCTTCAATCATGCAGAATTGCTCTGAGAGCACTCTTTTCTGCTGCATTTCTACCGCAAGCATAGCAAGGGGACAGGGCTGACCTGCACAAACCACTTGGAAGGCTGCTGGCCCGGGCTGTAGCCATGCGCGCGCCGCGAAGTGGGTGACGTGCCGGCCGGGAAGGACGCCCCTGGAGACGTGCCAGTCGCTGCAGTGACTGCTGACGACTGCATGGCCCTGCACAATCCACACACTGACATCTTTAGCAGGCGCTCAACAGGTTCAGTCATGCGCACAAGCCCTGGCCTGCAGGCAAGGTATGATGAGCCTCCAAGCGTGTTGGAGGGAGTGCAGGAAGGAGACAAAGGTCAAATGTGCCCCCTGTGAATCAGAGCAAAAGAGCGAGAGGAAGAGCACCCATGGGAGGCAGAGGTGCGGACTCTTGTGATAGACCAGAAACTGCTCAAACATGCCGAGGAATGGCGAGAAAACGAGGAGGGCCAGCGCACCAGGAGGACATGGCGAGGGGGCCCCCTCGGGAGACTGGCGAGGCTCCAGCGGTGCCCCAGCTGCGGCTCATGCTCTCGCGCAGCTGCGCCTGCTCCTCCTGCAAAAACCCATGGCCCCACCACCTCAGCCCAAAGCCATGCAACGCCTTATCTCTTCTCTGAAACGTTCCGTTCACAAGCTGCATGCGTGTACCATGGCAAAATGCACATCCAGCTTACTTCTGCCACTGTTGCCTGAGATAAAAAAAACCTGTCGCCTGAGGGAGTGGGGATGGAGGGACAAGGGCCCTTGGACCAGTAAATCCGCTGCAGCAGGACACTTGCAGCAGGACAATTGAGCAGCTATTCAACTATCATGTTCATGAAGTGGCAGCAACAGGGCCGCACCTGGATGCTGCGCAGGCTGGGGTGCATGCCGCTGGGGGGCGGGCTGGCACCTCTGGCGCCCTCTGCGCCCCAGGCCGGCCCGGCCGGCTTCTTGGGGTCGGCCGGCGCGTGGACGCTGCCGGCCATGTCGATGGGCGCCGACTTCTTCAGCAAATGCGCCAGCGGAATGCGCAGGCCGCCCGCCGCCTCAGCTGCCGCCTCCGTCTGCGCCGCGTCCTCGGTAGCAGCTCCCGCATTGAGGGTGGACGCACGGCTGCGCGCATGCAGGCCCTGTATCCATGGGAGCAAGTTGTGTTCTGAGGACGAGCAGTCAGAACGGACATCCATGATGGCCTTGAATTTTATGAAATTGACAGCGCAAGGGACCACGATTGTCAGATTGCATGCCGGTATGAATGAGCATCCTTCATCTCCTTCAAGCGGTTGTACATTAGCGGTTCTACATGCGAAGTGGATGCAAACAAGACAACCAAGAGCAAGCCGCAGCAAGCAGGCAATTGGAAATTTGATGAGCGAGAAGCTTCAGAGGGCGACACCTGGCTACCGGCCGCTGCTTCCTGGCTCAAAATATCGCGCAGCGAGGTGGGAGCGGAAGGGGCTGCGGAGGCCAGGCGCCACCGTGCTTGCTCACCGCCAATCACTGTGCTCCTCGCGGCTGCCACATCTGGCTGCTCTAATGCACCTGTCAATTTACCAACACACTCAATCAGGGCCTGCCTTTCTTGTCAGCCGTCAGACACGATACAAAGACAGACAAAGCATGCAATGTGGTGACTTTGGCCAGCGTGCGCACCTGAGAGGAACATGGAGAGGCCGCCCCTGCGCTGCTTGCCGGGTTTCTTGCCGGCAGAGCCCTGCTTGGCAAGCGTGGCGCCCGCATCGCCGCCTGCCGCCGTATTTGCCCAAGAAGACCCCGCCATGGCTGACTGTGCATCGGCCCCCCAGCCCTGCACACCCAATGCCGCATGTCATTCCCCACTTTTCACGTCCATTGCCAGAGGACAGAATTACAATATGGTACGCAATCCAACAATCTCAGGCCTTTTGTGGCAACCGGTCAGATACGTTTCCACCCTTGCAGAAGTCCTGAATTCCCATACTCCTCATTAGGACACATTGGCTAAATACAAACGCTTCTCATAATGCTGAGATGACCCTGGCCTGCACCTGAGTGGCTGCTGGGGAGGCGAGGAAGCCGTGCTGCTGGCGACCTGGGGTGGCGGCCACTGGGCAATCGTTGGGCTGCCGGGGCGGGCTGAGCAGGGGAGACGGCTGCAGGGTGGCTCCGTCGAGCGCAGCCGCCATAGGAGATGCGCCGGATGGCGCGCTGCCGGCATCGGCCAGCCTGGTCTGGAAGCTGGACACCTGTCCTGACAGCGGCTCATCTGCCCGCATGCTCGCTGGTGCTGAAGTGTTGGAACTGGCCGTGGATGGCGTGGCAGACTCCCCCTGTACCAGCCAGAATGCAAAGTTCATTCACGACACCGGCTGTACCACGCCAACACCTGCATTGTGGTGTGCATGCTGCATTGTCAGGCCACGCTGCATGGTTCATCAAGGTGCGTAGGTTACAAGAGCCATGGTTGACAGTCTTGAAGAGTATGGGAATGATTGGCAGAGGGGTGAGTGGGATGGTACCCTGGGGCGCCGGCGCCGGTTGGCGGAAGCGTGGCGGCTGCCGGGCGCAGAAGAAGGCGTCTGCTCATCGTAGCCGCGGACGGTGCTGGGCTTGGGTGCCTTGGGCGTGCCCACACTGCTGTCCCAGCTGGTGCCCAACAGCTCCTCCTGAGAGTTGCCTGCACATGCAGGATCCCACCTCACCACCCCTTTGCCCCACCCTTCGCTTCATGACACCCTACTGCAGTCCCCAGGGCTCCTAAAAATCCCCTCAAGCTGAGTGCAGCGACAATGTTTTCCATTGGCAGCGAGGAGAAGCTTGCATCTAGCTGGCATTCCCAGGTCCTGTGGTGCACTTTTTATTGCTCCTCCAGCTCAGGTACCATATGCACCCTATCTTACACACATCTTGATGACAACAAATTCGTCAGGGTGTCGTGCGCACCATCCTTGGCGGCAGCCAGCAGGGCCTGCACTTCGCCGAGGGGGGCGCCGCCCTCCAGCAGGCCCAGCGCAGCCTCCAGCAGCGGCCTCGCCGCCACCTTGGAGCGCTGCTGGGGGTCCAGCGGGGTCGCCCGCGCCTCTAGCGCCTCTATCTGCTGCACCTTCTTCTTCAGGATGCGCACCTGCGCGCACAGCATATGCAGCACTTCAGTGCGCTGGCGCTGAATTTGAGAGCAGCAAACCCATCTAGTTGACAGGGAGGTGCAGAGCTGAGATACTAGAAAGTTGATTCAGCGCGTTTGCTCACCTGTCTTGACACCGCCGCTTCTTCTGACGACTCCATGTGGTTTCTGAAGCTCCTTTCCCCAGGTGGCTGCGGGATGATGCCCTGTGTTGCTGGCACCTGATTTGCTTGCCCTGCGAACAAGCCATGAGAGCCCCTCAAGATCTTTCAGACACATAAGCATGCAACAAGCAGCTCCCTATCACCACCAGGTGTGCAAGGACGAGAAATTCAGGTATTTGTACTGACCTTGCAGGGGCGGCGCAGCAGTGGCTCGTAAAGTCCGCGAGCGTTGAACGTCCTCCAGCTGTGCCAGCAAGTGCTGCGGCAGAGACTCAAATGCGCCCTGTGCCTCCAGCAGCACCGCATCCAGGTTGGCCAGCGCCACCTTTGACCACCAATTTCCTCACATCAGCACGCTGTAGCCATTCTTGATGACTATTGACCTGCAGCATTTGTATATGAGATGGAGTAAACCAAAAGATGTTCAAGGGGATTGGGGCTGACCGCCAGGCAGTGCTGTCTGAGCAGCTCGGCGCCCGCCGCGTCCGCAAACTGCAGCAGGGCGAGGGCTGAGCGCGGCTCTACCATGTGGCGTGCCACCGTGCGCTCGCACAGCCGCTGCAGGCTTGCCGGCCCGCCCGCCTGCCTCACCGCACTGCCCGGCCTGCATCCCCGACAACATTCATCATCATCCACACCTTTGTCATCATAAAAGCCCAACACAATATTGCAGAAGATAACATGCGCGCTGCTAATTATAACAATCAACACACCCTCCAGCTAGAGGAGGTTGGAAGGCTGTCCAAGATACGCTGCTGCAACGCACCTCATCCTCATGCATTGGGAAGGCAAGGAATACTCAGTATAACACTTACACATCACCCCAGGCTTGGGCAGTCCACATACATTGATGCCCACCTGCTGGAGGGGCTCTGCAGGACTTCCAGGGAGCGCCAGTAGGCGGCAGTCTCAGCATCCTCCGCAGCGTGCGCGATCTGCTCGCTGACCAGCTCCATTTCTTCCAGCGGCCCGGGCAGGCCCTCCGAGTCCACGGCGCTGGCCGCGCGGTCCAGGAGGCCACTAAGCGCGGAAGAAAGGGCTCCGCTGGGGGCCGAGCGCATGCGCAGGGCCAGCGGCGTCGCGCACCACGACTGCAGCGCCAGCGAGTGCTTCTCGCCGACCGCTGCGTGCGTCACCCTCTTCACGCCCTCCACCCTGGACAGCGCACACTCTAACCCGTCAACAATGTGCGACTCATGCTCCTTCCAAGTTTATGGACGGGAGAATGCAAATCAGGTCCAGCATAATCTAAAGAAGGCCATGAAAGGCAGGGAAGCTTTACCCAGGGAACGCTAAAGTGTTGGCACCTTGCAGGTAGGATGACTTGGTGGACAAGTGCGAGGGCACGCTCGCTCTTGCGGCCGCGGCGGGCGGCCGCAGCGTCCTGGCCGGCCTCGTCGGCGACGGTGGACGACGGCGCGCGCGGCGGCCGCTTCCCGGTAACGCCCCCAGAGACAGCGCTGCCCTGCTCGGGGCGGCCCATGGCCTGCGCCACGCGCTCGCCAGTGACGCCGCGGCCGGCGCTCAGCTCTGCGGGCTTGGACCAGCCCTCCCACATGTACACATCGCCCTCGTCCGTCACCGTCGCCGTGCGATACTTGCCTGCGATAGCATGTATCTTTTAACATGTTTTTGTCTCTCCTCCAATCGGTTCTGGTCCTCAACACAACTCATCCTCACATAATGCGCTGGGGGCAGCTGACTCTGCGACAGTGCCTGGACACAGACATGAGAAGCCAAAGGAAAAGCGGCTGGGATGCGGGGATGATACGCGGGATGACGCCGCACCTGCCGCGATGTGGACAACGCGCTTGCCGGCCAGGTCGCCCCCAACCTCCTGGACGTGCAGGCGCGGGTCGGCGCTCCGCCACGCCAGCACTGCACCAGACTGGTCCAAACAAGCAGAGTGTGCAGCGCCTGCAATTCACACCACAGGACCACTTGGGGATCTGTGGGTGCTTGAATGCTCCCCTGAGATGGCTGTTCTGGATCTAGACATATAAAGGAATCACACCCGCGGCAGGCCAGGGAGCTCACCGGCACACACAGCCACAGCATGAGGTCTGGCGACCTGGCTTTGGCCCCTGTGGAAGACTACCTCCCAGCCGCCTGCAGAAGCGCCACTCGCATTGGCTGCCCTAGCCACATCGCGTGCACCTGTGAGGGGCGCAAGCTTCAGATCGATGCTGCTGTAACCTTCAAAGGTGTACTGGATGATGGCGCATGGAATGTAACTAAAGGAATGGGCAGGGGTGCCCCACCTGCAAGCTGCACTCGCTTGGGAGTGACCACACGGTGGCCCCAAGTGTACACATCGCCCTCCACAGTCAGAACAACCGTGTGGCGCTTGGCCGCTGCCACCGCCGTGATGGTCTTCCCCTGCACGTAGCAGCAACAGTGTATGTGAGCGCATGAACCGTAATATTACTTAAAATATGCGTGCATCTCGCCAACTGTGGATGTGCAGAGAGACGTGGAGTGCAGGCATTTGTGGGCGGACCACCATGGCCTCCACGATGCGCGGCACCGCATTGGAGGCGGAATCGGAGGTGCCATAGCCCAACTGCCCCTGCAGGTTGCTGCCCCAGCTGTACACGGTGCCGCCCTCTGCCAGCACAACCGTGTGCCGGTTTGCCGCCGCCACCGCCATCACCCGCTGCCGCATGCTCGTCACACTGCGCACATTGACCAGTGCAGTATCAGAGACTTGAACATTGAATATAGTCTTGACAGTAGCATGGTATGAAGAGCAATTTGGAGCATCATCAACGGTTCTCATGCCCAGTGCGCAGCAGATGCTCACCGTCTGGGGGTGGGCTGCGAGTCGACAGCGGTGTAGCCGAGGCGGCCGTCGCGGTTGGAGCCCCAGGTGAAGAGCTCGCCCGCACGAGTCACCGCCACTGTGTGATGCTTGCCTGTCGCCACTGCCGCCACTGTGCGGCGCCCCGGCAATGCCACCAGACGCGGCAGAATCACCGCACTCTCCCCGCTGTGAATGTGAAACTCCGGATGGCCTGTAACGACACCACCCACAGAAATTTGAGACAAGTCCTGAAGTGACGTGCTTTGTCGGCTGAGCACAACAAGCAGGCTTGGGACATTCGCAACAAGACGAATGTCTGCAAGAAAGGAAGAATGCCCTCTGAAATACACACGTAATTGGCGAATGTAAGAGGGAGCGCACCCAGGCGGCCACCTCGGCCAAAGCCCCAGGTGTACAGAGAGCCGTCCTTGGCGACTGCTGCGCTGTGGAACTTGGCTGCTGCCAGGGCAACGATGGGTGTCCCATGCAGGCTGTCCAGTCGGTTGGGAGTGAGCTGCAACCCCTCCGCCTCTGTGCCCAGCTGATAGTTCGCCCCATTGCCCCAGCTGTACACCTCGCTCGCCGTCCCACTCAGGAGGTACGCCTTCAGCGAAGCTGACAGCAAGTCCAACGGTATGCGCCCCTGCCAGACAGAGTTTCACAGCCTCAGCACTTATGCGCATTGCATCACCTGCATCACCTGACATGACATACCCACAGTCCCGAGCAAGGCTGCCAAGGGCGAGCGGAACAACACCTTGAAGTCCTGGATAGACAGCTGCGCTCCAGCGTCCAGTAGGAGAGCAGCTGCAGACAGATGGCCAAGGTAGAGAGCGCGGTGCAGGCTGGTCCTACGCAAGGGAACCAACACCAAGGTCATGTCAGGATATGCATTGCAAAAATGCAGTCATGAAAAGATTCTGTGCTACGAGGTGCCCCTCCTGCACTGTGCAATATGCTCCACATCATTGGAATGTGCTGCTGGGAGACGCTGATGGCCCCTCTTAGGGAATATTCAGAGGAGGGATTAGGATGTTGACAACAGCATCAGATGAAACGAGGTCCGCACCAGCCAGATTCCGTATCTTGAATGTCCGGACAAGCATTTGCCGCTAGCAGCCTCTCAATAATCCTCAGGTCGTTTCTCCAGATCTGCGTAGGGCAAAAAAGATGTCAAGAACCGGACTGGTAGTACCTGGTTTGGCATGACTAAAGATACACCAGTAAACTACAACAAATTACGTCCCATAACATAAAATGTACTGTCGTCGCGAATTGGGCACGGTTGCGCGAAGGGCAAAGTTCCCTGAAGTCAAACGAAGGTATCGGAACCTGAGGTCAATATGACTTTCCACTTGATTTAGAGGGAGTAGCACGCACCGCAATGTGCAGGCCAATGCTCTCCCCTTTGACGCACCTGATAAAGTGTACCATACAGGGCCTGAGTGCTCGAGTGAATTCAAGGAGCAAATGCCGCGTGAATTGAGAAGATAACAGGTGCTGAATATGAAATTATGCACGAACATAATGCAGTACGCTTGTCAAATTCCAATGGAGGCTGTTTGCTTCTACAGTGTCACTAGCAAGGCTGGTAGGAACTGCAGGTAAGGAGCAAACGCACCCGTTCACGTCGTTCCCAGACTGCAGAGCTGCTTCCACTGCAGCTAGGGAACCACACCTCGCCGCAACTGCAACTGACATTTTGGCTCAGCCTTTCCTGTTCTTTTCAGCCTCTCAAGCTGGGTGGGAGCATACGCTCCGCTGTGTAATCACACATTCTTGGAAGGGAACTGGCTCCAGCGCAGGGTATCAAGCCCTTACGCTGGAAGTACGCAGCTCCTAGATAACGGAAACGTTTTTGGCAAAATTCTGCTTGGAAATGCCGTTGATTTCCAGCATGGATTCCTGTGCCAACAATACATTGTGTGGTGACGCAGATCTGACATGGCAAGATACGCTCTAACCACCTTCACCTCCCTCCAGTCTTTCGCTTTTCTCATCGTCGAGAAGTAATTTGTTGTCACGAGTTGAAGCGTTTTGAAGATCTAGTTTACACATTGTCTTTCATAAGTTGTCAGGTCGGCTGGCGTGACGAGAGTAATTCATCCTAACACATCCCTAGGCAGAGAGATTTTGCTCGAGCTGGAATCTTCGGACAACAGATCACGTCTGCTTACATACCCAAAGACTATATTCCGGTTCTCTTTACTCGTACGTAGGGGATCGCCCATTCGGCGTCAGAACCTATGAGTTTCCAGGTGTGATTTGTTTCTCGCTGGAAAATCGATCTTGCTCATGCTCATCTGCAAGACCTGCACCTGTTTGTATCAATATTCTCTGAGGCGAGATCTTTGCAGGACATTGCACAAAGTGGCAGCACAAGGGAGCTCCGTCAATATGGGGGTGCACCAGAATCCCAGGCTGACAAGGTAAGGCATTATGAGGCATACGCATTCGTGCATGACTTAAATTTGCTCCTTTTTGCAGTGCAGTGTGCCAGTACTTTGGATTGCGGTGGCAAGCCAAGGTCAGATTGTCCATCGTGTAGGAGCTGTCAAGGTGTCTGAAACTGTGGATTTGTGCTGCTCTCAGGCCAATAAGGACCTGATAGCCAGGGTGTTCAGGCTCCAGACAGAAGTGTCACGGCTGCGCTCTGATGTCAACAAGCTGGGAGGCCCTCGGGATACAGTAGATCTCCGTCACAAGGTGGGTATACCTAAAAGCCCTCTGCAAATTATCCAGCATGCTGGAACCTGGAGACGTACTATTTTTGGCGCAGCCAATCCTGTGTTGCACTGACTGCCTCTGCATGCCAGCAGGTGGGCTCTACAACAGTGAGGCTGCAGGAAGATGCCAAGTCAATTAAGGAGGCGCTCACCGTTGCGCACTCTGAACACAAGAGCAGGCAGACTACGAAGATCCTCAGCGATTTCGAGGTGAGGCAGGGGTAGATTTATGGGACGGACACATTCCTCTATAAATTGAAATGCAAGCTTGTATGATTGCGATCCTGCATCGTCCTGATTTGTCTTATATGTAGTAATGTATGTTGGTGCAGGCGACGCTGAAAGACTTCCAAGCGACCATGAAGGCTGCCAAAGCCAAGGAAGCAGCCAGCCTCCCAAGACGGCCGGAGCCTGCCCGAAGTGCTCTCCCACAGGATTTGGAGCAGGGTGGGGCGCCGCAGGAAGCAGAGCGCACCGCCCTCTTACAGGCAAGCTGGCACCTCAGGCATAAACAACACTCCAACTGCCAAAGATTGGCTGCTTGGTGCTGGTTTTGCAGAAAAATTGCACTGCACCACAGACAGGGAATGTCTTGTTGCTTGCGCAGGAGCAGAAGCGGCTTGAACTTGGGGAGATGGACACTCAAATCCAGTACAACGAAGCCCTCATAGACGAGAGGGACCAGGGCATCGCAGAGATCTCGCAGCAGATTGGGGAGGTCAATGAGATTTTCCAAGTGAGAAGCTCGTTTCTGTCTCTGAACCGCTTCCCTAATTCTAATGGACGCTGTTACTCGTTCTCTCTGCTTTATCACAGTGGCTCGGGGATAGAGAGAAGACTGAAAGTGCGTGCCTGCTGTGCGCAGGATCTGGCTGTGCTTGTGAATGACCAGGGTCTCATGCTGGATGACATCGAGTCCAACATCGAGCGCACTGCAGACCGCACGCGCGCAGCTGGCTCGGAGCTTGTTCGCGCAGAACGCTATCAGCGTTCCTCCCGCAACAAGATGTGTTTGATTCTGCTCATCGTCGCCTTTGTCCTTGCAGTTATCGTCTTGGTCACAACCCTGTAGAGCCTCTCTCAAAACATGTTCATGATCCCGGATCAGGGCGTCCTGTGCATCGGCCTGTCACAGTGAATGGAGTCAGTCCATGTCTGCCAGTGGTGGTATCTGTATTGTGGATTTGTCTTGGTGACAGTCGTGGGTGATATTTAGTTTGTCTTTCTGCCTGCTGTTCTTTGACTGAGGCCTGGAGTCCTGCAACTTACCTGTCATGATGCGAACCAGTGGGCGGATGCAGCTACTGATGAGTATTCATGAATAGCAGTCAAAGTTTCTTTCCAGCACTGGATTCTGTGTTTTGCCATACTTTGCATGCCAGCTTGTACTACATTGTGAAGGAGCAAAAGAGGAGGCATTGCAAAGACTCACAATGCGATGCACTTTCTGCTAGTAGCTGGAGTCCATCGATCTTTACCACCTAGTGTTCATTGGCATGTTACAGCTTGCGGCTCATTGCATATCTTCATGCGGATAAATGCGCGCGTCCCTAATCAGGAGAACAACCTGTCCCCATCAAGGCAAGGCAGGCGCTATTACTGAGTACATCACTGCTGTGATCACAAGCGCAAGTTCCAACACCTCCCAACTGCTTTCTCAGCTCAACAAAGATTGCTGCTGGTTATGCTGCATCCTGACTCCGTCCCAAAATTACCGGTACTGCATTGGCCACAAACAATATCAGTATGATGCAAAGCTACAGTTTTGTGAAGGGCAAGCTGCATTGGAGTCAGTGCAAGAGCAAGTACTGTGTGCACCATACATACCTTGATGAAGCCGATGTCCTTGGCGTACTCGCGGAAGCACTGGCGGCAGACATTCAAGCCGTACTTGCGGATCAGGCCCCACTGGTTGGAGCATACACGGCTGCAAAAAGAGCACAATCACAGTCAGGTTCCATCCTTCACAGCAGACATGTACGTTTCGATCATTGCCAACCTCAGATTTGTAGCTGCCTTTCAGTGCAAAACGGCAAGACTAGACTAATTCTATCATGCTAGCAGAACTGCAAACTGGAGCAGAAACATTATGAGAACAGTCCTTACCACTTACGGCCGCCCTTGCTGTGAGTCTTGTTGTGGGAGTCCCACACGTCCTGATGGCCCATCGCGATCGATTTGTTGCACTTTTACCACAGGGCAGAGGTACCCTGCGAGGACAATTGTGAAAATGTGAGTCACAAATTTTTATACTTTGGCTCTTAATTGTACTGGCACAGGTCGAGGTGCAGATACAACAACACTGATCGTAGACATATGCTGCTGCATACCTTCAAGTGCGAAGGATTGAGAGCAGAGAGCTTCTTTAAAACAGAAATGGGAATGTGCTGCAGGACGCCGCCGCTTGCACTCGCCAGCGGGGTGGATTCCTGGGTTCGCCTACCCAAGAGGTTTGACAGATCGAAGCGCCGTCGAACGGATCGATGATGAATACATCGGAATCGCCTTCCAGCAACAGCACGAGATTCCTGTTCGGCCAGATACAGCTGTTCCTGGGTTGATCTGCAGATCTCAATTGGTGACCTTCAGCAGCTTTCTTACGACAGCTAGTGTCTCATCCTGTGCCAGGGCAGCCTTGGAGTGGGAGAGCGACCCTGTGGAGTGCTGAGGGGTTTCATTTCATCTGTAGAGGATGCCTGCGACCAACGAAGCTGAGATGATCCTCCCCAAGGAGCCTGTCTCTGGGAAAGATGCTCCTGTTGTGCTGAGTCACACGGCAGGGCCCAAGCTCGCAGACATAAAGAAGGTAGACCTGGAAGACAGCCCAAGCCTGAAGAGGAAGGATGGGGGCACGTCTAGCAGCCACAGGTTCAAGGTGGTGTCGCAGCTCGTGATTGCAATGAGGAGATTCCAAGGTGCGCGTGCTGTCACTCCGTGGGGGATCAGTGACTAAAGAACAAAAACGTGACACCCTCTTCATGCATTCACGTCTGACCCTACTGTTTGTGTACATGGACCTTCTATTAAGATTCGGATTGACATGCATAGCCTGAGAACCTGCATCTGGATCTCAAATTGGGAAGAACTTGTGCCAGGGTCTAGCCTGCAGGACATCCCTTTGTGCAGTGTTCCCATAATTCAAGCTGATTGACAAATTGATGCCCATACCTGTGCTGTGCAGCCTCCCTGAACCCCACGTACACATATGGAAAGCGGCCTGCATCCAGCAACAGCTCTGGTGGCGCTGTGGCTGCCAGCTTCAAGAAGTCTCCTGAACACACGCAGGTGCGCATGCGGCTGGCTATTTGTTGTTTGCCCTTCCTCCATTGTAATTTGTGAAGTTCTCTGTTGGATCTTGTGTGTATGAAGTACCTTGGCTGCTGGTGCTCCTGCCTGTCACTGACCGTGTTTGCACGTGCAGGAGGTGACTTCGGGATCCTTCGCGCGGCAATTCTCGCGGCCGGGCGAGCCGGGGGCGCCAAAGGTGGCTCGCAACCACAACTTCCACGGCAACAAGACAAGCTTTGTCTTCCGGGCGCTGCCGCCACACCCGGACGAGGACCCAGAGCATGCCTCGCTGCAGCACCTGCCCAGCGGCAAGAGTGTCGCCAATGGCACCTCCTGAACCTCGTGACTCTGTTTAGACACCCAATGGCCAAGGCAGCAGTGGCTCTCCAGGGCTGCGAGAGTATGCATGTGTGCTTCCATGTGATTTTGAGTGGGTCAGTGGAATGATCCCAGATGGCTTGTGAAAGGTGTACTCTTGGGAAGCCTGGTAGCAATTCTTGGAAGGTAATGGGTGATTCGCACAGCCAAGACACCTGCTCAAGAGGAGCACAGCAGTTGTTGACATCAGCATCCCACTTGACTAAAAGCCCTGTACGTCAGAATGCAGTATCAGTATAAGGAATTGTCATCTGATGAAGTACGATGAAAATGTCTGTTATCTAAAATATAACACTGTCTTGCAATGAATGTTGTGTTTTGTAGTTGCAGCAAAGCTATTTTTTGTACTCCTTGCTTGCTGGAAGTAATGTCTTGAAGTGTGTTTTTCATATAGTCTCATTTGGTACCATGTATTTTACAATAATGTTTGTTCGGCTTTTGAAGCCTGGCTGTGTCTGGAACACATTTATCAGTATCGTGACCATTTAATCTTGTCTACAAGAATGTTCTCTTGTCTCTGATGAATCCTAGCACGTGCACGCTTGCACGTCATGTTTATATGAGTTATCAACTTTGGTCGACCTTCATTGAGGCTGATACACACCCCGACTGCAGTTGTCTTCCAACTGCAAGCATGCAAGCCACATAGTCAAGGCGCAGCCTCTAGCGGGTGAAACAAAGAAAGGGCCCACAGTGGTGACCTGCATACATGTACATGGCAGCCCATCTGCCACTTATGACGCCGGCCTGCTGCAAGGGCAGCATGCAGAGGTAAAATTTTACATCCATCCCTAACTTGAAGTCAGCACAGCGGAGGTCGAGGCGGCGCGCTACTCTTCCGAATGAGTCATAGATGGCAGCGCTAGCGGTGTGCACGGCCAAGCCCAGCCGCCGCCGCCGGTCGGCCGTTGTCCACGGATGTTGAAATGTAACAGTTGGACTGGGAACCCCACCCACCAGTGAAAGCAAGGGGAGGTCAAGGAGGAGGAACCTCCTTCCCTCAGTACCCTGGGTGAAAGCAGGGATCAAGGAGGCCCTATTTTATTTCTGACCCCATCTGGGCAGGCAGAGGCATCACGTTCGTTCGTCCTTCTCCGGTCGTTTCCTGATTAACAAATCCTGACTGACGAGCTCGTGATCGTCATCAGGGAATACTTGCTACTTTGAAAAGCAGCCATGAGATTATTGTATGAGAATGATTATCAAAGATTTGGCGAGCTGTTGCAGGCTGCGGCCAAAGTAGTAACCACAAGCACTGACAACTTGTTGCTTGAAGCACAATCATTCTCTGGACAAGGTGCAGTGTTGCTCCTGTGCCGGTCATTGTTGCGTCATCACCTTTACATGTGTGATCCTCATGCTAGCTACGCAGCTATGTTATCTTGCAGAACTTGAAGGTGATAGAGCGAAATTCAAGGTCCAGCTACATAAACGGTGATTTTTCTCTCGAGTCTCGTATGTAAAATGCTCTGCAAATGTTGCTGTGTTGCTGAGAAAACACTAATACTGGATGTTCTGTATCTTTGCACAACAGCTCACATGGGGATATACACGTTAAAGTGGGTGCCATAGCTTGCTATGGGGTTGACATCGCCCTAGGATCGGCAGCTTGGTCTAATTCCCTTGGAGAAATGTACCCCAGCAAGCGCATGAGGAGTGTCATGTCCGGCTTTGCCGGTGTGGGGGCTGGATTTGCGGTGCATCAGACGGCATGAGGCATTTGCAGCCTCGCTTGCAAGGTATGCATTATGCAAAATGGCTGTGAGTCAGGCACGGTGCCACTATTGGCATTCCTGTCATTGACACCTTCACACTGGAGCCCAGCACTCTACATAACTGCAGGGTACATGAGATGGTGCCTACTTGGCATCCACGTCACTTACATTCAATCTGCCATGATGTCTGCATTCCTCTTTCTTTAATTTGTCACTCTGCCTGCATGCAGGCAACAGCTGCCAGAAAGGTCCACCGCTGCTGTTGCTCCTGCAGGTGCAGCCGCAATGCAAACAGGAGGGGCTGAGCCTCAGACATGCATAAGTCTTCTAAGCGACCAGATTTGAAGACTCTCTTGAACAGATGCGCGGGACCTGATGTCAGGTGTCACCCTTTTCAGTGTAGGATCTAAAAGAATGCCACCTTGACGCCTTCCTTAGCAGTGCATGGATTGAGGACTTGCTGTATTTTGAACAGTACATGGCTGATCATGGGAGAATAAGAGCGAGGTTGTACAGGGATAGTAGCATCTTGTGTAAAGGCAGTGATTTCAACAACACTTAATTACAGATTTTCCCAGCTTCATCTCAATGTATGCAATTATTTTGGTCAATCTGAATTATCAACTCCATGCCATTCAACACTTTTGACAGGTGCCTTATAATGCACCTGCCCTTCAGCCCAATGCTGCATATCATGTACGTCTCTCCATCAACGAGTGCTTCTGTTGGCTTAGTACTTGAAAGCATTATTTCCTTCTACAACAAAGCAGAAAGGCTCACAGGTGCCAAATATAGCAACTCAGTGGCATCAGCAAAGTCTCAGCGGATACATAGGCAAATTGCGGACAAGTCAGGCAGTGCGTGCCACGGCACCGACATAGACAGTGATGGCCTTGAGGAAGCCATTGAGAACGACGCGCTCCACCTCGCAGCAGGCGTTCCCCGGAAGCGCCGCCGACAGCTGCACCAGATCCGTGTTGCGCGGCAGAAACACCATCAGCCCCACCGCCCCATCTGCACACATGCACATGCTCCAATCTCCCACAGCTCAGCAGTCCATTTCTTTGTTTTCAAGCAGCAGACGCCGTCATGTCAACATGCCAAATGAAGGCCGCACACATGTGCTTCAATCTCTAGCAGCCCAGTCAGGAGTCCTATTATGCCTCACAGTCACCACTTTTACAGAGTTCACAAGCACCTTCGTTGCATGATCTTGATCTCTTTGCTTTGTGAAAAGAAGCTAATGCCGAGATCCCAACCTGTGCCCCTAAAATTGCCCAACTCGGCCTCGGCGACGGCCGGCTTTAGAGCATGATGGACTGCATCTGCTTTTAGCTTTTATGAGGGTCAGTGCCAGGGTGGTTCACAGGAGCTGACCTGGTCTGAGCAGCGATGACGCAATGGCCAGCAGCTGCGCAAGGCTCACTCCGAGTCCGCCGATATCGTGAGACACGTCAAAGGTCTTTGCAGAGTACGCGGGGCCACCCCATGGTGGCGACATGAATACTGCATCCGCCTGTGCCACCAAACCCACCAATCACCCCTCTGCGCATTTACCCTCACTTGCCCTAGTTGACTGGATTAATTTTTGCCACCATGGTCTCCTTGAAGCTGGCTATCCAACTGGTCTGATTGACACGTGATGCCATGCCTTTCCATCGTAGGAACGAGATCCGAAATATTCAGAGCATGTCTTATACCTGCAGCGGCGTAAATTTCTGTGAAGGAAAGGAGTTGGGGACAAGGCAGCCCACCTGCAGGGTGGCAGGCAGGCGCAGGAAGTCGGCGCAGAGCAGCTCGAGGCGGTCGGCCACTCCGTAGACGGCGGCGTTGTGCGCGGCCAGGTCCAGGCGCGGCCGGCAGCTGTCCACGGCGACCACATGGCTGCACCGCCGCGCCAAGTGCACAGCGCTGCCGCCGACGCCGCAGAAGCCGTCCACCACCACCCGGCCCGCCACCCTCTCTGCACCGATCCATTCCCTGTTTCTGTGACTAGTGACTAACCCTCGCGCGATCCCGGCAAAATATCATGTCTCCATGCAGAGGACATGAGACCCCGCGATCATGGGAGTTCAGACCTATGCGTTTACCTCTTCACCATCTGCCTCGTGACCAGCCCTCGCGCAATCTCAGCAAGCAGGTCATGCTTCCATGCACAGCCTGAGGACTACACCTCTCAACAAGACTTGGCTGTGAATTGGGCGCAGGATGCGATATGCATATTTTTGTAATCCTCTGGTCATCAGTGACCAGATGACAGAATTTATGGAAGCTCACCGGCATGGTGCATGGCCACCACTTCAGGTGTGGCTGAGAACCAGCCCTCTTCGTCCATGAGCACGCCTTCGTCATACCTGGACCACAGGCTGTAGCGCTGCATCCAGTACTTCGCCACCCGCTGCGACAGCTTCAGCTGCCGCAGCTGCTGCCGGTTGGGAGGCACAGCCTTCCTGCACACAGTACTCTCAACCTCTGCCAATGCCCTGGTCAACGAGAAGCAAATTGGAGCAGAAGGCGCTGACTTTCTGCTTTGACAGCAAGCATGTGCAAGGAGAAAGCAGGGGGATTGCACCATTTCTTCTGCAGGCGGGGCTGCTCCTCTCGCCTGGCAGCACCAGCATTGCCGCGATGCTCCCTTCTGGAGTCTGCTTCATTGTATCCGTTGTGTGTCTGATTGGACACGATGATGAATGGCCTGCCAGCTGCGTCCTGCTCAAACTGCAGCTGCGCTATGACCTCGCTGTCCTCCAGCGGGCAGTCTGCCATGTCTTCCTCACCGCTGCTATCAAAGCGCAGGTGGCTGCCTGAAGGGTGGGGTATGCTCGCCATCAACCCTGTGCTCTCAGGCCGCTGGGTGCCATTTGCCGTTGCACCCCGTCCTGAGTGGCCGCTCTCCTCACCGAGCCTGCTGCCTGTAGCGGACTTTGGCGCCTGCTGGGGCAGTGCAGCTGAACCTTGAATGGCAGCCTGGCCAGGACTTTCTGATTCAGTGCCCGCTGCTCCACTGGGCCTCCTGCTCCTCCCACCTGCCTACAACAGGGGGAAAGCAGCCTGAGGTTGTGAGGTATGAATGGGCTTGGATTAGATGGTGTGGAGATTCTTAGGATACGACCCGGGAGTGATCATATGAAGGGTGCTTACTTTCTTCGTTTTGGGTCCACCAAACTGCGTCGGCAGCCCATACTGCCTCAGTGCATCCGCATCAGCATTGTCTGGGCCTTCATCTGGGTCTTGCTGGATGTCCTCAGACTGCATCAACATTGGACATTAACAATCTCAGCAAGGTCAATTAAGGCAATTGGCAGGCAACTGAAGGGGCGATACAAGTCCGAATAAGTACCTGTCCTGCAGCCTTGGCAAGGGCCACAGAATCAACCCTGCAAGGACATCTGTTGGTTCAGCAATGCCTACAGATATTTCCTTTCAGATCTCGAAGTGACAGTGAGTGACCAAGAATGCAACTGACCCGACGAGGCCGATGTCTTCTAGGTACACCGTTGTAAGCAGACACCTCCCCACTCGATATTTTTTTCTGTCATTTATATCAAGCTCAGCGGGTGATTTAATATGATTGCCATCAAAAATTGTATCCTCACTTGACTGGACCATCGGTTGGTGAATTGGAAAATTTATCGAGAATTCCTCAATCAAGGTCGAGAGAGAAAATGCATCCTTAGATTGAGCTCAATCTTTGTATGGACGTAATCTAATGCACAGCTGCAGCTGATTTTTAAGGGACAGATCAAGTGGTCGTTCCCACGATCTGGTTCTCAAAGATGGGACTGAGCCAGAAGGCGCTGCGTCTGTATTGCTAGATCGAGCTCAGACCTCTCCTGATATTAATAGCCGCCAAATGAAAAGGAAAGCCCCACATTTGGAGAGCCAATTTCCTGATTCCTGAGTTCCGGAGGGGTCGTCATATATCTACAGGACGAAACAACTCCAAGGTCCTTCGACAGGAGAAGAAATAATATGGAGGGATTGATCTGAGGGAAATATCTTGGAGTTTTACCATTGAGAATCAAATTTTATCGCAGCATGGATATCTTGCAACAAATGCTGACCATGTTCACGAGCTCCACCATGGTACTTTAATTTGCAGGCCTCATTCGCTGAATCCGACGTCAGTCTTCATTTTAAAGGAAGAGTTATTTGTTGTCAATGTAAGTGTTGGATTGAGCTGGTCAGAAGTCAGTTGACTCAGTGTCGCACCACAATCCTACGGCCCAGATGACGGGATCGGAAGGCAGGGAAGCTGCAGAGACACTCAAAGCTGAAGGCAATGCAGCATACCAAAAGCAGAAGTATGGGGCTGCTGTAGATGTAAGTGCAGGACGACCCTTTGGGTTCTACCCGGCCCCTTAGGGCCTTGGTATCACGCTGGTGCCCTTGTAGGGATGGTAGCCCATACTGGTAGGAATGCGGGAATGTCATCAGGTGCTATCTGCTCTCGTGCAGATGCAGATTGATTGCTGCTGTGTGATTGCAGCGATACACTGAGGCCATCTTGCTGTGCCCGGACTGGCCAGTATTGTTCATCAACAGGGCGCTGTGCCAGAAGCAGAGGGGAGATTGGAAAGCGGTGGAGATAGACAGCAGGAAGGCTCTAGAATTGCAGCCCAGGGTCATGAAGGTGCTCCTTGATAATCATGTTTGTATGGCGAACTTCATTTATCTGAGCTCGATGTCCCAGTGACATTCTTGACCAACTTGTGTTGCACCAGGGGCATTATTTCCTCGGCCAAGCATTGCATGAGCGGAAAGATCTAGGTGGCAGCATCAAGCACCTTTCAAAGGTACCCATTATAATCTTTTCCTCCTATCAGTTATGATGTTTGCAACGAGAGGCGTGCCCATCCTCCCATCGATTACATTCACACTCTTATGGCTCTTTCAGGCGCTGGAACTCGCCAGGGAGCAGGGAGATTTAATACGTGACCAGATATGGAGAGAGCTGGCGAAAGTCAAGTGAGAGTGTTTACCATCGCTGCCGTCCAGCTCTGCTTGCATGGTGGAGAGTTGATTTACTTGTCCCTGGGACCATCTGCTTTGCGGCAGTGAAATTGAGTCTCTGTGGTGCACACAGGTATGCAAATTGGGAGATTGAGTCAGCCACCAGGAGAGCAGAGCAGAAAATGCTGCAGGAGCGCCTGAGTGCTCTGTTGGAACAGGATCACCGCTCGGCACTTTCTCAGGCGGTGTGTGAAACAGTAGATAATGTACCAGTGCACAATACCACTTTGCTATGCATGTGACTTCCAGCGTGGTACAGACGTGAACTCCTTAAGAAGGCTTTCTTTCACGTGTACAAAATAGAAAATCTAGAAGATTGAAGCGAAAAGGCATTGCAGAAATGGAATGAGTGTTGTCATGGCAGGGAGACCAGAGGGTGGAGGTGCAACAGCGGCATGACCATGAACTTGCTGCACTGAAGCGCCTCTTTGAGCTGGGGGCAAAGAGCTACAAGGAGTACGAGCCAGACAACGCGTACACCTGCCGATTGACAATGGAGGTGGGCCTTCAGCCATTACTCCTGTCACGGTGTTCAGCTATGCATGCACCACAAATGGTATCTGTGGCAGCCACTGACTGTAATGGCTTCCCCTTGCAGGTGTTCAGAGAGCCCGTCATCACCCCTTCAGGCCTCAGTTACGAAGGCAGCGCACTGCAAGAACACCTCAACAAGGCAAGTAGAATATAAGGGTCTCTTCTGCTGGCTGGAGCATCTCTTTTATGACCGCTGGAAGATTTTCCCTCTTGTTGTTACTGAGATCAAATTTTTGCACTCGAATGCACAGGTCGGGAAATTTGATCCTGTCACAAGGAAGGCCATGAATAACGCGGATGCCATTCCCAATCTGGCGTTGCGAGCAGCGACGGAGCACTACCTTGATGACAACCCATGGGCCTGGAAAGATGTGTGCTGACGCGGAGAGCGCGGTCTTCCTTCCATTTCATGGCCTCCATTCTGTCAACCACAGTGTTCTGTGCTGTATATGTATCTCTCTTTTAAAGTTCACATACATCATGAGCGCTCATCACGAACAGTTCATGAAGTTTAAATTGGCGTAATTTTGTACATATAAGCTTGTACCAGTTGGACATTTCCGGTATTTATGGAAGTGACCATGCTAGAAGCTGATTTGCAAGGAATTGCTGTGAACATCTAGGAAGCACTGCGGGGGCGATGGCGTTGGCATTCTTCCCTTCGTGCTTTGCTGAAATGTCAAGACAGCTTAGCTGTCACAGGCTGCAGGGCATATGCAAACTATTGCTCTCCACACAACATCTCCAATATTAATTACATGGCGTCATTAGACTTCCTGTAAACTCATTCGTTCAGCTTTACTCGGAGGCAATATAGGTACAGAACAATTTTCTTTTATTAATAAAATTTGAGCAGTCAAAGAGCAAATCTGCTAGTAGTATGAAGTCTCATGCACTATAAAATGCTACCCTGTTCCTCTGCCTCAGCTGTGTTTCAAGCGGCATGAGACTTTCATTGCCTGTAGATGGGCATGCTTTTGACAAATGCCTTCTTGTCAACGTCTGCAACCTGCGGTCCCTCTGGGTTGCTCGGACTGGACTCCCTGAATCTCCTCCTCGATCCACAACCTGCAGGAAATCAGCTTTGAGGTTTGAAGACATCAATGCCCCCAAAGTGCTTTTCAGATTTTGAGCAGGGGCGCAATGTCCAATCTGCATCTTACTGCAAGCTCACCCAGGCTCTTCCTGGTCTCCACGCCAGTCTCTGTGTTCGTGCCATCTGCATAGCGGCAAAGTGCCTGCACGCATGAGAAGAACGGTCAATCTCCTTCTGTGCCCTGCAAGTTTGAGATGGGGATGTCTTTTGAGAGGGGGATGTCCACATGCAAGCTGCTCATGCCATGGTGAAGTGTTTAAAGATCTGGCCAAACATGGTGAGCAACTCACTATCTGCTGAGTCTTGTCGAGCAGAGCGTTTGTGAAATCGGTGCCATTGATGTCCGCGCCGCCCAAGTCACTCCTGCAAACACATTCAATAGTAGACTTTAAACTGAGACTTGTTGTGAATATTGAAGAGCATGCCTGCCTTGTCAGCTTGGTTACAAGCTTGCAAGAAGCGCATCCATTATCTTGCAATGAGAGCAGCCAACCTTGTCAAGACTGCGCGCTGGAAGTTCGCGTTCCTGAGGTTCGCTTCGTTCAGTACCGCCCGATCCATGAGCACATCACTCAGATTCGCATTCTGCAGAGCAGGACACGTGAGGCAATGTACCTCACACAGGAGCATCACTAAAATAGTTGTGACAACCTGTCAACAGAATCATACCTCAAAGTTGGCTTTGGGTACCACGCTCTTAATGAAGTATGCACCCTGAAGATTTGAGTCCTTGAAGTTGCAGTTTCTGCAATCAGCTGCTGTGAAGTTGCTGCGCCTCAAGTCCTGCAGCATCAGGACACTGCAGATCAGCATCAATGACTTTTCTGAGGATGTGTTTCTTGCAAAGAAGGCCTTCCAACAGATTCTGCATGCACACCTCGCCATGGAAATCGCGACCTTTCAAATCTGCTTCTCCATACTGCTGGGCTGTTCCATTCCCGAATTCACCACCCGCTGCAGCTTCATACTTGTTCAGATCTGCGATGGCAGGGGGACTGAAACACAACGCTGCACTCAAGACTGCTGCTGTTCCGACGTTCTTCCAATTTAAAACCCCTCCATCCGCTTGAGAAGGGTTCGAAGATGCCAGAACCACGCCTGGAAGTGCACAGCGCCTTCCAGGCCTACATCCATTGAACTTCCATGAGCCGGATCTGAAAGTCAAATTCGAGGAGGACAAGGTTGAAGTAATGCATGGAGCAGCCATACTGACAATACGTGCGCTTCTTTGTGCGTAATTTGCCCTGTTCGTTGCAACTGGGAGCCAACAGACAAGAAGATATGTTCATCTTCACTTTGACGTCATCATGGCGCCACGATAGGCAGCTTCTTGGCCAGTGCCTTGACAGATGCATGCAATCAAGACACAATTTTCCATTGGAGTCCACATTTGTGCTGCCGCTGCACTTACCCAACTGGGACAGCTTTAAGATTGCTCTCAGAGTATGCCAAGCCGCCCGTGCGGGTGCTAGCGGCGTGCCAGGCAGGCCTGCCTAGGCGTGCCAGCTCTCACCGAGAGACTTGGAGTCATGACGGTGAACACCGTGACATGCTCAACGTGCATGTGATCTATTCAAATTAGACTGCGAGCTCTGTATGCAATCTGACCTAGTGTCCATGGCGGCCGTGGCACCATGCATATGAGACAGCATCAGCTGAGCTGATTCAGCGCATGCGCGTCCGATGGAGTCCTAGTTCCACTTCAAAGCACTGCCGCAGTCACGGTATGCGCAATGTAATGTTGATCAAGACTTCTTGGTCCGGGCTGGAGGTGTCACTGCGACGCTGGCTACCTGGCATGACCTGCAGCCATAGTACATGATGGCCGATACCAATATACTTACAATCTATAGAGATCACTCGGAGTGTACAACTTGCTTACCATATTCATACAATCGCAATTCCGAATTGGGAGTTTTGAGAGAATTGGGAGTCCCACTAGCTGTGAGAAAAACAACTCTGCATTTTAAAAGCGTCCCAGATCACGTGAGCCTCTCTAGACTATTGTCTTCTCAGTACGTGCGCCTGCTTCAAGTGCCCTTGCCATCTGCTCCATGAGCGATGGTCTTTCAGACTTGATAGGCTCGCTGTGTGAGAACCGCGCTGGACAGAAACAGCGCGGTGCACACGTGCACAATTGTGACTGCACATGCGCGCAGTGCGCTGCACGCTGCACTATGCAAAGACTGGATTGCCAGCATTACTTTCTGGGGGAAATGAACACATCCCCCTTGTGGACAATCACATTCCCTGGCAAAGCTCTCCTGAGGTCCTGTTTTTGCACCTGCAGATAAGTCTGTATCCGTCAGACTGAATGTCACCAAGACCCATGCTGTCACCTTAATATTGCAGTTTTTGACACACTGTAGATACCTGCAATGGGGTTGGCGATGATCCACTTATTGTGGTTTGCTGATCATTGTTGGCAGCAATTATTGACTGCTCCTCTAGGAACTCATCAGCAACGTCACCATCACTGTCTTGCTTCAATCGGGACGTGTACCAATTTAAGCCCTGCAGCCATATCAGAGATTGGTCAGGGACCCAACCGTAGCCTCACGCCTGTCTCGCACTAGGCAAAATGGTCCAGAGCTGAAGAATTTGCCCCTTGAGTGATGACGAGTCTATTATCAGCATCTTTAATTCAATGCATCGCTTTTTTTGCAACGCTGGGGCTGCATGCAAACCTGAACTCCACCCTGTGAGCCTAGGCCAGCGTTCTGCAAGACTGGCTGCTGCCTGGCTGTCTGCCTTGTTGCTGCTGAATCCTGTGCAGATGCCCCAGGAGAATATGTAGCCTCAGGGAACCCTGATGTGCTAGTCCGCGCAGTCGACAGGTCCTGTGGGCATGGAATACAAAAAGTTTATTCTTGTTCGACAATTACTCCTTGCTCCAAACTTTCGTGACCATTGACTAGGACTGTCCAAGGTGACCGTGCACTTACCTCCCCAAGGACGTAGCTTTTGAATTTACGAAAATATTCCATCAATTTCTATAAGCTTAGCTATATTTAGGTGCTCGATTTTCATGCTACAAGCATCTAAAAGTCTTTCACAACTACAAGCAGGTTTGGAATGGACTTGCTGTAGGCTGTTGGGTACATCCTAAGCCACTATAAGCAACAGTGAGGGTCTCGACTTATTCGATAGTAGGAAAATTGGAGTATGGCTGACCAGAGAAGGAGTGATTCTCCACCAAGATGCAATTATGTCGGAGGAAACCACACGGCAGGGTATGTCCTCATACGTCTTTCGATGCCTTTCTCGGCCAAATTGCCCTTCTTCTTTCAGATCCCATTGTAGAACCAAATGCCATTGTCAATGACGATCTGAAGGGCATCACGCTATGCCAAGATTCTTGTGGTTGCCAAGCAGGCCTTACAATGCCCATGACATCCCTCCAAACCCTGCTCTCGAGTGACGTTTCGGAACTGATCTTTAGAAACCTCACTCGACGCGAGGCATTACAGGTCTGGCAACATCTGTAGGAGCATTAGTAGCATTTCAAGCTTTGCCTATAAACTGCTTGAGACTTCATGGGATCATCTCAAAGACTAGATTAGCAAAAATATAATATGTATGATTTGCGCCTGCTTTAAGAAATACAATAGTATGTCAGGATATTTCCTGGCCTATTAGGCTAATTACCACTGTTTTCATTCGCAGCTGTCGGCAGTCTGCCGCGACTTCAAAAGCATTTTGTCTGCTGAAACTCTGAGGTTCAAGGCGAGGTTGATAGTCGTTGCATCCGATACTAATGCTATCCTGGACATTTGTCCCAAGTCCGGGCATGTCCTGCATTCAGCCAGGGTGCAAAACAGGCCCCTGCGAAGGAATGAGAAATTAAACAGGTTCTGGCCGACTGGTGTTGCTCTGTCACCTGATGATGGTGATTACTATGTCTGCCAATACAAGGTGAGTCTGGATGCCAAGCCAGCTACCGGCTGACCACCCCTGGGGTGCACCATCACTGACCAGACGGCAGTGCGTGGCACGTGCAGGGAAAGTATGTTTTACAATTTAGGGGCGCAGGCCTTGTCTTCCGACGCGTCGCTGTGAAACTACCTGACTTCTGCGCAACTCCAGAAGGCATCTGCTTCACAAAAGACTGCATGCATGTGGCATGGTGCGTCTTTACCAAAACTTTACTTGTCGGGTGTTCAGAATAGCCCGATGCTCAGGAATGGTGGTAAAAGGCGTGATCTTTAGAGGCTGACAATGCATAATAAGCAAATTCTGATGATGCAGCGCAACACCCGGTGTGATTGCAAGATTTGCATGGGACACAGACACAGGGCAGTACATCTATGACCCGAAGTCCTTGTCTCCCGTGACAATGTACACGGTAGTGCATGGGCAACAAGAGCATACAAGGGCTCATGTACCCTGGGGAATGGTCACAGGTGCGTGAAATTTGATATAGCTAATCTATTGAAGCGCGAGGAGATGTACTCTAAATCGACTCTGTAATGAGGTTGGGGATTCGGTGTCGCAGGTCCAGATGGTAATCTCTATGTTGCCATGGAGGAGGAGTATGAGGTAAATTGTGCCACTCCACTGTGTCAATCTAGCAGCTTCAAACAGCAGTATCACAGTGTTCACTGAGAAGTCTGTTCTGATCAACTCAAGACCAGATGGTGGGACAATAAATTTTCAACCCTCTAGCTTGGGGCATTTTCCTCTTTTTGCAGGTTCTGGGTGATTTACCACTGCGCCGTAGAAAAGGCTTTGTCATGGTGGTGAAGCTTGATGAGCAAGGTATTGAGGCTGTCTCTGGGCACCCTTGTGGCCAATTTGGTTGTACAACACTTTCTCCCTTGACTGGAGCAATGCTGTCAGGAAAACACAGACTGACACACACTGCTGAAGAAGGTGCACTTGCTCACTGACTCCAGGGCGGCACTGCGGCATTGAAAAATTTTGTGGATCCATCGACGGGTCAGACGAGCGTCTGTGCAGGCCTTCTGGCCTCAGCTTTGACAATGAGGGCAATCTCTTTGTGACAAGTCTAACCAATGAGGTACCCTGTTGTCCTGCAGACCACGATATTTCTTGTCAGGGCATGCAGAACTGCATAGCTTCATTTTTCTACGTCTGCTCATACGTGAGCATCTCTCAGACTAAAGATATAAGAAACAAACGTCATTGATGACTGTGATCTAGGTGCTCATGTACAAGGGGCCATTGGGCGATAATCCAGGAGAATTCCTTCGGGTTGCTGCCTCATGGGACATCCATGAAGACCTGCTCCCATGGGATGTCAGGTGCGTGGGGAAAATGGACATTTGCCATGGTGTGTGATGTTGAGGGTGTGTAAGTTGCGCAGTGCACAGTAGCAGATTACAGCGGGGACCAAGGCAGCAACGTGTGAAACGCTTGCTTTTTATATCAGGTGGCACCCTTGCATTCCTGGCATCAGCGATGGACCAGTTCTTGTGGTGACTCGTCACACAGACATCTACCGTAAGTGCAAGTCTCGCATCCATATAATTTGTGCCAAGACTGGCACAGAGGTTCAGACCATATTCTCAAATCAGCTGAAGAGGGGGAACATGATAGCAATGGAGTGACATGTACTACACTGTAACTAGAGTAATAGAGTAATGTAAACTCCAGTAGTAAACTCCAAGAATTTGCAAAGATAAACACGCTGCAGATTACCCTTTACACTGATGATTTGTTCCAAGAAAGGCATGAAACCCAGAATTTTGAGGCCATAGCTCATAGCAGGCGGTGCATGCATGTTGGTCTCATATCAATCTTTAAGAAGCGCATATTGTAAATTATTCAGAGCTGCCATTTGTCAGTGCCATGTCCTCGAACACCAGGTAGTGGCTGGTCATTCCAAGTGATTTGTACTGCATTCACCACAGAAGCAAGTAAAATCCAACAATGGGCTGGCAACAGGCAGATCAGACCTTGGCAGAATTTTGCATCCTGTGATTGTGCAGAAATGTCAAGGCAAGACAGGATACCAAAAAGTTAAAATAGGAGGAGAACCCACCGTTTGTTGTGCACGGTTGTTGCCAACATCAACATAAAGCCTGACGCCACATGCCTTCTCTGCAGCGGCGCAGGTCTGAATGTGCCTGTACAAGGCCTTATAGAGGCCTCTGCGGCGATGATCTGGATGCACATAGACACTCTGTACCCACCATATCTGGGAATTTCGCCTGCAAGACGGCATGATAGCTCTGAGCCCAAATTGCCAGATCTCTGGTGCCACTGACAGCAATGCATGTTATGTTTCATAGGGGTCTGTCGCACATCGTCCCCATTATTTAGGGTGTGCCTCACCAGTCGCTCCATTCATAGGTAATCATCAGCTGGGCAACAATCTTCCCACCTTCCTGGCGCAAGCAAGGGATACAGAAGGTTAGCAGTGTCCTGGAGCTGTGTCCAACATTGCCTTGCACAAAATATGAAACCAACCTCGAGCAGGAAGTATGTTCCTTTCGCTGGATCGCTAAGAATGGCCTGAACACCTGCTTGAACGGTTTTCTCATCAAGCTCCAAGTCCTCAGTCTCCTGTGCCATGATGGGGGTCAACAAATTGAATATGGCGAGACGTCATTATCTGCAACACCCTGACATCTCACGGCGCACCTTGGCCATAGCAATGTTATATTGACTGACGACTGCTTGGTCCTGTAGAGTAGCTCTTCTGACACGGGCGTCCATGACAATGGATGTGACAACTTCTGACAACTATCTGACACAGAGATATTCAGAAGGGCAAAGCTGATACCGATACTTGTGGAACCCGATCGCTCAGATCAAGTGTGTGCGCTTGGTACCTCGACAGGAGGCCGACAAAGGTGTCAAATAACCCCAAAAAATTCACCTAAAATAGTAACAAATTCACAAACTTTCATTCAACGATTCAATCCCTAACTTGCACACGCCTGTTCTCAAATTTAAGCTCAACATGGGAAGCTTCTCAAGTCTCGGAAGCCATCCTACTCTGTCGGGCAAAATCCACTACTTTAGTGGACATGCACTCCACTACATTAGTGGATTTGGCTCTCTTTCTGAGCACGCCCCTTCGGGGCGTGCAATAACAAAAGCAATGCTGCACATCCTTCAGATTTACCTACAACAATCTCAGCATTGCATAGTACCTCCGTCAAGCTAATTATTTCGGTCAAGCCTGTATCTATAGGATCGTGCGCTACTCGTTTCTGCGAAGACAGCAATGCCATTTGCCAGGTTACCGTTGCAAAGTAGGATTTGAAAGGGGGGTGGGACGGCCGCAAATGTTTATGGGAGTAATTTAAACGAATTCTTGAAGTCTTCTGTCGCTGGCCATGTGAGGTTCGCACTTTTGCCGGTTTTTTGGCATCCCCATCCTTGACTTGTTTGGACTCAGCTAATCGAATGTCACGACCATCGACGTGCATGTCTACTTCTTTCGTAGTGACTGCATGCCCTGCCAAGCCAATTCCTTGAAATGAAATGCGTGCAGGCAACACAGAGCGTTCACCTGAATTGAGCACTGATGCACCGGACAGACACTGAAGTCGTCTACAATCTAAACCAACATCAAGTTCAATTGTTCTGGTGAGCGTTACGATCCCTCTGCTGCTGTGAGTAGCCGTGGGTGTCTGCCCTGACCTGGCTTTGCTTGGAATGCCAATCTGATGAGGAGCATCTGGAGAGGACTGTGCACCCCAAAGAGTAGCAAGTAGCCCAGGTGCTTGTAAGGATAGTTGTATCACTTGTACTAGAAGGCATGCTGCTGATGTACTTCTCATTCCTTTAATGTCCTGGTGGATCACTTGCAGAAACCGTTGTGTGATGACTTCATGCAGGACGAATGGTCAGGAACAAGAGGTGGAGGGTCAGTGTCAAGGTGATACCATCAGCCGACACTCCTGCTCTGCTGCAGCCAGGCCGCAGATTTGGGAGGAACCTAGGCAGCACTGTGGCAACATCTGCACCGAGGGGACCCCGGAGGCCGGCCAGCGCCCTTCCATCCTGGCGGATCCCTGCAAGAAACACAGCTCAGCAGGAAGAACAGCAGGATGGCTTTGCAGATGGAGATGGAGAAGCCGCTGCTGCCTATTATCAGCCTCCGCCCTCACGCCGGCGTCTGCGGAAACAGGCAGCTCAAGAGGATAATAGACGGCTGCACCAAGCATGGGATGCGTGCTTTGATGACAATGTATTCAGGAACACATGTTTCCAAGCTGGTCAGCCTGCACGCCAAGCAGCACTGAAGCAGCAGCTGCAGGCAGAGTTTTTGACAGCTGCCAGAGCAGCCCTGCCCGCTTGCAGTCCATGCAGTCAGGCTGGGAGGGTGGGATCAGTGTGGGAGCAGGTGGAGACGATCAGCAGGCTTGTGTATGTCTCGATCAGCGGCAGGACAGAGGTCAGCCCCCCAGCATTCAGGTGTGGCGGGTGCAGTGCCGCCTTCACAGTCGATCCTGTGAGCATGGGATGCTTTCCTGCAACGCCACAGAGGCCGCTGGTTTACTACTCTGGAGCGCTCATGTTGCAGACGCATGAGCTCAGCCTCGCCAGCCCAACCTCAATGGTCGCCTGGACTAGCGCCCTGGAGGAGGTGCACGTCAGGAACGGCTGTGTGCCGTACGGGCAACTGAGTGGCCTGCCCAAAAATATCTGGAGGAACCTCCCAGTGGCGGTCAGACAGTGGCGCAGAATGGACATCGCCACACATGACCTCAACAGGCTTGGCGTGCAGCCCATCTGTTCGGAGGCAGGGCTCAGCGGTGACTCAGACTTGCAGCTCGGCCAGCCGCCGCCGCCCCAGGAGAACACTCAGAGGGAAGCAGCAGCGTCGTCATCGCCACCAGAAATGGAAGCAGGCAGCCTCGCGGCTCAAACTGGCAGAGATGCAGCTGAGGTGGGCCCGGCGACCCAGGAATCTCTGGACAGTCGTGCCTCCGGGGGCCCCACTGTGCAGTGTCCTTGCTGCTTTCGCACTTGCGTGGCAGCCATTGCTGACGCCTGCCTGGGACTCACGCAGCTCAGGGCGGCGGGCAAAGCCTCTGATTTCCTGCAGCCGAAGCTGCCCTATAGCCCCTTCATTGCTGATGAAGAGGTGAAGGCCTTGCTCGCTCAACGGAAGGCCTTGGACCCGGCGGCGCTGGAGCGGCCGGTCTGCTCTCAGTTCGTTGCTGCCACGCCAACCGCCTCAGACACGCAGCTGCGCCTATATGTGCAAGTGAGTCTCCTCGCATTTTTCTGGGATCTTGTTGCGCTTACTGATGTTGGCATGCATCTCATATATCCATGATTTTTTTCTCTTTTTTTCCTGGCCCCGGCTGGCAAGGGTAATACTTGGCAGCACCCTAGCGTGCCTTGCTTCAGGTGGTAAAAATACTGAATACCATGCCCACGGTTGATTGGGTCTTGCTTGGATCTGGCGAGTTCAACAAGGGGTAGGGTTATGGCAGCCTTAAATTGCAGCTCTGCAGGATGTACCTTGCTTGGCAGGAAAGCGTGTAACAAGAAGATGTGCTGGTGCTTTGGAGCCGGTCTGACACTCCCGCATGTGCTTGTGCGTAGGGCGTGGCAGCAGCAGTTTGCCGCCACGGGTATGTTCTCGTGGCGGCAAACCTGTTCACACCGGAGTGCTTTGTTTACTACGAGTTGCTCCTGCAGCGTCTGCTGAAGGAGTTCAAGCCTGAGGAGGGCAAGGATCTGAAGTACTTCTTCATTGACATTGCTTGCCAGTTTGACCCATATTGGCGAAGGTATAATCTTTCGTCCATCATGCCTGGCGTTTACGTCAAGATGTGCCCTGTACAATTATTGCATGGAACAATTTCACTCCTAGTGTCTAGTACTAGTCATGCTATGAGTGTGTGGATTCGTCGGAGTGCACAGCAGCGTCCCCTTTGAATGGTGATGTGTTGTGCTGGCAGGATGGTTCAAGGAAACGTGGAGGGTATGCCTGGCCTGGCAGTGGGGCCGTGGCATGTGAAGGCTCACATTCCGGCATGCCAAGAAAAGTATGGCGCCCGCCGCATGCTAGCGGCAGGAAACTCCTTTGGTGACAACATTGAACAGGCTTGGGCACATTACAGGAAATTTGCACACATCTTGAAGCGCATGGCGACTGCCACGCGGGAGGACTACATGACGGACCTGGTGAGTTCTCCTTTCATATGATGCAAGCTCTTGTAGCCTTGCTCGATGTTGCAGTTTGTAACCCTGTAGGTGCGAGAAGTGACAATGTTGGTCCATGTGCAGGCGATGGCTTGGCAGCGAAAAAAGGAGCGCAGGTTGCCCAAGCAGCTGCTTGAGTGGCATAGGAGGGCTGCTCGACTGCTGGCACAACTGCGGCAGTCCACGGGGGCCCTCAAGCAGGAGATTGCCCAAATCAAAGCCCCCGAGTTGCAGGTAAAATGCACCCCTCCTAGTTGCTGCACCTGTCTCTACTGATTCTCTGGGGAGATGCCATCTTGATATATCCTGCAGTCTGCAATGCTTTGCATGCTCGCTTATTGGCTGATGAATCAGGTGCAGGGTGGCGGTGGCTCAGGAGGCGTCCCATCACCGGCAGGCCAGGATCCTCTCCAAGGCGGCGCTGGTGCAGGCGCAAGTGACGAAGCAGAGGTGTGTTGGTCCTTTTTGAAGGCTCTTCTCTAGCATGGAATAAGTATCAATGGGTATGCTAGTGAGAAGGAGGTGCTCAGAGGACTCAGAGTAAAGAGCTGCCTCAGAAGAAAGTATGCAAGCAGATTGTTTGTTTTGCACGCAGGGGTCTGCCCGGGAGCAGCGGCAGACATCGTCTGAGGGGGCATCAACAAGCGCGCCCACCATCCCGGTGCTGCTCCACTCTGCACCTTCAGTTGGCTGTACTGGTGCTTGTTCATATGACATGATAGGACATTTGACATGTGACTTATGACATGACAGGACAAGACATGACAGGATGTGCATACTGGTGGAGTTTTTGTAAAGAGCAAATGGGATGCACACCTTTGGAAGATACATAAAGATGCATGAATCACTGATGTCAGGATTCTTACTCGCAGGCCCGTCTTACATGGGAGCACCACTACCAAGGCTGCTTGGAGGAGTTGTACGCGCTGGGTGGCAGTGTGACTCTCGCAGCTGAGGGGCAGCAATCGCTCTCCGAGCAAATGCGGCATGAGCACCGCCGAGTCCTTGAGGGCAAGCTGGCAGCGTGGGAGCGCAGGCACCGGGTACAGCTGCGGTGGGTGGAGGCAGACCGGTTGTACCAGGAGATAGGGGGTCAGCGGAAGAGGTTCATGATTCAGCAGCTACATGCTTCCATTGCAGCCAGGTTCGTGGATTACTACGCCCTACAGAGACAGCTGGAGACAGCGGCATATCGTGAGCGCACTAGCCTGAAGCGGTTGCGGCGCCAGATGGAAGCCATCGTGTCCAAAGTCAGCGATGACATCCTTCAGCTGCGGCGCTGGCATGCCGCCCCTGGGGACTATCAGGGAGCGCAGTATGACTGCCAGCGCTTGACCGCCCCTGGCTTGCTCGCGGCAGACACATTGCCGTGGCAGCGACAATCTGCTCAGGCAGGGTTGCTGGCTAGGAAACTGGCCGCGCTGGCGGAGCAGCAGGAGCGCTTGAAGCGGTGCTCCGAAGAGATGACCATCGTGCGGCGTGAGGCCAGGGATATGGTAGTGTTTTATGAGCACTACGCCCAGCAAGTGCAGCAAGCCGCTGGGAGG